TGCTTTTGACATATGTAGAATTATGAGACTTGCTCCATAGTATCGATACCTTTGCCTCATTGCCTCTCAGGACGGGAGGACGACGAGTTTCCTCAGGAGGACAGACCCAGACGCCCTGCGCCAGCAGATTGCTTGCTTCTCCTTGCAAGGCTTGGAGACATGGCAAAAAAAATATTGCTCCCCGTTCAAGGAGAGTCCATGTGTCCAAACAGCCGAATGATCAGCAATCATGGACATCCAGAAGGAAGAAGGAGCAAACGGTGCCGTAGACCTGGCATAGCCTGACAGGATAACGGTCGGATCCACTTTGTGTATGGGTCACAGGAGATGCCTTGCAGCTGCCAGCCACAGCATGGCGAGAGTGATTGACAGACTCCCGCGTGCCATAACCGGACACGCTTCGCCATGACGCTGGCGCAATTTCTGATGCACTTGCATATCCTTGTGTCTTGGGACTTGTCGTGAGCTTTGATTAAGGGTATGGGGCGCTTGCCTTAATGAAGGACCCGATCATACTATTGGCGTCCCATTCTCCACTTCCCTGTTGGCTGCTTCAGAAACCAGGTCGCTGGCCCGACGAGGCGAAAGTGGCTGGATCCTCGAGTATAGCCAATCCTTGGCACTTTTATACCATTCCATTCTAATAGAAGATGATCGACATCAACGGCTTTTTAGAACCTCTTGGTAAATAGCCGGACGACCAGGCTGGGGGCTAACATCGTGGTGAATGTTTCACAAGCTCATCCCGATCATACCATGGTTCTTTTCGGCAGTTCTTGAATGACTCGCCTCGCGGAATTGCGCACGCTCGATCAACTCCATCAACAAGAAAGGTACTCGGACTCCGTAGAATGCTTGGTTTTACCCGCTACTTGATAGGTCCATGGTGGTTTGAAACGAAAAGAACAAACTCTGGTCTAGCTGGTATGCCCAACTATACAGATCGGCGTTGAACAATTACAGATGATTTGCATAGTCACCATGGTCGCTGTCAGGATGTAGGATCGCGACAATAATTTTTCATATTCGGCGTTGCTGTCAACATTCGATAACTCACCCAAGTCACTCTTTCTTTGCGTGCGTTGCTCCCGGTGCAGTGACACTGTCATTCGTTTGCCTAATAATGAGGCTTCTTCATCATCTCTGCGCCACACTTGCCGGTTGCAGTCTTTTTGCATTTGCATTTCCAACGGCCTCGAATGTCGCGCTCCTAGCAAGATCGGGCGGCTTGGACATTCCGGAAGGTCTTTCGCTCGAGCAAATTGTCCACCACGTTCGGAAACACCAGCAAGAAAAGAGACTCCTTTTCGACCCTTTAGTCGACCCAATAGATGGTATGATGGACATGCAAATATGAGAAACATCCAGGCTGACTGCAATAAGTCAGTGGGAGACATGAATGGCAAGCTCCAGACTTCGACTCTGGTGCACAGCGAGGTCCATGTCCGGGACTTAATGCATTGGCCAATCATGGCTACATTGATCGATCTGGAGTAGCAAACGTGAGCAGTCACCCGACCACCCGCCGTGGAATTGTTTCTGACATGAGTATTGCCAGTTCTTGGAAGTTATTGCAGTAATAAATACAGGTGAGTTGGCGAGCAGCCTTGTGCCGTTGGCCTCTAGGCTGATTATATCGCGCAGTATACGGGATGGATATCGGGCTCTCGACAATTCTCTCGACCATGGGTAAATGCTGGTCGTTGGGTATAACATCATAAGCTAAAAATATTGCAGGCACGGTGTGGACGGGCGATCCCTTGTCCCTGACACCAGGATTTTCGATTGACGGAACATCCCCCAGAGTACAGAACCTGCTAGGGAATCTCTTGGGACTCCTGGGTGAGCCACAAGGCATTGGAAGATCCCACAATTTCATCGAGGCCGATGCCTCACTCACACGTGACGACCTGTATGTCACCGGTGATGCCTCAACCATGAACATGGACAAATTCTTGAAATTGTATAACCGACCGGGAACCGAGAAAGATGTTATCTCGACAGATGATGTACTCCAGCAGGCAGTTGAGGCTCTGGATGAATGCATTGAAACAAATCCATACTGCTGGTATGGACCGTACACAGGAATGATTGCCCGGAATGCTGGAGCTGCCTTCACTCTGCGGCTGTTGTCGAACCATTCTGCACAAGAACCAAATGGCATTATGAGTAAGTTTCTGCCCGACTAGGTTTCTCCAATGGGTACTGACGTTTGCAACAGCCAAAGAAGTGTTCAAGTCCTTCTGGGGTGTAATTGACACAGAAGACGGTGGACTGGAGTACAAACGAGGCTGGGAGAGAATCCCCGAGAACTGGTTCCGAAGACCTGTGGACTATGGCCTCGTTCAAATGAATCTCGACTTCGTGGATTGGTTTCTCAAGTATCCCAAACTGATGTCAATCGGGGGCAACACCGGGACTGTAAACTCCTTTACGCCATTAGACATCGGAGACATTTCTGGCGGCGTTCTGAACCTCGAGACTCTGCTGCAGGGGAACAATCTCATTTGCTTTGCATTGCAGATAGTCAAGACGGTTTCGCCGAATTCGTTGTCCAATTTGTTTGCAACACTGGCCGAGCCATTGAAGTTGATAACGGATGCTCTCGGATCAGCGCTCACACCGCTGACCTGTCCATCTTTTGGTGACCTTGCATATGGAGGACAGCCGATTTGGGATTCGCTGAACAAGGCATTTGCTGGACCAGAACGTGCCGGTTCACCCTTGTAGGTAGCTCAAAAAAGCAGAGTCCGCATGAGTTGTGGAGGACTCAGCGTGTGCGCGATTAGTGGCTCACAAATCAATTCTATCTCTCAAACCTGCGGCAGACGGAAAGATTTTCAAAGGCCGACTGCAGCTATGTGCCTGGCAGTGCTGCAAGTCTTAGGCTCATCGGAGCAGCATAGAGTAGAACCTTGAGGCAGAGTACGAAGAGCCTCCGCGGACAAACAAATATGAGGGATGGATGTCGTCTCGTAAGACTTTCGGGCGACGCCGGGGCTCCAGTGACCGGCGCTCGACCTTCTGACAACTGCCGCCGATGTTTTGGTGGTGCTGACATCAATGGTCGCGAGGCTCTGACGGGTGGAACTCATTACCAAACATTTTGCGGAGTGCCTGGAAGGACGAGCTGTTGGCCATTTTTCCAATATCTCAAGCCATTGGGAATTCTGCTCGATACAGCCGGAGAACGACTTTCAGCGTCGTCCGGACTGCGTTGAACAATGATGTCGTTGCATTTCTGGAATCCCCAGTAGAAGGGAACATGTATCACTCGCGGAGAAGCGCTCCGTCTGCTCGACTTCCCAGCCCATCGGCCGACCTATCGCATTCGCGGTATTATCCATATCGTCCTGTACCGCAGCCCCGTGTAACCACATTACATGCCTTTACTAAACTCGGCCATGTTCCGCAATAATGGACATGTGTAGCAGTGGCAGATCTTTCATGGTGCATGGTTACGCGAAATGGTCCACCCAGAGCCCTCGCGAGCTGATGTTGTGTGCCGGCTGCCGCGGAGATAGATTGTGAGTGAGTTATCATTCTCATCAATTGACCACCCGGCCCGTTTTCTTCGAAATATATATACAAGAATACGACCCCAGTGTGTAGAGACAAAAGTACACTCTTGAGCCTTGATAGCACAAGCAAGACTGGACAACACAACAACAATCATGCAGCACATCGACGGCCCACTCATCACCCGCGACCTGCCGGCTCGCATGGCATATTTGCAGTCGTTCCTTCAATGGGACCCTGCCAAAGATGGTCCTCTCATCGAAGCCTGCAAGCCAGTGCTGGCACCATTGTTGACTGATGTTGTCGATGCCGTTTACGACCATCTACTCAAGTACGACATCACAGCCGCTACATTCGCGCCAGCACAGTCCGCCGACGGCACCTCGGTTGACGTGCACGAGCTGAACAGGGATCAAGGAAACATCAAATTCCGAAAAGATTTCCTCAAGGGATATCTAGTCAGACTAGTATCCAACCACGATTGGACGCCCGAGAGCAAGTTCTGGGATTACATTGATAAGGTCGGCAAAGCACATACGGGCACAATGGACTCCGGGCTCAAGCACCGCAAGAACAAGCCGCGGCTATTCGTGGAGTATCGTGATGTGAATTTGCTGCTGGGATGGGTCGAGAACGCCGTCACAGACCTCGTCATGGGAGTCGAGGCGCTGGACGTCAAGACGAGAGTTGACACCTTGAAAGCCTTGAACAAATACTGGTGGCTTCAAAACGACCTTTTCGCGAGACACTATGTCAATGATCTGTCAGAAGTGACGCCATCGAAGGATCAGGTACGAAAAGGACAACAAGGCGCCGAGGCTTTGTCAGCTAATAGGTTATTCAGCAGTGAAGCTCCTGCGACCGCGATATGTATCTCCATGGCCGCGGCGGCGGTTGTGGCTCTGGCAGCAGTTTGGAAAGTGAAACGACCCTGAGAGTCGACGTCAGCGATATCATCAGCATAAGACGATATAATCTATTCCGCGTAGAACTAGTGCCATTGTCGGGCCCAGCTGATAGAAATGGGTACAGTGTAAGAGATCTCAAGGGATGCAGGCAACGGGCATCAAGGGGGCCAAAGGAAGGCGTCAGGTTTCATGTTTGTCGGCTTGTCGGTAGTAGCACCCATATAAGTGTCGAGCAATCGATCCTGGAATGGGTTCTCATGCTTGGGATTACCGTGATAACGACGCGCGCACTAGATCTGGCTTCTTCCTACAAGGGGGTACATGCTAACCCCCTTGTACAAGCAAACTCCGGCCCTGCGGTCCATATACCCTGGTTCCCTTGTACATGCAGAGTCCGGTCCGGCGGTCCGTATACCCTGGTCCATATCAGGCCAAGAGGTAAACTTTATGTGCCTACAAATACTCTGTCGGACACCCAACCCCCAAAGCCCCTCGACAACCCCTCTCGAGGCCTTCTTTTCTCATCGCCACATTTCCCAGGGAACAAAACGCACATCGCAAAAAGGTTCCATCGACCTAAATAGACTGCAGCATCTCGCCATGGTGTCTTTCACCCTCGATGACCGACAAGAGGCTCTCGTCCAGGAAGTTCGTGCAATAGGCAAAAATGTTCTCAGTGGGGCATACGATGTCTATTCGAAACATCTAGACCAGCGCTCAAGATTCCGTGCTACACAGCCTTATTATGAAAGGGCGATCAAAGCTGGTCTGCTGCAGCTACTGATCCCTGCAGCAGTTGGCGGTAAGTCCCAGTCATTCTTGGACAGTGCCATCGTCCTCGAGGAATTGCACGGTCTCGACTCCAGCATCATGATTCACACAGTCGGTACTGCTCTTGGCCTACTGCCACTGATATTGGCCGGGACTTCGGAGCAAAAGGAAAGATACCTGGAACCATTCCTCAGTGGCGAGGGCGCTCCCCTTGCCAGCCTCGCGCATTCCGAACCTCAGGGCACCGCCAATTTTTTGGAACGAGGGGGGAAGGGTCTCGGGATGACTGCGAGAAAAGCGGGTGATTTTTATCTCGTCAACGGCGAGAAGGTGCCTACCCCTACCCCTATTTTCTTTTTTGAGATGTCGTGACTCAATGATGATACAGCTCTGGACAACCAATCTCGCGGGCTGGGATGACAAGGGAGCAACACTAACCTGCCTTTGCGTCCGATACTCTGAAGATGGCGGACCCGAGAAGCCTGATGTTGACCCCGCGGATAATGTCATGATCCTGGCCGTCACCCGAGAGATTGTCGCTCAAAATGATCCCGAAGCCTTCAAGGTCCTACAAGAGCCAGACCTGATGGGTCACACGGGAGCAAGCGGTCCACACACGAGATACACCAACTTCAAGGTGCCTCTGGACGCCGTACTGTTTGGCCCCGGGGAGGCAACCCCCGTGATCGAACAAGCCTTTGGCGTCACCGCCGCGCTCGTAGGGGCCATGGCTGTGGGTACCATGCGCGCCGCCTTTGAGAGAGCACTGGAATTTGCCAGACGGGACAATCGCGGTGGATCGGTACCAATCATCCAAAGGCAAAGCCCGGCAGACCTCTTGATCGATGCCAAGATCAAAATCGACACCTCGCGCATGATTGTGTGGAAGGCTGTCGACGCCCTTGAAAATGGCCCTGGCTCGGCCAGTGAACGCTTCGAAACATGCTTGGAAGCCAAGATTTACCCCAGCGACTCGGCAATATCTTGCGTGTGGGACTGCATGCAGGTTGTGGGAATGTACGTCCTTTCATTGCGCTGTTGCTCTGTTCATAGAGCACGATGAATGATGCGAATAAAACTGACCCCCTTTGGACAGGACTTCGTACGCACAAGACGCTGTCTTTCCACGCCTTCTTAACGACGCCGCGGTCTTCTCATTATTCGACGGAGGCAACGTCGGCATCCGACGACGCCAGTTTCAAAGGCTTCTGGCTTCCAAGGACTACCAGCCCTGGGCCAATACTTTTCGGGACTGATTGTAAGCCTACGGCGGAGACTGTGGGTCGGCAATACCATAGCAATCAAACGAGTCCAAAGTCTGCTGCTTGACTTACCCGACTCAACTTAGCTATATCTTGTACCTGGTAGCTAAATAATGAAAGTCATCAGCTGCTCCGCGGCCAGGGAGATCACGCCGGGTCTGAAGTCCCAGATATTGGGCAACCCCGACTCAATCTACTTGCATGCGGTGATGATCTCATACTCATCGTCCATGTTGGATGGGCGGCGATGGTACATCGTATGCCGACTGAAGGCCTGCTGCGTCCGTTCTCTTCCTAGGGGTTTGCAGTCATAGTTAGGGCAGGCCGACCAGCTCTCACTTCAAACGGGTCTTCTGGCTCAGTCGAGGGCAACGGGATGGCCGTCATACTGGTGTTTGGCGATGCTGTTTGCAGAGAGGACAAGAGAATGATAACGACAGCGCCCAACAAGCAAGAGTTGAAGTCCAACCGATAAGGATCTAAGGATCCACTAATTAGTACCAAGGCCAGCCCTGTGGAAGGAGAAAGATCATGGAAAATAATTCGGTGTGTATCTTGGTGTAGTGACGACGTGCGAAAAGAGGAGAGAACTAAGAAAACCTTGGACCATCGGGCCAGAGTACAGTAGGATAAGGTACCTTAAGGCATCCATTTTGGAGGCGGTATCTTGGTATCTCGGTATCTCGTTGTTGGTTAGAGCCCTCTTAAGTGTTACGAACCAGGCCACTTGGAGGTCAAGCGAGTGAGCGTGGCGGCACGAAGCATCAAACATGCCAAGCCCGTGACAAACATTTCTACATTGGGAACTTTTCAAAGTCGCGAGCTTTGAACCCCTGTGCTCGTCGTTGTCGAAAGAACAAATAATACCGACGGCGTTCTGGGCGGGCCTTTCTGCTACACATATTCGACACAGACCGTGATCTTCGGGTCTGTCATTTTCGCCTCTTTCCCATTTTCTTTTCCCTTCACCAAACCAGACTGCCCAGCATGATCTGCTCCTCTTGCCGGCGCAGCTTTCTCACCCGACTGCGGTCCGTCCACGTACAACCACAACACTCACTGTACACACCACAACTCTCCTCGATACGTTCCGTGGCAACGGTAGCTTCGACTCCGAACGCAGCACCTCCTCAAGCCCCGTCATCGATTTCCATAGACGGCGCCAGCAACCCGACACAGTCCTCCAACACAGCCGGCAGATCCCAGCCGCTGTCCGAACCGCACACGCCCTCTACGTCGAGCGCAAAGTCCGGGACAGGACCATCGTCGACGCAAGGGGTGGCGTCCAAGAAGCCCGCGAGACCCAAAAGTTCTGTTGCTGGCGGCGCGGAGCTCAAGGGTCTCGGGTACACCAAGGCCCAACCGAAGATCATGGCACTGGAAGACGACGAGTACCCGGACTGGTTGTGGACACTGCTGGACGACAAGAAGATGGCTCCAGGTGAAACGGTCGATGTGTCAGGTGAGCAAACAAATGCACTCGTCCCCCCCGACTCCCGTGGCCCGGTGTATCGAAAAACAATCATCCGTGACAAGATTTCAAGAGAACCCAACCGAAAGTCTAACTGCTCTTCACAGCAATGACCAAGAAGCAAAGGGCCCGGTACGAAAAGAAACAAGCCCGCCTTCTCGAGTCCATTCCCAAGACCATCCCCGTACACGAACAGAGCAAAGACATCACGGGCCCCGAAGACGATGCCGTGACGAGTCTTGAGCGACGGCACGAGATTACAAAATCCGCCCGCGCCGCTCGAAGAAGGGGGATCCGGGAGAGCAACTTTTTGAAATCAATGTAACATTATTGTTGTTAGCATATTATTCATCTTTTGTTGTATCATCTCTCGGGAAGCACTACTTGATCATCGAACGGCCTCTTTTTCGAAATCGCCTCTTTGTGTAGGGTGCACCGAAGTTGTGGCGCCGGCATGGCACGGGGATCATTGGAAAGATGGAGAAAATGGATGGTGCATAGTAAAGGAGAAATGAAAGAGGTTGTGAGGCAAAAGCGCCCACCCCCGAGTGCAGACAGAAGGAGAGCAAAGGGGACTTTGCACCAAATCCTAGCTCAATGCATGACCGAGAACCCAAAGCATACAAGTCCTCACCGCGCTCGTTCTTGAAGACTCGAGAAGTACACGGAAGTTTATCCCATCGTGTATTGAGGCCCTGACTTGAAAATCATACGTAAATCAAACGAGAGAAAGGGCTCAGTCAACCACAATTGTATTATCGCCCCATTCCCCCTTCCTTCCTTCCTCCCCCTCTCAGGACAAGCAGGTCTCTGGAACTCGACGCTCTCGTCTGATATATGTGCTGATCTAGGGTAGGTAGGTACTCGCACAGAGAGTTCTCCATACTCTGGGGATAAACAATCATGTCAGTCAGACTTTGGCAACCCCAGCACCAGCACCAGCAAACCCGTGCCACACCACACCACACAAAAGAAAAGCACCGCGTCACAACCATTTCCCATGCTCATGCGTATGTTGATATTCAAGTTTGTTTCATTGTTCGTGTATCGTGCGTTTCGGAAATCCTTCGCATATACCATATCGCATCAAACCAGTCGTCCAAGCCAAACAAAAAGAAAAAGCACGTTGGTGATGTAGAAAAAGAAAATAACAGAGGCAATAACTCTCTGCCATGCCATAAAAAGGGGTATCAATCAATCATATCCAGCATCAGCATATCCATGTTCATCCGTCATCGTCCCGCAATTAGTTTGTTGCTGGTTTTCCCCATGCCCATTTATTCATGAATATAAATGCTCGTCTTCCTTTCTTTCCTTGGTACCACATTTTTCTGGTACTCTCGAGAACTCACTATAACGCCTGGTCAAGGAGAACACAAAGAGAGAGAGAGAGAGAGAGAGAAGTGTCATGATCCTGCGCTCACAGGGGCTGTTAAGCGCTGATACTGCTCGCCGCCGATGTCCACCTAAGTCGCCTCAGACCAGAGCCGGTGCCACGCATGGCTTCCCGGTTGCAGCTACCGCCTGTGAGGCCGATTTCGCCTTCGAATCTGCCGACTTCACGACCCCAAGCGTAACCAGCACTGAAGCTGATGGCCGAAAAGACGAGGACGACGCCGGCCGATATCATCCACGAAGCCAGGGTCGGGCTGATGAGTTCCTCGCCAGAAACGGCTGCTTTGGTAGGCCGCACCTTCTTGGAGTGACGCTCTTTGCTGGATTCTCTGGACTTTCGTTTCGTTTGTTTGGGCGACGAAGTCCTCTTGGGTCGAGGCCTGGATGGACCGTCAATCTCGGATTCTGCCACCAACCGCAAGGATGTTGGCTGGGCAGAAGGCCGGGAAGTTGGTGCTGCGGGTCGTGGTTCGGGGCCTCCTTTGGGCCGTACTGCAGCAGCGCATGACAGCAAGGTTGTCAAGGATGCTCTCAAGGCCGCGTCATGGTCTGGTTGGTAAGAAGAAGTGTAGGTCCGCTGACGGGTTTGGGTCTGTCGTTGATAACTTCGTTGAGTGATGGTCCGTTCATTCGATGGACGGTCTTCTGTAGACGCCGGCACAGGAGGGAAGTACGAGTCTGGGATAGTTCGCGGCTGGGATGAAGGAGGATGACTGAAGGCGTTTGGCTGAGGTGTGAATGGCTTGTCCATTGTGCCCACACCTAGTGCTGTCGAGGTATCATCATCATCGGCAGCCTCGTCTTGAGAGATATCCTCATTTGAACTACTCAGAACCCGATCACTGTCACTCTCACTTTCTTCGTATTCATCTTGACTGCTTCCCGCAGTGCTTGTCGCTCGTGGCTGAGAAGTGTTGAGGTGTGATGAAGCGTGGCGCTGACGAGACAGCCGTTCATCTCGAGGCAGGACCTGGAGACCGGTGGTGATTATATCGTTACTTGTGGACGACAAGGAAGAGGATGAGGGACGCGATGAGATCTCGATCCAGGAGTCTGGTGAAATGTCAGCGCTTGATTCCATTCTCAATGTTAGACGCCGTTGACCTTCTGAGTGCAAGCCTCGGATACGTGACGATGGCATGGAAGGATTGTCTGTGCCTGCAGGAAGGCGATTGTCGCGCTCCTCTTTCGGCAGCCCGAAAAGTTCGTTCTCGACTGGCCGCATTGTGTCCTCTTTGTTCATGCGAATCGCTTGTTGGGGTTGGAGTATTGAGTGAGCCGGTCAGTCTATAATGCCGAGGGGGAGGATTGGGTTGGTCTCGAGAGAGCGCGCAGTTATCCTACACTGAGACGTAATCTTGCTCGGGTTGGAAAGCGATGGGATTAGGAGGCCACCGAGGTCGGACGTGCCCAAAATGGTCGACCAGGCCAGGACTTTGTTGAGGAGATAGCGAGGATAGCGAGGATGGTAGTGGCTTGGGTCTCACCGACTGACGCTGTCAAGTGGTGGGGGTTGATGTGATGGTGGGCTTACTCGTACTCGTCTGCGCATGCGCCACGGGTTGATTGAGATGCGAATCGGCGCGGGGCAAGTCAGCGATGATGGAATCCGATTGACGATTGAACTGAGTTCTTTGCTGCGAACACGAGGAGACGATGGCTTCTCTATCGCTTATCCGTAGAGAGATTGATTAAAAGATGAGAAGTAGACAGGTTGTACAATATGTCATACTCCTGGTTGAGTTGCTGCAAGGAAGGGATGAGCCCGTGCGGAAAAGCCAACTTGCTCGTGCCTACAGTACAGAGTACACTACAGTGCCTACAATATTTAGATCACCACCCACGCTATCCGTATCCGTAGTCGGCAGAGATGCATGCCAGGGCAAGGGAGGAGGAACAGGGAATGCGGATCATGCCCACACAGACACTTCTCCCTCTTCTCCCAATGTTGCATGGCGGCAGCTGATTGAGCACAGACTCCCAGCGACACCGCCAATTGCATCAGCTGTCACGGACTCGATGACCACAAAGTGCATCACGCGGCATGTTGTGGTTGGGCGCAGTCAGTTGAAGGCCACCGGGGGATGTGTCTCTATGTCACTCCCTTATTCTCTGTATTGTACGAATATCAGAGAGTACAGTACCGGAGGTTTCGATAACTCGTATTCGGGTATCCGTACCATCCCGCCATCTGCAGGTAGTCATCTATTCGTCTGGACGAGGCGGTGACCATAGGAAGAGGTACTCGTACTGCCCCTGTAGTCTACGGATATGGTATGGAGTAGCCAAGTACGAAATAGGGTGCCCGATTTCGCTGCTGACGTTCCTGTGGCCCCGACGGAGCCCCATACCTAAACTATTCCTATACGAGTACAATTTGATCATGTATTCAAAAACATCGAACAAAGAAGATTAAAGAGCGACATCAATGTGAATTGCATATGAAAATTACAACAAAAGGACCAACTTTTTTTGTTCGTAAAGCATATTTACCTTGCAACTCCCCAGCCGATACAATGGAAAATGATCAGACTCGACGTCGAATCCAATCAGTCATTCGAGTACGGAGTAGTGCCCATGGGTATCCTGCAGACAATGAACGTCGATAGTCGATACAACACCACTGATCTAATGCGATCAACTTAGAAGGTGACCTTGGTGCCAGAGAAGTCTCCGAAGCCGCCACGGTTGTAGCTACCACCACGACCGCCTCGAGCACCACCACGACCACCTCGTCCGCCACGACCGCCGAAGTCACCGCGACCACCGCCACGACCTCCACGTCCTCCGAAGCCGCCACGGCCACCACCACGACCGCCGAATCCACCACGAGCAGGAGAATCATTTTGTTGGCGAGGTTGGCTGTAGTCAAGACGGACGGGTCGGCTCTTGATGTAGCCACCTTGCATAGCCTCGAGAGCAGCTTGAGCTTCTTCGATCGAAGCAAAGGTGACGTAGCCAAAGCCCTTGGGAGCACCGGTCTCACGATCAGTAGGGAGACGGATGCCTAGGACAGTGCCATGAGGACCGAAAGCGTCGGTGACATCCTCCTGAGTGCAGTCGAAAGAGAGGTTGCCGAGGAAGAGAGTGTCCGAAGGTTCACTGACTTGGTCACCATAAGACTTGCGTCGGTTGTCTTGCTTCTGGCCAGCGTCAGGACGAGCGTTGGCAAAGTCAACGTTTAAGGCACGACCGTCGAGATCAGCACCATGCTTCTCAGTCTGAGCCTTAGCGGCGTCGGCAGCATTGACGAATTCAACATAGCCAAATCTATAGCACGTTAGTCTGTGCACACAAAATTGAAGTAGAAGTGTGTCTCACCCTTTGGATCGGCCAGTCTGGCGGTCAGTCATCAAACGAACACCGCTGAGCTCGCCAAAGGACTCAAACTCGGAGCGGAGCCATTCCTCATCGACATTCCATGAGAGGTTACCGACGAACAAGTTGGGACTGTTGGTGTTTGCGTCGGTGGTCTCAACCTTGGTCTTCTTAGCGGCAGGCGACTCGGTGTCCTCGGCCTTGCGCTTGGCAGACTTCTTCTCAACCTCCTCTTCTTCATCGCTCTCGTCCTCAGAAGACTCGTCACTGCCCTCTTCGCTTCCACTGGAAGCATCACTGTCTTCCTCATCGCTGTCCTCGGACTCGGCCTTGGCAGGCTTGGTACCGTTTGTCTTAGGAGCAGCTTCTTCCTCTTCGTCACTTTCTTCTTCAGAAGACTCGTCACTGTCGTCAGAGTCCTCAGCAGCCTTCACGGCGGCTTTGGCAGAGCCATTGGTCTTGGGAGCCTCGTCTTCGGAGTCGGACTCTTCAGAAGCAGACTCGTCGCTGGACTCTTCATCGCTGGAAGCATCCTTGGGGGCGACCTTAGCTCCGTTGGTCTTCTTGGTCTTCTTGGTCTCGACTTCAGACTCGGATTCGCTTTCTTCTTCAGAAGCGGATTCTTCTGACTCGCTGTCTTCCTCCTCCTCGTCGGAGCTAGACTCTGGTGTTGGCTCCTTGACTGGAACCTTCTTGGATCTCTTGTCCTCTTTAGCGGCAACCTTCTTAGCGATCTCCTTGCTCTTGCTCTTGTCGCTTTGAGCGGGCTTGGTGACAGCGGCACCCTTGACCTTGCTCAAGACATCGGATTTGGAGGCCTTGGCGCCGGGCGCTGACTTTGACTTGGTTGATTTGGACATGATGATGATGAAACTTGTTGAGGTTAGTAAAGTAGTTGATGAGACAAGAATTTTGTGCAAACCTGAAACCCTCGGTAATGAGTTCGTCCCTCGAAACCTCTGTGCAATACGGCAAAAATGTTACTTGTGTGATAAAACCCTCAACCCACAAAGTGAATCAGAGCCCTCGACCTCAAGAGTCAAATGTGTTGGCAAATGACTGGCAGAAAAGATCTTCTGCTAAGCGCGCAAGCCCTCGAGATGGAAAGTCGGACGGGGAACCTGGTCAGCAGGAATAGACAAGCAAGACCTGCAACAAATGTTTGGACTGCCCTCGGTATCAAAACCCACAGAGCCCTCGATAGACCTCAAGATGATGCCCTCGATAAGATGCCAACTATGGAATACGGAGATGGAAAAAGTAGTTGAAGAGGATGAAAAAAAATCTCTGGTGAGAAATGGCGGAGAAGGGTCTTCTCTTATGGACAGCCAGAAATTTGGAAAAATTTCACCTTATCTTAGCGTCCTCTTATCGGTGGAGAGGCAGCGAATGTTGAGTGGCTGGGATTATTGCACTACAGCGTACTTTTAGTTCACCGTATCATCCCATTGGGCGGAACATTGGAATCGTAGCGTAGTTAGCATACGATTGCATATACGGCCTCTCTGAGATTTTGGAGCTTCACTCTGACAGTTCCCTACATATCCACGCAATGTCGAGCCCTGCTAACGCCCATAGACCTCGTAAGAAGAGGAAGCAACCCCCTCTAACTCGGAGCGCAACAATTATAGACATTGTCAAGTTCACCTCAGAAGACAATGTCGTCGCCCCTGAGTTTCCTCTCGTGGCATTCCTATGGCCAGCTCGAGGCACGACATCTCAATGGGTCCTCCTACCTTTGATCCTCATGATCGTTGGACTCTTCAGATGGAGTGTCGGTCTATGGGGTCATTCAGGCTACCAACAGCCTCCCATGCACGGAGACTTCGAAGCTCAACGGCACTGGATGGAAATCACCACACATCTACCAGTTTCAAAATGGTATTTCTACGACCTGCCATACTGGGGACTTGACTATCCACCTTTGACAGCATATCATAGTTGGCTATGTGGCAAGATGTAAGTGTCTTGATGGAGTATTTTGCGCTGCACGAGGTCGAGCTAACGAACAAAGTGGCTCGTTGTTCAGTCAAGACTGGTTCGCTCTCGATGCGTCTCGTGGACTGGAATCTGAGGATCTCAAGGTCTTCATGCGCGCGACAGTCATCGTTTCCGAATATCTCGTCTATGTCCCGGCATTGGTCATATTTCTTCGTCGCTTCAGCCGAGCTCAAAGAGTGGGAACCACCGCATCGTCAATCGCCCTCGTCGCCATCCTAATGCAGCCAGCCACAATCCTGATCGACCATGGCCACTTCCAGTATAACACAGTCATGCTCGGCTTCGTAGTGGCATCTCTGTCCAGTATCTACGCAAGCAGACCTCTGTGGGCGTGCATCTTCTTCGTCGCGGCTTTAGGATTCAAGCAGATGGCTCTATACTATTCACCAGTAATTTTTGCTTACCTGCTCGGATCATGCTTCACACCTTCAATCCGACTAGGTCGACTGATCTTGATCGGACTGATCACGATCCTCGCTTTCGCAGTCCTCTTTGCACCTTTATTGCTGGGTTCGTTGTATGACAGTTCCTACACGACCGTCCCGTCCGGATCATTTCCCCCACCGCCACTGTTGGTCGGCCTCAAAGTCCCAACCGACCCCGATAACCCCTTGGGCATGATCCTTCTTCAGCTCACCCAAGTCGTCCACCGCATGTTCCCGTTCGCCCGTGGTCTCTTTGAAGACAAGGTTGCCAATTTCTGGTGCTTCGCCAACACCTTCTACAAACTCCGCAAGCTCGAAGGAGTCGTCGAACTCTCTCGCCTTTCGGCCATGGCGACACTCGCGTCCATCCTCGGGCCCATGCTCGTCATCGGCGCTGTCCCTAAAAAGTCACTCCTCCCATACGCCCTCGCAGCTTCGGCGTGGGGGTTCTTTCTGTTCTCATTCCAGGTCCACGAAAAGTCGGTCCTGCTTCCTTTACTCCCCATGACGCTCTTACTCGCCGGGAAGCAAGGTCTGAGCAAGGAATACCGAGCATGGATCGGTTGGGCGAACATACTGGGGATGTGGACCATGTACCCTTTGCTCAAGAGGGACGGTCTGCGAACGCCGTACGTCGTCATGACCCTTTTGTGGTCCTACTTGCTCGGACTCCCACCAACCAGCGTGAACGCGTATTACGACCCGGATCGACCGAACGTGCCCGGTCGCCCTCTCGCGGCGGACGAACTGCGCACGCCGACCAAGATTCTGCATTTTCAAACCTACATTGTCATGGCCTTCTGGCACCTCCTCGCCGCTTTCGCTTCGCCACCGGAAGACAAGCCCGATTTGTGGGTGGTGGTCAACTCTTGCGTTGGCGCTGTTGCGTTCGGGATATGTTACCTCTGGTGTTTTTGGAAATTGATTAGTGAGAGTGGTTTGCTCGACGGTCATTTACCCGAGAAACAAGAAGCGGCAGCAGAGACACAGGCTTCGTCATTGTCGTCGCCGTCTCCGTCCCGAGAGCAGCGATCTGCCACACCACAAAAGAAGAACAAGTGAGAAAGGGAAACCAGAGACTTGTTTGAAGTGGAAGGTTATGTTTTGGAGTAGTTAATCTTTTAAATTTGTACATAGAAGCACGAAAAAGTTCAATTCATAATCCTTGTCCTAGTCATCATATAGCCTCCATTCTTTCTGGTCCCCGGTTCCAATTCATTTCAATCATCACATCTCGTCACATTGTACATAGTACATATACCTTCGTCGGGGGTTCTTGTCTTGTCTCGTCTCAAGCATAATTGACAACGCCCTTGACGGCCCAAATCTCACCGTTGCCTACCCGTCCGACGACACCGTCGACCTCGAGACGTCCGGGCATGATGACCTTATGACCGTCTTGTTGCTCCCACCACAATTCCTGCCCGCCCAGGGTCTTGATCTTGTTGGCATGGCCCTCCTTCCACGGGCTCGTCGGCACGACGTGCTCTTCCACGAACCGCGCCAGGTTCTGAGCGGCCTTGTCCTCGTTCCGGGCTGCGCTGACGCCGGAGTCGTCGCCGGGTCGGTCCTCCCACGGTTTCCGCGGCAAGGCCTGCATGGCGCTGTTGAGCGGGGCGAGGAGGGTCGTGTTGTCCGAAGGTTTGGTCGACTCCAGCCGTCCCGTCACTGAGGAGATGTCGCGGGTGAGGGAGGCAAAGATGTTGATCTTGCGGGTTTGAGGGAGGATGTCGGAGATGGATAGCGTAGAGTCGCTCGGGTCGCCACTGTCGCCTGTGGAGGGAGGATCCTCGGGCGGCTGAAAGGGCCCTGGGTTCATTGGGATTTGTTGTTGTTGTGGTGAGACTTGGACCTGATGATCTTGGGTTTGGAGGTCGCGGAAGAGGTTGAATGGAGAGATGGCGGCGGATAGGGTGAGTGACGAGAAGAAACTGGCTATGAGGATCGTGCGCCGCATTGTTCGTGTATACTGATCAGAAAGTGTGAGGAGTGTGGTTCTTGGGAAGGGTGACTGAGATGGATGAAGAAGTACAAAAAGGCAGAGCCTGCGCAAAAGGTGGAAAAGTGGGAGTGAAAGTGACGTCGCCTTCGTCGCACTTTAACGTTGTCGTGATGGTTGCAACAACACCTTCGGCGGCTGCGTTTTTGAGCCTTGACCCCGAGACCTCTTTTTGAAACGCCGTCGACTACCTACAAGTCTGTTCGTAGCTGATTTCATACTGATCATGTCGCTATCACAAATACTCGGATCAAGACTCATTTTATTGTCCTTCCATACAAAAATTATTTCCCAACATTCAACCCTCACTCTAACATGCCGCTTCCACGTCGAAAGAGATCCCCAGTCCTGGTCTAGCGAAATCAAAGCCAATGCTCGAGCGAGCTCTGACCCTGGAACGTGGAGCTGTCCCTGGTTTCATTCTCGAGAATTATGGACTCCTACTTCTAATCCTGGATCATTTGTTTCGAATACGATCCGATCCAAGAAAAAGAGAGAATGTTGCTTGTTATCAACGATCCTTCTGAGAACATCACCACACTCAGTTGCAATTTCGAATGGCTTAATGTTTTCCTAGTCTAGGCAGCGCTAAATGTCTTTTTGTTCCGTATCATTTGCCATAATGACTTGATTATTCAAGACTAGACAACGCTGCTCGCAGAAGATATAAAGATCGTGTTTTGTTCAAGACTCACTTCTGACGTCTTTGGCGGTTATGAAGGGAGCAGAATGGTTGATGTGTAGGGCTTCGCACTTTGTTGTTCATCTAATGAGATAGAATCATACATGTTGTAGAGATAAAGACAGGGGCGACCAAGCTGCGAATGTCAACGAGAGGTTACTGGCGAAAGAGGACCGTCGATAGAGAGATCACAGAAGAGTTGCGAGTGTCATAGCGTGAGCCGTGAAAGAGTCTCTACGTGCAAGTAGTACTGTACTTCTAGAAGAGTTGAGTGCACCATGTGCTTCCCCCACAGATATCCGGCCACCATTGTCGAGGTTGTGACGTCTCAGCTCGTTTCAACATCAATTATTGTCGAGAATGAGACTGCTGTGAACTTTCACGCCAAGTCTGTGTAGAAGGAAACTGCTTTCCCTTTCATGTTGGAGGTTATGCATCGAGACTCGCAGCAATCCTCGCCGGTAATTTACATCTGGAATGCAGACGCTCGACAACCTTGCGCGCACCTCTGAGATCATGATGTCAATGAAATACTAAGCCAAATCAAGAGATCCTAGTATCTCGCTTTTGAAATTTGGATTTATAATTTAATCGTGATTGGTGATATTATATATAGAGAAGATTCGTTTTGCTATATACAGAACCCAGATTGTTCCCACAGCATTTTCTTTTGGCTCCTTTCAATATTATTTTGTTTCTAGCTTGCAGGGATATACCACTTATCCGAGGACTTCTCACACTCTATTGCGATTGCCTCAAGAGGACTAAAAAAAGTTACGCCTGCGCGCCCCGGGTGGCGCCGACGTCATCGCTGGCTGTACAGAGACGTTTCTTGGGGGGTGAGGACGGCCCTCGCCAAGGTGGTAGGAGGAGTTGTGTCAGAGGAGGATGTCTTTTCAATGGGAGTTGCGAGGCGGATAGGCAGGAGTAATGATGATGGCGGCGGCGGTTGATGATGTTATCGTTACTATTGCTATTGTTATTGCTACTCTTCTTTGTCGTGGACTGATAGAGTCTTTTCAAGACTCAAAAGTGACTCGAATTGAGCTACCAAGGCATTTCTTGCGTAGGGGAAGGGCGGTCGCCAACTTCCTTTCTCGAGCTTGGAGGAGGACCACTGGGTGCTTTTGACATTAGGATTGGACGTAGAGGTGAGGTCTTTAGTCCTCGCAGGCGCTAGGCCACTCGGGGTCCTTAAGGATCATTCAGTATCTCTTTCTATGTTAGCTAACACATTGCGCTTTGGGCGGTCGTCATGATCTACCGGTCAGCCAGTTTGATGAAGTTCATCAACAACAAACCGAGTACCTCATCTATGGTTGGCAGATAGTATCTACTCACCCCATTTTTGCATTGAACAGCAGAGGGTGCTGCCAAGGGTGCTCTGATTGGTAGTTATCTATATCTACACAGGCATACAAACAATCAAGTTTTGCGAGAATTGATCTGTACGAGGGTCGAGCACTAAGCTGCCACACAGCCTTAAGGTTACGAGTGAACGAGGACCTCAACAGAACAGACATCGAAGCAACGCTGAGAGCATTGCAGCGCAGTCCAGGAAAGAGTCTCTACTTGCCAGGAGTATCTTTGAGTTCGAGGTTGTTGTTGTCGAGTTACAGACACGCCACGCCCTAAGTGCACCTGGTGCTCCCCGTCTACTCCTGTTCAAGAGACCTCTTTCATCTCATTGCTCAAAGCGTGATTTTCGTTATCAAAACCTAACTACTTCTAGTGCTCTGTTCATGGGACAAGCAACCTCAATTCTGATCAACAACATTCTTTAAAAGCCACTGTTGACTCTTCGAACCTCACTCGATTCTCCCACCACGCCATCGCAGACCGACTTGCACCCTACGAACAGGAGAAACAAGCAAAAGCAGTCTATCGAGTCTTCTGGTGAAGCAAGCAAATGGAAATATTGCAATCGTGTGGGAGGAAAGCATGGCACATAAGCAAAAGAGATGGCTTTAATGAAACGATCCAGCTGATCGATAACCAAATACATCCATCTCCTTGCCATAAGAAAATGAAAGTTCGCATCGGAGAAAATTCCGCATTCTCACGCCAGACTAATGGACCGCGAACAGGACGGCCCAGATCCCCCGCCTCACCTCGGCACATCCCCCATGCGACCCCCCTTTAGTTACCTTGTCTTGGCTTAGCAATTGGAAGATCTCCAGGTATTCGGTCGAGGCTGACCGGTGCATCTGGAGCCATTTCCGCACCTTTCTCTGGTGGCTGGCAAGCTCCAAAGTACTTACATCTACTCCGTAGGGACAGCGCCTTAAGCATCTTCATTATTTGGTCCGCCAGATTCAACAATGACCCATTCAAACACCCAGAGCCCCGAATTCGAGGAGTCCACATCAATCGGAAGAGACGGAGCTGCGGCAAAGTTACAGTATCGGCGCTCGCGGTACGCTGCGAGGGCGTGGTCAGTAACATCTCTCGAGTGTTCGCTGTTGCTATTGACCGCTGACACATCCCAGCAAAGAATGCAAACGCAGAAAGGTCAAGTGCTCAGGAGAGACACCATGCCACCACTGCAATCGCTCCGAGACAGATTGCGTATACACGAAGAAACCACCTACCCAAGCACAGCCCTCTCAGTGCGTTGGATCTTCTGACAGCGAGCATGTTGCAACATTCTGATATGACATAGAGAAATGGACGAACTTAGAGCACAGCTCAGCATCCTTCAACAACAGGTCAGCCTACTCGTGTCTCGAGAACCCCTGCCAACAAACGGTTCCACAACAGAAGCTCTCCCTATATCTGCCTTGTTATCGCCGCCCCCTTCGCTGCTACCAGCCTCGCATTTCCAAGGAAATCAATCGCCAATGTATCCCGAGAGTCTGGAGAGTGATGGGACAAAGACCTCGGCGTCGTTTGAATCAGCGGCCACGACATCACTTCCGGCCGCCAGTGCGATGGGCAATGCATGGGGAGAGTCTGCACCACCATCGGCTAGTAGGGCGGTGACATGTCATCCACTTCTTTCACTCTCCCAAGCCGAGGCAATGCGCCTGATCGATACCTACGACGACGAATGCGGATCGGTTTATCCGTTTATTGACATCGAAAGCCTTCGACATTTCGCAGCCCGGTTCTACCATAGCGTCAGCGCTTCAAATCAGGCTGCAAATTGGCGGCCCTACAAGCTGGATCAATCCTTAAGCAGACTTTTTAGCAACTTGGAGATGGTACTGGCGATTGCTTTAGTGATTGGAAGCCGTGGCTCAAATGCTCTCGGCTCAGCCTTGATGGACGAATTGGAGTCCGAAATCGATCATCGTCCTTCTGGTGTTGCTGCCGATATTCCTCTCATGGAGATTCTGACACTGATGGTACGTTCCTACGCAAATTGAGAGAGTCGCTACTGATCAAGATTCTTAAGAGCCTCTACCAGTTTTATCGAGACGAGGAGGTCCTCGCTTGGCGGACGATTGGCCTGGCTGCAAGAATCGCCCTCGAGAAAGGCTTTCACCTTCGAGACCCACCATTTGCTACCTTTACGAGTGCAGAAGATCGAGAAAGAGCAAACCGACTCTTTTGGAGCATCTACTGCTTGGACAGACGCTGGAGTTTTGGCACGGGACTTCCATTCGCCATACAAGAAGATGACATCGACCCTGGCCTTCCAGAGCCGGTATGTCGCTTGATGACCGGGCTGTTTCCGGTAGCGCTAACCTTTTATTTCACAGAACGATTCGCGTTCAGATATCTTTGCAAGCATGATCTCCTATTCACGGATCGGGTACAAAATCTTAAAGACCTCGACAATAGGAAAAAGTGATGAGACAGCTTTTCTCACGTACCAGGTGCTGCAGTGGTACGATTCCCTCGAGCCGGAACTGAGAGTCGATCGTAACGAGGATCTCGTTCTGGAAGGCCTTTCTCCTGCGCGCAATCGGCTCCGAATTCTCAACTGTCTGCGAAGGAATCAATTACGCATGCTCATCCACAGGACACTCCTCTTCACACCAGCCTCAATAACAGCGGCACCCAGCAGTGCGAGAACCGCTGTCGACCTCGCAAAGGACACCATCAACCTGCTGGACAGGTTGCGTACAACGTCTGCGGTCTACAGCTCCCATGCAGCCTGCTTCAACTACTTCCTGTATTCAGCCCTGACGGTGATCTTACTAGCCGTCTATCATGCCAAAGCCCAGTTCTACGAGTATTGTCGCGAAGAGTTCCACATGGCTCTCAATCTTATTGGAGGCGCATCCGCAAAGTCCAACATCGCCAGAAAGCTATGGAAGATGATCAAACATTTGAAGGTGATCGGTCCTGATACAGGTGTTCTTCCCCTTCCGTACATGGAGGCCCCGACCCATTCAGGTCACTCAAGAGAGGAGCGAGCTTCAAAGGAGAGGTCCGAGTCTGGCCTCGCCAGCAATGACGTAGACTTACACACCGCCCGTCTGATACCCAGCACAGGAGCGACGGCGGTGGCTGGAAATTCCATCGCCTACGAAGGGTCCGGTTTCTTCATGGGCGATTACGCCACTTTTAACGGAAGCATCTTGAGTTCGGAACTCTCGGACCTTTACCAAGCTATCGATCCCTCAAGATTCGGACAGATGGCAGCATCGCCACAACTCTTAACGGCCGAGCAACATTGGTCCCAGCCTCCGCCGTTCCAAGCCCCTCAAAACTTTCTTCCAAGTGCCAGGTCGGTGTTCTAGCATAATCGACATATGCTTCTGTCGCTCTAGAGCGACTCTTCCATTAGAAGAGCTGCTACTTGTTTTATGCAAAGAGAAATACTATGTAATCTTCACTTCTTCGGAGACTACCAAGTAGGCCTACTACTAGGTAAATGTTTGGCAGAGGGCTCCCCTACGGCATGAGGGGGAGATAACCAAGGTATGAAATCTAAGCCAGTCCCCCCCCGCCATGTCGACGAAATGATACTCGTTCAGAGAGTTCACCAAGGTCCAATTGTTTCCCACCTCAAGCGTCCTGCCCGGCTGACGAGAATACCCGGACGTAGCTGCTTGAACTATCTCGTAGTGACGAGTAAGGTTAGCGAGTCTGGCCTGGAATAGTTGCCATCGTCGACTCCAGTCAAGGAGAGCTGATCCTTGGTCGATGCAACCAGAGTATCTGGACTACTATTGGGAAAGGCTTGGAGAGAAATTGATAGTCGACTGCATCAAATGCTCCGCAGGGCCCGGAAATTAATTGGCAAACATAACAAGCGCAAGTGGTGGGCCAGATGCCGAGTCCTGTCGAGGGAACTGGTGCTGATAGCAACCGGGCCTCAAGTATCTTGGACCACCGCTACACCGGTCGTTGAAGTTCTGATCATCACGCGACAGACAAACTCTAAAACTTCGGAAACCAGGAACCTGGGATACCCGTGTAGGAGGTGGAAGATAGGCAGGAAATCGGGGGTAGACGCCTGAGTACGCCTAGAGCGCTGTCAGGAGGTCAAAGGCGAAGGGAGGTTACGTATTACGTAGTGAGCATGACGACCGAGGCGAGGGCGGGAATAGGACGATATGAGCGGCGAGCTTCCGTAGATGACTTCAATTCAATTCAAGTCTATACTCTGGGTATTTAGACAATTTCAAACGAAGGAAACCCGCTATCGGCAGACTCGCTCAGCTTCTGTCCAAATGCACCCATCCCACCAAAGAAAACCAACGTCGACCGGACTTTGCCCTCGACGTTGCCGCCGTAAAAGTACGACTCCGCGCTCTTGAAAATCATTTTGTCACTGATGGAATCGCACAGCGTGCCCCACTCTTCGTCGCCCTTCTGCGTCGACTGCATGGCGACTTTCTTTCCCGGGCCAGTCTCCTGTTTGGTCCCTGGGCGACGCAAGGCTTCGACGTGTTCGATGGCCGCGGTGATGAAGTCGACGTGCGCCTCGACCATGGGCGGAACGTTCGCCAGTGGAGATTTCGGGCCCAGCACCATGAAGAGGTTGGGGAAGCCGTGGCATGCGACGCCCATGTTCGTGGTGGGGCCGTCGCGCCATTGCTCGTTGAGGGAGACGCCGTTGCGGCCTTCGATGTGCAGCTTGCGATACGCGCCGTCGAAGGCGTTGAAGCCGGTCGCGCAGATCAGCACGTCGAGGGGGTGGAACGTGCCATCGGCCAGTCTAGCCCCTGTAGCCGTGATCTCGGCGATGGGGTTCTCTCTGACATCGACGATGTCGACATTCTCGCGGTTAAAGGCCTCGTAGTAGCCCGTGTCGCACAGCGGACGGCGGTTGTACAGCGTCTTGGGTGTCAACTTGCGCCGCTTCTCGGGGTCCCGGACAATCTGCGCGATCTTGGACCGGATGAACTCGCAGGCGGTTTCGTTGGCGGCCTCGTCGGTGGCCAGGTCGGCAAAAGCGCCCAGCAGGAAACGGATCCCGCTACCTTGGTCCCAGCATTCCTGGTAGATGCGCTCTCGCTCCTGCGCGGTCACGTCGAAGGCTTTGACCGTGGACTCGACGAAGCCCGCGCCGGCGAAGGACGTGCGTGCACGGCTCCACAGCTCGTCGTACGTCCGGTTGACCTCGTCGCGCTCCTCGCTGGTCACGGCGCGACGCATCGCGGGGATGCTGTACTGCGGCGTTCTCTGGAACGAGAGCAGCGAGCCGACTTTTGGCGCTATCGTCGTGATGAGCTGTACGCCCGTGGACCCGTTGCCGATGACGCCGATCTTTTTATTGGCGAAGTCGTACGTTTCCGGCCACCGCGCCGTGTGATACAGTTCGCCTCGAAAGCTGTCGCGGCCTGGGATGCTGGGCCAGTTCGGCTGACTGAGAAGGCCCAGCGCGGACACGACGTAGCGGGCCGTGAAGACCCCGTCGCTTGTGTGTACGCTCCACAGGTAATCCTCTTCGTCCCACTTCATCGAGAGCACCTGGGTGTTGAACTGCATGCAGCGCCGCAAGTCGTGCCGGTCGACGACGTGGTTCAGGTATGCCAGGCATTCTTTGCTGTCGAGATAGTTGTGCGACCAGGCATATGTCTGCAGGTCCTCCTTGTCCCAGGAGTATCGGTATAGAGGGGAGTGGGTGTCGCTCATGGCGCCTGGGTAACGGTTCCACCACCATGTGCCTCCAGGCCCGTCGGCGTTGTCGAGCACTTTGACCGTGAAGCCAAGTTGGAGCAGTCGGTGAGCTTGGTAGATGCCGCTCATGCCGGCGCCGACGATTACGGCGTCATAGTAGCGGAGCACCATTCTGAACAAGTGTGGCTAAATGATTGTAGAATCGAATTGGCAGGTAGAGTTGGGGATGTCTTGACCAGCTTCAGCCGCGGACTATCGAGCTTGAAAGATGGATGATGGGAAAGTCTATAGCTCGGCAGACACTTACAGCTCCTTCTCAACGGTAGGCAGCGGGCGGCCTGTCGTCCCTTCCTCGCTCTTATGTCTCTCTCCTCTGCTATTCATCGCTATGGAAACCCTCGGAATCGCGGCGGCCTTGTGAGATTCCTCTTCGAGGTCGCCAGCTTTCCTCAGATACACCACTGGAAGATGCCCCTCTCTTCGCTATTGGTCCCCGTTTTCCAGCCCGAGTCTATGCGCTGGCCTGATGCTTCGAGGGGCGTACAGGCTTCACAAGCCCAATGGCTGATAGGTCGACCAAGGGTTCTGCGGAAAACCCTCCGCAGCTGTTGTTGGATCGGTTCGGGATGCAGTGGGTGCTGGAGGCTTATGGTGTGGCTCTACCAGATTCCCGATTAAGCTTGCAGAGAGTCTTGGCCCGGAATCTCGGCGCTGGCGACCGAAATCCCGACCTCTGGCTTGCCATGTCGAAGGCATGTTTTTACCGTGCCTATGTGGATGACGACGTTGGCTCCTCTGGGAGATTGAAGTGGCAATCGACTAGAGTGTTCTTCGGAGTGAACTCATGGGGAATCAGCTGCCCCGGGTGCGCTGATTCTAGGATGGGTGGGTTATGCCACTGACCCATGAATGGCCTTCCGTCATGAGCACAGCATTTCCGCAGGTATATGTCGTAGCAAGGCCCCCCGTCGAGGGATGGTATAACACCCCCCCGTCAGCGAACTATTCCACCGCCCCCCGCTTGAAGGAGGCCAGACAGTCAGCCCGGCAACATCCTAGAATACCCACCATGACCAAAGGGGTGGCCATCATAACGGGCTCCTCGCAAGGCCTAGGCAAAGCAATGGCCATGCGCCTTTCACGCGATGGCTTTGCCGTAATAATCAACGATGTCGCCAGCAAACAAGCCCAGATCGACGCCGTGGCCTCCGAGATCGACGCCTCAGGTGGCAGGGCCCTCGGCATCGCCGCAGATGTGACCAAGCGCTCCGAAGTCCAAGCCCTCGTCGACGAGGCGACGGAGCAGCTGGACTTACCACTGCAGGTCATGGTGGCGAACGCGGGCCTGGGGCACGCGAATGGAATCTTCGACATGACCGAGGAGCATGTCCAGCAGATTCTGGACGTGAATGTTGCGGGCGTGTTTAACTGTTTTGCTGTTGCGGGGAAGAAGATGGTTGAGCAGCAGAAGGGAGGCAAACTTGTGGCGGCGTCGAGTATCGCCGCGTTCAAGCCTATGTCGTTTGTGTCGGCGTATACGGCTTCGAAGTGGGCTGTAAGGGGGTTGGTCCAGGTGAGACAATTTGGGAGAGATAGAATCTACGACAAGGTGGATGTACAAGTGAGTGCTGATTAGCTGGCTGTTTCCAGACTTTTGCTGTGGAACTGGGCACCTTGTCAAAGGGCCATGAGAAGACTATCAATGTGAGTATCCTGCCATGGTGGACTTGTACGGATCTATGTTAAATCACGGTCTAGGTCAACTGCTACGCCCCTGGGATCGTAGGAACACCAATGTGGAAGGTCAATTTCCTCCCCGTCACTCATTTCCTCCAACAAAATTTCAGCTCAGTCAATACTGACCAACCTTACATACAGGTTCTTGAGGACAAAATGGAAGAAGTTGGCGCCCCAAAGCAAGAAAATCAGAGCCACATGGAAGCCACGGCGCTCTCGATGACCACGCTTGGCAGGGTATCCGTTCCCGAAGACGTCGCCAACGTGGTGAGCTTCTTGTCAGGGCCGGACTCGGATTGGGTCACGGGTCAGGTACGTTGTTTTTTTCATTCCTTATTTTCTATCGCTGGATATGCAGCTGGAACAATATGTAGCTGACGAGATGGTTGTGTGATTGTAGAGTCTACTTGTGGACGGTGGGATTGCTTTCAACTGAGGTTCTGCGGCCAGGAGCCTTGAGGAAATGTCATGTAGATAGTGTGGTACTCTCTGGAAGAGACATGTTCGACGTCTGAGTGCTGATCATGCATACGCCACTAGAGCAGAAAGAGTCATCCTTGTACGTCTTTCGATACAGACTAAGAGAACCTGTGATAATCCTCGGTCTCTGTTAACCAGATAAAATTCATCTATTGTCAATGTGATCAGGTCCTTGAGGATTTCTTGGCTGCTTAGTAGTCTCCAGGTAAATTCCGACTGGAAAGATAGATTCGAACTACCGGCAGTTGGTATCAATGCTTCCAGAAGCAGCAAGATCATATACAACCAGGCTCTCCTAAACCTCATTAACCATTTTCACTAATCAATAATAGCTAGCATACTATGACATTGACCACACTCATAGCTTAAGGCGCTCTGCCTTCCATGTAAACTCCCAGTCCCGATTTCCAGTCATCTTCCTAGGCAGCTTCAGTTCACCCACCACCGCCGCCGGTCGCAATCAAATCTCACGATGCGCCGGGCTATCCTTAGTCCAACCTCTAAGCCACTTACCCACGAAGTACAGTGGGATCGCCAGCCCGGCAAAAAATATCGCCAGCGCAGTGTCTGTCATGATCGGCGTGACGTACCCCGCGTCGACAATCCAATTGTTGAAGAACCTGGTCATACCATATGCCCACAGATTCTTGACCATTGTGGCGGCGACAAGGATCTCGCCAGCTACAGGCTTGTAGCAGTCGATCTGGTTTCACAAGTGTCAGTTTGTGGATCTTGGGTAAGATCAGGAGATTTTGGGGAGAGAATAGGCACTCTTACTGCGTATGTTAGTGATATAGCGGACAGGGCAGGAATAACCAGGCCGAGAAGACTGTAACCACCGATGACGATCGCCCGCCAGCTCCATTGATGTTGGTAACCAACGGCGACTAGTATGCCGCCCAGAAGACAGCTCACGGCGAAGGGAAAGAGTGCCAACAGTCTCATTTCGGGCTCTCTGATACCCTTGTTTCGCCGGGTCAGGAAGGCTGACACCCAGTCACTCAGCGGGCCTGCGACGACAAGGGACAGGGCGACACCAACGATAGCGCCAAAGTTCGTGTAGCCGACATCCGTGGCCGACATGTTCCAAGGCGGTCCTGCGAACGCCTGGGACTGAGTGACGTTGATAATTACCAGCATTGATGCCGCCCAAGAGAAGACGAAACTCGACCACACGACGATTGGATACGCAAACAGACGGAACGGCATGATGAGAGCTGGAAAGATGCCTGCCGCATTAGTCTTATCGAATTTTCCCCACGGAGAAAATTGGGCCTTGGAGGGCTTTCCTGTCAGTCTGATGACGACTTCGTTGACATTGGTCGACTGCTGGGCTGCCTCTTCGAGCCTGATATCGGTCTTGCCTTCTGTGGCATCGAATCCTGAGGGCTCAGCGACAACATCGTGTGCGATTCCGACATGACGCTCTCCCCACCTTGTCTCCGGCATGAGAAATACCTGGAAGAGTAGCGAGAATACGGCGATGGCAGTGCAGAGCCACCAGAAGCTTCTCCAGCCGTATCTGTCGGACATGACTCCGGCAATGACGGGTCCAATCTATTTCTAGGTCAGTGATCATGGCCTGGCAATCTTGGCAAAGGTTCTCTTACCAAGGTGCCACTCCATGCAATCCACAGGTACAAGCTCATGTAGAACCCTCTCTGATGTAGGAACATGACGTCTGTTACCAACTTGAATTCATGTCAGCAAATCCACTCAAAAGGCTTTTGAGCGTTGGAGTCTTACCATTCCCGGCAACGTCTCTGAGGGCCCGCAGGCAATTCCAGTGACAACACAAGCACCCATGAACGAGCCATATGATTTAGCCTGGGCCCTCCAGATCATAGAAGCGATATTCATTAGGTTTGCCATGAGGGCCATCGGGCGACGACCGTAGGCCCGGCCGATTGGGACCCAGAAAAAATTTGAGAATCCAAGCACGAGGATACTGACACCGACCTATGGATCATAGAGTCAGTACAGCCAGAATTGTCTACAGGAATAGACGCCGGGCTTACAAATTGGATTACATCTGGCAGCGAACTGTCCCATTCTGCCACGTAGTACGGCACTTGGGAAGAGATGGCCAAGGGGCCGACTGTCCAGTTGAAAGTCGTTATGCACATGCCGGCCATAATGACCATCTTCCACCAAACACTCCAATTGAGAGGGTCAGAAGGATCGTCTGAGGGCTGGGGGACCAGAACGCTCTTTCCAGCGTGCTTGAAATGTAGGCCGCCGACTAAGAAAGGACAGTCAGTCTGTGAATCTTGCCTCGAATCATATGAGAAGACCTCGACATACCATCAGTCATCACCTCAGTGCCTGGGTAGAGCACTGTGTGCACTGTTTCCTCAATCTCATGGCGGGCGTCAGCCTCGCCCGTTACCGAGAATTGGTGTTCCACGTTTGGTGACATGGTATAGCTTTGAAACAGAGGAAATATGTTGGTCGGAGTGTTGCGTGTTAGGTTGTCGTCTAAGACAAACGTGAAACCCATGGGCATATGTAGCTTGTTCGTCGCTTAGATATCAAAACATGTAGATTGCACATGGGCCGACCCAAGAGCGGAACTAGATTGCGCGTGGTCCGGGGTCGAGGATCTTGGCAACCAAAGACTGGGGATCTGTGGAGGAGACAGCCATCCCGAACCAACAGTCTAGGTTCACCTGGGCCGTGTTTGTGAACGTGGAGCGGAAGGGACGCCGTCAGATTATATGTCTTTTGATTGAGGTGAGGAGCCTCTCGGTCTCTATATCAGGCGAGCTGCAAGGCGGAGAGATAGGACGTGGGGAAGGAGGCCCCGTCAGGGGTAGCCAAGCAATGGAACCTGGGAACGGCTGGAGAAAACACGACCGAACCCCGAAGCGCCGCTTGGATTGGTCTCTTGGTATTGACAGCCACGTCTCATAGCCTCGAGGAGTATTCGGCCACGTTCCGTCAAAGCATAAATCGGAGGAGCCGATCGGAACTTCGGTCTCTGGTGCCGAACCTTGTTGACGGCGCATTCAAACATCTTATAGACGCGCGAGCCATGCGAATTCCAGTCATCCGGCATGCCTTCGCATTACACCTTCCAAGAATGATCTCTACTATGTCTCAGCAAACGGGTCGACTGGCGGGCAAAACAGCCGTTGTGACCGGTGCCGCTAGTGGCATTGGGCTGGCCGTCACACAGCTCTTCCTCTCCGAGGGTGCCAAAGTCCTCGCGGTTGACTTTTCCGACAAGAACATCGAATCAGCAAAGTCGCAGCTGCAGGCCGATGGTTTCGATTCCGGCTCATACACCTTCCATAATGCAGATGTGGCGGACGAGGAGTCTGTGATAGCCTTTGTGGAAAAGGGTGTGACGGAGCTGGGAGGACTCGATATCGTCGTGCTCAACGCTGGTATCGGTTTCATAAAGCCCATCGTAGACACAAATGCTGAGGAGTACGACCGCCTGATGCGCATCAACGCCCGTGGCCGTAAGTAAACCTAATCCATCCTCCCAGTATATCGCAAAATTCTCAGATTCAGAACTGAAATTGACATATCCCAGCATTCTTGGGAGTCAAGTACGCAGCGGAGAAGATGAAGAGTCTAGGAAATGGCGGCAGCATCATCATAACCGCCAGTCTCGCCAGCGAAGCCGCGTACGGAGAGTTATCCGCTTACAACATGTCGAAATTTGCCGTCCGCGCCTTGTCCGTCACCGCCGCGCAGGAATACGCCAAACACAAAATAAGAGTCAATACCGTGTCGCCGAGCTTTGTAGCGACTCCGTTGGTCACCCTCTGGGGAGATCTTGAGGAGCGGGTCAAGGCCACTACCGTAGGTAAGTGAAAGTCACGGCACCCCTTTCTCTGTTGACGTCGTTTTTGTGGGAGAGGTGGGAAGGGCAGGAACAGACAAAGTTCGCAAGAGAATTTCTGGCTAACTCAACAGCAGGAAGAACCTTGGAGCCTTCAGAGGTGGCGAAACTGTTTTTGTTTCTGGCTAGCGACGATGCAAAGATGGTATCGGGAAGCAATTACCGCATGGATGGGGGGATGCTCCTACATTAAGAAACACCCAAGCTGGACTTGGTGACTGGGTGTAAATTTCAACAAAAGAAGTTTGCCGAGAAGAAGGTTGAGAAGAACAAGAGATTATGTAAAGATTATTATACAATCAAAGACTTCTATAAATGTTATTAAATGAAGAAGAACAATGATAAGAATGATGTTACGACTCGCTCCAACCGTGGTGTCATTGCCCTTTTTTATTAGACCAGTGGAAAATACGAAAAAAAGGCCCTTTTAAAGCAGCGTCTATTGGTCTCCGGTTCTGGACGGGCATATCTAGACGGACCCGTTGGACCGAGAGAAAGTTGCCCAGTGCTAAGTGCTTTATATATTATCGAGCCTTGTACATAACCACCCATGTACTCAACAGATTAGGGAAACTTCCCACAACGGAGTTCGAGGGTGACTACCCGACGGCGCAAGTCAAACTCTAGGTTTCTTCATTCCCGATGTCAACAAGTCGTAAGGCCGAAGGCAGGCTGCGATTTCGAACAGAGTGCGGTTCAGGACAAAGGAAGGTTCGTCATGCATGTCAGCGTTGTCGGCGACAGAAGTTGAAAGTGTGTTTCCACTCCTCTGCAATCTTCTTTCAGGTTGACAATACCCTGACCCTGACTACAGTGTGACACACACCGCCCCTGCACTCTCTGTGCACGAGCGAACGTTGAATGTCTCCCTACTCGCCCTGATCCATGGCGGTCGGATGTGCACAATGAAATGCTGGAAGCCGCCTTAGAGGAACCAGACCTAGCCACTAGGGCTGGAATGAAACGCAGTCGAACTGCGCAAATGCGATCTATGCCTGCAGTGCACCTGGGGTTAGAAAATTCGATGCCGGAGGGTGAAGATGAACACACGGACAGAGCCACTCCCTCCATTGGAAAACAAGCAGGGTCTCATGATACCGTCTTGAACGAGCAAGAATTATGGAACTCAAGTTCCACAATGGACTTAGTGGAAAAGGTACCATGCCCTATGGTGTTTTGCACGTCTTGCACGTCTTGCCAACTCATATTTGTAGGCATTTCACTACCACGATTCTCGGTCTCCCGAGGCTAGAATGGTTTCGGCTTTCTCTGGGACACAAGTCGAGGAACCTGAACATTCTGACACTCTCGTGACCGGATCCAGAGACAGTGTCGGTTTCTGCACCGCAGGCAGTGTCAAAACTTCATTCGCCAAACCCCTTCATCACTTCGCAGTAGATCTCGTCGCTTGCCTTCCGTCACGGGAGGTGGCAGATCTCCTCGTGGACACATATTTTGACCGAGTTCATTGGTTTCTGCTGGTCTTCCACCAAGATGAGTTCCGCCATAGATTTGCACAGTTGTACAGAGATTCACAAGTTCCGGTCACTGTCAAACAAGGCGAAGTTGGATTTACCAGTACGCTTCTCGCTGTCATGGCTCTCGCTCTCCAATATATCGGCGAGTATCGACTTCAACTTTTATCTCATTTGAAGGTTGATGCGCAGATCTTGCAGGACAAAATTTTTTCCACGCTACGGACAAGAGTTCTTGATGTTGTCTCTCTTGGCTCATTAGAAGCGGTGCAAACTTGCATATTACTTGGGAGCTATTTTCTATATCATGGTGATCCTGGACTGGCTTGGCCAATATGTGGTTGCGCCTTACGGATCGCACAGGCACTCAATCTACATCGACGGCTACCGCTGACCGCGAGCACCCCAGCCTCAGGAACATCAAAACCTCGCAGGTCAAACGAGGTCCGCAAGCGATGCTGGTGGGCTGTTTACGAAATTGAAACTTTCTGCTCCATGCTTTATGGCCACCCGCACAGTATATTGGATGCGGATTGTGATGTCGAATTCTTGGATGCTTCAGCTAAACCGGCAATGTCTAAGAATCCACGTTCATTCAACGAGCCTTTGAGCTGCGAGACTACCCTGCTGTCGTACAAGTACTTCATGTCCAGATTATCCATCCTTATTCGAGCCGCCTTAACGGAGCTTTACGGTGTGAACCGAAACTCCCCAAATGGATGGATCTCGGGCGCTGGAGACCATGCCTCTCGCTTGCAGGTGCTCGTTGAGAAGGTGACTGAGTTGGACAACAGACTCAGTGGATGGGCATCCGAATTGCCATCTAGACTGCAGCTTCGCAGTGACACACCGAAAGGTCCGATCTATGAGTCACTCGCAGAAATAGACGAAGATATTGGTGCGTCTGGTGAGAAACTTGAGTCTTACATTTTCCAGCTGCAAGCATTGGCTCTCAAGCTTGCCTATGAAAATGCAAGGATACTGATACACAGGCCGCTGCTGTCGTACAAAATGGTCTCACCGCCGACACCAGACTACGGAACGATTCCCGCTGTACCTGCTCGATTACCCAACACAGATCCGTTCCAATCTTCACTCCTTACCTGTCGAAATGCAGCACTCGAGACATCTCGGATCGGTTCTTTTTCCATCTTTCGGTTGGCCTCAGGCACGTATGCGGTTGCTTTCATCGGCAGTCACCTCCTCACTGCAGGTGTGGCTCTATGTATTTTGGCTAGTATAGACCCACTGAGCATTTCTTCTCAGGAGTCCAAGATTGGCATTCACCGACTATTGGGAATGCAAATGGACCTCAAGAGGAGGTCAGTACTGGCTGCGCAAGGTCTCGAGGTGTTACAAAAATTGACGAAACTTGTTTTGACCAAAGAACTGGAGAAAATGCTACAACCAAAATCCGATTCACGATTTGGTGGGACATACTGTCAGGAGTTGACGACTTCAACCCCAATGCAGACCGAAGACGGTGGTAGTATAAGCCAAAATCATTCACTCCAACAACCTTCCCCTCAAACCAGTCAGCTTGATCTAAATCGGATGGTCCTTCACCATCCAGGAATGGCCACGCAGAGTGCAAGCCAGAGAAGCAACGATGATGACAGACCTGAACTTATGAACTATGAGTGTTTTGAAGATCCAATCGTGACTGCAGCGCTCTTGGATTTTGAATCAGGTACAGTAGCGCTCCTAGAACAGAAGACTTACTGGAGTTGATTCTAATTTTTCGTTCAGCTATTGCGTCGTCCACCTTTCCTGATATCAACAGAAATACGAACACTGACTCTAATCATCAACCATCCATCGACGATTATTTAGTGGACCCAGAGCAGGCATGGATCTGGGCGCCAAATAATTTTAACTTGAACTACTAAGCTCAAAACGCGACTTCCATGAGGCCATCAGTATTGCGCAGCTTTTCGCAGAAGAGTTGGGCACGATGAGTAGGGAAAGGCAGCTGGCAAAGAGGTGTGAGGTTCAATAGCGGCTGCGAACCAGAAAACGTTCCCGAGACCCCGTACACTCGGTGATGAATCGACTTTGCCCAACACATTGACTCAAATCTGCATTCGACATGCATCACAAGTGTTGCACTCGATGGTCAATCTCATCATCCGAATTTCGAAATTGTCGATCCATACACGACACCCGCGCAGAATAGTTCACTTCAAAGCTTTTTGCACGAGAATGACTCGATTATCTTCCAGTCGTTATCCATTTTTGGGCGCCTTCAGTCGATGCCAAAATCGCAATCGCGTAAGCTCTTCAAATTTGGTGTCGGTGATGCGCGTCGCCAACGAACAGTCATAAATGTCACAATGCTTCAACATAATGCTGGGAGACCCAAATCATCCACTTCCGATCAAGCCAGTTTTATGGATAAAGTGTTAGACGACTCAGCATTGCACGTTATCAAAGCATCCTTCCCGCAGAATCTGTGCTCGAGTCATGATACCTCAGATGCGTCAGTGGAGACAACCTGAATAGGAGTTCCCGCATATGGCTCCTCAGACGCCAATCACTGCATGGGCATGACTTGTCCGAGTGGAATTGCATGCCGCAGCAGAGCCGGCGGTGCCGCCATGGCGCAGCTTCTCCCGCCGGGATCACTCGTCCAACAATGGGTGTCTAACAATGGTCAAGCCGTGGCTCCAGACGGAATCCGTTGGAAAGTTAGTTTCGTTGACATCGGAGCTGGGTTGTCCGGCCCATTCTGCGCGGCTGTCATGCTTTCGAGCGGGAGGGTTAGGTCACTGTCACCCTTCGGGCGAAATAATGGGGGTCATTGTCACCCTTCGAGCGGGTTAATGGGGCGTCATTGAGCCGGCCATGTCGTGTAAACCACGTCGGCAACACCCTACTTGCTGCGCAATAGGCTCCAGATTGTCGAAAGGACTGCCTAATACATCTGTCAAAGTCACGATATTTATGGTGGCACCAGGCCGGAGAGGTGAAATTAGGCTCCGTGCTTGAATAACGTCCTCAATTTCAATGTGGGCCTCCGCATCAACCTCTACCGCAATTTTACGGTAAGCTTAAAACTGCTACTGCAAGTACTCGTGGTCTTCTTCCGAGAGCAACAAGCAGGTAGGTTCGCTGGGCTCCGGATGCGGCTTCGGCCAACAAGGGCGACTTCTAGAATCCGAGGCACGAGTGACAGGATGTTGGCAGATGTCCGCGATGGAGTCTGTCAACTTTGCAAAGGTACGGTTTGGCTGTTTGAGATGAGCCACGCTGTTTCATGCTCAGAAGAGTCCTAAGCGATCTTTTATCAGAGAAATCTACACATAATGACGGAACCTCTGAAAAATTCGGCGTAAGAAATCCCAAACCCCTTTAGGTGACAGAAGACCTGAGGTAATCAACGTTGATGACAAAGGCACGTCCATGCCGAGGAAGTTCACTTGGATTCGGGTAGTCCGAATATAGCAATCTCTTCCGGCGGATCACTCCCTCATTCCCTTGAGACTGGCTCTGCACATTCTATTGTTGATCGCCCTCCGACTGAGGACACTAACTTGATAATCACAAGAGCTCAAAAGCTCAAGCAGCCTTTTAATCTTCGCGCTGGCTCTGGTCTAATCAATCTTGGAGAACTTTGAACAACGCTTGCTTCGTCTATTATTTCTCATTGTCGCCGGGACAATGGTTGCATCCTGTCCCGATGTACCGTCCCATTGTAAAGCTGGAGTGGTGAAGAGACACGGCAAAAATTTTGTCTTGGAGGTTGAAAAAGTGCCGGTCCCTCAGCCTGGTGCATCTCATTGCTGCCCTGGATGAAAGTATGGGAAACTGACGTTTATCATAGGCACGGGTCAACTCCTGCTCAAACTGACTGTCACTGGCATATGTTACAGTGACGTCCATTATATGCTGGAAGATTTGCCACTTCCGCGAATGGGAGATTATGGCGTGAAGTCTCCCGGACACGAGGGTGCCGGGATGGTAGTTGCCATTGGCGATGGTGTCACAGGGTGGAAGATTGGCGACCGTGCCGGAGTAAAGCCCACGTGGGACACCTGCATGTGCTGCGAATTGTGTTTGAGTTCTCTCGAATGTCATTGCGCGCAAGCGATCCCGACAGGGTTGAAAGTGCCAGGCAAATAGCAATTGGTCATGTCTGGATATCCTTTCAATACTAACGATTGCCTCGCAGGGACATATCAAGAGTACATTCTCAGTCCGGCAAAATATACCACGCGCATTCCGGTCGGCGTGGATGACTTTTGTGCGGGGCCAATTATGTGCAGCGGCTCCACAATTTACAGATCGGTATGTTTGCTGCCTCTTGCTAGCGGAAAGCATTGAGATTAACAACCCCCTTCACTAGATGGTGGAGTCTGGGCTTCGTCCTGGACAATGGGCTGCTTTCATTGGAGCGGGAGGTGGTGTGGGTCATATGGGCGTACAGCTTGCTAAGGCGATGGGAGCAAGAGTGATTGGAATTGACAGCGGACAGGAAAAAAAGGAGCTGTGTCTTGAACTCGGCTGCGAGGCCTTCATAGACTTTACAGCATCGAAAGACATTGCAGGAGATGCGGTTCAGATATCTGACGGAGAGGGCGCGCACGCTGTATTTGTGACAGCAAGTTCACCTGCAGCGTACACCCTGGCGACCAAAATAGCTCGCGTCGGGGGTAAGATTATGTGTGTCGGGATGCCACCTTCTGGGAGTGCTTTTGCGGGTGATGATCCGATGTTCCTGATCCTTCGTAACTTGAAGGTTATCGGAACTTTGACAGGCTCGCTGAGAGATACAAAAGAGGTACTTGAGTTTGCCGCAAGGGGGTTGCTGAGACCTGTGTATGAGACATACAGTATCAGTCAGCTACCCGATGCTGTAGCTAAACTTCGGGCTGGCCAAGTACGTGGTCGCTGCGTCGTCGATTTTAACGCGGTTCAAGCATCCTAACGAAGATTCCGACGGGCTCCATGGTGACAAGCTCGTAATTTCGACATTATCTTTCTTTTCGTATTGAGGTGTCTATGTTCGAGTTACGAAGCAGCCGACATGCAGTCTTCATTGCCGACCAAATTGGACCACGTCGAAGACATAACCCTGAAGCGTGTGCATCCAAAAAAAGTTTAGCATCGAGTTCATCCTTCGAATGTCAAGTAGACAAAACGGGCTCGGGTATTCATGTTAAATCTGGCTCGGTGTCCAATATCTCACATTTCTTTTGCTGGAACCAGACGATATACGCTCAACTGCCGCTACGTCACGTCCGGACTCGAGCGAGATTTTATTCTAGCCGGGTGCTGTTTTTCAAAATAAGCAGAGACAAACGCGTCTTTGATTCCCTGGGAGATTCCGGTCGCAAACTCGGCTGACTCCATTCTGCCATTTTGAGACTCGCATCCGATTACTTCAGCACATTGCATCTTTTCACCTTGTCATCCATGCAATATGCGCCTGAAGTCACCCTCACACTGTTATCATGCGGCCTGACGTGAATTTGACGCAAGTACAACTTCAGCATCGTCATCCACGAAAGCCTTGTCGCCAAAGGCAAGCGAGATCTCTTCCAATGTATGATTTGCCGTTTCAACGTAGTAGAAGTAGACCAGACCGGTCGAAAACAAACAAAAGCCAGCAATGATTACATAATAATAACCATGAATACCGGCAAAGGCATCGGGTGATGACATGCCGATGAGAAAGTTGAAGATCCAATTGCTACAAGTTGAAAGTGCCATGCCTTTGGCTCTCCCCGCAGAGGGAATACTTCCGCAGGAAGTAGCCACGGTATCGGCCCCCAAGTGAACCCATAGATGACGTTGTAGATGACGACAAAAGCATACATTCCGTTTGCCTTGGTGTTGACTCCGAGAGAAACTTGTGAGAACACACACATGACACCGAGGGCAATGGCCATGGAGATGCCTGGATGATGCGTCAGCTCTGTCGGGCAAGACTGGCCAGGATTCGCTCACCACCGAGTATGAGGAGAGGCCGTCTGGCCCATCGATCTGCGAGCCACCAAGTTGCCATGGTCGCTGCTGTATAGGGCAAGGCATTTGCCGCCGTATATAACAAAGACTTCCTTTCACTGAAAACCGGCCGCGGACAACGAGCTTGGCAGGTAAAACGAGATGACGTTGATGCCATTCAGCTGTGCAAACATTTGTGCCGTTATTCCGACCACGGTACGCTTTCTATATAGGTGGTAAACATTTCCTGTTCCAATGTGTAAGCGGCACAACCTGATGAAATGACCACGAAACTTGAGACCAACCAGCCAACCGCATTCGCCCACACTCGCCTCGTTTCTGACGGCCTCCTGGATCTCCAGAAAGGTCTTCTGAACGTGATCCGCGTGGACATCGCCATTGGCATGTAAATCGGCCACGGTTTGGAGACCTCGTATGACATGTGGAGAGAGAAGAAAGGTCCCAGGACTGACCATTTTACGTGTGGCCGCCAAGGAAGCTGTCCGCTGACGACTTCCGTATCCCGACTGGAGGTCAAATGTCGGACTTCTTCATGGACAATTCTCAAAAGTAATTACCACGGCCTCGCCCGGACAGAGGTGGCGACATAATCATAACCTGCATTTAGTTGATAAAGCTGTGAAGCTAGGTCGGCATTGAAAACTCAAGACGAAAATGGGCCCTGTGCGATCTGATCCGTGTTGCGTCGCTGGTAGCAGAAGCATACAACGAAAATCTTGACCGCGAATCGCGGTGTTTGCCCAAAAACACTCACTGTGTCTTTTTGGCGGGCGCGACCCTCATCGACTCATGTTCGCAAGTTTACAATCGTCATTCACCATGATATTCAGACAATCCGCTCGGCGCTATTTCTTCAGGGTTTATTTAATATTGTACCCCGATGAAACTCATCGGCCTGCGTTTCGTGGCTGCACTTAATCCAAAAGGAGAGACGCCCCCCGACTCTCTCCTCTCGCGAGAGCGGGTAGATCCTCGATTCGTATCAGAGCAACCGATGTATTTGCAAAGTTTTGGTAGCCCCTATTACTCTATTTCTCGAGGGACCCTGAGTCCGCCAAACACCCAGCTAAAAGACCGTAATCCGCCAACATGGCTTCAGCTAATAGCCTCCAGGTTGTCCGGCTGCAATTGGCACGAAGCTCACAGTCGTCGGTTCATCTGTAATGCCTCTTTTTCGTGCATCTTCCATTATTTGCACGGTTGCGGTTGCACCGATTCTCGTCACACCGAGAGACATGACGTGAAGGAGATCATCGAGAGTCCGAATGCCACCAGCACCTTTCACTTGGACGCTGGGCTTCGAGTGTTTTCTCATAAGCTTCAAGTGCGGCACAGTGGCGCCTTTGTAGCTGTATCTTCCGTCGGGCTGCTTGACAAAACCGTATCCAGTCGAGGTTTTGACGAATGCCACGTCTAGGTCGGAGCAAATCTGGCACAGCCGAATGATGTGCTCTTCTTGGAGATAGTCGTTCTCGAAAATCACTTTGAGGATTGCGCCACGTTGGACGACTGCCTCGTTGATGAGACGGATCTCTTCAGTGACATAGTCCCAATCCCCACCTAGCGCTTTGCCAATATTGATGACCATATCAATTTCCTTGCCTCCAGCCTCGGCGGCCTGCTCAGCTTCGATCACCTTCACTTTTGTGGTGCTATTCCCGTGCGGGAAGCCGATGACGGGGCACACTAGCACTCCTGACCCTTCAAGTTCTTCCACGACCATTGGAATGAGATACGGCTTCACGCAGGCTGTAGCCACTCCGTATTTCTTTGCGATCTCGAGTCCGGTCAGGATATCTGCGTCAGTCATTGTGGGGTGCAGGAGAGAGTGATCGATCATTTTAGCCAGCTGGCCTAGTGTAACGGTAATCGAGTTTGTTGACGCCGAGCCGCCCGCCGTGGGTTGTTCGGAGACTGTGGAAGGCATGTTGACGGCGAACGTGATAAAGGTATGGTGCCTGGTTCGACTGCAGAATATCGCAACGATGGCGATTCGAACCGAACTCTCTTATATCTATCCCTCCATGGACAATGACGGGCGATTCAACCGCAAAATGTGGAAAGTCTTCCTGTTGAGAAGTCAAGCCGACTGCCACCACACCGAAATGCCACAAAGTAATCCGTCCCCAGCAGTTGGGCGCCTTCTGGTGGGCGGTTGAGCAAATCGGGATCAGATTCTCCGGTCCCCAGTGGCCAAGATGATCCTCCGGTGGAACGTATTTCCGGTTCGAGAAATCAGGCCGTCCACGCTCCGAAGTGGCTCCAATGCTCCGCCGGAGGCGGCGGAGATCTCGATTCAAAGCATCAGGCTCGACGCCAACATCATCCATCCGGCGGGTGGGAAGCTGAGATTTTCCCTCATAAATTCTCTGCCCGTGACATCCGGTGCTTCATGAGGTTAAATCCTGCAAGCGAGACTGCAGCCTCGCAGAGGATCTGAAAATTCTTAGGCGGTTTGCGCTACTGCTGTTAAACAGATTGGACGGAGCCGGGACTGGCCCAGAGCAGACTACGCGAACTGCGCAGCAGGAAGCGTCGGTTGCCAAAAAAAAGTCTGGAAATGCGTGTCTGTGCTGTCGCGGGCTCAAGTTGAAAGTAAGTCGAGTTTTGCACCACCACTTTTCTGGATGATATATGACTTCTGACATGGGTGCAGTGAGATACAGATCGTCCATGTCTGCTTTGAGCTCGAGCCAGAGTCGAATATATCGCAAGTCATCCCAGGTCGATAGTAGTCATACACACATCAAGATTCGCAAGCAGCAACGCCTGGACGACAGCAACCAGGAGACCGGGCGCAAAACTGACAACGTTGAAATTGCCTCAGGCAGTCGAATCTTCAAAGCCAAGTCAGCTCCTCGCCCCCTATGGCGAGTACGCTAGCGGAATAACATGCCTGTTCATCGATATTCAGCTCTTTCTGCGAAAACGTCGGGGGCGGTTAGAGACTGCCGAAGCGGAAAGTTCGAAAATCAGGTCTCGGAAGATTACTGTACCAGTGCATTTTAAAACGTAGGTCTATCTTATCTCCCAATTGACATTCTGATCATTGATTTACATCACCTCATTCTGTCTAAATCTTCTGGCAACCCTGCTGTTGACTGAGTATCCTCTTCTCATGGCATTGCACTCTCACCTTGTCTTCCTGGATAGTGGTGACTCGATTGACGATATTATCAGAGCCGTCTACGAATCGATCGCGACGATTTTGTGATCGCTGTCGGGAAGTTACCTGTACCATGATACTTGTTTCTTACCGACTCGGAATCTTACCGGTCCAGATAGGGAGAGTTGCTATTAAAATCGAACGAACAGTGAAGAAAGAAGTCTTATTTCCAATGTACCCTGTACAAATACTTAGTATTAAGAAGCTAGGACTGTGTGGGTGCCTGGATATGCACATAGCACCTGGATTAACAGATCCCACAAGGTAGAAAATGAAAAATGCCCGACTCTCGAATCGTTCGAAATCAATCGTAATCATCGACCCTGTCTCACCACTCTCTTCTGGTTCTCGATGGTCCACCACACGCTTGCATGCGAGTTTGCTGCCACTGGCTCGCCGGGTCCCGATCACCCGCTGCCGAACAAGGTTTTGTAAAGATGTGCAAAGCCATTGTTTATCCCGGTCGTCTGATATTATTTGATCAAACAGGCGTGAAAATCTTCGCATCGGTGAAATTGCCTTTCATGTCACCGTACAGCTCATTCCAATCTGTATCGGCAAGGTCCAAACGTTTGACGGTCCCAGTTTTGCTCAGATCATAGTCTTTTAGATACATGAAGATAGAAATGGGCACGACGGAACTCTCGTAGAAGAAGACCATATCCTGGAGGTCGTAATAAGTTCTCCAGAGAGTCGGCCACACGTCTAGACCGGCGTTGATCTGACTTTTGGGGACGAAGGGGACGCTGACTGCTCGAATCATGGCGGCCGTGGTCGCGACCGAAGCCATCAAACCCGGAGAGTCAGCCGTTATCGTGTTATAGTAGGAAAGTCGGACAAAGCGGTCTAGAGCCGTGAAAGTCTTGTCAGCACACTTGTTCGGTGTTTGAAAAAGTCAAAGTCACAAGTTCACACGACATACCTGCTGGAGTTCCTGTCCCGGGCAGCGAATAGTTCGACATGGGTGTCCAGTATTCCCAGATGGCAATTTGCTCGTCATAGGTGGGATCATTCGTCATGACCTGGTACTGTTGGCCGTGGTGTATAGTGAGCTGCCCGTTCAGATACTCGATGATGAGGTTGTCTCCCGACTTGTCCGTCAGAGTGATATGGCCGACGGATGAGACCCCGGTGACCAGCGTCGCCGTTACGACTTGTAGATTCGTCGAGTTCAGGTCCGCGACCACCCCCGCAACCGTGTCGTACATGTCGAGGTAGTACTGAAGCCAGGCGCCGATGGCTACACCCGGGCGTGAGGTGTTGCGCGCCCCGTAGTCGCTGGGTCCGAGGTAGAGTATGCTACCGGTCAGACCTGCGGAGTTGATGCCGTCGATGGTGACTTTATCGTACATTGTTGCCACCATACTGCCGTACTTCGAGGTCCACCGCAGGGGATTGGCTTCGACGGAACCATTGCGCTCAATACCAGCTGGGAAGATGTAGATGCTTGAATTGGTCGAGGCCACAAAATCCATCGACCGACCGACCGTGATACGGTCGTCGACGTTGGCATGGTAAGTCACCCGAGAGCAGGCACTGACCCCACTGCTCAACAGTAGAAGAGCCCCCGGAATACAGCGACTGGAAAACATCATCTTACTTGGACGCCGGTACGTCCTTGTTGAGAGCCCTCACGAGTATGACAGAGTATATATAATTAGGGTGGACAACGAATATCATATGGCGTGTCGACACGGGCGCGCTGTGTTTATACCTCTCTCACCTACCTTCCAATGAACTTCTAAGGTCATATCCCTTCTCCCCGGTATATCTTTTCGTGGGGCTCTGGTGAACTATTGGTTTGTAAACAGTGATGCTATCTGTACCCAGACTCCCAACAACAACACAGCCGTTTAGTTCGGGGGAGAAGTTTGCACGCCCGTGCTTGAGTTTTGTGACAAACAGGCATAATCTGAGATTTATTGGTTATTTTGGCCCAACAAAAAGCCAACCTGAGGCTGCAGTGGCTCGATGCAGAAGGGGGAAACTTCAAAAGCATGGACAGCAATCCTAGATAGAGTCTAGCCTCATAGTAAACCCGGAAGTCGAAGTTAATAATGTAAGAGACAAGACATATTAAAAGATTCGTTGGCGGAGAAATCTGTCATTCATGAAAGGATGTCCGTGTCAAACTTCAATAAGGGCTCGGACCTCATAATTGTCGAGCTCAAAGACTTTGTTCCTATGGCGATAGGCTGACAGGTTCGAACAAGGCTTTCCTCAAGCTTTTTTGGCACAACCCAAGCTCGACACCTGCAAATCCTTAGTGATATTTTCTCGCGGCATTCTTCTCTTGGAATTGGAAGATTCTGATCTGTGTATATCGCGTCAGATACACGGTGGCTTGCCGTGATGATGAGGACAGAGAAAATAGATATCTCATCGTTTTGTAGACAATACCTATCTTGAGTTCTCCACTCTGTTCGCCGTATATCAACTTCCGCCATAGTTTAATGAATTATCGGACTTGCGAGGCGCCGCCGAACTCTTATCATAATCGACATGGAGGGTCCTAGTGATTGCCACACCTTGTCCTTTGTGAAAAATCAAAACCTAACTGTTGGAGGAACAGTATTCACATGGTGAAAGCTCGACTCGACTCGGATGAGCAGTTTACTTCAGCATGTCCTGGTCGACGCTAAATCTAGATCGGTCATATTGGATTTGGACGTCTGGAAAATAACCTGAGCAGCAGCAGCAGCATCTAGTGGTGTTGCAGACCGCATGCGATGCTATGCTCGAATTGATGGTCTACCACATGACTTCTGATCTGAACTGAGGGCTTGAATCACCACAGGTAAAGAAAGGGCCATTCAGATAAGTTCAACTAAATCCATTACAAGGATGGGTGCTGATGCGACAAATTCAGCTTCACCAGAGGTATTGCATGGCATCTAAACTTTCATCATGAACGGATCCCGCACATCGTCACTCAAATCAATCATGACATTTTTGACCCGTGTATACTCCAAGAGTGCTTCTGTCCCACGCTCTTTTCCCACTCCACTCTGACCTAAGCCACCAAAGGGTGCCATGGCAGCAGCGGAACGATATGTGTTCACCCAAACTTGGCCAGCCTTGATGCGAGCTGCAAAGGTGTGCGCTCTGCGGAGGTTGTTTGTCCACACACCAGCAGCGAGGCCAAACATGGTGCCGTTGGCGATCTGGACAGCCTCATCCTCAGTATCAAAGGGAATTACCGCAAGGACGGGCCCAAAGACTTCAGTCTGAGCGAGGCTAGCTTTCGGGTCAACGTTGGTGAAAATCGTGGGTGCAACACACAACCCGCCCAGTTCGTCGCTGGCAGCTCTTCCGCCCGCCACGAGTTTCGCTCCATCCTGTTCGGCCTGGTCGATGTGGCGCAAGATGGATTCACGTTGTCCCTGATGTGCAACAGGGCCCATGTCTGTGGTCAGGTCTAGAGGGTCTCCGAACTTGATGTTTTTGATGCTGGCCGCAATACCTTCAACGACCTTGTCCTGGATTGATCGGTGGACCAACAACCTTGACCCCGCGATACATGTCTGTCCGGACGCCGCAAAGATTCCTGCCACACAGCCAGGGATCGCGCGATCGAGGTTAGCATCGTCGAGAATGATGTTAGCTGACTTCCCCCCGAGCTCCAAGATGGCCGGAACGATGTTTTCAGCGGCTTGTCTGGCTATGATTCGACCGACGCCAACGCTCCCCGTGAAGCTCACACGGCTGACGCCAGGGTGTGTCACAAGGGCTCTGCCTATATCGCTCTTCCCAGATACCACGTTGAAGACACCGGGCGGGAAGCCTGCCCGCTCGACGATCTTTGCGAAATAGCATGTGCTCGCCGTGGTGAACTCACTAGGTTTGACGACTGCTGTGTTGCCAGTGGCAAGACATGGTGCAAGCTTGTTGGCGAGGATGGCCACTGGGCTGTTCCATGGCGTTATCAAGGCACAAACCCCATACGGTTCTCGTAGAGTATAGTCGAAGACGCTGGGGTTGTCCATGGGTTTGACTTCGCCAACCAGTTTATCCGCCATACCAGCAAAAAATCGGTAGCACCTGGCAGCAAAGTGCATTTGGGCTTTTGTCTCGCGACGAATTTTGCCATTGTCCAAGCTTTCAATGGTCGACAGGTTCTCTGCTTCCTCTTCGATGAGATCTGAGAGTCGGAGCATCAACTTGGACCGATGGTAGCCAGTTGTTCTCCCCCATGAGAGAGACGCTGCAAGAGCAGCTTTGACCGCCTCGTCAACATCTTCGACTGATGCTTGTGCCACCGTCGCCCATGGTTTGCCAGTGTATGGATTCAACGTCTCTTCCCTCGGGCCACGACCCTTGGCTTCTTTTCCGTTGATAAAGAGATTGAACTCTTGTAACGGTTTCCCTGCCATCGCGAATAACTATCCGACTTAGAGGATAATGTGCATGGATGTCGAAATGATGCATCACGTTTCATGCATTTTTCCCCTCATCTTCTCCGGCCCGAATCCGAGCCGAAATCCTCTGCTCCTCAATTCTGGTTTAAAAAAAAGAACTTCGATGAAAACGTTGGGAGATTAATCGGAGATGATCGTTCTGGGAAAAGCACTCTTGAGAGCTGGATTTGTGTTAATTCAATGGCATTGTTTTCGGCCATTGGACAGAAAGACTTCTTCGTCACTGACGCAAGACACTGAGGTACCTGGGCATCCCTTGGGGATGACTGCTCTGCGTCAAAAAGCCTTGAAGAGGCCTCCCGTTTCTCTTTCGCCGGGTTTACAGAAGAATCACATCTCGCGAGCAGGTCCCGGGCTATTCACGTACGATCGGTCATCTGGCTGGGACGCCGCAGAGGGATCAAGTACCCCGGAGGACTTATACTTTAGGCCAGTCTTCCTTTGACTACTATTCTTTCTCGACGTCTCTTTCTAATCACTGAAGACCTAAGATGTCTTCGTGCAGTGCACGGGCTTCGACTGGTACAGCGTATGAAGGCTTCGATATGGGATTCATAAAATCAATTACTGGAGTCACACTCACTTCTGGGTCCGGCTCCCCACCCCCACTGATTTACCCGGTGACTAAGTTGCTTGTCCAGAGCCCGGTCGTTGAGCTTAATATAATCTTCCCTGAACCATTTCTAGGCCTGTCATCAGCTCGCTTCAATGACGTGTGATATGCTGAGGATCAATCTCACTAGCTGATTAGCTGCTATACCGACCTCGGAGGCTGAAGCACAGCGGAGGATGCACTCCTGGCTAGTGTACGACTTCCGGTACATATCGGACCATGGCTTGGATTCGATGACATAGTCTCAAGAGTTACCTCTTGATTCTTGAGTCTCGGACCATGGTGTCCAGATTCCCATCCTCGTACAAAAAAAAGGTCGGTCCGAGCGCTGGCCTTCGGGGAGCCTAGTGGAACTCCTCGGTCACTTCGGCTTCGGTGGGGTTTTCGTTCTCCATAGTCTCTCCGCAAATGTCAACAGTATTCCATGCGTTTGGGAAATATTTGAAGACCATGATATCGGAAATGGACGATTCGTGATGTCTTTGGACGAAAACAAAGGATCGAACTAGTTGCACAATAGGACTAAGGCCAGCGTTGTCGCTTTACGAACCAATACTTATGTGGCCGACATTCGGGGAATACTTCATGTCTTTTTGTTCATTTCATTTGATCATCCCTACGAGCTGACAACAGCAATCCTGAGATTCAGTGGTAACAATGGCGATTACTCCTGCGTATATCCCTCCGGGAGGCTTGCGGACACCCTTGGATGACTTCAAAGACTACGTCAATCAGAGCCATGGCCTGCGGCTGAGTGAGTACCATCATCACACTTACAGCCACAGGATACGACAGTATCTTACGGAGTTGAGTGCTGACCATGAAACCCGACTTACAGATACATTCGAAGACCTACACACCTTCTCAATCAATCGAATGAATGAATTCTGGATGTCACTATGGCGGTTTGGAAAAATCAAAGCCTCCATCCACCCGACCAAGATAAGTCTTGAGGCCCCACAAAGCGATGTGCAATGGAGCTCACATATTCACACGCTATTGACGAAAACATCCCTATCGACCAGTTTCCCAAATTCTTCGAGGACGCGAGACTAAATTTCGCTGAGAATATGCTGTGCGGAGATGAGGATCGACTCGCCATCGTCGACATGGACGAGCAATGCCTCTGGACGCCTCGAAAGTATACATGGACGCAGCTTCGAGATCTTGTCTCGGTGTACTCCTCTGGTATACGTGCCGCAGGACTAAGGAAAGGGGACGCCGTCACTTGTACGCACTCCTTTATTCATTCTCTTGGTCACAGTCTATGGACTCTAACATCTAGAAGTGATAGGAGGAAACTGTGCACGTTCGCTGGCGCTCCTCCTCGCAACTGCTTCTGTAGGATGCGTATTTTCCTCCTTTGCCACAGATATTGGAGAAAAGGTACGATTTTTACCCAAAGATTGCGACAGTCCATAGTCCCTAACCGCAATCTAGGCATTGAGTGATCGACTTGTTCAGCTCGAACCCAAGCTCCTTTTTGCAGAATCGACGTATTGGTATAATGGTAAAAAGGTCGATATCTCAACCAAAATTGATAGCTGCACGAGCAACTTGTCCAACTCGTGCGCAACAGTCATTATCGGAGACACAAGAAGGGTGAAGAGTCGATGGTTAGTGCATTGTTAGATACCCTTCTGCGGAGTTGTGCTGATGGTACATACTGCAGCACTAGTATCGATGACTTTATCAAGAAAGCGCCCAAGTCACCTCTCAAGTTCGAACAGGTGCCCTTCAACACACCACTTGTCGTGATGTTTTCTTCCGGTACAACAGGAACACCTAAAGGCATCGTTCACTCACATGGTGTATGTCAATACCTCCCAATTGTAGGAGCCATAAACTGACGGTTTGCTCTCTCTAATTTACAGGGTCTTGTGTTGAACGGATACAAGGAACATAAGCTCCACAACGGGTTTGGACCCGAGGATGTGCATTTCCACTTCAGCAATGTGAGTGTCCAGTACATCCGTTATTTGTTATCCTTGACATACTGACAACCGAACTAGATCGGATGGACCCTCTGGAACATATCGATTGGCGCCCTCTTTTGCAAATCTACCATGGTTCTATATGACGGTTCACCATTCTACCCCAACCCCGACGATTTTCTCAAGGCAGTTTTTGCCAACGGGTAAGTTCCACTATATTGTCCCAAGCTGTACAGCCTGCACCCACAAGCCTTTGCTGAGTCTATCAACAGTGTCACCGCTTTCGGTGCTGGTCCACGATACTACGATGAACTTCAGAAACGAAATGTCAAACCTAGTGAGTCTGCTTCTCTTTCCTCCTATATGCCGATATACCCTCAAAGGCCCTGCTGACCGTCGAATCTTTAGGAAAATACGCAAACGACCTTCACACCATCTTCTCCACCGGTGCCGTCTTAACGCCTGCTCTTGCAACCTGGCTCATCGAAGCGTTCGGACCGGTGTGCCAGATAGGGTTCTCGGGAGGCACCGAGCTCTGCGGCTCTTTTATGCACGGCACACGTTCTCTACCTTCCTACCCTGGCGAAATATCCGTCAAGGCACTCGGCATGGACATTGCCGCCTTCTCACCCGACGGCACACCGGTCCCGGAAGGGGAGGCAGGTGAGCTCGTGTGTCGAAAACCGTTTCCCAACATGCCTGCCATGTTTTTACGGGATCCGGACAAGAAACGGTATCACGCGGCGTACTTTGAAGGATTTCCACGTGCGTATTAATTCCCTGGTTCACCCTCAATGATTTACAAAAGCCAACCTCCTCTTACTTCATACATCTATTCTGACACAAAAGAGTTGCAACTGGAACAGACGTATGGACACATGGGGACTTCATGAGAGTCAACCCTGAAACAAACGGGATCTACGTCCTGGGACGAAGCGACGGGACCCTCAATCCGTCCGGCGTCCGTTTTGGCAGTTCCGAAATCTACAATATCTTGTCCACGCCAAAATTCGCCGACGACATTGCCGACTCCATCGTCGTGGGTCAACAGCGTACGTCACCGTCGTTTTCTGACTCGACGGAACGTGTTTTGTTGTTTATCAAGTGTCGGTCTCACGACGACAATACAACTACCACCACCACATCTCTCTTTCCGCCGAGGGACCTCGATCGACGTATTCGAGAACAAATAGCCACGGACCTCACTCGCCGTCACGTCCCGTCTCACATTTTTCAAGTCGCCGAGATTCCATATAATGTCAACGGCAAGAAGATGGAGATCCAAGTCAAGGCGGTGGTCAACAGTGGGGCGAGCGCCACGACAAAACAGAGACTCAACCAGCAGGAAGTGGCCATGTTGAAACAATTTGAGAAATTTCATCATCTGGAAAAGTTGTTGGAGAATGCAAAGGCAGAGGGGGTGAAGGCCAAGTTGTGAGACTGGTGATCCGTATACATTTCCATGTCAGAAACGTTGGGAGAGAGTCGTGAGAATACAGAATAGAAAGCTACAAAGCTAGATGAAAGAGAATAGAATTGACTTCACATATCATATTTGTATGGATAAAGACCTAGGTATGCCGCATGATATACGTAAATGTATGTACCACTGACCAGTGTAGTGGTACCCTTAGGAGTCATAGTCGAACAGTCAATCAAATAATCCAGTCAATGCTGGGTCAACTAGGTCATCACATATGTCTATGGAAGAAAAGATATCAAACGCCCCGATATCAAAATCCATGACATCAAACATGTCAGTCTAAAACATGATTACCAAGAAATGTCAGTTATACCTATAAATCCCGAAGAGGGCAATCATTTCGAACAGGAACCCACTTACCGAAGGTATAGACCGAGGAGGATCGAAGTCACCACCACCAGTGTCGACGTCTCCGAACTGGATCAAACCATCTCCCGTTACACCCATCCCACCCACGCGATTTGTGGCTTGAGGAGTAGTAGGGCAAGTGACGTTATTATCTTGTGTTGTACTATCGACGACTTCGACTCCGTCAATGTTTGTCTTCCTCGCCGCCGCGGCCCTGACGGTCTTGGAACAGAGAGCGACCGAATCACGGGGGAAGTGAAAAGAAATCTCCGAATCGGTGATGAGTTCGATGAAAGCAAAGTGACCTGCGCACACGTCCAGTAAAGCCAAATCCCCCGCCGCGGTTTCCCTCGAAGGGTCCATCAGGACGTAAACCAAAAGATTCGCGTGGGCGTAAATCGGATAGTAAAAGGCCAACCACATGGGGGTGTTTGCGTCAGTCGTGGTGGCCCTCGCGGTCAAGATGATCTTTCTGGCCGCGTTGGCCACCACCTCGGCCGACCTTTTGATCTGGTCCTGTATCATCGAGTCCAACTTTTCCGAAGCCGGATGGTCTGGGTCGACGTCGCCGCCACCGTGCTGTACATCGTGGTGATGGTACCTCGCCGAGAACCAAGGGTAAAAGAACATTATGTGAGTTGCCATGAAACTTCCCCAGATGGCGAAATGAAGGTAGATGCTTTGGTTCCGACGGGCGGTAGACGGATAATTATCCTTCTCCTTCAGACACGACGGGATCGACTCGAAAAGTGTCTCGAGTTGTTGGTGGATGTCTTGGATCGTCTGAATGGCTTTGGTCACTGGTTGACGGGGAGCTTTGACGGACATGATCCGTCGGGAGATTTGGCTGGAGATTTGAGCGTGCTTGACGATCAATGTCAACGTCTCGACGTCGATGGTACTACCTGGGGGTGCCTTGGTCGGGATAGGGGTACTGATGTTTTCGTCGTCGATGAGAGAGGGCCTCCCGCTACGAAACACGATTTGTTTTTCGAGGCAATAAATGGTCCACCATAGCCAGTTCCTCGTCAAGACGTCCGCTTCGGGCAGGTTCCACGATCGTGCCGGAGAGCGGTGAAGGCCTCTCGCCAGTGCCAGTTGTACGGCGTTACTGGCTAGAGGATATTCGATGGCGGGACTTCCCAACACCTCTGCGTAGAAGCCCTATCCAAGAAAAGAAAATAGGGTTAATCATTACGCGTGAATCACCAAAAAAGAGAGAGAAAAACACACTGCTTCTCATGAGAGATCCAAGGACCTACTCACCATAAGGACAATCGCCTGTAGCGCAGTAAACCCAGACCGACCAAATAACATTTCACCAAACACCGACATTGCATTCATGAAGTATTGGTGACTTTTGGTGTTTGCGGCGATGAATGATACCGAGGTGTTTTTGGAAAGCAGAGCCCTACATCCGGATGCGTAGACGGTGTTGCGCAACGCGAACCAAGGAGCGTCGTGGGTCTGAGGGGAGTCGTCAGCCCGAGCGAAATGAGCACGCAGGCGACTCTCGAAACTCGGTCGATGTACCGTCCCAAACACGGCGTCGTAGGACTCTTCAAAGTACGCCTTGACGTAGGTCCAGGCCGTGGCTTCGTCTGGCTCCGGGTACTTTGTCTTGAGGCTTTTGAAACGCTTCATCTTCAGTCGACGGCTCCACGTTCGAGGAAGGTTGTGCGCCACCTCGACGTATTCATCCGTACCCATTCTATTGCTGATCCATTTAATTCCTGGTTGAGAGCAGATGGACGCCCAAGAGCAAGGCCCATGATCTGTTCAAGAAAAAATTTCAAACGGTCAATGAGTGATGGACTGCTCCAAGAGAGTGGAAGCCGAACAACATTTCGATTTTATAGTGTTGCTATAGGAAAGCAAAGTGAGAAGAAGTAGTACTTACGTTCCCAATACACTCGGTGAAGAGGAATGACACTCTCGTCGGTGTCGTGCTGATCCTGTGTCAACGATTTCATATTTGTTGGTGTTCCGGCGGAAGAAAAGTTCGGTGGTATTCTGCTGATACCGCGCACATTAAGCACGTTCGTCGGTGATATTATATCGGTTGATGCTGACATGGTTTCTCCTCGTTGTTCTTCGTAGATGTCAGACGTCGTGTATGAAGGTGTCGGAGGCAATATTGCTTTTGGTTGTGAAAGACCACCACCGTTGCTTGGTATAGATTTGATGAGATTTGGTTGTGAAAGACTAGCGCCATCACCTGCTACAGGTTTGGTGGTATTTGGCCGTAAATCTGGTCTGGACGTTGACCCTGTCCTGGCGCGCTTCCCCCGTCGTGATATTGGATAGACGCATGCTGTTTGTTGCCTGTCACAGGTCTTGCATGGATGACCTCCACTACCTACAGAGCAATGCATTCAGCCGTCGATACAAGGAAAAGATCATCTTCGCTTACATTTTACTTTTCGATCGCGACAGTTCCCACAGGCGTTAGTCAATTTTACCTGCACCACAGGAGAACTTTTCACGGCCGAGAAATCCATGAGGGATGTTGGTGTATGTTTTGTGATGAACAGAGAATACCTTTAGATCGAAACGAAACCATAAGGTGGGGGTTGAGTGGTTGTAGTAGCGGTTACCCCGTAGGAGGAAGCATAGAATCCGGGGAACCAGATCAGTCTCCGGGGGTCCAACGCTCCTTTTCTCTACCTCAGCATCACCACTGACCAGGGATTTGACGAGCATGAGACAAGAGTCAGAGAAGAGAAATCTCCCGGGGAATACTGTATCGAGAGGCAATACAAAAGCGGGATGCCCAGGTAAGCGACGCCCCCTCTCCAAAGGATCAAAGCCTTGCGGAGGTTCTTGCCCAGGAACTAATGAGTAAATCGCTCAACAGTAATTGGACAAATGACTACCTGGTGTCAGATCAGAATGCACGACGACGCAAGTACGAGAACCCCAGACCTGAGCAAACCATCCTTGGGGTGGTAAGGAACACTGCTTAGGTCAGACACAAGAAGGAACGGTTAAGAAAGGTCACCGAGTCAACCGGACCATGGAGGCTTTGTGAACAGTTTATTGGCGACGAACACCGAGGGTACCCGTCTCACCCCACAACCCCGAACACCGAATACCGAGGGCATCCTTCACCAACTCGTAGAAGGAGGTGATCGTCTTTGGAGCGACTCTTTTGGCACTCGTAATCTACTATGTTTTTGTACGACGTACGTACGTACATACAGCAGAAGTCCAAAGAACCATACTCAAAATCTTGATGGTCAAAAAGAGCAGATTCTCTTACTGTACTTACTGTACTGGAAGCTGGAAGTTACAAACTACTCTTGCCACCAAGTAACTCGACAGCTGCATTGCTGATACAACTCTTGCCGGTCTCCTTGACTTTTGCCCGGTATATGACTTTTCTTCCTCCATCCTCCTTCCACATTTCCGTCACGATGGTCTGACCCGGCAGGACGGTCCCACTGAACCTCACCTTGATACTCTTGTAGGGTCCATAGGCTTCAAAGACGTGCCTCCCACTGATACCAAACGTCGCCAGGCCGTGGAGGATGGGGACCTTGAAGCCGCCGACCGACGAGAACTTGGGGTCGATGTGAAGCGGGTTCCTGTCGCCCATGAGTCGATAAAGGGCCGCGAGGTCCTCCGACGTCTTTTCCTCTGTCACCTTGTCGGGCGCACGAGACGGTGGGTTGTTGGTGGCCGTCGACGCGCCACGATCAGCGGGGGTTTTCTGACCTCCAAACCCGCCGGCGCCACGAATGAATGCAACACTTTCGTTGTAAAACACCGGCCTTCCGGCACCGTCGACGGTCGTGGCCCCCCGCCTCACGAGCGCCGCGTTACCCTTGTCCACCACCTCCAACAGACGGGTCTCGGTCTTGAACGTGCCTGACGTCGGAATTGGGAACTGCTTGAGCTCCAGATATTGCTCGCCGTGAAGCAACATGCGCTGGTCGTAGTTGGGGACAATGTCCTTGATCTCGTAAGGCGCCGAGGAGTGATACGTCGGTACGATCCCGAAAGTCGGAAGGACTTGGAAGTTGGGCGAGTTTTCGTAGACCAGATCTAGCTGGTTGCGGTGGGCGCCGAGAGACAAGTTGTACAAGATGACATCTTTGTCGGTGTAAGTGTAGGTCGATGGCGTGTCCTTCATCTCCATGGCGTTTTGGATCTTGGAAATGTATTTTCTGTTGGCCCGATTCTCCTCTGACAAGCTAGCAGCCTGCTCGATATTAGCATATGTGCGCTTCGGCCGACGCAAAACGCAAAAAGACTTACAATCTTGGGATTCTTCAAGACATTACCCATGTTGTAGCGACTTCCGTCTTGTGGCGATTCTGGATTGTCCGCTTTTCCATTATCGAAATTGCAGATTTCCCCAAAGACCTAGACCCCGACAGTGAGTAATTTTCATTGTAACTGCGAGATTGCGAATGAGAGGTCACACCCACCCTGGCCACTTCATCCACACTGGGGATGCCCTTTTCGTGCTCAAAGTCGACGCCTCTGGCTCTCTGCCATCTCGTTGCGGCGAACCAACCGCTCCCGGCTTCGTACAGTTGTCCAGTGCCGGGCGGTCGTTCGGAGCACAATGCCACGATCAAGGGCGCAACGTAATCTGGTTTGACAATGTTGACGGAATCCTCTGCCCACACTGTGCGGGTCATGTTTGTGCCAGCGGACGGCGCAACGGCGTTGACGACGATATTATACTTGGCTCCCTCCCGCGCGATCGTCTTTGTGAGACCAATCATACCACATTTCTGGGGGAAGAAGCAGTGTCAGTATATCCAGAACTCCAGCAGACCTTGCTGATGGATAAAGAATGGAAAGGGTCATTTTCTACTCACCGCAGCTGCGTAATTGGCTTGTCCAAAGTTACCATATATGCCGGTCGTGCTGGTGATGTTGATTATCCTCCCAAACTTTTGCTTCGTCATGTACGGCCAGGCGGCACGAGTTATGAGATAGGTCGACCGCAGGTGGACGTTCATGACCGAGAACCACTGCTCGTCCGTCATGTTGACAAATGCCTTGTCGCGTAAGATACCCGCATTGTTCACCAGGATGTCGAGTCTGCCGTGGGCGCTGATGATTTTGTGCACAATTTCCTCACCCTGTTCGACCGACATGGTCAACGCCGACGCTTGTCCCCCCATCGACTTGATCTCGTTTGCGACTTTCTCGGCATTCTTCAGATCGTTGACCACGACGTGGGCTCCCAGTTTGGCAAATGCGTGAGCGTACGCTCTTCCCAGCCCATCACCTCCGCCCGTGACAAGCGCCACCTTGCCCTGGAGTCTCACTTGACTTGGGTTTGGAACGTTTGCCTTTGGTAGTGACTTGGCCTTTTCATAGAGAGCCATTGCTCCGGCCGCGTTGTCTGGGTGTTCCGCTCCGGTCCAGTCCGCGATCTTGGAATAATTGTCGAGAATCAGATCCGGACTGAGAGAGTCCGGATTGGCGACGAAACCTCTGCTCCGCTCCCACCGAATCTTGCTGTAGTGGCCAGCGGCCGCCTCGAAGATGCTCCCTGTTTCCTGACAGTCCCGGCTGACCAGCACGCCAACCAACGGCACGACCCAGTCAGGCTTCATGGCGTCCATCATGTCCGACGTCCAGACCGTCTGAGTGAGACGACTCGCGGCCCCAGGCGCCAGGATGTTACAGTGGATGTTGTATTTGGCTCCTTCTTTCGCCAGTGTCTCGCTGAACCCCACCAGGGCCATCTTCGCGGCAGCGTAGTTGGCCTGTCCAAAGTTCCCAAAGAGACCAGAGCTGGATGAGGTATTGATGATCCTGCCGTACTTTTGTTTCCGCATAAAAGGCCAAGCGGCCCTGGCGGTTTTCATGGCCCCGTGCACGTGGACGTCCATGATGATGTCCCAGTCCTCGGTCTTCATGTTTCGGAGCGTAATGTCTCGAAGGATGCCGGCATTGTTGATGAGAATGTCGACTCTTCCGAAAGCGTCGATGGCGGTTTTGATGATCCTCTCGCCAGCCTGGACGGGATCATAGTTCGCAACGGCCACGCCGCCTGCGTCGATGATTTCCTTGACCACGACATCGGCAACTCTGGCGTCGCCTTTTCCAGCAGCATCTTTGCCGTTGAACGTACCACCAAGGTCATTGACCACGACTTTAGCACCGCGCGAGGCCAAGAATTTGGCATATTGTCGTCCTAGACCGTTGCCGGCACCGGTGACAACGGCAACCTGATCCACGTAGCTGATTGGAGATGCCATGATTGTTGTCTACAACTGCATCCGAAGACGAGTAAATTCAGGAGGTCCTCTGAGAAGTTTGAGAGGTCACAAAAGTGATGGTTTGGTCGGGGACGACGACAACGTCCTCATTGTTTAAACGGGCCGAGGAGGTTGGCCGCTTATATAAAATAGGTACACCGTTTCCGCGCAGTGTGACAATGCCTCGGATATGCGAAGAGCATCCTAGACTGATTTGGTGGTTATCGTGAGCCTTACTCCGTGACCCCGCACAGTCTGACCGGCCTCCAGTATTTCCAGTATTTCCAGTATTATGGGATCCTCCCCAGGCTATGCCTTGTTGTCGGCAAGGCTGTCAAAGCCTCGGCCTCGGCTTGTTCGAACGAGGTTCACAAAGCACTCGCACCCGTACTGTTGAGTGTCCATGCAATCCCATTCATCCCACGGAGTAATTACTACCTAGATATAGTAAATCCACCATCGATTCTCACATCAGCACCATTGATCATGGCACTCTCATCCCTACAAAGAAACTCGATCGCGTGCGCAACCTCCGAGGGTTCACTGAACCTTCCCGTTGGTATCTGCGCAAGGTGTTTTTGTTTCTTCTCCTCGTTTGCCCACGCCTTTGCAGCCAATGGAGTCCAGGTCACTGTCGGACTCACAGTGTTGGCCGTGATGCCCTTGGGTCCCCACTCGCTCGCCATGCACCTAGTGTGTCCCAACAGGCCAGCCTTGGAGGCACAGTACGCGCCATGACCGTCCAAAGCCACGTGGGCAGCCTGTGAGGCGATACTCACTATCCTTCCTGGCGGCGGTGCTTTCCTTGCCCCTGTTCCTGTTTCTTCTCCTACCTCTGCCACCTTGGATTGATAGAGATGAAAGAATGCGTTGCTGGTGATGAACGGACCCAGCAAGTTAGGCAAAAAGTTCTTCATAGCTTCCTCCGCCGAGGTTTTCTCCAGCGGCTGTACCGAAACATAACCGGCGGCGTTGATCAAGATGGATGGGAATCCGTCCAAGTCAGATATCTGCGCAAAGACGTCTTTGATCGATGATTCCGAAGTAATGTCGGCCTCGAATGTGTGGACTCTTTGGGGGGCGTCGGTGCCGAATACCCGTTTGATCGTGTCGTTGACCCTCGAGGCTTCGAATGGAGCATACAGTAGTGCGACGGTGGCTCCTAGCTCCCATAGACGAACTGCCGTCGTCGACCCTAAACCACCTGCATGCAAGGCTCTTCGTTAGCATATAGGTGTCCATCCCAGCAGGTGTCTGTCTGTAAAGGCGGTACTTGGGTAATCACCTACCTATTCCTCCTGCAATGATTGCGATGCGTCCTTGGTAAGCCATGGGAGATGCACAAAGCTGTACGGATGCCTTTTCTCTAATACTCGTGAACTCGGTCAATCAGTCTCGAGAAAAATAACAAGTGATGGATGGTTGTTTAGTACCGTGACACTCCGGCAGGTGAAAGTGCATCGGCCGAAGCGCCGAGTGTCGCCGGTGCCAAAACATTCATCATGCTTCAAGCTTCGAATTTCCTCCCCGCACTTTGTTGTGGTGACTACATTATAATAGCCGGTGCTATGTTGCCCTTCGTCACTGTCAAATTCTTCATCGGTACTGTACTGAAGTCCTTTATAATTGTTTAATCTACTCTTCCTTGAGACGAATGGATATAGACTTCCAGACTACTGATAACAACTCTCATGAGGTTTCCTTCACCATTTCCTGCCCAAAGCTCGCTGATGCTGATGGGTCGTGAATCGAAATGGTCTTTGTCTGCAAGAATTCTTGCAATGCGTATTTGCCATTGTTTCTCCCCCAGCCACTATTCTTGACGCCCCCGATAGGTGCATTCGGCTCATCGTACTCCGTGAGAGTACCGATATGGACCTGTCCGCACTCGATTCGCCGCGCCACCCTCAACGCTGCAAGCACGTCTCGACTGTGCACTGCAGCATTCAACCCATACTTGGACGAGTTCGCCAGCTCCACAGCTTCATCTTCGTTTTCAACAACATACAGCGCCGCCGATGGTCCGAAAGTCTCGTCCCCAAAAATTTGATGCTCAGGTTTCACGCCTGTGATGACGGTCGGAACTATCGAGGCTTTGGTGTCGTTGCGGAACTCATTATCGCCAACCAGATAAGCCGCACCATTCTCCACGGCGTTATTGACGAGAGATCTTGCTCTCTGGGCGACGGCGACCGAGACTGCAGAGCCTGCTCCGTTCGAATGTTGCTTCTTGACACAGGAAACCAGCGCCTCTGAGAAATTTTTGGCGATTTCTTTCACGACAATGATCCGATCCGTAGACATGCAAATTTGACCATGGTGGAGAAAGGCGCCCTTTGCACACAAGCTCGCGGCTTGTTCAATATCTGCATCCTTGAGCACGATTGCCGGTGCTTTGCCACCTAGTTCCATGAGGATCGGCTTCAGATACTTTGATCCCAATTGGCCTAGTATACTTCCGACGGCGGCACTTCCGGTGAAAGCAATCTTTCGAATTGCAGGCTCCGCGATCATGGCCTCTGTGACATCTGACGAGTCTTCTCTACGCGCTTGGAGGACGTTTATGCATCCATCCGGGATACCTGCATCCTTGAAGGTTTGGACCAGCGCATGGTGCACGCCAGGACTGTTTTCTGATGCCTTGAAGACCACTGTGCATCCTGCTGCCAGAGGTCCTGCCAGTGCCCGACTGGCGATGATCATGCTCGCGTTCCAAGGAGCAATCGCCAGGATAGGTCCGACGGGCTCTTTGAAGACTAGACAGAATGCACCCGGACCCTGTGGTGCAGGCAGCTCACCCGCACATTGTTGCGAGATGCACGTTGCCATCTCACGGATGACTGCGACTGTCAGACCAACATTGAAACGGGCCCATTCCTCCTGACAGGATGTCTCGAGCATTTGTAAAGCTACAAATGCCTCCTCGCGGCTTTGGATGAGATCTGACACTTTGAGGATCAGGTCACGGCGTTCAGCATACGTCGTCGTCTTCCATTTGACAAATGATTGGTACGATGACCGTGCCGCCTCTCGAGCGATCTCAACAGAGGCGCCTTGTGCTGAATGAACCACTTCATTTTTGATGGCGGATCTGACATCGACGAGCCTTGACTCGTCTAGAGGAAGTTTCTTGCCGTCAATAATGATTGGGAGGACGGATCGACCGTCTTTTGTTTGCGAAAATTGAAGTATATCGCTGGGAGCCATGGCTGTGGTCAGATCTAACTGGGCGTTTTGCTCTTGAGCTCGTCAACTGTACAAACGACTAACAGATCCGCTTAGGTGTACTGTACACTGGTGTCTAACATAGTGATATCAGCTGCGACACTGATATAGCTATAGTCGAGCTGTCAACATGACTCTACCGGGGTTGTACCCGGTGGGGCAACATCGGCATGCTTAGAAGTCTCTTATGTATGTCATGGCTGCAGGCGTCATCCATTGGTAAGATCGCTTCTATGAGTTTGTTTCAACGGAGGTTATTATGGGGGATATATCTCCGAAACTGGAGTTGATAGTGGTATCCAGAGGCTGAAGAGTGATTAGGTCGAGGGAAGGGCGGAGATAGGACATGCAAGAAGCTTCGTTGATTTCACTGCTCGTGAGAATATACTCAATTCCAACAAGTCCTAACTCCGCTCTGACTGTCGATATGGCTCGCTCTGGACAAGGCTGGGGTTTAAAGGATGGGAATAACGGGGAGAGAGCCGACAGGCCTTGACAGGCTCGTGTCACGTGTGTCTCGGGGCACCTTCCCACAATCAGCTTCCTCAGCCGCCGGGGAGGTTTCCCCGTTGCAATGAATTCCTCCCGTCTTCTTACAAGTCCTGACTTTGGATCTTGAGCCGCGTCCTGGCCAGGAGACATCCGCGATGCCGTCAGCCTCACCGGAAGCCATAGGCACAAATGAAGGGAGTAGTAGGAAACGCCGGAGAATTACCGTTGCCTGTAATTTATGTCGAGCTAGAAAGTCGAGAGTAGGACTGACTACCAGGAAATCATTTCAACTTCGCTAACACTTGTGTAGTGCTCAGGAGATCAACCGTGCTCTCTCTGTGTTCAGCTAGGAGTTAGTTGTCAGTATCAGGGGACAGTACAGGGAGATATTGTCGTTTTGCCATCTGAGTAAGTACTAGTTGTTTTTGTCCGCCCCCGTCTCCGTACATATGGGGTCTGCTACAATCAGTCTCGACCGTGATACCTTCCTGCGCAGCAATTTTGACTGGCGCCCCCTTCCATCTAGTGTTGTTTCCGACCTGCAGCAAAGGCTGAAGGCCATTGAAGGTCTGATACGAGGTGGAGGCGGAGCACCTTCATCGTTTCAGGACGATGTCCTTACACCAAGTTCAAATCCTACCGCAGCACGTTCCGAGTCACAAGCCGGCACTGTCCATTCAACAACGCCACATGTTCAGTCTCATACACATGGGGACTCTCAGGCTATCGCACAAATCTCCAATGGACCAGAAGAGCACAATGCAATCGATGGTATGGCTATAACTGTGTCCGAAGGAGACCAGGCATCTTTTTTTGGTGGGCTACTGACACCTCATCTGACCATTTGCCCTACTGATTCATTACAGGCCCGTCTTCTAACACCGCCTTCTTGCGCCAGATACAAGGCTTGACCAGGAATATCACGGTCCCGTCCATCAGTGACTGCATCAAACATGGCACAATAACAGTTTCTCATTCCTCAGCCCGGAGCAGACGTTTGCAAGCTGACCAGATCAAAAACACCAATGAGTTCATATTACCGTCACAGCCACACCTGGAATCGCTCATAAATGATTACTTCAGCCATACAACTCTATTTTTTCCATATGTTCATGAGGCCGCTTTCCGAGCCGTCTATGTTGAGTTGAAGAACTCTGGGTTCAAATCAGCTCGGAGGACGTGGCTAGCGTTGCTCAATATGGTGCTCGCAATCTCAGCGAAACAATCGGCGCCTTCATCTGATTCGGAATCGAAAACGGGACTCGACGATACAGTCTACTACAGAAGAGCCGCCAAATTGTGCAATGACTACATCTTCTGTGCCACAAGCCTTGAGATGGGTATGCTAGTGCTGGTTGTCACTCTCGCGGATCTTTGCTGACTATAAATTAGTACAATGTCTGTTGTTAATGGCCTGGTATCTGCAATCGACTCAAGACTCGACGCGCACATGGTTCATACACGGATTAGCTGTTAGGGCCGCCATTTCTCTTGGACTTCACTCAGATCTGGCTACCAAAGACTTATCGGCGATCGAAAAGGAGGAAAGGATCCGTGTGTGGTACGGCTGTATTGATCTGGATAGGTGAGCGACGCGAGAACGTGTTGGGATACGAACATGGAACTGACAGCACGAGAACCCTCGGATTATCTTTCGGAAGGCCATGGTCTATTCCCAAGTCCTTCACACTCCTTCGCCGACCGTCTCCTTTCCTAACAGCCACTACTTCTTTGATCGATTTTGAGCCAAGAGCAAGCCGCGTGGACAAGCTCGGGGTTCTGTTCCTCAGAGAGTCCATGTCAGTGGCAACGTCCATGTACCGTCACATAACTGATGTCTGTGTAGAGAATTAAGCGACATAGTTGTCGATATAGTTGCCACTCTTTATGGGGACAATCTGGGCTTCGCCAAACTCGAAAATTCCCAAGGTTCACTCCCAAAGGTAATATCGTTGGTTGGTCGACTTGAAGCATGGTGGGCTCAGGTACACCCGTCGGTGCGGTGGCACTCTACAAGCAGTGTGGATGACAATGCAGAATCCCGTGCTGTTGAGGTCCTCAAATTTATGCTGAAGTTGGACTTTTTGAACGCCCAACTCTTACTTTATCGCCCAGTTGTCTTCATGGCCTCACAAGTGCAGACCACTGCGGAGGAAGAAGAGCACGCTCTATTCCCAAAAATTGTTCCAATATGCGTTCGGAAAAGTCTTCATTGTGCATGTATGGTGGTTTCGATACTTCAAGACCTACAAAAATCGGGGAGCAGCTCTGGGGGGTCTCCCTGGCTCTCACTTTACCAAGGTGAATATAACCCATAGCCGTCATTACTTCGGAATGCCGTTCGCTAACTCTTTACATCTCTTAGTATTTCACGCAGCCCTTTCTGCGTTCGCCGTTCTGTTGCTCAGGCCAGATCTTCTGCCGTTGCCTCTACATCAGAATTTATTCGTCCTGGAAAGGGCCGTAGAAGTCCTCGACAACCTCAGTCCCGGGAATAAAATGGGCCATGCTTGTGCAGACTATGTTCAGCTTTTGCTGTCTACGTTACGGAACAGTGAGTCATCTCTGAAACTACACCCACTATATTCAAGCTTTATCTCTACGACTTTAGTCAAGCTCTCCGGGCTGCACTTATGTGCATTGGATGCGCATCCCCTCAGTGTGGATGCCGAATTCTTCATAACATACTGACGGAGACATCTAGCTGCTGGAGGTACAAGCATTGGAAGAGCAGACAGCAACCTGGCAGCACAGCCTCAAGCACCACCAAACTCGGGAGTAATGCTCCCACCGACTAGCATGCCCACATATCCAGCAGCTCAAACTGACTTTGGTAATTACGAATTAGCAGATATTAATCTTGCTCAATTTTTCAGCCAGGACCAGATGGATTTCTTTGGTCTCGATGGGATTGAAAATGGTTTGATATAGTGTTGAGACTCTTCACTTGACATGCTTGTTGCTTTATCAAGTCGGGTGTGTATGAAGGCCATGCACGACTGTGCAATGAATAGTGATACCCATTGAGGCATTTAATATGAGCAACCATCAAATTATTTCGAATTGGACGCCCCTAGAAATTGACCAAGTACTATCACCCGGACAGCTTCAACGTTGTCGACCACTGCGTCAGCTTCTATCGCCACTTCGGCAGAGATTGCTAGTGCCATAGCAACCACAACGGCGACCAGAGCACCTTCAGCTGCCATCCTCCTCCTTCCTCCCCAATCCACTGAGGCCGGAGCCAAATTCAAAGACTGACTCATTCTCTGCTCGAGAACTTTTTCTTGTTCAGCGAACCACTTCAGTGCACATAGCTGAGCCTCGTGGGAAATCCAGCGACATCGGCACCGATACATCTCTACAGCCCACTGCATACTTGAACTGCCTGCGTATTATGTGGGTTGTATGTGCACGTGGGAACAAATCCTCCCCCTTGAATACGGGTATTGTACTCTATTGTGGGAACAGGTTTGATGATACGGAAAAATTTCGAGGAAAATACCCCGGTTCCCTTGGGTCGATCAGGCCATGGAGCCCGATGTACGCAATATGGAGCTATTGGTAAGACTTCGTTTTTCTAGGCGCTATCATCCGATTGGAAGTATCGTGGTCAGCGACAATCAACCCACGTTATATCTTGTCCACGTTTTTGCAGTACTCTTCCGCCATTCGTCGAGTTGGAGTTGATTAATGGTATCCATTCTTCGACTCCCTTTGAGGAATACCGAAAAAATGCGAAAAGATGCAGCTATCCAGAGATATTATGCTGGGTAACACACGTGTGAATTTCAAGTCGGATTTCGAGGCCCAAAAGCTGAGTTATACTTTTTTGAGTCCACTCGATAAGTCGTGTCGTGTCAGTGACCATGCATATAAATTACAGCGGCATCGAGGGTCGAAGCCATCACCCTGCCGAAGAAGTTCCTCAAGCAGATCGACAAGATGGCAGGCCAGCCTCTTGCATTACTCGCCTTTATATACATTGCGACTGGTGTATCTGCAGCATTCACTTGGCCATCGTATTCCTTTCCATCTTACGCTACACCAGTACCAAAACCGCCGCCAACCACTTACGCACGTCCTTTCGTGGCAGTGTCCAGCCTTGTCCCCAACCAGACCACGACAACTTGGCTAAGCATAGCAACCCCGACGGATTCGACCGCAAAGTATGGCAATTATGCTTGGTCTGCCTTGTGGACGGGCCTCAATAGCAGTGTCACGCCTCCGCCCTTCACGACCACTCCAGCTGCAACGCCTATCCCAAGCAGCGAATTGATCAAGCCACCCCAGCTGCCTTTCACCATAGGCCATGACCACAACCATACATTCTCCCAGGATTTTATCTTCGGCTTTGGTTCGTCCGCCGTGCAGGGAGAGGGTGCCAGCATGAATGAAGGACGTGGTCCCTCCATAACGGAGAAGCTGTTCAACGGGTCGAGTATTGCATACTTGGGCTACTATCTGTACAAGCAGGACATCGCAAGAATGGCGGCCGCCGGCGTACAAAGCTATACATTTAGCATTTCCTGGACTAGGATCCTTCCGTTCGGCATGCCGGGCTCTCCAGTCAATCAGGAAGGCATCGACCATTACGACGATCTAATCAACACCCTGCTCGAGTATGGCATTTCCCCGATGGTGACCCTGACCCATTATGATACGCCCTTGTACTACTATACCAACACTTCGTTCAAGTGAGTTTATCACCCAGAAACTTGCAGCAATCTACTCCCCCATCCTTGCTTCTCCCGTTCCCTCGAATTCGTCCGATCTATCGTGAAGCTGATGAGAACTGAGTCTCTTCTTTTAGCGGTTGGGATCATCCAGAGTTTGTGGAAGGCTTTGTCAACTACGCGAAAATCGTCCTGTCACACTACGCTGACCGAGTGGGCCACTGGGTGTCAATTAACCAGCCTACAACCGATGCGATCGCCTTCAACAACTGGAAGTCGAGCTACAATGTTGTCATGGCACATGCGCACGTAGTCCACTGGTATCGCGAGGTCTTGAAAGGCACGGGCAAGTGGACCATGAAGCTGAGTCTGCAGAAAGGCTTCACACTACCCCTCGATCCACGCAATGCTTCACACGTCGAGGCTGCAGAGCGAGAACTCGACTTTACCATTGCTCAGTTTGCAAATCCGCTCTTCTTGGGCGAGCAAGTTCCCGAGTCCTTGTTTGCTGCGTTGGGGGATCGTGCGCCCACCTACACTGACGAGGAGCTCGGGTACGTCAATGGCACCTGTGACCTCTTCTCTCTCAACTTTTACTCGGCTGAATACGTGACCCCGCCTCCAGGAGGGTTTGATGCTTGCATCAAGAACTCCTCCTCGCCAATCTCTCCCAAATGCGTGACCGGCCTTACTGCTCGGAATCACTGGGATGTCGGAGTAACCAGCAATGTCGGGCGAATGGTAGGTCTCTACTGTCTTTCACACACACTCCGTGGCCTTCACCCATACACGATAAGGGGGAAATAGTAACTAACTCTATATGTGTTTTCTTGCTTGGTAAACAATAGATGGGGGTGACAGAACTCCGCCCTTTCTTTCGCTATGTGTGGTCCCGCTGGCAATCTCCAGGTGGCATCATCGTCCCCGAATTCGGCTGGGCACCTTTCGAATCCTCGGCAATGTCAAAGGCTCAGCAGCAATCCGACATTATGGGTTCGGTCTGGTATCAGTCCATGTTGAACGAGATGCTCAGGGCCACCAATGAAGATGGCGTTCCGTTCGTCGGTGCTCTCGGATGGTCCTTCCTGGATAACTGGGAGTTCGGATCTTTTCGCCCCCAGTACGGTGTTGTGGGTTGGAACTCGACGACTTTGCAGCGATATTACAGGCGGACAATCTTTGATTTCTTGGACTTTGTGAATCTACGTCGGAAAGTGACCTGAAGAGATTCACTCATACTGATTGTTCTCTTATCTGTTGAGGAGGTATTCCCTTGGTTGAATGGGAAAAATCCACCTACGAGATAATAAGTCAGTACAATGAGTACCGAGGGTATTATCGATCGATATAGAGTTGGATGGGTACTAAAGGGTCTTTGGCCATGGAGTGGGTTTATAGAATTAGTAGGCAGCCAAGATCTGGTCATGATTTTATTACCCCCCTCTACGACCATCGGCATCCGAGGTACATGACCAAGTCATAAAATACGAGTCAGTTGCGCCACGCCCATTCAACCATGGCGAGACGTCTCGTATAAAACACGAACATAAAGCTCGCCAACCTAGAGCTTCAATAAACAAAAGGAGAGACAGAGAGAGTGAGAACCTCGAAAATCGTCCGTCATGTCCGAGAACCGTCGTCGAATGGATTGGCAGCAGCCCCCAAAAAGGGAGCTATTGGGAGGCGATCTACTCGCTCAGTCGTTGAAACAACTGGGCGTCGACGTATGCTTCGGCTTACATGGAGGTCATCTCGACGCCTTTCTCATCGGTTGCTCTCTTGTCGACATCAAGATCATCGACACGAGGCACGAAACCACCGCCGTTCAAGCGGCCGAAAGCTACGCCAAACTCTCTGGTAAAGTTGGGTTTTGTTTCGTGACGGCAAACAGCGGGTAAGATTGACTCTGTCTGCTTTTTCCTTTTTTTTTTGGCTGGTCAGGAAAGTCAGTACTAAGATGATTCATCTTTGTGGTTTCACAGATTTGGCAATGCCCTTCCAGGTCTGGCAACGGCTTACGCTGACCGTTCACCCATTTTCGTCGTCACATCTTCGCCTCCTCTCCGAGACGCCGAGACGAACTGTCTTCAGGGGTTTCACGATCAGGTTGTTTTGGCGAAGCCGGTCAGCAAGTTTGCTCATCGAGTGACGAGTACGTACAATGCCGCGTATTGTTCCCTTCCGCTTTTCGTTCCGCGTTCCTTCTCCCTTTCTGTGTCAGGACCCCTTCTCCATCGATGATATTAGGAAACATAATCTGTATTGTTGTGCATCGAAGATAAAGCCCCTTTTTATTTTCCTGGTTTCTGTTGCTGGAGCAGAGAATGAGAGCTAAGTCGAACCCCCTTTTGGCAACATTTTAGACGTCGAAGAAATACCACGAATCGTCAGTCATGCATACAGAACTGCCATCGGAGGTATTCCAGGACCTGTCGTGGTCGATTTCCCCATCGACATTTTGTTTCATCCGCCCCGGATGAATGCTATTGAGTGTGGCTCTCTTACCTGCAGTCCCGCCGTGGCGCCGTACCCTAATCCGGCCGCACTCGACGAACTCATCGACATCTGGAAATCGGCCCAGCGACCAGTAATCATCGTCGGCACTGGAGCTGCCCGAGCCACGTCCAGAGATTCAAAGTCTAGTCTCCTCCTGGACATGGCTGAGGCGACGGGGACCCCAGTGTACTATTCACAAAAGTACATTCCAGCCCTGCCCTTCGAATCCCCTTACCGAGGAGGCTACGCGGCTCTCCTGGCCCGTCTGCCGTTTCTTCAGAAGAAACAACCGGACTTTGTGCTGCTCCTGGGCGCGAGAACGGGATTTTTATTGGGAGGGAGATCCGGTGCCATAATTTCTAACGACTCGGCCACGAAAGTGGTGCAGGTGGACCTCGATGCCGGAGAAATCGGGAGATCCAGCGCAATCGATCTGGGCATCGTTTCAGATGCGACCAATTTCATCAAGGCCTTGCTGGAAAAAGTCAGCGTCAACAACAAGAATTCGATCCAACCCCAAAATGCATGGATCCAAGACCTTCAATCCCTCAAAACGATGAAGTCCCCTCACGAAGACGACGCCGAGCGTTGCCCCGACGGGCGCCTACATCCTTTCTTGATGGTGAAGGGCATCTACGAGTCGTTGCCGGAAGGGTCAATCGTCATCATCGACGGGGGTGAGATAGGAGTCTGGGCGATGGAACTACTCGAACGGGCTCGCCCAGCCGGTGCCATGGTGGCGACGGGATATCTGGGGTTCCTGGGCAACGGCTGGGGGTACAGTATCGGGGCGGCGCTGGCATGTCCAGATCGCTTGATCGTCAACGTTCAAGGGGATGGCTCGGCCGGGTTCCACATCCAGGAACTCGACACGTTCGCACGTCACGGACTCAACGTTTTGACGGTCGTGGCCAACAATTATTTCTGGGGCATGAGTGTCCACGGTCAGGACTTGATCTACGAGGACGAGGACCCTGCCCGGGTTGCCAGTACCTTGTCTCCGAACTGTCGTTTCGACCTCGTCGCGCAGGGGTTCGGTTGTAAAGGAATCATCGTGCAAGAGAGTGTCGAAGAAGCCCGAGCCGCGATCAAGAAACTCACGTCGTCGACGACAAAAGGACCGGGGTTGCTGAACGCCATCATCTCAAAGACTCCCGTCACCATGGCGACCAGGGGAATGGTCGGGAAGACGAATGATAAAGATTGGATCGTCGTACCATATTACGACAACGTACCAAGGCCATACTATAAAGACGACAGTGCGGCAAGGTAGTCAATCAGCAACTTAGTCTTTTGCTTTTTTTTGGCCGAGGGCTCGTTGTTGAGACGAAGAAATGAAGAATGAGCGATCGGCTGCATTGTATTAAGAACGAAAGAGTATGGTGTCATTGATACTCAAGGCGTTCAAGGCCGAGAAAGGTGGGGGAAAAGGGCAGCTTCTGCAATGATTCAGACCTGATCATTGAGGAGGGTAATGAATTTGGACACAATACTGTCATCGTAGAAAGTGACACTCTACCGTGGGAAAGCTTTAAGATCATTTATTGTCTCGAGCAAGGCCCCGCCAGTCTTGACTTGGGATCCGTCAAGGTCACTCACGATCTTGACATACCCTTTGAATAGCTTGTTCATCAAAGCTAGGCCGTCATGTCCGATTCGAGGTACTACTCTCTGACATGTTGTGTCTGGGTCCGTAAGGCCGACTGGTATGTCGGAAGTTAAAAAACTCCCGTTGCAGATTGGACACGAGGGCGAGACCAGTCACCACAGGAATTGATGGAGGTGGAAGATGGGTGTCCCAAAGTGAAAAAGTGACCGTCGGCGAAGAACCTCTTCACGAACAAGGAGAGGGGTCTTCAAAGAGTGTATTGACGCCGAAAAAGACAAAAACGAAAAGAAAAGCACGTGCTCAAGAGTTCTCCGGGTGAAGTTGCGGTGTTGTCTAAACCCCCCGGAGTTCGGTGAAGTTGTGGTGTTTTCGAGTTCGTTGCCACCACTGCTCCATCCATACTTTGCCTCGTAAAGTGGGTTTCCCTCCGGAGATCTGGGGTTTCTGTTGCAAATCATGCGGACGACACCTCCTCCCCCCTGTTGACAATGATGACAGACACCGCCGCAGCCTATATATGAGACGAAAGTCAGTGAGTATTTTGATATACATTTAACCTCATTCAGATCAGTAGGTTTTCGAATTGACAGTCACGTCTCTAGGAGAACTCGAATCAAGTAACCTGGCCATTATATCACATCAAATCACATCACAGTGCTGAAAAGTCTTGGACCATAATAAAGAACGGAAAACCAAAAGCAAAAACATGGCACCATCAGCTACTCACAACAACAACAACGGCTCAGTCAGACCCACAGCACCAGGGGCAAAGACTGCTACTGCGAAGAACGGTAAACCCATCGTCCGCCAGACACCCAGGATCCTCGCGCACGTCGTCTTTCGAACCACGCCGGCCAACTACAAACCCATGATCCAGTTCTACTGCAACCTGCTCAACGCGCACGTCGTGCACGAGGACCCCGTGCTGGCCTTTTTGGCGTACGACGACGAACACCACCGCATCGCCATCATCTGCTCGCCCGACGCGGTCCCCAAACCAAAGGACGTCACGCACGCCGGCCTGGACCACATCGCCTTCACGTACCCGACGCTCACCGCACTCTCTCACCAGTACGTGTACCTGAAGAACTGCGACACCCCGATCCTGCCGCTGTGGTGCGTCAACCACGGCCCCACGACGAGCATGTACTACCGCGACCTCGACGGGAACAAGATCGAGCTGCAGGTGGACAATTTCGACGACCCGGACGAGGCGAACGATTTCATGGCCGGGGAAAAGTACGACGCGAACCCGATGGGCACGGATTTCGACCCGGATGGGTGGAGCGAGTACATACTCGGCAAGGCGACCGCGGATGGCCAGGAAGGGTTGTCGGCCAAGGAGATTAGAGATTTGAAAATGAGAAAGGAGATCGGGGAAAGGAAGGAATTGCCCGCCGGATTTTGAAAAGAGAGAGAGGGGGAGGGATCTCTCGAATTTCTCTGGAATTAGCAGTATGAAGTATGGTATCTGAAGCGTGGATGGACGGTTTCTGTTTGCACTTGTATGTATGTAATTGAGTGGAAAAATGCATTGCCATCGACTGGTTATAAGCAATTTTAGGTCCAGGCCTTTCGGCTAGTTACTTTGACCACGGAAAATCAATCGTGGTTAGTAGCTGATTACGTCGACCGCTGGAACATCAACGACAAATATTCTGCAACAGTACAGCGACAGTGGGTAGTTGACATATGGTAACCGCACATTTGGTTCCACAGGGTATCCCGCAGACAGTCCCTCTTTTGTTGATGACTGGTTTTGCGAGTAAATATTTGACATTCGCCTCACCAAACAGGAAGAATTGATTGGTTGACCGAGATACGGCAAGTCCTAAATCATCTTTCTGTCCTCCGTATGTGAGTGGCCTCTTTACCAACACGAGAGCAAATTGTCGAGATCCTAGCTAGCACTTCGGGTGTTAGTAACTGGGGGTTACCCCGATGGGCGTCCCAGGACCTGGACCGCCCACCCTTCCACCCTCCACAGACGGCGACAGCGATGCAACAAAGGTGGTGAAGCCGGGTGGGCTTCCAGACTCGGTGCCGGACCAATTGATGCGCGTTCCCAAGCATAAAATGGGGTATTCCGGCTCGTGAACTGACCTTGAACCACCGGGTTTATCCCACATCCCCCAGACCCCAGGCGATCTGTAACCGTCGTTCCCCATTGGATTGTGCGGAATCGAATGTGCCCGGGGCCTCTGTATTGTCTTTGAACTGTGGGAACTTTTTCTCAGGTGATGGATTCCATGTCCCTTCGGATGGTGGATTCGGGATGGGACGCGCACATACTATAAGACTCTGAGGGCCCCATGTCTTGCCCGAGCTTCAGTCTTTCCACCTGAAACTTTTTTGGATAGAAATCAAAAGAAGGGAAAGGCCCAAGACATTCCAACACACCCCAATCTAGATTCAAAAACCTCATCATGGGTGAAGCAGCACCACAACACTGGATGGATCCACGATGCATTGATGATTACCGACCTCTTCGTGTGATCGTGGTTGGAGCTGGTATCTCCGGCATCCTGGCATCGATCCGATTGCCTCAGAGAATCTCGAACCTGTCGCTCCAAGTATATGAGAAGAACTCTGATGTCGGCGGCACTTGGTTTGAAAATCGATACCCGGGATGTGCTTGTATGTGAACCGAACCGAAGCACCCACACCACTCTTCGAGAAGCCTACGCATGCTGACATGATTTTCCTTTGGCTAGGTGACATTCCCGCACATACGTACCAGGCGACATTCGAGCCTAATCACGAATGGTCGCAGTTTTATGCCACGTCGCAAGAAATCCATCGGTATTGGAAGAAAGTCGTCGCCAAGTATGACTGTATGCGACACATCAAGCTCAACCATCAGATTGTCAAGGCCCAATGGGATGAATCGCAAGGAAAGTGGCAAGTACAGGTAAGTTCTTGACTTGTTGTTTTTCGTGTCCCAGTGACCGTGTGATCGCTGACACTGCAGCCTCCAGGTCAAGAACACTCAAGACGGTAGCATCATAGATGACTCTTGTGATGTGCTGTTGTCGGCCACCGGTGCGTTGAACGACTGGAAGTGGCCTCAGATCCCAGGTCTTCAAGACTTCAAAGGGAGTTTGTTGCACAGTGCAAGTTGGGATGAATCTTTCGACTGGACGGTGAGTTCGCTGTCTAAGAGTGTGTCTATCTTCTGGATGCTGATGTTGGCGGATGCAGAACAAACGGCTGGCAGTCATCGGCAATGGTTCCAGTGGCATCCAGATCGTGCCAGCGGTGCTGGCCAAGTCCAACCATGTGGACCATTATATTCGAGGCCGAACGTGGCTATCGCCGACCTTTGCACGAGAGAAGGTCGATTTGATGGGGAAAGGCCTTGACAATTGTAAGTTTAGACCGCCGTGAATGCCACTTGGCTCTTCACATACTGATGTTGGTGGTGATCAGTCTCTTTCTCGGAAGAAGATATCAAACGATTCCAGACCGATCCTGATTTCTACGAAAAGTTCCGAAAGGATATCGAACTCGAACTCCAGACTGTGCATGCCGTGACGATGAAAGGAACTCCCGAGCAACTTGGGGCTGTTGAGGTGTTTACCGAAAATATGAAACGGCGTCTGGAAGGCAAGCCTTCCCTGGTGGACACTCTGATGCCTTCGTTCCCTCCGGTGTGTCGACGATTGACGCCAGGGCCTGGCTACCTCGAGGCCTTGACTGATCCCAAGGTTGATGTGATCACGACGGGGATTGAAAAGGTCGATGCGACTGGAATTATCACGACTGATGGCCAGCATCATCCTGTGGACGCCATCATTTGCGCGACGGGCTTCGATACCACATTCAGCCCTCGATTCCCCATTATCGGTCAACGAGGTGTCACTATGGCTGAGAAGTGGAAGGACATTCCTTCAACATACCTGTCGTTGGCCACGGATGGATTCCCTAACTACTTTATCTCACTGGGGCCGAATTCAGCACTGGGAACGGGGAATCTCCTGCTTCTGATCGAGAAGGTCATTGACTATGTCACTTTTTGTCTGGCCAAGATGCAGAGAGACAACATCCGAAGCATGGCGCCCCGGCCAGATGCTGTCGAGACCTTTGTCAAGTACTGCGATGAATATTTTTCGACCACGGTCTTCTCCATGGACTGCCGGAGTTGGTATAAGGGCGGTACCTCAGATGGCCGAGTCAGTGCGCTCTGGCCGGGATCTTCACTGCATTCCATGAGGGCGCTCGCGCATCCTCGGTGGGAGGACTTTGTTTACGAGTATGAGAGCGAGAACCCGGCTACGTGGATTGGAAACGGTTGGACGGTCAACGAGAGGGACAAGAAGGTCAATGTGAATTACCTGAACAGGGATCAGATCGACTTTCCTGCAGTTCCATCTTGAGATGTGATTGTGGTCTATGTATTGATGGGTTTGGTGTCATTGCAGGGCGTTCCCCGGAAGGTGCATACAGGTATTTGTTCAACTCGAAAGGAGTATACGGGTACGAAGACTCGATAGAAGACAGAAGAAGCATTCAAGAGCTACATGATATGAGGCGAGATGCACCTAGATATCAATGAATCAGTATTCCGAACAGGGCCGATGATAGCGTTATCACCAAGTCCCTGGCATCACAATTCCTCGCTTAATAACCATGAGAACCCTTTTGGAAGCCCTACTGAAATCGATTAATGAGCCCGGCCCTCCCGGCACCAACTACAGAGTCTATGCAGGACCCCCGAACAGCCCGCCAGACTGGTAATCGAACGTTCTTGGAGAACCCCCAACTCGTAACTCCGTACAACGCAAGGCCTTCTTTAGGGGCCGAATAAGGTATCGTTAGGGCTGCTAAGGCCCAGGATGTGACCCCGCACCTGGAGAACTACCGCCCACGGGCTCCCACGGGCGCCCACGAGGCCAATGGAAGAAGATGACAGGTGACCAGCACTAGACCCTTTCTAAGCCCCTGCTAAGCCACTTTCATGCCTAGTCATCCCCAAATCTCTGCGGAGACGACTGGGCGATTGGGCCATTTGGGCGACGCTTACACAGTTTGACCTCGAATTACCAACTAAAGGACCAAACCTTTCTCGCCTTTTTTCTCCTCATCCTATTCCACTAATTGATTTCCACGATTGCGACGACGATAACGAGAACGACGACAACGACAACAAACGACCACGCTCTCGCCGGCGCCATGGATCAATTCAACGATCTCATCCGCACCCAGGAACTCCTTTCAGCGGCCTGTGAGAAGCGATCCGACAGTCCTCCATTGCCCGCAGTCACTTCCGAGAAGAAACATCTTTGCACCATTTGCGGGCAGGGATTTTATCGCGCCGAACACTTGAGACGCCATCAAACACGACGTGAGCCTGCCGAGGATATTACCATTGCGCTTTGAAACTCATCACTAATCGCGTCGCGTTCCAGATACCGGCGCAAGACCCTTTTCATGCACTTTTTGCGGTCGAGATTTTTCACGCAAGTACGAAGTTCTCCGCGGCATCATTTCTTCCCCAGAAAAGACGCGCTGACTGATCGTGCAGAGACCGCCTCCAGACTCATTACCACATTTGCCAGTGGCGGGGAGACCGCGAGCCTCCCAGTTCAGTTCCCAAGGGTCGACGACCACATGCTTGTGTAACGGTGAGATTTGATTTGCCCTTCTTCCCACCCCTGTGGTACTGACACCAAGCCCCCAGTGTGTGAATTCCAAGATACGATGCGATGGAGGTAATCCTTGCGCTCAGTGTAAGAGGAAACAAGTCACGTGTCGTCAGAAGGGTTCGACCAAGGAAAACTCTTCGTCAACGGGTACGTGAATTCGCTTTACTTGTAGACTACGCGCGCGAAAAATGCCCGCCGTGCAGAGCGTGTTTGACTGAGTGAGTGGCTTTTCACACAGGCACGAAGAAAGCAAGCGCTTCTACCCCCGCGTCCGTCGCTGTCGCTGCCGCGGCTGCTGATGATCGGGTGTCTATCAAAGCGTTGCTGAATGGCGGAACCGACACATTCACAAGAACATACAATCTCCCGCCATGTGACGACCGAATGCAGAGCATGCAATTCCACCAGGAACAGGTCGAGTCAGGAGAGACAAGCGAGATCAATGACGTTAAAGTGGGCGACCCGAGTCCGAACTCGATCGACTATTCCGGCTTGTTTGAATCCTTCATGGACACGAACGAACAATACTTGGACTTCTGGAATGGGCCGTTTGGCCTCGTGCCCTCGCCAAATTATGCCGACATGCAGCTGGATTTCTACGACCCCTCCATCGGCCCCGGAGACATGCGCTTTGGGCCAACTCCGTCGGACTCTGCGTCTAACCCACCAGACCACGCTCAATATATCTCAGCGGTCAACATGGCCATCTACAACAAGCTTTGGTGTCTGGCACTCGACGACAAGGCTCGACAGGAACTGACGGCGTGTCTTAATTTCCTCTTGACTCCCGAAAGGATCCCGAAATTCATCTCCATGTACTTCCGCAACTGGCACCTCAATTGTCCAATGCTGCACAAACCTTCCTTTGACCCTGCCAAAGCGCAGACGTCGCTAGTCATCAGTATCATCTTTGTGGGAGCGATGTATTCCAAGGATCAATCCGAGAGAATGGCGGCGAAGAAACTGGTCGACGTTGCAGAACTGGTCGTCTTTGACTCGGAGATTTTCTCTTTCGAATCCGAGATTATCAAATTCATACAGGAGTCTTCCTCAACGCCAGCACCGTCAGAAACAACCGAACCTGCGGCGGACCCGGAATGGAATCGCTTTCAAGAGGTCCAGGCAGGATTTCTGATGGTCATTGCACAGTACTGGTCTGGTGCACGAGTACCGAAACGTAGGGCCCTGGAGACTCGATTGGGAGAAGTCATCAAGGTAGTTATTATACCCTGCTGGTTTGCTCGCTTATCTAGGCTGCTGACCAAAGCCGCTAGGTCCTACGGAAATACAATTACCATCACGCGCGTCATCAGCCGTCAGATCGGATATCGGAGAATGCCTGGCTACAGAAGGAGTCTCGAATCCGGTACGGCCTAACCCCCTCCCTTCCTTTCCAAAAAACGCACGCCAAAGTATGCAGGGTCCGCTGACTGAACCACTTTCTAGCACGGTCGCCAGCATTGCCCTGCTCGACTGTGCGGGCCGGATTTACACTAATTTTCCCTGTCGCATGTCTCCTGTCGAGTTCGATACCGATTTACCGTGCAAGGAAGCCATCTTCAGCTCGCGACATCCGTTCATGCAAAGCGATTCCATATTTGCTCCTCGACAGACCATAGCTGAAGCCTTTTCGTCACTCTTCGAGGGCAAGGCGAAGACTTCATCCGCGGGCCTGTCGTCTTCCATGGCTCTTGTCAACTCCAATTTTGCCGAGAATCCCAGCCAACCTCTGGAAACTGATGCCAATGGAGAATACACTCCGTTTGATCTATTCATCTTGATTCATTGTACGTTATTTTGTTGATCTACGCACGACCAATGTGACCAGCTAATTTGTTTACCAGTACTGTACACGCATATCCATTCTTGTATCGTCACCCTGTCACACGATCTACCTTCCAAGACCACGAATCGCTCAGTCAGTGCATCAAAATGGGGAGCAGTGTTTGAGAATCTCAAGACAGCATTGGAACGATGGCGACAGCTGTGGCAGGCTGTTCGATCGCATGCCACGGACGAGACTCTCAAGTCTGCTGGCATGTACAGAAATTCATTTCATTTTTGGATGATTTGTCAATTAATTTTGAGCAAAGAGGAGGCAGTCGATGTTATCACACGTATGGAAGTTAACTGCGACGATGCCCTGAGGAAACTCAAGGTGTTGTTTCAGAACGAGAATGATTGACGAGGCGGAGCGAAACGCACTCGAGACACAAGGCTTGTTATTTTTTACCCCGGTGTTTTGCCTCTCGACCTGGGGCACAATGAAGCGGAGAATGAATTTCTGGCCCAGGGGTTGGCTCCCAAGGCAACACCATTGACCTGGCGGTGGAGGGCGATGCGGGTCAAGGATGTCGGAAATACCCCCCTGTGAAGTTCGCAAAATTTGGCCTGGTTCCAGTCCTTGCAAGTGATTGGTGACGGCACAACAATGAACCTCGGCTGACTCTCTTCGAGTTATGCAGCTTGTTCGATGGTCATGCATTGGGCCAGGGCTGATGGTTTGACGGGCTGTGCTATCCGTACAGTACATGACACGGCTAATGGTGGAAGGGGAATCACACAAGTGACAAATTGGCTTGGTTCTCACCAACGGAACAAAGATGGCCCTCACCCACGAATTACTACTAGTATTACATGAGGACGAGAAGGTCGACAAGCCAACCAAGCATGAACGTGTCATCATCATTCATGAACTCTTCTCCGCAGATTCGTCAGATTGCCATATGCAAGGCTCTTGTACCAATATGAGGTACTGCCACCGACCTCGTTTGAAGACTTTTGACATTGTACAACCTAAAAGCACCTGCGCTCAACAATGACTACTATCACAATCGACTGCTCAATAACTTGGGACTGACGAAGAAACACGGGGATAAAGCATGAGAAATCACTGACGCCCAGACCTTGAGTGTGCGATGTGGCGATATCACGTGGGTGGCTGAGAAATGTGGCGGTCTCACGTGTTTGGCCGGGGTCTTGCATGTGATGTCACGTTTCCCTCTCGTGACCTCATTCTGATCTTTTACTCGTCGTTTGCCCAGGCAACACCATTAATTCGATAATTCATTACGAGTACAAAGGGCCCAGCTAAAGAAATTCTCGAACTTTGACAATCTCACTTCTTCCCCTCCTTGCCTGAGATTCTTTCTTTCTCGTCCCTCAGAATCTACCCTAATTTCGCCATCATGTCGACCACGTTCATCGAATATTCCGATGAGAAGTCGCCCCAGGTTGATGTTCTCCCTGTTCCAGTCATTGCTACCCAGGAGAAGAAACGACCCAGCTTTTTTCATCGCCTTCTCAAGGTAGCCATTGTCCTCTTTGGCTCTCTGTTCATCCTTGACCTACTCAACCATGGTCCAGCCTTTGGTAGGTTCAAACATGGCTGTCACGGCTTCATCGACTCTGTGAGTATGGGCGACGATGGTCATCAGCACCCCATTCCACCAATCGACAACTGGAAACCATTCGAAGGAACCACCCACTTCGAGTTCGACCCTAAAGCCGCCTCTGGCCTCACTGTCCGTGGCTCCAAGGCGTTCGGCAAGGTCGTTTTCGAAACATCCAAACTGTCCGAGAAAGTGCGAATTGATCTCGACATCAAGACCAACAAGCGAGACAAGCACGGCGAGATCAGCGTCGAGGAAGACAATGGTCGTCTGACCATCCACACCCCGGATACCGGCAAACTCATGACCTATGCATCGGCCAAGATCCAGATTCCCTCCAACATCATCGGCACTTTTGGCATGCCGCATTTCGACGTCGACCTTCCCCGCCACATGGTCGACTACAGTGAACTACCGGAGTCTTTGGAGATTGGAGATTTCGCAATCAGGGTCGCAAAGGGTTTCGTCAAGACCGGTCGAGTTCACACCAACAGAACCGCCATCGCGATCGCCAACGGCGCTCTCCGAGGTTCACTGACTCACGGTCGTGAACATACCGAGGTCGACGTGGCCAGGGGCAACGCCACGATCGACATCCCAGCCATCAGCTCGGGCAACGAAGGGTCGACGCACATCCATCTCGGAAACGGACACTTGAACGGCACCCTGTCCGTCTACAATTCCACCGCGATCGACGTGGCGAGGGGTTCGATCTGGATCAACGTCGACTTCAAAGACGCCGAACCGCGCGCTCAATTCTCGACCCGCATCGCCTCGGGCCCCTCACGCGTGTATGTGAATTCCATCGCCGCGGAACGTCTGTTCCGTTCGGACCACAACACCATCGCGGGTGACCAGTTGATTACGTATCCTGCCAACTTCCAGGGCACCATCGACGCTCGCGGCATCGCTGGTGACATCAAGATGACCGGTGACGAGCTCGATGTGGAAAAGGTCATTGGAGGAGTCGTGGGCAAGAAGGGTGACCCCAACAGAAATTACATGAGTGTCAAGACTGTCAAGGGGGCTTTGGACATTCTTGTCGGTGACGAGTGATTGATAATTCTTCAGACGGCCAGGGGCTAGGCTTTGTCCTACCAGTAGTAACCCAGTGCTAGTCAAAAAGTGACCACCCCAGAAAAGGAGAACTTTGTATGGATTATTACCATTCGTAATGATGAGTATTGCTGTATAATACCACAAATAAAGTTTCTACATAATCTGTACCAGTCTTTCTCTTTAATATTGGAATGGGAGCTCCCCGGTTCTGGGTGATGACGGAACTCGCCTAACAAAAGGAGTATTGGTTAGACTCGTTTATTCTTCATTCATGATGTATATCATATTGGTTTACTCAGTCGTGCCATTTTGTAACTCAGTTCTTTCGAGGATGCCTCGAAACCTCGAGACTAAAAGCTAGCCTTACCTCTCTACCTTTGTTTCAATCACCTTTACCTTGTTCATGCTATGTAATACTTACCGTTTTTTGGGTGTGTCATGTCAAGTCATGACCTCCTCGGTCTTCAACCTACAAAAACAAGACGACCGAATCTCCACGTCGGCCAGGGCGACGTGGTACATCAACTGCGGTCTGAGGATCCTCGCCTCCGCCAGCCGGCCCAACTTGACGAGACACTCGTAGTACCCGTGGAGGGACCAGACGTTGTTGGGGTGCCGCTGCGGGCGAGGGAGGGTGTCGTCGTCGTCGTCGAACCCCAGGTCGGTGGCGTAGACCTTGGCGGCCATTTCGACGTGACCCTGTTCGAGAAGCAAGGCGCCGTAGGCGTGGCGAGGGGGCTGCATCCAACCCCAAGGTTCGTCGTAGGGGAGGGAGTCGTCCAGCCTGACGGCCTCCCGGAGCCACGAGTAGGCCTCGTCGAAATGACCTTGGCGGTACGCTATCTCCCCTTCGAGCATGGCGGACGCGACGGCCAGGATGTCGGTGGCGGTGTTGTTGAACAAGGTGCGGGTGGGTTTGACCCGGGTCAAGGCCGACCGGAACAGGTCCCGTTGGGCGACGGCCTCGGAGGGGCGCGACGACGAGGCGTACGCGACGCCCTTGCCGTAGTGGGTGAGGGCGGTCGTCACGCAGTAGAGGTCCTCGTCGGCGGGGAGGGGGAGGGCGAGGAGGTCGTCCCACATCCCGAACCGGACCAGGACGTGCACGCGCATGCCGACGAACGACTCGAGCCAGTCGGCCATGGGCGGGGAGGCGACCCGCAACAGGGCCCCGGGGAGGTTGTCCTCGACGACCCGCGCCGTGGCGAGGGCGGTGCGTTTCTGCGCCGAGAACAAGGACGCGTACAGGCGGAAGTGGGCGTCGTGGGTCACGTAGAGCGTGTAAAAGTGCAGGGGGCCGGAGCGCGCGAGGTACTTCCTGTCCGCGGCCATGGCGGCGCCGTTCCCCGCGATGGCCGCGCGGTAGTCGCCGCACAGGATGTCGAGGTGCGTGGGCATGTGGCGGAGGTGACCCGAGTCCGGGACCAGGTCGCGGAGGGCGTCGGCGTGGGGCATGGCGCGTTCGGGCGTGGGCGACATCTCCATCAGGTGGATGTACAGATGGAGGAGGCCCGGGTGGGTGGAACCCCCCGGCAAGGTGAGGGCGTGGTCGAGGATCCGTTTGATCTCCAGGGTCTTCGCGTCGGGGGCAGGACGACCGGTGCGAAGGTCCCAGAGTGCCCAGGGCGTGAGGTTCATGAGGGCGTCGGCGCAGAGCGTGGCGACTTCGAGGTCGTCGGGGAATTGGGCGTGGACGGCGCTCATGGCGTCCGCGTACGGGAGGTTCCAGATCGAGCAGTCCGAGGCCGGCTTGTCCTGCGGGTACCGAAACTCGAGGGCGTTGATCAGTGCCTGTTCGACGGCGGTGGTACGCCGAGACTTCGAGATGGCCGATTCAATGGCCGCGTGGGTCCGTGAGACGGTCGACTCGAGCTCGACGCCGTCAAAGAACGACCATGGTTTGTTGTAGTTGGGCCCCAGAGCGTAAGCGAGACCCCAGTACGCCATTGCACAGTCCGGGTCGAGTGAGATGGCCTTTTGAAAACATTCTGCCGATTCCTCGTGGTGAAAGCCGTAGCTCCAGATGAGGCCCCGGTCGAACCATTTTTGAGCTTCTGGATTGCTTGTCGTTATGGGTCGGTGATATGTGCCCAGGTCGTAATAGTCATCAGGAGTAGTGCCACTCATGATGGGGTGGTCTTCAGCGCAGTGACTCCGTATCGTCTGTGTAGTGGACTATAAGATCATGCCAGGACGTGTGACTGTGGGCGGAGATGTTGAATGGCATACATCTGACAGACAATGAAAAGAATGGACGTCTGGCGAATTCCAAGGTCAATCAAGGTCGAGCTATCAGATGAAAGTGGTCCGATCTTAGGACTGCGAATACGAGTACGGATACGAGGAGTAGACGCACGGTATCGTGTAATGTTCTACCGGAGGAACAGTACGGTCAAGTACTTGATATATACGGATTTTTCATACTCAGGTACCTGAGGTAATTCAAAGGGATTCAATCTATTGTACAGTGTATAATCTGCGTGAACATATCAATCGCAATGACGCCGTTTATATCGTCCCCCTCATGTCCATGAACTCTTCTACCTGCCAGCCACCGGGTCTCTGTTCAATGTCTGTTGCATTCCGACAACGAGGATGTATTCGATCCTCTTCCGACCCAATGGGCCAGACTGGTATGAAGCAGATCTCGTCTAGTGCGCAATCACCGCACTTTTTCCAAGTAGTCCAATCTAGGTATGTCATGAGCGAGCGCAATTTTTTCTTTGACTCCGAAACAGACACATTGCTATCGAAAGCGGCGAAGAGGCCCGAACAGATCTTCCGCGTGACGGCTTCAACTGCACGACCTGCAATCGATCCCGAGTGTTTGATCCCAGTAGGAACGAATTGATTGATACATCGCTCCACCTCAGCTGTTGAATTACGATGGTCCGAGTCGATAAAGACGTGAAGAATGGTTGACAATTCATGCAAGAATGCTTCAGACGTGTCGAGACTATCTGAGACCAGGTACGGTAGCTCCTTTGCGTATCGTTCAACGACCATGTCTGTGATGCTCTGCCAGTTGATAGCACCGGAGTCGAAAGTATCCCAGTTGTTGACCATAGTGTCGACATCATTGCGTACCTTATCAAGGGAAGCTACCGATAGGTTTTCGAGCCTGGGCAGATCATCACCGTCATTGAACAGGTCGAGATCATACGCAAAGCTGGTTATGAAGTTCTCATGATCAAGCTTCACCCTGTCACCGCCAATATCATCGTATCGGGCACTGATGGCCTTTATCCATACCATGAGATGTTGCCGTACGGGCTCGGTCGGTTCAGATTCCTCGCCACCCGGGAGCGAGCGCCCTGTTCTGACTGCGGAGATGAAATCTACATTCTCAACGAATGAGCACATGATGATTTCGAAGCCAGCCTCCATCCGTATGAAACCCTTGATCTTCCCTCCCCATTTATCATTGGATAGCTTGCATAGGCGCCTTGCACGTTCAAAGTCCCAGAATCCGTCGCGTTGATTCCTGGTCACATTCAGGAGCAAGGCATCTTGAGAGTCGAGCGTGCCTCTTTCAGTCTTGCCTGCTGACATGCCATCAATGTAAAGCAAAGGAAGATTGTGTTTTGTCCTGTATGTGTGCAGCCATCCCGGCGTAATGTCATACCTGGGTGGTTTGATCCTGGTATCCAGAATAGGGTGCTGGAGCATTATCCCGCCATCGTGACCTGAAGGTGGCTGGACAAGGTCGCCGCTCTCGACCTCCGAACCATCGTTGTCATCAGTGTCGTTCCGTCGCTTGATCCTCGTAGCGAAGAAGCTGGCATGTTCTGGTTCAAATGCCAACCATTCCATACCCTCGACAGGTTCTTGAAAGGGTGATCCGTGGTAGAACTGCGTGCCGGCTGGAACTTGAGCCATGAAAAATGACATCCCATTGTGGTTCAGAGAAGAACCCCATTGGCGCATGGACGAGTGTATGGCATTGAATATGTGGTTGGCGTTGTGTACGACGACAGCATTTTTGTCTTGGTCAGTTTGTGGGATGAAGGGCACTGCTGCGGCCCACGAGTGCTCGTACACTGACAATGTGTACGCAGCCAGAATTATTCCACTCCACCACCGCATCTTTCCGAGAGATTGGAATGAATATCGGTTATATTTATCTCTACCAGAAGGGTTGTGATCACCTGGAATGTGAATGTCAGTTACCAACTTTGATGCCAGGCAACCTCGAGAGAGATAGAGATCTTATCTGATTATCACACATCATGCATGATGATCTGCTACTTGCTTACGTGGCGCGGTCCAAGGCTCGATCCAATGGACGTTGGACATTCAGATGCGACGGACACGCTAAGGGAAATGCTGAAAGACCGCAGGCCCCGACATCGGTCAAGAGTCAGTTACCATCACCATGGTAGCATCCGAGCAATTCAACAACCGCATGGCATGAGTGAAGAGAAGGCCAGACCGATAGCTGATGGCTCGTTAGGACTTGGCGATGATTTCATCCTCACTTGAGGCGATGACCTTTTTTGGGATCCATATCTGGCGTCATCATCATAAGCACCGACATATACATATTTGGACCTCTGTCTCTCGGCGCCCAGAGGATGGAGATTTTCTCTCGTAACGCCTTGCAAGCAACTCGGTGACGACAACGACGGCAATGGTGATGTCCTCACGTAGATGCTGTTGTACGGGTGAGGAAGAAGCGCGTCTCTCTTCGCCTGTTATTCTGCCTCTCTATTCTCTCTCCCCCCAAACCCAACACAGACACAATACAACGCAAAATGACCAACGGCACCGTGCGTATGTTCGTCCTCGAGACCGATGAGCCTCACCCGGCCACCAAAGCAACTCGAGGCAGTTTCGGAAATATATTGGACGAACTCTTCAACGAAGCCGGCTCACAGCACACTCCACCCCTCAGTGTCGAAACGGACACGCACTACGTGGTCGAAGATCCACCTAAACACCGCGGCCACGTCCCGACGGCGGACGAGATCCCCGGAGATACGCGAGCCATCTTGATCACGGGGAGCATGTACGACGCCCACGGGAACGACGAATGGATCCTCAAGCTTCTCGACCTGCTGCGCCAACTGTGGCGCGAACGACCGTCTCTTCGATTCAGTGGTGTCTGCTTCGGCCACCAGATCCTCTGTCGAATGCTGGGCGCCCACGTCAGGCCTCACCCGGACGGGAACTGGGAACTCGCCCACACGGAACTAGAACTCACGGAACGTGGCAAGAAGCTCTTCAGGACGGAGCAGCCGACGATCCAACTGCACCAGATGCACCAGGACCAAGTGACGACCGTGCCGTCGGCGGAAACGACCGACCTGCTCGGGCCGGAGGACGACAAAGTACACGTCTGGGCCACGACGGATCACACGCGTATCCAAGGGCTGTACCTGCGCGACCGGCTCTTCACGTCCCAGGGCCATTTGGGGTTCGACGAGGACATGGTGAGAAGACAGGTCGACATGCGGGTCGAGAACGGCGGGATCAAGGACTCGAGGTTCGCAGAGGCACGGAAAGAAACGGCCGAGTTGAAACACGATGGGATTCTTGTTGCGGGTGCAATCCTCCGTTTCTTCCATGGTGAAGATCGAGATATATCGTGAATTTCAATGACGATAGAACTGGCAAAGTTCGTTCTTTCTGTGTGCTTCATTCCTTGCCTTCCTTGGCTTTGCTTTGCCTTGCCGTTTCATACCGAACCACCATATCACATCGTGTGTTCGTTAGATGCCCTCCTCGGTAGCACATCAGAGATTCCCCTTCGTAAGGACGTAACCCATGTGTGGATGTACTTCCTTTTTGTTGCCGTCCATGATCTATCCACATCATCGTCACATATCCACCCTTAGATTGCTGGGTACGAGTCAACCTCTCAAAGAACTCCTCTATTTTCATTATAGCCCCATCCATCATCCAAATCCTCTTCCTCCAAGGGTTCCGGGCCTCCTTTTGTGCCACTCACTCAAAACCCACCGTACAGGATCACCTACCATCTCCCTCTTTCTCAACAGTCCATCGTGCCCGAACCCATCAAGGTACGCATACCTTTTGGTATCCTCGTCTTCGACAAGGTCCAACTGTGCTTTTGAAACCTCGTGTGCAAAAGTTCTCCACTTGTCGATAAACATCCTCGCTCTTGCTCTTTCCTCGTCGGTCCCTCCCCCGATCTTGACCCCTTCGTCGTACATCCTCTGATAGTCCACGGCACTATTACACCGCACTACGCTCAAGATGCCACCTTTGTAAGTCTGCAACTCGAGCTGTCGTTTCTGGGCCAAGCGCCACGCGCTGAGGTGCGTATCTTCCATGCCGGCGACTTTGTGCCTCGTCCGCACCGCGGCAGCGATGGCATCGTCCCACTCCCGGTCGGTCATGCCAGACTGTTCGCGCAGGTGCGTCACGCGCTCCCAGTCGACATCCGCGGCCACGGCAACGAGCTCGGCCGCCGGGACGCGAGGATACAGAGACAACATCAACTCGGTGGCGGTGTCGACAAGGACGATTCCGGCAATTACATCCTTGAGAGGGTTAGATTTTCGCCTCGTCATCGTACGGTTCTCCTCGAGACGCTTGCCGTTGCCGTTGCCGTTCTTCTCTAAGATAGGATCCGTGCTCGTTGGTGAAGGCGTACACTCCGGCTCGGCCCCCTCATTCGAGGCAACGATAACGTTCAGAAACTCGCGAAGACAGATTCCACCGAATGAATGTCCAACCAGAACGTACGGCGGCGATATGTCCAACGTGTCCAAGAGGCAAGCGAGGTCCAGCGCACCGTCCTCGGCGAGCAACGGTCCGTTGTCGTTATCCCGGAGCGAGCTGCGATCGTAGCCGGCGCGGTCAAACAAAAAAGCCCTCACGAAGGCGGACAGACACTGTTGGACTTTGACGTAGAGAGCCAAAGGTCCACCGGCGCCCGTGAAGAAGATGACGATTGGGTCGTCCTTGTCGTCATCGTCGGTAGGGTGCCGCCGTCGTCTTGCTACAGGAGGGCCGGAACATGACGCGACGAGAGAAACACCCCGTGAAGGCAGAGAGATTAGTCCAGATATGTGTGGCCTTGTGAGCCAAGGGTTATCTTTGTGTTTGTGAATCGTCATTTGTAAAAGACTTGTTTGGCCGTCGTCGTGTGGACCTTGTGATATTCCACGGATTACAGTTTGTCCATCGGGGTGGGGACCTACTTGGCTCTAGATAGGACAAACCCGAATAGCTTGGTCCAGAGCCTTCGCTTAAGGGGTCATGCAGGGACGGGAGGTCCAGGCGAGGACACACCGAATGCTCTTATGGGGGAGACTTACCGGCTAGTTACCCCGGACCAAAAACATACGGCTTTAGAATATCTACCTCCTCCCCAGCCAAACTTTGCCATCACGTTCAAAACGCTGGTCCTCGAGAAGAGCATATCAGATGAACTCAGGTAAGCTACAGTAGTACACAACAGCCCGTATGTAATATCACCGACACGGTCATTATTCTCAGCCAGGGGCCGCGAAGATGCCTCTTTCTTTCGCGGCACCACTCATGCCCATCGCATGTCTGATCGTTGTCCATGTCCTCGAAACCCGATCACCAGAGCTTGTGCAGCTCAAACAGTCTTGTCGGCGGTTTCGTGAAGTTCCATTGCACCCTTCAAGTGCAGTTCATTGTCAATGTCATTGGCACGGGTTTGACCATCGACCGCACCAAACAAAACATCCATCTCTTCGACAGACAAGTGTCTAGTTTCTGGTAGGAAGTAACAGAGGATGGTGGCGCAAACATTGAGGGTTCCAAAGATCTATACCAAATCCGAGAGTAAGTGAGACAACATGTCAGAAACGGAGTCCTTTGGAAAAAGAGGCAAGGAAAAAAAAGGGGTAGACCAAAGCGGTCCGGAAGAATCAGAGCTGTAGGGGGAGAGGGTGGAACTTACCATCCATGTTTTCCAACCAGTATGAAGAATAGCTATCGGCTGTACCTTGGACCACAACAGGTTGAAGGCCCAGCAAGCGGCAACACACGGCGCCATGCCGTACTCTCGAATTCGGTTGGGGAAGATTTCTCCCAGATAAACCCACAGCAACGGACCCCATGAGATGGAATAGAAAATCTGGAAGACATATACCATGGCGACCTGACATCAAAATAAATCAGACACGTCGAACAGACAAGTCACAGATAAATATATATCTCGACCATGGGAGGCTTCAACTTACCATTGCTCTTCCGCCGTTGCCGAGTTCACCACTCTTCCTCGACGATGGTGGATCGACCGCAAGGAGTGCTCCAAGGATATATATACAGACACCCATACCACTGAATCATGCGTCAACATATTGCGTATCAAGATGAGCAAAAGGCCCGAGATAGGGAGTGCCTTACAAGGTACCGGTCATGAGCAATGTGCGTCGACCGAAATACTCGACAGGTCCGATGAGAAACAAAAGGACAGCGGCGAGTTTGATGATCAAAATGACGCCACCTCCAAGGATGGTGGAAGAGGGAGTGACATAACCGATGTCCTTGAAGACCGTGGGAGCGTCTTTTGACGGGCCTGGAGTCAGCAACGCTTGTCCGTCGTTTCAGACGATTTGTACCAACTTACAATACAGTATAACATTGTGTCCACAAGAAGTCGAAAACTAGACTCAGAGTCGGAGTCGTCAGAAGAAGTTCTCAGACTGTCAGGATATCCGAACACAAAAAACTTACCATGGCGAGGGATAGTCCCCACGCCAACCTCTGCCAGTTTCCTTGGATGAACAACTCTCTTAAGGTGTTTCCTGCAGTTGCGGCGACCTCTTCATGAACCTGGGCCAGGATCTCGGCAATCTCAGTGGCCAGAGCCGGGTCCTCGACGGTGCAGCCACGTAGCTTGCACAGGGTGTCTCTCATTTCATCCAGGCGATCTTTGCGGGCAAGCCAACGTGGGGACTCGTAGGAGGAATACGCCCCGACCACGATGATGGCCGCCAGAGGGAGTTGGAGGGAAAATGGGATCCTCCACTGAGCCGACGTGGGTGCCAGATGGATCTGACACCCGTACACGGCAAAGTATCCGATGAGACCACCGAAGATCAAGTATAAATCATAGAGACCTGGTTTCATTTTGGACTTGTCAGCAAGCACGCCTGGTGAAGATCAAGGAAAACTCACTCATCATGAAACCGCGATATTGTTTCGGTGCGCACTCGGCCATGAAGGTAGGGGAGACGTTGCTGATGAGACCGACACCGACTCCGGCGATGACTCGACCCGCATTGATCATACCCAAACCGGGCATCGTGCTACCCGTCTGCAACGACCCTCCGAGCAAGAAAAAAAGGCCGGAGATCATGAGGAGGTAGCGTCGACCCAGGTGCTGAGAGACCAACAATGGGGCGAAACTACCAATGATGGCTCCGGCATTCAAGAGCGTCACGATCGTGCCGGAAGTGTTGGCAAGTTTGGAGGCGCTGGTGTTTAATTCGAACCCGGCTATGAAACTGTGTTCACAACACAAGGACAAGGAGGAGTTAGTTCATTGAACTTTGCTCATACGTGGTAGGCAATGTACGTATCCTCCTATCTTGGTGACGTGACATTGACACTGTTACTCACCTAGGTAAGGAAACAATTGCACCTATGCCTCCAAGGTCGAAACCACTTAGGATAGCTCCTATATTGATAATACCAGCAATGTAGAAAGATCTCTTGTTCTTTTTGATGTCTTTGAAAAGTTCCATGGTGTCTTCGCGAAGTGTGGTTCCGTGGGGTTTTTTAGTATAGGGGTCGCTGGGCAAGGTCAAGAAAGATAGGGGAGGAATATGGTATTCGTAGTCAAGATGTCAAAGAGCCTACCGCACCCTTATAAGGGAACTGCGATTCCTTTTTTCCTTGTGGTTTCTCTCCTTCCCTTTTGCTTGCCGAGGACAACAACCGAAGCGAAAGGACTCGGGACCCGAGGAACTCTTGTTCGCTGCGAGATAAGACCGTTTTTTGTGACTTGCTAGATAACCCTATAATCCTGTGCTAATACTCACCAAGACATTCTAGTCCTGTTGAACTAACTCGGAGTAGGTTTTGCTGTAGGTGTGTTCACTATCGCCCGGACTGTGTCAACTCCTCCTCCGCCACCGCCGCCTCCACTTAGACTCCATTGGGGGTGGTTTGGTACCTACTACTCTGTAGATGCCGCTAGTTACAGATACTCGTACAATACACCGCCCCTCGATTCGAAAGAAGACCAAGAAAATGCGGAGTTCTCCAGTAGTTTTAGTCGTCAGTGTCCCATGTTCGTAACCCTGACGAGCGCTGGAGGGGTGATTGGGGGCTTTGGATGTTCTCGTAGTCTTGTAAGTTACATCTTGACTAGCTATAGACCATGTCCTCGTTTGCCTCATGTGTGTGTGCTGTTTCCTTTCAACTGTTGCTGTCTGACATATACTGTATCTGTAGGTAGCTTGTGGGTCCTTGGTTCCACGAATAAGATAAGCAAGCTAGATGAATGAATACGAGAAAGATAACTCAACGTAGACACTCACGAGCACATACTCTTTTACCTGTGCCAAGGGGAACCTCGCCTTCTCTTTTTCAGTTTGTTTCCCCAGACGTTGACAGGAGTGACTAGATACTGAATATACGGACAGGGCTAGAACACACTCGCCCAAACTTTGGGTTCGGGAGATCATGTCCTTTCAAGTTATGCTCTGGGGATAAGGAAGCGATTAGCGAAAAGGACCCGTTGGGCAGACCGAGGTGTCGTCGGGCCGTGACTAAGAATAATAGTCGGAAGAAGCACCTTTCAGAAGGTGGCTTTTTGGCTTGGTCGACGATCCGACGAGTGACGAGGCCAGTACACGATAATTACAGGTCTTTAGGCTAGCTCTCTAGAGTCTGAAGACGTCCAACGACCTTGATGTCTGCCACAAACATGACCTCGGCGCGCAGCTCTATTTGAAGACAGCCGAGGATCAAGATACAGATTCTGAACATGGCCAGGCCAATATCCCTCGTAGGAGTCCTGTATAGACTTCGGCCCCAGCTGCTGACTGAATAGGTGCCAGCCTGGCGGAATTAAACTTAGGCCGTTCTGGTAGATAAGGGGGGCAAAAGATCCAAAACTCCGTCACAGGCAATACTCCGTAGTCAGAACTCACTCGAACCGAAAAGAATCATTGATCTCGAAGCGTTTCCCCTGTAAGTTCGAGCCGCTGGCAAAAGCAACCCACAGCTTACGAACTTCAGGCCCGACGCGGGCGACGATGTCCTTCGCATTCGGGCCCTGGAGCATAGGTGCACGTTCCCAAGCCGACCACGACCCCAGCAGGTAGGGAAGGCATATACAGTGGGCGGCACCCAAACCGTACTGGAACCTGTGTGAAAAGTACACCAGAGCCGCATTCCCCCCCGCGTCGGAAATCTTGCTGTACATCTTTTCACTTCCCCACCCGAATATCTGTCCCGTGTACAACCACTCCTTGAAGGACAAAGCGACGCGCCCGAGGAGAGGGATTTTCAAGAGCGGACCCAACCAACCGTCCATCCTGGCGAATATCGCCCCGTCGTCTCGGGTGTAAGATATCAGGACGGGTTTGCGGATCCGACTGACGTCGTCGAGGCTGCTCATCGCCTGGGTGATGGTTCCTTCATAGGGGCGGCGATAGAACGACGGTGCGAACGGCATAACGCCCGTCGGAAATTCTTTGGCCGCCATCGCAGCCTTGACCTGTGGCGTCTTGAGCACCTCTTCAAACGGTATATCCTTGATGTTTTGACCGGCAAGGGATTCAATCATTGCCTCGCCCATCCGCTTTTCCATCTTCTGCCGCTCCGCAAAGGGCTTGGTTCTCTCCCCAAACGGCGCGCTCTGTAAGATGGCCCGATGGAAAAGATCCTGAGTTTCGTCGAGGAGCAACATGGAGAAGATCGAGTCGCCACCCGCCGACTGTCCAAAGAGGGTGACGTTTCCGGCATCCCCACCGAAACAGGGAATGTTCGTCTGCACCCATTTGAGAGCCGTGATCTGATCCGACAGGCCGAGGTTGGGCGAAGCGACACCGTCGTCGCCCACGGGGTAATAACCCAGGACGCCCAAGCGGTAAGTCACGTTGACCACCACGACCCCTCGCCGTGCCAACGGCGTGCCGTCGTAGCAATCCAGGTCGCCACCGCCGGACACGTAGGCGCCGCCGTGGAAGAAGACCATGACGGGCAACGCTCCCCCCGTACTCTTCCCCGCGGATCCCACCGCACTGGCCGGGGCGGCGATGGAAACGTGCAGGCAGTCCTCCGACTGTGGCCTGGTGCCCTGGATGTCTCCAACCACCACGGCCAGACGTGATGGCAATTGCGGGCTGAGCACCGCCGGTTTGGTGCAGTCCCAGACATCGTCCCAGCGGTCAACGAGACGAGATTCCCGGAACCGTTCGGCCGTGGCGTATCTGACCCCTCGCGCTCGAAAGACCTCTCCGTCATCTGTGAGGAAGCCCTGGACTCGTCCTCCTGGTAATCGAACAATTGTGTCACCGTCTATGCCTGCCATGGTGACCCTCGAGAACGGGTACTAGGTCTGGAGCGAGGGTATCAATATGGAATAGGCTGATAATATATGGTTGTTCAGGTAAAGATGTCTCTTGTGGGCTCCACGTAGATATGATGGTCTTTTCGAAGTGTTCAAAGGAAGGGAAATCACTGATAATGAATATATCTCTACATCCAAGAACTTCGTACACAAGTGCTCGTACATCGGACGATTCTAGTCAGGCATCTTGTCTATCCAGCAGCAGGTGGAGAGAGATCCCTAGAGCACTAACACGTACAAATACGAGGTACGAAGTCAGACAGAATAGACAGACGGCTCTGAAGACCACCTAAACCTCGTAACTGTAGATACCAAGTAAATAGCTCAAGATCAGATGAATTATCCCTCAATCAATCAGTTAAGGTTCCTCTCTCTCTCTCCGCTGGCTGGTAGTTGTCCTCGGCAGTTGATGAGACCGACTCCGACCTTTTGACGAACTGCGGCCCGCGGCCCGCGACACACGAGCAACAAAACATGCCGCAACGTTTCTAGTGTCTTTTCCTACTTACCTACCAAAGAGCCATATCAGTAGTATCCGGATTGACATGTTTGGAAATCTGTAGTGCTCCTTTCAGTACTCTTTCCGAGGAGCACCATAATTGGTGGCGAAATGCAATGAAAGCTCCATCTCTGCAGTTCTCCTTTATGCTTTGTTCAACCAATCTGTACTGGTATGTCTGTGCTTTCAATAAGCTGTGTCTCAAGACCACATGAACCACTGAACTTATCACTGAGGGTTTTGAATTTTGCCGAATACGTGGCTGGAGAATCTCAAACGTCAAAATACACTTGACGCAGTCATCAAGATTATTCCATCGACATGGGAGCGTTTACGAATTTTACCTCGCATTGCTCTGTCTCTTCGTATACGTAGCTTTGTGTATGATATGATATTAGCGGATCGCGAAAATGATGGTGGATATAATACACATAGGTAAAGACAGTATCTGAATGTTCCAAAGCATATGCCGCCTGATCGAATATCGCCCTACAACTCTCCAGTAGAGGTTTCGCTCAAACCTTGGAAACATGCTCCATTTCCATGACTTCTGAATTGACCAAGGTTTTGTCAAGTCTGGCCCGTTCCTCAGCTGAGAGGTGAGAAAGGTCGACTGCGACTTCATCACCGAACTTCGCTGCAACTTCTTCGAGAGCGAGTCCTTTGGTCTGCGGTAACACCGTTGCGTCAGAATTGCATTCACAACTACTAGGGCTTGAGGAATCAGACATGCGGGTATAACTCACCTCAGGGTAGAAAAAGTACATCATTGCCGCACCGCATATGGGCACAATGATGAAGATCAGATAGTACTTCCAGCCAATACTATTGAATGCGACAGGCGCACACATGGTGTAGATCAAGCTGAAGCAGAATAGACCCGACACGCTAAACCCTGCACCCTGAGCACGAATCGACGTTGGAAAGATCTCGGACGAGTAGACGTAAGAAGAAGCGTCCATGCTGCCACCGAAGAAGGTGACGAACAGGTAGAGGAAGAAGACGCCGAAGCCATTACCCAGCTTGTTGTCGGTGCCACCATATCTGGCAAGGCAAGCTGTGAAGCCGGCAACGGACACTGCGCAGCCAAGCTGGAGAAGGTTCAGATTTAACGGTCAGGCATGGAAGTGTTCTTGAGCTCACCTGTCCGACCACCATAATAGGAATGCGGCCAACTCTGTCAAGCAGCAATGCATTGATGAAATTCATGCACGCTGCCCAGGTATCCCAGATGGCGTAGAGCATCAGCGGCATTGATCCATAGAGACTGAGACCATTGTAAAGTAGTACTTGGTAGTTGTTGATAACGAGGCATCCTGTGCTCTGAACCAGACCGCTGTCAATTAGTCAGTAAGGGAGTTTTGAAACTATGAAGCGAGAGATATCAAACTTACAGCAGCAAGAACCCAAAAAGGAGGCGCTTTCGATACGACTTTCTGGAAAAGAGGACAATCCAGCCCTTCACCCAGCCCTGTCCTAGGCCTTCGCGCCTTTCGAGCTCCAACTGTTGGCGTATCTGGTATAGTTCTTCGCGGGCAGTAGTGTAATCGTCATCTCCCGGTTGTTGGTGCAGACGTTTGAGGATCTCGAACCCAGCTTCCTGCCGGTCAGTAGCGACAAGAAATCGAGGAGACTCTGGAAGCCAAGGGGATCCGAGGAGGAGGCCGAGAGGTGGGACGATTTGAAGTGCCAGGCACAGACGCCACTGGGCGACCTGACTATCCAGGAAGTAACAGCCATAGCCAGTCCAACCTGCTAGACCCTGTGTTCAAGTCAGTGTGCCGATTCGTCAATGATTTAGCCATACTCACATAGCCTACGCAGAGAACGAATCCATGCGAACCGACCATGAAGCCTCTCGATTTGGGAGGAGAAACTTCGGACTGGTAGAGTGGTGTGATGACGTTCACCATGCCGGCACCGAATCCCATCATGAAGCGGGCGACCAAGAACATTGCAATATGAACGGAACCGGCTTGGAGAGCGCCTGCGACTATACAAATCGAGGCTGTAATCTGGATGGATCGTTTTCGTCCAACCTTGTCGGCGAGAAAGGTAATGAACCAGCAGCCGAGCAGGCCACCACCAGCAAAGAGACCATTGGTGGCTGTAAACGTCAGTTTGGGTGCTTTGCCACGCCGAGGGAGCGACGAGAAGTGTTCTTCGTATGGTTCAGGAAGACATACCTCCAGTGATCTGAGACCCTTCGCTTGACTTGATATCGATGTTGAAGTATTTGAAAAAGGAGGGGAGGCCGATGACCGCGCCGATAATGGCAGAGTTATAGCCGTACGTCAAGGACCCAAAGGTCACTAGATAGACGATGATAAAATTGTACGCGTTCACAGCCATGTTGATGATGGTTGATGAAACTGCGAGGGAATCCTTTCTGAACAGCCGCCTTCTAGAAGATTGGCCTTTATGTCAGCTGCACCTACGTGAAAAAGGAGAAGCTCACTGAAGCTTCCCCAAGGTATACCACTGCTGCCATCCATGTCTAGGCTCGTTACCCCAAGCATGCGCGTACGATGGGTTGAGTTTCCCCATAGCTGGAGGATAGACGAGGTTGGGGAAGTGGTACACGTATGTATGACCTGTAGCAAGGGTAGGATGATTCCCTCTTTGGGTGGGTTGATCATCCCAGCGTGTACCGGCGTTTGAGCGATCACACCAGATCCATCGTGGACTGAAGCCATCTTGGCCTATTGATAGGCAACTACCCCCGCAGGAAGGTGATATTCCCCATCATACGGTATTGGGGACAGGCTATGATGTTCCGAATCATGAGCAGTCAAAGTCGGCAACAATCAAGCCTGCTTTGCAAGGTATTGTACTTCTTAGCGACGGCCAAGCTCCAAAGTAAGAGGAGCAGGTATCAGCCATGAAACCAATGGCAAGTTGTCAATTCGGCGTCTAGATTAGCTCAACTCCTTCAAGAGAAAAGCTAGAAGCTTGCTAGGCTTCGAACTAAAGAGCCTGAATCCTCAATGACTGGTGGATCAGGGACCAATTACATCACTATTGCCGAGGTCAAAAGCTGCCGGGCATTAGGCTACTCGAACGAAGCCAAATAGCGCCTGTCCGTGATGGGGACTGCCTTATTCCGTGGCCGGAGTGATATTTTCTCTGCTTGTAGCTTGCTATGGCGCATGGCTTCCGTTACTGAGATGGAAGAAATTGCAAGCCAGAATGTGTGAGAGCTGGTTTCGTGACAAGACGGCAATTTCTCCACTCGGGGTTCTACCTACTGTACAGTAATGTCATCAAGTCGAGTTCCGTACTTTTGGGGTCCCGATTACATAGCCGAGACTCATTAGGTATTGATCACACCAAAAACAGCCATCATAAGGCTGAGAAGGCTTCCGGACCTGTCTATGTCGGTATAGTGTATCTCCCAGTGCTTCCCCAACTTTTCGTCGTAACTATATTGTGTGAGTTCCGGGGCCTTGGGCTCAGGAGCACTAACAATCGATGTGCCGGGAGTTGGGCTAGCGAGTGCTTGCACATGGGGCAGGGCTCGAGCAGAAGCGAATTTCGTTGGCAATAGGCACCGAAATCTATCGGTCGTTCTGGAAGCTCGGCAAAGCACACGGTGGTAGAGGTTGGAGAAACCACGTGCAAGTGATGGAGTTCGGGGTCAAACGAGACCGCAGACAGTCTCGGCTTCGTGTATCATGTTCCTAGGAGTCAAAAGTACTTGCCTTGGTCAAGCTGAAGGACTTGAACAGGGCATGTCGCCCCGTATACTCCATGCTTCGGCACCAGCGCTGGAACTCCGAAAGATCCAGAGGGAGACGATCCTGTTCTAGACCCTCCAGAGTCGTCTTCGTGATTGCGCGTTCGGCTGTCGATGAAAATCTTGCAGAATCCTTTATCATACTGCATCTGCATGCCGCCTGACTGTCAAGTCGGCAATGCTATCGCACCATAGAGATCCCTGGTGCCCATCCGAAAGGTACCAATGGTTGAGCAGGACTCGGCTGCCACGTGAGCATGCTTGCCAGATGATAGAAAACACTTGGCCAATGCATCACTCGATATTCCTCGACTTGTTGCCTCTTCTTTTGGTGAGCCTGGCTTAGGCTTTCCTTGCAAGATCCTGATGTATCGCTTCAGCTGGCCGGCTTGAATCTGGATTTTTGTCTGATCGTGGCTCCATATTTGTAGAAGAGGATGGGTACCGGGACAAATGCCAAACAGAGAAATCCAAGAAGCGATGAAGCCCACGAAACTCCCAGGCCATGATACAATGCTGGGGCAAAGAGTGGAAACCCTGCCGCTGCTATTGATCTGATGAAAGTGTTGATGGCAATGGCGCTGTTGGAATAAAAACCGTAACAGTCAATGATGTAGTTCATGCCCTGCCAGAAGGTGACCAAACATCCCATCCCGAGCAAGGTAACGGAAAGCACCTGCGGTACCCAAATGATGTGCGGGTCAGAAGTCCTGGTTAAGTGAGCGACTATTCATGGGTATCCGAGCAGTTTCACGTACCATGCGAACCAGAAAAGCCCGATGGGAAGGACGGCTGCGCCGACGATCATTGGTGGCAAGCGTTCTTCCGGTATGGGCCTGCCGTGTTCATTGTAGGCTCGAGTGAAGTTGGTCCGCGTAGAATATGCAATAACTCCGGTCCCCAAGGCGATGCCGACAATGAAAGACGCAAAGGGCAACGACCCGACGCCGATGTTCCATCCACGCTCTTCCTCGAAACTTATCGGAAACTTCATTTGTCAATGTTGGTCTCATGTGCAAATGTTCGGGCGGATCACTTACACTTTCAAAGAAGAGGTAAAGTATCCTGTGGGAGGTCAGCGTCGGTAAACAGAATCAAGGCCCTCGTTAAACTTACCCATATATGAAACTCATATACGCAGTAATAAGGGCTAAGATAGGCTCCTGAAATATCATGGTAAATGGCCGCACAAGGTATACGAATACCAGCGTCTTTGCACTGATAGGCGATTTGTCTGCTTGCGCGTGAAACGCCGGGTTGTCCGTCTCACGGCGGAGTCTTTTCGCCCTTTTCTGAAGGATTTTGGCAGCTGATGTCTCTGGGATTACCAGAAACCCAATGCAACCAAACAATGCTGCCATGATCATAGTGATCCAAGCAGTCCATCGCCATCCAAGATAGGACTGAGTCACAAATCCTCCAATGATCGGTCCTGAAACAAGTGCCAATTAGATGGAGTCAGGCATAGACGGAGAGGATGCAAGTTCTCATACCTGCAACAGGTCCTGAGAAGGCGGCGGCAGCGAAGACACAGACTCCATAGGCTCTATCAATTGGGTTCCAAATATCGGCCAGGGCTCCCCCGATGACCGCAAGCGGTGAGGATGCAGCAAAGCCGCCAAAGAACCTCCCAAGCATAATCGTTTCCACATTCTGAGCGAGAGCCACGGGTATCTGGAAGATTGCGAAGCACAAGTAGCCGGAAAACAAAGGAAATCGCCGCCCGAATACTTCAGAGGCAGGTCCGAAGAAGATGGGTCCAAACACGAAGCCCTACACCAACGCATTAGCTTCTCAATCGCTCTTCGGAGCCCAAGCCACTGTTCTTACAAGTAGGAACAGCGAAACTCCAAGCGTCGATGTCACAGTTCCTATATGAAATTGTGTTGCGACTGGTAGAATGACGACAGCCTACGAGCTCATGTCAGTTCTTATGACGACCCTGAGAGAAGATAGCATACAAATACGGAGCTGGAGAAGGTAACAACAAACGCCATTCCGCCCATGGCAAGAGTGATTCTCCATCTCCTCGCTCTGGACCAGTTCTTGGGGTTGTCTGGATCGTCCAGGCCGTCGAACTCGACGAGGTAGCGATTGGAATCCTCATCCTGCACCGCGGGAGCGAGTGGTCGTGGTTCGAGGTTGACGTCTTTCTCGACATCGTTCTTTGATATGATGCCCTCCGAAGTGCCAACCTCAGTCACCTCCCTCATCGTCCTGGGCGTTGTCTGAAGTCGAACAAATGAGTTCAGACAGAATATTTGTTGACGATGTCCTCCCACTGGAGACGCCTCGGCTCGTATTTGGATGGCGACGATTTCCGACCCACTGTCAACCGGCTGTACGGCATCGAATCGGTAAAGTCGTCCACTACGGTCATATCTCTTACTCCGCACGTCGTCGATCAGATATTTCGTATTCGTACAAGAGGACGAGAAGCCTCCAGGATCAATGCAATTCCTCTCCGGACTTGGTGTCCTTTATGTACTCTATATCCCTTCAGAACTAGGTCTATGCGTGTACCAAGTCAATGACGCCACACTTTCAACGCTCATACCTCCAGAGTACTTCGTGTTGTATATACAAAGAGAATCGCCATGACCTTGTTGGCTGGTAGTCGCTTCGTCTTGCAGTCAAGTGAATTCGATACAACTTTCTTGTCATCACGCAGTGATCTCTCACCAGTAAGAGGGAGATACATGAAAGAGGCGAGTGCCGGTCAAAGGAGACGACAGTAGTCATCGCCGAAGCATGTTCTGAGGCAGCTTGCCGAGTAGAAATCATTCAAATTTCAGGGTACACATCAGTCCTCCTCTGCAAAGGTATCGTCCGTCTCGTATCTTTGACGGCCTCCAAATCGATGTCGACGGTTAGTAAGTCTGGCTTGCGTGCGTTTTCCTCTTCACTGTTCAGATCTTCGACCCTGTCTAGTCGTCCGGCGACCTCGCCGGTTGGTTTGATGACAATAGTATCCCCAAAACTCACCCGCTTTTCATTGTGCCGGCCACATTGCGCGGCTGCGATCACCCAACTTTGTGTCTCTATGGCCCTTGCTCGCAGCAGGATTTCCCAGTGCAACTTTCCTGTAGGCACAGTGAATGCTGACGGGTAAACCACTACGTCGGCGCCTAATCGACGTAAACGTAGCGCAGGCTCAGGAAAGCGCAAATCGAAGCAGATCAGACTGCCAACGTTTCCGAGCACTGACGGGTATGGCTGTGTCACCTCGGACCCAGATTCGATAGAATCACTCTCCTTCATTCTTGGGCCATCCGGTCGCAGGTCAATGTCAAACAGGTGTAGTTTCTGATATCTATGGACGATATCGCCTTCCTTATCGATCCATATCAAGGTATTTTTAATCTTTTTCGAGGGCGGCTCTGTTGGCTCGTGGATCCCCACGTTGATGGGTAATCTGTTTTCTCGAGCGGCCTGCTGCAGGCCACGCACGAAGAGACTTTTGGTGACATCTTGACACAGCGACAATGACTCGGCCGGTGATGAGGCTATGTAATCGGAGGCTTCAGGGAGGAACAGGGCCTAGTATGGACGAAGGTACGTGAGGGCAGTTCCTTGGCTCATGGTCGAACTGAGCAGTACGACGTAGTTCGGCATTGAATAACACCAGGACATACGAGTATGAGGGCCGTCTCGACTTACCTTGGCTCCAGCTTCTACAGCCCGGTGAACAAGCCTTTGACATTGCGCAAGGTTATGCATCATCGACGCAGTCGAGCAGATCTGCCCAACAGCCTGAGGATGACGTCGTCAGCCAGTCATCTTCTTGGGTAGTGCAGGGTTCTCGGAGGGCCTACTGCAAGAACCATCTTGGCCGAAGAAATTGGTGCGTCGAGAGTCAACTGTCGCCCTGTAGAGGTGTACAGGAGTTGAAGAATATGAAGCTGCACTCGACTGACTTTTGTGTTGAAGTCGCCGTTGCACTAACACATTGTCTATGATGCGGACGACTTTTGACTGTTGACAGTGACTACAGCGACACTGCGGCAGACCTTCCACATCGGTCTGACGCCCGCTCTAACGCTTTGTTAGCCTTAGTATCAGAATGTTAGGTACATTACTGTAGGCCCTAAGTGCCTATGGAATACGAATGCGAATACGGGTACGAGGCACTTCAGATTAATCTTTCCCACGAAGTAGGACTCCCTACCTGTAACTATTCGATGTGATATTGACACCAATACTACGAGGAGAATGAAATCTATCCATCGCAGTTGCGACACGAGTTCACCCCCATCGGGCCAAACTGACTCGGAGCTCGGGCGGGAACTCGATGTCATACGGCACTTGTACACGGCCATGACTTTTTTAGTACCCGCAGCTCGCTCTGGTACAACAGACTTGTCAGTTAATGACGGGCCATATCGAAAGCATTGATATTGCCCACCTCGTTCAACAATCCGATCAGTCCAAGAAAGGCTGAGCCGGCGGCTGTGAACAATGGGACCAACATCTTCTATCCCGCATTCATGAAAGAACCCCAGGCCCATAACTGTTTTTGTACCATCCATCACGCTTCCGATCTCCAGGTACCCCGCCTTTCGTTCTCATGACGACTGAGTCAGAACCGAGTCGTTGTGCTCGCGAGGAGTTCGTTACTGAACTGTGCATAATGCAATGCTGTGGAGAGCATTCGACTCCATAGCTTCTCCTTCGCCTATCGGATTCAATACAGGGAGTTTAGTTTTCCCTTCTCCCGCGCAGAAAGCCATGCTATATATATGTGTTGTGGCAGCTGCCCCCATGCCAGGACCAAACAAACGGTACTTCTGTGGCCCCTACTCTGATTGACAATACAACCTTTTCCTATACGACCCACGAATCTCAATAGTTGATTTTTATCTTTATCATGGCTACCGTCGACATTCCCAGACAGCAAAAAGCCGCTGTCAAGGTGGGCAGTGGGGAGGATGCAAAGGCTCCAGTCCAACAGGTCGACGTTCCCACACCGGGACCGGGAGAGGTGCTCGTCAAGATCAACTGGTATGGCTATTCGCGTGTGCCACAATTCTGGTTTCATCCACTCATTCGCTTCGAACAGGACTGGTCTCTGTGCTTCTGACAAGTCACTCATCCACGACGAATGGGCCGCGTTCGGAGTAGCCATGCAGCCCGCGACCAAGGGCATCGCAGGCCACGAGGGCGCCGGTGTCGTCGTGGCCGTGGGCGACGACATGCACCACAAGTGGAAGGTGGGCGACCGAGCAGGCATCAAATGGGTCTGGGGTGTCTGTGGCGAGTGTGAATTCTGCACCAACGGCACCGACGAGCTCCATTGCCCCAAACAGAAGAATTCCGGCTTCACTGCCGCGGGTACCTTCCAGCAATACGCCCTCAGCGACGGACGTTACACCACACGTATCCCCGAAGGTGTCAAGGACGAAGAGGCTGGCCCGATCATGTGTGGTGGTGTGACGGCATATGTTGCTTGTAAACGAAGTGCGGTTAAGCCCGGCCAGTGGATTGTACTCCTTCCTATCTATCTCTCGTGTGGTATCCGTTCGCTGACGACGATTCATAGGTGCTTCCCGGTGCTGGTGGAGGTCTTGGGCATTTTGCAGTGCAGTACGCTAAGGCTATGGTATGATACCTTAGGCTAGTCCTGAATTGCTCCGTCTCTAAACATTGTTCAGGGTATGCGAATCATTGCTATCGATGGCGGCGACGAAAAACGCGACCTGTGCAAGAAACTCGGTGCCGAAGAATTCATCGACTTTACCAAAATCAAAGATGTTGCGGCCGAAATCATGAAAATTACCACCTACGGCGCTCACGGTGTCATCGTAACGGCAGCAACCAAACAAGCTTATGAATCTGCCCCGGGATTCCTTCGTCCAGGAGGCACTGTTGTTGCCGTGGGTCTGCCGAAGGACCCAACTGTTCTAGCTGGAGCTCCGCCTCTCATGCTGTGTCTGAGAAAGCTCAATATTGTCGGCAGCGTGGTAGGAACACTGAAGGACGTCGAAGAGGCCCTAGACTTTACAGCACGGGGACTCGTGCATGTAAGTGATGTGTCTCTTGTCATTTCCTGGGAATTTCCTGCTGACTTCTGTTCTCCCAGCCTATCTTGACGAAAGGCACGCTAGAGGATGTTGACAAGTACATGGACCTGATGATAGCTGGTAAGCTTGCAGGAAGAGCTGTGTTGAAAGTCTAATGATTACCTTGGCCCATGCCTGGAGGGAAGTCTGTCACGGGAGGACAGAATGGTCAACAGTAACAACGGGTCTCACTGTTCGACAACCTGACACCAAAAGGTCATGGCGGACTAACGTGACATTCATCGACTCCTCCATCAACGAATTCAGATGCTGCTTTACTACGGGCGTGAAACCCTACGCATATTGACGGTGTATTTACTTGTTGAAAGAGAGGTTCAATTAGTATTAAAACTACATTGTGTCAAGTCTAATCCTACCTACGTATATTTACCAACCCTTGTGAAATGAAACAGATGGCCCAGAAAACCATGTAGCACTGCGACTCTCCTCAGCAGAGTATACCGTCACTTTTCTCACTAGCCTCCCACTTCAAATCGCTCTCACCACGAAAACGTCATCAAAGCCGGATTCAAGACAATCGGCAACAGCAAATGACTCGCAGCAACCGAACTCATAGGCAGGATTGCAATGAAGTCCCCAATGACCCAATCATACGGCAACAAACCCCCTGGATTGCGAGCCAACCAGATCATGCCAATGATGGACACAATCGCAAAGGTCATGCTGAACTTGAACTTTCTCACCACCTTTGGCACCTCGATGAAGAAATTGCTGAACTCGGCCTCTTTACTCGTAGCACCCCACGTCATGTCCACCTCAAACATGTGTGCGAGCAACGCCTGGCTCACATGGAGACTGAGTCCGCCCAGAAAGACACTCAACATCACGATCCACTTGAAGTTCTCCATGAGTGCTCCGAGGAAACTTGCCTGACCAATGCGATATCGCATGATGGCCAACGCGATGTTGCCCAGTCCATTGAACACAATCACAATGCTAAACCACACCTTCCAACTGTCGATGTAGTACTTGTCCAGGTAACCGTTGAACCAGCCAATGGCAAAATAGTTCGCCAACGTCATGATCCACGCTGCCCCAATGGCATAATACGTCCCGATGTAGCTTATGATGGTGATTTTGCTGGTGAAGCGAATGTTGCTGAACAAAAAGCGACGGAACAGCTCTGTAAACGGACCCCGGTACACCCATTGTCGAAGGGGGTGGAAGAGTAACTCATTACATCCATATGCGTACTTTTCCCAACGTGCGAGCTCGTCGTACACTGTCAGGCTCACACCCTCTTTGAATCCACCATGTGCCCAAGATGCGAGACGGATGATGTAACCGTCGCACTGAAGACGAAGGGACATGTCGAAGTCCTCGGACACGTGCGACTCCGACCAAAACTTCTCATAGCCGTCTTCATCGGTATAGCTAACTTGCTGGATCGCGCTCCAGCGAAGGATGGCGTTGTGGCCAACAAACGGCGCAACGTCCCCGTTGGCGACCGTATATTCGATCGCTGTGTAAATCAGGTTGGTGAAGAACGTGATGCCATTCTCGAAAAAAGTGTGCACCACTTGCATGACACCCGAAGCGAATTGCATGATGCCAACATTGGGAGATTGTTCCATCTCACTAACTGCGTCGAGGAGACAGTCTACGGGGACACGCGTGTCGCTGTCAATCAGGAGAATGTAGTCGCCAATTCGGATGTTGCCATCCGCCCATGCGCGGGGAGTCTCGGCGAGTACCTGTGCCAGACTCTCGTCATATGCATGGTTCTCATCATTCGAGGTCCAAGTGCTTGGACGTGGATAACCCATGAGCTTTTCTTCGACTTTGCATGAAAGCATGAGGCCATAATTCATGTTGCTTGCCTTTTTGAACTTGCCCTTGCGCACGAAGCCTTCGCTGCCGTGCTTGGGTCGTGCGGTCCAGCCTATATTGTGGTCCTGATAGAATTCCATCCGAGAAAATCGTTCATCATCGGGAATGAGCTGAAGGCCGTCGTCGTTGATAAGCATGTTTGCAGTGCCGCCTTGGAGTTCGTAGGTGGAGATGGCTTGCTTGATGGACTTGACGGTTGGTGCAATCACGGAGGAGAGGCCTTCTTTGTACACGGGACACTGGACTGTAATGTGTGGAAGGGACTCTGTGCGAAGTCGCGGAGAACGCTTGGCCGAGAAATATTTCGAATTGAGTTGCATTTGACGGACAGGGCCGATGCATTGAGCCACGCAGCCGACTATGACTTGCGCAAAGAACTGCGTTGTCAGCAACCGCAAGATGAGATTGAGATACTGGGGATCCACATACCAGTGTGAAAAAGATTTGAACAGGGACCAAGGAGAGAAAAGCAAGGCGAAGGTACGAATGGTCGACGGCAATCTCGATCGCCAACGAGCGGCATGCGAGGCCAAGGAGAACGACAACAATGACCAAGGTGAAGGCGACGAGGATGGTGTTCATTAAATTTGTGGCTCGGTGGTCTGGAATGGCTTCCCCGGACTCGGAATCCATGAAGGCATCCACACCGCCGTGCTTCTCATGAGTTCCAACCTCATCCTCTCCAGCCCCACCAGTGCGCCAGACAAGTTCCATAAGCTGTGATTCAATGGTGGTTGCCCGTTTGATGACATTGGACGGATCGTCGTCCCATACCACGAGGAGGGACTCTGCGGCAACATATGCCGCAAACTGATATTTTCGAGCACGAGGCAAATCGTGGATGGTGGGTAGAATCTGTACTCGAAGGCCATTCATTAACGGGACATCAGTAGCATCTGGTGCCCAAGCAAAAAATGTCTTGATGACTCTTGAATTGACGGTCATGGCGGCCTGGTTGCTGGTTAGCAACGACCTATGCCAGGAAGAGATCGTTTACCTGTACGTTGAGTAATCTGCAGGCTTCTGCAAAGTGGGAATCGAGCAGCGTTTGTGGACACGCCAAATATTGGCCTCTCGACTTTCTGAGCAAGACTCCTTCGCGTTCTCCGCTTCCATCGCTGACCCAGAGATGTGAGCATTGTTGTTGATAAAGATGACTGACCATAATCTCGTATTTGATTTCCTCGAGGAATGCGCTTTTAGTACTGTGAGACGATTTCCCACTAAAAGATGCGGCACTGCTTTGCGCAGGAGAGTCCTCTAAGATGAAGCCATCGTTGGCAGGAGAGCCCACTGCTGGGGCAAAGGGAGGCTGAGGCATGTCTGTTCAGGCTTATTGCGGATGAGTGTATAATATCTTGTCTAAATGCGCCTTTGGAAAAGGCGGGTGTATCCAAGCTTGTCGCAGTTCAATAATCAGAATATCAATGAGTGGAAACGTCGTGGGACATACCTCTCTAAAATGTTCAAGTCACCAGGACGAAATAGTTCGAGACATTCTACACATCATATGTGTTCGGTGAAGCTCTCCCAGACGGCGATCTGAAAGCGACAGCATATCCACCGGTATGAGAAGGCGGTCCCTGCATTTTGGTTGATGTTTGGCAACCGAGCAGAACTCGTCGACCAGCTAATGTTCGCCCTAGGATAGCTCCGAAAAGAAGTCGAGCATGGCGTCACCCCGACAAGGAAGATGAAGGAGGCGTAGACCATGGGCCGGCCGACATGTAATCGATACTAGACATGAACATTGAGACACGAACCGGTTATCGCCTGGAAAGGTTGCAGAGCGCGAAATGGCGTCATGCGAGAAACAGGAGGTTCGAGATTGCTGCGAAGAGACCGAGCAAAAAGTTGAGACATCCTAATGATATGATCAATCAAACTGATATTAGAACCAACCAGCAGGGTCAAAGCAAATTGGTCCCCGTGCAATCTAGAGCAGGAGATGCGGCTCTAGATGGAATGGTGACACAATATTTCTCGTGAGGTTCAGAATCAGACCAAAACCAACTAGCTTCCAGTGCACGCAAAAGTCTGTACACAGCAGTCCGATACATTTTAGCACGCAAGATGGTTCGAGTGGGATATGCCCTCCACTGAGACCAATGATGCATGCCTGTTGTCAAGTGGGATGTTTCTTCAAGATTTTCAACCCAACCTGTGGCAGTCCCGCCAAGGTATAGGTCAAGTAGAGAAGCTTCAAATAAGTCGACTCGCGTTGATGCATATGTGTAAGGAGTCTTCCCAAGAGCGCGGTGTAACTGACTAGATACGTCAGCCAACTGCGAGACATACCATTTCGCCTTTATCTTTTCTCGTTTCCAATTCGCAAGTATACCCGAAACTTGATGTTTCTCGAGACGGCATCCGTTTGTGGCTCGCTTGCTTCGAATATGGATTGTGGACACTGGCTATCCGAGACTAGCTCACTGATGCTGCTGTTGATCCAGAGTTTCGTTGTCGCTTCAGTATAAGCAAAAGAAATCCAGAAGAGACCACAGAATGGCTCTGACCTCAGATAAAATCCGCAGTGAGCTGGTATCGCATCCAGTTCCATTCTGTCCCGAGCATCTCGTTTTGAATCAAAAGCAATTGCTAGGCTTCTCGAAGATGACACATTTTTCTCGTCCTGGCTATTCACTTCAGCCCGAAAATGCCACAAGCAACAGTACGACACCTCGTGTGGCGACACCAGAAGCTGTGACAGCTGTCCAGGAGACCACAGCGAATCCATTCTTGACACCTTACGCTTCACAAGACCCATCACGAACAACGTCGTCGGTCGCCCTGGCGCAGAGTACGATCAGCCATAGATACTTTCATTCTCGAAGAGTCAAAAAAGGACAAGTTGAACGACCATGGACGGACGTCAAAGACCCCAAGGAAAAGTGGGTGACCATCATACCTTTGATAGGCCTCTTTGTGGGACTGGCGATTGCTGGTTTCTTGGTCTGGGATGGTCTTAGGACTGTTGTCGACCACAAGTACTGCGTCGTGTACATGAGCGACTTCCCGAACAAAGGTCTCGAACTGGATATCTGGACCAAGGAAGCTGAGGTCGGCGGCTTCGGCAACGGCCAATTTGAAGAGACCACCGTCACCGAAGAGAACGTTTTCATTCAGGATGGCATGCTCTACATCAAGCCAACACTGCAAGACGCTACAATCGTGGAGCAGAACAGCAGAATTGATCTGCTAGCTCAAGGAATTTGTACCTCAACAGTTTGGACGAATTGCGTGACAGGTACTAACACCAGCAGCACCAACTCAACAACGGCCAATCCTGTCAAGTCCGGTAGAATAAACACCAAGAAGAGCAAGTCGATCAAGTACGGTCGGATCGAAGTTGAAGCCAAGTTGCCTGGAGGGGACTGGTTATGGCCTGCGATATGGCTTCTCCCTGTCAACGGCACATATGGTGAATGGCCACGATCTGGTGAGATTGATATTGTAGAATCCAGAGGAAACAATTGGACCTTTCCACAAGGCGGCAACAATATCGTATCGAGTTCTCTCCACTGGGGCCCGGATTCTGCAGACGATGCTTGGTGGAAGACCAACGTGAAGAGGAAGGCTTTGCATACCACATATGCAAAGACATTCCATACCTTTGGCCTCGAATGGTCGGAGAAGTATATCTTCACTTACATCGACACTCGACTTCTTCAAGTACTGTATACGAATTTCGACCAAGACCTTTGGAGTCGTGGTCATTTCCCCGACTCTGACAGTAACGGCACTAAACTTGTCAACCCTTGGGGCCAGACCTCGAGGAAGTCGACCCCATTCGATCAAGACTTCTATCTCATCCTGAATGTCGCAGTCGGAGGCACAAATGGTTGGTTTGAGGATAGCAAAAACGGGAAACCTTGGGTTGATGGGAGCAAAAATCCAAAGCGAGATTTTTGGAATGCGAAAGACAATTGGTATCCAACGTGGCAGGAAAGCGGCGAAATGATGGTCAGGAGTGTAAAGATGTGGCAACAACAGGGATACAATGGGTGTAATTGATGCAGTAAACTCGATGAAGCAGTGGAGTTGTTGCTGTTGAAGGTTTTATCTACTTGATTCGAAAATGATAGTATGGTGGCACTTGCTGTCAAAGATGTTATGTTTCTTTCAGTAGAATAGTCGCTGTACCCAAATCAGGATGTTAATGATCTGATGGACGATGAACGTAGGATTGTTTGTTAGAATAGAATGTTGTCGAGCACGAAGGTTGTGTCGGGTGTTACGGAGTAACATTGTTCCGGCATGAACCACTGTAGCTCTCGCCCCTTCTGTCTCATAGGCATCTTCTACGGAGTATCGAATACGAGTTCTGAACTCCAGGCAACTGGCACGAAATATGCAGTTTTGAAAAATAAGTTTCCGAGTCCCCGACAGGACGCAAAAATATGACATAACTATCTATATTGCTTTTTAGCCAGTGATGAACTCCTTCGGATATGTACAGTACGCCCTCAAGCAACTTCCGAACTACACCAGTTTGAGGAGTCCTTGGAGATCGATGCTCTTTGGGCGTTCGATGGGCATACCGAGAGCTCGGTCCCAGATCAACTGGGCCAGAGGTCCCAAACCTCTGCTCACACCAAAAGTGACAGTGTAGTATAGAGGGTCTTGGAAGCCATAGTGATGGAAGAGGACACCTGAAGCACTGTCCACATTGGGATGAGGATTCTTGGTCTTGCCATGCTCAGTCAAGACGCCTGGTGCAATCTCGCTGTTCTTTTTCACCAGACGATAGACGGGGTTGCTGGAAATATCCGGACGGGCATCGCCAAAGTCGATAAGCGCCTTGAAACGGGGGTCAGGCTTACGAAGGACACCATGACCATAACCGGGAACGACCTGGCCAGACTTTAGTGTGGCCCAGAGATAATCGGTCACATCCTTATCGGAGAAATTCTCCCCTATATGGTCCTTCATCTTCAAGATCCAGCGAAGGACTTCCTGCGCAGCAAGGCCGTGTAGAGGTCCAGCCAGACCGAGAAGACCAGCGGAATAGGAAAGATATGGGTCGGAGAGTGCAGATCCAACCAGATGGGTGGCGTGGGCCGAAACATTTCCTCCCTCATGGTCACCGTGAAGGGCGAGGTATAGACGTAGCAGGTCCTGGAAGCCTTCATTTTCCTTTCCAGGCTTGCCCAACAATGTGGCAAAGTTGTAAGCCCAATCTTGGTCTTTGTCGATGGGCATGTCGAGAGCAGCCTTGTCGAAGATGGCTGCAGCCACGCGAGGCAGCTTCGCTAATAGGTTGATGCTATCATCGAAAGTTGGCTCCCAGTAGGCGGTCTTATTCAAGCCTTCGGCGTATTTCTTTGCAAAGATAGACTCGGAGTTCAAGGCTGCCACAGCACATGAAAGTTGTGTCATGGGGTGAACATTCTTGTCGAAGGCTCGGAGCATGTTGGTGACATGGGCTGGGAGGTCTGACTTCTCTGCAAGTTGGCGAGACAACGCACGAACCTGGGAGACCGAAGGGACCTGGCCAGTCAGAAGAAGCCAGAACATGGCCTCAGGCAACATCTCAGTGCCAGATGTGCCTTTCGGAAGCTCCTTTTGACAGTCTGCAATTGTCTTGCCATGGAATCGGATTCCTTCGTTGGCATCCAAGACGCTGCCTTCCCAGACCATGGACTTCATTGTTCTCATACCGCCAATGACCATCCCTACATTGATATCTCCAATCTTCTTGTCCGCATGGCTCTTGACCTGCTTAAGGAGCTCTCGCTTTTCGGGAATGACCGATTCCAGGGTCGACTTGAGGTCTGGTTCCGCGGCCGAGGCATAGGTTCGGCGGGTAAGAGGAGTATAAGAACGGGTGGAGGAGGCCCTAAGAGCTCTCAGAGCGCGCTGAGCACTTCTTGAGCTGGAAGCCATCGTGGACGAGATGGTTTTTTTCAGCACAAGGTGTTGTTATTCCCCGGATTCGACGTTGCGGGGTAGTGAAACGGTTGTGCTTAAAGCAACGAGGAGTAGATCGTAGTGGAAGGACACAAGAAGTCGAGGGATTCGAGACTAGAGCATGCACAGGAGCAGAAACTCGAGCAAGAACAAAAAGGATGAGCTGTCGAGCTTTCTATTCAAAAAGTCGTCTGTACAGCCAGTGAGCATTTCCATCGCACCGACCCTGCAGCAGGACATTCCTCGGCTTTGTTGGAGGGAGTCCCGGGGCTCACCGCAAAGCAACTAGCATGTCTGACAGAGGCGCATTGCCCTTAATCAGCTGCATCAAGCGGGGTTCTAGCCAATGTCAGACAGCAACATCTTCTTTTCGTTCCGAAATAAGCGCGGTTAGCAGGGCCGAGGTCCCTGGTAGAGTGATGCGGACAATAATCGCCGATCCGAACTCGGATTTCTCCTCATTTGCGCGATCGGAGGGAATATATCAAGCAGCCAGAAGTCACGCATATTCAATACTTCTCTAAGGGTAATGGTGACTCTCTGATCAGTCCCCAGTGTCCTAGGGACGTGTTGTTGAGCCCACTGACAAAGCAGCTTCGGGCTGCTATCCGCTCACCATACTCCGCCACTACTGCGAGGGTTTAGAATATCTCTTTATATACCTGTTTCCCGGCTCTTGTGCTCGAGTCCTCCACGTTAGACATTCGAGACTAAGTACAGCACACAAGCAATGAACATGTTACGACGAGTACCAAAGACCATTCCAAGGCTTTCGAACCGAGCCGTCGTAAGGACGGCCGCTGCAAACCCTTTTGTCACAATTATGGCACGCCAGTTATCGACCTTACCACCAGTTGAACCTCCCGTTTCCGCACCACTGCCCTCAGACTCATTCCAATTGCTTGCGACAGAGGACAAGGCGGGAGATGCAGAGGACCTTCTGTTCAAACAGCAGGTGGAAGACGTCAAGAAGTGGTGGGCAACACCTCGTTACAATGGTATTAAGAGACCATATACCCCAGAAGATGTTGTGAGCAAGAGAGGCACCTTACAACAGACATATCCGAGCTCGATCATGGCGCGGAAGTTGTTCAATTTGCTGGAGAAGAGAGCGGCCGAAGGGAAGCCGGTACACACGATGGGTGCTATCGATCCTGTACAAATGACGCAACAAGCACCGAACCAGGAGATCCTTTACGTCTCCGGTTGGGCCTGCTCGTCTGTCTTGACTACCACAAACGAGGTGTCGGCTGACTTCGGCGACTATCCCTACAACACAGTACCCAACCAAGTTCAGAGGTTGTTCAAGGCACAACAGCTTCATGACCGCAAGAATTTTGACACAAGGCAAAAGATGAGTGCTCAGGAACGTAAAAACACCCCGTATATCGACTACATGAGACCAATTGTGGCCGATGGTGACACTGGCCACGGAGGTCTATCAGCTGTCATTAAGCTGGCGAAGCTCTTTGCTGAAAATGGTGCGGCGGCCGTCCATTTCGAAGATCAGCTCCACGGAGGGAAAAAGTGTGGTCATCTGGCCGGCAAAGTGCTGGTACCAGTAGGTGACCATATCAATCGTTTGGTGGCTGCTAGATTCCAGTGGGACATGATGGGCTGCGAGAACTTGGTCATTGCACGAACCGATTCCGAGAGTGGACGATTGATTTCCAGTGCCATTGATGTCCGGGACCACGAATATATTCTCGGCGTCACGACGAACACGGAACCACTGTCCGAGCTTCTGCAGGAAATGGAGCTGAAGGGCGCCACTGGACCCGAGATCGACGTCTTCGAAGCTGCCTGGGTCAAGGAGCACAAGTTGGTAACCTTTGATGAGGCTGTCGAAGCTCATATCAAGTCGGAAGGTGGCGATCCGTCCGAATACCTCAATAAGACTAAGCAGGACCGCAACATGTCACTCTCCAAGCGACGCGCCCTCTCGTCTCAGTACACCAAAGCCCCCGTGGTATGGTCTTGCGATGTTCCGAGGACTAGAGAAGGATACTACCACTACCGCGCCGGAATTCCGGCAGCAACAAAGCGAGCCATTGAATTCGCTCCGTATGCTGATCTCTTGTGGCTAGAAACTGCTGATCCATCGGTTCCAAAAGCGGCAGGCTTTGCCAGGGAAATCCGTGCGGCATCTCCAGGCAAGAAGATGGTTTACAATCTCAGTCCATCGTTTAACTGGATGGGTCAAGGTTTCGACGACGCTTCGTTGAAATCGTTCGTCTGGGACCTGGCCAAGGAAGGATTCGTACTCCAGCTCATCTCGCTCGCAGGACTCCATTCGACAGCCACTATTACGAATGAACTCTCGAAAGGATTCAAGAAAGACGGCATGCTCGCTTATGTCAACCTCGTCCAAAGCCGAGAAAAGCAGCTTGGTGTCGATGTTCTTACACATCAGAAATGGAGTGGAGCTCCATACATTGATGGTATCATTGGAGCCATCCAATCCGGAAGCAGTGGAAGCAGGAGTATGGGTGAAGGCAACACGGAGACCGGCTTCTAAGTTTTTAAGACGAAATCGCAACACAGACGGGGGTATTGAAGTAGGACGGCAGAAGATCATCTTTACGGTGATGAATAGATCACTGCTGTTGAGCCTTGCGCAAAGACCCCCGAGTTGTGAACCTTAGGATGAGGGAAGATGCTTCCCTGCTTGACGTTTGATGGTGTTTTGTATGGGCCTTGGAAAACAAGGCAGGAATGAGTCCATGATATCCAATAAAGTGTAGAAACATTTATCCAAAAGCACATAGTATATACAAACCTCGAAAGCACTTTAGTGTAACACCAATACATGAAGCGTGCCAGTCTTAACACGTCCCTACATGCACAATTTTAAGGGATTGGTGGACTCGAATAGGGGTATGTACTCAGCATCCGTACCTCGATATCTGTACCTACCTTATGTAAGGTACCTAAGAGAAAGGCTGACTCAGCCTGCGTCACTGGCCAATTGTTATCTCTTATCGGGCACGATGGTCGCCCTCGCCGCAGTCCAGAAAATTTCCGTTAACGCCCCAAAAAAAAGTGGCAGACACTGAAGGGGGCTCCGTCTTCAAAAGCCCGCAGGCTGATTTACAATTTTTTCTCACAGCGTTCTCTTCCAGCATTTTGTTTTTAATATTTTTCACCTCTCCACTCCGGGTGCGGCATAAAGGGCGAGCGTACCTCTGTGATTCTTTTTTTTTGGCACAGGGAACGAACACAGCGCCGCTTCGACCAGTGACTTTTTTTCAAGAGTCAAACATCCTAGGCTCGAGTCTGCCAGACTATGCCACACATTGATAGCCCTCCTCTGGCTCCCGCAATGGCCTCGACTGTGGTACCAACAAAGTCTTCCTTCTCTGGTCTCCCTCCCACTACTGAAGAAGTGAGCGGGATCCTCCGGACAATCCTCGAAACAGATTCTGCGCAGACCGCCCTCGATGCTTCCTATGCTCTCACGAACCTTCTCATCCAGTCAATAGGCATCCGAGGCCTATTAGGTTATGATTTGATACCAGCAATCAAGAAAGCGGCCGTTGATAAGAAAAATGGCTCCAAGAGAGAAAGCGCCATGTTTATGCTTGGTGCCATGTTTGAAAAGTTTCCTCGGGAACAACCTATTAGCGAAGTGGTCTTCCTTGTCCGAGATGGCGGACTAGTTTATCTTGTGCTCGATGGGCTAGCAGACAAGGGGCCTTCTGTCCGAGAGTCTGCGCAATATGCGGTTGACGAGCTGTTCAAAAATCTTGAACCCGAGGCCATGGCTATTGGCCTTCTTCCCGCCTTGCACCGCTACTTGTCAAAGACGACAGGAAAATGGCAGGGCACTGTCGCTGCCTTCACTTTGCTGGGCAAGATGGCCGATAAAGCCCAGATGGGAACAGGCACAAAGGAAGAGGAACAAGCAAAAGACGTCCTGCGAGATGCAATGGGCCGCACACTCAAGGAGCTAATCCCAGTCGTCGAGGGCGGAATGCATGATTTGAAGGCCGAAGTTGCCAAAGCAGCCACCAAAACGATGACCTCCCTCACTACTCTATTGCAGAACGACGACGTCGCTCCCCGAGTTCCTCTTTTAATCGACACCATGAAGAACCCCTCGGCGCAGACGCTACAGAAAGCCATACACGCGTTGTCACAAACAACTTTTGTTGCAATTGTCACCTCACCCGTCCTTGCGCTCCTCACTCCTCTCCTAGAGAGATCTTTGAACACGCCTACTACCTCTCAGGAGGTGTTGAGACAGACCGTCGTAGTTGTGGAAAACTTGACCAAGTTGGTCCACGACCCCGAAGAGGCCAGAACTTTCTTGCCCAAACTCCAGCCGGGAGTTCAAAGAGTTAAGAATGGGGCTTCCCTTCCAGAAGTTCGGGAGCTTGCCACGAGAGCCAACGATGTCATGAAGAAGGCCATGGGTGAGGACAAGGACGGGGTGACCAACAGCCAGATTACAAAGACAACGACGGATGATGTGCTGAAAGTTCTGGACAGCCAGCTTCGAGCTCAAGGCGGTCTTCAGAAGGAAGATGCGGCCATATGGAAGGACGGTCAGATTTATGTGTCTGAGATGGTCCGAGAAGATGTCAACAGTCGCATGTTCTCACGCATCCCCAACCGTGTTGGTCCTTATCTCAAATATATGCTGCCCGATGAGAGCTGCTCCGCTGTTGCCGAAGGCGTGCAGAAGTATTTCCTCGATGAAGATCATAAAAAATTTGGAGCACCAGTGGTTGAAGACCCTAACGAGGTTGAAATTGTCAACGCGGACTTCTCGCTCGCATATGGTGGCATGTTGCTGCTTTCCCACACCAACCTTCGTCTCTTGAAGGGGCATCGTTACGGTCTGTGCGGCCGTAACGGTGCTGGCAAATCGACCTTGATGCGAAGTATCGCTGATGGGAAACTGGAAGGTTTCCCTTCCAAGGATGTCTTGAGAACGTGCTTTGTTGAGCACAACCAAGGCGAAGACGCCGATATTAGCATCCTAGAGTATGTTGCGAAAGACCCCGAAATTGCAAAAGAAGGTCGCGAACGAATCTCCGAAGTCCTGAGCGAAGTCGGCTTCACCGCCGGGCCAGAGGGCAGGCAGTCACACAAGGTCGGCTCACTGTCTGGCGGTTGGAAGATGAAGTTGGCTTTGGCCAGAGCCATGCTCATGAGAGCCGATGTTCTCCTGCTTGATGAACCTACCAATCATCTCGACGTCGCCAACGTCAAGTGGCTTGAAGAGTATCTGCAAAAACATTCTGAGATCACTTCATTGATCGTGTCTCACGACTCCGGATTTCTGGATGCCGTCTGTACCGACATTCTTCATTACGAGCAGAAAAAGCTGGTTCATTACCAAGGAAATTTGGCAGCTTTCGTCAAGGTCAAACCCGAAGGCAAGAGTTACTATACTCTATCCGCCACCCAGGTGCAATTTAAATTCCCTCCTCCCGGAATTCTCTCTGGCGTCAAGTCCAACACTAGGTCCATCATCCGAATGACCAACGTCAGTTACACGTATCCCGGGGCCTCAAAGCCAAGCTTGCATGATGTTTCTTGCCAATTGAGCCTGTCCTCCCGGGTCGCCATCATTGGTGCCAATGGCGCAGGAAAATCGACGTTGATCAAGATGTTGACGGGTGAAGCGATTCCCCAAACTGGCAAGGTCGAGAAGCATCCCAATCTACGTATCGGTTACATCAAGCAACACGCACTTGAACACGTTGAAATGCATTTGGAGAAGACACCAAACCAGTATCTGCAATGGAGATACGCCAACGGAGACGACCGAGAGGTTCTCATGAAAGCCACCCGCGTGCTCACAGACGAAGACAAGGCACAGATGGACAAATGGGTTGACCTTGGGGACGGCAAGGGTCCTCGACAAATCGAGAACTTGATGGGTCGACAGAAGTACAAGAAGACATTCCAGTACGAGGTCAAATGGCGCAACATGCTTCCCAAGTTCAACAGTCAAGTGTCGCGCGAAAGTCTCCTGGAATGGGGATTCCAGAAGCTGATTCAAGAATTTGACGACCATGAAGCCTCGCGTGAAGGTCTCGGCTACAGAATCCTGGAGCCCAAGGTCATTGCCAAGCACTTCGAAGACGTCGGCTTGGATCCTGAGATTGCCAATCACAACGAGATCTCCGGGTTGAGTGGTGGGCAAAAGGTCAAGGTTGTGTTGGCTGGTGCCATGTGGAACAATCCTCACTTGCTCGTGCTGGACGAACCTACCAACTTTTTGGACCGAGACTCTTTGGGTGGCCTGGCCGTGGCCATCCGTGACTATAAAGGTGGTGTAGTCATGATCAGTCACAACGAGGAATTCGTTGGGGCTTTGTGCCCCGAGCAATGGCATGTCGCTGATGGCAAAGTCATGCACAAGGGCCACCTCGCCATCGATCTCAATCGATTCGAGGATTCGCGACCAGGGTCCAGCAACGTCAGCTCTGTTGTTTCTAGCGCCAATGCATCTGCCACCAACTCCGGCGTAGAAGATAACAGCGAAATGAAGTTCAAGGCGAAGAAGAAGAAGAAGTTGACGCGCGCACAAATGAAGGAGAGAGAAGTTCGACGAAGATTACGACAGTAAGTGTGATTCTTTTCCCCGAGCTCGAAGGAATGCGGCATGCTAACATGACATTTTTCTTAGTATTGAATGGTTAAATAGCCCCAAGGGCACTCCTCACCCTCCAGACACGGATGATGAGGCGGAGTAGATGATGAGCAATGTGGTGAACACTTCCGGTGTTTTTCAATAGATCATAGCGTTGGCGTTATCATAGATGAGTGGTCTGGTTATTCGAAGCATGGGTCCAAAAAGATAGATGGGTTGATGGAATACGATTTCGTATGCGTGCATGGGTGTCGATTTTTCGCATGAGGCTGTCGAGGACAACCCCCCGGCTTTTGCAAGATTGGTTGATATAGGGTTGTCTACGAGGAAACTCCAGGATAAATGAAGGATTTCCTTGTGGTTACACAGGCCTATATCGTGTCTTCTCCTATGTTCAGATTGGTGAAGCAGCATTGTGGGAGTCTTGAACGTAGAGATGATCTCCATATCTCTTGATGATGACGTCGACCTCGGTTACAATTAGTTTCATCACTTGAAGCAATACAAAAAAAATATTTACTTCTCCAACGCACCAACTTCGTCTACCAGCAGAGACTGATCTCGAAGCTCCACAAGTACCAAATAGAATACTTCAAGTGCACACGGACTCACACTCGTATGTAGTCGATCTGCGCCCAGAATGACAACCACCGACTCTCCTCAACCTAAAGATCCTCACACCACCCCCGCTGCCATGAAGATCCCAATCAACCCACAGCGCGCAAGCACTCTCGTCTCGAACCTCGAGCATGTCACTTCTCGCATCTCGTCTGCCGCCGGCGCCGGTGCGCGAGGACCTCCTCCTCCTCCTCGGCTCGTCGCCGTCTCCAAGCTCAAACCCGCCTCGGACATTCTGGCGCTGCACAACCCCCCGACCTCGCACGAACACTTTGGCGAAAACTACGTCCAGGAACTCCTCGAAAAGTCCCGCCTCCTCCCGCGCAGCATCAAATGGCACTTTATCGGTGGGCTACAATCAAACAAGGCCACGCAGCTGGCCAGGGACATTCCGAACCTGTGGGCGGTGGAGAGCGTGGACTCGGAGAAAAAGGCCACACTGCTGGACAAGGGACGGTCACAACTGACGTCCTCCGCCACCGCCGAACCACTCCGCGTGTTCATTCAGGTCAACACGTCAGGTGAGGATTCCAAATCCGGGGTACCGCCCGGGTCGGGAGAACTGAACGCGTTGGCTAGACACATCAGAAACAATTGTCCGCATTTGAGGCTACAAGGGCTCATGACGATCGGGGCGATAGCGAGGTCCAAGGCCACGACCCCCGAGACGGAGAATGAAGACTTTGTTTGTCTGAGGGAAACCAGGGACGCGCTGGCGAAAGAGCTGGACGTGAATCCCGACGAGTTGGAGTTGAGTATGGGCATGAGCGAGGATTTCGAGGGCGCGATCCGACAGGGGAGTAGCGAGGTCAGGGTCGGGAGTACCATATTCGGCGAACGGCCTGCGAAGAAGGACGCAAAGGTCTTGGAGGACACGGAGAGTGAGAAGAGGTAAAGAGGTGGGATTCGCCTTTTTCACCGGGGATGAAGATCGAGCGGAGGTCCGAGAAGAAATCACCTCCAAAAACAAACCATCAAACGCGAAGGGAAGATTACTCGCTCGGGAAAGAGATCTTGACTCGGTTCCATGACAAGTCACGTTTCGCATTACAGGTTGGCCCAGTATCAGCGAGGGAAGAAGAGGGAAGAATCCCCCCGAGGGAAATGAAAGAAAAGTACCTTGCTTTTGCGGCCTACAATTTTGGAAGAGTTTGTAGAGAAAGTCAAAGGGGGGCCGGCGCCGACGAAGACAATCCCACACCTGGAGCGAAAGTAACTACCTGTCTTCTGCTCTACCAAACAACAAAACCTCTGAAAAAGAGGCTGTCTGGTCAACGCTGGATGGTTGACAACTTTCCGATCGATGGGGTCCTTCGCCGCCATATTGAAGCTCACCGAGCCGTGCATTCTCTTGGAGTGGATGGATTGCCTAACCTATCCTACCATAACCTTGTCCTACTCGACAGTGTCAAGTGAGGAGGGACATTAGTCGAACTCAAGCACACGAGTGGCGGACGATGCATGAGGAGTTGAGGAGGAGACGACGACGACGACATTACGATCTCTCCCACGCGACGACTCGACTGTATGGTGGACCACACAGAATGTTGGTTGTACGTGGTCGCGTTTCGGCAAGGACAATTATGTTACATACGGGATTCGAATGTATCTGTACTCGGTAGAAGAACGATGTACAGAATGAACAAGAGTGAGAATCAGAAAACGAGTGTCATGTATACCTACTCACGGTAGATATGAATGATCGAGGGCTCACTACTGGCCACAGTCTACTCGTATAAATGAATGCTTCCGTTGTGACCCTTTTTCCTTGGGTATATCTCCTTCGTTATAGCCCTAAGTTACCTAGATACCCCAGGCCCTCCGCGTCAGTCACATCACAATTAGCCACATAAGCTACCTATCCTTGAGAGAATTCTTCTACTCAAACTCCCACGTATCAAAAATTTCGTGATTGCCCCTTTCTCGCAGGAATAAGGCAAAAGAAGAAAAAAAGAGACAGAAAATCCCATCTGGCCGGCCGTCTCAGCATTCACCATCACTGTGAAATGTAGAAGAAGAAGAAAAAGAAAAAAAAAGGCAAATCGCTACAAAACACCTTGCAATGTGGAAAAAAAAACAAGAAATGTGCCCTCTTTTTCTGGTTCCAAAAAATAGGGGATCCCACCCGCACACAAAACACACACCGCGACACACCAACACACACAACACAACACAAGACAGCCCATTCCTCACCGCCCCGTTCGTCCATCATCAGTCGAGGATTGTCCTTATGTCCTCCCATTTGCGTTATTTCAAGAAGAAGGAAAAAGAAACCTTCCCTCCCAGCTCACTTCGTCGGTGTACTGTTACTGCTGTCCATCGAGGCGCGAGTTGAACCGTCTTCGTTCTGCTGTTCCTGCTGCTGCTGCTTGTGACCGTTCCTGCCCTTTTTCAGGATCGAGTCGATGAGGTCCTGAGAACACTTGTTTGCGACGTTGGCGGCGGGCACGAGGTGACCGCCGGGACTCGTGGGCAATGACGACCCGTTCTTGTCCTCGCTCTTTCTCATGTGGAACGGGAGCGCGTGCGACGGTACGCTGGAACTCGCCGGCGTGGTCGGTCTCGACGACGACGACGATACCCTGTCCGGCACCGACGACGACGTCCCGTTGGCCACCGGCGAGGAGCCGTGCGAAGGGATCCGTTCCAGGTTCGACGTCCGTCTCGACACGGGGATCGACGGAGCCGGGTTGGGGGTTCCGGTCCGCGAGGGGGGAACCATCGACTGGAACGACGCGGTCGAGGCACGGCTCAAGCCGCCGGGCGTCGGGATGTATTCGCGCTCCTTGGTCAGGTAGGGATGATCGAGCAGCTGCTTGGCCGTCCACCGCTCCTCGGGCACCCAGCAAATCATGTGCTTGGCCATGTCGACAAACAGGTCCTTGTCCTCGCCTCTCATTCTGGTGATGGAGCTCTCAAACGAAATCTCCTTGTCAACATAGTCCGGGTATTTGAAGTTGCCATCACCGTCAAAGTAGTAGGACGACTTGGCCCCTCGCTTGAGCAAGTCGACTGGTGGAGGGCCCAACAGGCCTATCATTAGACCCAGGTGTTTCTCGGGCCGGTAGTGTCCGGGTTTTGTGTCGATAGAATCGAACAGCCCAAAAGTCTCAAACAAATCCCACAGCATCACGCCCAGATTCCAGATATCGGCAGGGTAGGACCAACCGGCCTGTAGGATGACTTCTGGCGCCATAAACGCGTTTGATTGGATCGGCTTCGTGTTCTTTCCGTCTCCCCACGCCGCCAGACCGATGTCTGTGATCTTGGCCGTGCCGATGACGACGTCGGTCGGGGCTTCGCCAAAGTCGCTGCACGAGGTGTAGATGATACGCCCGTGAGAGTCTGGCATCTTTCGTGGCGACGGGTGGTCGATTTCATGCTGGACGAATTTGTCGAGAATGGTCGGGTCGCCAAGGCCCATCATGATGTTGTCGGCTTTCAGATCGGTGTGCACCACTCCACATTCTGTGTGGAGGTAGTCGAGGCCTTTCAACAGAGCCGGTAACAGCTTGCGGAGCTTCTCGGAATTGAAGCGTCGGCCGGGGAATTTCTCCATGCAGTTATCGATGGGTTCTCGGAGGACGTCGTATACGATGCAGAGATGCTCGCCGTGGCGGGACCTGAGCTTGAACGTATCTCGCATGAATCGGATGTGGTTGTAGCCTGGGTGGTTGGGATTGGCGGAGAACAACTTCTGGGCGATTTCTCGTCGGCCTTTTAAGAAGTCATCGGTCAAGGTGTTGACATTGATCTTGATTGTGACGTATTTGTGGTTGCCCGCACATTGATCGCTATATGAAGAAGGTCAATCGCATATCCTGATGAGGAAGCCTCTCATTATTTGACTAGGAAAAGTAGAACTTACGCTTTCAAGTCCTTTGCCAGCCATACCGTCGCCGTCATGCCGAAGCCCAGTTTCGCACATAGTTTGTATCGATCATTGAAAACCTCGCCTATCCGAGCGGCATAGAAGTTGTCTGCACTGTACTTGGGCAGAGTCTCTTCTTCGATTTGCTTCAGCGCTGAGATGGTGTCTGCTTGAGGATGTGGCGAGTTCCCTCTTCCATGCACCAAATCGCTAAGAGACTGCCGGTTTGTATGACTACGTACTCGTTTGAGCATACTGGGCCGTTGCATCGGCATTGTGTGCGGCGGTAACTCTGAAAGTGGACAGAGGGCTAAAGGAAACCAGAAAAAGAGAGTAACAACGGGGCTACTGAAAATCTAGACGTTCTTCCATGCTATCGTCAAAGTCGGGATCGTAAGCGTTCGCGACAGTGTCGTTCGTTTTGAGTGAGGCTGGAATGCTGCAAAGGAAAAAGCTGAAACTTCTAGCGTAAGGATGGCAAGGATGGCACGGAAGAGTCGGCTGGTGCGAGCGACGTCAGATCGGCGTCTCGTGGAGCGATGAAAGAACTAAGCGAGCACGGGCGTTAAGTTGGGAAATTGTCCGGGCCCGGTGGTCAGGGTTCTTGGGCCTCTGCCTTGCCTCTTGTGTCGCCCGAGGGAGGAGTCGATGGAGATTTGTAGTTATCTTTGGTTCGTACGGGCGCCGGACGAAGTGCGTGGATCACAGGACACGCTCGCCAACGCTGGAGCCGCAACAACGATGCTTCCTGATATAAAATCACTCGTCGATCAGCGTGTGGCGGATGTGCGGATTAGTTTTTGTGTGTTCGTATCGAACTCTGGGTTGTTGGAGGTGAGAGATATGTCGATCCAAGCAAGAAGCACGGAGCCAGGAACGTGCAGATGGTTGTACGAGGGCTTCGTAATGACCGAGCTGAGGCGATGTGACGATGGTGTGCTGATGAGTAATGTATCTGCTATTTGGTAGGAGAGTGGAGGATCTGTTTTGGGATCTGGTTGGAAGATGAGCCGAGATGAAATTGAGAAGAGTTGAGAAAGAGGTAGAAGAGACAATTGTTGACTTGGAGAATATATTGGCAAGCTTCGTGTTGTTTATAACAGGCTGTTGAGAGAATTAGAACAGGATTTGGTGGTGATTTGTAGTTGTTTGTGTCGCCCAAAATATCACGCAATGCACGTGATGGTTCTGGCTTGGGCATTACGAGTACGAGGTACCAAGAGACTTGCCTTAGCTAAGGTATTAGGTACAAACCCTGGCTACTTACCTAACTCGAAGCTATTTAGGGGCGCCTAGAGAGCCCTAAGAGGTCCGAGTGCCGGTACTTGTCAAGATGCCCCCAGGTGGTTATGGAGGGCCCTAAGTACCACCTTCAGCCTCATCGGCCTCAGCAGCCATTTAGGCATCTTCTCATCTCTTTTTTGTCTCTCGCATCCACCTTTTCGCTCTCCGTAAACAGTCCGTAATGAGGCGTTCTTTGCGAGGACACAATCCCTAGTCCGCCTCATCATTCTCATCCTGATCATCGTCCTCATACATGTCCGCCACTGGATGCCGCCCATGAGTCGAACTAATCACCTTGGCTTGGTAATATCTTTCCCGTCGTCTCCTCTAATCAGCTCTAGGCGCACCAGGCCTTTTCACTATTGAACGAACAAGGCATCCGTACAGTCAGCCTTTCCTTGATTTCTTCATCACCAAGGACCCTCTATCGATTTGCAATACTACAACATTGACAAGGACTTGCACATGATTGAAACATGTTACCAAATATGACTCCTCGATCTAAGACTCATGAGACTTGGCTGCTTGGAATACAAAGGACGACGAGCTTCTGAGGACTTCTGCCGAGAAACCTGCGTTCATGCTAAAGAGGGAATCCCCTTTGTCTCAGGTACCTCCTTATCGACCTTTCTGATTACCTACTATCTGTACCTATCTGTTGAGGCTACTATGAGCCTCTCGTCCGGCTACTTTGACCAACAACTTTCTTGTCTTTTCTCCTATCCTTTCCGGTTCATTTTCTCCTTCCTTCGAGCCGATCTCTTATCTTCTCTGGCCTTCTTCGCGCTCCGCATTTGGATACCACGTCGGCTGATGATGAGCAATGCTGGCGCAAATGCCATGTAAATGAGCGCCCAAAATGTGTACGCCCACCCTTGACCAAAGGCCTTGCTCATCGGACCGATCGCCGCCGATGCTGCTGCTCCAAGCTCACATCGAATAAAGTTGTTTGCTGCCGTGGCTGCCGCTGCCTGCCCCGGCCAAAGATCCGTCATCAGGACATTCATGACCTGGTATGAAGCAATTGAACAATATCCCAAAAAGAACAAGAAGATAATCGGCCCTGCCAGACTGATCTTGTGGCCCACTGTCCACCCGTATGCGATCACAAAAACTCCGTTGGCAAGGAGAATTGGCAGAGCCACTTGAATCCGTGCTGTTTCAATGGGAAAGTCGGTCAAGTCTTGTCGAACTCCTTTGACTACGGTTATCCCGAGCCGTTGGGCATGCCTTTGATAATTCCAGTCGACCAGCTTGCCTGTCGTGAACGCGGCCAGGATCCCCCCGACACCAATAGGGATGAAAACCAGACCGATCTGGATGTCGTTGAACCCGTATTCGTCCCTGAATGCGGCCGAAGCTCCAGTCGATATCGCATAAAAACAAGCAAGGTTCAATCCGGTTGCCACCAGAATGACCAACGACGCAGGATCAAACAGAATCCACAAGGTCGCCAAGGGGTTCGGAAATCGGAATCGATAATTCTTCCTCAACTCGGCCTGTTCGGCGGCGTCAAACACAAGTCCCCGTTTGGCTCTGCGCTTGTGCCTGATCACGTCCGTCAACGACGTATTGAGTGGCGGCGGAGGAATGGACCCGTCTCCCACGATCTTGCGACACGTTTCCGGGAGGAACAAGAACAACGGGACCGTAAAGACTCCCGAGAAGATGAGCAGGAACCAGAACAGCCAATGCCACTCCAGATTCTGACTGATCAATCCGCCGATGATGGGACTCAGCGTTGGCCCGAGGAGACCCCCGAGAGACGCAAAGGCGATGTAGGCGCCGCGCTGCTCCGACGTGATTGTGTCCCCGACCAGTCCGTTGGCCAGCGCAATCGTGCCACTGCTCCCGGCACTCTGCAGGCATCGCAGCCCGAGAAGCGCGGCGTAGCTATTCTGCAAGCCCAGTCCGAGGTTGGCGCAGATGTAGATGGTGAAGCACAACATGTACGCAGGCCGTCTGCCCATGTTGTCGGCGAAGCCGGCAATCACCATGGGCGCCAGTCCTTGCAATATCAAATACGTCGTGACCGTGAGATTGACCTCCGAGTTCGAAACGTGCAGCGCCTTTGCGATCGTCCCCAACGCAGGGAAGTATATCGAACTCGTCAGTGGAGAAAAGAATCCAGCCAGAGAACCCGCAAGGATGATGATCCTCTTCTCATTCGTGCTGAAGACGGAGTACGGTTTCTCTTGCGTGGTGTTTCGGCCTGATGATCCAAGTTCGACTTGGTCATTTTGTCCGTCTGCCTCCGTGTCTGTTCTCTTCTCGCCGTTCTCTAGTCGGGGTGGCTGGATGGCATGGGCAGCTCCGACTTCAACATCTGTCGAGATTCCTGACGGCCTCGTTTGGCTCTCGTCTTCATGTTGACCTTCGCTCATCGTGTGTCGTGTTGATTGCCTCCCTTTGTTTTAAAAATAAAGAAAAAAAATGGAAAGGATACCCCTATTGAAACACACAGAAGAAAAACCAAGTGGTGACTGGCGAACCCCTTGATTTCAAGGTGTATGGATGATCATGATACGCTGAGTCACAAACCACCGGCGTCGATTTTTCAGTCAAGTTGATATAGTGCAGATTGTGGAGCACGTCGACGCCCGGATTGCACTGGTAAGTACGGAGTAAGTAACTGAATACCCTGTCAAGTGGTTGCTTTTGAACAACCATGTCATTTCCCTTCTTTCTCGCCGCTCCGGTTCAGGCCCGGTCTTGGGCAGACCGGCCACTCGGCTCGGACGATGATTGGTCATTGCGGTGACAACATTGCTTTTCCTCGACCGGTCTTCAAGGATCACTGCTGATCCTACGGTAGGTCCAGGTTCAAGCATGTAACATGTCCTTTAACGCCGACACGGAGTTAAAGGCCAACTTGGATCTCCTTTTTGGCATATTTTGAGGCTGAGAAAAAAGATTTGACAGACCCTGACCCCATCATTTATTGTCTCCCCTCGCCTTACTACCTCCGAACCATTCGGTACCTACATGCTGCAAATTACGTCCTGATACAAGACGAGATTCAGTCTTTCGTCGGCATCGCTCGGTACACGTTGCACGCCCGGCACACGCCGTACAAACCGATCTACCTCAAAAATCTTATCAATCCAAAGTCCGGTCGACGGGCCCAAAGGGTTTCGCCTGCAACTCAGCGTCGCCATCAAAGGGGAAGTCAATTCAACAAGTCGTTCCGAAGTTTGAAGTTATAAAACTGCGTCCTGTTACGGTCACGTTTACGCAATCACCCCATCCTCGGCCACCAAGCTGTCGAGCACACGTACATTCATACACACACCCAATCATAACGCCGCACTGTTCGAGTCTCGTTGTTCGACTTGTGCCGACCAAGAACGAACAAGGCCCCCCCCAAAATGTTCCCCTTCAATTACCTCGAATACTTCCTCGGTCGTCTCTTGTCTTCCAACCGAGGTCGAGACTCCAAATTATGGATCAACGACAGGTCCTTGTTTGAAGAAGGGATTCCACAAAACATCACGGTGACCTGTCCAGAAATAGGACCTTCCAATTCCGTGATGCCCGTGGAGTACAGTGCGTACGGAACATCGAGATTTCCGACACTCACCTGGAACATCGACACGTCCAGCACCGGGGCGTCGAACGGAATCGAGAATCGAATCAAGGAATACGTTATCCTGGTCGAAGACCCCGACGCCCCTCTGCCTCTGGTGCCGAATCACGGGTTGTTCTATGCCATCCCGGCCACGAAGACTACCGTCACGGCGGACGATGTTGTACTCGACACAAAACCAGCGGTGACAGCATCGGTGGAAGGAGCAAAATATCTACGTGGTGGGTTCAGATTGGGTAAGAACCTACGTGGGACAATCTACGCGGGTCCCCGACCTCCTCTGGGGCACGGCCCTCACAGGTATTTCTACCAGGTCATCGCACTCGACCAAGCCCTCGACGTGGACGAGATGAAGCCAGTGGCCACAAAGGCCGAATTGGAGGTCGCCATCAAGGGCAAAATAGTCGGGTACGGTGTCTGGATTGGCGTTTTTGAGAGAAAATGGGAGTGAGGTACATATGCTGCCACAGACATGAAATGTTCAATGGAGCCTACCTAATTAAATCATAAATATGCCGTTGACCAAGGAGAGGGTGCAGACGAGAGTCATCAGCAGGAAAAAGAAATCGTCCTTTTTCTCTCATTTAATGATTTCGTTGTATCTCAGTTCTGAATAATTCCGAAATACCACCATTCAACAGACTCGTCACCATGTGTGCCAGCGCTGCGCTGCTCTGCCCGGGGGCCCTATCCTTGTTCGTCTTCATGCTTCATAGGTCACGAAGTTGCTTGCAGAGATCAATCAATGTCTGGCAGGTTTCGAAGCTCGGGCATCTCGCAGCACGCTCATCATAAGTCCATAACCATACCAATCCAAACTAATAGTACAATTCACAGCATCTGAGAGATGAGAATCCGACACCTTTTCCTTGGTGTGCGTGTTGGAGATAAACAGGAAATTTTTCAAACACCTGCAAGCGAATCATCGGCCCAAAACGTTGAAAAGATATCTTCACCAGAAGGCCATCCAAACTCCGCCAACATCGGATCATCCATAAAACTAGCATAGTCAGGCTTCAATGAGGCACCACTGCCCATCGGCGCTGCGTACAAGGTACTTCCTCCGTTCGGCGTTGTGTTATTCTCGGTCGCAGTGGGAGCAAGGCCTAAAATACATTGATTTTCGTTAGCTGGGACATATTCATGCAAGGGGAAAGAAGAGATCATGTCATGACAGTGTCACAAATCAGAAGCCACAGCGAGGGGCAGTCCGTACTACCTCGATTATTATCCCCGATCGGCGGTGGATAAACACCCATGAATGCACCGAATTCTTCTCGCCACCAAACAATTCCGTCCAGGAGGACACTACCGACCAGACGACTTCGGACGCGTAGCGACACCATCTCTGTACCATCTGGTTTGTGAAAGACTCTATCACTGTTCCACAGTTGAGTTAATGCGACTCCATTCCGAGCGGGGATATCGTCGTTCTGTAATGAAAGTCGCTTGTGCAGACTAATACCGACAAAGAGCGCAGATCGAGCCCTATCGACGTTGATGTAGCGTGAAAAGGAGGTTTTGAGAAGGCGTAGGAGAATATGGCATGGCCACATGAGACCATAGTAGAAGGTGATTGGAGCAGCAGGAAGGGAGATTTGTCCGGTCTTGTCGAGGGTGTCGAAACTTTCAATCACTTGGCAGCACGTAACACAGAGGTCGTAGAGGGAGGTGGGATCCTGCGCCGAAGGGGATTTGTAGAGGTTGTATGCTTGGATACTTTGTGTTGCGAGGTGGACGTAGAGTCGATCCAAATCTATCAAGTTGAAAAAGCCATTAGTGCTGTGTATATCTGGACGAATGATCTTCAACTACTTGCCTGATGCATACTCGAGACCGACACTGGCGATCTGAGCTTGAAATACGCCCAGTAAAGTGTCCAACGAACGTTCCTGGTCGGCGGACATGGTCCGCACACCATTTTGTGACACCGCGATTGAGCATCTCGTCACTACATCTTGAAGTTTGAGCTCGAATTTGAGTCTTGGAGTCATGTCTTGAAAGAGTGCTCGTTTTTGTTCTTGGTCATGGGGGGTGTCGAGGATTGGCGTTGCCGGCATGCCCTTACCCAAGCACGCACTGTGTACCATGTCATTAGATCTCTCTTTCCAAGGAAGTAGCCCGATAGCAAGAATGCGACTTACCGCTGATATATGAGCATACAATATCCCCAAGTCGCTGCTCTCTTCTTTGTTTCCTCTTCGCTTAGCTTGAGGCGAACTTTGCTGAATTCCTGACCAGATGAGGGTAGGTGCAAGCCAAGCTGCATGGCCATGTGCAACAGGGCAGCGCTCATAGGGAAGACCATGTCTTGTCCAGTGTTGGATTTGGGAAACGGCCAGTACAAGAGAATCATCCAGGCTTGAACCATAGGTAGAGAGATATTCCCATTGACGGAGAGAAGAGCCATGGCTTTGATTTTCGAGGGTAGGACACCGAGTAAGGTAGGATTATTAGAATATGTCCGGCAGCCGACTCCGACGATAACCCAGAAGAGGACAGGTGAAAGAGCGTAGCATGCGTTGGGAGTCATTGAAGGATCGAGGATAGGCATGAGATTTGCATAGTCCCGGAAGTATCTGTAGAATATGAATCAGTATTTGACGAAATGACACCGCGGGATAAGACCGGTCAGAGGCTTCTCGTCGAGTAGCGCTTTACACCATGATCTGTATCAGGACTCACATCCGGAATGTCGCATCAATATCTCTAGCGTCAACTGTCTGCCCTTCGAGGACCCTGGATAGCGTGGGCAAACCTGCCTGATCGTGTGGTATACTTTCCGGCGTCTGGAGAGTTTCGGCAGCCTGAGAGAACGAGCGGTAAGAGACTGGAGCGATATTCGCGTCTCTGAAAAAAGGAGCAACTGAAGCAAGTCGACTCTCATTGTCGGCGTTTCGAGTACCATTGGTGTCGACCGCATTCCACGTTGGTTCTGAGAGGGCGGAAGAATCGCGTCGGCCCGATGAATTGAGTCTCTCCTGTAGTTCATCGGTGCGCGATTCAAGTTCGGATATTCGCTTGCGTTTGTGCTCCCGTTTGAAAGGCTCGGACACAGTGCATTTCCGATTCATCTTGCGGCATCGTGAGCAAGGATTGTCTGGGTCGAGATAGGCATCGCATTTGGCCTAGACAAATAAAGGTCAGCTTGAGTTTGCACACACAGAGGGGGATGAAAGCCTCAAGACCTGCCAGGCAGCGGTCGGAGCGCGAAATGACAGTTTGTTGCTGATCAAGTATCGAACCAGGGAGCCATCTCTTAAGTGGAAAGCCAGTTCGGGGGAAAAACTAGCACATGAAGACCAGAGGGAAGTCTGCTTGACGCGAACTCACCTTTTGCTGTCGACATTCAGTACATGCTCGCTTGGCCAGTTTGATTTCTCCCCTACAACCTGTATCAGCTATCACCCACGGACGAGAAGTTGACCCGGAACACCAACTGAGGAGTTGTGGACGTGCTCATCTTCGGAATCTTTTGAGCTGAATGAGGATGGGATCAGTGGCGCGTTTTTTGAGGTTCTACTTATGGAAATTGGCTTCTTTCTGAGCAAACACTCTCCGACAAGGCGACAAAGAAATGGCTTGGGAGACAGCGTATAGCTTGAGTTATACAAACCGACTTTCGGCCTAGTGACGGAGAACCACAGAGTAGGAGATTTGGGTGTAAATACCGAAGTTGATGGGGCTGGGAACGGCACATTCGGGCAAGACGGGAAGAAGCAGTGACAGTGACACAAAGTTGTACAGCATTAAATTGACGGGCCTCTTTCCTCCTTGCCTACGGAGTGGAAAAACGTGGTTCCGATGACCCGATTCTTCGCTCGACACCGAGTACAACACATTTCATTTAATCATTATTGAGACAAAAGATAGCCATAATCATATGCTTCGCAAGTTTGACCGAGGCCAGTCTGCCAAATATGATGCATATCAAATCCCCCGAGGCAATTCAGTCCCCTGCTTCCTTTCGCCAAGAGCCATACCACTCACTCGTAATCTTACACACTTTACACCATGCTAGCCAGCTCCCAGCACTGCTTCCACTCGTTTTCCAGCTTGCTGTGGACCAGGAATTTCCCAAGCACGGTACTGACAGATGGCCAATCCTGGTCCACGCCAGTTGTGAGTTTGGCCAATATCTCGTTCTGTACTTGCTCAAGCCTGCCTCTCCTAGCGGCGTTCGCAGCGATAAACGCCAGCCATATCCAAAGTTCTCGATGTCCAGTGGTCTCCAGCTTGTTCGTCTGGAGTATGGAAGCGAGGTCGAAGAGTGTACTTCGGTATACAGCACATCGACATGACCAACCCAGCAGGTTAGCGTGGTATAGAAAAAGTCCTTTACCAATTGCCCTTTCCAGTGTTTCATGACACGACGAGAGCCTCATGATCCTGGCATTATTTAGACGAGGGTCGAATCTGGCTAGGAACTCCTCATCATCATCGGTGCGACATGCAGATTGGTCGTCGATACACTTTGTCCATCTAATTGTATCAGCCAGTGTTGAGATAAGTTGGGCCGAGATTTCCTTTCTCCTGGCTATGTCTCTAAATCCAGGCGTGAGTGCAGCCATCGTTCTTGGTGTTATCTCTGGCATACGCTGTGGCGGACTCTCCATTGCAGTGATTATGGCCACAGAAGGGCCTCTTGTATGGCTATCCCCGAATAAAAGCAATGCATTGGACTCCGCCCTGATGGTCTGTTCAGCAATGGAAACGACGACATGGTAATTGGAAAACATACCAAGAAACAAAAGTCCGCAGCACACCAGCATAGTGCGTTTCGTCAATATTCGGCATGGCCGTTGCCATCCTCCGAAGACCCTCCAGATGCGCACGATAAGATTCATACTCCGCGAAAACGTTCTGGAATCGTTAGCTAATCTGTATCCCGTGACTCATTGAGACTTACGTCGATGATCATCAGAAATACAGTCGATAACATGACGGCCTCGTCGACCAATCCGGACCCCAGTTTAGCACGAATGCCTGCCAATGCCCGGCCTTTGTGATAGAGAGAAACATTACTTAGTCGACTCTGGAAGTTGTGTCCTGCGGCCTTGAAGCTCGTCATCAGAGCAATGATGGATTCGAAGAGTTCGAGATTCTGTAGCGCCGAGTAGAACACCTCTTTAATAAGCGGATTGTCTCTGGTCTGGTGTCTTAAGCCGGGCTTCTGTCCCGGTGTCCAAGTGTTGAGGTCTTGAAGATGTTAGCAGACAACATCCTTGGCGGGATGAAGAGTACTTACACTGTTGTACCGCTGTGACCACGTCCTCTCTTCGAGGATTTCGCAGTGAGTCAATGGGTTCAAAGAAAAGGTAGTTCGGGTTTTGCGTGAGACCCATATATCCTAGCCGACTCGCTTCCATATTCTTCACGGGTTGAGTGTTACTATCGTCATCTGAGCGATTGCGTTGATGGCTTGTGGCTGATAATCTCTTCCGATGTGAGGATGATGTAGGGCGCTCTCTCCTTCCACCTGCACTGGAATGTGATTCTAGAACGCTGCTATGTTCATGAACAAAAGTTAAACCAGGCGGGGAGAGGCCTTGCTTGTACCCAGGTGAATTGTCCCTGGTGTTTCCGGGCAAAATCTGTGAGTCCTGTTCCGATGCGGAGGATGTACCCGGTGAGACATCTTGGTGGCCGAACTCGCTGAAGACTTGCTGAGATGTTTTTGTTACTGAAAGGTTCCTTTTTCGCCAGTATGCGACCCGGGCAGCATGTGCTCTGGCCTCGGAATGTTGCAATTCTTGCAGCCGACGCTTGTTGGGCTTTGGCTTTTCGAATGTTGTCACGTCGTAGTTGACTAGGGTCGCCATAATTCAATTTCAAGGCACAGAATCGAGCAGTCAAGCTAGTCCATGCTGAAAGAGCCTGACAACAAGCGATGTAACTGTAGGTCGAAATTCGTCCGGTCCAGGGTGAGTAAATGTTCAGACAATCACACAGGCTCGCACGGTTACTTTTGATCAGCGAGTCCGGCGACTTGACCTGAGGCCCAAGGCTCAATCAGTCGCTCTCACAGGCCTACACAGCAAATGAATCCTTCTGTAACAAGACGAACGAGACTTGCTGAGTCAGAGGCTGGGCTGTGCAGTTGGCTCAGGCGACGGACAGCTAAGATCAAACGAAGAGTTGCAATTTCTGGAATTGACAATCAAGATTTTGCGAGAAAGTCGTCCTGGTACGTGTTCTTGTCGGACAATTCAGCAATGAAATATACATATAGAAAGTTATTGTCGGAATCCGAGTAGGACCGAGGCATGCGTGACAATCAAAGTCCTTCTCTACAACTTCTTGGCATCGGAATCCATGCTGCTTTGTATCAATCACACGTTCATGGCAGGAGAAATTGGCGATATCGGGTAAGGTAAGGACTGGCGCTCTTCCTCTGATCAGCCCATGGCTCACTAGCTTTGCAACGAGTAAGCAAACCTGGTCGGTTATACCCATAATGGACTGGCGAGGAGACATTAGGTAAGCCCTAAGAACACTCGAGGCATTTCTATAGCCCAATGAAATGAACTTCAGGTTTCGAGAGGCTGTGCTTTTGCTGGCGACGAGGGTACTGATTTGATGCTAGAAGGCATTGAACAAGCATCGAGATAATGATACTGACCCGGACTCTGCAAGGCTGCGTGGTGATGCATGCACATACAGTATCGTAAGAAGGACGAATCCATTGCGAGGGTCGTGGCATTGTCTGGTCTTCCAGCAAGATTCATCCTCTGCATCTCGCGGGATACGCACAAGACCCGTACCGAGAAAAATTTGGAGCTTTCGACTTCTAGAGCGAGTAAAGAGTAGTATAAACTTGAGAAGTGTGTGATGGTAATCGTTCTGTAGGTCAATGGTGTGTATACGGAGTATCGTTCAGGTCTTTGTGGCCTTATCGATAACGGACCTCGGCGATTCTTCTCGCCGATTGTTCACGAACTTTTTTTTCCTGCGCAAACGAAAGTCTCATAGAAACTCGCTTTACAGATTCCATGCGCTGCACAATCCACACAATGGACATTACAGTTCTTCGTGAATGTCTGTAATACTATGAGCTACTCCAAGACCCTCTGTCGCTTCTAACACAATGGATATCCACCGATGCAGATTTGTCCAATATCCTGCGGACCCCATTCATGCCCTCGCCTTCTCACATCCTTCCAATACAACAGACAAGACCCCCTCCGACCTACGCTTGGCCCTTGGTCGCGGCAATGGAGACATTGAGATTTTCAACCCTCAGAATGGCCGTTGGGTGCAGGAAGTAATTTTCAAAGGATCGAAGGACGAAGCAATCGAGCAGCTTGCATGGACGCAGGATCTGGTTGTAGAAGATGAGGTCAATCCTCCAAAATATTCACGTGGACCTCTGCGTCTATTCAGTTCTTCCGGATCGAACACAATAACAGAATGGGACATAGCCACAGGGTCGCCTAGAAAACAAACAGAAGGAAATTTCGGAGACATTTGGTGTTTTGCCGTTCAACCTCAAATCGAAAACCCTGAAAAGACCAAAGGCTTGGAGGGCAGTACGCATTCACAATTAATAGCGGCAGGCTGCGCAAATGGCACAATCATTCTGTTCTCTACAGAAGAGGATGACCTTCGCTACCTGAGGCCGCTGCTGACGCCTCCAGTCAAGAAGCCAAGAGTTGTGAGCATCACATGGCGAGATCGTAACACTGTGGTCGCTGGATACGAAGACAGTACCATTCGTATTATTGATGTGCGTACCCGGACGGCCATTCGTCATATGAGTTTAGGGAAGCCGGTCGATGGCGAGCATACAGTTGTTTGGGCGGTCAAGTGTCTCCCGGACGGCACAATTTTATCTGGCGATTCAACCGGTGAACTGAAGATCTGGGATGCGAAGAACTTCTCTCTGGTCCAGAGGCTGAAGTCTCACACGCATGACATTGTTGATTTGGCTACGAATGTGGACGGGAATGTGATATTTTCCTTTGGCGTAGACAGAAGGACTGTCAGCTATAGGCCAGTCGCTTCTCCCACAGGTGGCAAGAAGACAAGATGGGCCGAGATCTCTCACCAAAGATACCATCGCCACGATGTGAAATGTGCTACAACATTCGAGAGCAAGGACTTGAGTATCCTGATATCCGGCGGGATGGACTGTAAACCTGTTGTGGTCCCTATCAGAAAATTGCAGACGGAGTCACATCGCAAACTTTCACCACTACCTCAGAGACCTCTGATTTCAGCTTCGCCGAGTGCAAGATTGTTCATCTCGTGGTGGAATCGTGAGATTGTGGTTTACCGAGTACGCGCGCAGGGCAATCCGTCTGAGAAGGTCGACTTTGATGATACCACAGGCTCGTCATACGAGATTTTGGCAACAATGATTGTACAAGGCGACGAAAACCTTCAAGATGCACAACTTTCTGCGGATGGTCATTTCATCATTGCAGCCACGATAAACAGTGTCAAGCTGTTCCAACTACGGCAGACTTTTTCAGGAGGTAGACCATGTGTGCGCACAAGACCGATCGATTTACCCCCAGCTCTTGTCCGGTTGGGAGCCAGGAGGGTCGGATTTAGTCCTGATGGGAAATGGATCTTTACCATCCGCAAGGACAACACAGTCGCACTCAACAAAGTCGTCTCAGCAGACGACTCTACAGGAAAACCCACTATCCACCCGAAGACTGTCAAGCTCTACCGGGCACCACGGAAGTCAGCACATTCTGCATTGGGCGGCTATACACAATCCATCAATCACGTCGCGATGTCTGGGGATAGCCGCGTCCTAGCGGTATCGGACGTCTCGGGTGCCATCGACACGTGGGTGCTTGAAGGTCATGAAGACCTATTCTACGTCGAGGACGACAAGTCGGACAGTTCATCAGACTCATCTTCGGACTCATCGGGTGACGATGATGAAGACGACTCTCCGGTCGTTCACGCCCAAAAGTGGATTCGCACCCCGTCCGGTTCCCAGCTACCAAAACTCGACTCTTCTATCCTAGCTCTCACATTCAGGCCATCATCTCGTTCGTCTCTCTCTGTGTCGACCGACGGTAATCGCGGCCTTCACGCGACACGTCATACGGCTCACCCTGTCGCTCACAGGCTGCCTACTTCGAACGAAATGCTCTTCGCCGTCACTGCGAGGCACCAACTGGTAGAATTTGACGTGATGAGCTGTAGACTCAGCGACTGGTCTCGACGCAATCCATCACGATTCCTCCCACAAGCGTTCAAGTCTCTCAACCCTCCCGTGATTGGGTGTTTCTGGGATTGCACCGACCGCGTCAACAAAGGCGAACGACTGTGGCTCTATGGTTCCAATTGGATGTTCATGCTCGACGTGTCCCAGGACCTGCCTCAGGACAAGGGGGCCAGGGCTGAGAAGATCGGCACTTTGGGGAGGTATAATGTGCTCGATCCTGCCTCGCCGCATCCGCATCCGGATGGCAAACGACCGCGCGCGGGCCTGTTGGAGATTTTCGGCAACGGTGGCGGTGCTCAAAAGAAGCGGAAGCGCAACACTGGTGCCGGAAGGGCCCTGTCGGCGCGGCAAAGGGCAAGTGGGATTGGCAGGGCCATGCTCAAGTACACGGGTCCAGCTGCGGACCACGACGGCGTTGATGTGATTGACATGGACCTTGACCCGAACCTTGATGGGGACGACGATGTGGACGTGGACACGGACGAGGACGGTGATGACGCTCTCGCGACGATGCGTCGTGGAAAGGAAGGGAACGGTGATGAGCGGCGACTGAATGGCACAGATGGAGATCAAGAGGGAGATGGAGATGCGAGTGAAAAGACACTGACAACGAAGACGATGCACAAACCTCGACCACTACACTGGAAGACGTACGAGTACGGCGATATTTTGGGCGTCGGGGTCATTGGGCCTACCAGTATCACTACCACCACGACGCCCGTAGTGTCGTCCGCACCAGAGCCGGAGCCGGAGCCAGAGACGAAGCCGGTGTCGACGACAAACGGCGTGTCCGATGGTGCCGACGGAAACGTCAATGGGGTGGTCGAGCAACAGACGACGGAACAAAACCAAAATCAGGGTCATGATCAGAACCTCGAGATCGTCGTCGTCGAAAGGGACGTTTATGATATGATCGGCAAAAGTCCATACGGGAGGATCGACACGGGCCAAGATTGGGAGACTTGAACAGGGAATGAACCCCTAGGTAGATCAGTTGTTTCCTTGCAAACTTCACAGCAAGAAACTTTGCACAGCACAGCGGTGTCAAATGAGTGTATTACAAGATTGGATCATGAAGTCCTTCGTACGGAGTATTTCTGAAACACACACAAGTCGTATTGTACTTGTGGGAGGCATTTTAAGGTAGTTTACTCAATACTTGTGACTCCCGGTCTCTTTTCTCTGGATCTATGACACAATCCACATTCATGGCCATTTCCACAAACCCCTCCTCATCCCTTTGCAAATAAGCAAGAATATATATAACTCATCCAAGATAGAGAAGATAGAGGGGGAATCAAACGCCCGTGCTCTCCGATGGTCAATTGACATGACAAAACACCCAAATAAAACACATCAACTTCGTCAAAATGCCATATACCAAGACGCCGGTAGAAGTGTGAAAGCCAACCTTTGTGACAGGCCTCATTCTGTTGGCTGCCGGATTATCAAAAGTTTCCCAACATGAAACTCCAAGGGACGACACGCAAATCGTGGCCCTGTTCTTTCCCAACATAGGAGATGATGCGGTGGTGTGGGTTTGGGATTCTGGGATTGGTTTTTTAAAAAGGACAAACAAATGCCGAGTCACCACGCTGATGCGCCTTATATATGCATGTATAGTAGTAGTAGGAGAGTTAATGGATCCAAGGAAAATATGTCGTTGCCAAGAGGTGAAATTGGTATCGTCCAAGGAAACGTCACGACATGATCGTACAAAACGTGAAAAAGATTGTCGTAGGTACAGCGTAGATTCAAGGAGATTATCGACGATGACCGGAGTGATCCATTTGTGAATGACTCGACCACTGGACGGCAGCTTCCTGGGGTGCGCCAGCGGGGGTCTTGACCTCGTCGCTTCGTTGTTGGTTGACTGCTCCAGGAATGGAATGTATCATATCGTTGGCTAGAGAGCTCGCGACGTAGCTTCTGAGTTCCCGCTCTTCTCTTTCGTCATCTCGCATCAACTGCGTGCGGACGGACTTGTCCAGACTGTCTCTTCGGATTTTGCGGATCTCGTGCATGATCCACAGCAAAACTTCTTCCGTACACCGGGTTCGAGGAAGATTATATCGAGAGTTGCGGACATAGCGTCGAGTGACATCAGTTGCGCCGTCCTTGGAGAAGGCGATGCAGTAGGCAATCTTTCGATTCCAGCCTGGCATTAGGTTAGTACCACTCGTCGAACTTTAGGATTGTTGGAAGAACTCACCCTCGGTATAGACTCTGGGGGTGTCCCAGAGCTCTTCGCAAGGGTCTACATGAACCCATCGTCGTTGGTGTTCGCTGTATACCTCGGTCCATACGTGGTCTTCACTATTCCAGACCCACCTGACTCTTGCACCTGCGGCCCGACACAGCATGCTGAAGCAGTTGGCAAACTCTCCAGCACGTCCTCTGCGGGTCTCCAGCAAGGTCCACACGTCTGTATATCGAGGAAATCTTTCAAAGGCCATACAGCCCTGGTTTGTACATTGGTATAGCTCGACCCTGGTGGCTCCCCGAGCGACCTCGTCTGGTGTGGGCGGCGTTTGTCCTTGGGCAAGGCTCGCCCCATGACATCTGGAGCAAGGAGGGTTGTTGACCCAGGTGAAGAAGGATCTCTTGAACCACCTGGTGGAAAGTTAGCACCCATCGGCAAATGACTCGACGGTAAAACATACCTCAGCAGTGATTTGATGACACAGTCTTGGTATCCCCATTCTGGCTTACTACCATCATTCTTGGATTCTGCCATGACTCTCATGATGTTGTGTTCCTCTTCGGCTTCGGCGTAGATTCTGTCGATGGGCACGTGAGTCAAAGCATCGTCGAGAAGACCCGGATTCTCGTATTTGGTCGGAGTCATAGACAAGGTGATTAAGAGATTTCGGAACTTGAGAGAGGCGGCATCTTGAGGAGGGCATGGAACTATAGGATGGCTGCGAAAAGAGGTGTATGTGGGAGGATGTTGTTGTTGCTGCGATCTCGAAGACTGGATCGAGTTTGGAGACTGTGGAATTTGCGATGTGTTCAAGGGTTGTTGTGACGTTCGATGGCCCAGTGAAGGCGATGCAGATCGAGGTGTTCGTGCTTGTTCTTCGAGTTCATTCAATCTTCTTGTTCGTAGTAATTGCTCGAATTGTTTGGTCAGGTCGGCGGCACTGAAGTCGAACTCGTCATCCAGAATGCGCGGTCGGTTGTCGTCCGCCATGACTACCCGACGCTCCTCGGCTTACGATTGAAGGCTCGCTGAAGTATGAAGGGGTGTATGTCCTGCGAAAGCGATCGAGAGACGAGTAACAAGACGAAGAGTCGTCCTCCGTCGTCGTCGAGGTAGAAGTTGGTCGACTCTTGGGGTGGGAGAGGGTGATTGGCGCAGCAGTGGAGCACAGCCGACTTTGGAGTTTGCCTCGCCACAATTGGGCCTTGAAACAGATGCAGGGTTTGTGACAATGAGGGAGGACTCGACCACGGGATTAAAAAGATATAAAGTAGGCGTCGGTCGGATTGTATAGTCCAAGTCTAGGTAGCAGTAACGAGAGTGGTGAGGTGGTGTCGGATGGTAGTAGAAGGCGACGACGACAAGGACGAGGATGGAGGACGAGGACGAGTGCGAATGCGAATTGTGAGAGGGTCCAGGGATTGGCGCCGGTGAGCGAGAGCGTACGTGGACTGGCAGATTGCGTGGGCGCAGAGAATACGAATATGGGGAGAGAAAATGATGAGTAACTATTTAGGTATAACTCGTTATTCGCAGGGGGATACTCGGTCCCTTGAGATACCCAGGCACGGGGTACTGTAGGCGCGGTGGGAGCACAACCACAGGAGAGAGTAGGTGAGGTTTGGGCGTTGTTTGGGTGTAGGAGGCCTACTGTAGGGGAGGCTCGTATACCTACACCGGGCTGGCCAAGTGCCTAGGTACGCCTAGTGACCTCAAAGGACTCGTCACAGTATTACTGGCCACCACGAATGCTGCTGCTGACGACGACGGGGGGCAGCTGCATGGCCCTTTCTTTAGCTGTCAACGCCGCGCGTCCCTTGGTGATTTGGGCGACGCAATTCTTTACTTGGCCTTCTTGCCACCCAATCATCAGGCCCAGATCGCCCAGTAGGCGAAGCCCCATTCTTTTTTATTTTCCGCTCGAGTCCCTAAGCCGCAGTTAGTAGTTCATTGCATTATTATTGTACGGACACGGAGTATGTAATACTTTCAGGTATCTAGGAATACTGCACGACCGGGGGATGACCTTCGGAAGAGTAGCGATAGCAGCAGCAGGAAAGAGGAAGAAAAAGAATGGGCTTGTCACCAGAAGCTCCGTTCCACCCCGGCTCTTCTCCTCCCTCTTCTTCCCCCCCAAAGCTTCAACCAGGATACGGGTACCTCGTACGAGTACCAATAACAGCGGGACACTGGCTTGGCAGCTCCGTCGCTTTTGGTGCTTACCTCCAGTATGGTGGCACTGACGCGAAGCAAAGCCCTGAGCCAAGAAGAGAGCCTCATCACATTTCTGGGAACGCGCGTTTGAACTGAATCGAACCGAATAGCGTCTCCATCACGGAGTAATCCCTACATACAGTACGAGCCTAAAATCCCTGCAGAGCTTGCGCATCCCTGCGACGCCTTAGCACTCTGTGCCTACAGTAGACTTGACCTCTCATCCTACACGTACGCATACATACTCAGTACTGTACAATCCCATTACTCGGAAATCACGTAGAGACTAAAGAATCACGTGCACCACACGCTGTCTGATCTGGGACACGCGAGCCACGCATGCATCATTTGGACCCAATTGAGGCTGCTGAGCCAGAACTCTGCGCTACACTACTCTACACTACAGTACTCTAGGATTTCTTATCCCTTTCTCATCCTCTGCCTGTTTCACCATTCAGACAATCCCTGCCATGTACCATTTACGCCGAGCGACTAAACCTAGGACCTCCACCTCCATCTTCTGTCTCCTCCTCCGGCTATCGAGTCTTCCGGACCAGATCCCAATAAAAGCCTCAGATTTGATGGACTCGATCTCCAGAACGAGCTATAGTCTACCCCTTATCTATCGAGCATCGATCCAAACCCTCACTAAAACGGTTCCTGCACTAGCAGAAGAAATGCCAAGTCTTCTTCCACCATGGCCACGTTGCATGTAGAGCACGTTCATCGGCCAAGATCTGCTCCAGGTCAATTTCGCGCCGACCACTGACAACGTCAATGCTCGCAGTGCGCTTGATCGATGTCTTCTTCCATATCTTGAAGCCAAGGTAGAACACAATCACCACCGGAGCAGCCAAATAACCTTCAAAGAAACTCTTGGTCCGGTCGGAAGCACTCATCTCACGGAATCCTACTGGCGCAAAGCCCGTCCAGAACTGCGCCACAAGGACCAAACAATTGATGATAAAGCCCAGCCAGGAACCTATGACGCCAGCTTGTGACTTGAACGGTAACTCGTCCACACTATGACCGTGATATTTCCAAGCCTGTCGGAAACGAATGTGGCAGAGGCAGATGGATCCCCAGGTGAAGATCGACGCCAGTCCAGACACCGCGAACATCCAATTCCATGCTTCTTGACGCTGCGAAGGTTTCAAATTGACAATGTAGCAAAGCGCCCCCAACGATGATGACACTATGATGGCCACTAGGGGACGCCCCTGTCGGTCGATATATCCGAGAATCTTGGGTGCTTGACCGTTATCGGCTAGTGCTGCTAGGGTACGACTGGCTCCGTACACGGACGCATTACCGACACTGAGGACGGCGATCAGAATGACGGCGTTGAAAACAGACGGAAGCCCGCCAACACCAGCATTCTTGATGGCGAGTACAAAAGGTGAGGTCCAGGTGTTGGAAGTGCTGCCACTGTTGAGTAGCCTCGGGTCGTCCCACGGCACCAACAGGCCCACAAAGGTAAGTGATACGATATAAAACTGAGGATGACCTTGTCAGCGTGTCCTGTACTTCAACCACTGGGGTGACACCTTACCAGAACTACACGCCAAAAGACTTGTTTGATGGCTGTTGGAAGCGCTATCCTTGGGTTCGCCGCCTCGGCGGCCGCGAGACCAACCAACTCGGTGCCGGCAAACGAGAATGCGGACGTCACAAACACAGAGCCCACGCCTTTGAAACCATTGGCAAAAGCCCCCGGGTTGTCCCAGGTTTTGGCGCCAAAGTAATGTCCCGTTGGCCCACCACCGACATCGACGACAAGAGCAAAGATTCTGGGATGTGATTAGCTTGGTCAACACCACACATCCGGACATTGGCATACATGAACCCCAAGACGGCAATGACCTTGACAATAGAAAACACGAATTCCGCTTCACCATATCCTCGCACCCCGAAGAAATTGATGGCAATAATGACCACGAAGAATATCGAAACCCATGCCGACGGGTTGACATCACGAGCTCCACTCCAGTAATTCAGAGTCATTGAAGCGGCCATGATCTCAATTGGCAAGGTCACGAGCCATTGCATCGCATAATTCCAGCCCATGGCGAATCCCCATGCAGGGTCCAGGAATCGGCTAGAATAGGCAGAGAACGAGCCAGCAACGGGGAATATGACTGCCATTTCTCCCAACGCGTGTACGGTACAAAACAGCATGATACCAAGCGTACAATATGAGATGACCAGGGCTGCAGGTCCACCCGTTGACAATGCAGAGCCGGAGCCGATGAAGAGACCGGTGCCTATTGGTTTATCAAAGGATTAGCCATGTTTTGTGCACTTCACAGTCCTCACGGCACCCAACCCGGCTTGAGCTTACCAATGGAGCCTCCAATAGCGATCATCTGCAGATGTCGCTGCTTCAACTTCATGGCCAGCGCTGGTTGAGCTGCAGGCTGGTCTGGAAGCGGCTTGCCATCCGCGTCGACGAGTTGCTCCGAAACTCGGGCATTCGGATTTTGACGAAACCCGTCGATGAATCTGACCCAGACTGACCCCTGTTTTCTTGTGACGATTTGTCCATATTCCTGGCTCGATCTAGCGCCTGGTGACGGACCTTGCTCTTTCTCCAAGTCAACGTCCATTGTGTTGGTCTGGTCTGGTGGGAAGACTATAGGCAGACGGCGAAGGATGCCGATATTTGATCCAAGGGGCTGCTTCGCAGTTCCGAGTGCAGAGACTCTCAAAGGCCAACTAGCAAAAGAGCAACGACAGGAAATACGACCACTTTAAGAAGCAGGTCCAGCTCCGAAAGATTACCGTCCATCATGATACAATCCGCCTCGCGTGCCACCCATCAACGCTCGAAAAAGCAAGCGCTCGCACATACTACAATGAAGCCTTGTCAGCAAGGAAACAGACGAATAATGTGCCGGTGATAGCCAGCGGACGGTGGCGGGCCCACCACGGATGTGCCGGAACTCGAGATCGACCACACCGGAAATCTAGCCTCGTCGGCGACTTTCACACCCTCAAGAATTTGAGATGACGTGAAACATCAAATACAGGTGATGGTCACATGGAATATGTCAGGTTCTGAAGCAAAGCATGATGATCCCATTCTCCTCAACCTTACAAGCTGGATTCATGACAAGAACGACTTCGCGAACTGTTCCTTGATCAGGCGTTTTTGTAAGGGGAGATGGGTAACGCAACTAAGGCGACCAACACCTCGCCACATGGAACCTACGTCGATGATACCTGGAAGATTCCAAAAACGCCCCCACACAAAAGTCATGGTTCTTTTCGACGACTGTCAGCAAATCCCCCCCACGCGGCATCTTTGTTCGGCGGTAGGAGGTTGCTACTGCAGATGTGCTTATCAGAGAGCCTTTACTCGCTCTCACGCCTCGAGCCCAACCTCGATACTTTTGCAACATGTGTTGCGAGGGTTGTTGGTGGGAACATTGATCGTCCAGGATTCAATGATCTGGTGGCGTCATATTGCGCCGCTGAAGTACTGTAAGCTCGAGATTGCAAGGTGACAACTTTGAATTGAGGTTTTGTCCCAGCCGTTGCGACATACTCGGTCGGCTCTCCTTGACTTTCGTGTCCCCATGTAGCCGACGGGGTGCCTCACTGACTGGAAATCATACGACACGAGCACTGAGTAACCTCAGCGCATGCCGAAATGCTGACTTGACACAAGGTACTAGGTAGGTGATGATGTTATCCATCACAGAACTGGTAGGGAAACATCAGAAGATTACACAACACACATGGCTCCTCTAACAACATTCCCTTTGATCTATCCGCGGAGCCGCTTTGGACTTGGTCAAATGGTCTGCAGTCTGATGATTGTGATGAATTGATAATCTATCTCTCATAGCCCTCGTAATATAATCAAACTTCTTGAGCCTAGTACTTGCAAGTATTTCGTGCAGGTCTTGAAATCATCCCATGCCATTTCAATACCAAGCCCTCCAGTCCCAACACCGTTACACTTTTTCGAAAACCCAAGGCTCCCTCGCCTCGCCACCCTTTCGACGCCTTGATCCCACTACACTTATCCAGGTAGGAAATACGCAACCTGCGGATTCGGTCTGGACATCAGTCCTTGGAAGGGACGGTTCTGAGGACATGTCCCGACAGCGGCTTCCCACATTCGTCGCAGCAATCGCCCAACCTGGGCCGGCCACTCAGAATGTCCACCGTGTCCTTCATCGGCATCCAAAACTCGTTCTTGGGTCTACGATCGACCCAGTCGGTACCGTTGGCCTCGAGTCCCATCTCTCCGCCCAGGGGCGTGAAGACGACCTCCGAGCCTTGAATGCCAATCACCGTCACGGACAACGGATCGTCTGCGATCGTCGCCTTGGATCGGCCGGTGAACCTGTCTTCAACGTGCTGCATACACTTGATCGCCATCCGGAGCGCCCTTATCCGATCCATGGGCGAAGGTTTGCCACCCTGTTGGTAGTGTCCAGGCACCGCCGCTCGGGATTCGAACCGCCCCTTTGCCTCTTCCTTGATCATGTCCGCGATAATTTGGGTCGTGTACGTCTGGCTGGCCTTTTCGTTGCGGAGGATGATCTTGCCCGCTCGGGAGGCGCCTTGGTCGTTGGCAAAGTTTTCCCGAAGAAACTCGATATCCCGCGCAATCATGTGGATGTTGATGCCCTCTTCTGGAATGTAGACAGCCAATGCACCCACCGAGAGACCAGCCATGGTCGCTAGATAGCCCGATCGGCCGCCCTGGGTCTCGATGACAAACACTCTTCGCCGCGATGATGACGCCGACTGTCGGATGGCGTCGCAGAAGTTGATGAGTGTGTTCAAGCAGGTATCGCTGCCCAAGGAGTACTCTGTTCCCGGGACATTGTTCGACACTGTGGCAGGCAGAACAACCAACGGGATCTTAAACGATGGGTATTCATTCCGAGCCTTTCTCAGCTCACTTGCCGCGGTGAAAGCCTCGAATCCGCCAATCAGAAGCATGGCGTCGAACTTGTATTTTTCGAAGCACTCGGCTGTAGTTTTAATGTCAGCACTGGGGAGACCTCGGTTCGTGCCGATTTCTGAACCACCCTCGTTCACCCAGGGATCGACGTCAATCCACTTGCACTCTCGCACAGATCCCAATGGCTTGTCAGCATGGTGACGTTGCAACCCAGTGAAGCCGTTGTGAATGGCGATTGGTGTATGGCCTCTGGTCAGGCAGTAAGCCACAGCTGCTCGGGTGGCTGGGTTCATACCGCCGGCAGGAGCACCGACGTGAACGATGGCAACTCGCAGCCTCTTCTCCTCGGGCAGACGCAATTTGGGATGATCTGTAGAAGTGGTGATCATGTAACTCTGATAGTATTCTTTGAATTCGACATCCCGCAATTGCATGGCCTTGTCGAAGTCTCTTGCCTCAATGGCAGCGGTGACTGATTTCGTCAAGGCCACGGCTTCCATAAGATTTGATCTTTCAATCTTGTTCTCTCGTATAGTGATGACAGGGGTGGGGGTTTCTGGGGTTGCTTCCAAAACCGCGTTCACAGCCTCCACACCCTGCAGGGTGGACAGCCATCGGTCGTAGAAGCAGGCCTGCCCGCCTCGCTGTGTATGCCCCAGGACAGTAACACGGGTGTCCAGGTTCAGCTTGTTCGACAAGAGATCTTTGACATGATTGGCTGTAATCTTCTTCAGATTTTCGTCATGTGCGCCCTCGGCGATTATGACAATTGACCGCCTCTTGCCTCTCGACCTATGCTTCTTGATGATGTCGCACATCTGATCTTCCCAACCCACTCGTGGCGGCTTCTCAGGGATGAAGACAAAATCAGCACCAGTAGCTATCGAAGCCATCAGGGCCAACCAGCCACAATGTCGACCCATGACCTCAATCACGAAGCCTCGTTGGTGAGAAGCTGCGGTGTCGAAGACGTCGTCGACGGCGGAACAGATTCGTTCGAGGGAGGAGTAGCATCCAATGGTGGCATCGGTGCCAGACATGTCATTGTCAATAGATCCAACCAATCCGACAATGTTCAGATGCTTGAATGGCTCAATTTGTTCTTGAGTGAGTTCTTTGGTGTCGACCAGCTCTTTGATCAGACCCGGCCATTCGGATCTGAAGAGATCTGCACCGGTCAAGCTACCGTCTCCGCCGCAGATGATCAGAGCATCTATCCCTCGTAGGATCATGTTTTTGGCAGCTTTCAGTCTTCCCCATCTTTCCTTGAAGGGCATACATCTTGCTGTGCCAATGAGTGTACCACCTCGAGACAGCCATCCTCTGACATCTTCCCATTTCATTTCTTTGATCAGATCTCCACCTTGTACTAGCCCTTCATAGCCCTCGTAGATTGCGTATGCCTCACAGCCCATGTGGATCGACATTCGAACAACTGCGCGGACAGCACCATTCATGCCGGGAGAGTCACCTCCACTGGTCATGACGCCAATGCGGCGCCTCCTCACAGGAGCCATACCTGCTTCGGCCATTTTGCAGAGGAGAGGTCACTGGTAGTAGGTAGAGGCAGAGAAAAAGGAGGGGTGGTGGTGCTGGCGTAGGTGCGGTGAGGATAAGGTCTCGATAGGTGTCGGAAGGGATTTAATAAGGTGGGTGGTACAGGAAAAGAAAGGTGAAGAGAAGAGATTCCCGGGCCAAAGAAACGCTTCTCCCGTGGCCTGAGAAGAAGAAGGAAAACAGCAGTTAGTTAAAGATAAACTGAGGAAGCGGTGCGATAGGTTGATCTGGGACTGATCTTGATTTTGGCGAAAAATGTGGTGTTGGTGGTGGTGGTGGTTGATGCTATCCTGCCCTGTACAACTGAGCCGAGCAAAAAGACGCCCACGTCATGGAGCCACAGGGAGCGATGGACAGCTGTGAGAGGCCAGAGAGCTTCGGCGTCCGGGCCCTTAGGCTGTTTTGATCAGCCCCAACAATCCCTGTAAAGGGCTAAGTGAGGGGTGGGTGCCCGGGCATATCCAGTTAAAAGTCTAGCCCGTTACTACGGAGTGCAGCTTATCGAAAAGCTCGGCGGGTTTTTGGTGACTTCACGTTAGGTGCGCAGTATGGTCTCGGCAATCTTGCTGTTTATGGGTTCTCTAGGTTGGTCAGTACTTATGGCGAGAAATAGGCAAGCGAGCCGGGTAACCCAACGACATATCTGCTTGTTGCTTTTGCTCTTCCAACAACACATTGCATCTCAAATCACCAATTAGGACAGCCTTTCCAAAAGCTGCCACTGAAAAGCAGATACTCGACTCATAAAAGGTGTCGACTCTGCAAGACGCTACTGGCTAGAACGGTTTGATTTCTTGAACTTTTTCACATCATGCGTACAACTAGAGAATAACAAAAATCCATTGGTGTACCCGGCATGGCTCGATTGGATACCATCAACTTACTCATCCCTTCACAACAACATGAAAGTTCAGAAGATCTCCAATCTCAAATCCAACGCGTTGTTGTTCAAAAAGGACACTTTCGTCATGTGACTGAACGATCTCTCCTGGCTGAAGGCCTGGGCAAGGCTCCTCTCGATAGCGACAAAAAGGCCAGCCATGAAGACGATACGCAAATCGATGATGACGAACCTCAACAGAAGAGACAAGAACGACTGTGGAAGCGACGGGAAGAAATGATCGAACGCCTAAGGTGAGTTTGGAAGTTGACATCGATCTCAAAGCCCACCTAATCTTCAGCAGCTATGCTCAAAATGAAATTTTGTGCGCTTTGGATTTTGTCTCTCTCCTCATCTCAAAACAATGGATTCCAGCACAAGGCTCAATGTCACCGGCCCTCAAGGACTCAGTCCCCGTGGGCACATTAGCTGGCAGAGTTCTACCAAGAAAGCCATTATCCAGCACGGCACAACGACAGCTCACCTCGGCATCTCAAGGCTGGAGAGCCGAAAGCTTTCGTTCTGCTTCGGAAAAACTGTCTTCCGCATCAACTCGCCTTCAGAAAGGAGCGGAACGTGAAGCCGAGTATTGGGCGCAAGTCACTAAACTCACCAACCAAGGATGGATGGTATCACGACTACCGCACGACCGCAAAGCCATCGGTGTCCATTTTGGGGTTTCCCACTCTGCACCACAGTTTCGTGATCGTGGTTTCGCTTTTCTCCGCCAACTAAACGATGGAAGTGTGACACTAGATCAACGGTCCGCTCAGCGCAGTCAGAAGGCATTGGGCGTGTATATCGTTCGAGACACCGTCAAAACCGGCTTTTACCTGTTCAAACCCCAGAAGACGAGCAACCGATCAGCCGAAGACGAAGACGACATCACACAACAAATCATGCAGATGCGCGACTCGTTATTCGAAGAGGAGCTATTCTACGAAATATGTCGCGAAGCACGCACCGTAGCAAATCAAGGCGTTCACATCCGCGCCCAAGCGGTCGATGTCGCCGTCGGGACCAAATACCAACTTTCCTTGGTCTTCGGAGAAGATTTGGACGCCGTTATATCCACAAACACCGAAGACAACCTCATCGCCGAATTCGTGGCTGTATCTCTCAGGTTGCTCTTGAATGCTGCGCACGAACAAAATCTTGCGAAGAGATCGCGCAAAGCTGCCCCCTTGACACTCAAACCCCGACATTCACCAGAATATGCACTCATCCGACCGATTCTAGCACACCTGCGTCACCGCGCCGAAGCCATTGCTTTCTGGACCGATTGTAAAGAGATTGTTCGTCCTTTTGCGAAGGCTGGACTACAAGTGACGCTCGACATTGAAAAATCCACCACCAAGGCGTTCGAGGCATTGAATATCGAAGCACCCTCCACATTCCTTTCGGAGATTATGATTCCAGCCAAGAGTCGTTTCAAGATTGGACTGACACAGAACAAGGCTTTCGAAATAGGTCTCGCTACGTTCCTGGGTCCGCCTCTCTTTGGATCTCGGTATGAGATTTCCGGTCTAGACTTTGGATTTGTCACGGTGCCACTTGCGCATCCTGAGACGAGAGAGGCTGCGGTCCAGGCTGTGTACCAGATGTTTACACTGGGTCTTGTTTCACACATTGAGAGCTTAACCAAGCGAATCTCCGACGGTTTGTCGAATGATGCAAGAAAAGACAACGCAAAGAAGTGGGAGGTGTCTCTGCCTCATAACGGAGAACTGACTCTCTGCGTTGCAGGAGATCCGGTCAGAAAGATCGTCGCGTCAGTACGACCTGGACTGATTGTTGTCCAGACAAGGAGTTTGGAGAGGGGAACCTCCAAACATGAGATTTGGTCATGGACTTCTGACGGCTGCTTCAGCGCTGGAGGTGTCAATGGCGCAGTTAACCCAGTGACCACATTCAACGAAGTTGTCACCAAGATTTTGGATACCAGCTCTTAAAAGGAAACCCTACCATTTGAATCTATGCGGCAGAATTCCCACTTGATTGGAGTAGGTGGCGGTCCCAGCTTCGGTACTGGCGTCGATGGTGCACCTGCGGCTGGTAGTCTATCGAGCTAGATTCACTATCTACCACGTAGTAATACATCTTCCTTGTTCTCTAATGAGTCTTCCTATAAGAATTGTCTCTTTGGGCACCCGTTCATCTCATTCCGGTTGCCCAAAGCAGGAAGACTGAATGTCATGGATTCTTGGCGTCGATAGACTTCAAAAGCGGCGACAGGCACCTCCGCATATGTAACGACCGACATTGAGATGCTCCTCCCTTTGTGATACAAAATAACTCTGGTGCTACGTGGCATCTGTCTTGATTGTCGACTTCGTGGGCATCCCTCGCCTCCTATACTATCTCTGACATAATTGATCCCTTTCTCACCGTAGTGCAGCTTTCGAGATGACTACCAGGTATCGTGTTGAGTGCATGTCGTTGACCACCCAGTCCATAAATCCCTTGCTAATTGACGATAGATGCTTTAAAGGCGAGTCCAGAACCGGAGATTGCACATGAAATTTCATTGCTAACTGCTTGCGGATATAGACTCATCGGCGAGATCAATTCGTAAGTGAGCAACCTCGTGAAGTAAGTTGACCAAAACTAACGTTGAATAGATCGAATGGATCAAGGTGAGGATCAGCTTTCCCAGCCAATGCGGCTTCACAGAAAGAATTTGCCGTTCATGTATGACTAATATCACCACAAAGGGTCTCCTGGCTGTCCCCTTCGTGCTCAACTCACAGCCAGCCGTTGACTATGACGATGCCAAAACCCAAAGCCTCGACACCATGGCGAGATCAGCACGTCAGAGATATGCGGAGATCTTTCGAGATGTTGAAGATCTAATCATTGATGAGAGTAAGGCTTGCATTGCCGACGACTACGTGATGCTAACCGGGTTCAGTCAACCATCAGGCTTCCCCGAACACCAAATCTAAGCTCAATATGTTAGTACCGACCATCTCAGCATTCTTCACACCACTCGCGCTGGAAGATGCATTTTATCACCAGGACTCGATACGAGCCATCTCTTCTCGGCGGTTTGTGGCCCCCTCATTCAACGACATCAGGCTCATCCTCAATACCGCACAAATCATGGCTATGATGCGGCCCAAGCTATACCGCTCACTCAATGTGAAGCTTTCTCCTGGCTTGGAGTTGCTGACATTCGATGGTGATGTAACGCTGTACGAGGATGGCGCATCTCTCCACTCACCAGAAGCTAACCCCGTCATTTATCGACTGCTGCATTTCCTCGCCCATGATGTCCGCATCGGGATCGTCACGGCAGCAGGATACACTCAACCAGAACGTTATTTCGATCGCTTGTCTGGGCTGCTGGTGGCCGTGAAACAGTCTACCACACTGACACCTAAGCAAAAATCTAACCTCATCATAATGGGTGGAGAATCGAATTTTCTTTTGGTATTCGACGAGAAGGCAGAGCATTGTCTACGATATGTACATCGACGAGAATGGGTGATTGACGCCATGAGGGATTGGTCCGAGACTTCTATGCAGTCACTCTTGGACGTAGCGGAAGCCGCCTTCCATTCGTGCATTCGAACCCTACACCTACAAGCCAAGGTCCTCCGAAAAGAAAAGGCGGTCGGGATCTACGCCGCAGATCAGTCTCAAAAGCTCACCCGAGAACAACTGGAAGAAACTGTCTTGGTGGTGCAGCAAGTAGTCGAGTCTACGATAAGTGCATCCAGTACTGGCGAACCAGCTCCGCACGCCAGCATTCCATTTACGGTGTTCAATGGCGGAGCGGATGTCTTTTGTGACATCGGAGACAAATCATTGGGGGTTCAAGCATGCCAGAAATGGTTTGGAGGCATCCTGCCATCTCGGACACTGCACGTAGGCGACCAGTTCTTGAGCGGAGGAGGAAATGATTTCAAAGCACGTAGTGCTTGTTGTTGTGCCTGGATCGCCAGTCCTGCGGAGACGGTGTCGTTATTGGATGAGATGATAGCATTGCAAGCGAAGGTATCGTAAATGGGAACAGACAATAATGACATTGAAATGATCATCGAATTCTATTGCTTTGTAGATATTTACGGAGAACGGAATACGGAGTGACTATTCAGAGAGCCATGTGGATATGTGAATGCAGGACACGTGCTGTTCTCGGAGCTGGAAAACTTATATCCGAGAAATCAAATGGCCCTGAGCGTGTTCAGGAGACCGGCCAACTGCAACTGCCACCAACAACCCAACTTGTTCGTGGCCCCCAGTCGATACGAGACCTTACAGCCGTCATCATCTCCATGTCCTCTCATTGTCACTTTCTCTTCTTCTAGATCCGACAGTGATGGGCTCCAAACCCTTTCGGAGAATGCGTCAGTGACCAACGTCCTAACGGCCCTCCTCAGCCCACCACCGACCCGTCCGGACACGTCCTGCCTCGCGTGCAGATGGTCCATTTGCATCCTCGCTCAAGATGTCGTCCATGCGAGGCCTTGTTCAGTTCATAGCCGACCTCCGAAATGCCAGAGCCCGAGAACTGGAGGAAAAGCGCATCAACAAGGAATTGGCCAACATCAGACAGAAATTCAAGAGCGAGAAGTTGGATGGATACCAAAAAAAGAAGTATGTGTGCAAGCTGCTTTACATCTATATTCAAGGGTACAATGTCGACTTCGGACACCTCGAGGCTGTCAACCTCATTTCCGCTACCAAGTACTCCGAGAAGCAGATTGGCTACCTAGCAGTCACTCTCTTCCTTCACGAGCAACATGAATTATTGCACCTGGTGGTCAATAGTATACGGAAAGACTTGTTGGATCACAATGAACTCAACAACTGTCTGGCATTACATGCCGTTGCCAATGTCGGAGGCAGAGAAATGGGAGAAGCCCTGGCTGCGGATGTCCACCGACTTTTGATTTCTCCTACCTCCAAGTCTTTTGTGAAGAAGAAGGCTGCATTGACCCTGCTTCGGCTTTACCGGAAATATCCAGGCATTCTTCAGGCGGAATGGGCAGAAAGGATAATATCCTTGATGGATGATCCGGACATGGGAGTGGTGCTGTCTGTGACCTCTCTGATAATGGCGTTGATCCAGGACCACCCTGAAGCATACAAAGGAAGTTATATCAAGGCCGCCCAGAGGTTACGGAAGATTGTCGTTGACGGCGACATTTCGCCAGATTACCTTTATTACAAGGTGCCTTGCCCGTGGATTCAAGTAAAGTTCTTGAAGCTGTTGCAATACTATCCTCCCTCAGAAGACTCCCACGTTCGAGATATCATTCGAGAATCTCTGCAAGCTGTTATGGCCGCAGCCACAGAAGCTCCCAAGAACGTCCAACAGAACAATGCGCAGAATGCGGTTCTATTCGAGGCTATTAACCTCCTCATCCATCTCGATACCGAACATCAGTTGATGATACAGATTTCCTCCAAGCTGGGCCGTTTTATCCAGTCACGAGAAACAAACGTACGGTATTTGGGACTGGATGCTATGACTCACTTCGCCGCAAGATCTGACACTCTTGACCCCATCAAAAGGCATCAAAACATCATTATTGGGTCTTTGAGGGATCGTGATATTAGTGTCAGGAGGAAGGGGCTGGATTTGCTTTATAGCATGTGCGACACAACGAATGCGCAGCCTATCGTGAACGAACTCTTGAAGTACCTGCAATCTGCAGACTTTTCTATACGGGAGGAAATGACGTTGAAGATTGCCATCTTGACAGAAAAGTACGCGACCGATGCACAGTGGTACATCGATATATCTCTCCGACTGTTGGCAATGGCCGGTGATCATGTCAGCGACGAGGTGTGGCAGAGAGTGGTGCAAATAGTCACCAACAATGAGGAGCTGCAGCCTTATGCAGCACAACACATTTTTGAATATTTGCGAACTGAAAACTGCCACGATACTCTGGTCAAGATTGCCGGGTACATCCTCGGGGAATTTGGGCATTTGATTGCAGACAACAAAGGCTGCAGTCCGATTGAGCAGCTGATGGTCCTGCAGAACAAGATGATTTCGGCTCCTGATGCGACGAGAGCACTATTACTCTCAACTTTTGTCAAATTTGTCAACCTCTTTCCCGAGATTAAACCACAGCTGCTTCAGATGTTCCAATTTTACAGCCATTCTCCGGATTCAGAATTACAGCAAAGAGCTTGCGAGTACTTGGCGATTGCAACGATGCCCACCGACGATCTTCTGAGGACGATCTGTGATGAAATGCCACCATTCTCCGAAAGAGCATCAATCTTGCTTCAAAGGCTGCACAAGAAGAGTGTTGGAATCAGCGAGCGAAGGACGTGGCTCGTGGGTGGAAAGGATGCCAACGCTGATAAGCAGGAGGTGCTGCTCGCCCAACAAACAGGGCTCAAACGAACCTTTACAACCATCGTGAATGGAGGAGCAAAATCCAACGCCAACGGCACAGGCGAGAGAAATGTTACGAACGGAACAGGCACCGCATCAAAAGATCTCGAAGGTCTTGACATGAACGGACACACAGACGATGCTCCAGTTACGAATCTAGCCGATGCTGCTCATCTCTCCCCTGATTGGGAGATTGGGTACGAACAGATGTACTTTGCCAATGAAGGTGTCCTCTATGAAGATCCGCAGATTCAGATTGGTATGCGAGCTGAATATCGTGGTCACCTGGGAGTGGTAAAGCTGTACTACACCAACAAAGCATCCTTTGCTATAGGATCTTTTACCACGACACTGGACAACAAATCTGCACCGGCGTTGAAGATCGACACGAAGAGTCTTCCTGACTCCAATGTCGGCGCAGACTCCCAAGTGCAACAGACGATAGTATGTACATCCATTGCACCATTCTCGGAATCGCCCACGATCCGGATATCATATCTTGCCGGAGCATTACAGGGGTACACACTCAAACTGCCCATTCTGGCTCATCGGTTTATGGATCCATCCGAACTTTCAGCCGAGGACTTTTTCAAGCGGTGGCGACAGATTGGCGCAGGAGCGTTGGAAGCACAGAGCACATTTGGTCTTCGGACGCCAGCAACTGAGATGAGTGATAAGTTCACTCGCGAAACTGTGCTGGGGTTCCGATGGAGAATTCTGGACAATGTCGATCCGAATCCGAAGAATATTGTGGGCTGCGCAGTTCTACAGCTCGAGAAGGGCAAGACGGGATGTTTGTTACGCTTGGAACCGAACCACCAACAGAAGGTATGTTTTCGGAGTTCATGATCGATCGAGATGGACATGGTTTACTAACTAGGATGACAGATGTTCCGCCTAACAATTCGCGCCACCCAAGAAACTGTGCCAGGCATATTGTTGGCAATGATGCAGGAACGCCTTGCTCGAGGTCCATGAAATGGCCGTATCAAAGATCCTCTGGTCGGGACCCGTGACAAACGGCATGAGACCATGTTGACGAAGATTCTACAAGTTGTAGGAGAGGCATGAGTTGATCGGGATTTACGCACATCACAACCCAGGTCGCCGTCAGAGATTATATATCCCACTCCTGGGCTTCTGACGAAAATATCACAAACTTCTTTTCGATGTAAAATCATAATGTTATTCAATTGCCTCTTTCGGCCCTTTTTCTTTATCCTTCTGGTAACTTCCTGCAAGGTGCATTAATGCTTTCTCGTCATCTCTAGCAGAGCATATAGCATTTGGCATAGCATGCCACTCCGTGCCCGTTTAAGCACTTTAGCACTTTGGTTCCATACCGGGACAATCTAGAACCTATAGACCCCAGGTACCAAGGTCCCGTCAGCACTCTCGGCGGCGCCGATGCTCTCCAGGATCCTGGCCTGGATCATCTCGATGGTCGGGGGACCCTGTTGACCCGGCGACTTTTTGGTGGGGTCGGCGATCAAGACGGCCAGGGGTTTGACCTGTTCGATGACCTCGGTGATGGCTTGGGAGTCTGCCGGTTCGAAACGGCCGATGACGACGAGAGAGACGTCGGTGCGTGGTGTATCACCAGTAGCGTTGGCTCCTTGACCGCTCGAAGGGATGACCTTTTCTCCGCTCAACAAAGCCGGGATCTCTGTGAGGGCGGCTTGGGTGTTGGAACAGACATGGACGACTGTTTTTTTTTGGTAAGAGAGGGGTTGAGATTAGGCTGTTGCTTTTGATGTTGGGGGGGTCAGGAAGAGGGAATGAGGGTGTGAGAGTGAGAAAGAGGAAGTCTATCGTGTGTAGTGATAAAAGGGAAACTCTTTACCTTCTATTTTATGAGCAAGGTGTTCACTCAAGTGCTTGGTGTGAGAAGGATCCGTGCCGCATAGAACAGCCGCTGGTCTCATTTTGGGCCTGGTGGGTGGGTAGGTACGTAGTATGTGTGGGTGTATGCGTACTTGTTAGGTGTATAGGTATCTGTGGCGAGTGATTGTGGTATGTTTGGTGTTTGTTGACACTTTGAATAGAAGGTCTTGTTTCGGTCTAAATCCAAGGTAATCTGAAGGAAAGATACGAGAACAAAAACGAGAACAAAAACCGGACACCGATAGAAGGTCATACAAGTAATTCGGGTTCTGCGATAAAGTAGTACCAATTCTCTGTAGTGGGACAAGAAAAGGATTCCGAATGTATGTTTCCCTTTAATGGTAAATTACTCCGTTAAGGCCAGTGCCAGTCAGTCTTATCATCCCGCATGTCGTGCCGCGGAGGGAGAGAGAGACACACACACCATTCGTACGCGCGACGACCAGGACCAAAAAAAATAAACCACGGGTGGCTGCATATATTTTGTTGGTTTTGTTTCTCTTTCTGGTCTCCCCCTGCATGAGCTGAAAAGGAGTAAGGAGTAAGGGGATGAATGATCATCATCATCATCATCTCGTACGGGAACAAAGTACGGATCCTGTGATGAGTCGGTCAAACCTTTTTTTTTCTCGTTCTTCTTCCTGGCTTGCATTGGTGGCGTTCAAGCCAGTTTGGCCGATTAAAGTACACAAAAGGCTCATTGAAATAGCCAACTGAACTCTCAATGCCTCGAAAGTAGGGTCTAAGTCAATCCTGTATGCAGGTGAGATTGCAAGGGGCAAATAGAGAAAAAGAGAGAGAGAGAGTTGACGTGGTACTGTGTGGTGTGGCCTCTAGCAAAGACCAGCAGCAGCTCAACAACCAATTGGGGGGAATTCTACTCTTACAGTGTGGCCTTTTGGGTACTTGACATCCAGTCCGTAATGGCAATTTTTGGTTGGGACGTTTTTCTTTCGCTCGAGCCTCGCATTTTTCACAAAAAGTACCAAACAAACACTCTGGACTCGTCCACACCCAAACGGTGGAGCTCGGGGTCATTACAAAGAAGGACCCCAAAGCCCGGATCAATACATCTAGACCCTCGCTCCCCATGGAGGAGGTAGTGGCCAAAGTCTTATGGCTGGGGATTCCTGTACGGTTATCCGCCCATGTTCTAGATGGTTGAAAATTACAAGGTATGGGTCCAATATTGTGTGTGCACTGGCCATCGAGGCTACAATAAAAACAAAGCATATCGAGATAAAATCGAGACCATGCGAAACTGGAGTCCCGACCCAAGATCTGGGGGGTCTGTGAACATTGTCCGTGCCTCCTATGACATGGTGGTGGTTGTTACAGTATATCCGCAACCGCAGCAGCAACCGTCTTTCTGGGCTCTGGTATTGTATAAATATTTAGGAGACAGGCGATCTCTCCTCGCCAGGTTTTCCTCTCACGAACCTATTCAATCACCCTTTGACCATTGAGAAGAAAAGAAAGAAAGAAAAAGGGTCGACATCATGAAGAAGACTTTCTTGACCATTCTTGCCCTCATAGGAACCGGGTAAGTAGGGCTCGTCTCACAAAAGAGCCATCACGACTTGTGGCGGGTGTACGAGAATCAACCGACTGACTTCTCAACGTTTATAGGCTCTGTTTCGATCATTGCGTCTGCACCGACGACTCGCAGAGCACGGCAGATGCGACCACCCTGTCGGTGTGCGCCGACCCGGGCTCGATCGAGACAGGAATCTGGCCGGTATACTTTTACGGCGACGGATGTCCGGATGAAGACGGCCTGGAGATACAAGACGGCCAGGTATGTTTACGAGCCCTGCAAGAAAGAAAAAAAATGAAGCTGACACTTTACGTTCCCACCGCCCCAAAAGTGTTATAGTCCCGCAACCTGTTTGAATGACGACAAGTTCCTCACGGCGTGTATCAATGCTGGGGCGACGGGAGCCCGCTGCTGGCAGGAAGATTAATGAGTCATGCATATGGTATCAGGTCCGGGCGGAGGAGGGAGCAGCTGGTGTGGTTAGACGAGAGGTTCGGTATCACATGGAATTGAGATGTACATAACACGGCGTCGGTAATTTTTGAGAAGAATGCGGTAATTCAGGGTGTTGATTTTCGTCCGTGGTTTTGAGCAGATGTAGTCAAGTTTCATTCGCACGTCTAAATAACTGTGGTACCGCGTGGTCATATATGAACGTTCTGATCTAAGAGGAAGCCCCCAAGGTCCTTCCCATCTCTTCGCCTCGACTCGTCGCTGCTTTGACGGCCTTGTCTACGATGTCGGCGAATCCAGACGCGTCGAAACTCTTCAAAGCTGCGTCAGTGGTGCCGTTCGGGCTCGTCACGTTCTTCCGGAGCTGGGCCGGTTCCTCGGAAGATTCGACCAACATCTTGCCGGCACCAAAACAGGTCTGCTTGGCCAGGCGGGTCGCTTGCTCCGTCGAAAGTCCCAATCCGGTTGCGCTGGTGATTAGGTGTTCCACGAGTGCGAAGAAGTATGCTGGGCCCGAACCTAAAAAACAAGCGCACACACACGCAGTGGTTGTGAGTAAAGAGGACAAAAGACCCAGGCCAGCGCTTGGAGATGAGAAATGAAGTCAAGACATACCAGAAAGTCCGGTGACGACGTCAAGAAGTTCCTCCTTGTCCACCCATTCGACCGCCTTGCTGACACTGCCCAGCAAGGCGGTGGTCAGGTCCTTTTCCGAATCGGTCACGTCGCGACTCGCAAAAAGACCCGAAGCGCCCTCGCCCACCAGTGCCGGGGTGTTGGGCATGACACGGACCGTGTGTGGTGTGTGGCCATCGCCCAATTTCAACCACTGCTGTAGACTGTCCAGGGTGATTCCCGCGGCGATGGAGATTACCAGGGGAGGGGGACTCGTTCTTTGCGCCGTCCAAGCACCGCCGAGCTCTCGACAGACGTCCTTGGCCACCTGAGGCTTCACGGCCAGGATGACAATGTCGGCCTCTTGTGCGGCTTCGACGTTGGAAGCCGTCGTGTGCACACCGAGCTTCTTCATCTTGTCCCGGTTGACTTCCCACGGCTCCGAGACGTATATCTTTTCCTCAGACATGTCTTTGGCCAACAACCCTCCGATTATGGCGGCCGCCATGTTCCCACCGCCTATGAAGGCTACCTTTGAGCCTTGTAGTTGGGAAGTCATGATTGATGATGTCGAGGTTTGTAGTTTATTTGGTGGTCAATGAGGGTTATCTTATTAACAGTTTCTGGCTCGGGAGGTGCTTTCTGATGTGTGCAGTAATGGTTGCCATGATTCGCCGTAATTGCGCCTCGCAGAGTCTTGTGTTGGGCCGTAGAAATGTATAGAGGTCTATAGATAAGATAAGGCAGAGGTGGGCAAAGCACACATCCACAAGTTGAAGTCCCTGAGAGAGGCTCAGCCTCAGCCTCAGGGACGCTTAGGTGGTAACGGCCAAGTAGGTACAGTACTTCTTCCCCCCTCCCATGGACCTTGTGTGCAGAGTTTCCCTTTTGTGCCACGAAACATCGCGTTCGGCAACGCGCGAGAGAGTTGCGTGTGTTTGCAGATCTCGTATCGATGCCCTGCATGCTGCACACTCGGGGAGAAAAGGGAGTATCGGGCGCAGACGAGTTACCTCATTGATAAGGCAAACAAGCGGTGCCAGAATGACCCAGAAGTTCGTGGAGCCTGACTAGATTGCATCAGTTGTGTTGGGTCTTCAATGCAAGGTACAATAACGCTCCGTAAACTGGTCGTTCATCCGGTCGGCAATAATGTTTCTGATGCACGGTACTACTTCACTTGCATCGACTGAGGCTGCGCGTGACAGCGAGTGCCCGAGGCGAGCGAATCGGTGGTCGTGGATCCTTCAAGGCGGGCTAGTGGGCTGCTGCACGGCAGTACTTCGTAATGGCGTGCATGTAGTAGAGTCAAACTAAAGGAATGGTCCAGCCCTGGACATGTCGCGACTCTTCATTGGCAAAAGGCCCAGAAGAAGGAATAAAGGAAAATGATGTGAATAGACGAACTGACAAATGACGGTTTGACCGGTTCCTACCTAGAGGAGGGTGACTGCAGGCACGAGAGTCTCCATCCGATTCTTCTCATGCAGGTCTTGAGGTACTTTTCCTAGTTTTACAAAGATACGGAGTTACCGATGAGGAGATACGAGTTACACTATACGGAGCATTTTTGGTATGGGTGCCCAGATAATTCGCGTCGATGCTCTTTGTCAGTCTGCAAAGTGCCAACCCGCCAGGTGACTCGTGATGAGCGTATCCTCAGCAAAAATCTTTCCGAGGGCCGAGGGAGAGGGGTCAAGAGAGAGAGAGAGAGAGAGCGCACAAGTATGTGTGTGAGTGTGTGAGTGTGTCTACTCTCAAACCCGCGCAATCTGCCCGAATGGACCTTTTGTCGCGGATAGATGAGAACGTGATCTCACACGCACAGCCCGTACAGAAACAAAAGTTCCGCCAAGTCTCGACATTGGGGTGGAGAGAGAGGGAAGATTGCAGGGGCTTTGGGAACGCGGCAGCAGCCAGAAAGGAGGAAAGAAACCGCTTTGGCGGGTTGCATCCATCCTTTGACGCAGCTCCACTAATAGCATTGTGCGTACAACACTGGGAAAGGTACCGAAGGGGGGCCCGCCCGTCTTCGCCTCACTCGTTCGGTGCTCGACACACTACGGGTTATCGTACTGTACTAGTAAACCTGTACAGTACTCCGTACTCCTTACTGGACTCGGACCCAGACGAGAAGCTAGGGAAAAGGCCCAGGGCGTGGTGGCCCGATCAACTCAAGCAAAGATGATGGGCGGGTTCCACCATTGGGTTGGGCGCTGTGCATTGCCGATCACCCATGGAGTCTCGTACGGAGTACAGTAGGTCTCGAATGTACAGTACATACATCCATATTCGCCGATCGCATGTGAGCTTTTGTACTGGAAGAAAATGATTTTTGATAAAACTTGTTGCCCGGAATGTTAGTTACCGCGCGTAAAGTGCGCCTCTTGCAAATACGGTATGCTTCACGGGCCACACACAGGGTTACAAGTTCAATTCAACCCCGAGGGTTGTTTCGTTAAACAAATTGCTGAGATAGACAATGAGATGTTGGGATAAAAAAATACAGCCAGGAAAGTAAAATTTGCAAGAAACAAGGAGAATGACTTTTACAATAAGGATTACTCGTAGAGTGATAGTTTGTCCATTTCGGCTCCGTATCGATAGGATAAAAATACCAAGTACCTTAGTTGCCGATATCGACAAGCGATAAGGCATAGCACCACTTACGGTACAGTGAGTACTCGGTACGCCGTACAAGATAAAGTGATCCGAATGAAAAGCACTCGTAGTCTCAATTCGAAGAGTAAGTAACATTGTAGAATGATTCATACTACAAGACAAGACTTGCGTCCTTCCTTTCTTTCTTCCAGTCTATTTCCCAATATTGTGACATAAAATAAGGATGAGAGGTCGGGAAAGTAGCCAATACCTCGGAGAACAATGGTACAACAGAGTGACCTAGTGATGATCTCGATGATCATACATACGGTCCTCTTCTCGAATGATCATCCATCGCGCGACAAAAGAAAACTGCCCCGTGCGAGGCGGTGGTATATATATAGATATGCTCGTCATAGTTTCCATGCTCTTCAAGAGTGGTGATGCTTTCCCAAATGGCCATGCCCATTCCCTAAACTCCATAATACCCTGATCAAAATTAACCACAAAGGTAGTCAGATACCAGTCTGCAAATAAACTCCGTCGCTTGGTATCATATTGGTGAAAGAACAAAAGAACAAGCAGTAGACAAGTACAAGTAGTCGAGGGGAGAGAAGGGAGCACCTGGCTCCCTTACCAACGTCCCCTTTCTACCTCCACTTGTTGTGGGCCATGCCTGATGTCCGTATAGGATCGTCTTGGGTCGCGGCGTGGTGGTGGATGACGACCACTTCACGCTTGGGGATAGGACGAGGGTCTTTGGGGCCACGAGCATCTCGTCGCGGGTTGTGATAGACTCTTTCACCGCCGCTGCTCGAGCCGGAATTGCTGTGGTAGTGAGGCATCTTGTCTGTTTGGGTGATGGTGATGATGTTTGGTTTCGTGGAAGAGGGTTGTCGAGGGTGCGACGGTGAAGGTGACGAGGCTTTGCCGGTCAGGGTGAATGCAGGGTGGGTAGAGTTGTTTGTGTCGCAAAGTGTTCGAGTGTCGTGTGAAGAAGATGGCAACACGAGTGCAGGAGGACCTCAGTCCCAGAAGTATTCCAAGGGTGACTCAGAAAAGCTAAGGCCTTCGAACCTCGTGGCGACGAGTTTCTAAAAGTGGTGATGGAGTATGGTCAAAGTGGGGTCCTCTTCCTTCAAGAATGTAGCAAAGGGGTTGTTGGATCTCGCGTGGCTGTTTGTGTTGTGTTTTGGTTCTCGACTTTGGTTGCGGTGGTCTGCCAGAGAGAGGAAGAGAGAAGAGTGTGAAATGAGAAGGATGTCGGATTGATTTATAGTACCCAATGCTCAAAAGTCACAGCGTAGGTCTCAGGCTCAGCCTGCCATAGAATGGAATGGAGGATGGATGAGTATTAGGCAGAGGAGGCTAGCATCAGGCAACTGAACTAAGCCCTGTTCATGATCCAGATGACGAGGGCGAAAGAGGAGCACCACGTAGCCAGAAGCAGAATGGAAGCAGCGGTAGTATCCGCAACAAGGCGACACACTAAACTACGGAGTAGTAAGGTTGAAGAAAGGAAGAAGGGTGGTAGCTGGAACCGTAGTGGTGGGTGGATGCGAGAACACACAGAAAGCAGGAAGGCTGAGGAGGATCCGGCTTCAGGCAGCATACTGGACGGATGGATACTCTCCCTGTTCGTCCTGGATTTAAATGAATTTCCCAGCAGGGATGGGCTTAGCACTTTTTCTCGTAAAGCCCCGTCGAATGTGTTGGACAGCCACCTTGTTGACATTGGTTCTGACAGGATTGAGTCAGACGTGCCCGTTGCCCGTCGCGCCACGGGTTGGAAATAGAACAGAAACATACGGAGTAGTGTTCGTGCCGTTACGACCGTGAACAGAGTAAACACGGGAAAGGGGGCAAAGGCAAGATGACGTGCGACAAGCAAATCAAGGACAAGGGAGGGAGTGAAGAGAGAGGGTGTGTGTACATACTGTATGCAAGGCGGGCCAACCATGCCTCCGCTTGAAGCTCTGGGAGGCGCGTCCCCCAGGGAGCAGACAAGCGCTACCAGGTGAACCGGGGGCTGATGATGGGCCTGTCAGAAGCTCAGAAGCTCTACCATAAGAGACCCTGTTCGCCCCGAAGCCCACTATACCAAAAGCACCACCAGAAATCGCCCTATCGTAGAGTCAGCGTTCCTGCAGCAAAGACGGTCCAAACCAAAGTTCCCACTGACATGGCATTTTCGCCACTCCGTCTGGGTCTCAATGAATCAGTGCCAGCAACTTTCTTACCGCCGAAGCGTCGCCAGGGGAATTGCCCAAACAACTCCAGCCCGTGGCCGGTAGGTTGGCGTTCTGCTTTGAAACGCCCGGAGCAACCGTGCATATCGCTGTCAGAGGCCGGGCCAAGAGCAATCTGACACGCGGTTTCACACGCCTCACACTCTTTCTCACGGAGTACACTATGCCGGAGTATGGAGTTCACTCGTTGCTGAGCCACGGCTCCAGTGTTCTTCTCTTGCTGCTGTACTCCGCGCTGCGCCACATCTCGTGGTTGTTCTTTCTCCCACTCACTTCTGCATATGCTGTTTGTTGTCCGGCCAGAAATTCCCGGCTCGTCCAGTTGTTGCATGACTATCGGCCCAGCCATGACTTACTGTGCCGGAGCAAACAAAAAAATCTCTTCCACGTAGTCGATCTCTGTACTTTCTGGGGTTGGTAAGTGTTGTCGTCGACGCCCAACTGTGGATGCGCCTGGTAGTGCGAATTGGTCTCAGAGCCCCAGCATGAACGCCACCCATGGACCTCACGCTCGCCAAGCTCAGAGTCAAAGTATCATTCTACACAGTCGGAAACCCGCTTCCCAAGACAAGATTGTCCCACGTCGATCATTCTCAGGTTGACTTCAAGGTGAGGCGAGAACCGAAGCGAATTCCCGCTAGGCGTCAAGTGGTCTATGTTTGGACACATCACGTGGAGTTGCTCTTCCGCATCAGAGCAGAAGAGAATTCCTCCTGAATGCCGATTATAACCGTGGAATCTAGGAGAACAATCAGCCAGAAATCTAAGCGACTTGATCTCAATCCCTGCCTATCTCCCCAGATTACAGAACTCCTATGTGAAAGCATACGGTGTGAAGTGTCCGTTTCTGCCCAACGACGGTGCAGATCGGCAGGACTTTGGATCAGACACCCGCTCATGTGCAACCCGGACTACCTCTAGCGCAACTCACGTTTCCTCGGGACATGAGAAAGGTGTCTGGTCGCTTGCGAGCACACAAGCAACGACGATCAATGCGTGAGCGACGTAGTTGGTCACACGCCCAACGTATTCGAGCGTACTTCTACGAAGTAAACTCAATTCAAACATGCCGGAGCCATGTTCAATTGCGTGCCTTCTTCTGCTTTGCTTGGCCTCAAAGTTTAGTCCGAAATAGCCAGGCTAGGTACAAAGTACTAGGGGAGGTTGCCTAGTGCAAGCATGGTGAGCCATGACCCTGCCACCTGCTCAACAACTGAATTCTTTTGCCCACCCGAAGACGTTGAGAACTCGGGCGCAATCAAGTGTGCGTGTTGTCATTTCGAGACCCTTACTTGAGACTCTGGATCTAGCAGAAGCTTCGGTACGTGGCATTTCTTCATGAGGGAGATTCTGCCGGAATCCTCCAGGCATCTTCCCAGGAAGCCGAAGCCCCATTCCCCCAGCAGCTTTTCACCGTCAAGGACGTGGGCAGTATTCCATCACACCACCTCAAGCAACAGAGGATTGCTCTCGGTGCCCAATGCCGGTCATATCTGGCGATCTTCACCAAAGCAGGACGTCAACTTCCCGACAATAGGGTAGGTATCCAAGAGACTACCTCGCGGTTCCTTCAAGCTGGATTCCATGGGCGCCTTTTCTCGAGACTATGACGTCTTTGGGGAGGTTTGGTATCCATGATAGGTCTCTATCACTCGCTCTTTCGCGCTTGAAGCACGCTGCCCTGCATAATTCGAGGCTTGCCCTTCGCCCAAGTGAGGCGGGGTGGAGAAGAGTTCGGCAGACGTCAATCGGACAGCGCCCGTTGCCATGGTCAGGGTTCCTTTCACGGGGCACTGTGTAGCTGCACGCTGACCTCGCCAGTAGCGGCCTGCTTCGCCATCAGTGAGCATTGTGCCAGTCGTCGGCAGACGCGGCTTTTCCGACAGCTAAGATTTGTTGCTCTGTTTGAGTCCGGCTTGCATCGAGACACCCCATTCTCCTACGACTCATCACTTGACATGATGGTCTCCAGCCCGGAGCTGTTTATTGTCTATGAATGATGTCAGTTGCTCAGCCCATGAACATATCGCGTCATACAATCAGCGGCAAACGATTCCAAATCACCGATTATTACTGGAAAGAAGAAGTCCACTCGATGCTCAGGCGCATCCCTGCCGGGCATTATTTGTGAAGGGCACCGAGGATCCTCCTATTCGTCCATTTTACAGATACCTCATATATTCAAGCCGTGAGTTTGTTGTCACCAACCAACATGAAACGATCCTTTCCTCTACCTCCGTGCCGCAATGGTCAAAACGTCCCCCTTTCAACCAACATGAAACGATCCTTTCCTCTACCTCCGTGCCGCAATGGTCAAAACGTCCCCCTTTCAACCAACAGGGAAGTCAGTCAGGTCAAACTGGATGGCTCTCCTGCAGGCGACTTGAGTTTACCCGAGGAGGAAGATGAAATTGGGTAGAGAAAGAGGGCCAGGGTCCAACAACCAAAGAGGGATATCAATTTGAAGGAAAGAGGACTCAGGTCCAACGATCGGAGGATAACCACCTACGTACCCCAAACACCAAACAGGTCTATCGTCACAACAACAATATCGGTAGGTCAGTTCAAGCCTTCATAATGTTCATTTCTGAAATGAGTATCAATGATGGTGGTATCAAGAAGATTTGTCAGCCGGGAAAGCGTCAACAATCGGGGAACTCCAGAAAGTATTAAAGACATTATCATGGTATTATTTACACAAGCCGGTCAATCACCAGTATCGGACCTGGACCATGTCTCATGATGCAGAAAGCCATCTATGCCAATGTGGTATGAAACCTCGATGCCCAATGTAACTGAATTGCAACGCCAGAGAGACGATACCTTCAATGTATGATTTACAGGTATGCAACAAGACCCAAGAGAAGACCTCCCATCATTCCAGTAGCTGGAACAGCATAGCTGCCAGCAGCGCCGTTGTCGGATGAAGAAGTGCTGGTTGCAGTGGCACCGGCAGAAGTCGCACTGCCGGCAGCGCCTGTAGCAGCTGTGCTTGCAGCGCTCACGGCGCTAGACTCGGCCGAGTGTGCACTGGAAAGAATGCTGCTAATCTGGCTACTGACGCTGCTTCTCACGGATGGAGCCTCGCTGGCAGCGCTTGAGGCGAGGCTTGAAGCCAGAGATTCGGCGGAAGAGATGATGCTTGTTGCGTCCGATACGGCTGATGAGACCGCCGATTGCACCGCGGTTGCGCCACTGCTGCCGACCGAAGATACCACGGAAGCTGCATCAGACGCAACGCTTCCTACAACAGATGTACCCTCTCCGACTGCTGAAGTGGCGACTGATACTGCCGAGTCGATGATTGAACCAAGGTCTTGAGCGGATGCGACTGCGGCAAAGGCCACAAAGATGGGCTTGGAGAAATGCATGGTGTTGTAGTTGTTGAAGGGATTGATGGATGAAGGAGGTCTTTAAGTCAAGCGCAGGACTGGTTGTCTAGTGTATGTTGAACCGAAAGGGAATGGAATCAAGGGTTGACGTGAGAGTGTAAGTAAGTGAATTGTGTGATTCTATCCGACAATATCGAGTTGGAATGGATGACGAGAGTTTCTTTTATGTGTCTATTGCAAATGATCGCTGAACTTAGTCGGCGGGCCTGATGAAACAAGCCACAATGAATGAGGAAGTCAGCGACGTGGTGATCCTCCCTCAGCCTCGACGAGGCCTAGGCAACCATACTGCTAAAGGTAACGTACTGCGCTCGTAGCTTGTATGCGGCTGTAAGGCTGCGGACCCTCTTTCTCCTTTCTCAATTTGCCGTTGTCCGATCGACTTTACTGGTCACACTCGTAGTTCTGGTACTCGTACAGTACTCGTAGAGAATGTTGACTACTCATACGGAGTAGTTTCGTTACTGGATCTCGTGGTGTCTAATGGTCGCCATCCGGGCAGCTGGTGTTACAAGCTACAGGGTGGATCGTTGCTAAGGGATTCTGTCGACTCAGCCTCATTTAACTGACATCGACGTCATCATTTGGCCTTCGCACGCAAGTTTACGCGTCTACGGTGCAGCATTCAGCCTTTTTGACAATGAGCAATACTTTGGAACATTAGGACTCCAGGGCAGCTTTTTACTACTGCGAATCACTTGCGCTTTCAACTGCACCAACACTTTTGCTACTATTATTATTACTTCCCTCTGGAGCATCAACTCGTCAAATTGGTTCGGTCTCGATACACATCTCGTTGGAAAAACAGCATGACTCTATAATGACTTTATTTATTGTACGGAGTACATCTTCATGACATTCTCGCAGAACCCATTTTTTTAATCTCTGACTCTCCATCCAAGGGGTTACTGGTGGCATCAGACCTTCTCGAGCCGACCAGTCCGTCGACGATCTTGCTTCCTTCACCCACTCAGATGGATGATCACTTGTTTCGACCATAGTATACGCGCACTTCATCTTACAGGACCGTGGGATATTCTCCTGCTGCTGCTTCTGCTAACCTTGGACATCTACAGCAGAAGTGATAGGGCGACCACCAACTACAGTACTCGTACTCTGATTATGTCTAGGTACAACGTGTCGATCAAACGTCCGAACCTAAATTGTCAAGCCCTGGAGACTGTCAGAGACTGTCACAAGGAAAATGTCCACTCAAGACGAGACCCACGGTGAAGATCCCCTAAAAGTTAGGGTGATCAGCTTGGGTCACCCGTTCGAGTGCACATCCCCGTGAAGATTTGACCTCGGGGCTTTTCGTCAGCCGTCTCTCAAGGCCGTTGAATCTTGGATCCGATCATTCTTTGCTTTTGGCCCCTTCGAAGGTGTCAATGGCAAGCGCTACTGTTCAACGTCTAGTGTATATACTTATCACTGCAAATCTCATCATCACTGATCATTGCACTCGCGATGTTTCGATGACATGTATCCTGAGCGATTTTCAACCTTTCCCAGGTCAACCCGGCTCTGACCTGCATTACCACATTTTATTACTCCGTAACTACCGGGGAATTATTGCTAGGCCCAAAACCGACGAACCCTCAGGGGCTTTGATGATTGGATTTTTCCCGGCGAGTCTAAAGGCCCAACAAGGGGAGCCAAAACCATCTTCCATTGCAGGCCCATGATTTCCCTTAGACCTCACTTTTGACAAATTGTCGAGCCGCTATCTCTCTCGTCAAGGTCCAGCTTATTACGAGGCTCACAAGCGAGGCATTATTGTCGTTACTGACGCATGCATACTTCGATCTTTTGATTACCCTGCTCCGTCCAGAAGTATCTCTTGGAGCCGTCGTCAAAGGAGGGTGAAAATAGCCTATATCTTTGATAACCTGCGCCGCCCCAAAAATCCCATCTCGCCCTGATTCTATCGACTTCGCCCCCACTGCTTATTCTACGTCAGAGCCTTTGCGAGGAGTAAGGGACATTCAGTAACCTTCTCAGACGTTACTTTTCAGCCCTATCGTCGGCTCCTCATGTTATGCACTCATGATCTGTATGTCTCATTTTTTGGTTCCAGCGCTTGTACTGATGGCCTGACTCTTTGATGCCAGTGCGGCAGAGGACGCATCGGCAAATATTATAAAAGTACTCTGTCGCTCCCGACAGTTTTAGGAGGCCGCCACGTTGACTTTGCGACAAATGTCGATGCACCACGGAGCGAGACCCTGAATGATCGACGAATAGCTTTTTGATCAAATGGGCGTCGTTGATACCTCCTACGAAGATCTGGAGGACCAAACTCGACCCAACGGGCCAGATGGATACGACGATGAAGCTTCATGGCTATGCGCCGCGCGTCGTCTACAGGAGAGCAACAACAATGCGCTTGTCCGTACGCCAGTCGATTCGATGCGCCGCGACCTATTCTCCGCGTACCCCCCAGTAGCTGGCCGACCTTCGATGGAGAGTATTGACGAATGTGAGGGCTACTTTTATTCCTCTGCTGCTTTGACCTCATCTGCGCAGGCTTTCATGACTGACTCGCATGCAGATGTCTATACCTTCACCAAGGAAGAGCTTTGCCTTCACATCACGCCAGGCATGGAACATCCCGCCCTGTCAGTGATGGTGCCCATGGCAATGCAAGACCCAGCCTTGTTCAAGTGTCTCGTCACCGCCGCGCAGAGCCTGTTTGAATGGCGCCGAAGTCCCAATCCTAATCAACCCGAACGATCAAGAGCGTTGATCCTGGCCCAAAATGACGCCATCAAGGCCCTACGAACGCGCCTGGCAAAGCCGGATGCACAGTACGATGATGGGCTTATCATATCCGTCGTGCATCTCATGACAGCGGACGTAGGTTGTCCTCTGTATCAAGTTCGCAGGTCGCACAGACTAACATTTTCGAACAAGTCTTCGGCCAGAGACATACAAGCACTGAAGATGCACCTCAAAGGCGCGAGACAAATAATCGCACTCCGAGGTGGCTTGACCGAATCGACGGTGCATCTAGCTCTCAGAGGCACAATGGCCACGTGAGAATTGCCCTCAGAGTTCAGCTAGAGCACAGTAGTTTTCTGACGTGTCTCAGGACCGAGTTTTACATTGCGTTGGGTCAATACTTGCATCTCAGCCCGGATGATCTGAGTGCCGTACCCATGCGACCCATCAATTACGTCGGCCATCCATTCCCACCTGACGTTTGCGACTACATTGCCAAAATGCCTCCTGGTATCGCTGAGGCTGCTCTCACCGGCCAGCTGAGCGTCCGGTGTATGAGGATCCTGTCTGAGTTGACCCAATGGGCACCACTGGCAGATCGCAGCGACGTGATCCTGCCCGGGGAAGAGGCCACCGCCAAATACAGCCGGTTATACTGCAAGCCACGCGAGTTTGCTCGTGATGCAATGGCATTGTGTCTCGACCTCAAGCGGGCCAAGATCCCGCCGGGTTTGGAACATGTCACGATGCTGGGTCTGGCCGCCATCATTCGCCATCTCAGCGGACACCAGCGGACCGACTTCTTCGACCATCTCTTGCTGACAGCGCTCTTTGTCAATGTGAAGGCGATCGATACACCCAGCGTCGCCGAGTCGGAGGTGATTGTGTGGGTCGTGCTGGTGATCAAATGGAGGACACAATCCGGTGGAATGTTGCAAAAGGCAGACGAACTACTCGAGTACGCCCTAAAGTCGTTCCCCGCCACGCGGACGTGGAAAGGCATGGCCAAGATCTGTCGCAAGTTCTGGTGGTTCGGACGGTTCGAAGCCGAATGGAAAATCACCTGGCAGCGTGGACTCGACAGCAGGATGATTCAACGACGAAACGAAGGACAGAAACTTCAATCTACCAGAAGAGGACAAATCGATTATCAGCAACAGCAGCAACGACAACACCCTTGATCTTTATCTCCTGATTCGTTACTAATACTGAAGGTCCCTTTCACGAATCAGGGAAATTCGACACTCGTACCGCGTCGATTGAAGAAGAGACAGACCTCTTTCGATGACACGGTTGGGCTTGGCTCTGAATACTACGCCGTTGAAATCTCTTCCAAGAGAACGGCATTGGTACCTGGACAACCTACCCATGCCGGACATGTCGGACCCAAATCGCTAGGGTGTCGATCGACGGACCGTCCCCTGGCATTCCTCTGCAGGATAGGTGACGGCGGACTACCTCTTTACCTAGGAATGCCCAAGACGTATTTTCAGTTTCGGAAGTTACGAAAATGGGCATCCGGGCAACAACATCCATCCCGTTGCGCGAAGCGACCAAACGATTTACGTTGTGCTCGATTTCTCCAAGAACGTTGGAATCGAACGTCACCTTCTGATGCGAATTAACTCCACCCAGAAGCACTCTATTCGCGATTCGACCGCCAGTGCTTTTGAGCCCGGGCATAGATTCCAGACTCTCGTCGCCCATGTCCTTAAAGGCAGGCACTACACCACGCACCCCCACATTAATATGGATTCGACTTGCACCATGAAGTAAAGATTTATTGAAGGATATTCGAGTTGGTATCATGGACGGAAACAGCCTTTGACTATGCAGCCGAACATTTGCCAGGATTTTAAGGTCAGCAAGAAAGGGAAAGGACTTGGCACCGACTTTACGGAGTAGACACAGGCGTCTTGAAATTTCTCCCATGGTCCCATGGGAGCCCCTTCTGGTCCACATTCACGACACGACGATCAAAAGTGACACGGAGAGAAGTGTACGGAGTCAAAAGAAGAGGAAGAAGAGCAAGCATGAACGGATATTCTTTATAACCTTCACCACGTCACTCATGAGAAATGATTGATTAATTCGAATGATTCAATCAATCGAAGTTTCCCAACAGATCAGATGTCATTTGTCATATAGGCTGAGTAACTTATTTGAGACATAATTTGAACTTAAGACAAAGTGCTATGTGTTGTGTAGGATCTGATGGGTATGCCATTATTGCCTGTCTGCCTTGATTTTGTTCTGGCATTTACGGATCAGACTAACTATATAGATGGTATTCGACATGGTCACCTTTCGTATATCTTCCTCATGCTCATCATGCTCATCATGCTCATCATGCTCATCATGCTCATCAAGCTCAAGCTCATGCCCATTCCCCCTCCTCTGTCCTTGTTCTCAACAAAGAAATCTCTCCCCCCAAAAAAACAAAAGTGGTATCTCGATTTGTTCGTTTCATTGTTGTAGGTGGTGGTGGTGATGATGATGGTTTCACCACGATCCCATCCCTCTGTGTCTCCCCTCCGCCCCCACCGAAAAAGTAACTCCAAGGCCTTGCAGAGGCTTATGACGATGATGTGGTTCCCCTGAGGTATGGTTGTAGGATTAAAAAAAAGGTAGGTAGTAAGTGTAGTTGGTTGTCCGCTGGCTCGCTAAAATTGAAGAGGTAATTGAAAGAAAAAAGAAAAAGAAAGAGGATGCAAAAGTGTCATGTCGGTGGTGGTGGTGATGATGATGATGTTGGTTCGTCGTCGGATAAGAAATAAATGATTTCTTTTGCTTTTTCTCCCAACAGTACCTTCTTGAAACAAGGTGACCAATAGGAGAGACATTGGCCGCGAGGCTACAACATCTGGTAGAAAAACAAGTAAATTCGTGGGGTATGAGTAGATGATGGAGAATGCTCCAGTAGTTGGTAGGAAAGTCATTTCAGGTCGTTATTTCGCACACACACACACACACACACACACACACACACACACACATGTCCACAGACATACACAGGTATTCATAGATGCTACGGAATAAAGAGAGCGTTAGCACATGCAACAGGAAGGAATCGTACGTCGACGGCTGCTTATCACAACTCACCTGTATCGTGGGTGCTGCGTGGCCAGGTTTACGTTCCGATCTACTTGGATCTTTCGATTCGACGTATCGTTGTTCTGTCGTGGGACAATTATCCTCTTCGGACCATCTACGATGACCGGCGAGGTGGTGGAGAGTATGTTGTGATGGCGGCGAGAGAGACGAGGAAGATGAAGAGGCGAGCATTCATATCTCACAAGTGTCGTTCTTCCTCATGGCTTTTGCCAACATCAACTTCCTCATCCACTCGATGCGTTCCTTGGAACTGTCGACGGCGAAGTGGTGAGATTTCGAAGAGCCACCCCCTCCACCACCGCCAGTCTTCTCGAACAGCTTCCTCGCCATGGCCTTGTCGTTGTTGTCCGGGATGAGGGAGAAGGCGAACGAATGCTCGCCCGCCGGGAGTCTGCCCTGACCCAGCAGACTCTTCTTGAAGGCGGCGCCGAGTTTGGAACTCGAGGCCTGAGAGTAGGCGTGCAGGGTGTACCCGTCGACGTCGATCCTCTCCAGGGCCTTGGCCGTGGCGTAGTGGGAGTCGTGCATGGTCAGCTCGTGGCCGATGAGGGTGCAGTAGTGGTCCTGCCACTCGTGCCGGAGCATGCGGGTGGTCTTGCGTTTCCTCATCCAGCCGTGGTGGTTGGCGAGGTCTAGCTCGGTGATCCGTTGCGATTGCTGTTTGTGCCGGTCCTTCCGCGCCGTCAGGGTTTCAGTGGCAACCCAAGACGGCTGAGCGGCCTCGTTCTCCTTTACCGGCGCAATCGACGGTGTAAACGACATTTGTCGAATGTGTCGACGTGGAGGTTGTTGCTGTGGCGGTGGTGGCGTCGGCTGCGTCGACATGCACCGCCGAATTGGTTCGGGGCTGACGAGGAAGGTTGCAGTGGCTCCGTACCGCATTTCCGGAGGGACCGATTGCGAGACGTCCCTCTGGCACGGGTCGATGGCCATGGCCGTGATGGGGATGTCGGTGGCCGACATGGGAGTGTCGATGCGGTAGATGTCGGCGGGTGACGCGACGCCGCCATAATGGTAGGGGTCCTTTTGTAGTTGGGCCTTGAGCTGGGCTTGGATCTGTGTGGGTTGATTGAGCGCCGAGATGGGCGTCCGCGAGGGACTCTTCTCGTCCTCCTTTTGGGTGGAGGGGATGGTGAGTTTTGGGAGGCCGCGAAGGTGCTCGTCCAGGTGAGCCGACTTGTTGTTGTTGGCGAAGGATGCAGATGCAGCAGGGGGAGGTGACGGGTTCGTCGAGTTGGACGGAGAGTGTAAATGTTGAAAGTTGAGAAACTGCCTGACGCTCTCCTGTGGGTCGCGAGGCTGGACCGAACTCAAGGTCTCGGGGGTGATCTTCACGGAAGACGGACCCAAGACATCTGAGGAACCCACCACAGACGGGAGAGCCTCGGACCGGGCCTCGGATAAGGGTCGGCGGAGGGCGTTGTCCTCTTCAAAGGCGCGCTGCATGCGGAGGATCTTCCGCTGCTGTTTCTGCCACTTGGGGCAGTCTTCACCCTTGGAGCACTTGTGCTCTTTGGGCAAGACCTGTTCGATACCGACGATCGATATGGATTCGGCTGGGGTGACGATGTCGGGTTGTCTCCCCCTCCGTCGTGACCGTGAACGGTCGGTGACGACGACTTGTCGTTCTTCTGGCCGGGCAGATCGTTGCAGGGCCCGGGGACTACGGTTCGTCTTGGACGGTGTCCTCGAGAGGGGAGTCTCCAGCGAGATCATGCTGCTGTTGCGGAGTTGCTGTATGGAACTCATCACGCGGTGTCGTTTGCCGAACGAGCTGATGTCGAGTTCTTTGAGGTCCTCGAACTGCAGGTCGATTAGGACGCTGCCGGAGATGTCGTGAATCAGAAACTTCTCAACCACACTGGTCTCGAAGCCGGCTTCAGCCATCCATTCGGCCACCTGTCTAGGCGTCCAGTCACGGACCTGAGACTCGTCAAGTTCCGCGACGGCAGTGTTGAGAGCTCCAATGGGTTTCGGAGCGGGCTTGGTTTGCCCGACGGGAGACAATGCCATGAAGACATCGTCCTCCGGGTTACTGACTATCTCTGGTGTACCTCTGAAGAGGTGAGGGCCTTGAGGCCCTACTACCGACTTGTCATCGAAGTGAAACTCAAACCCTCCGAGGCCACCAGTGTTGGGAGGCGTCGGTAGGTCATCAGGACTCGAGAGAGTGGATTGACTGTCGCTATCTCCCCACGGGTGCGGTGCAGAGTCAGAGTCTTCCTCGTTGTCCGTGTCGAAGATCTCGGTAGCTTCGGAGAGTGGTCGTGGAGCTGAGCTCCGACGATATAGGAAGGAGAGGTCGGAATGCTTCTGCGACATCTCAACCGTCTGCAACGGGCGTTGTCTTGAAAGCGGCGGTGACCATTCCATACTGAATAACGTTGTGTTGTCCAGCAGGGAGGGCCAGTCTGGTGTGAGGTTTGCAAACCATCAAGCAAAAGACGGGGATTCGAGACAGACAGGAGGTATGTATAGAAGTGTTCTTGTTCAAAAGCGAGCAAGGCGGGCGGTTAATGGGGGATAGACGAGTGTGATGAGCGGAGTCTTGATAGAGACCAGGGTTCGTGCATGCATGAATTAAGTCGCAAAGAACCTACTGCAGTGGTATGCGTGCGATGGATGTGAAACGCACGGTCTGTAGCCATTCAACGGAAGGAGTCTCGACGTTGGCTGGTATAGGACGGCGGTAACATGTCAACGGGGTGGGAAGAGGCCAATGAATGAGGCTGCTATGAAAAGTACGCGCCGAAGCCATCGAGGTCAGGAAGAGGTCGCCTCCACCCGTGGTGCTTTACACCCTTGCAATCCACTGCAGCCAACGGTAGCAAAGATGCGTGGTGATGTCGGGATGGAGAAAGGCACATCCCCCCCTCTACCTCCAGAGCACTTCTCAAAATCCCCCGGTCTCGAACCAATGGTGTGGAGTGTCTTCCATTTCCAAAAATACCCGGCCATTGAGCAGCAACCGGACCATACCATGTCTGGTCTGGTGTAGATCCTGCTGTGTCCTGGAATAGGTCCAGCGCTTCTCACTCGCTCTCCTGCCTCCCTCCTCGACTAACGGGCACGCGCCGTTTCCCTTCTTCGCTCCCGTACGGAGTATTTGGTCTCCTTACCCAGGCTCTTCCCTTCTTTTCCTTTACCCGTAGCGGCCTCAAGTCGCTCCGGTCCGCATTGCCCTCTGTTCTGCCTTGGTGTAGAGAAAGGGTCCTGGTGGCTCTGTTCCCCTCACCTTCTCTCATCCACTCCCCCTTCATTTCCCAGCCTCCCTTGTTACTCAGACTACCTTTCCAGTCTTTTTCTACGCTACGTGGTTTCTTGATTGGCTCCTGACCGTGAATTAAAAACGCCTCACTTTTCTCATCCCACCTTTTGGCCTTGTTCCGTCTTGCACCTTTTGAAGGATCCATTTGTGTAGTCCCGTCAAGCCCACCCTGATGAGAGGTGTCGAGAGCACAGGAGATCCCCCACACCCAGATCACAAGATGTACCATACACAATGTAGTCAAACAATAACACATGATCACGACATGGTCTACACCTGCGTTGCGTCACTAAAGCTCGTTGTAACAGTTGAGAAGCTACCACTTCCAGTTGTGGTTGAGCGACCGAGGACTTATCACAACTTCGCTTTCGGCGACTGTCGAGTAGGCCAACAGCTTCTACGGCAGCTCCATGTCGTCCACCTACTACTTCCTTCTGGACCCTGAGTAACAGTTGAATTGACAATTTCTATCCGTCCCTCGACCCACACATCTTGCATTGTTTCGTGTGTTTGCCCACAAGTTTCCTTCCCGCTCGAAGAGTGAAAATCTCAGGGACTCGGAAGTTGAAGCCAAAGGTGTTTGACTTCAGTCAGTGCCATTCGGCCCTTACCGGAAGGCAGCTTCTTAGCGGTGAAGTGCGTCCAGATTGGCTGCTCTTGTCGAAGTCTTATCGACTCTAGCGTGGGCCGTCCGGGGCGAGTTCAACAAGTCAAATCCACTTCCCTTCTCAGGCTTTTTTTTTCGTCTCGCAGATGATACTTGTAACCGAGCCTGTCGTCTCGCTTGTAGGTGACTATTGGAGATTGTTCAACCAGTCGGAACGACGCTGCTCGTGGAAACGCATATGCAAGCAAGACTTTGCGAGCTTTCCTACCTACCCGTGTGCGGCCAGAACGATCGTTTCGGCACTAAATGGCATGCTCAATTGACAGGAGAGAGCGAGCGGGATCACACACTCACACACTGTTGTTGCATGTGGTGACAAGCATGCCATACCATGGCGGCGTGACTTGTGACAATGGATGGAGATATCGTGGCAGCACGACATTGTACACATGGCCGCCACCTATGCGTATTGGCCTAGCGGTGGACTCACCGCCGTTCATCAAGAGTACCTACCATGGCACAAGGACCGTACCGGATAGGTATCTTTGCTTATCCTAGTCGCACACACACGCAGAGGTCCCGTACTTTGTGTTATAGTGATTGACAATCTGGTACATCTTTGGCGTACATACGGAATACCATGCACGACTAAGTTTACATGTCAAAGTGCGGGTCACGTTCCAACGACTTCTCGACTCCGTCTTGAATTTACAACGTCCGTCCCCTGCAAGAAAACAAACACAGCATTCGTTCGAGCGTAAAGCATTGTTTTCCCTAATCCTGTTCCCTGCATCTTGCCGACCATGACTCTTTAGACTCCCAACACGGGAAGTTGCATTATCGCACATGCGAAGAGTCGATCCTGTCCCATGTGGCGGCGGCAAGTTTCCAGGGTGAGTGAGAGAGTTCAAGCTTCCCAGCCGCGACTCATCGCCATGGTTGCAGGGGAAGATTGAAGCGAGCGACATGGGCAGGCCGCGTTCATCTTGTTATACGGAGTAGCATTTTCCAGACTACCGCCCGCAATTTCTGCCAAAGGTGACATGATGTCGGAGCTGGTGGAATGTGACTGTGATGATGTTCAAATTTCCATGTATGGAATGCTGGGGGAGGTAAAGCCAGTCAGAGGAGGCTGGCGGGGATCACCGACACCCCGACTCGCTAACCTGGAGGTGTGGAGGGTAACGTCCAGGTTTTCGGCCATAGTGTCACATCGCGAGCATTCAACATGAGTGTCATGACGCGCAATCGGGTCAGTAGGCGAGCACAATCGTAGACAGTTGAGGGATGTTTTACTCTCTGAATTGCACTGGGGTCAGAACTGCAGGAACAGTCGCAAGATGATCAGCGATCGGGGGCACAAGTCAATGTCGCCCGAACGTCGCCGAGGTTCTGATGATCCATGTCCGTTTGATCGCCTTGTGGATTACATGCGAGTAAGTACGGATATCTAAGTACAGAGTAGGAGATGTATGTATAGTACGTATGAACATGAGCATTGTCTGTAATCAACTAGTGTGGATATCATTGAAGCGATAATGGCCATCCCCAAAGCTCTCCAGCGTCTTCAGACACTTACTTAGATGTCTAGAACTAAAAAAAGCATACATCGTTATGCACAAGGCCAGAAGCGAGCAAGATCATAAAGCAGAGAGAAATAATGAGGGGAACCAGTACGAGAGAATAGGCAGTACTCGTCCACTACAGTACAGTGCTTGCATGGATCGAGACAAGGGCCATGCAGGGAGGATGAAGTATTCGACCACTTGACCTCGAGAGGGATACCCGGTATCCACATGTCTAATGCACGAGAGCCTCCTTGGCGTCACCGTTGGTCCCCGTCGCTCCCGCGTCCTTCTCGCACCCAGATTGAACTTCACTCATCCTGGGAAGAATCACCAGGCACAACAAGGGTAGCTTCAGCACTAGCCATTCACTTCGGACAATCACCATCCAATCGTTGCTGTTAGTCCAACATTTCCCAACACACCATCGGCTGGCTTTCCTGCCCTCTTTTCGCTCCCACTTGCCCCTCCACTGAGAAGCTCTGCTGCGACCCCCATGCCTACAGCAGTTTTGCCCTGGCCAGACCGTCGTTGGTCTTCGGAGGTCGAGAACAGCCCCCAAGACAGACCATGAGTAACGACTGACACATCTGACACTTGAGAGGGAAGACTTTGAAGGCCGTGGCAAGCCTTGCTTGGGAAGCACCTTGGATGGCAGAAACACAAAAAGTGTTTCCACTGAACTTCACCAATGGAGTCGTAAACACTGTACGGAATACTTGCAATTGCGCCAGTTAACGAAAAAAGTCGAATCATAATGCACTGGAGATCCCACGAGCCTAATGCCGTACTACTGCATCTAACCAGTGGAGCTTTTTGGGCTGGCGATGTGTTGGGTAAGCGAGTCCTCTCTCTCTCTCCCCGCTTTCAACCATGAGGTATACGAGGACATTCCCCCAGCGCAATAAAGTAGGGAAATCCAGCCCAAGTACAGTACACACGGACCATTGCAAGGTGACCTGCATATGAGTGTCTGTGCGTGGAACATGACCTTGGTTCTGGTAACCCTCGTGAATGGGAAAGCCTTTTCCTGGAGATCGGTACCGGCCGGGTACAACCGCCATGGGCATGTTGAGAACCAAACCATAAAGTCGCTTTCTACGACCGGAGAAGTACACCGAATCCACCTCGTGACTTTGTCATGCGAAATGATGGGTCCAGGCCACAACCACTGACGAAGAGAAAAAAGTCATGCTTTGATGCCTGGTGGCTTGCTCTCACTTCCTTGATTAGCCACTACATGGAATCATGTTGAACCGGCCATTCAGAGGTCGGGACTCGTCGGGGGTTGGTATTACATCCCATGGCGATCAACCATCCCACGACCACACACGGCAAAGGGTGGCTTGACCAGGGGGTACATGTTGTACAGGGGGGCAGCATGCATGCTGTTCGAGGTTCGGCGCTAACTGCCCTGTCGTTCAGTACTCGTTGAAGCTGTCGAGTCCTAATCTTAGCCTCGAAGCGCCAGCCCACATGAGGTCGTCCAATCATCTATTCAGCCTCCCACACTTCATGCTCATTCATTCTTGCATGCGATGCACACTATCGGTCGACCGAATTGCCTTGAGGATTGTCGACTTACCACTGACCATGGCTCATTCGACAAGCCCTGCTCATTGTTCAATCAATGCCAAACGACCCTCTCTCCTCCACACTTTTCTATCCCGACCAATCCACGAAGGGTGCCTTCAGACGCAGATGGGATATTCATAGATACAAACCTCCTCCAGCATGCAATCGCCTGTTTCCCTCATTCGCTCTCCGAACCAAAACAATTGTTTCCTTCCCCCATACTGGATCTTTGCCTCGAAGTATTTCAGATGCTCATCTTGAACCTGCATATCACTCAACCCTCCAAGTTCCAAATATAGAATCATTCGTCGTGCCGAGAAGTTTTTCGAGGACCTCTCATAAAACAACATCCTCGGCCAATGTCACCGTGAATCTCCTCCAAGGCAGACCGTTGCCCTCGCTGTTGCTCCCCTTCACAAACCTCGTCGACGGTACCCTCGGAGACGGCTTCGTGCGAACACTGCTGGACAGTATTCGCGACCATTCCCTAGTAAATAATACCTACCTCAACAACAACAGCGCAGCAGTACACGGTTGTGTGTCCTCGTCGTCATCAATCATCTCCCGCCGGCCGAGCGACAATTGTACAGTCAGAACGACAGAATCTCCCCTTGACTCTCTCTCACACACTCTCTAGAGACAACAATGGCTCCCGCGAAGGAGAAAAGGGCTGCGCCCATGGCCAAAGCCTCGCCGTCTGTGGATACGAAGTCGTCGTCGTCAAGGATGCACAGAAGGTCGAGGTCGGGTGAGCTACTCTCCACAATGATTATCGAATCTTTGCTAACGAGTTTTGTTCTTCCTCTCTGCAACAGGTTGCTTTACGTGTCGACTAAGACGGAAGAAGTGTGACGAAGCAAAGCCCAAGTGCAAGGCATGTCGAAACCTGGGCCTCGATTGTGAGTATAAACGGCCTCACTGGTGGATTAACAACGAAAACCGGAGGCAACAGAAAGAGCACATCAAGACCGTCATCAAGACTACCAAGACGAACGAAAAGACCATGGCTGCTGCTCAGAGCGCTTGTACGTCGTCCAGGGCACGTCCTTCTTCTATTTCTGTCTAGCTTGCTGACACAACACTGCAGATGGTACTCGAGGGTCTTCCGACACTTCACCAGATGCATCATCATATGATCCAAACTTTGATCCTTCCTTCGCGACCACGCCTGGGATATTCACTCCGTTCGGACCGGACATGTACATGACCCACGACCCTTACAGCCAAGGTTTCCCATGGGAGGTCGACGTCAAGACCGAGATGCACACGTACGTCAACGATGAACTCACACGTCGGGACTCTTCGATATCGACCTTTAGCACCTGGGTGCCTCCTCCACCTCAGGCCATGTTGCCGTCGTCATCTTACCCCAGTGATGACTTTGCTGCTGCCCAGGCCACCGCCGACCTCTACGAGCAGCAGAGACAAGACTCATGGACGGCCGAGGATCCTGTCTCGTTCAACGTCTTCGACTTCCACCACCTGGGTCGTCAACCCGGGCCTCAATGCTCCATGATCCAGCTCGACGACTGTGACCGTCCGCTCTTCAACCACCTACTCGACAACGTGCTCCCGCTGCTCTTCCCGGTCCTCGAGGCCAACCAGCCTGGGTCCGTCAGGGCGGACGCGGTCTTGCCCGCTCTCGAGAACAACAAGGCCTACCTCCACTCTTGCCTACTCGCCGCCGCCACTCACATGAAGGACACCCGGACGGCGACGACGTACCTCGGCGGCTCGCTACTCGGCGTCGACGACGAGACCATGCGGCACCGGCTCGCGTTCGTGACCATCGTGGTCGACGCTCTCAACAGCGACACCCACCACAACGAGATCCTCGACGCCCTCCTGGGCATGATCTCGCTGCAGGGGTGCGTCGGGTTGACCAGCAACCCGGAAAAGGAGCTGATCCCTTGGCACCAACACTTCCAGACCGCGGCCGACATTGTCCAAAAGCTCGAGCTCCCGACCGTGCTCGAAGGACTGCACGTCACGGGGGGCCACCCTTCCTTCAACATGACCCTGACGGCTTGGATCGACATCCTCGGTGCCACGATGCAGGGTAAAGCCCCCCGCTTCTCCAACACCTACCGCAACATGTTCTTCGCCCAGGCCACTTCGGGGCTCGAGGACCTGATGGGGTGCAACGACCTGGTCATGTACCTGCTCTCCGAGGTGGCCTGCCTCGACTCGCTCAAGACCGACGGCCGACTGGACGACATCTCCCTGTGCAGTCACATCACCTCGCTCGCCCAGACCCTGGACCAGATCGAGCCCGCCGATCCCCCGGAGATCCCTTACTCCAAGGCCGGGGTACTCCGGCCCAAACAACTCACCAAGAACGTCACCGCCGTCTTCCGCAAGGCCGCCCGGGTCTACCTCTGCTCCCTGGTCCCCGAGTACAACCGGCACCAGCCCGCGACCGTCAACCTGATCGCCCAGGTGTCGGACCTGGTGACCCACTTCGTCCCCTCCGGCCCCAACGGCTTCGACCGCAGCCTCGTCTGGCCCTTGCTGATCTGCGGCGTCAACTCGATCCCCGCCTCCCCCTTCCGACGCATGCTCGCCGAACGTTGCGAGATGTTGGGCGAGGCCGCCGACCACGGGTCCTTCGGGAGGATGGTCCACCTCCTTCACGAGGTCTGGCGCCGCAACGACGACATGATCTTGTCCGCTGGCGTCTGTGAAGCCACTCCAGTCACGGCGGGGAGTCCGGGAGGTTCGATCTCGACACCAATCACTGCTTCTGCTGCGACGGCAACAACCACCACCACAACCGGCGGCGTCAATACCGGCCCTGCTCCGGCATCAGGGGCGTCAACGTCGACCTCGACATCGACATCCACAAACTCAGTACCACTACCGCCACCAACAACAACACAACCCTCGTCTTCAACGACGACAACAACAACAACAACAAGCGCAACAAGCACAACAGTACCAAGGAACCAGAACGTCCACTGGAGGGACGTGATGCAACAGATCGGATGGGAATATCTCCTGATATGATGATAAAGGGTATTTTCTCACAATTACATTTCGTCTTGGGGGAAGATACACGGACACAACCCTCCACAATCCTCCTCCCTCACTTCGCGCCCAACGCCCAAGCCCCCCAATGTCGGGTCAACATAAGCTCGCCGGTGGGGAACCCCCGGTCTCTTGACGGAGTATCATCCGCCCCGAACAGAAAAGGTCTTGATGGCCCTTCTTCTCTCTTCACCCGCACGTAGCGGTTCGGCGGATGATACCGAGACCCACTCCACCCCCTTGAGCGATCGACAGAGGCGACGAAGAACGAAGTGAGAGGTGTCTTCCTCTCCCCTTTCCAGGCGAAGCCTATCATCACAGGATGACGACATTCATTTTCTTCTTCTGTTTCTTATCATTAATTCAATCGTTCGTCATCACCACTCATCTGGTCCGACTACTCTCAAGACGACGATGACGATGCTCGGTCGCCCCCGGGGCATTATGCGCCCATTTAGTATGGTATTGTTTAATCTTTTCTGGAAAAGGGTTAATATAATACTACGACGACAACAACAGCAGCAGCAGCTACCACGCAGCTAGCTACCTATCATTACCCATCCATCAATCTCAATCTTGCATCCTGGTCTGGTAACACAAAAGTTTTGTTCGAAACAAAACAAACACCACACTATAGGTACCTAGGTATATATGTACTCCGGGAGTACAGTGCCTTAGGGCAGTGGTTCTTTTTCCTTGGGTACCTGTGGCGCTTGAAAGAAAAAGGCGAGGCCTCTTCCCTTGTTTTTCCCTTTTTTCTTGAAATCTATCGGGGGATCTCGAGAACCCCAGTGTCGTGGGAGGACTTGGTGTTGTCATGTCCCAATTTCCTCGTGACGGCAACGGTGGTGATGGTAACGACGTACGTATGTAGTCTGTCTTCATGTTCGAAATCCCTAATCGACAGGTTCGGACCAGACAAGAGAGAAAGAGATGCGAATATTTTCCTTACACCAACAACTCCCTCCTTATTGAGAATCTTGATACCTAGGATAATGGAGGCTGAAATCTCCAAGGTTTTGCACGAATCTCCTTTCTTTTCCAATGTGGATTGCGTGGATTCTAGCATATGAGAGGGTGGAAGAGTTGTTACTGCGTGAGTAGTGATGATGAGAGAAGGAATGAGACAAGAGAAAGAAGGTCCGATGACTTGATCCAGAGCTCGTTTAGGAGGAGGCTATTCGTTGAGAGTTGATGAGAGATGTGTTTGAAATGAAGCCGGTCAAACATTTACACGACCATCGTAACGGTCCAGAGTGTGCCAGATGAGATATGTGAAACAGTGAGAGCTGTTCGTACTGAGCGAGAGGGCAAGACGAGGCAGAGCAAGGCGGGCCCTGACCGGCCAAACTTTGAAGTGGATGTTAATGTCATGCATGAACCTGGGGAAACGATGTAAGAGTGTTTTGGAGCTGAAATTACGTTACAAGTCCTAATTTAAGGACAGAGCGGAGAAAACCATAGCATAGAACCATCAGAACAATGGTTTCCGAAGCCGGGATGTTCCAGGTACGAAAGAGCCACAGAAAGGATCGTCAGGCGGCGCAGGTGACTCCTGTTTGGTATTGGGCTGACCTAGGCTTCTGCTTTCATGATCGCTGTGGTCATATCTCCGTCTAATTCAGTAAACCTTGTTAGGTCCCTTGTAATAGTCCGAACGCGCTCGCTTGCGGATCACGTCCCGCCGGTAGGAACGAGTATACCTCAGCTCGGCGAGGTCTGCAAGACTTCGATCGTGGCCTGGAGCGATCAGCAGAGGAAGTCGCCTTGGAGCCACTAGAGACACCATTAAGCCCATGTGGAGGGGGTGTTCCACTCTCGGAGTCGTCAATGATAGGAATGCAAGTTGTACAACACAGCAAGCCGTCGCTGCAGAGGTGGTTATGGTGGACTCCCATGACAGCATCAGGGTAATTCCGTGCCTCAAGTCTCAGGCATTGTGTTTTCATGGGTGCCGAATGCTCCGTACGAGGTACCATGGATCGGAAATGATCTTTTCCTTGGACATGCGGCTTTTGTGTTTCATGTGAGCGGGCGACATTGAACTACTGCACGGTATACGAGGCAGAGAGACCGCACGATGAGGAGCAGAGTGACGAGTGTCGGAGGATTAGGACCAACAAAGTATCTCGAAAACCGATGCACGCCCTCGAGGTGGATGCCAATATTGAACAAAGTTGCCCCGGGGCTGATTTTCGGCGGCAGAATCATCAACTAAGTTGATCAGCTGCAGTATCTGAAACGTCGCCCGGGCCGCATGGGAGACGAAGACATGGACTTTGGGATGTTGGATTTTGGAGAGGTAGATGCAAGTATAGGTCAATACGGGCCTTGCGATATTGCCACAGCTTGTTGGTCTGCAGGCCTGGTGAAAAGAAAAAAAGAGGCAACCACTAACCGCTTGTGGCTTTCTCTTGTAGAAAAGGGTGGGCAAGTGCAAGGCATCCAAATAAGAATAGAAGAGCCCAAGTCGTGACGTGCAATGCAGCCGGGACTCTGGGTATCGGAGCAAGACCTGAGACAATCTCCATTGTCGAATATCTCTCGTCTCCTTCCCCCAGAAGTCGCCTTCTGGGGCCCGACTTGACAGTCTCCTTCTCGTCGTAAGATTTAGTGCAGGGATCTCAGCTCGTACGTGCATCCCCACGCCGGTCAATCGAACTCATCCGGAAAATTCTGGTCTGACCTCGAGACGCTCGTCATCCTCTCCGGTAGTTGAGTAAGCACCCGGTCGGCACTACTTGAATATTCGCATACTGGGCGTCCAGTTGAAGTGGCACACTCGACCTGGGACGGCCTATTTGAGGAGACCTAAATAGGCAATGCACACAATTCGTATACCTTGCCGAACACGGGCCTGTGTGAGTATCACCACAGCCCGGATTCCCTTCTTCCACTTAGATCTTCTGCTTGTCACCTACCGCTACGGCTCGACGGCAGAGGCTGTCCGTAATCGTAACCATTGTCCCAGCATGGCCAGGGTTTCCATACGAAGCAGTTAAGCGGTATTTGTTCCAGGGCCGACACTCGTTTATGACTTCTCGTGGCAGCCAAAGTCTGCATCGAGTCTAGTGTGTTGTTCTGTTTTACGATGTTCCTCAAGCCATAATTGCCTGCTCTCGAGCCCGCGGGTCTCGCTTGCATCCTAATGCACGTTACACCGAGGATTCGTCATAACGTCCCGTCCAGGCGTGGTTAAGCTGGTGGTAAGTGAGATAAATCTAGGCGGCAAAAGTCACGGTCGACTGACCAAAAAGCCTTGCATGAAACCCACACTGCATGTCAATGAGAGACAGTAACTTCTGTCTAAAATTGCCACCTTGTGGTCTGCCAAATCGAGGCTAGTACCGGGTCACGGCTGCTGCTTCGGTGGCGAGTTGACCACTTTTGATGAACGCGCGAAATGGATACCCAGTTTCTTCGATGATTGCCTCTATCGATGGTTGTCTGTCTGAGACCTAGAATAAAAGTTATAAATAGGAACGTCTCTCCGTGATAGTTTTGAGTTGGACTCCTTGTCTTCTCATCACCGTAGGATCGTGCATTGTCTTCTTTCGAGGCCTTTGAATTCGCGCGTGATTATCTCCCTGCAAAGCGCTGTCAGATATCTGCTCGACAAGAATCCCGCGATCTCTTCAAACTCATATTGTCTCCTATTCGTTGGTGGGTTGATTCAGCCTCTTCTACCACAATCACCAGTCCTTCGCTGGGGTGACTGGACCACTACCACCCAAATCTGTGCTCGAGACTCTGTCACCCGGTCGCACTGCCAATACTCTATAACTGTCCAGCACGACAGATCTCACCCCACCCTACCTTTGTAATTGTTGTTACTTTTCTCCGTATGTCTGTCGGTTTCATTCCTCTAGTTCCTTGCTTGTCCCTCGAACGCCGCAAATAGGTCACCAGTCCCTCGTCTTTTCCCTTGCACAGTGCAAGGTAGTCACTTACAGGGTAACTGTTCTCTGCGGGCTGACACGGTGCAATTGCGAGAAGCAACTCGGTCGACTTCAGGACTTTCTAAAACCGTTCACCTCCTAGCACCACCATGCCTGGCAAAAGTAAAACGCCGAGCGGCATGCTTGATTCTTACCTTTATCAGACCAACACCTTCACCGACCGCCTAGCTCAACATGGGCATGTCTTAGGACTCGCGACGTCATCAGAAAATGACGCCGCCGCTCTTCGTAGGGCGAAGAACGATATGACAGCAATGACAGACCCAGTGTTGCTGCGACGGGCTCGAGAAGATCAGCAAGGTATGGCATCCATTGTCCATTAAAAGGTTGTTCTTTCTGATACGTATAGGTCTTATGGACGGCTCGCGATCCTACACTTAGATTAACTGGTGGAGCAGAAAGAGGCTCTCGCAGTGATGCAGCCATTTCTCGCTTCTAACGGTCTGGGTTCTTGGGTTAGCGAAGGTTTCAGAGGGTTTCGGCTTGTACGCTGCTAGTTGATCGAACGTGCTTATCACGGCATGTCGTTTCCGTAATGTAAGGAGTTTTTCATTGAGGGCCGGACAGTGTTGAGCAACTTCGCAATGAAATCAACGCGTTCAAGACCACAAAAAGACGTGACGCGTCTGGATAGAGTAAACGCGTAATGCGTCATTCCACGTGACCGTCCTAAAGAGTGTGCTTCCTGTTGGCCTCAATGGGCAACATCATTGAAAATATTCGTATGGCTCTTCAACAATGTTTCATGATTCGACCAATATTCCGTTCGACTGTGAGGCCCAGCTAGACATTATGTGCCAGATCTTCTGAATAACAGAGAATTCATCAGACAATTCGCTGTTGCTTAGGCCCTTCAAAGTCGTCGTTGATCGGCATTACCGGCAATTAGGTACATACAGACTCACTTCTCGAAGAAATGCATTACCGGCTTGGCGTATATGAGAAGTCTCCAAGTACATATCTGACCCTCGAATCAGTCCACCGAACGGAGTACGAGACGAGTATGTGGTAAGCTCTTGGCAGTCTCTCTACAAGGGATCGTTTGTAGGACTCACCGCTTCCCTCTAGCAGGAACTCTAGCTATGAATGTTTCCAGAGGAATCATGCCCGCCATTTTTTCTCTATATGCAGAGATAGCATCCATCGCAGACGAGTCATCAGCTGGCTGCCGTCTCGCATGTCTCAACGAGTATCTGTCAATCACGCAACCATTGACCCCAACCGAAATCCCCGGGAAGCGACCTATATTGCCAGATCTGCATATTATTGTGGAGACCTTATCCAATATGTCCCGCTTGCTATACTCGATCAATGCTCGAATGTCGCCGACGTCCAAGATAGCGGACGATTCTACTGGCTCGCCTTCACAACTCGTCCCACAAGGACAGTACTTGAGAGAATCTGCTCCTGTACTCGTTTGTACTCCACGATCCCACCCTCAATACTCCGTACAACTTGGAGAATTTGTGGAGGTTTATGACAATCTGGAGGACTCGGCGATACTTGGAGAAAGACCTAAGAGGTGTCCTTCATAGCCTATATGTTCCCATCAAAAGTAGGAAGTACCTCTCGATGAACTGCCTACCCTAAAGTCCACTCGCCCTCCTCTCCCGTTCTGCCTCTTCACATATACCTAGGCCTTGACACCCGACAACCATCTCGATCTCTAACGATCAGCCATGACGGATCTCACACACATAGATACCGTCACAAAAGTCGAAGTCGCCGCTCAAGAAGATGTCGAAAAGATATCCCAAACGGATGCTGGGTTCGACAAACAAGCTACAACGAAACTCCTTCGGAAGATCGACCTCGCCGTAATTCCCCTGGTCACGATTTTGTACCTGCTTAGTTTTCTAGACAGGGCGAACATCGGCAATGCTCGCCTGGCAGGACTCGAGGAAGATCTGGGCATGAAAGGTCTCGACTACAATGTGAGTATATGCCTGGCCTCAATGATATACCTACTCACCTTGTACAGATCGCCGTCGTCGCTTTCTATCCGCTTTACATCATTTCCGAAGTGCCTTCCAATCTCATTTTAAAGAAATTGAAGCCTTCGACATGGATTCCCACAATCATGATCGCCTGGTCAATTTGTAACACCTTGATGGGCATCGTACACAACTTCGGCGGCCTCATCGCCGCACGTATATTCTTGGGTCTGACCGAGGGCGGCTTGTTTCCCGGCGTGGCATTCTACATCACTGTAAGTGCTCCTTCACCCAAGAATGTGACATGGAGAGACCTCACATACCACAAAAGCCAACCCGGATCTGACAAGATTACTTAGATGTGGTATAAGCGTCACGAGTGCGGATACCGCATTTCCCTCGTCTACTCGGCTGCTACTGTCGCCGGCGCTTTTGGAGGCCTCCTTGCGCGTGGGATAATGGAGATGGGAGGCGTGGCTGGCAGGCCGGGATGGTCTTGGATCTTCATCCTCGAAGGCTCAGCTACTTTCCTCGTCGCCGTCGCGGCATACTTGCTGATGACGGATTACCCGTCCGAAGCGAAATTCCTGACACCAGCGGAACGAGTCGAGGTGGCCCGAAGACTGGCAGAGGATCGAAATGTGCTCGCCGAAGAGTTCGACATCAAGTATTTCTACCATGCCATTCAAGATTGGAAGATCTGGCTACATGTGTTAATTACGATATGGTGAGTCACATCCCCCCACCCCATGGCGTTTCCTCTTGGCTCATTGCCCCTTGAAGCACGTTCACGCCGGTCTATTCGATCGCGCTCTTCCTCCCGACTATCGTCAGTACGCTTGGCTACGCGAATGAAAAGGCACAACTCATGTCGGTGCCTCCTTATGTGGTGGCTTGCTTCTTCTGCATAAGTAGCGGCATCTTGGCCGATAGGCTACGCACTCGGGGTGTCTTCATGCTCGGTGCCTCGGCCTTGGGAATTTGGGGTATTATTATGACCGTGGCGTCGACAAACTATCACGTCAAATATGCAGGTTGCGTGCTGGCCGCGGCGGGCTGTTACTCGACGGTTCCGCAGGGCGTCGCTTGGAACAGTGGCAACGTGGGCGGTGCGGTCAAGCGGAGTGTGGCGATTGCCTTGCATGTCGGATGGTAAGCCTCTTTCGTAACTCATGCCGATAAGAACGCGAACGGAAAGTTCTTGAGCTAACGAACTTTACGTCTCCCAGTGGTAATATTGGAGGCGTCATCTCCTCGTTCATATTCCTGCCCAAGGATTCGCCTCGTTTTGTCCCTGGGTTCTGCATACTCATCGCTCTTTTGTCCGTGGCATTTCTGGGATCCCTGGTCATGACAATTTACCTGAGACAAGAAAATGCCAGGCGGGATCGGGAGTACAAGGCGCCCGAGGACTACACGGAAGCGGAGAAGCGGTTGGAAAGAGCAAAGGGCGATTCTGCTACCTTTTTCAGATACACTGTGTAGTAGCAGGGCCATCCATGTAAATCTGGAAACTTCACGCTACTTTCTTGTTCCCTGGAAACGCCAGCATCCCAAGGATTATCCCTGCCTCCTTTCGACGACGACATAACGATACCCAATATCGAGCAAAAAGGGAAGGTCGTCAGCCCTGTGTCAATTGTCGGCGACGTTCGGACGACAAGGACGCCCTGTCTAGTCGTTTTGTCTGTAAGGAATTGCATGCATCAACCCCGGACGAGGCACTTCGGGATGGTGTCTAGGTCCTTCAGATACATACATGATTAAGTGCCGTGTTCAGGGGGATGATGAAAAGTGAGGCGATTCTGACACTCCTTAGCTTGAGGTTACTCCTACTCGTATGATACTTGATTGCTCCTCCCATGGTTCACCTCGTCAGTCGTCACGATTTTTTACTTCTCACCCACGGGCGAGTTTGACAGACTCTAGGCATTCGGACGATGGATATGGAGTTGTGTCATGAAATAAATGATAACGGAGGTCGCCTGGGGAATGTCCGCCCGAAAGTACTTGGCAGCTGGGGTTTTGATTTCGATCTCTCAGCCAGCCAGACGTTTATGTTCCACAGAGTATCGAGGAGTGACATGCCATGTCCCATGCTTAGAGCCTACGTGACGCAGTGCGACTCATCAAATCGAGATGAAGTTTGAAGACATACGTCCTTTTCCCGAAGATATGGATTTTGCCAAACAAAAATTCTCCGTATCCCTACGGATGACACCCACCGACTCCCTAATAAGGATAGGATTGCTAGGCGATACCTACCTAGCCACCGCACGGGCGGTCGAGCGGTGACAGCGCCCGATCAAATACTACTACAATACTACCGTACTTACTTGCAGAAAGTACCATTGTCCCCCTGGTCCCTGTTCCCAGAGCAGGGTTTTGGGAGCGTCTCGGTCGTGCATCCCCATACGCGCGCCTTGTCAATCACTTTGACCACATTCGGTGTGTCGCCGTCGAATGACCATTTAGGCTTGCTTTGGGGTTCGTCCCGTTCCGCCCGCGACCAACTGGAGGTAAACTATCGACTTTTCTACGAGTACCAGCAGAAGGATCGTATTTCTTTCGTCGGATGCAAACCAAGCTAATTCGGTCTCGTACAAGTCTCGTGTGTTTGTTTCTTGTCCCGGGAGTGGTGTTGACGCCTTTTTTTGTCCCTTCTCCCTCTGCCGTTGGCCCACGCGGGCGTGGGGGTTATGTCTCCTAGACATCGAATCCAAACGTTTCCCGACGAGCCGTGACGAGGTGGACGGCGGTCGGAACTCACAGTCATGATTCGTTTTCCCCGATGGATGAGGGCCCTTCCTGTATCTTCGACATGACAGTCCCGAAAAGGGGACCGTTCAAGGCTACTGATCACGATGATGATGGTGATGATGATGATTTGGTCATTATTTGACCTTCCACCGTGTACCAGGCCTGGATCTTGGTATAAATAAGACCAAAGCCCTTGGACATGTGCCACGTTTTTGGGATCAGGACATACGTGACATACATGCTCGATACTGAGTACCTACTGGACGGTACATGCGCTTTTCAGCATTCATTGATCTACATTGTACTTCTTGCATGGGTAGGGATTGTACCTAACCTATCATATTCCACGTACCCAAATTCCAGAACGGAAAATCGATAAACAAAGTACTCGGTAAGATACCTCTAGATCACCAAGTCACTTACTTGTTTTAGGTACACCGTATTCAGGTATACGATACCGTTCCTAAACAAGTCTCGAAGACTCGAACCTCCCAACCAACCCCCGTCGGTCACTCGCCTCGCGGTCCACGATCGTCAAGAAACCTCTCAGGAAAAAAGAACGAAAGAAAGAGAAACGATGTCTCAAATCACCAGGTACATATACCACTCGAGTACTCATACATCCCCTTTTTTGGTCATTTAGGTCGTTTTATCATTTTGGTTCCTACAACCTTCCCAATTTGGTCTGATATACCCACTTTCTTCAGGACCGACAGTACTGAAGTGTCATGCGAATATCGACATGCCGCCCACAACAACGACGGCCACGGCGACGGCGACAGCCAAGGCATGTTGAACTCATACATCTACACCACCAGCACCACCGTCTTAGACTTTATCCTCCTTGGGAGACGCAGCACGCGATCCTACTCACGTTCACACGCACGCATACTCGATGCGATGATGACAATGCAACCACAACACCTACGACAACACTCACGACCACTTGACAACGACACCAACGACACCAACAGACACCAGATCGGACGATGCACCAACGTCTCGGAACTCATGACTTTCATGGATCGAATCACGGACGCCAAAATCGTCAGAGAGGCAATCGTCTTTCGTCCCTTGCTTGTCGACAGGGACTATTGACATCTCGACAACACAAAGGGCGCGGAGTATTATCGACAAGAAAACCCTGAAACTGCTTACCCTGGACCCTACGGTACATAAAGTACCTTGCATGCCAGGTACGGGAGGAGTATACCTTTTGGTAGCAAGCAAAACAATCCCCGGTGCTACGAAGGACCAGATGGGAGTTCACGATGATGAAAGATGATGACGATGAAGAATTGATGCTGTGGAATTGCAACGAGTCAAGGGCGAGGGGGGGAAAAGGACCAGGCATACATACAGACTGCACAATTCCAGGGCAGCGCGGGAACAGGGCTGCAGTTGGCTGTTTCATCGTTGTACCCAATAACCATACGCCCAAAAGGACCGCTAAACAATTTTTTTTTAGCCACGCGCGCCCATGTCAGTACTCCGTATTCGTCAAGTACCTACTGTAGGTAAATGGCAGGGGGGCGGAGGAGGGGAGACCGAAAAAATCGCCTATTGGGTCACCGTCAAGGCTACTTCCCTCCTAAAGTAAAAGTAGTTCTCCATTACAAAGGGACGGCAGAATGCACAGCATGGGCACCTTCGGACCCGGCGGTATATACCTGTAGGAAAACAAGGTGCACCACATGACCGAGTAAAAGATACCATGCATACCTTGGCCTACTTTCCTAGGTACCTATCTACGAACGACCCAACCAAAGTGAGGGCAAGAGTAGAGAAATGGGAATGACGATATCCAGTACTCCTATATTCGGTAAGCCCAGAAAAACATTCCAATCTATGTACTTTGTATCTATAGTAAGTAAAGTTTCTACTCTTATTTACCGGTAAAGTCACAAATCTATCAAGAGGCATGGCATGTGTGTGTGTGTGTGTGTGTGTGTGTGTGTGTGTGTGTGTGTGTGTGTCTCCGACAGTACTGCGTACTAATCGGTCCTTTTCCAAAAGTCAAGTATGGAGTCCACTACTTGACTGCCCATGACGATTGGCACATCATGGGCCGCGTCAAAGACTGCAAACTCGACATTCTCAGGTCCCAACAGGGCGGTGGCGTCTTCCTCGACCTCTTGCCTGATGATGATGGGGTCCTTGGCTCCGAGGACGATGAGAACCTTTTTCTGCTTGCCTCCTCCTTCCCCTTCTTCTTGCTTGTTTTGTCGCCGCAGACGTTCGCCCACGATACGCCAACGGTCATGCTCGGTCCTTATGGGCCCGTGTCGGATGCTCGAAATGAAGGCTGGCACGAACCCAGGGTGATTGTCGAGCTGGTGACTGACCGCCTTCTCCACCGTGACATGAGGACGGGCTTTCGATATGATCGCCCGAGAGTTGGATTCGATGTTGACCTCCGCCTGGACGGCTTGAGTCGCGTCAACGGCGACGACGTTTGTTCTGGCGGCGGTGGTCTTGTCCGAACCTTCCTCCGGCGGTGGAGGGGGTGCCAGAGGCGTACGAAGTCGTCGCTTCACGAGACGCTGTAGCAGGGTCTCCGGGATGATGCCCTCGGAGTAGATGATCCGACTCTGGCGGCTGATGTGGTAAGGTCGGAGTAATCCGGCTGGGGCAAACAGGATGAGACTGTCGACGAGATCGCCAAAGTACGAAGTGAAGGTCGTGGCTATGCCGCCGCCGAGGGAGTACCCGACGAGCGCAAACTTGCCGGAGCCCTTGCCCGTCCAGGAGAGTGGTGAAGACGCCAGGACCAGCAGGATCTGCGTCGTGAACAATCTGACGTCGTGTCGGACGTCGTTGGCGGTGTCGGAATAGCCCCTTCCGAAAAGATCAAACAGCATGACCCGACAGCCGTGCTTGTCCACGAGTGCGTTGGCGACCGCGCCCAGGCTCACGGCGGGCGTGCTGATGCCGTGGACGAGAAGTACCTTGCGTCCGTCCTCCGGGCCGAACTCGTAGACCCTGATCGAGCCGTAGGGAGTGTCGACGTCTCTCGCCCCCGGTAAGACGTCGGGCGGGTAGGGTAACTCTCCTTTCTCGGCATCGGACAATCTGGGTAACAATGTCGACCGTGGTGAACGGTATATGTAGCTTTCGTGGGAGCTGCCGAAGAGCCTCGCCGTCAACGCGCCAGCAGCAAAAAAACACGTCCCGGCCAAGAAGAGCCTCCAGTCCGGGAGGCTCGTGGACTTGCTAAGACTCATCATCCTCATGCATCATCCAACAGGAAAGAAAAGAGTACTCTTTTAAGAACTATGTATTCAATAATGTTCCCTTATCAGCCGGGTTCATGTGGAAAAATAATCACGGAGATCTCAGACCTCGGCTAAACTAATTAGCCCAACGATTAAACACTCCATTGGGAAAACCAACGAGTCACGCGAAATCTGGACGAAGTAGTTCGTATAGCTACGACAAGTGATATACTGACAAAGACACCAGAGAGCTTTTACACAAGAGGATGGCTGGTTGGCATGTATGTACAAAACCCTGGGTATCATTATTCACAACACAGCATTATTGCCCTTCCCGTCAGACTCCATTATCACAGCGAGAAATCAAGTGCTTTTCCACCAGACTTGTCCTTGCCTTTACCTCGCTTTCGCTTTTTCCGTTTACCTTTGGGATGAGATTCTTCATCGCTACTGTCTCCCATGTCGGAGTCGTCCCCATCTGTACCGTCTTCGTCGTCATCAGAGGACAGATCATGTTTGGTGCCTGCGGCCCTACCTCCCCCGGGAAGGCCCTTCGCTTCAGTCCATACCTTCACCGTCTGTCCACCTCCGCTGAGCATTCTCCCTTCGATGTCGAAGCCGAGGGCAACAACGCCATCGATATCGTCATGTTTGATGTCCAATTCATTCAAAACGCCATTACGGCCGATCCGCAGGAAGCGGACTCGACCGTCCTCCAGTCCTGCAGCCACAAGCTTCTCGTTCATCTTGAGTTTGCCCTTTCCGTAGCCAAATGGTACTTCGGTCAGGCTTTCAACACCGAGGCCACTTCGGTCCACGACAATCCGCTCATCGAGATCATCCCAGACACCTTTCTCCCAAAGGCTAACCACGCCATCGCCCTGACCGACAAGAATCTTCTCACCGACACTTGTACCACCTTTCTTCAAGCCTTGAATGAGCGTAACACTGGTAAGTTCGATCTCTTGGTCTTCGCTCGTAGCGATCGTACCCTTTCGGAGATCCGTTACCGCAAGGGTCGAACCTCCTACAGTCACCCACTGTTTTGGGAACCCGCTCGTGCTGGTCTCACTGGCGGGCAGAGGTACCAGGGCGTTGACGTGTTCTCCCCCATGTGGTTCCCATATTTGACTCGCCTTTGCCACGATTTCTCTTCCACCCTGCCGTAAGTCTTGCAGGTATAGCTTGCCCGAGTCCGTCCCAAGAAGGAGAGTCTGTGGTGTCAAGGCATGAAGAACCGACGGCTCGTCCAGTTCCGGCAGACCGCGAACCTCTGGTATTGCTATCTTCCCGACGACTTTACCAGTCTCTGTTACGAAGGACTTGACCAACCCATCGGTTCCTGCAGAGTAGCACATCTCGCCATCATGACTGAACGTCAGACATCGACATGAGCCCTTGTGTCTTTTTGTACTCCAGACGGTATCTATTGCGCCAAGTCCACTTTCTGAAGCACTCGCCGAAGACGATCTGCGCAGCGACGAGGATATCGGGGTTGAACCATGGCCATTTACGGGATTTGTAGTGTTGGGTGTAGGTTCGGAACTGTCTTGAGAGGCGCTCTCAATCACATCTGAGTCGGAGGGAAGTTTGTACGCTTGGACATGTCCTGAGGACAAGCCAACCGCGAAAATAGGTTCTGAAGGATGAATGACCTGAGCGAAGAGGTCCGATTGAAGAGGCAAGGTGCAGATCGTGTCGAACATGACGAATAAAGGTGAGGATCACCTCATGATAGATCGTAGGTTTGGACTATCTACTGTAGGTCGTCAGTCAATCAACAGTTGAAGCTTGAACCTTCAATTCTTTGTGTATTGGAGATTGTCGCGTGGGTGAAAAAAATTGGAGATGTTAGGCGGGCAAATGGGGGGCTTGAGCTGCCAAGAATGGGTGCCACAGGCCACAGCTTTTAAGTATAAGCTTAACTAGAGGAGCCTCCATCGACGTCCCTGAAATGGATTTTTTTATTGGTTGTGATGACGGAGTGTGGCCCAAATCGGTGAGCCTTGAGCACCCGATTTAGGTCTCCTACTCCGTGAGCAGGACCCCCGATCACTTACCATGTCTTCAATCCCCCAATGATAGATATATTGTACTGTACATGTTCATCACCAGCGACAGGAACAAGATGTCTTAAGACGTAATCGTTTCTGAGGACGTTCTCCGTTGCCGGATGATCCATTCGCCGTGGATTCAAGTCAAGGTAACACTGCAGACTACGTACGTTTCATCCGATCTCACACGATCTTGTCTCTTCTGGAGCAACTAGTTACTTAGGCGACAGTGGCACCTACGAGTACTCGTTCTTGTCCGCTTACGACGAGCTGGTCGCCTGAGGCACTCTCAGCCAAAACAGAAAACAAATCTCTAACACCTCCATACAGCACTGCACCACCGAGCACAGAGTACGAAGTACCAGCACAGAATATGTTTTGGATGATTGATCACTTTACATCCTGATTTCGACAACCACCCATCCCTCTCTGCATACGGGATTGTCAGCCATGACTTCACCAGAGATTGTCGAAGATGGAGCGATCGATCCTCGAATCGACGAGACTACAGCATTACTCGCCGCTCCATCCACAGCCTCACCTACACAAGGGCAGGCGGAGAACGGCACAATCAACAATAATAAAGATGTCGACGAGGACAAACCCTTACCCAAGGAACAGATCTTCTTCCTCTGCGTTGCGAGGGTCGTCGAGCCCATCGCCTTTTTCAGTATCTTTCCCTTCATCAATCAGATGATTCGCGATACTGGAGTTGCCGAACAAGACGTCGGGTTTTACAGTGGCTTGATTGTAAGGCCCTGCCTCTCTTTCTGCTCTCTTACTGTTGTCTCGATGTCTCTCAAATCCCAAACTAATACATGTCTCTACGCTTTAGGAATCATTATTCTCTTTGACGCAAATGTTTTGCATGATCCCTTGGGGTCGAGCGTCCGACTACTTTGGACGCAAGCCCATCCTGGTCTCGTCGCTGGCGGGCGTCTCTTTCGCAACAGCAATCTTTGGTTTCGCCGGGACTATCTGGGCCATGATCTTGATCCGGTGCTTCGAGGGACTTTTCGCGGGAACCATTGTGTGAGTGCTCCTTATGTAACTCACTGTGTAGGATTCTTGCCAGCCAAAGACTAATACGAGAGCTTCAATTGCAGGACGATCCGAACCATGATCAGCGAAAACAGCACGGCCAAAACCCAAGCTCGTGCATTCTCCTTCTTTGCATTCTCGGGCAACTTGGGAATCTTCCTGGGCCCTATTATAGGTACGTCCTTGACATACTGAGTAGTGTCGAACTCGTTTTGAGATATGAGATCAAGAACTGACATGATCATGGTCATCAAGGCGGTGCTCTGGCAAAACCTGCCACCGTCTTCCCGTCCATTTTTGGCCGTATACAATTCTTCCACGACTTCCCGTATGCCCTGCCCACCATTGTGACCGGTGGGATCGGTGTCATTGCTACCATCACGAGTGGGATTTTTATCAAAGAGGTACGTCTTCGCTCTCGGCCATTACACTTTGCGTTCTCTCCACGGTCGACCCTGGCACCATGCACATGTTCCCCAAGCACAATCTCCCAATCTTCTCTTCCTTCTCTCATGTTGCCATCGACAATCTCAGAAATAAAGCTTAACCCTCTAATTCGGTTGTGTTGATTTCAGACGCTCGTCCGCCATCCCAAATCCTCGTCCGACAAGTCCAAGGAGATGTCGACCCTCGAACTCCTCCGGTCCCCCAACGTGCCCATGACGCTCTACCTCTACGCGCACATCATGGTGCTGGCCTTCTCCTACACGGCCATCATCCCCGTCTTCTTCTTCACGCCCGTCCACCTGGGCGGGTTCGGGTTCTCGCCGCTCCGGATCAGCATCTTCATGATGATCGGCGGCCTCTCGCAGTCCCTGTACCTCCTGATCGTGTTCCCCTGGCTCCAGGCGCGCGTCGGCACCGCGGGCGTCATGCGCCTCTGCGCCCACGCCTACCCCTTCTTCTTCGCCTTCCTGCCCGTGTGCAACGTGTTCCTGCGCAGGGGCATGACGGCGGCCTTCTGGGCCGTCGCGCCGGCCGCGCTGGTGGTGGGCAGCGGCGTCGCCATGAGTTTCACCGCCATCCAACTCGTGTTGAACGACGTGAGCCCGAGTCCGGCCGTGCTGGGCACCTTGAACGCCGTCTCGCTCACCCTGGTCAGCGGCATAAGGGCCTTCAGTCCCGCCTTGTTCTCGAGTCTGTTCGCCACCAGCGTCGGGAGCGGCGTCCTCGACGGGCATCTCATCTGGGTCCTCATGATCGCGTTGGCCCTCGGGTTCGCGGTTGTCAGCCACTGGACGCCGGAGCCGGACAAGGAGGTCAAGAACGGCGCGGAAAACGGGGAGGAAGAACAGCAACAATAAGCCAGTAAAAGATGCATATAATTATTTTCGATTCGATTGCACGGGTATATATATATATATAGTGGGTATGGGTATAACCGTGGCGAGGCCAACGGTACGACAGAGGAAAAGGGAAAAAGGGGCGACTCTGGTACCCGGCTTACTTCGAGATATTACTTTCAAAAATACCACAGTGTGTCTAGGTAGGGTCAAGCACGCGTAGGATTGATAGAAGACAGGCATAAGGAAAGAGAACAATCAAAAGGGTGTTGCGGGTATTCGCCATGGCATACATACAACTTTTCAAAAGCGTGAAACTCTGTCTAGGTACACATCCACCTGTATTCATCTTGCGATGTGGAGTATCAAGCATATACATGTGTTCCATATAAAACCTGTACAGTTCTTCGTCTTAACACTGTCCCTGTCTGACTTATAAATTGGCACGTGCTGGCTCACCAGCCCACGCTCTTCGGATGAGTTCACGAATGGGCTCCTTCTCAACGCTTCTCGGGTTGGGGTATTGATTGCTCACGGCAATCTCGGCGGCCTTGTCGACATCTTCCTCCTTCATACCATAATCCTTCAAGGCACGCTTGACCTTGAGTTTCTCGAGGAGGATGTTGAGACCTTTGGTGGCATCGCCTTCGCTACCGGGTAGGACAGAGGCTAATCTCTCCATGGCGTCTGGGATGGCTGGCGCATTGTATGACAGCGCATGTGGCAGGACGATCGTATGGGTCTCTGCGTGAGGGAGATTGAAAGAACCACCGAGAGTGTGGCAGAGTTTATGGTGCAGAGCCATTGACGAGGACCCGAGACAGACACCGCAGAGCCAGGCGCCGTACTGTGCCTTCTCGCGTGCTGGTTGGGATTGAGGGTTCTGGATGATTTCGGGGAGAGATTCGGCGAGAGCCTTTGTGCCTTCGAGTGCCAATAGCGAGATAATTGGGTTCTTGTTCTTCGCGTACAATGCTTCGACGGCATGGGCGATGGCATTGACTCCCGATGTGGCGCTGAGTCCGACTGGGAGAGTCATGGTCAAGTTGACGTCGTAGATGACTGTCCCGGGTAGGATTTTGGGATCTGACCGCGTGGTTTTGCGCCCATCTTGGGTCTCTCCCAGGATCGGGGTCATCTCACTTCCTGCGTATGTGGTGGGGATGCAAATGTGAGGCAGACCAGTTCTTATTGAGATCGCCTTGCCCAGACCGATTGTAGAACCTCCTCCTATTGACACGACGCAGTCTGCAGACTTGGATTTGAGGAAAGTCATGGCTTCTTCGGTGATGTGGGAGGGCGTGTGCATGGTGGCATTAGTGTAGGTGCCTGCTGGCTCGATGGATCCGGACTTGAGGATCTTTGCGAGGTCTTCTGCTTGACTGACTTGCTGGGGCGTGGAGAGGAGAAGAGGTGACTTGAGGCCGAGCCGCTTTACTTCGTCAGGGAGTTTGTTGATACTGCCAGGTCCGAAGACTACTCGGCCTGGGTTGGCGTTGTACTCGAATGGGTCCATTGTCGTCTTGTTAGGTTGGCTTATGCAGCGAGGATTGCTCGAGTAGTTGAAAAAGGGATGTGGGAGAAGAGAGACAAGAAGTGCGGCGGGTGCGAATATGGAAAGGAAGAGACGAAGATTGTTGGCGGCGGTGGTGGTATGAGTAGAGGGTATTTAGGACCCCGCACAGTGCATCATCGGATGAGGGTTTCTTGCCCGCGCTGCTAAAGTCCAGGCGCCGTGGGGCTCAAGGCACCGGCAAAGACACCTAGAGTCATTGCCTGTGCTCTCACCATGACCCCAGCATTTATCCGAAGCCTGGAGCATTCCGAGAAGACTTCGAGCATGGGGCTGACAAAGCTGGGTCTAGCTTCGTTTCGTTTCCGCACTCAACCTGTAGAATCCTATTCCACACATGATTCTTTTATTGAAAAGAAAAGCCTGGCCAGAGATACAAGACAATCGCAAGGGCCCAGGTACCGGCCAGGATCTGAAATGCTTGTATCATCCTATTCGAGGCGGTAATGCCTTCGTTGTAGTCGTGGATGAAGGGGACTTTGGCCTTGTTCTTCCAGAATTCCGCCATATGTCGATACGCCAGGGCAATACCGACTGCATTCAAGACACTCAGAAACAATGGGAACTTTCTACCTCCTGTGCCGATAGCAAGAATGATAGACGAGACCACAGAGGAGATCGTCTGGTGGTTAAGTCAGTACATGGGATACAGAAATGAGAGGTGGGCAAAGGGGCCAGCGTACCGCCACAGCTCCGCTCGTTTGTGTCGTTCTAGTCTTGTGCAATTGATTAGCCGCCGTTGTCGAATACTGCGCTGCTCGTTCAGTTTGCTCTTCTCTTTGCTTGAGATTGTAGATGGCCATGGCAGAAAATAAACCAGTGTAGGCGCCGACACAGGTTTGAACTGCGTGGTACATGGAAAAGATGATTGCAGTTGCCGTCATCTTGACTTTTTATACCGAGATTGTAGGTTCGAGAATCGAGACTCCAAAGGTAAGTACTGAGGGCTCCCAGCAGCTAAAGACCAATTTTTTGAAAGGACAAGTAGTTGAGATGAATCCGATGCACACCGAAGAGATTGAAGCTCATCTTCGTCATCTCATGGCCAGCCAGGCTTCTTCTAGGTACGAGTAGCGGGCCAATGAAACGTGATCTCAGACCGCTGACTAAAATTCAACGCCAAGCGGTGGCCAGTCTTCAAGTATCGTCGAGTGGCATGCGACCAAAATTTTGCGTCGTGAGATACTCTGCTGGAACTTCAGGGCGAGATCAACAGGTATATTGGGTTTTGACCCTGTAGGCTCCTCAGACATGGCAGAAGAACTCACTGCTCCCCCAGTGCTCTCGACACCGGACACGTACATCCTGAACGAAGGCATCCCAGAGGCTGTGCGAAACAATGCCTCAGAAAGTCTGTCTGATGAGGAAGTCAATGTCAGATATGAAATCGACAGAACGATCCAAGAAATTCGCGGCAGGAAATGGCGACGAGTAGCTTTGCAATTCCCCGATCATATGCTTCCACACTCTGCTCGGGTCTACCAACTCCTCTCGCGGGGATTGCAAGCACCAGCACCGGCACCGACAGGGAACATCGCCACGGAGCGCCCCGAGCCACTCGAGACTGATATGGGAAGTTTGAGTGTCCACGAGCACAACGGGCCCGTGAAATTGACTATCCTCGGCGACACCTCATACGGATCTTGCTGTGTGGATGAGATCGCGGCCGAGCACGTCGATGCTGACGCTGTCGTTCACTACGGCCGAGCCTGCCTTTCGCCAACAGCAAGGCTACCAGTTCTGCACATCTACACCACCATGCCCCTGGACTACGACGACGTCGTGGCCAAATTTCAACAATCCTACCCAGATCCGAACACAAAGGTCATTTTGACCGCAGACGTACCCTATTCGGCGCATGTATCTCCATTGACCCAGAAACTACAAGCCTCAGGCTACTTGGACGTCTTCGCGGCTTCCATCGTCCACGACCCGTCATCTGCTATACCCAATAGAACACTTCCTCCGGCCGTGTCGGAAGACCAAACACGATTATCCGAATGGAGTCTCTTCCACATATCCGATCCGCCGACCTCTCTTTTGCTCACGCTGACATCTCGCCTGTCTCATGTGGGGATCTATAGCACCCAAGGCTCTGGGTCCAACAACAACGCCACCACCACAGCATCAACAACTCTAGAAAACTCTACTCGCCTTCTCCTCCGCCGTCGATACGCCCTGATCACTTCCCTGACAACGGTACCGATTTGGGGCATCTTGATCAACACCTTGAGCGTCAAGAACTACTTGAACATGTTGACACACATCCAACGACAAATCGCCGCTGCTGGAAAGAGATCCTACCTCTTCGTCGTGGGCAAACTCAACTCTGCCAAGATTGCCAACTTTTCTGAAATAGGTGGATGGGTGGTGATCGGATGTTGGGAGAGCTCCCTCGTCGACAGTAAAGACTTTTACAGACCAATCATCACCCCGTTCGAATTAGACTTGGCTCTCCAACCCGATGACAAACGCGTGTGGACGGGCGAGTGGAGGGCCGACTTTGATTCCGTTCTCGAGGATGCCGCGAGGCGTGAAGTAGCGGAGGATCAATCTGAAGAGCCAGCGGACGACCAGCATGGAGATGTCGGGATCTCGTCCGACGGTTCTGAATCAGAATCTGAGCCTCCCGAGTTCGATTTTCGAACAGGTCGGTACGTATCTCGATCTAGGCCTATGCACAAGACGACGGCGACCCGACGCTCGGTGGCTTCGTCATCCGCTGCTGCTAATGGTGGTGCACCTTCGACGGCGCTGACGAAGCGATCAAAAGGCGACGTCATCTCGGCCAACGGCATTGTCTCCCCTGCCGCCGAATACCTGAAGGAGAAGCGAGGCTGGACGGGTTTGGGGAGTGATTTCGTAATCAAATACGAGGAAGACGGAGACGAAGCTGTGGAAGGTGGTCTCGTTGAAGAAGGTCGAACGGGGATCGCGCGCGGCTACACGGTCGGAGAGTCGACTCGAACGTGAATTAGTTTTGCGTGAAAAGGAAAAAAATGATAATGTGCACTGAGGAAGATTCGATATTTCAAGGTACGAGCAGTCTCGCCAGGTGCACTATGTCCTCTGTATCCTCAAGTTTCCAGCACGACTCGATGACAGCCTTGGTCTTTTGAGCGCCAATGACAGGAGCTGCCTGGTCAGAGAACTTCTTCTCGAGCTGTTCGATGGTCATTGGTCGCGCCACAGACCCTGTCGCATGTTCAACGTGGAACGACTTCTCTGCCAGTCCCGCGCCTTGAGCCGGTTTATACTTGAACGTCAAGTACGCCTCGTCGTCCCTCACCTTGTCGTCCGTCGTGACATTGATCTTGTCTCTTACTGCTCTGACCGTCGCGTCTTGAGCGGCCACTTCGTCCGAGAACTCGGCTGGGCCGGCCGCTCCGTGAACCAGGCCTACCGCGCAACCGTGGTACAAGGAAAAGATGGTCTGGAGTTGGGTCTGGGGATGTCTGACTGAACATAACCGTACGCATTGCGGGTTAACCACGGCCTCGATCGATGCCAGCTTCATATGGAACGGTTCTTTCCCGCCTGCTGCGACGGCGTCTTGGGAAAAGTACCGATGTGCCTCTAGACAACCGTCGATGAGCGGGTGGATTACAATACCACACGGGTACGGCTTGAATGTGTTCTCGAGGATCTGCCATGATTTGCCCCCTTCCTCGGCAAGGGCCGACACTCGACTTTCATCCACAGTCGTCGAAACCAGTTTGAGCCACGATTCGATCGGTCTCGTACAGCTCCCGAACCCTTGGGCCGCCAATCTCGCTGCGAGGATTCCGTTCTGCGCTCCTCGGCCCATGTGTAACGTCTTGCTGTCTACACCGAACATTGCGCGCAGACCCCCTGCCATGGTCGAGGCATGACCCAGGGCTGCAGCGAATTGCGCCGAATCGAGCTTCATTGCTTTTGAGATGGCAGCCGCCGCTGCAAAGTGTCCAGTTGTACCTGTGATGTGCCTGTTTGAGAAGGGGGGTTTTTCGGTCAGCTATAATGGATCTACGCACAACCATTTTATCCGTGCGAAGGAGCGACGACGGCTTGTACTCACCAACCATCTTTATAATGACTGGGCCCTAAAGCGTTGCCCACGGCGCACTGCGTCTCCAAGCCGGCGACGAATGCTAGGATAAAGTCTTTGCCTGACATGGGATGCATTTCAGCCCACGACAAGAGCGCGGCGAGGGGTGTCCCCGAAGGATGAATGACGGTGCGTAGATGGGTGTCGTCGTAATCCGCGGTCGTTATGGAGATGCCGTTGACCATGACCGCGGTGTCGAAACTGGTTCGTTCACGGTGACCTAGTATCGTGCATTCTTCGTTTGTTTGGGTGGTGGTATTGGACGACAAAAGTGCCTTGATCGCTTTGGTCGCAGGTGAGGCGTGGCATGAGCCCAAGCCGCATCCGAGGGCGTTCAGAACGGACCGTTTCGCCTGCTCGATGACCTCTCGTGGCAGTTGATCATAATTCAGTCGTGCCAGGAAGTCGGCCAACTTGAAAGTGTGGTCTACGCTGTCCATGGTTTTTGTTTTGTTGTCCATGGGTCGACTTCTCAACTAAATTTCCCGACGCAAACTTACCGCAGAACTTTTTCCATCGAGACCCTAAATGCGAAATATATTCGAATAAACGGAGACGACACCCACACGTATGTTTTCTGATTTATGGGTGTAAAAAGTACCAGAGGTCGACAGCTGCCACCACTTCCATTTCGGACAACCTCCACTTTCCCCAATCGTGAGAAGTGGATTTGGAGGTACGGAGTAGTTACACTACAATATCCCGAACGAGTTGCGCTGTCAGAGGACTCTTTTGAAATGGGGGTTGATATTTCGTACCAATGTCGAAGGTATTTTATGTGTTGAGATATCGAATTATATAATAAAAGGTGCCATTTTAAAAAATCTTCCAATGAGGTGTTCACTGGCAAGATCCTCCTTCATGACTCGTTGTGTACTTCTTATACCCCACGAGGCTTTTGATGTCATGCTTTCTCGGGTATGAATTCCCGCGAGGCTCATTGATCCTTGTCTCCTCACGGTGAGTAGTTACTATCTTGAATAGATTGGGTCGATCGTCGAGCTATGAACTCATGTCTGGGTCTTGGGAACGTGGAAAGACCGTTGTAATACAGAATGGCTGATGTCACCCATGTCCATCGTACTCGTAGACGGATCCAACAAATGCTCGTTGAGGTCGCGATTCTCGCAGTTGTTTCTTCGCCTGTCTATACCGCAACAACCTCCACGACTTACCGTCTAATCCTCTAGTTGAATCTTTGTAAAGATACAGAAAAAAAACATCAACTTCTCAAGACCAAACAAATGGCTTCAAAGGCGGTCAGCAATCTCATCTCTACAGCCGCTCGACCGACCTCCCGCATCCAACTCGCACGGAGCCACCGTCTTCTGTCGTCGGGTCCGATACAAAACCAAGCACAAACCCTTCTTCAGGACAAAGAGAATGGCTTTGGGTTCATCCGTCACAATCCTCGCACACCGAAGCCACGGACGAGAGGCGTGACCGAGATTCGGGGCCCGTACTACTCTGCCTACGGCAAGCGTCACTTGCAAGACGTGCTCGAGACGATGGGGTACCACATTGACGGCCTCAAGTTCGCCGGCGGAAGTTTCTCCATGATGCCCGAGCACGCCGTGCGTGAACTGGTCGACCTCGCACATCAACACGAAGTCTATGTGAGCACGGGTGGGTGGATGGAACACATCTTGACCCAGCCCGACGCCCAGACGGCCGTCGACAGGTACCTGAAAAAGTCCAAGGACGTCGGCTTCGACGTGATCGAACTGTCTTCGGGGTTCCTGTCGTTCCCACCGGACGACTGGTTGCGGCTCGTGGACAAAGTCCACGGCATGGGCCTCAAGGCGAAGCCGGAGCTGGGCATTCAGTTCGGAGCCGGCGGTGACACGGCGGCGGAGGATCTGGAAGCCACCGGCACCTCAGACCCCGGCAAAGTGATCAACCTGGGCAAGAAGTTCATCGAAGCGGGCGTCGAACGCATGATGATCGAGAGCGAGGGCATCACCGAGAACGTCAAGAGCTGGCGGACGGACGTCATCCAAGCCATCCTTCGAGATCTGCCACAGGAAAAGGTCATGTTCGAGGCCGCCGACCCTCCCGTCTTCAATTGGTATGTTCGCGAGTTTGGCATCGATGTCAATTTGTTCGTGGATCATTCTCAGATCGTGCAGTTGACCTGCCTGCGGAGCGGAATCTGGGGCATGGCCGATACCTTTGGGAAGATTGTTAGCTATCGCGATTGAGCGGTAATGACAGTATCTCGTGATATGAATGGGATTGATCAATCATGCCTGCCGAGACGTTGTTTAGTCACCCAGGTAGTGAATAAATTATGAAATGAATCCTTCCTGTTATAGTCAGCGCTTCGTTTTACCTTATACGAACGAGGTCCGCGTCATCAGTTGCTAAGCCCTGTGACACTGCATTGAATTTTTGCCCGGAAGAGTAAATGCGGCTGATGCGGGATTCTTTGAGTGCTGAGAAGATTGTTGGACGGATGCAACCCAAGACGGTTGTTTACCATGCATAGGTATTGCAGGTGCCTAGGTTAATAAAGTAAAAACTGTACTCTGTAAGATGACAGAGGAATCCAGGAAATTATGCAGAGCCTTGTGCATTTCTGGAGGGTCTGGACGGAGTACGTAGACACACCACCAGGCTGTGTACTGCAAGAGTATGTACAGCAGGTGGCCAAAGGGTCCCTCTAACTCGTAATCTCCGTTAACCATTCTCTATTGCTACAGGTTCTTCAAGTGTCAGTGCCACCTCGTTGGCTTCTCAACGGATCGCCCGGATGGACGAATATGAACAAAATACGAGGATTAAACAGCAATTTTCTCCACCCCGTCGGCTTCAACGCGAGAGAATTGACATCATCGTCCTTGGAGCTGAATCTTTTCCTCGTACTCGGAAACTATTTTTGCCATGTCAATCACAAGCACGAGATACACAATTCGATGGAGTCCTGACTGAGCCTTCACTTCCAGGCACTTCCGCATCATGATTCGACAGGCCCTCACAGCACTTGGATATATCCATCTTTTAATGCTCAGTGTACAGCCTCACTGCTCAACGGTAATATACCAGTACTCGCATTCAGGTGTTTATTCATAAGTGGTGTTTTCTTTTCACTGTTACTTTTCCTACTCTTCTCATCCCAGCCCACGTAGACTATCGTGCGGTAGCTTCGATAGGAACCTTGGCCACTATGAAAATCACCCTTCTAACAGCAGTCCTGAGTGGTATATTTGCTACCACGAATGGTAAGTGACATCCGAGGATCCCTTTGCTTCTCGAAGAGTGCCGCCTACTGACACTTTGGGCTCGCAGGGTATGTACTAGATGTCGAAGAGGCCGCCATCGAAACATTCCAGAATGCTCGTCGAGCGCTGCCCAACTCTCCCAAGGGATACACCCCGTCTCGAGTAGATTGCCCTCGAGATGCACCTTCAGTACGGGCCGCTTCGTCACTATCTCCGAACGAGACGGCGTGGCTGGAAAAGAGAAGAAACAATACCGTGACACCCATGCGGGCCTTGTTGAGCCGATTGAATATCACAAATTTTGATGCGGGCCAATATATCGACAACCATGCTAAGAATGCTTCTGCCCTTCCGAATATTGGTATCGCCGTGTCCGGAGGTGGCTGGCGAGCGTTGATGAATGGCGCAGGCGCACTGAAAGCGTTTGACTCTCGGACGCCAAATAACACGGGGGACGGGAAACTCGGTGGTCTGCTACAGTCCGCTACATATCTCGCGGGGCTAAGTGGCGGAGGTTGGCTTGTTGGGTCCTTGTTCATGAACAATTACTCAACGGTCGGTGATTTGCAGACAGACACCAGTGGCTCGGTGTGGGAGTTTGGGAACTCCGTCTTCAAAGGACCCGACACTGGGGGCATTCAGCTTTTTGACACGGCCGAATACTATGGTCATCTGGCCAGCGACGTCGACGGCAAAAAGGATGCGGGATTCGACCTTTCTCTCACCGATGTTTGGGGACGAGCTTTGTCCTTCCAGCTCATCAATGCCACCGACGGTGGACCGAGCTACACCTTCTCCTCGATCGCCATTTCGCAGCCATTCATAGATGCGGATTCCCCATTCCCTATCCTGGTTTCCGATGCTCGAGCTCCCGGGGAAAAGTTGATATCTGGAAATGCGACCATCTACGAGTTTAATCCATTCGAGATGGGCTCATGGGATCCGACCTCCTACGGCTTCGTTCCCACCCAGTATCTGGGTACCAACTTCACAGCCGGCCGTGTTCCAGACAATGATCAATGTGTGATTGGATTCGACAATGGTGGTTATATCATGGGGACTTCATCGTCCTTGTTCAACCAGTTTATTCTCAATTTGAACCAGACTGACATCCCCGCAAGCCTGAAGGGTTTACTCGCCGACGTCCTAGGGGACATTGGCCAGGACAACAACGACATCGCAGACTACACGCCCAACCCGTTCTTCCACTACAACCCCGAAACCAACCCTTCGGCAAACTCGACTCGCCTGACTCTTGTCGATGGAGGTGAAGATCTGCAGAATGTCCCACTACATCCATTGATCCAGCCTAACCGACATGTTGATGTTATCTTCGCCGTCGACTCATCCGCCGACACCAGCAACAGTTGGCCCAATGCCACAGCCTTGGTCGCCACCTACGAACGATCTCTGTCAGATATTGCGAACAACACCGTCTTTCCCAGTGTTCCCGACCAGAACACCATTGTCAATCTCGGTCTCAACACGCACCCGACCTTCTTTGGCTGCAATGTGTCCAATTTTACGGAAGGATCTAATATTCCACCATTGATCGTCTACATTCCCAATTCGCCATACATCACATTTAGCAACGAATCTACATTTACCTTCACCACCAACAACACGTACCGAGACGCCATCATCCTCAATGGTCAAGATGTGGCCACCATGGGCAACGGGACGGTGGATGAGACGTGGCCTACATGCGTCGGCTGTGCTATTTTGAGTCGAAGTCTACACCGCACAGGTACCGACGTTCCGGACGTTTGCCAGCAATGCTTCAACCACTTTTGCTGGAACGGTACGATTGACTCTTCTGACCCGCGACCTTATGAGCCGACACCCATACTTGCCAAGTTGGATATTTCGAGCAAGGGGGTGTCGTCCAAGTTGTTCAATCGCTGGACCGCGGCAGTCGCTGCAGTGATGGCCGTTGCTCCCTCACTATAATACACTTCCTTTTTGGGATCAAGTCCTTGGATTTATGACCCTTGGTGATATGAGGACGCCAAAAAAAACAGTTAACAGTAGTTGGAGTTACACAGCATCACGGCCGAAGGTACACGACAAAATGAAAGGAGGGCTTGTGGATTTGAGCGGGTGCATTCGAACGGCAATTTGGGAAACATCTGTCCAGCATGGAGCATAAAACTGTGATTCGTGTTGATGGTGGGAATATCATGAACTTTTGGACATGGAGTTGGCATCGGAGCTAAATGAGGGATGTAGGTATATATAACCAGATGTGACGAGACCTTCGTTTAGAATACATTTCCATGCAACACAATCTGAGAATTGATACTCCCTAGAATTTGACCATCACCTCGAATAACAGATAGATGTTGTCACCTCTGTTTGTACTCCGGACTTCGAGTGCCAGTCCCCGTGCCGGTAGCCGATCACTCCCTCGTGCCCACGCCCTTCACGCCCTTCACTAATTCTCCCCCTTTTGGTTTTACGACCCAACTAATTAGGTATCTCTAGCTACCAGTACTATAACGCGTACCATATTTTGTGACCATCACCTCTCTAACGTAGGGCACCTCCGTTAGGGATGATTTGGCGGACCCTTACGTAGTACTCGTAGACAGTACTCGGACTTCAGTGCGGTCGCGATGGAGGTGGTGGTGGTGGTTACCTTGTAGTTTCTGATAGTTTTCCGACCAAGGTACATATAGAACAGATAACTCGTCATCTTTCAGCATTATACAAAGTACAGACTCATATTCTTCCCTATACAACTGGTCAAAGTCGGGTCGAATTGAAAACAAAAGCCGAGTTGTGACCGCCGGCAGATTTCCGCCCAAGCGTCGTTGAGCGTCATTGAAAACGAAAAAGATCGACAAATTTCTTTCCGCTGCAAAACGTTACGACCGAATGTGATGTACAGAAAACTTCGTACAACTACCACGAGTCCGTAGTATTGATTCGTTACATCTTTTTGGAACGCCTTTCTTTCTTTCTTCTTCTGTAACACCTCGGCAGGACCAGTACATGTACATATACAACAAACATCAACAAAATAAGACGACAACGTTAAGGGACGATAGAAGACACAATATAATATCGTTGGTTTGTATTTCACCAGGACGAACTTGAGCATCGTATTAGTACCTGTGTATTCCCTACGGATACTCCACACACCAGAACACCGTCGGTCCTGACGGCCATTCTCCCCGGAAAACACCAAGAGGAGGCCAAAAAAAGAGTCATCAAAACACTGGTAGACATCTCGACTAAAAAGTCATGAGAGGTGTCTGCCTTGTACATTGTTAACGGATCGAGAGAAGAGGGGCGAGACGCAGATACCTGATTTTTGGTTTCAAAAGCCCGAAAAAAAGAAAGAAAACGAACATGACGTCCCACGACGACACCATAGAGCGAGGAGACGTGGCTCTCTCCCGACCACGGTCATCCTTCTCGTCATCATCACCCCATGTCCACGAAAAAATCGAGGTCGAAAGCATCGTTTCCAACGAAGAGCCATTACCGGAATTGGAACCTCCACCACATCATCACAAACACCAACACCACCGGGACGACAACGGCGACGACGACGACGACGACAACCTCGATCACGACATCACGTACGAATACCTGACGTTCGACACCGAGGTCCCGCCGTTGCCGGGCCTCGACCTGCGCAAGTACGAATCCGCGCTGACGTGGTCCCCGGCGCACAAGACCACCATCTTGATCCTCTGCTGCTTCTGCACCTTCTTCGCCGCCTACTCGGCCGGCAGCTACTCGATCGCCAGCGTGCCCCAGCGGGCCAAGTGGCACCTGTCCCAGACGGCCTTCAACACGGGCGTGACGGCGTGGGCGCTCGGGTTCGCCGCGTCCCCCATGTTCCTCGCCCCCTTCTCCGAGATCAACGGCCGCCGGCCCGTGTTCCTGGGCAGCGCCGTCGTCTTCCTCGCGGCCCTGATCGCCTGCGCCACCACGCCCTCCTTCGCCGGCATGCTGGTCGCGAGGTTCTTCGTGGGCGCCGGCGCCAGCACCTTCTCCACCATGATCGGCGGCGTCCTGAGCGACGTCTACACCAACGAGGACCGCAACACCCCGATGGCCGTATACTCCGGCTTCGCCCTCGCCGGCACCGCCGTGGGCCCCTTGTGCAGTGGCTTCATCGTCGGCCAGGGGGTGAGTTACCGGTGGGTTTACTATCACCAGATCATCGGTGTGGGGGGACTGTTGGTCGTGGTGTATTTCTTCTTTAAAGAGTCGAGGGGGTCGGTTTTACTCAGTCGGAAAGCCAAAGCCATCAATCACTATTTCGATAAGGTGGATACGTCATCCACCACCACCACCATCAACAACAACAACACTGGTACTGGTGCTGACATGGACAAGGTCAAGATTGAAAAGGCAGAGGTAGAGCAGGAAAAGGGTAAAGATTTATCATCATCATCATCATCATCACCGGCGGCAGGGCCAGAGACAAATCCACAGTCATACAGACACACACCACCAACAACAACAACAAGAACAACAACGCAACGTATCCGTTACAAGGTCGCCGCCGACGAATCCCGTTCGTCCCTTTCGCACATGCTTTATCTTTCGCTCACGATCCCTTTCAAACTCATGTTCACCGAGCCCGTCGTGTTCTTTTTCAGTCTCTGGGCCGCCTTCGCCTGGGCTCTGCTGTACATGACCTTTTCCGTGATCCCCCTCGTTTTCAGCACCCGCCACGGTTTCGACACCGAACAGTCGGGCGCCGTGTTTTCGGCGATCGCCATAGGATCCATCCTCGCCACCGTCGTGTCGGTTTTCCAGGAACGGATCGCCAAGAGACACTGGCCGAAACTCCTCACTTCCTCCCCCGAGGGCCGGCTGTACTTTGCCTGCCTCGAGGCCGCCCTGTTGCCCGTGGGGCTGTTCTGGTTCGGCTGGACGACCTTTTCGAGCGTCCACTGGATCTCCCCGGTCCTGGCCTTGGGTTGCGCCCAGGTGGGGATCTTTGCCATCTACCTCGCCGTCTTCAATTACCTGGCCGACGTCTACCATCGGTACGCCTCGAGTGCTCTGGCCGCCCAGGGTTTCGCCCGGAACCTCTTCGCCGCCGTTTTCCCCCTGTTCACCGACCAAATGTTCAGACGCCTGGGCTACCCGGCCGCCAGCAGCCTGCTGGGCGGCATCGCCGCGATCTTGACCGCCGTCCCTTGGGTCTTGTTGTTCAACGGGGAGAAGATCAGAGCCCGGAGCAAAATCGCCAGACAGATCATGTCGAATCAGAATGGTTCTTGATTCCAAGGGGCCAGATACCTCACAAGGACCGGATCATTTGATATTATTGGGTACGCGTCGATGCTCTCCTACCTGTCATGGGCTTCGATCAAGGATGGCTGGTCTCGCGACCGCGAGAATTCAAGCCGATCACTGATGTATATACTTGTATTTGTACGTACTTGTATATATAAATGTACATAATGCACTACAATACATATACATAACTAATATTCCTTCCTCGGTTTCCAACAGATCAGATCAACCTGAGAATACTTTCTAACACTCGAGATAATGATCGGGTATGATGTGAGGTCAGACCCCGGTTTTACATCCTTTGGTCAAAATGGCATCGGGCTTATTCATCTCTAAAACTTTTCTCATATGGATATATGTGTTGACTGATAATAGCATCCTGGTATACATCTAGTTTGTTTGGCCTACAAAAATCCTCATGAGAAGTCCTTTTCTCGACTGTTGATCTTTGGACGGGCTTCTCAACGAAGACCTGCAAGACGACGCTCTTGTACTTCTGTGAGAGCTCTGCTCCCCGACAAGAATGCGATCACTCCCAGAGCAGACAGTACCGGCAAAGTCTGAAACAGGTTCCACGTGGTGTAGTAGAGAAACAAGACGGCCTCGATACCGAAAATGGACCCCACAAACAAGGCGTGTGAGAGAGGAGCGTCCGAAAGGGCCTTGGAGAGGTGGTTGACGTTACCACCTAGGTATCCCCACTGCGATGGCGATCAAAGAAAGTCAGCATTAGGTTACGGAGTGGCCCTCGGTCATCACACAACAATCAACAAAGGGGTTTTCGACGAGACGACTTACGGCTCCTATCAATGGCGAAAAGGTGGCGATCACAAAAAGTAGGAAGACACTGCTGATCGCGATGCTCGGGCTCTTGGGATCGGTGCGGAAAATGTGATGTATCTCGGGGAGTTTTCCATAACGGACACCTTTGTCGACGACGGGGACTGGAACGTTCGGGTCAAGCTCGATGGTCAGAGGAAAAGCCTCGCTGTTGTATCCTTCTGAAGAGCCGAATGAGGCAATGACAATGGTCGCTGAAAGCGGCGTCGAAGACCGTAGAAATTGAGAGGGTAAATCTTTCTGTGTCTGTAAAAGAGAGAAAAATCCCCAAATGATCAGCCAATTGATCCTCTTATTACCTTTTTCAACGTTCTGAAGGTAAAGGAGGAAATTACCAGTTCGAGCTTTGCTTTTCCCGACTCTTTGATGCTGAAAGGGTATGAGATGTCGAGCTTCTTGGACGAGTCTTGGACCAGGAGGAACGCTTGATGAGGACGTTTGGTCGTCTTGCCGTCTTGCGTGGTCAGGATGACCTTGAGTGTGTCTGCTGCTCCCAACTTCACGGGTTTGGACAGTGCCTTCGAAGGTGCAAGCCTATAGAATCGGTAAAGTCAGATGCTGCCCATTTCAATCGCTGACGTGGACGCTGAACGTACTGCTCCTTGAGGCCTCCTCCAACGCCTGCGCCCTTGGTTGCGACGCTGACAGATCCTTCTGTGAATGTCCATGACGCAGCTACAGCAGCCGAAGGGAGGACGCAGAATAGCAGGGCGGCCTGCGACAGCAGACCTTGCAATCTCATTGTTGCTGAATTTTATAGTCGAATGCAACTCAAGTTCAACGTTCAATGCCCAATGCTCCGTACGGAGTACAAGAACATGTTACGACGTCGCCAGATGGGCTTCTCCAACGCCAAGAGGTTTGAGTTATGTAAGCAGTCCAGACGAGGCTGCGAGGCTGAGCGCACGTGATTTGGCGTCTGAGGGCGGCGCATACGTTTAACCGGCCAATGAGTCGAAGTTTTTCCTTTTGGTAGCATCGTCCGCTCGCACGCCATCGGCGCTTTTTCTCATTGAACGGTTTCGCGATTGACATGACAGTAATCCCCAAGTTCCATCGTCCATGTTACTCAACGAATACTACATGCTGCCACTTATCCCATAGAAGGCGTGATCGTCGTGATACATGATGGAAAACCAAGGTAAGGACCATATAACTATGATTTCCCGTACCCCATATGGCGGAAAGCCACATGCGTGACAAGCTTGCATCAACCTCTAGACCAGCCGGTCACTATGTCGTCCTTCGATATCGAGGAACAAAAGGGTCAGTCATCAAAGTCGGGCCTCGACGTGTTGCCCGGTCCTGGTTCCGACAATGTCGACGACACAGTCCATATCAGAGCCGACAAGCTCGCTCGCAAACTGTCGGCTCGTCAAGTACAGATGATCGCAATCGGAGGCACCATTGGCACCGGTCTTTTTCTGGGTACTGGCAAATCTCTGGCCACTGGCGGCCCAGCCTCGACGTTGATCGCATACGCCATTGTCGGTGCAATTGTCTTTGTGACGATGTTGAGTTTGGGAGAAATGGCCGCGTTTGTTCCTGTCGCCGGATCCTTCTGCACGTACGCCGGCCGTTTTGTTGACGACTCGTTGGGATTTGCGTTGACATGGAATTACTGGTTCAATGATGCTGTTTCTACTGCGTCGGATATAATTGCTCTCCAGCTCTTGCTGCAATTCTGGACGGATAACTTCCCAGGCTGGGCTATTAGTTTGATCTTCCTGATCGTCGTCATCTGCCTCAATCTGATGTCGGTCCGAGTATATGGCGAGGTATGACTCTCTGTGCTGAATGTGAAGGCTCCAACAACGGTTTATCTGACGAAATGTTTTAGGTCGAATACTGGCTTAGCTTGCTTAAAGTCGTGACGATCGTCGTGTTCATCATCATTGGAATAGTGGTCAATTGTGGAGGCAATCGAGACCACAAGTACATTGGCGGCAAATACTGGCACATTGGAGATGCGCCTTTCGTCGATGGCATCGGCGGCTTCGCATCTGTATTCGTCACCGCCTCATTCGCCTACGGGGGAACGGAGTCGATTGCTGTCACCGCGGGCGAAACTAAAAACCCGGCCAAGAACTTGCCAAAAGTTGTGCGGAATGTCTTCTGGCGTATCCTACTATTCTACATACTCTCCATCCTCCTGATCGGTCTGAACGTACCATACAACTACCCCAACTTGAGCGAGAAATCGACGGCCACCAGTCCCTTTACGATCGTGTTCACCGAAGTTGGAAGTCATGTTGCCGGCAGCTTCATCAATGCAGTTATCTTGACAAGCGTCATCTCGGCCGCCAACCACGCCTTGTTTGCGGGCTCGCGCCTCATGTACACACTTGCTGTCGATGGATATGCTCCCAAGGTTCTGGGAAACCTGAACCGATTCCAGATCCCCTGGATCGCAGTCTTGTGCACCTCTACCATCAGCGGGCTCTGCTTCGGGGCAAGCTATATCGGCGCTGGTCAATTGTGGACGTGGTTACAGAACATCGTTGGCGTGTCGAATCAGTTGTCTTGGATCTGCATCGGTCTAGCCTCCTTGCGTTTCCGGGCTGGCCTGAAAGCACAAGGCCTCGAACACCTGCTACCTTTCAAGAATTGGACGTACCCAGTCGGGCCAATCCTAGCAGTTGGGCTCAACTCTGTGTTGGTCCTAGTGCAAGGTTGGTCGTGTTTCAGTCCCACATTCAGTGGGGTGGATTTTGTCTCCTTTTATATCGAAATTCCAATCATGTTGGTCATGATTGTCTTCTGGAAGCTGTTTAAGCGGACACGGTTCGTTCGGTTACACGAGATGGACTTCGTTACCGATCGATACGACTTGAATCCCGAGTACCGGGCAGAGCATGAGGAACTCTCAGAGGCAGGCCAGACGGTCTCGACGAAGAAAAGATGGGCTCAAGCACTCAACGAAGGAGAGGAAGGGACGTGGGTAGGCAGGGTAAAGAAAGTCGGGATGTGGCTGTTCCTATAGTTCAGTATGTAAATTATCGATACCATCGAGCCGAGAAACCAAAACAAGGCTCCTTACGATTTACGACAGATTATATTCCAGAGTTTCCTTCCACGTGTATGGTGTACATGCTATGATCAGCCTCGTAGGCGCATTGCTGTAGAAGTCACGTGTCTACAATCGCCAAGGAGATTTTTCTACTGGAACTATTCGCGACTGCGGGAGAATGCAATTGTCCAGCATTGAACACACGCAGCAGTGGAATGACTATGGAATTCGGACAAGGACTGACTTGAGTTGGAGTTCCTGGGGTCAAAGGGTGCATTATATCTACACCGCTCGTTCTCTGAATCGTGGGTGTCTTTCGACATGGCTACGAAGGCGCAAAATGCGCCTGGCTCAAAACAGTCCGCGAATGCGGGCACTCCCAATCAAACGTATGACTTTGAAATCTGGTCTGGGATATGAGTAGCTGACCTCATTAGTTTGTACCTGCGAAATCTTCCGGAGAAGATCAACAAAAATGAACTTAAACGCGCCCTCTACATGTTATTCACCACCTACGGACCAGTCCTCGATATCGTTACCAGCAGAGTCGGCTCGAAAGGCCAGAGTATGCGCGGACAAGCACATGTTGTCTACAGAGATATCCAAACGAGTACGCAGGCCATGCGAGCGCTGCAGGGGTTTGACTTTTTCGGGAAAGAAATGGTATGTTCAGAATGAAGCCTGCAGACGAAAATCGCCGTTAATCTTTGCCCCAGGTCATTGTCTACGGCAAAGGACTGTCCTCCATAATACCCAAACTTCGAGGCACTTTCGAACCTCCAAGCACAGGCAGTGGTGCAAGCGAGACTACAGCTCTACAAAAATCAATTTTCAACGCTCCGCCTTCTGGACTTTCGGATAGGCCAACAGAGAACGGCCAAACGCAGTCCGAAGTCAACGGTGAACCTCATGGCACCAAACGAACAAGAGAAGAAGAGGAAGACGAGGACGATGAAGTATCAATGGAAGAGGACGAGGATGATGCTCCGATGGAAGAAGATGACGATTGAAGCCTTTGACTCATTCTTTGGAGAGGTATGTCTGCTTTAGGCAGGGTGAATCTACAGTTTGAAGTCTCGGAAAGCGATTCGAGGTCTCGGCACGGATTCGATCTTGACCGGCCCTCAACTCGCACGCCAACATTACATCCAACTTGGAATGAAGCTTTTCAAGAGCCGTTTGATGGTCTGGCTCGATGTGCTGATTTCGAGTGTGGATGACTTTACTCTGCAAACAGCGCACTCGGCACATATAATCCCACCGACGTACCAATCAGACCAAGCCAGAGCAAAAGATACTCCTCCGGGGACAAGTCTCTTTCAGGCTTGAGAACGGAAAGCGCTTCTGGGGTGTTGCAAGGATGTATGAAATATGCGGGTTGGTCAGAGATTGGGTGATGCTGCACCATTAGCGTTCGCATCCATGATTCTTGTGGCGAACAGCTCCCACTTACTGCCATGCTGATTCCTCCCATCACTCCGACAGTACGGAGTGGCTCTTGCGAAGTCTTTGGTACTAGCAAGTCGTATATTTGGTCAAGGCCAAAGTCAGCCTTGCCAGGAATAGGAAGGCATGAGAACCAGAGAACAGGGACGCTGTATATTGGCGATAGGGTGATGGAGAAGTTGACATCTAAGCGACTTGTATCGTCCTTACTGTCAACGACCTGGGACTCTCAGCGAATGTTTAGATTCAAGAGAAAAGTCCATACAGTATCCCGATCGGTTGTTTCAGCTTCCACGATCTTATGCAACTCCTGCTCGTTCTCTCCACTTGCCCTCGTACCTTCAATGAATCTTCTCTGCTTGACTCTTAATTCTTCGTCTGTGCAATGTACACTCAACCAATCTGTGTCATTCAGTTTGTCAAAGCATCGGTTCTCCAGAGCCTTGCACGCAGCACGGAATTCGGGCTCTGTTATCGCCGGAAAGGCTTGTATATACCCCATTTCTCTGCTTGCATCGCGGCCGCCTGTACTGTCCCTATGATCATGGGGGGTTGAAAGCAATGCGAATATGAGTTGACTCGTTACAAGGTATGAAGAAGAGTGATCTTTATGTATTGATCAAACAGTTCTAGTCAGGTAGATGTGGCATGAGAAAAGGTTGCCGCTCATGGCCAAGCATTTGTGACTTCGCTGAGGAGAATCTGTTTACTCCGTGTCCGTACTTTTGTTACAAAGTGCAAATGTAATCCGGGCGCGACCTCGAAATCCCCAAGATCGACGTGTTCACGTAAGACGACGTTTTTTTGATCCGGAATACTTCCAAGGCCTCCCAAACAGAGGCTTCACTTCAAAACGATGTCTGCTAGACCACTTCGAGAAGCGCCTCGAGATGTATGCAAATACTGTCAACCCTTAGTGAGGATCGGGACTCACTCTTTCTCTTTGCAGCTAGACTCAATAGCCAAACAAGAGGAAGCCCTCATCCTACCACATTTCACGGCCGACGATGCGTTGGAAATTGGTCTCTCGATCCGCAACCGCCTGAGAGCCCTGACCCATCTCTCCGCAGTCGTGAACATCTCGCTTGCGAACAGCAACAACCTCCTCTTCCACGCCGTCAGCCGGCCCGGGGTACAACCTGACAATGACATCTGGGTATCCAGGAAGAGAAAAACGGTACTGCGGTGGGGCGTGAGTACGTGGTTCATGCACAACAAGATGCACGGGGACGAGGAGGCTTTCAGGAAGAAGTACATGCTCGGCGAGTCGGCCGGGGAATATGCCATTCACGGAGGAGGTCTGCCCATCAGGGTCAGGGGGGTCGAGGGCATCGTTGCGGTCCTCGTCGTGAGTGGCCTCAAGCAGCACGAGGACCATCAAATTGTCGTGGAGGCTCTGGAAGAGTTCTTGGACGACACAGAGAACGAGCCCAGGTCGCCATCAGGTCCCGAGCCATAACCTGGATTCTGGACGTGTGGTCTACGACTGTGGTGTGTCTATAACGGGAACTACAGGACAGTGTACATACCAAGAACTAATCAATCTCTATCAAGGTAATTACGATCGTCTGGCGCTGGTTGCATGGAGACTCTCGACTTCAATGACGAAGCAGCGGTTTCGACATGTTTTCAATGCAATTTCGCAGTCCTCCTACTGGGTTGAAATGGCTTCTACTATCCAGCTTCTCTTATGATTCAGCTCACAGAACTTGAAACTGTGAATAATATTTCCTACCAACTTTGGCATACAAAAACTAGCAGGCCCGTCTCATTCTTTTTGGTATTGCTTAATCTTCGCCTAATGTAGGACCGCTCAAGCTTATACCGCCTTCCTATCCGATTCGTACATATACCCTGCTGGCAACCAGCAACTACGAATCGATATTGTATTGATAGCAACAGAGGGCAGCTGGCCAAAAACTTCCATACACGGCCCATTCCCAGACTCGAGTACTGCTCTTTGACATGGTCGCAACATTATGCTGGATCTATTAGTAGTTGTCCCTCTGCTCTGCATGCTCATAGCGATTGCGACAGCCCAAGCCACCATCTTTGCATTCATGAAGGTCTACAAATACAGCAACTCCTAAAAACCTTGACGATCTTGGAAGGATACCTAGCGAAATGGCTCAGCTGGCACGATGAGGAATTTCAAGCAATTTGTACAGTATTCAACCAGAATATAGCATTTTCGATTGACACTGCACACGTATCCAGAGTAGTGACATTTGGTCGTAGTGGTACGGAGTCAAGAGATTGTCTTATGGCAGCCTCGTGAAGAATTTAGTCACGTGAAAGGCTGGGCTGTGGTTGAAGGCTTCCGCTCTTTGACGCGGCGGACCGAATGTACCATCACGATCGCATCCTTCACCTTTTCGACGATTGCCAACCTCAAACACCTTTTCCTCTTACAGCATACGGTCACTTATCACTCTCTGTTCCTTGTGCCCACCTGATCGTTCGTTCTCAACATGAACCACTATCCTCAAGCCTGGGGTCGAGTAGGTGGCTTCAATGCTACCGAAGATGAATGAATGCTAACGTCCCCAAAGCCCAGAGACGACGTCTATGGCCCCTATGACTCTTCCTACCTCAAAACTTCGATGCCGACGACTCATACACAGTCTCCTGCCGTGACAGGAACATCGGTGTTGGGTGTTAAATTCAAGGATGGCGTTGTCATTGCTGCCGACAATCTAGGTACGCAGTTCAGGTGTTTGTAGTCCCAAGTCTGCGTGACTGACTTTCCATTGCAGCTTCATATGGATCCCTCGCACGGTTCACAGATGTCAAGCGTCTACGAACATTCCCCCCAAACACCGTCATCGGCTTTGGTGGCGATGTCTCCGACATGCAATACCTCGACCGATTACTACAGTCACTGGACATTCGCGAGAACTACCTTTCCTCGAGCGAACACACTCTCAACGCCAAGAACCTTCACACATACCTCTCCAAAGTCATGTACAAGAGAAGAAGCGACTTCAACCCGCTGTGGAATATGATGTTGGTTGCTGGTTTGGACGACGATGAGAAGCCGTTCCTCGCAAGCGTCGATCTACTCGGCACCACATTTTCAAGTCCGACGTTGGCGACTGGATTTGGCGCACATTTAGCTCAGCCTCTTCTCCGGAAGCTTATGCCCAATGACGAGGAAAGCGTCAAGGACGTCACGAAAGAGATGGCCATTGAAGCGGTCAAGGCAAGTTTGAAAGTACTGTTCTACAGGGACGCCAGAAGTATGGACAAATACAGTATTGCAGTGGTGACCAAGGATGGCGTGGAGCTCAAGGAAGATGAAAAGCTAGAGAACCAGAGCTGGGCCTTTGCTGATCAGATTCGCGGGTATGGTACGCAGACCGCATAGAGGGCGCCCTAGTTAGAGATACGGACCCAAAGCCATACACATTACTCCGTATATGCACGGCGTTTGGCGAATTCTGGTATGTGGCCGGTGGGTTTCTGTAGGCAAAGCTATGTTTAATGAGATGCAACCCAAGTTGCACTGGACTCTACGAGTGCATCTCTCTGACTGTACTGAAAAGGCCTGGGCCCCGGGCGAGGCTGACCTGCGCAATACCACAGTAGGCTATGATTGGTGAAGCCCTGGGCGTGAGTCAGTCGGCGGTTCGTCAATGACGTCCCCGACATGATTTTTTGGAGAACATCGGGCGAGTTTACGAAGAAAATCAGCGCCACTAAGTGAATGTGACTGTTCGATTCAAACATAGAAAAGTAGGGAGTCGTTGCATTCCTGTAGGACACCCTTCCGGCTACTGACTATTATATTCTGTTTAGATTATTCACTGGGACCCTCCAAAATATCTTTCCTTTTTGACAGAGCGTTAAGTTGATCCGCTTGTCATCGAACCGTTCATTACCACCCACCACCCTGGATCGTACCGCCTTGGAACAACCACAACCACAGACAACTGCGATGGAGTCAGCTAATCCTCAGCGACCAGCGGGTCCAAGCAACCGAGGACAAAGATCTAGAAGGAGAGGCCCTCCAAGAACACCACGGCCGGCACAAGATACTCCACGAGTGGCGGGGACAAGAGCCTTTGGTGGCCAACTTACACAACTAGACGCAGAAGCACCAATGTTTGTGCCGGCCTCATTACCCCCAGTGCCTGCAGCTTCGAGCCCCAGGCCAAAGACCTCGAATCCCCGCCCTTCTCGAAATCGAAATGATCAAAGACCTGCAGCCCCAAAACAGCCGCAGTCACAGGCGAGAAGAGGCTCGTTGTCCCGATCTACAGCGCCCGACATTGCATCACGAATACACGAAGATATCTCAAGTGGTGTTTATGAGTGTGCGATATGCACGAATGAAGTGACTAGACATTCCAAAGTGTGGTCATGTCGCACTTGCTGGACGGTGTTCCACATTGGATGTATCAAGAGATGGTCAAAGAATGAAGGCTCGGCCGTCCACCGCCCTGCTGGTCAGGAGGAGGATGACTCTCATTCAGGGAAGCAGTGGAGGTGCCCAGGCTGCAACTTGCCAAAAGACACAACGCCATCATCGTACACGTGCTGGTGTGAGAAAGAGCTGGATCCGAAGACGATTTCAGGCCTGCCACCACATTCGTGCGGGCAGACTTGTGGTCGAGAGAGAACATTTCCCAAACCATGTCCACACCCATGTGAACTGCTATGTCACGCTGGACCATGCCCACCGTGTCCGTCAATGGGACCGACGCAGTCTTGCTTCTGTGGTAAGGAGGAGACCAGACGAAGATGTGTAGAGACAAACTACGAGACTGGATGGAGCTGTGGCTCGGTTTGCGGTGATATCATGCCTTGTGGAGAACACACTTGCCAACGATCTTGTCACGAGGGTCTCTGTGGTGCATGTACCACGGAAGTTGAAGTGAAATGTTATTGTGGGAAAGTGGAAAAGAAGCTACCATGTCACGAGAAGGGCGACGAAAAGGAGAGCTTTTCCTGGACGGGCTGCTTCGATTGTGGTCAGCTGTGTGGGAGGATGATGGACTGCGGAAAGCATCACTGCGAAAAGCCGTGTCATCCCCAAGACGAAAAAGAAGCACACTGTCCCAGGTCTGTTGATGTGGTCAAGTTCTGCCCTTGCGGTAAGACCGCTCTGGCCGAGCTAGATATCGATACTCGAAAATCATGCACAGACCCCATCCCAAGTTGCCAAAAAGAATGCGGAAAGACACTGTCCTGCGGTCACCCGTGCAGACAAACCTGTCATTTGGACGAGTGTGAGCCTTGTACCCTCCAAGTCTCGGTGAATTGTCGATGCGGCCGAAATTCGTTCGAGGTCATTTGCCACGAAGCTTCGGAGGATCCTCCTCAGTGTGGCCGGTTGTGCAAGGCGAGTCTAAATTGTGGTAGGCACGAGTGTGGCCAGAAATGTTGTACTGGAGAGAGAAAAGCCGCGGAACGTCAGGCTACGAAACGGAAGCTGAAACCTCTCGTGGCTGTCACGCGGGTGTTTGACGAAAACATCGAGGCCGAGCATATATGCACTCGTCCTTGTGGACGCCGACTCAAGTGTGGTAACCACGATTGCATTGATCTGTGCCACCGAGGCCCATGCGGAAGCTGCAAAGAGGCTGTTTTTGACGATATTGCGTGCGCATGTGGCAGGACTGTCCTGCAAGCACCTCTACCGTGCGGTACACAACCTCCACCATGCAACTTCCCCTGCACCAGAACCAAGGATTGTGGACACCCTCAAGTGGCGCACAATTGCCATCTCCAAGATGAAGAGTGCCCGAAGTGTCCATTCCTGACAGAAAAGGATTGCCTCTGCGTGAAGAAGACGTTGAAAAATCAGCCGTGCTGGCGGATTGATGTCCTTTGTGGTCTGGTCTGTGGCAAAGCACTCAAATGCGGTTCGCATACATGCCGCAAGACGTGCCACAAGGCAGGCGAGTGTGAGGATGCTCACCAACATTGTCAACAGGAGTGCGGCAAGGCGAAGAAGACGTGTGGGCACCCTTGCGAACAACCGTGCCATGCTCCTTCGACGTGCAAGGAGGACAGACCATGCCCATTCAAGGTCATGATTACCTGCGACTGTCAGCGAAAGAAGGAAGAAGTAAGATGTAACGCACGATCAAGCAATCCTGAGCCTTCTGGACGGCAGACATCACTCAAGTGTGACGATGAATGTGCTCGATTGGAAAGGAATCGAAAACTGGCCATGGCCCTGCATATTTCGGACGACCACACTGACGACCATGTTCCGTACTCGACAGCCACATTACAAATGTACCTCGAGGATGTCGCATGGGCCCATGCGCAGGAAGAGGCGCTTCGACTTTTTGCGGCCGACGAGACACAGAAGAGATATGGCTGCCAACCCATGAAGAGCCGACAACGGAGTTTCATTCACAGTCTCGCCGAAGATTTCGGATTTGATTCAGAAAGTCTCGACCCAGAGCCACATCGTCATGTTGTCCTGTTCAAAACACCCAAGTTTGTTGCTGCACCGATGAAGACTCTAGTACAGGCTGCGCGAGTTAAGCGAGCTCAACTGAACGTCCCTGCACCTGTTCAGAGCGCTCCAGAACGGAAAGCAGATGAGGTCAAGCATGAGTACAATGGATTGATGTTGACCAAACCGAAATTTGCATTGACAGAAGATGAACTCCGGCCTGTGGTCAAAAAGGCAACACCTACCATTGACCTTGACATTGTGTTTCTGCCCAACGACGAAGGAGTGGCTCTGCTCCCGTCCATGTCTTGGGAGACGCCAGAACAGCTTACGACGCTGTTGACCAGCTTACAGCCTACTATTGCCGGCGAAGTGTCCAAACACAATCTGGCAGGGTCGGTGGTACTTTGCCAATTCGACACCACCGGTATAGACATCAAAGTTGTTCAACAGCAAGGAAAACCCAGTGACAATCTGACGAACGGGTGGTCTAAAGTTGCCGCGAGAAGGGCTGCACCAGTACCTGTTCCTCAGGTTAGACCCGTTGGACAAAGACCTGTGTATACAGTACTGGGAAGTCGGTTGGCAGAAGCAAAGAAGAAGAAAGAAGAGAATGAAGCAAAGTTGAGAAAAAGGGTAGAAGCACAGGTTGTGGATGATTGGGAAAAGGAAGTTGAGGAGGAAGAAAGAAATGAAGTTGATAGTGAAAGGGTGGACACTGATATTCCTGGTGAGCCGAGTACGAGTATGGCATGAGGGTATGACTTGGACAGACATTACTCGTGCTGAGTTGGTTCTTATCGATGCAGATATTCAGCTTGTACGGACCATTTTGAGCTGTGATCAATCTGGTACAACAGGTAAGGGCACGCTGGGCTGAATAGAGAGGCTGTATGTACTCGGTAGTGCCGGTGATGCCTGTAGCCCCCTTTGTGGCGCCTATGACAGCTGCAGCCAGGTATGAGTTCTAGGCCATTCTACACTCGTCCAAGGTTCCTCGTTAGGGCCGGTGTCTACCATTCCATAAGGGTATTAGCGATGGGCATCGTCGTGTATCTTCCGAGCTGAAAAAAAAGCGAGACCAATACAAACTCGATTCGCTTGGCCGACGTCAGACCTTGATGATTGCTTCTTCTTCTTTCTTTGCGTCTTGCGTGGCAGCGTCTTCTATTCCTTGTGTTTCCTTTGCGCAATTCATATCACATCCGAAGAATTTCATGTCAAACGATTGAATCCAAGCTTTTACACTACCGTTCCAGCTCATCACTTGGTCGTGGTGGCTCAATTTGGCTGGATCGTTCGGTAGCTGCTTCGTCACCGTGTTACGGCTCCCCGCTTTCATCTTGCTGGTGGCTTCTTGTTCGGTTTGTTGCTTCTCAGGTCCCCAATGTGTCACCTTTTGACATACAACTCTGCAAGACCTACATAAACCCACACTGCCTTGATCATTCTGTCCTTTTCTTCTCTTTCTTTCCCTCACATAACTCACTCTACGCCTTTCGTATCCCTCGAAACCTCACAAAGATCTCACTCGATCGATTAGATTCAAATCCTAAATTTTAAAATGGATCAGCTCAAAGGTGCCTTGAACAGCTTCACCGGAGGTGACAACCAACAACAAGGTCAAGGTCAAGGTCAAGGACAGCAACAGGGTCAGAACCAAGGAAATGGAGGATTTCTAGGTGGTATCGGTGACAAGATCAACACTGCAGCTGGTGGTGGCCGAGAATCCGAGAAGAAGGAGGATGGACTTGACAAGGGTGAGTAAACTTTTTGTCCACCTTGGTACTGATTCGAGAGATCTTGAATAGCTAACTGATGATTCTCTCGTCACATACAGGGATCGACTTTGTTCAAGAGAGATTCCTGGGACAAGGACCACAAGACAATGAGAGTGCTCTTGAACAAGCAAAGGATGACCAGATTGCCAACTTTATCCGAACGCAGTGTAAGTACCCTTATATCTTGTCTGAGATATTGTGCCACGTGGGAAGTGTTAGATACTAATAATATATCTTAGACAAATCGACCACCGGTAACGACTTTCCTATCAAGGACCAAAAATGAGTTTGGAAACTAGCGACTCTCGGTGGAATGGGCCAATGGTCGAAGGATTGCGTTCCAGACAAGGCAAGACAAGATATGACGAAGGAGCTTGGGGTTCGTTCTTCAAAATGAGTACAAGGATGAATTGTACCAAGGGGTCTCTCCAAGGGTGTTACTTGAGAGGTGCATAGAGATATGGTACATTTATCTCTTGAAGGGGTCCAAATACCCGTCACGGAGTAGCATGAATATCAACATGGCATTTTATGGAGTATTCAATGCATACCTAGATTCTCCAGTGTACGATGTTTCGCTCCCAGTTTTTTCCATTGTTTCGTTTCGTTGTGTGCTGGGTAGATAGGGATGGCATTGGGTTCACTCTGTGTGGCGAGTGGTGACTAGTGAGTGGTACATTTTTGACCATTGTTTTCATTTTGGTTGTACCATTAAGATTATTTGTAGTTGCCTCGGACATTAAAAGGACGAGGACTCTGTAGGTAGATACTTGGTGGTCATGTAATCTATTGTAATACTCCGTAGATTCCGTTCGAATACGGAGAAGTCGGTCAGAATACGGAGTAGTGCCTTGACTACCCATTGTACGTGTAGTAGTGGTGTATGTATCTATTTGCGGTACTGTTCGAGTCAAGACCTCGGACTCGGGGTGCGGAACCAGCACTCTGCAAGTCTTTTTACATATTACAGGAGATACTGTACGAGAGTATTGAGCGAGGTCTCTCTTCCTTGCCGGGGAGATTTGTTCTACTCGTGTGAAATGAACCTCGGTTGTTTTACTCCACATTTTGTCCATAAGGAACGAGTATTATACTACTTGGTAAGCCCGTACTCTACTGCTTATCTCTCTTTGCTTTTTCGAAGAAGAAACACAAAAGGTACGGAAATCGAGAAGGAATCGAAAAATCGAAAAACAGAACCTGGGACTTTGGAACAGTGATAAACAAATAAACAATAACCAACCAATACGAGATCGAGTCTAACACGGATCGCACGCGTAACGAGGTACCACCACCGAACTTGTTTCAATATTACTCAACAAACCAGGGGGAAAAAAACCCTTGCTTGACTCAACTTCACCGACCGATCCAATTGGAAGGATAGCCCTGCAGCCAAAAGACAACGACCAAAAGAAAAAGAAGAGTCGACCCACTGGAAGGGAAAAAAAAGAGAGGACGACGAAAAATGGCCGACAATACGAATGTCAAACCAAAGATAACATTGTACGTGGACGTTGTCAGTCCATTTGCCTACCTTGGTTATTATATGCTCAGAGTAAGTAAATTTTTTGCTTTTTTTTCTTTCTTTTTTTCCCCCTTTATTCCTTCTGGTGCGTCGTCGCATACTGCATACATGACCGAGTCATCGTGTCTTGTTACTCGCCATACGTATGCCCATCCAGTCTCCAAACAACCTTGGAAAAACTTGACCCTTTCTGAATTCTGACCGATTTCTTCCTTCTTTGTTGTCATCAGAACCATCCGACCTTTTCCCCGTCTCGGGTGGAAATAACCTACACCCCCATCTTCCTGGGGGGGTTGATGAAACAATGTAACAACACCACCCCCATCAGTATCGCCAACAAAGGGGTCTACATCGACAAGGAGAGACGCCGGTGGACCAGACAGTTCAACATACCGATGAGGACGGAATTCCCCCCGGGGTTTCCAATGTCCACGCCTACCCTGAACGTTCAAAGATTTTTGACCGCGTTGAACTTGACGAGTCCCAAACATTTGGTGACCGCTTTGGATGTCTTGTATGGTACTTTTTGGGCGCCACCCGACACCGACGCGACAGGAACAAAAGTTTGGGAGACTCAAGTCTTTGCCGGCCTCCTGAAAAAAGTCATACCTTCGGAAATCGTCGACGATTGTTTGAACAAAATGTCCACCAAACAAGTCAAGACGGAATTGTCCTCTCGCACACAACAAGCTTACGAGGATGGTGCTTTTGGGTTGCCTTGGTTCCAGTGCGAGACCGTCGACGGACAAAAGGAAGGGTTCTGGGGGTTCGATCACATGGGTCAGGTCGTCAGGTTTTTGGGTTTGAATGAGACCATACAGGATGGGACGACGGGGGAGTTGAAACCTTTGTTGTAGAAGCACCATCGTGAGCATGAGAATGAAAACCATACGAGTATGATTGTACGTATACCGTCTCTCATACAACAAACATACAGCAAAGTAGAGGTCTACCCAGATATGTATATACGACTTTTCCCCTTTCCAATAGTTCACATTTTTCTAATTCAGTACATACTAAAGTCGTTTGACAAGGGTAGTTTTTGATCCGGCTGGTGTTTTGACATTTTCAAAGATGGATAACGAACAGATAGACGTTTTGACTTGAGATAATCGGCCAAATGTGCCGAATTGCTTGTAAACCCATAGTCGCGAAAGGATGGCGGTCGAAAGACATCTTTCGGCCAAATTGTCATCCACGAATGCTCCGTACTGAGCTTGGGTATGTATATATATACACACACACACATGCAGATATGTTTATAAATTCTTCGAGGTTTGAGCATCTCAGGAATTAAACACCCTTCAAGACCATTACAAGTTCTATCATAAAAAGTCACGAAATACAAACCCCAGCATGTCTACGACCCAAAAAACAATCGCCTTGATTTCGGGAGCAAACACTGGCGTAAGTAGTCTCAAGTACCGCCTGCTCGTGAGATTGATTGATCGATCTGACTGACCCACTTTTGCCCTCTTCAAAAAACAGATTGGTGAAGCGACCGCCAGGATCCTGGCTCGAGACCATGGTTTCCACGTCCTCGTCGGTTCTCGGAATCTGGAGGCGGGAGAAAAAGTGGCCAAATCCATCACCTCCCAAGGACACTCTGCCGAGGCCGTCCAACTGGACGTCACTTCCGACGCATCCATCGCCGCCGCGGTCGACAAGATCGAAAAGGATTTTGGTCTCCTCGACGTCCTCGTCAACAACGCGGGTATCTTGATCGACTACGTGCCCGGGGTCAACGAGTCGACCAAGGGCCTCACGACGAGAGAAATCTTCACCCGGACCGTGTCGGTCAACGTCGTCGGCACGGCCTGTCTGACCGACGCGTGCGTGCCACTGTTGCGAAAAGCGGCGGCGGCCCGACACCACCCGCGTGTCGTCTTCGTCTCTTCCATCATGGGGTCCATCCAGGAGGCCGGCGTCAAGACCAACCCCTGGTACCCGCTCGACTACAAGGCCTACGACACCAGCAAGGCCGGGGTCGACATGCTGGCCGTCCAGTACTCCAGGATCTTGGAGGACGTCGGGGCCTCGGTCAACGCCGTGTGTCCGGGTCTGGTCCGTTCCGCCCTGACCAGGTACACCATGGGGGAGACCCCCGAGGTGGGGGCCAGGAGGATCGTCGAGTTGGCCACCGCCGAGGAAGGGGGACCGACGGGTACTTTCACCAACATCCACGGTCCCATTGCATGGTAGAAATTCTTTTTTTTTTCTTTTTCTTTTGGAAGAAAAAATTGGTGAAATCTAGGCGACGGCGCGGTCGATCAAAGGTCGTTGAGGTTTGGAAATTTTCAGGGTCGTATCATCGGTTGTCATACCATACTTCCAATCAGATTCACCAATGATCCGGCATTGTCGATTCCTGCGTTCCAGCAGTCCAGTTTTCTCGCACTTACAGAATCGTCGCGGGCCGAATGTTGCGTGTCGACGAGATCACCGACCGTGACTAGTCCGTCCATTTGAAGCATTCGACTGGCGGCGTATTCCGTCTCCCACGTTGTTTGGGAGGTTGCTTCCCACACTGGTTTTGGTCCGGGGAGTGCCATGCTTCTTGTACTCCCTGAAGAGTCGCAGACACCACCAGTTTTCACACAGGCGGCACATCCAATGAGTAGCCACAGGATCGTCATTCTGAAAACGACACCGTGATCAGCAAAAAAACTGACTTGCCTCGTGTCTCACACAAAACATACCGTCTCCGGGATTCTGCAAAGATCCAATCTTCCCAACATAGACTTGGGTTCGTCAATTCACTTTCACTCCCGTGTCCACCAAACATGCCTTTGAAGGTGACGCAAAAATTCTAGAAACAAGGTTAGCCACCACTCTTGTGTATGTGTGCGGGAAAGAAAAGGTGACCTACAAATAGTATGTGTGTGATTTCTTGACCGTACCCGGCATTGATCGGTGAGTGATCCACGATACACATGATTAAATATACCATGCAAGCTTGTTGTGCCGCGAGATTGTCGAATGGAGACATCCGAGGCATCTTAAAAGCTACCAGTCAGTTCGTCCGGTCTATACTTTTTGTCTCTAAGGGCCAGGTACTACCACACACCTCATTTGCAAGACGATTACATTCCGCCCCGATGGTCCGCCAGAGAAAAGGTTTTGTGTCTGGCGTGCTGGAAGCCAACATCTGTGCGATACCCATGCAAGTTGATAGAGCATCAGGTAGATCCGATGGTGGTGTTGATTTTGTCGCCAGGACATTGGAGTGAGGGTGAATAAACCAAGGGAGTGTCTCTCTCCGACGCATCATGACAGGAAACGCGCGCAACGCTTGGATGACGAGGTCGGCACTCCGGTGAGCTTCTGGTCGCGCGTGACCAGAAACGGTCCTCGCCAGAGGAGTGTCGGTGTCGACGGCAAACGAAAGGCCTCGTTGTGTCCATGTGCACCAGCCAGACGCTTGCTCCACAGGGACGATCCCGCCTTTCGCCGCCGTAGGCGCGGTTTTCGAGCAACCGGGATGGTCCCATATCAAGTCGTCGAAGAGTGATGAGCCGTCAAAGGTACTGAATGCGTCTTGAAACAAGTATGGCTCTGAGTTGACTAATTGGACAAAACCGTCGCTGTTGTCGACGTTGGCTGTAGTCGTCCAGGGCTCGAGGCCGGTCGTGCTGTGCTCAGAGTCGGTCGGTTCGGTGTACATGGTCGGATCACTGCCCGAGAATGTTCCGCCGACACTTGGTGACGTCGTGGGGCTGTAGACTTTGGGTTGATCTATACGTTCGTCCACGGGCGACGACGACCTCGGGTTGCGCGTTGATGCTGATTCATCATAAACGCAAGGCACACCTCTTTTCGTACATCTCAGACACGGTTTCTCGAAGCTACATTTGACCTTTGAAGTGTTGCAAGCCCTGCAAGATCGCGGTCGGCTTGACGTACGACTTCCACAATAGCGGCGATGTCGATTTCGTGAGGACTCTATAGGACGTTATTAGAGGATAGGAAATTTTCCTCACAAATACAAGCAACACCGTACCTTTGATGAATGGTTTATCGCAGAGTGGGCAGAAATGTAGTGTAGACGGTCTAGATGATAGGGTAGGGCTCTTGCCTGGTTCGCAGGACCTCGTCCCTAGATTCATACCCCATACCTCTGTCAAATGACAGAATACACGTCCTATTCCAGAAGAAGATTGAGAATTGATTGAATAGGATGAAGACATCGACGGTGGTGAGATGGATGGATGACTAATTACTCTGCAAACCTCGGGCAATTTGGCCGAATTTTGCTTATGTAAGTCGACTGTTTAAACAGAGAGAGGCAAGGCAGAGAGGCACATCACTTTGCATTTCGCAGATCCTCTATCTTTGACTGGGTCTCACTTATGACTGCTATGGAAAACAATACATCACTTGCATGGTCTATTCTGTGAGTTCAACCGCAGGTCTAACAAGATTCAGTCATTGCAGGAACCTCTAACCTCCTGTAGTCACGCACGATGGCTTTGCAGTCATTCAATCTCGTGTACTCTAGACTATGCTTCTAGTAATGGTCATGATCTCGTACCGTAGCCATGGTAATATTCAGACAAGTCCATCAGGTAATTTTCTCAATCTTCAACACCCCATTCTCCTCCTTTCCATCCTCTCCCTCAAGAGCAATAAAGTCTCCCTTTTCTAGTCTTCGGATCCATCTAGTAGACTCCCCTCTGGCTAGTATGAATGTTAGTCTTGCGCTTGCTGATTCCATCGCCTTGAAAGCCGTCCCGGGCAAAGGTGTGTACGTCCAGCGTCCAAAGGCCCAATTCAACACATAAAGGCTTTGGCCTTCCGAGTCAACCGAGATCCCTGGTTTACTCTCGCCGGTCGAATCGGGAGGGGGTTTGGACGACAAGACAAGGCCTTTGATCCGATAGACTTCGTCCTTTGGTGCCGACAATAGTAGATCCTCAAAAGACTCCAGCACCACTCCTTGAGGCGGCTTGGAGGTGTCCTGATTACGCAGCACAACGCTGAGCACCTCGACCTCTTCTTGATGATGGCCGTGCGAATGTCCATGACCGTCGGTATGGTCATGTTCGGACTCCTCATTGAACTCGATGGCCCCTCGTAGTCCCTGTGCACGAACCATGGCGCCGTCGATACCCATGATCAGTTCGAAGTCGACCCATCCCTTGTCACTTTTCACCCACGCAACTTGGACGTCGAGATCGCCCACACGGTCCAGGGCTTCGTCAAACCTCCGTTCATCCACATGCTCCCACTTGTTGAATACTATCAAGTCGGTGAATTTGGCTTGCATTTTGGCCGTGTAGCTGGTGTCATCGTAGCCCTTCCAATTCTCGACATCAATCACACTGATGACCCCATCCAAGGAGAACGTTCCGGGGTTCTCTCGTGCCACCCTGTTGACCTCCATTGCCAGAGTCGCGGGAAACGCCGAGCCAGAAGTTTCGATGATGATCCTGCTCGGGTTCACCGTGTCTCGAAGTTGAAACAGTGCGTCGCTGAGTTGACCAACGAGGTTGCAACAGATGCAACCGTTGAGAAGTTCTTTCACACCAGATATGGAAGCCGAGCCTGCAAGTTGTGAGTCGACAGCAACATCTCCAAATTCGTTCTTGAGGAGGGCGAGCTAAATAGTTTGCATCAGTAACTCGCATCCAAGCAAGCTCAGATCGGTCTGCCAGAGTAGCCAAATATCTGTGCACTTCGTGAAGGCGACAAAGGAATATCCTTGCTTACCTTGTAGTTTTTGGGCAACTGTGGAATTAAATTCAAGATTAACGTCGTCTTCCCTGCTCCCAAGAAGCCGGTTATGATAGTGACTGGAGTCGGAGCCATTGCTCGTAAGCCCCGAGTTCGTCGTCTGTCCTGTAATTGTTGCTAGAGACGAGAATTTGTTGGGGATTCTCAAGGTACCTAGTATGGCTGATAAGAATAGGAAATGTCTGGTCTAGTACAACAAGCGAGAAAATAGAATTGGTGCTTCCTTGGTATATGTGGTCTAAATTCGCTGAAATTCGTTGTTGAAGTAAGGAATGAATTCTTGCGCGAGGCTTTGATGCCGAATAAATTACAATCAAATTCTGGTGACGTCGGCACATAAAACGTTCCCCAAAGCATGGGAAGGCCGACACGTGATAAATGGAAGTTGTTGTCAACCACTACTCTTCCTGTCGTTTGATTTGATGAGGCAATGAGGAAAGCTACAGGATTTATCTTCTAATAGAAGGCAAGGCAATACGTTACGGTGCACCAGAACACGAACTCTAGACACAGATGCGGTGGTGGCTGATGAAACAATAAGGGGACGGAAAGTCTGTATGAATTGAATCATCCCTGCGACAGGGAGAATATTGGCTTCTGAAAATATTTGTGTATAAGATGTACAAAAGAGTGTGTGATAACAGCAAAGAAATGTCCTGGAACGCACAGGTGACCGAAGCGAGCCATTCAACGGAAACCCCATATCGCGTCCCTTCCAGCCCCATTTGAGTCAATCCGCCTGGTCTCAATATCCAAGCAAGGCGGACGCCCCAGGCTCGCTAGAGATGTAGATGACTTCGTGGTCATCATTGTAACCGTTGAATTTGGTAGCCGAGCATTTGGTGTACGCCCCCATGTTCTCGAAGAACAACCAGTCGCCAATATTGATAACCCCGGGCAGGAAGTAACGGTCGGCAATGATATCAATACCATCGCAGGTAGGTCCCCAGATGGAGTACTCGACCAGTCTCTCCTTGTTTTCTGGCGCAGAGAGGATTTGTGGCACTGGGTGTTGATGGTCGAAAATGATGTTTGAGAAGTTGCCGTAAACACCATCGTTCAAGTAGAGCATGTATGCCTTTTCTCCCTCTTCCTCACTGATCACTTCGCGACGGGCAATGACATTGGCGGCCAACGTGAAGGCGTTGGACGTGTAGTAACGACCAGGCTCTCCAATGACACGCACGTGAGGTGGGAAATGTTCCTCGATAGCTTCATTTAAATTTCCAGCAAACATCTCAAATGTTTCATCAACGAAACCTCCGCCAACATCAAGCATCTTCAGATCATATCCGAGCTCAGCTGCTTCGTCAAAGACATATCGAGCATCTTTGACCGCCTGTCCAAATGAATTTGGATCGCTGGCTCCAGATCCAACGTGGAAGCTGACTCCGACAATGTTCAATCCGAGCTCCTTTGCCAGAGCGAGCAACTCTTTCGCGTCAAGCAGACTCGCACCGTACTTGGCACTAAGGCGGCACAAGCTGGTTGAATCGTCGGTCAAGATTCGAAGAACCAATTCAGCATCGGGGTAACATTCCTTGATCTTTCGGAGTTCATCGGTGTTGTCAAAGGTCATCTGAGTAACTCCGACCTTGCGAGCGTGACGAAGGTATGATTTTGTTTTGCAAGGCTGGGCATAGATGATACGGTTTGGGGCTACGCCAAGACTGAGCACCATATCGATTTCAGCCCTAGATGCACAATCGAAGCCTGTGCCCAATTTCGCCAAAAGGCGAAGCACTTCCCGGTCTGGGTTGCATTTGACCGCTGTTTGAGATCAGCACTGGAAACACAGATCGAGCAAGGGGGATTGGACTAACCGTAAAAGGGCTTGACACGGCCTAGATTGAGCTTCCAACGAAGATGCTGGCGGTAAACTTCACCTAGATCCGCCACGTAAAACGCATCTTCTTCGCCGGGCTCGCAAGTATCAACATTGACACGGTCAATGTGTTCTTGAAGAACTTTCCTAATCAAAGCCTTAGAGGCAAAGCCAGTCACATCGGATTCAACGCCATGATTGTTGTTGGTGTCGAGATAGTCGACTTTATTGTCATTCAAAATAGTGGTTTCTTGGTGGTCAATGGCAATCGCAGAAGGTGCCATAACCATGCACAATCAACGTTAGGGGGGCTTTCTGGATTCTGCTCCTCTGGGGATCTGGCTTTGCCTCACTGACTCTCCCTCACGAGGAGGAAGAACCTCGAGTGGCGACCTATGCGGCAGCTGAACGGGAGGTGATTGTTGCAGGGGGCTTTCAGACTGAAAAGCAGAAAGCGGAATTGACGTTTGGCAGCTCAGCAGGTGGTGGACGAGTGTTAAGAATATGTCGGTGTTTGCAGGATGATGCAGTTTGAAAGCGAAGCGCGAACGATGTCGACGCCGTGGTATAGGGTGCCCTTGGAATGCCAAAGGCGAGTGATTGAGCTGTAGTAGAAAAAGCTGTGCCTCGATCAGACACGACTAATGTTGCTGTTCGAACAAAGTAGAATTGTTGAGGTGTAAAGCTGTTGAAGAGAAGTAATTGCTGTGCTGTTCGATAAGGATTTTTTTATTTTGATTGACGACAGTTTAGTGGGGGGCAAAGGCTCGGGAGGGCAAATGGAGGCCCCAGCAAAAATTCCAAGCCTCAGTGAATCATCGTGCGATCTCAGATGTCAGTGTGAATCAGCGCTAATAATCTGCACGGCCATTTGTGGGCTTTGGTGATCTCGGTCGTGCCGTTCTCGTTGAGTTTTTTGTGTGCGGGAATTTCGGAAGCACGTGACATGGATATATACTGGGGCACTGGGTCCCTCTCCCGCCAACATCAACGCAGCCGAAGGTAGACCTGCAGACCGCCATTGTCGACGAGGTAGTCGTGATAGCATCGGATTCTTGTATTGGCGTGATCTAGGTGACAACGAAGAGCGAGGAACAGCGCAAGATCAGCTTCAGTCTCATCCTTCCGAGGGTCGATAAACGTAGGTGTAGAATTCGATCGTGGGATGTTCCACATCTTGATCAGTGATTGTGTGAGGCAATGCAATATTGAGTGTTTCTGTGAGTTGGAAGGCGGTGTCTTGCATCCGTTCAAAGAAAATTGTATCGGCTTCGTGTCGTCTTTTGAATCCAACCAGCACAAGCACATTTGGTGCACGAGTGGCCAACTGCCTCAAAGTCTCTACCAAGTGGACACTGCTGTCAGGGTTGTAGATACAATCCGAAACCAAGATGAGATCGTAATTCACATTGGAACTATCGTCAAGGCCCGAAGCCCAATCCAACACCTCTGCTTGGACACTAGATCCTGCCAGCGGCGCCGCAGACTTTACATTGCTCGCCAAGATCTCCTGAGCATCTTGCAGGTCGGTAAGGAGCATATCACACTTGACAGATTGAGCGAAAGCGATGCCCACAATGCCACAGCCAGCCCCCAATTCCAGAACCCGTAAATGTCTCGTCTTGCTGGTTGTCAGCAGAGCGGTGAATTTGGTAACACCATCGACCGCCGGAGGGTTGAAGGCTTTGGCAAAGTACATCAAGAAGCCTAGACTAGCATCCCTTGACCTGTTGTTAGTCGATCCGACATAAGGTGAAGTACTCACCAGATATGTCGCGCGATACTGTCGCCCGTTTCTTCCCACATGCAGACTCGGCTTTTGTTGGGCAAGAGCAGCTGCCGTTCGACAATAGGTTCAGTTCGCTGCCTATCAACCATGGCGAAGGCCGGACTCCAGACATCAAGGATCTCGGGAATCCCGAAAGATGCAATAGTAGATGCTGTCTCGTTGGTCGTCACATGGAGTCGAGCAGATCTTGACATGTACTTTCCCGGGCAACCCGCAACGAATTTGAGGGCTCTCGAAGTAGCCTGCCACTTGATAGTCTGTGTATGAAGCACTCCATGAGGACGATTAGTCTCTACAACCTCTACGATGAGGTCAGCATCTAGGGGATAAAGGGAATCGCCCAAATCGGTAGTCACGGCGACCACAGCAGAGATGTCAACCGACTTCTTGCCGACATTGGTCTGTGGTGTGCGCAGAAACCGAATGTAATGGACCATGATCGGTTTAGGGATTCTGTCAAGAAAGACTTCAAGTAAGGGGTGTGAATGACTCTTTGTTGGCTGACTTGGGGTTCTTTTCCTGGTAACGAGTAAAAGTGAGGCGGCCAATCTGTGTTAGCCATTTGCGGCGCCCGCAGAATAGTTTTCCCGACTCCGGAGGCTGGGGGCTATTCAACGCTCGGCCCTCATCGTCCCGCATGATCCCCAGATAATCACCAGCCCGGCACCTGAATCAACCCCTTCTACGTAGTCAACATATCTCCGGTTGCGAACTTAGCCAGTCAGTCACATATCGGTACGGAGTACAAGCATGGCAAATGCCATACCGATGCGCATCGAATCAGCGCCTCGATTCAAGTCTTCCTATAGCGCAACTCTTTGGGAATCCGCGCCCTTCAGCCTTCCAACATGAACAACCCTGAGTTTCGCCAAACCCTTCAACACATCACCCACAACCTCGAGACTGCCAACCAGACTGCGCAAGAGAACATATATACATTCACACAACGCTACATTGACCCTTGTTTGTCCGGATTAAAGTCTTGCGTTGTGGACTGCACCGCACCCTGTTTCCCCAACCGAGAAGACAAACTGCGCCGGAAGAGAGGGAGGTCGCGTGGCAGAGCGGAATATAATTTTGACTTTTATGAGGCATGGGATGATGACGAAGCACTCGCTGAGACCTCCACGGCGTGGGGAAATGATGAGCTGGACAGTCTCTTAGCAGGTCATGGACCAAGAGTAGATCAACCAAAACGACCGAGAGCCATGAGCTATGGTTCTCGAGGACGGCGGAAACCGAACATCATGCAGGGCGAGTCCGATCATGATCCTACCATAATCCCAAGCTCCTCGTATCTAGGCTTCTTGGAACGTCTGCCCTGGAAACTGGGTGCTAGGAAATTACGATATAAGCCCTCGGCGGCAGACTTACAAGAGCACCCAGGAGCCACACGAGTACACCCTGCAGAAGTCGAACCGCTGATTGAAGAGCATGATGAAGACAGTAGCCCCTGGAGGAAAGGACATGGTCGACAAAGAAGTGATACTAACGCTTCTCGATCCACGACCAATTCACTTAGCTCTAGGGGAGATCTGATCATGAGCGACGAGGAGGATGACGCAGTCCCACTTGACGATGAATTTGCATCAGTCATGTTGGCTCGAAGAAATACAAATCAGGGTCTACCGGAAGACCAAAGCAGTGGCAAAGCGAGGACCCCTAGTGGAAAGCGTCCTGGAGCATCTCGCAGGTCGACGAGAACAACCTCTTCCAAGTCGATACGAAGCCCTGGTATGCAGAGTCAGCGGTCTGCTTCGGAGAGAAGTCTTGCACCTCCTGTGTCACCTACTCCCACAAGAGAACGCAGGGAACTGCCCACGATGCTTGATCTTAAGCTTCAAGAGGAGCAGGTGGCAAGAGAGGAAGAGTTGGAGATCAAGCAGAAAAGAGAGGCTGCACAGAGGCTGGCTGTACAGCGAGGCTTGAACGCAGGGAATGCGGTATCTGCGGAAGTCGATCCTTCTGTGAAAGAAGACCAGACAATTGCCAGTGTCGGTGATGAGGTCGATGACGACAGCAGTTCGGCGTCTTCTGAACCCCAAGCCATCGCGGATGGTTCTGCAGATCAATCTCAACGGAGTGCAATGGATGGGAAAGACCCGACATGAAAGGGAGATGTGAGGATTCGCGCAATTGGCAAGAGATGACGGTTCTTGTGTTCGGAACTAATTACGACCTAATGACTTGCAGCATACCTTACCTACCTAATGAATCTTGTCTGTATATGCTGAAATGAGCGAGATATAGTCCTAGTTAGACTGTACAGCCGTGTATTTTTACTTTGCATCACTGTATTATTCTATTCGTACGCATCACTGCTTCATTGCCTCGTCTGGTGTAAGCATCTATATTGTGTAGTTTCTCCTTATCAAAAACCTGACAAGGGTCTGGAGGGGCCGGATGCGGCCGTTATCTGTGGCTGGTCGATAACCTCATTCTCCGCCTGCACTTTCAACACCATAACCCTTGCGACTTGCGCCCGTACTCATTTGTTCCCCTGTGGTTGTCTTGACCGGCAATTACAATGCACTGTTCGAATCGGTTTGATCATTCAGATTCTACGAGACTATGACCTCGACTCGACGGAGTAGACAATCGCGACGATCCAGACATTTCTGAGCGCCCTTCCGCAGACCGAACGACCTCAACCCGTCATGAATAAACCCCCAGCTTCATTTCGCATTGACATGGACGACAAGAAGGCGTGGAGTCCCGAGTCCTCATCCGAACCATCTGCTTTTGAGGGAGACATGCATCAGGTGAAGAGAACATTTACACGACGGCTCACCGAGAGCTTCAAGCGAGACCCGAACGCCAGCGTCACACGATCATCTGTCAGCGCGTCCGACCATCATCATCATTATGATGCCGAGGCCGCGGCGCAGGCGACTGCCATGTCGCCCTTGCTGCGTAGACTCAAGGGTCGACACCTGCAGATGATAGCGATCGGCGGTAGTATTGGAACAGGCCTGTTCGTCGGGAGTGGAAGAGCGTTGGCCTACGGAGGTCCTGCGTCGCTATTAATCTCCTTCAGCCTGACAGGCACCATGTTATATTGCACGGTACAGGCGCTGGGAGAGCTGGCTGTGCTATTCCCAGTTGCCGGTTCCTTTGCGGCGTATTCGACTCGATTTCTCGACCCAGCCTGGGGATTCGCCATGGGCTGGAATTATGCAATGCAATGGCTGGTTGTACTGCCATTGGAAATCGTCTCTGCCTCTATCACGGTTGACTATTGGGTATGCCATGTTCTATTCTATGGTTACACATCGGAGGGGAACTGACAATGACACCAGGTACACAATATTGGCTTGAACGCCGCGTGGGTGTCCATCTTCCTCGTCATGATCGCCATCATCAATTTCTTCGGAGTAAGAGCATACGGAGAGGCTGAGTTCGTCTTCTCCGTCATCAAAGTCACAGCGGTGATAGGATACATGTGCGTATCACCCTCTTAACCATGGTGTACTGCGAGTCTGACAACATTCTAGTTTGCTCGGCGTGCTCGTTAATATCATGGGTGGCGTTGATAGCAACGGCCAACCTGATGGCAGTTACATGGGCTTCCGTCTCTGGCACCATCCAGGAGCCTTCCACAATGGCTTCAAAGGCCTGTGCAGCACTTTCGTAACTGCTGCCTTTGCCTTCGCAGGCACTGAGCTGGTTGGTCTGGCTGCCGCAGAAACAGAGAATCCCAGAAAGACTCTACCAACAGCTATCAAACAGGTCCGTGGCAGGCATTTCCCCGTTCTCAGGTGGACCAATTTTGACAATACATACAGGTATTTTGGCGTATCACACTCTTCTACATCGTCAGTCTTTTGATTGTCGGCACACTCGTTCCCTACGACGATCCACGGCTTCTGAACGGCCAAAGCAACGCTGATACCAAGTATGTCTTTCAGTCGTTCATCGTCGATCTGTTGTTCGCTATATCTAGAACTGACGCTTCCCTTTCAGGGCCTCTCCATTTGTCATATCCATTCAAAACGCCGGCCTAGCCGTCCTCCCCTCGGTGATGAATGTGGTGATAATGATATCAGTCCTGTCCGTGGGCAACTCGAGTATCTACGGCTCCTCGCGTACACTGGCCGCACTCGCCGAGCAACGTCAAGCACCCGCTTTTCTGGCGTACATTGACCGCAAAGGCCGACCCCTCTACGCTATCATCATCGCCACGGCCTTGGGCGTCCTCGCCTTCCTCGCGGCGTCCACGAAACAGCAAGACGCGTTCAACTGGATGCTCGCCCTCTCGGGGCTCTCGTCCATCTTCACGTGGGGCAGCATCTGCCTGGCGCACATCCGCTTCCGCAAGGCCTGGCTCCTGCAGGGCCACACGCTCGACGAGCTCGCCTTCCGCAGCCCCGTGGGCGTCGTGGGCTCCTGGATCGGGCTGGGCTTCAACATCCTCGTGCTCATCGCCCAGTTCTGGACCGGCTTCAGCCCCGTGGGGTACGAGAGCGACAGCACCAGCTATCTCGTCATCAACTTCTTCCAGGCCTACCTGGCCGCCCCCGTCGTGGTGATCATGTACATCGCCTACAAGGTGTACATGCGCACGAGCGTCATCCGGACGAGGGACATGGACCTCTTCACCGGAAAGCGCGAGATGAACGTCAAGAGCCTCGTCGCCGAGGAGAGGGCCGACAGACTTAACTGGCCCACGTGGAAGAAGGTTTATAAATTTTTGTGCTGATCTTTTCCCCCCTCCCGTTCTCGTACCGGTTGGTGGTAGGTCACTGTGCAGGGCACCCGTTGGATTTTATGTTTGCGTCAAAATTACTGGATCTTGGTCAAGGGTATTGCGCATGTATATACCCATGTTAAGTTACGACGTGATGGATTGATGGGTTATGGATATACATTTGAGTCTCGGCGTGAACATTGACCAGTGGATTCTACGAGACATTTCTGGGGCACAGCTTTCGGGTATTACACTGACAAATATGTAAATGTTCGAGATGTCCAAGACATTCAAAAAATATTGACCATTGAATATACTCTATGACATATTGTACCTTGTGAATGCCGTCTCTAGTCTGTCGTGTTTCCTCATCTCGATCCTCTACTCCCTTTGATGGCGGCGATCGCGCTGCGTCGGTGGGCACTCTCGGCGAACAGGGCCCTTACCAGGTCGACGACCTCGTCGGCCGAGAACTCCAGACTCAATTCGCCCTCGGTCCAGAGGTACTTGATGTCGACCAGTGAGCTCTCCAGGATGTTGATCAGGTATTGAAACTTGAGCCAGCTGGAGACGTAGACCGCCGTCATGGGCACCGGACCCTGACCGTCCGGGTCCGAGGCTTCCGCGGCGTTCGGCGGCGACGTCGGGGGTGCACTGAAGAACAAATCTCCAAGGGACGCGACCTGCTGACAAAACGCGGTCAGGCGGCGGGATTCGGGCTCGGATATGTCCTCCATCTCCTCGATCGAGTCGACCATCTTGTTGATGACCATGGCCACGAGCGACCCGACGCTCTGCATGAGCGCCGAAGTCGACAAGACCGGCCGCCACGTCATGTGGAGGGCGCGGATGCGGTCCACCACCGCCGACACGGCGTTTTCGATCTCCTGCGAGTACGGGAACTGCGTGCACGACGTGAACCCCTGGGCGCCCTCGAGGAGGTCCCAGACAATCAGTCGTTGCGTCTCCATCTCCTTGGAGTACGCGAGGCGGGCAAACTTTTCCATCGACGACACGTCCGACGCGACCTTGGGCAGGGGCATGCCGCCTGCAGGGGGGACGCTCATCGACATCTCGCGCAGTCGCTCGGCGATGTACAACGAGTCGTTGTACCGGTGGATGTCGGTGAGCGAGGCTGATGCGCCGCCGCCGCCGCCGCCGCCTCCGCCGTAGTAGGTCGGCGCGGTAGCGCGGAACATGGCTAGGGCCAACGTGGGAAGAGCAAGGAGCCCTCGTGTCGCCGAGGAAGAGTTGAGCGCGTCGTGTGGATTGTCCTGGATGGCTTGAGCGTCAGAAATGTCTCTGCCTATGATCTCCACCAGGTGGTCGGGGATGTCTGTGATGCTGTACAACTCGGTCAGGGTGACTTCTTGCTCTTGGCTTTGTTTGTTCTCTTGTGCACCGTTTACTCGTTTGCTGTTGTTGCCCTTGTCGCTTTTGGCTGCTGACTCTGATTTTGTATCAGCTGCCCCATCGTCGTCCCAACCCCAGGCATCACCCGCATCATCTTCTGCATCTTGGTCCGACGCAGTGCCGTTCTTGTTGTCTTCGCCCTTGACTTCGGCTTGATTGCCGGCATCGTCGTCATCATCAAATCCCCACCCGCTGGCATCTTCCTCTTCTTCTGCTTGGCGGGTTTCATTGCTCTCTGCTTTGTCTTTGTCATCGTCCCAACCAGCATCCCAATCATTGGCGTTGTCAGCATTATCGCCGTTCTCACCTGTTGTAGCAGAGAGAACACGTCGTTCGACTCTTTCGACTTGTCGTAGAGTCCCCTTTGAGTTGGCAAAAGCTTTCCGAACGGCGTCCAGGGTTGCTGCTTTGCGCTTGTTAAGCCACGCCCGAGGAAGGTCGTCCACCCAGTCCTGCAGCTGCTTTTGGCCCTCCCACTGCATTGACTGCAGCTCTTTGTATATGTTTGTGGCCTTGTTTTGAAGTTCGTCCAGTTCGTGAAGCATTGTGAGGTCTGTCGGTAGGCCGGGATTCAGCCAGTCGTTCACGAGCAGAGTCATCAAATCGCCTAGTATAGCTTTGGCTGCCGCAGATTGGATTGTGCTGGCAAAGCGAGTCCGCATAAAGTCGATGAACGTTCGAACAAAGTCTAGGACTAATTCAAGTGATGGGCTTGTTCGGCCCAACTCGAGGCTTAGGGTGTTTCCACCCAGCTTGAAAGCGACCATTTTCAGCCGAGAAGCTTGTCTCAGAGGTTGTAGCACAAGCGCCTTGAGTTTGTCGGTCAATGGCTCTAATGAATCCGTGGAATCGCCGAGCAGATTCAGAGCTCGAATCAGGACGTCGGAATTCGTGGCCGAGCTGTCGCCTTCGGTGGGCGAAACTTCGATGCTGGCCTGGTGTTGCTCTCGATGCACTGAAATCTGGGCGTTCAACTTTGTTTCCAGCTGTACTCTGGCCTTCAACCGAAACTCGTCCTTGAGATCCCTGATGATTGTGGATATTCGAGATCTCAGTATGTGGGCGGTCTTCTTGTCCAGCTCTTGAATCTTCGCCGCGGCTTCGCAGGGATCGCCGCCGTCTTGTAAACACTCTTCCACATCTCGAAGTGCCCGGGTGGCCTTGCTTGCGAGGTCGAGCTCTTTCATCACATCGCCTGTAAACTCAATCTCCGTCTCCAAAAGCTCAACTTTGCGCTGGAAATCTGTCGCCTCTTCTCGTAACGCCTGAACATGCTGATGGTCCTCGACGATGCGTTTCGATTCCTCCTTGCATCGCACGATATCCTCCTGAACCTTTTTGGCTTGTGTGATCCAAGTTTCAACATCCCCGTTGTCATCCTGGTTTGCCGCCTTGATCTCTTCGCTGATTTCACGTTGTGTCTTTGCAATTTGGTCGAGCAGTGAAGGGAGGATTTCGGGAGACAGCTCGGAAGTCAGGAGAGGTTCGGACTGTGGGAATGTGCCATTTACAATAGCCTCACATAGGGCACCATCGTCGATTACACCTGGCATTGTCCTGGCTTGCTTCAGCCTTGAACGATGAACAGGGCGAGACGCTGACTTGGTGGTCCGTCTTGCGCGTGTGCTGGCTACTGGCCAGAAAGTTGAAATGACATCAAAGCAAGTTTCACGGCGAGGCTGAAGATACGAGGCTACCAAGGCTAGCCTCCTTTTAGAAACACCCAGACTCGTTCTGGTTTCTATCACGAAATGAATGATCGTCCTTCCATCGTAGCAAGGTCATGTGAAACTTGGTAACGAAGTATTCATACGGAGTATAATACGCTTTAAGAGAATCGGTACACAACATCCTCAAATTTATCAACAGCAAAGACATAAAACCACTTCAACTCCTCCCGATCGTCGACTCTGTCGGTGCCACTTCCTTCTTCACTCGTAGTAGTAGCACAACTATTCCGGATCCCGTGCTCCGCGTTCCCAGGAATATAGATTGTATCACCACTTTGGACTTCTCGCTCGACCCCATCAATCACGACAACTCCCCGCCCTTGAGTGATGTAGTATATCTCCGCCTGCTCGTGGCGATGCGGACACAAATGGCCCGTTCCAGGCGGACATGTAGCGATGCCGGCAGTGAGACTATCGGTTGGTGTCTTTGATGCCGAGAAGAGCGTGTGCCAGGTCAAATTGCCCCGACGGGATGTCGAAGAACTGCCGTTGTCGGGGAACGTTTCGGGATTCCTCTCGGCGAGCGATGCAGAAGGAATTATGACCGGCGAAGTGGCCATATTGCTGCTGTCTTGGACTATTCAAGGAGAAGGCCAAAGATGAAGATATTTCTCACGGCCAAAAATGTACAAAAAGCCGTCACAGACATTTGCAAACACTTTTATCAAGATCGACCAAGACGTCAGAGCACGAGGGAAATTACTTCCATTCTGGGTTAATTTTATCAGAAAGAGAATCCTGCCTTGTTGGACCGAGGGAGGAGAAGATCAAAGTACTTCAGATACCCAGATGGTTATTTCCAAAATGCAGTTCACATTCATTATACAGCATCACATCAGCCAGTCTTATTTAGTAGCACCCTGATCGAACAACGTCGTCGCAAAACCCATAATGCCCTCTTGCTTTTTGGCCGTCGGAGTGGAGATCTAGTAAGACAAACATTGAAGGAAAAAGCTACCCCTAACCACACGATATTCCCATAGGGGCATACAAGGTCAGACAGGCATGAGTTGACACCCTCCACGACCTATGCCCAGCACAAATACACCTTTATCGCGACTCCTGAGACTGATCCGGCCGTTGGTTGGTGGTTTCGTAACGAGGAAACAATCATCACCACGGATGCATCGACTCATGGCCACCATTACCTGGCAGTTGAGTCACTGCTCTGGTAGACACACAAAGACTCGATAGACCCGACCCAGCTCCCTTGGCGTCAAGCACTATGTCCTGGCTTGAACTCGAGTAGGGATCATCGACTTGAGGCCCTGAAATTGTCAAAGGTACTTGGAAAACCTGGTTCGGTCCGGATCGCAAGTTTGTGACGGGAGCTAGAAGCAGGCTCGCTTTCTCAAAGACCTTGGGCCCTGCCGGGAATGGGAAAGCGAGATACACGCCATGACTTCGACCTATACAGCCACAGCCAAAAAACCAACAGAAATTATTTCTTGTTTCGTTCAGCCTGAGCCTTCTGGTACTTGGCAATCAGTTCCTTCTGCATCTGCATGGGCGCCCTTTCGTAGTGACTGAACTCCATCGAGAATTCTCCTTTGCCCTGCGTTGCAGCTCGCAGATTGCCGCTGAATCCGAACATACCATTTAAACTTGCATCAGCCCAGACGGTAAAGTCATCGATGCCAACTTCGGTATCGTTGATGACGGCATTTCGCTTTTGCAAAAGACCGACAACGTTACCCTGGAATTCTGTCGGGGCGGTAACGACGGTCTTCATGAGCGGTTCGAGAACAACAGGGTCGGCCTGGATGAAAGCCTTGCGGAAAGCCTGTTGCGTGGCATTCTTGAAAGCCATTTCACTGGAATCAGTCATGTGTGTTGCACCGTCGTTGATGACCATGGACGTTCCCAGGACTTTGTGGCCGATCAATGGACCCTTCTCACAAGCTTGTATGAAACCCTTTTCACAAGCAAACAAGAACTTCTCCGAAATTGAACCTCCAATGACTTGCTCCTCGAAGTGGTTGCCCTCGAGTTTGCCGCTTGGTTCCATCCAACCCATGACACGGGCATAATCACCAGCACCACCAGTCTGTTTCTTGAGCAAGTGGTCAAAGTCAACTCTCTTGGTGATTGTCTCACGGTACGCGACTTGTGGCGGACCAGTTTCACAGTCTACCTTGTACTCACGTCTCATCCGCTCGACGTAGACTTCGAGATGGAGTTCTCCCATGCCAGAGATGATCGTCTGCTCGCTTTCGGTGTCAAAGTGTACTCTGAAAGTGGGATCCTCACGCTGGAATCGTGCAATGGCCTTAGAGAAGTTTGGCAAGTCCTTGTTGTTTTTGGGTTTGATACTGAGCGAGATAACAGGTTCGGGGACGTACATGCTTGTCATGCTGTATCCGAGCTGGCCGTCAGTAAATGTATCTCCAGATGCGCAGTCCACACCGAACACGGCGCAAATTTCTCCAGCACCAATTTCATTCACTTCTTCCATTTCGTTGGAATGCATGCGCACAATTCGGGGAATCTTGATCCGCTTGTCGGTTCGAGCATTGTAGACATGAAGGCCTTTTGTCAACTTGCCCTGGTAGACACGAATGTAGGTAAGTTGTCCAAAGTTCGATTCTTCCAGCTTGAATGCCAATCCTACAAAGGGAAGGGAGTTGTAAGGGATCAATTTGACGGGAGCCTCCTTCTGTCGACGATCAAGAGCAGTGTTTGAAACTTCAGCCGGGTTGGGGAGATAATCACAAACACCGTCAAGCATTGGCTGCACGAACTTATCGGCCAAAGCTGAACCCATGAACACGGGGGTAAACTTAAGGGAGATAGTTGCACGACGAATGGCAGCTTTGAGCTGTTCAATAGTCGGCTCCTGCTCGTCCAAAAACATATTGGCCATTTCCTCGTCGACATCAGCAAGGGTTTCGATCAGCATGGCCCTTCGTTCCTGAGCAAGCTGCTGAACCTCCGCTGGAATTTCGTCCTTGGTGACGATGATTTCACCACGGTCGCCTTCAGCATAGTATGTCTTCATCGTAACCAAGTCGACCAACCCTTTGAATTCGTCTTCCGCGCCTATAGGGATCTGAACTGCCGCCGCGGCGATCTTGAGCTTCTTGTTGATCTGCTCCACAGCTTTGAAGGGATTCGCACCCATTCGGTCCATTTTGTTGATGAAACTGATTCGAGGGATGTTGTAGCGTCTCATTTGTCGATCCACCGTTATGGTTTGACTTTGTACGCCTGATACAGCACACAGGATCATTACGGCGCCGTCGAGGACTCTGAGAGCGCGTTCGACCTCAATGGTGAAATCAATATGCCCAGGGGTATCGATCAAGTTGATGTGGTATTTCTCCTCCTTGCCGTTCTCTTTCTTAACCCAATCGCAGAACGTGGCTGCGGACTGAATGGTAATGCCCTTTTCTCGTTCCAGTTCCATCGAATCCATTTTTGCGCCGACGGAGTCCTTGCCCCGTACTTCGTGAATAGACTTGATACGACCGGTATAGAAGAGTACTCTTTCCGTGGCCGTAGTTTTTCCAGAGTCAATGTGTGCCTGCCAAAGTTAGGCCGTGTATGCCAAAATTGCCACGGGTTAAAACTGACTGCTATCCCAATATTCCTCACTTTGGATAGTCGATGGGCCTCTTCCGCCGAGAGGTTGTCGATAATGGTTTCTTGAGAGAGGGAGTCGGGGTCTGAGGCCTCTTCGAGCCTGGAGAGACATGTTAGCATTCAATCCTCAGCTCTGGATGCACGGGAGCCTCGTACATCGCAGCAGCAGCTCCAGCAGCACCCCGCTTCTGTTGCCACCGTCTGTCCAATGACCATTGTATCGACGGAGACTTCAGACTTGCAGAGTATGTTTGAAGAGCTACAGTCGATGCGCAGCGACGGCAGACCCATTGGCGACTGATCTGAGAGACTGGAGTGCGTAGCAGCCCTCCAACGAGGCGGGACTGGCCTCGGAGCGCGTATGCTGCACTCATCTTAAAGGCACACGACACACTTGTCAGTCGAGTGTATAAGAGGCTTAGAGAATGCGCAGCCTGGGTTGACTCGATAGTGTTGCTCCCTACTAAACTTTTTTTCCCGAAGATCGAAGCTCCGCCGAAACAGCCGTAGTGTGGTCCCGTCCAATCCGCCAATAGAAACTCGCCTTCTAAAGAAACAATCCCCTTGTTTCCGGACAAGGCTGAGACTTCAAATTCATTCATCCTCATGTCAGACACCGACCGTGGCAATGAGTGTCGATAAAAGCACGGGAAGGCAAGGACGACTACAGTTTGAGTATTTCGAATGGCGTTATTCCACAAGCACTGGTCTTTCAACTTCGCGATGCTTAGATACAGTTGCAACGAGCCATCCCGTGTATAGTTGGGCTTTGATCTTGGTTTCGAGAATTCAACTACTCCCTAAATCATATCCTCATTCGAATCTGGTCTATTTGCGCTTGCTGAGACTACAACACCCGCGTCCCAAGATTATTCTATTCTTTTCTTGCCTTCTTCCATGTAACCCATATTTGCGGTGCTAATGTTGCGCGACCTCCTGTCCTTCCCACCCTCGGCTGCAATGACTGGCCCAATAACCGGATCCTTGTGGGCCCGCGTGAGGGCATCGTGATAACCGTCAAGAGCAAACTGTGGCGTGTGCAGCTTTGGCCAATTGACGTAGAGCAAACCGTGACCGTAGACGAATTGAAAGCACCAACCCGCAACGACTAGGCATAAGATGACAAGCATACGCAGGGGCCAAACAGCTGCTTCTGGCGGCCGTCGCGTCAGCATAGATATCAAAGTAATGAACAACGAAGCCGCCAAAAGGTAGGGAACCGCTTGTATAACGAGTGGTCGTCGGTCTTTGAAAGTCAAAGAGGATCCAACACCATACGTCGAAGGCAAGTAAGTACCGAGGAAAAGGTCAAATCCGTCTTGCCTAGGCCCGTCCAGGAAGTTGTTTCGGACATATCGAGTGGTGGAGTTGCTAAGGTCTTGGACCATTCCAGCTCTTGTGCGCTTGCCTGTGCGAGTAAAATCTGTCTTTAAAGCCCCAGTACCCGAGTAGGATTTCGAAACAACATCAGCGTTGTCCGCCCAGATGTTTCGAAACATGAATTCGAAAGACCGATCGTCGTCAGCTCTTTCACCTGGCTGCAGGAGACCCAAGTCTTGGAATTGCTGGGTTATAGCCCATCTCCCAAGCATGCTTTGAACAACATTAGTCCTGTCAAGGCAGTCCATGCAGTTCGTCCGGACCACGGCAGTCTGCAATGACCTTATCTCCAGTGCCCCTAACGGATTTCCCGGCATCTCAACACCACGGAAATACTGTCCTTTCCTCAAACCATCTAGAAGCTCATCGAGAAGGAGTTCAGCTCGGTGCCACTTTAAGCCTTTCGTCTCGTTGTGGAAGTCAAAATAGATATAGTGCAATCTGTCCATGCGTTGATGCTGCTGGTCGGCCGTGATTTCATGAAATCTTTCCTCGGTTCGTCGCCCTGGTTCAACAGACTCATCGGGAGACTTCACAAGAATGCGCACCATCTGTTCGTAAGCCTTCTTCACTCGTTCCTCTCTTCCCCGAGCATTCACTAGATTGACCAAGTAATTCTCGCCATAGGTTCTGATCTGTTCGTCGAAGTGCTTCCGTGCCGCATCAACAGCAGATTCAACCCCACGTATTTGGAGTTTGGGTGTATATCGGAGATCATTGATCTCGGCCCAGTACACTGGCACACTCCCACGTGTCTGAACATAGGACAAAATCTGTGTCTCGGCCAGTGAACCTCCAACTTTGCCATTCTGCATCCCTTGGCCACCAGCATACCCAGTTGGCTGACTTGAAAGGTCATTCAACACCACAATTTGCTCGGTCTCATTGAAATTGGAAACATGGCCTTGCTCGTCAATGCCACGTGAAAAGTATCTCGTACCACCCCTGAACCTTGATCTCCTCGTGATAAGGGCGAAGGTGAAGCTGATGGACTCTATCTTCGCTGGCTTAATCTCTAACATGCCGAACATCACAGGGAGAATGTAAGGGTCGGCGCCAGGTTGCTGCTGGCTTTTCAGACCCGCCGAAGCGCCACCTCCTGTCCGAAAATCAATCAGATCGGTCTGAATGAAACGGTTCCAAAAGAACCGGTCATCTGCCCTTTTCCAGAGAGGGTGTGAAAGATCGGACTGCGATTGACGCTGGAAGGCGGAGGTGACATCAAGAGAATACGAAAAGTACATGGGTCCGGTGGCGAGAAGGTTCTTGAGGTAGGAAAGGTAGGTATCCTCGTCAGGATCGTGAACTGGGCGTTCGCGCAAAGGGAGAAACTCCGTAGCGACGACCTTGTAGATCATATGTCCGCGCAGCCTGCCCATGGGCTGCGCCTTCGTTATCACTATGACATATTTGTCCAGTTTGAGCTTGATGATGCCCAGGATACCAGCAATGCTGGAGACCCGTTTCGCGCCCAGGAGAGATCCATCGTTGAGTCTGATGTCTCCAGACGGTCTTTCTACCACCAAGGTCGGCGCAGAGGGGGTGGAAGGCGATGTAAATGCATAGTGACTTGTAGAAGCATGAACGTTGATATCGCGAAAGGGCAGGAGGTTGGCCATGGTGGAAGCAGGCCAGTGTCTTGTGGCAGGATCTCTGTCTTCGCTATCTAAGGCATGTCTTAGGGGATAAACGGGGGCACAGACAAGGCAATCGACGGAAGAGGGAGCTGGCCTGTGGTTATTGGGATCTGGCGGGCTGTGCGGTATTGATGACAACTGAGAAAGTCAGTGCCCTCAACATTCGCGCGCAGCTACCGAGAGACAGAGACAGAACTGGCACCGGCGTCGTCATCCTTGGCACGTTCTCAATCTGTCACCCGCCGCAACTCCTACTAGTATCCGTACTATGAGAGGCCATTGCAGGCATACCACTCACTACCACCACCAAACCCTCAACCGCTTTCGCATCTCGACAATCATAGTCTTTACACCCACGCAACCACTCGATAATCCCTCTCACATTGTGACTTTTACAATTGACCCTCTGTTGGGATCTGAACCCCACGATGGCTGCACGAGCTCCAACTGGCCGACCTGGCGCCGGTGGCAGGTTTGCTCAATTCAAGCTCGTTCTTCTCGGTGGGTTATGCCGGGTCTTCAGATCACTAACAGAATACTGACGATGTTCCAGGTGAATCTGCCGTTGGAAAGGTACTGTGCTTGACGAGTCCGATCCCTTCCAGTGCCTAACTCTGCCTAGAGCTCATTAGTCCTTCGTTTCGTCAAAGACCAGTTTGATGATTACCGCGAGTCAACAATTGGCGCCGCTTTCTTGACACAAACAATCACACTAGATGAAAACACAACGGTCAAATTTGAGATATGGGATACTGCAGGTCAAGAAAGATACAAGTCGCTTGCACCCATGTACTACCGGAACGCGAACTGCGCCGTAGTGGTCTACGATATCACCCAGGCTGTGAGTGTTTGCCACAATCCACAACCTGAAATAGCATACTGACTCTCGACAAAGTCCTCGCTAGATAAAGCCAAATCATGGGTAAAAGAGCTGCAAAGACAGGCCAACGAGAATATCATTATCGCGCTGGCGGGAAACAAGGTGGACGTGGTCAACGAACATCCCGACAAGCGAGCGATCGAGACCGCCGATGCCGAAGCCTACGCCAAAGAGGCAGGCCTGCTCTTTTTCGAGACATCTGCGAAGACGTCGACCAATGTCCACGAACTTTTCACCGCCATTGCAAAGAAACTACCTCTCGACCAGGCAGGTCCCCGCAACCTGAGATCAAATCCTCGACCCGGAGTAGATCTACGCCCCGAGTCGACCGGCACGCAAGGAGGGTCAAACTGCCAGTGCTAAACCACCCGACCGTTTATGGATTCCTTGACTTCATGTATTGAGCTAGCAGGCGTACGGCGGGAGATTGTGGCCAGGAAGGGACGCTGGATAGGGATGGATTTTTGCCACGAACCACAGGCGCCCACCTCAGAACTGGAGATGTACTTGACCGATCGGGACAGTGTATGCCGCAGCAGGCTCATCTCTTTACATCATCTATGAGTTATACTGCAGAGACTGGCGTTGCAAGAATCGATCCGGCCACCCCATTGTCTTGTTACTATCACACTTTAATGCTTAGACCAATATTCGTTTTTACAGATTTACTTTGAGCTTCTGTGGCCTTTTTTCAGGTGGAGCGCATTCACGTTTCCACCCACCGTTTGCGCCGTGACAATTCGCTCATTTGATGCGCTGACTTCAGCACTCTAGGTGCACTACACTGACCCACCACTTCTCGGACCAGACTGATCGCCAACCAGCCCAGCCATCTCCAGCAAGGCTCTCGCACCGTCCTTGTCGCCTCCGAAATTCACACCTCGCCGCCGTGCGGCCTCGGCCTCTTCCCACGCAAGCCGGTTCTTCTGTTTCGTGACTTCATCCTCCCCTGTGCCGGCGGGGAAACTAATTCCCCAGACTTCGAGGGCGTCGATGTCGAATTGGACCTTCTTCGCCTGTGACGTGTCCGGGTGATGGGTCTGGGCCGTCTCGAGGCCCGGGTCGGTGACGAACGCGCCGCTCCCGGCCGATCCGTCGTGCTGGAACGTCGCGGTCGACACGTCGCTGTCTATCAACAGGCTGACTGGACCGAGGATGGGAGGCAGGTGCGCCGTAGATGCGCGAGACTGCTGGGGGATAACGCACCCTAGTGCTATCCCTGACTTTGTGGAGAAGTGGAACCAGGGCAGTGTGCGGTTGTACGGGTTCCCTGGGAACAGGGCCTGGCGGGGGTGTAGTTGGAGAAGGGACGGTCTCGGGTCCGACTGGTCGTGAGATGAAGGTCTGGTTGAGTTTGAATTCGATGATGTCGAGTCGTGCCAGCGTTCAGGGAGGTAAGCACCCAGGGTGATGGACTGGTTGGCGTCCTCGACGGTGGTTCCGGCCACGAGGAGCAATGTGCCGGATTGCCAGGACGTGACTTGGCGTGAGAAAGAGGAAAGGGACGTGCCGTCGCTGGAGGAGGAGTAGATGCGATTGAATCGTGCTCCTGAGGAGAAGATGTTCATGAGAGTGCCGGAGGGGTTGAACAGTTTCAAGGTCATGGAGAGTTGGGAGAGGAGCGTGTCGCTGAAGATTGGCACGTCTTCTTCGGGGAGACGGTGTATTATTGATTGTTTGGCATCTTGAACGAGGACCGAATCCGGCACGTCGCGGTGTTTGTTCAGGTTGATGTTCTTGCTGAAGAGGAAATGTTCAAAGAGGTTGTTAAAGGGGTCGAAAAGCTCCGGGAGTGTCGTTGTCAGGGTCTTGACGAAATTTGAGTATCGAATGCCTTTACTCTGTGGGTCAGGGTCGAATGCGGCGATGATTGAATCCGCAGATGTGCTTAGAGCTTGCAGCCTTTCTTCGTCCAGAGACTCTCCGTAACTGCCTAAGGGAGTCAATGGCTCGATGCCGCCGATGAGTAGAAGCAGCATGACCAGTTTCTTGAAGTTCTCGACCGGGATCATTGCGTGGTGAATCTTGCGGTCCGTCTTCTGGTCATGCTTGAATACTTCGATGGCGTCGAGGGAGTCCAGAGCGGCGAGAGCGAGGTCATCGTCGTCCTCATCCTCGTCATCGTTGAGTGGTTCGTCGATGGCAAATCCCGAGGGATGAGACCTCGAGCCCTCTGCTGCTTGTCTCTGCTCCAGCATATCCTCTGGTAACTGTTCTCGGATCACGTCGTCCATGGACGGTTTGTCCTTGCTCGAAAGGGCCACACTTGCCTTCCGGTCGAATACTGCTAGACTTCGGAACAGCAACTTCGCCTTGTCCTGGTCGCCTCGTCTCAGGACTTTCTTGTACCTACCCGTCATTATCGTGATGACTTTGAGCATATTCTCTCTAGTCAATATGCACGGTGCCAGCCTGGGGAAGGGGAATGCTCCGAGGTAGGTGCACATTTGGTAGACCACGGGTCCAGCATGGAGAGGTTCTGGTAAGGCAAGGAATCGGCATAGTGTATCCTCTTTCCAGTACTCTAGGTCTTCTTGGTGATCGGCTAGACTCTTGAAGTTGTCCTTGTAATGGACAATCTCCAGGGAAGAGAAGCATTTCGAGGCAAAACGAAGAGCTAGCTGGTGGCTTAATTGCTCTACGCGGCTGAGGTATTAGAACACAAATGGAGGGGTTCACTAAATCAAATGTCTCGACTCACCGATCGGGACCTCCGTCGTTGGCTCTGATGACTGCGATTGACCCATTGTTCGTTACCCCATGACTCGGACGGATGTTGAGGTTGGGACGAGGCCTGCCTAGATATGTCATACGAGCTGAGGCATGTGAGAACATCCCACCATGATATGCGTTCCATGGCATGAAGGATCCGCTCGAGTATAAGTACGGTGAAACTTTCATGCGCCAGGATGAGTTATCTTCCATGTCTCTGAAAGAGCAGCCTCACTGCTGGGCGGTGACAAGTCTAACAAGTCCTGCTTGCCCCAGCTAGCATGTTTGATTTATGATGCGGAGATGGACCTGGGGGACACGAACATATCTTCACCCTCGGAGTCGCACTTTTGCGACCACATCTGCGACCATGGCCAGGACATACGCAGTATGTACCGCGACCGAAAACTCGTCGCATTGATGTTGATTGACTCGTCTCTAGGACGCTGTAGCGTCGCTGAATACCCTGCAAAGCAACTTTGCCATCGTTGATGCAATCCGAAAGTCTGGGCGAAAGATGAACGAGCAAGCCATCCCCGAGATGATCGAGTGGCTGCGAAGAATCGGGTACCAAGTATGCATCGATTCAATCTACTGCGAGCCTCACACGAATCTTCACGCGACTGACATGGATTTCGTAGCCTTCTGACCTCAATACACTTAGAGCGCTCCACATAGCTGGGACCAAAGGGAAAGGGTCTACATCCGCCTTCGTTTCCTCAATCCTCACGCAATTCGTTGGGGTAGAGGGATCACCTTCTCTGTCAAAAGTTGGCTTGTACACTTCACCACATCTTCGCTTCGTGCGAGAAAGAATACAGATCAATGGAGAGCCCTTGTCGGAACATCAGTTCGCAAAGTACTTTTATGAAGTATGGGACAGGCTCGAAGCGGCTGCACAAGCAGCAGGTGAAGACCCAGCTTCACCAGCAGCAAAGCCGGTCTACTTCAGATTCCTGACTTTGATGGCTTTCCACACATATGTGAGCGAAAAGGTCGATGCTGCCGTTATCGAATGCGGAATCGGTGGCGCATACGACAGCACAAACATCATCGAGACTCCCGTAGTAACTGGAATCACCAGTTTGGGGATCGACCACGTCGCCGTGCTTGGCTCCACGATAGGAGAAATCGCATGGCACAAGGCTGGCATCATGAAACCGGGTGTGAAGTGTTTCACGGTCAGTAGCCAGTTGCCCGACGCGAAGAATGTCCTTGAGCAGGTAGCCCACGAGAAGGGCAGTCAGCTTGAATACGTTGAAGTTGATCCTGCAATCGCCAGTGGCGAGACGATCCTTGGACTCAAAGCGGACTTTCAGAAAATCAATGCAAGCCTAGCCGTCGCAGTTGCTAAGGAATGGCTGCAGAAACAAGGGTTCGCCGAGGGTGATAGCCTTGAGCAAAGGGTTAAGCTTGGTCTGGAAAGAGTCCATCTGGCAGGTCGGTGCGACACACGTCATGAGCCAGGAATACGATGGTGTATTGATGGAGGGCATACCCTTGAAAGCATCGAGCTTGCTGGGAAATGGTTTGCCTCTCAGCTCGCAACTCTCGGCTCTGATGGTGTGCAGCAGGGATCTCTTCCGCAACCTCGCTTCTTGATCTTTAATCAACAGACTCGCGATGCTGATGCCTTAGCCAAGGCGCTTTTCGATACCCTCTCTACAGCCCTCGAAGATGTTCACCCTTTTACTCATGCAGTCTTTTGTACAAACACTACCTTCAAAGAGACGGGCTTCCGACCTGATCTCGTCTCTGTCAACACAAACGCATCAGACGTTACTGCGCTTAAAGTTCAAAATCATCTCGCGGAGACCTGGGAGCATCTTGACCCCAGCACGCATGTGGATGTCGTACCCACGATCGAGGAAGCTGTGTCCTTGGTGAGAAATTTTGCTGCGACTCAGAAAACTCTTGAGCAAGGCAACAAGAACCACGTCACTGCCCTGGTCACAGGAAGTCTTCACCTTGTCGGCGGCTTCCTTGAAGTCTTCGAAAGCACCAGTAATAACACGACCTAATTGCTTCACTTTACTATTCACTTTCTGAATCATCAACTGATGGACATGAAATTCAAGATATAGACTTCAAAAGTATACGCCCTCATCGGCTATTGAAAGCTAAATTTAAGACCTATTCATCTCTCTGTCTTTATGTATATACGATGCAAGCTATGGCTCACGGTAAAAAACACCGTTTCCAAGGAGTACGAATCATGTATCCATCCCTTCCGTCGCGCGTTAAATCACAACCCGAGTCGTTACCTCCTCTCCCCTCAAATTTAACAGCAATGTCGTCTTATTATCGAGTCTAGCGAAGAAGAACAACATATATTGGCATACTGATGGGGATAGACTCTATCGCAATGGCGCAGACTTCTGTCTAGCACGAATTTTCATGGAGGACAGGGCACAGGGAGACATCCAAAAACGATGAGGAATGTTAGAAATGGACGTCACAATTTTATAAAGGCTCTTATGATAAATCAAGTCTAAGGGAACGCAGAACGGGAGCAAGGGCACTCTGTTTTCCTGCCTCCACCACGTCAGGCTTATTACTGACTGGCGCTGAAGAGCAGCTCATAACACTCCGTTGCACTTTTCATTACGCTACTTATGACCCAGCAGGAAGTCGCTATATACCCCTCGAGGCGAAGAAACAGAAAGAAATCTCCGCTACACTTTTCCTATATGGTTCTCATGGGATTTCTGCTGGCACCACTTGATATGTCAGTAAATCCTGCGTCGCAGCACCAGATTTTACTGCGAGCAATACTGCTCACCACGTATGTGACTGGGGAAGGCCTCTATTACCTTTATGGGAAATCGTTCTACGTGTTGTGGGAGACTCCAGGTCGACGCAACTGTACAGATTCGCACCATCCAGTGAGGCCAACGAAGGCTTCAAGATATACCTTCATGTGGTCGAACCTTACTCCTTTGCTGATTACAGTATTTATATCTTTGCCTCAACGACCACCTACCTGGGGTTGGCCTGGGATCTAAGTCTCCTTGCACAGCAGGCGGGTTGTATCGTCCGGAACGAGGGCGACATACCTAGGGGCTCGCTTCTCGTTCATCGTGCAGGAGCATGAGTGAGAGATTCGAGGTCTGAAGGACTCGGAGGATAGAGGCTTACGCGCCTATTATCGATATCTAACCACCATGTCATTTGGGCGGCGGACCTTGGTTCTCTATCTGTTCCTTCAGTCCAGGTCTCACCAATTACTCTCAGGGCTCAATCGTCTCCGTGATGCCAACAGACGTTGGTATCCTGTTGGACGATGAACCGGGTGGGGCCTGTGTGAAAGGAGACGAACCTTGTGACAACTCTCAAGACCGACAGAGAAAGACTGCACCAGTAGGCTTAACACAAGCTCTTTGCAACAAGGACGGGTATTCGACAGCGAGTGCCAATCACGACTTCAGACGTTGTCAGGGTGACACCAGGTCCGCACACTGGTGCAAATACAACCGAGAAGACGGAGTTTCGACAGTCTCAAACCTTTATACATTATAAGACGAAGTACGAAGACAGATCGGATGCTGAGGCTTGGAGCTATCCTGGAGCTTTGAAAACGAGGGTTTCAAGAGTCAGCGAAACATCTCTGGGAAATAACCGTGAACAGTCCTTTAGTAAGAATGATGGTGATACTATTCATATTCGTGGGCCTAAGAGCTCTCTTCGATCGGGTAGTCGCCGGAGGAAGATTTTTTTCCTCTGGTGGTGTTCGAACTACCAGTGTACTGTACGAACCATGAGATCATGTGGAAGTACAAACAGAGTCTGTTTCGTGAATACCAGGGCACCGAAAGCGGTAGAGACTGGTCCCATGGTGAAACCACCGGCAACTTCAATTTGAATCACGGGCGGCTGCTTACAACCGGAAGGTGACATGTTGAGTCGATATCAGCACCGGTCCAAGATAGTCGCAGAATATTCGCTAAGGTCTCTGGCTTACGACCGCGATCGCTTGCCGGGTGCAACTATTTCTTATTTTTATTGGATCGAATATCGAACTTGCCAGTTGAAAGAAAATTTAGAATGTTGTTGTCATCAATAACAGGATCTCGTGTATCTGGATACATAAATAAAATACTCCGTACATACTAGGTCTTTGGAACGCAGAAAGTGTCATCAAACTCCCTTTACCTGGGTCGCTCACATTTTATTCCTTGGTCGTAGTCTTTTTATACATGTCCTCCCGGAGTGTCGACGTTGTTATTAAGTACTGAACTTCTCGTTGCTGTAAAAAGAATAGATTTGCATTTCACAACTTCCTGCCAGCCGTCGGACTGACTGGACTCACGACACTGAAGATACTTCTTCGCTGGTCTCCGTCCTCGGGCATGGTGCCACCGCCGTCCCCAGTCGGGCTCGGGAGTGTCCCTATCCCGCTGCTCGCGCTCTCGTTCGTGTGCTGGTAGGAGAACCTCTCGTGTTCAGCCCCTCCACGTCCGCCAGCGCCGGCTTCAAGTTCTCTCGGTGACGTCGAGCCCTCGGGTTCTTCGATGATGGGCTGGACGGAACTGCTCTCGCTCCCTTCGCGGCCGTGGTGGCCTCCGAGGCCAAAGGCGAAGCGCGGACGGCCACCACCATGGCCCTGATTCTGACGCCAGGTGTTTTGCGTCGCGGGGAGTGGCCAAGGCGTGGTGGTGTCGCTTGCGGCGGTGGTCGTGCCGCTGCTGCCCGACTCGGCGCTCGCCGTGGATATGTCCTCGGTGAAGCGGCTGTTGCCTCCCGCCGGGTAACGCATGTTGCGCAGCGGGGAAGTTGCCGGGGCGTTTCCGTTGTAGCTCGTCAGTGGGGAGGGGCGGTATTCTTCGCCCGTGGAGCCGCTGTTCGAATTCGAGTTTGAATTCGTATTCGAGTTGCTGTTGGAGTACGTGTGGCCGAAATTCGCATTGTACCCGTAGTCCACGACGGTCGAATGGCGCGGGTGGTCGTCGATGTTGTAGGGCGTCGCGAGCTCGTAAGGAGGCTTGGGCCGCTCGGTCCCGGCCATCTCATGGCGCTGTGCCTGTGGCGGGGGCGTGGGCTCGTCCGACACCGAAGTGTAAGGAACTTGTTGAACTTCTGGGGGCGAAGGGGTCGAGTATTGCTTGTGCGGTGATGGTGCGCAGGAGGCTCCGTTGAGCCAGCGCGTCACGCGCGACGTGCCCGACGAGGACGACTTCTCGGACGAGCCGCTGCGGATGATGCGCCGGCGTCGGAAGAGGAGGAAGATCAAGACGAGGAGAAGGATGGCGATGATGGCCACGGCGACGCTGACGCCAATCACGACACCTTTGGAGATGCCCGAGCTCCTACTCGAGGAGGACTGCTTGAGCGTGCCACTTGACGGGTAAGGGTAGTATTGTTGCGGCGTCTGTCCCGCATATTTGCGTGAGAACAAACCACCCAAGGCGCTGTTGGACCATGCCGCCGTTTCAGTGGCACCTCCATCCCCACCGCCGCCGATGGCTTTGCTGACCGCCGACGGTACCTGATACACGTCCCAGGTGTTTGGGTCATACGTGTTTTGGAATTCGAGCTTGTTCAAGTTGAAAATCTGGATGATGCCTCCTTGGACGCACTCGGCCTGGTTTTGATGTATCCCTCCTATCACGAACATTTGGTCCGGGTAGGGCATTACGCACCTGTGACCAGAGCGACCGTGGGCTTTGTTGCCACTGTAGGCCTTGACCCATTTGAAGGATGGGATTGACAGGATCCAGACATCGTCAGAGGGTTCGTCGCTCGCGTCGAGTCCGTCATAGCCGCCGTAGATGTAGACGTTGAACGAAGAGGAGTCGTTGGCGGCTGCAACCACCGAACAGAACTCTGTCAATTGCCCTGGGGCATCGCCGGTGGTGTTCTGCAGATACCACTTTTGACCGTCAACGTCGTACACCGGCAGTGTCGTCATGAATCCAGGACTTTGCGCCTCACTCTCCGACGTTTGAGACGAGTTTAGTCCGACCGGCCATATCTCTTCGGGTGCGGTAACTCCACCTATTGCCACCAAGACACCTTTCTCCGAGACTGGAATCCAAACCAGCTCTGCGTTCGCGCGTGGCTGGATATTGTCTGGAAGGGTGGTGTTCGTCCATTTCTCGTCCCTCATCACCGACATGTCAACCTCAATCAAGGTATTGGCGGTCTGGTTGGCGGATGAATCTTCATAGTAGATAGGACCCCAATCTGGAGATCGCATCCCACTGAAGTAGAAGCCTAGATTTTCGCTCGGGACGGACACGCCAGCACCATTCGTGATATATCTGGTAACGCCATCAGGCAGAGTGCCTTGATAAAACCCAGGACTCCAGCCGGCTCGATTGGGACCATATTGATACGCTTCATAACCAAGGATCGTGTCTGCGGCTTGAGGAGTTGAGGAGTCTGTCAAAGGACCAAGGCCACTTGTTTACGTTAGCGTTACATGAAACTCGAGATTCCTAGGAGCACTCGCCCATAAAGATATAACTCGTCATTGTTGGCGAACATTGTGCCGTCGACATAGTTTGGAGCGATGTTGTTACCTGCACCGCCAGCTTTGGGCATCTTCTTGAATAGCGCAGATATGTTTGTCGTCGCTGTGTCGAACGGCTGCGAGAAATTGAGTCGAAACATGTCCCCTGCCACGTTCCCATCACTGCTCACCACCGGTGTGGTGCCATCGGCGAACGCAGTCTGCCACCATAGCAGACCACCGTCGAGATAGAGCGCATCTCTGATCACCCCGGCCCTCAGACGAGCCCAATTGCATATTGTGTAATTCTCCTGCACCGATACCGCCGAGGCTGCCCCTGCCAGGAGAATTCCGAGAATTGCACATTTCAGATACGACGCCATGGCGAATCACGTAGAACGGCGGATCGATGTCACCATGTTATATCTCGTGGTCTGATGAAGCAGGCACTGAAACACAAAATGGACGTGCAAGTTTGCGCGGGGGATTTTGTCAAGACTCACAGGATTTCCTCGCAGAGAATGGTCGAACTTGCGATCCGAGACATTTCTCGCATTGATACCTACTGATCTTCACCAAAAGGATATTTGCCACCATCTGGATCGTCATGGCTATGCAATGGGAGGGCGATTGGAACATGGCAGAGTCCTCAGCCATTTGCTTCGTACCAAATGCAGGGTCTGCCGTCTTGCGAAGGGACTGAATGCAAAAAGCAGTCGTTAACATGGATCTTTGCGTCATGGAGAAGTCCGCTTCGAATGAGAGAAGCATTCCAGAGACCACCCTCGTAGACTTCGTTCCTAGCGTTCGATGGCCGACAATCACAACGCAGAACATGGGAAAGGGTAAAGACGGTTCTGGAGTAAAGGGACAATCCCGTCCACATGTGGGCAAAGAACGAAAGTCTACATTGTAACATTGTCATGATGTGCGCCCAAGCAAGGGACAACGGCAGGTGAGCTGTCGAAAGAAAGGAACCGGCAGAGACAAGCGTGAGAACTAAAGCTGCTCGCCCAACCGCAAACCGGTTTTTGCGATGAAGATGGACAAGGAAGACGATGACGGTGGTTGGAACAGAGTTCGGAGAAACGATTCTCCGGCACGTCTTTGCTGCGCTTTTCCCATCTTTCCTCCTCCTCCACCAACAACCACCCGCTCTACCCCTGCAACACCTGCATCACCATCCACTTCGAGGCTCCGGAGACAAACTCCACCGATGCCAACAAGCCCTTTCATCATCATCCTACGAGTATTGCGACCTTCCTGTCTTCGACCAAGGCTAGTACCCTCCGGGCAAAGGCCCCGATGCCAGCCTCCGAAGGAAAAGGTACTGTAGTGCTGATTCCGGCCATTGATTGGCACACCGATGTCTGCATCTGGCAAGGCAGAGATGATCCAAAGCCAGGAACATCATCAAGATGCATAGTTCCGTCCCGCCAACCATGAGGACCGGTATGCAAAGGAAACCGCCGGTGCCATGTGGCGTGTCATTCTGTCAAGACAGCTCCGGAAAGTTGATTCCCAGCCCTTGAGGAAGCCGTGAAGCCCTTCGATGACCGATGACGGAACGCGGTATTCTTTCTTAACTACCCCAAACTGCGATCTTCCTTCTGTATACCTCGCCGGCATTCTGTAGAAATCCGAGAGAGGTCGCGCTCACAGCGTCCTTTTGCTCTTCATTCGTTTTATCTACCTCTCATTTGAACTACCAACATTCGCTCGTACACTCCAGCTATCGCTGGACTGCAGCATGCGTACATGTGAAGGCGGGGGATATTAAAAAAGCGCAAAGTATCCAAGATGCATTTTTCACTCGGACTGTTGGCGGCTTCATCGCTGGCCGTAGCAATAGCATCTGCAGAGGCGCCGACCGCAACGACCATTGAGACGCCGCATCCAGGTCCTCCACCGCCAGTGCTGCAGAATACCACCGTCATAAATGAAACAATCATTGAAATATGTCCACCTCCACCTACTGTCTTTTTCAATGTCACCGACTACGTACCTATCACCGAAACAGCAACAACTACAGTCACCGCCGTTACCACCGCAACATATATCGATACCACCACTCAACCCATTACCATTTTCCAGACGATAATATCAACCACAGTCGTGACAGCGGTTAGTTCAAGAACTGAAGTGTGAAAAGCCACAGACAGCTGACCGAGAAGTAGACGTCGACAGTAACTACGACCGAGACCGAGACCGAGACTGATACAGAGACGTCAACGACTACGACCACGACGCTTTCGATCAGCCCGACAACGGACACTGCGACGATAACCAATACAGCCACAGATACGACGACCGACACGCTCACAGAAACAACGAGCACGACTAACACTGCCACCGAACTCATTTCCGAGTACTTGACAACAGAGCAAGTCACGAGCATCACGCTCTGCCCGACAAGAATAGCCAATCCAACTTATACCGCGAATGAGCCGTACCCTACCGATTGGACGTAAGTACAATGACATTCTCGATCCCATACGGGCTCCGTTCTTGAATAGTCGAGCTGGACCTGCAGTAGGTCAATATCTTAGATTGCATTTTCTAACGAAGCTTCACAGATGGGGTTGTCCCCCGGGTTGGCTTTGTCGACCACAACGACAAAATTGTAACTTTGAAGCCGGTATTCCTGCCGATGGCTTCTATTGTGCTCCCAATGAATGTATACCTGCGGAGGCTCTTCCCGCCTACCTCCCAACATGGGATGCCGACATTTACGGCAACGCCACACCAATCACCAATCCAGGCCTCAATGTTCAAGCCATCGACGACTTTTTCAACATGGGCCCTGAGCAATTTGGCCTTACTTATCAGATCTTCGTCGTCGACGAAGTCTTTACCCTCACATCAACGTTCCTTGAACAGCCTACGCCCACTCTCGCGGCCCGTCAAGCGCAGACCAGTGTCCCAGGAGCCTGTTACCCGTGGTGTAACAACTGCCTCCTCGAAGCACAGTCCAGCGGCAAATCTCCCAAACTTTGCCTACCCGGATCCGCATTCGAAACGTCACTGAATCAGTGTGAGCAGTGCATCAATGTCCATCGCGGCGACGATACAGGCTTTGTCCAGATTGCGCCACAGTTCCAGCAATTCTTAGACTACTGTGATCAATATGCCACAGTTGTCGTTACGACATCTGCGACGGTGACCACGAGCAACGCTGGCGGCACGACGATCAGTGTCGTATCCTCGACAATATCGACTACAGTCACGCCGAAAGCCTCGGCTTCAACGTCGACATCGAGCGGTCCACTAAGCTCGAGTACAACAGTCGTGGCAACGACGGTGACCACGCCAACATCGCCTTCTTCTGCCGCGCCAACTTCACCACCCATCACAACGACGGAGTCAGCGCCATCGACAAGCTACACACAGACCACCGTGGCGTCGACCGACTGGTCTCAAATCACCATCATCATGCCCGTCGGGGACAACAGTACCACGACCGTGTATGGCTCGACCCTACCCAGCGGCAGCGCCACCCTCGTCCTTCCTGAGCCCGTCAGCTCGAGTCCAGTCACTTCAGATGTCACTGGCCCCGCTGCGTCGGGAACCTCGTCGGCATCGCCGGCGACCTTCACTGGCGCAGCTGTCGCCGTGAAATTTGCAGCATCACCCGGACGGAACGCGTGGATGACGATGCTGCTGGACCTACTGGTCCCCACACTCCTTGCACTAGTTTTTTGAGGCAATGAGAAAGTGTGTCGGAATGTGTATAGGGACGGGCCACAAACAAATTTGGACACGCACACGATAGTAGAAGTCCTAGCGGTCGGAGATTTTGGGCCCAGTGGGCCCCCGGAACATACAGTCCGCGAAAACGAAAAAACGAGAGGCAAATTTTTTGTATGTTGGGATGATGATTAACTTAATGTAAGTTGGAAGTAGCAAGAGCAAGTCGAGACTTGAAAGGTAGTCTACCTAGGTTAATATCTATCACCTATCCCCAGAACAACATGCCTCGTTTTGCTTCTTGACCCTGTATAGGCTTATCTTCAAAAGTGCAGGGACCGTCCGTGGGTGCTCTCGCCATTCCTACCAGCAGTAAGAGGTACAATAATGCTCCCTACACACTGTAAAGTCTAGAAGGGTCGTCCCAAGCTCAACGTTCTCTGATAGCAACAACAGCAACAACACTCTCAGCGTCAGACTAGACGGAATTACGGCGGCCTTGCCCCTACCCTATACATGATATACAATTGTGCTCACTCACCTCAAACGCACACACATACACACACAAGGCTCGATCCTTATACGGAGTCTATAACCCCTCCACCCTCTCTCCCGGGCGCGTCGACCTCGCCCCAAGATGTCTTGGGTTGAACCTTCGGGCACCCTCCCCCGAGTTGTTTTAATTTGAGTTTTCTTTTCCTTCTTCCCCGTCAGAAGATTCCCGGCACGAACCTAGCCGTCCTCTTGTGCCACTGCACCCACACGTCGCCAAACTTGTCCCCGAGCATCTTTTCCTCGTCGACGATCCTGCCGCGGACGGCGCGGACCATGACGACCAACATGAAGACGTAGACCGTCCAACCGAACCCGTCCAGCCATGCCCTGGCCGTCGGGGGCATCCAGCAACCCATCACGCCGTCCCAACGCAAAAACACGACGAAACAGCCTCCCCTCACGAGCACGTTGCCCGTGTAGCTCGGGTGCTGCATGTACCGGTACAGGCCGCGGGTGTTGAGCTCCGACGGCTTTTGCAGGTGGAAGGTGAAGTTGCGACCCAGGGCCCCGTAGGCGGCGAGCCGGAGAGGAGCCCCCACGAGGCACACCAGACCCAGGGCGATCGCGAGGTAAGGGGACCAGGTGAACAAGAGTCCGCGGTTGAGGTTTTCGGGCCAAGGGCACAACACCGTACCGTCGTTGGACGCCGAGGTCGGTTCTTTTGCGGTGGCAGCGGCGAGAACAAGAACCATGACGGCGTGGTAAACCGAAAGACCATTGTAGAGGAGTCGACGGTTACGGATGGTGCGGTCGGTCAACACTCCGCGGAGCCTGTCGTCCACGTCTGGCTTCGTCTCCGGGTTGGGGTTGGGTGGCGTCATGGACAGCGACGTGAGGTACCCAGTCAACAGACACGCAAGGGCCAGAGAGACCGACCCGAACGTGAGGTGACCGAGGTCGAAGGTGGGCAGGAGGTTCATTTTTTTTCAAAGGTGGTGGTTTGTATTATTCTTGTCCCAAAAAAACACCCTGTGGCCGAGACAGGGGAGAGTCGATCAAGTATCGAGGAAACGAGTATCCACAAGTAGGGTGGTTTGTTTGTCTTTTGTCGATCAAGTGAGTAGGCCCGGTGTCGTTTGGACGTCGGGGCAATTTTTCTGGTACTGAGCTTGAGGACAAGATTCGATTCCTCTCGTGGGTGAGCAGAATGGTGGGGCAATATAGCTAGGGGACACTTGGAGGGTGATCAAGGGTTTGATAGAGCCGCCGTAACTAAGAACGTGGCCAGATGCCCGAGAGTGGGCGTGTGTGATGGATAATGTGACAAAGGTGTAGTGAAAGTGATCTGGAATGGTGTTTCCCACAGGGTCTTGTAGAGAACAGTAAGGCAACTAACTACCAGGTAGGTCTTGGTTTCGACAGTTCAAGCTCGAGTTGACAGATATATACCTCCAGAATACTCCGTGTGGACATCTGGATAGATGCCGACGAACAATGCGCCTTTTTATTCTTGAGGTACCTACGGAGCAGTGTATTTTTACATGACTCTTCGCCGAAAGTGGATGCCACTCTGATATCCGAACCCGAATACGTAGAGCACAGGTACATAACTAATACCGGGTACCTACATAGGTATGTATAGCAAAGGGTAGATATATTTAGCAACCAGTCTTGTCCGAGCTTGTATGTACATACGTTCCTCCAAGTACCACGCTAGAAATTTGACGCACGTTGGAGCTTGTCTTTTTCAACTATCTAAGGTACCCGTAGCCTCTTTGGTCTACTTGTAGCTTCACGAAGCTTGTGGACGGTCACGGGAGGACCCCATCGTGCCTGATTTGTTTGTTCAGGGTAAACTACCTACCTCCTCCCTACCTAGAGGTATCTTCATTTCCGTACTATTCCGACATGAACCTCAAAAAGCCGCAATGAAAAAAACAAACAAACAAAGGATCAGTAATCGAACATGACGACATTGTTAGTCTTGCTCGGCAGCTTCATATACATGATGCCCTTTTTCCCACCTTTTTGTTTCACACTTGTCCACTCTCCTACCAGGTGTACAGGGAGGTGTACTGAACCCATAGTAAAACCTCAACAGTCGTCAAGGAAGGGGGATGTTTTGTTTGTCTCGATTCGACTGTACTCGTGAATAATAGCCTTGCGACCTCACTCATGTACGTTGATCCGGAACCATGATGACGATATCCGCCGCAGCGTCGAGGATTGTCAGTCGCCCATTCCTCAAGTCATGTTGGTCTTCCGGAGTCGAGCTGTCCAAACGATGGACTTCGCTAGGCTGAGCGAGATCAGACCCAGTCCAGCCAAGCAGGAGAATGACCGGTGACCCTATGAGGTCCTTCTCAACTGCGTCGAAGGTCGCCAGGCACTCTTGTTCCGTTTCGAGGATAGCCAATGTTTCAATCTCTAGAGGCCTCACACCAAGGAGGGACGAAAGAGCTCTGTCAGTCAGGAAGATTGGAAAAGTTCCGGCATCTCTCGGCACTAGATGCTGCTTTTGAGGTGTACGACCGTCCCGAGTAGCGGACCCCTCGTCGCCCCAGCCCGGAGAATACTGCAGGAAACCGGCCGTCTCATCACTGAAGCCGCCGAGGACATGAGGATTCAGCCGCATGTCTATGGACCTTGCATCGACGTCGCAGTCACACCAATCCATGGCCTGATTGCAATATCGGTCTCTAGAGCACGACGGACAAGTCATGCAAAAGAGACGTTCTTGCTTGAACAGAGATGCGAGACAGATCGAGGTGATGGTCACGCGGACGACGACTTGATATGGTGTACCTGGGTCCCTGAGTATGGTCGACCGAAACTCCTGAAGAGTGGTCAGATGTTGTGGCCTTGATACTCGGTCATCGAGGCCGTATTCTTCTTCCAAATCGGCATTCTCTTGCATTGTCATATTGCATGGCGGAGCCATCTGTCTAAGAAATCTCCTCAGCTCTCCCGCGACACTGATTTCGGGATCAAGGAATATTCTCGAGCTATACGAGGTTGCGAGCATTTGCCCGCCGACAACCCGCGGATTTGTAACGAGGAGTATCGTGTGGCGAGGTTTGAGCGGGGCAACGCTTTCGTGAATAGGATTCTCGAAGATGACTTTGACAGGTGCATGTGGATTGGATTGGTCCACGACCATTACAGCAATGGCAGGAAACTTGTGTGAGGTGTCTGTCGAAGTTGTGCTTCCTGTTGTGCCACACGATCAGCTCGAGTCGCCACACGACTCTGCAGGGCCGTGTCTGGGAAAGTAGCAATACCTGAGACACATTTCCCGATCCCCACCACGTACACCACAATCGACACGTTGTGTTGGTACTGCCTGTTTGAATTACTGGCCATCAGGCTCTCGAGCGATGTGACAGCGCCGAGTTCGGCCTGGGTCACCACGTTTCGCAGCATGTCATGGCGTATGAGAGAGGGACATCCTGGCTCGTTCCGAAATATCCTCAATCCGCAGCCAACGTTGCGTTCGGGAAAGAGGCTGGTGGATATACTCGCACTGAGGTCTCTGCTACTGCCTGGCTGCGGCGGTGCTTGCGCTCTCTTGCTCGACGAACAGACGTGGGTAGCCCAGATGGTCACAATGTTGCCCAAGGTCATTTTATATCGGGCATCGAGATACCAGACATTGACCTGGAAGCAATCTCGGTATAAGTTAGCCTTTGGATGGGAGGTTTTTAAATACCCTTCACGTGTTGAGAAGTTGTCAGGTTACCAAGATTTCATCAGTCTCGTCCCTGAGGATGAGTTTGACGCATGCTTTGGCTCCGGTGAGCGTGGGAGATTCGGGGACATGGTATTGCAGATTCAGGACGAGTCCGCTGAAGCAAGCTTGCACTGGTCCTGGTTTCAGCTGTGAGATCTTGAACCTGGGATACTGACTCAACGACATTCTGGTCGTATGGTGATTGGATTCTCCCAAAGTATGGTTTGATTGTGACCGCGAAACAGCGGCAGTCATTGAGACACGTATAGATAGGTGCTTCTTCCTTGAAGATTATTAGCAGAAACAGATGGCGACGAAGAGAAAATAGTTGTAGTATGGCACGCAGTGATGAATTGAGAAAGGAATTGGAGAGATGCTTGCAATGTTTGTTCTGCGTCACACTTCATACAGCCCCTAGTACTTGACTACTGGCCAACCACTTCCGGCTCACGAATTGTGCTTTTTGGGAGCAAGTTCTCGTATTTCATATGTGCACGATTCTCCTGATCTCTATCCTCATCGTGCTACTGAGAACTTCTCTTCTGTTTGTAATTCCAACTTCACATGAATCTCTGAGCTTTCTTCAAGGCGTCTCATCTCTGTGCTATGCTGCTCACTTTAATTTTCTTGACGATTTCTCCTTCATGTTGTCTCATCTCTTTGCTATGCTGGCTCGCATTGATGTCCCTGGTGTCTTGCCTATTTCTTCGACTTGTCCAATTGGAATATTTCTCCTGAGTAGACCTTTCCAGCCTCGTCCTCTGCTATCCAGTAGAGCTCAGCAGGTGGGCATGCTCTTTTAATTGAAAATCCATTCGTGCGCTGGTGTTTGTTCTTCATGTGAGCATGGAAATCTCCTGGTGTGCTTCTGTGGACATCGCAGTTTTTGACGTCGCAAACGAACCTCCACTGCAATGTCTTTGATTCTTTATTTCTGTTGCTGAGGACCGTTGTCGAATTTGGCAACGTTGCCTGCCCTCGGATCGCCTCCGTGATTGGCTTCTTGAGAGGAGCATCCCTCACGGCCTCTTCTCGTCGTTGGCGTTTTGGTGCCGTTGGCCCATCAGAGGCATTGGCTTTTTCGACAGCAACAGCCTTTCTCTTGGCTAGAGCTGGTGCACGACGCCTTGTTGGCGCCGGTGCGTCGTCATCATCGGCGGCGGCGGCGGCGGTTGCGATGGTGCTCGTCTGCTGGAGAGAAGGAACAGCAGGAGGGAGAGAGGGCGCGGGAGGAGAAGGCAGAGCGGGAAAAATGAAGGGAGGCGAGGCCGTCGCGTAAGGAACAGCAGGCACCAGAAGAGAGGCAGGAGCCGCCGCCGCCGCCGGTGCTGCTGCTGCTGCTGTTGTTGTTGTCGCTGTTGCTGCCGCTGCTTCTTTCGCAGCCGGAGAGGGAGGAGGAGGGGAAGGGGACGGCGACCGCAAGACGCCATCCAACGCCGGAGTGTCGACGAAAGCGTCTAGGTCGAAGTACGACCGCATTTGCCGCATGACGGCACGCACCTCCCCGGCCTGGGAGGTGCGGCCATAGTCGCTGATGATTTTTTGGAGGCGAGCCTCCTCTGCCAGCAAAGCTGGCGCGATCTCACTCAACGCCGCGAGGGCGCGAGTCTTCCACTCTTCATCGAATTGAGAAGACATTTTGGGGTGAGTGGATGGAGGAATATGTTTTCGGATAAACATCGGCCGGGAATAACCGGAGCTAAGAAGTTGGAAGCGTGAATAGCCGAGACTAAGTGTGGGATCTATCCGAGTGCCAAGACAACGAACGACAGTGAATGAACAACTGCAAAGTAAGGTAAAGCGAGAGTAAGGCTGTTCACAAGCCCCATTGTCTATGTACAGGCTGAGTGGGATGCAGGCGAACTCCGCTACTAATGGGATTCATGCGATGGGGATGCCTCTCTTGACGAACTCCAGGACAAGGTACCTTCATATGACAGCGATGACCATGGTGTCTGAATGGTGCCGAAATCACTTCTCCTTTGTATTTATCTACAGCTTGCATTCCGCCTTGCTCTCGGCTTCTTTTCATCAATGTGAATATCAATAAGGGGGACACCATCACTAAGGACAAGTATGTTGATCCTGACACAATGGGGGACTGTCGACAGTAACAAGCTCTTCGATGCAACGTGTACGCGCGCCATCTGCAATAGCTGCCGGAATACTATACATACTTGATCACAATAACACGCGTCCATTCCTCATAACTTTGAGCCATATCTTAGTTCTGACGTGCTGTAAATGGACAAAGGTACACTCAACATAGGTAGATACCAAGCTCCCAAAAGGGCGGACAAACATGACATCCCTATGCTTCTCCGTATCCATACGTTGCAGCATTCGCCCTTCCGAATTGAAGTTTCTACAACACCCCAGCATCACCTCGTGTACCCAATTCATTCTCGCAAACTCCTCCAGCAGTCCCAGTCCACCGAGAAGCGTTCCTACAATGATTTTCCAAGCTTTGCGGTGTCGCCTACCACTCCTCAGCGGCCTGATGGCTCGCACCTACATCAACACCACCACATCACACATCTCCCGAAGCTCCTTCAGCACTCTTCTCCAAAACTCGATACGCCCTCAAACGCATTCCCCAGTCCCACAATCCACCCTCTCAAAACCCAGCCAGATACGGGGCATGAAGACTCGCTCGTCCGTCAAGAGATTATGTGAATCGTGCAAGGTTCGTTGCCCTACCACGCCCGCAATTCCATTGAACGAGAAGGAGGGATAGAGAGAGAGAGAGAGAGAGAACTCTAGGGTTATTTTAAAAATTGCACAAACACTGACATTGCTGCTTCTTTAGGCGGTTCGACGGAAGAACCGAGTCTTTATTATTTGCGATAAAAACCCGAAACACAAACAGAGGCAAGGGAAATAGTCGCAATCATCTTTTGGTCAGAAGAGGAAGAAGATGTCACGACTGTAACATATTAGATTATATCACTGGAGCCGAGTCTGTTTGCGGAGGGGGAAGAGCCCATGGTGCATGTCGGACGAATGTTACATCTGCGCAAACCCCCATCCAAGAAAGATACTACCTCTGGACGAGGATTTATAGATTAGACGACGAGTTGCAGCAACCAGGATTGCTAGAAAGGTCGTCCGAGCTTAGGAACAGGCATGTCACATGCAGATGGAAGCAGATACCATCGGGTGAGGAACAAAAGGAACGTGGAACCAGGAAAGCGACATCTCGACTCTCACAAAGCAAGGATCCATTCCATTACAGATCCTCAAAATCAAGTAAAAGAACGCCGTTGTGGTATCATGAGTACTTCGTAGAATCAACTCCTTTGCGTGGCTGCGATCGAGATATCCGCATGGCAAGTTATTTTTCTCATTGGCTATGTAAGAATATCATCACGCCTGCACATTTTCTTTCATGTCAGGCACATTTTGCACCACCCTTGACTTGCTTATACTTCCTTCCATGCCTCATCGCCTTTACAAAAGCACCCCAGATCTTCATAATACGCATTGTTGCTTACGTCGTATCATCGGTCTCACAATAAAACAATGCCAATACCACCTCGTTTCGATTCGTCGGGCTGGTTTCTCTCGTTGATACCGCCATTGATCGGCTTCGTCCTCCAGTTATAAAGGTAATGATGGAGCTGACCGTCACCCGCACCGAACTTCAAATCAGTCAAGAACAGTGGGTTGTCATGCAGCGTCAGAGCATTGAACACGTCAAACTTGGCCTGTAAAAAATGTTTAGCATGGAGTTCATACAATGCTAGGAACAGCATCTGACCTTCTTTGCCTCGATTAATAGATCCTGCACAATCTCCTGCAGTCTGGACTTGAGCCCTTTCTCTTTGGGATTGAAAGCTTGCTCCGTGGCATAGTAATACAGATATGCCGCACGGATCTTGTCATGTTTCTGGCTCGCTGCACCGATGACACTGCTTTCAAGGCAATAAAAGCTAGCAAAATCCGTAATCTTGCCATCGTTTTCTACCACAAAGGACCATACGACCTGATCCTCCGGCTTGTGTCTATTGTAGAACCAGTGCTCGATCTCCGCCTGGTTGAATTCCTGTACTAGCTCAAACCGCTTCAGGTATCGCGTCAGCAGGTCCAAGACAGAGTCGATATCTTTCTCCTCCATGGCGCGCCAACCTAGTGTGCTCGTACTAGGTGGTAGTTGGTTCCGGGCGATCATCTTGGCTGCCGTACTGTTAGGCGGCAGCGGCGAAAAGCCGACTTCATAGAGTTTCAGCCAGTCCAGACTTCGGTGAAAGTAGCGGCAGCTTCCGATCGGGGTAGGGAGGATGACACCGCCTGTGTAGATGGCTTGGTAAACGCCTTCAAGGTGACATCTTCGCGTTACTTCTTTGATCAGGACCGGTGCTAGTCTGCGTGACCGCAGCTTCTTGTGTACACACATGTAGTTGATCTCTACCACGTCTAGTACTCTCTCGCGTATTCGTAGCCTGATCGGGATCCCGAAGATAGTTGCGACAAGCAGACGGCTCGGGCCTTTAGCCCTCACGCCGATATGCCAACTCTTCTTCCAGTCCGGAGATTTCACCGCCCAATCTAGAAACACCGCAGAGTAGTTGAATCTGAACATGGCGTGGTCGTCTTCCACATAGTGTAAGGTCAGGAGGTTATACACCTCCTTGACTTCGGCTTCGTTGGTCATATCAAGTTCAACCCATTCGTAGCCTTCTGGCAACGGTGCGGCAGTCTTGGGGACAAGCTCAGGAATAACCTCTTTGATAGGACCGTCCGGCTTCTCGGAGTCGGGTCTTTCGTCAAATCGAGGGACTGGCTGTGTCTGCCAGAACTTGTAAGATGCCATATCCTTCTGGTTCTTCCCGTTAAGAGACATTCCGCTCAACAATTGTTGTAGGTCCATTTTTCTCAACACGTCGGCAGCCTTCTCAGTTGGCATACCTGCCAGTTCTCCTTTCAGTGTAGGGTTCATCTCGAGCAGTTGCTTGATGTGGTCGTTGGACAGCTTTGCGGCAGGCTGTGAGGAGGAGGAGGAGGATTCCGCGGCTTCGGAGGGCTTATTGCCAGTAATGGCAGAGACTATCTTTGACCTCTTGGACTTTTTCTTTTTCTTCTTCGGTTTCGAGGTTGTCGATTCAACTGCATCTTGTGGTTGCTCCTCCGTCTCCGACTCAGACTCCAGGTGCTCCTCCCGCTCTTCGGGCGAGGTGCCTGGCGGTGCTGGATCTGCCATGGCCGAGTGAAGGATAGTACCAGGGACAACTATCGAAGGAAAGACAACTCAAAAGGGATGTTGAACTATCGAACTAGTATTATTGTAGAAACAGGCAGGGGTGGGCGATGTACACAAACCTGTACTCGTATGTACTTACTAGGTAGTGCAAGGTGGGATAAAGCGAGTTACTCCGCAGACGTCAGTTATTCAGCCAGCCTGATTGAGGGCTTTGGCTTGGCGTGAAATCTCCCCAGAGCCTCGCCAGCCTTGTCGCTCACCTACCGTTCTCATCCTCTTGACTCTTTCTGCCTAAACCAAACGCGCATTTCATACTCTGCATCACCCGTCCCAGAGCTGAGCAACAGTCATCCACCGAACCTGTCACTATCAGGTCCAAGTTGTGTAACCCTGGGCTCTCAGAACGGAATGTCATGCGGACTTCAGCTCCTTGACTTGGTGGTGGCGGAGCCTCGTATTCTCCCCTGGCTAGAATACTTGAGGCCCATCCTGCCCTTGGCCAAGATGAACATAGCTTGTAGGACCCATGCTCCTCTCCCTTGACGTGACGAAGATATAATTACAGAAACACCCCTATGACTGCGTTTGCTCCCCTTCCTTTTTCTTCATCATTCTCCAGTGGTAACAATAGCACTTCCGCCTCAAGGATGGAAGAACCCGGCAAAACATACTTTCTCTGGGACGTTGAAACTGACCCTGCCTGTCAAGTCGCCATTAACCATGCCAAAGCGCGAGCAGAAGTTTCGTCGGAATTCGAAATCTACATGACCGCTAAGCAGTGGATGGATTGGTATGACAAGCTATGCCAGGCCGTGGGCGGTATCGCCACTCTGGGCGCTGGATTCACGTTCACAGTCATCGTCACTCAGTTAGCAGAGCCTGACCCGAACCATCCGAATGGCAGCAAGGTAAAGCATGTACGATTCTGCCTGGCTTTGAGCTGGGTTCTGTTCGTCCTCTCACTGGCCTGCGCCAGTTTTGCTGCCTTGGTCTTCAACGCGAACCGACGATGGTTCACTGACGACTTGAAGATGTGTGTCCTGGATCAGGTGTATCGCAACGAGATGTGGGGCAGATGGGTTGCTCTTGATTGCGAGGAGAGAATAAGTCGCCTAAGCTGGCTTGCAGATCCCGAAAATGCTGGAGCTATATATCCAGAGAATGTAGGTGGAAGGGCTCGCCAGCGGAACGGTTATCGCGATTGTTATGGGGAACCTAGATACAGTTGGATCAGAAGCCAGCAAGGATTTATCTCAGCGGTGATGGTTCTAGTTCTGGAGCTTCTCCCACTTTCTGCATTTATTGCTTCAGCCGAAGCCGTCCGAGCATACGAGAACACATTGGGCTGGATAATTATCGGTTTGATTATTCTCATTACAATGATGGTGTTTGTATTCTGGCTCGCTCAAAATAGGTACGTCTTCCATATTGTTGACCATTTTGCACCAGTGTGGAGGCGGAATCTACTAACCTCTTTCCCTTCTGTCAGTCAATTCATTCGCGACCTGATTTGGCTACACCACAACCAGCAGAGAAAACAGTGCGAATCTGACGGCATGAACTACAAGACAGTCAGAACTAATCTTAGCGTTTTATTGAGATTGAGAGAAGAGGAACCGCCTTCTGGAACACCACGTCTCTAAGATTGTCGATCTATTTCCCGAGATCAAAGTGGTCCCCATTCTGCGGAATGGATTGCTCCCTTCAACTACTTGGCCGACGACCTCCGTTGCCACCTGCGGCTCCCACAACATCATTCAGGTCCCCATAGGATCCAGCCCTAAGGACTTGGGTGGAAAATGGTGGCGGTCCGATTTCTCCAGCATCGAATTGTTCTCGTCCCCGAACTGGACCTTTTTCGTCATAATTCTTCTCTCCTCCGGACCCAATTCAGCCTCACTCATAGCTACTTGCTGTACGGATGGCACGATCTTCCCTGCTAACGACAAATCCAAGGCTCTATCCCCAAAGATATCCACGGAGTCGTTTGTGGCACGCTGTTGCGGATCGGTCAGGATCTTCTCGCTGAAGGGTCGTGTCCAACCAGCCGACTTTGGGTTGGTGATGATGCCTAGGTACTACGGCCTAGTATTTCCCCCATGTTTCTTTCCTTCCCTACATACCCCTAAGATACGAAATGGACAGATCACAAATGAAGATTGTTCTTTGCTCAACGAACCTCGCGTACCCCCTTCATGTAGGCTCTCCTATTTGGCGTAGGTAAGGTATAGCACCGACAGTTCGTCATACAGATGGAGGTTGAGATTGAAACGGGCACCGAGGTTCAATTTCATTCCTACAAATCGGTCTGAAAATGGGGCAAGATGAATGGCCTGGAGCTTTGAATTGTTGAATGGACAATGACGGCACACGTTACACACACATATGTTCCGTCACGGTCTGGAAGGCCGATGGTACGGTTAAAATGCAACATGTCTCGTCGGGTCTCGTTTTGCTCTGATTAAACGTTGGAGTCGGCATCTTGTCATTTTGATAAATACCTTGGTTGGTAGACCTATCGATTTGGTTGCAAACACAACTGGTTCCGTTGGCGATCCGACCCGGTAAGAAAAAAAAAACTCGTTCACCTCATCCTCTACAGTCCACCAAGATCTTGACGTCCTTGTCTTTCTCCTCGATCAGAGGCCGGTACCCATCTTCGGGAACGCGGTCGATCTTGATCTTGCTCGTGATCATCCTCTCGGGCTTCAGGCTTCCATCTCCGAGGGCGCGGATCACACTGGCGAAATCTTTTTGAAGATACCCCAACACTAAATTTTCCGACGAAAAAAAAATTCGAAAGGTGTTAGTTTAGTTGGTGAAAGAAAAAATTAACTCTCGTTCAAACCCAAGTCCAGAATAATGAACGGGAAAAAAGAAAAAAACTTACCACCGACGTATTTCTTCTCCCCAAACACCAAACTGTTGGGTTGGAACGGTACCTACACGATCATGTTAGTCAGCGAGTTTTTGGCTTCTTCAATTTGTGTGTGTGTGTGTGTGTGTGGGTGTGTGTGTGTGAGAGAGAGAGAGAGAGAGAAAGAAAGAAAGAGAGAAAAACACCCACCTCCTTTTCCCATATGGCCAGATTGACAATCGTCCCTCTGGCCCTCACCGACAAGGCGGCACTCTTGATGCTGGCGGGCACGCCGGCCGCGTCGAGGGCCACGTGCGGGCCCTGCCCGTCGCCGCAAATCTCCTTGGCCGCCCTGACCACGTCCTCCCTGGTCGGGTCGATCAGGTGGGTTGCGCCGAAGTGCCTGGCGAAGTTCCGCCGTTCCTCGGCCATCTCGACGACGACGACCGTCTCGGCCCCGCGGGCCCTCAGGCACTGGATCACGCCCAGCCCGATCGGCCCGGCGCCCATCACGATGGCCTGGGTGCCGGGCCCGACGGGGTACTGGTCGACGGCGTGCCACGCGACCGCGAGCGGTTCGACGAGGGCGCCGACGTCCAGGCCGACGCCGTCCGGCAGCTTGAACACGAACTGCGGGTCGACGCAGACGAAGTCGCTCATGCCGCCCCCACCGCCGCTGAGGCCGACGAACCCGGCCCCGTCGCAGCAGTTGATGGCCCCTTCGTGGCAGGGCCCGCAGGAGAAGCAGGCGATGGTGGGTTGAACGGCGACCTTGTCTCCGACTTTGAGGTTCGTGGGGTTTCGCGCCTTGGATCCAATCTCGACGATTTCACCACTCTGTGGCGGTTCAGCATATGGTGCGCTACAAGTCATGGCACAACAAAGAAAAGCTCCTCAGAAAGACATTGAGGGATCAGGAAGAGAGGTTGAGAGAGAAGTAGCAGTAGTAGCAGAAGAGGGGGGGACCATTTACAAATTCGTGCCCGATGGTTATGGGCATAGATTCCTTGGTCACAGGATGTGGTGCATCCTTTGATGGAATAAATGTAGGTGATGAATATTCGTGTACTGTACGTGAGTGATTAATAAGTCAAATAGAGAGAGAGAGAGAGAGAGAGAGAGAGAGAGAGAGAGAGAGAGAGATGTGTATATGAGTATACTTACAGTCAGTCCCACAGATACCACAATAGGCCGCTACACAAAGATTACTCGACGCCTTAGCATTTCGCACTACCAATTTGGCATATCGATGAACGGGCGTCCGAGATGGGCGTGAAATGATGATGCCAGAAAAGAAAAACTCACGCTTAATCTTCACACTCGTCTCTGTACATTCCGGCTCTCCCACGTCATGCTCGAGTCTCAGGTCCTTGATACCATGATATCGTAATGCGCGCATGTTGAGGGAATGGTTTGTAAAGCTCAAAGGGACTCAAAATCCTTATGGAGTAATAAATAGCAATCAGTAGTCGACGGTCAATTGTCACTTGGGAAGTTGCTGAAATCAGGGTGAGCAGTTGTTATTGAGAAACAAGTACAAAGACAAGCACAACCGCCTCAAACGTACAGATATATATATCGTGTATGCGACGAACAGTGCTTCATCCATGACCACTTTCGTTCAAGCAAGGGAGCGAAGGCTGCTTTAATCGCGGCAGAGTACGGGGGAGCCGCAGAGAGCGCTCGTCCGATAGCCCGTTCTTAGGTGCCAGTTCGGGCTAACGGATCCCCGTTAGGCCCCAACTATAGTTGCCTGGCGGAGGATTCACTCAATTTAGCCCCCGTTGTTGATAGAATAGTGTACTTCCAGGGATCCAGACACTTCTCTCAGAGACCGTGTAAGCTGGGGATGAGCTGGATCCTGGCGCGTAGGGTGGCTTTCAAATGGTTGTTCCCCTCTTTTTTGATGACGGCGTGTCGCAACACGTTCCCTGACGTTGAAAGCTGCAGACTCAGTCTTGGTAGTGATTACAGTATCATGTGAGTCCATCGTACCGGAGGCCCGCGGCCTACGCTCCGCGTGCTCGCAGAGGCTGGTGCAGCAACTGTATAGCAGCCGTTGGCCAAGTGGGCATCACGTGATCCGGAACCCAACTACCTGCTGCGTTTACCGCCCTTGACGAGCTACGGAGAATACGTTTGATGTCTACGCATCGAATCAATCTGAATGAAAAAACAGTTTTGTGGCTATATAGAATATTTGTATCCGTGTGCAGTTACATAAGTCTACGAATGGCAATGCAGGATTAGTGAACGGAAGGAGAACTATGTGGATAACGAGCATACTGGGAAAGTGGAGGATCACCAGGCGAGGCTAGTGATGATCTTCAATCCAGTGGTTCACACGCCGTTCGTCCTCCTTCTGACTCTCATCGGCAACTCTCCAGGATTGGAATTGAGGCGCTCAATGTTTTCCAGTTCAAAGTCGCTGGATGGCAGTTCGAAATCATAGTTCTTCACGAGATTCGCAATCACGATGAGCTGCTCAAAGTAGGCAATGTTTCGCCCGATACAAGCTCGGGGGCCCACGCTGAAGGGCAGATGATACCGTGCCATTGTGGCTCTGTCGCCTGTCAGCCAACGATCCGGATTGTAAGTTTCCGGCTTCTCAAACGCTCGAGGGTCGCGAAGCAAGGTATATGTCGGAACCGAGACGGCAACGCCCTCTTGGATGAAACGGCCGGCGATCGTACGACCGCCGGGAGGAACTGTGCGTGGTAGTCCAATGGACTGAGCTGGCCGAAGGCGAAGAGACTCCTCAACGCACGCACGGAGGTATGTCAGGTTAGCAACTGCTTCGTATGTTGGTATGGCGACGTCGCCAAGGTTGGCGTCGAGCTCTTCACGAAGCTTTGCCAGTACCCGAGGATGCTTGTACAGCAGAAAGACCGTGCTTGTAAGCGCAGAGGTCGTCGTATCGCTTCCGGCATTCATGATGACACCGCTTTCAGCCAGGATCTCGCCGAGTTCCAAGTTGAGCTCCTCCCCTTTGTTGTTGACCAGGAGCTTGGCAAAGAAGTCATCTTGTTCCTCGGTCTTGCGCAGCCGCTTCATGGTGTTGTGATACACGATGTCTTCAAACCGGGACCCAGCACGCCTATAGGGATGCCAGGCGAAGAGGCGCGTGGTGTACGGTAGTAGCGGCGCCTCCATGCCTAGACAGGTGTTGACGCTCATGGACCGATGAAGCGCTTCGATCAAGGCGGTCTCGTACACCTTGCCATCTTTCGTCTCGGCCGCTACAGTGTCGTTGCCTCGAATCATGCACCCCAACGACTCCCCGAAGAGCAACTTGGAGATGAGGTCGATGGTGAAATAGTTCAGGTAGCGGCGCATGTTAATGGTCTCGCCGTACGCCGCTCTTTTGTCGATCTCGGAGTTCAGAGTTTGCACCATGCTGTGGACCATTGGTTCCAGACCGACGATGGTTTTTTGCGCAAAGACGTGGGCGAATTTCTTCCTCTTGCTTTGATGTTCAGCCTTGTCGCGAGTATCACCCATGTTACGGTAGGTCCGCGCTCCGCCGTCATACCATCCCTCTTTCAGTAGATTTGCGCCATGCCCGTAGATTTCATTCATCGCGGTCGGGTCACATATAGAAATGTGGTTGGGGGCAATGCGCACATGCGTGCCAAGTGCCTTGTGGGCATTGTGAACAGCAAGATAGTGTTTCTTCCGAATTGCATGTCCGATGCGCCAGAGACTCGACAACCCAGCATACGATGGAGAAGGAAACTGTCGAAGCCCACGCGCATCTCGGAAATAAGAGTATATGGGCTGAAGTATGGGGTAAAGCAGTATGCAGGAAAGTAATATTGGCAAAATCATGCTGCTTCCGTTGCTAATGGATCCGAGGGATATTGGGGGCCGAGGAGTGACTTGCTAGCTGAACTGACACTGTCATGATAGCTGAGCACTGTTCATATATATATACCTGCGACTGTCGATAGAGTCCACAAGCACAGCTCCTTCATCAATGCAAATTCAAGCATGGCCTCGTCCAACCTGTATAGATCTAGGATCACGAGTCGTAACTACTCACGAGCATGGATGACTACCACCCAACATGGCAATCTTTCCCGATTGCCGAGAAGTTAGAGCCATAACTATATGTCTTCCTCATTCCTGGTAGGGCGTAACATTATCCGCATTCGAACAACTCTTGTCAAGGATTTCAAGAACCTGTTGGACTAGTGGCTCAGTACCATCTTCAGGCTAGGTTATGTTTGTGGCTTCCGTATTAGGTAGCCGAAGCCGAAGCCGAGGTGGATCCCCAAACAGCAACATGCTGTATATTCCTTAGGCGACTGCCTTCGAGGAGTTTCTCAGTAACGAGTATCTCGACAGGTATATCCAGATGTGCAGGCCCGTGGGGCGGAAGCGGGGCGAACGGAGACCCCGTGGTGTATCAAAGTCTGGTCTCGCCCATCCAGCTTCTATAAAGCTGCGAGACTGGTCGTAGGTATCCCGAGTTTTCCATCGCATGGTTGTACAATTTTCCCTTAACCCTACACTGCACATCAAAAAAATGTGGACTCTGAGCCTAAAACCCGCCGATGTACCAGGCTCTGCCGTGCCTGCCATTCTTGTTGGCCTGTTTGTGTCATCCGGAGGAGTGCTGTTTGGGTATGCGATCGACACATATCTGGTAGAGGAGCGAAGACTGACAGATTTTGCTCAGATATGACACTGGTATTATTGGTGGAATCCTTGCCATGAAAAAATGGCGAGAGCTCTTCTCGACCGGCTACATCAATCCAGTCGATCACCTACCTGATGTCAACACCGCCCAGCAATCTGAGATCGTGTCGATCTTGTCGGCCGGCACATTCTTCGGGGCTATATTTTCCGCTCCGGCGGCTGACTACCTTGGACGACGTTGGGCCATGATCTTGAACAGTTGTGTCTTCGCCTTTGGTGTCATCCTGCAAGTGGCTGCGACTTCTATTCCGCTCTTTTCAGCCGGACGATTTTTCGCAGGCGGCGGTGTTGGCTTGCTTTCTGCAACTATCCCGCTGTACCAGTCTGAGACGGCCCCAAAATGGATCCGTGGCACCCTTGTTGGCTGCTACCAGCTATCCATCACCGTCGGACTCTTCCTTGCTGCCATTGTGAATAATGCCACGAAAGATCGACATGATACTGGGTGCTATCGCATCCCTGTGGCCGTTCAGTTCCTCTTCGCCATCATTCTTGTCGTGGGAATGCTTCTACTGCCCGAAACACCACGGTACCTGATCAAAGTCGCGAAGCCCAAAGAAGCGGCAAAAGCCCTAGCTCGCCTTCGAAGACTGCCGGAAGATCACCCAAGTATCCAGGAGGAAGTTGCCGAAATACAGGCCAACCACGAATTTGAGCTCGCACTCGGACAGGCGTCGTATCTTTCTTGCATCAAGAAACCCATTCGGAAGAGGCTACTTACTGGCATCTTCCTGCAGGCGCTGCAGCAGTTGACGGGCGTCAACTTTATATTCTACTATGGAACATCTTACTTTTCCAACTCTGGCCTGGAGAACCCGTTCACCGTGTCTGTCATCACCAGCGTGGTCAACATTTGCTCGACCCTACCTGGACTGTGGCTCGTGGAGAAATGGGGTCGTCGAAGGCTCCTCATGTTCGGAGCATTGGGCATGGCCACAAGTCAAATGATAGTCGCCAGTGTTGGGACAGCATTACCGGACAATGTCGCTGCCAACAAGGCTCTGATTGCATTTGTCTGCATCTACATATTCTTCTTCGCTTGCTCCTGGGGTCCCGCAGCCTGGGTTATTACCGGCGAGATTGTAAGTATTCCGACACCAACTGCCGCTTCACTGCCTCTAACATGTCGACCAGTTCCCCTTGAAAGCCAGAGCCAAGGGTTTGTCAATGACGACTGCCTCGAATTGGCTGCTCAATTGGGCCATTGCATATTCGACGCCTTTCCTCGTCAGCAGTGGTCCCGGAAATGCGTAGGAGCTCCGCGTTGACTTGCGCCTTCAGATGATGCGTCTGCTAACTGAGATCGCACGTGCAGAGATCTAGGCTCCAAGGTATTCTTCATCTGGGGCGGCTTTTGCTGTCTCTGTTGGGTCTACGTTTTCTTTACAGTCTACGAAACCAAGGTTCGCCATTCACGTCATCAGGCGGATCAGCTCTTTACTGACAATTTTGCGTGTAGGGGCTCAGCTTGGAGGAGGTGGATGAGCTGTACAATGACATCAAGTATGCCTGGCGTTCACAGCACTACCAACCCTCGTCTACATTCGTTCAGATGCAGGAGGACGTTCAAAGAAAAGCTTCGGTACGGGCAGCTGGAGGAGAAACGAAGACAATTGTCAATTCCAGTGTTCATATCGAAAGCCAGTGATGGTTAATCAAGATTGAAAATGCCACCGTGTCTCACGGTGCAAGCGCCTGGCAACTACAATAGGTGCATAGCTCGTGTCAAGCGTGAAAATTCGGGAGCAAGCACGAAAGGAGAGTCAACGGACGACTAGCTGCAAGGTAAAGTCAGACTGTGTGTTCGAAATTACCCATGAACGAGTCAGAAGGAAAGTTGCGTGGCCCTGATGACAAGATAAACCTTTCTTCCAATATGTTACGAGGGTAGAGAAGTATTGTCATGGGATATATGTACATTAGATTAGAGATTGAGATCCTTGACAATTCCTTGTCGGAGCGTAGTTTCCTCCCTTTATTCGATCCACGCATGAAGCAGGACATTACGGTAATCTATCGGCCTTTGGAGAACTGCATAACAGCACGCGACGCGTCCAAAGCCCATGCCCTTGAACCAGACTCGCCGCCGCCTTCTGGCAACGAGCGGAGTTCTTCGTCTTTACCCGGAGGGAGCCCGACAACCACATCCGCTTTACAAGTGCGCAAGGAGAGAATGTTGAGCTTGGAAGATTTTCCGAGAGGGCCCAAAGCCTCTTGAAACGGTGTGGTCGGGTCCCAACAAGCCTGTGGTAGTCAGTCAATGTGGCATATTTTGGTCGGCGTTGGGGAGGCACATACATCGCCAACGAGCTTTCTATAGTTGAGGTCGCCTTTGAGAACAACGAGGAGTGAGCTTCTCAGTTCGGCAAAAAGACCGGTATTGGATATGGGAAGTCGCCAGAAGCTCCCAGCTTGAGTCCAGAAGTTGCTAGTCTGATACGCCAACCGTCCTTCAGCTCGAAAAGTACGGAGGTCGCCATGAAGGACTTCCAAATGTTGCGGCTGCTCATCATACATCTTGGCAAAATCCCCTGACCCACTGTCATTTGAGTCTTTGAAGAAGTCTAGAGGCCGTTGAATGATGTCGAACAGTTGCTCGATGTCTGTCGGAGTGGCGTCGCTGACGAACCACGGGATTTTTTTCGCATGCATCTTCACGTTTGTCGCAAGCCCGCTCTTCAGGAGATAGCATATCACCACAACATCCACAAAGAGCTCGAATCCAGCATTGTCCAACACAAAGTCCACCGTCCGATGCTCTTCGCCCTGATTCCTTGCCTGCCAGAGGAGATCGAAGGCTCGGTCTAGGTCATTCACCAAAACTTTGTCGCGTCGACGCTTGAATACCTCACTGCCCTGGAGCTGCTGAATGTTCTCGTAGGTGAGCGTGGTGAGAAGGCTGAGGTCCGTCGCGTTGCCCCAAAGGCACTGTTGCATCATGTCCGAGAAAACGGCCCTGTTCCTCTCGACTGCTTCAGGGGATAACACAGTCCCGCTGTCGCATCCGATATTTTCGGTCACATTGACATAGTACGCCGCCATTTCCAGGACAGCATTCTTGGACTGTTTGAATGCGTCCCTCTTTTGCTCTTGAAAAACATCATACGTTTCCCACAATGTCCTACGCGAGAACGATCCGAAGAGTCGTCGATAGAGATAGCACTCGCTGAATAGCCACTCAACTTCATGCCATCGTACCCCCACAGTTGCACTTTGCGCCCCTCGGTCTTGGAGCTCCTGATTGTAGATGGCGACATCACCACGAAGCTCTCCTTCTTCATCCGGCAATGGAGAAAGCGTGCAGTTTTGATGCATTTCTTGCTTTAGACATTCCAGCTCCGCAACAATTTGCATGCCCTGTCTTACAATCTTCGGATTGCTGCGTTCATATTGGTCAATTTGACGTTGGACATCTTTAATGGCATTCGTGACAATTGTTGGCCATCGTTCTCGCACAGATTTGTAGGCGAATGATGCGGGCGATGATGTGCTGCTTTTTGGAAGGCTGGGATCAAATTGCATGTTGAAAATGGCCACAATGCAGAGTTCAAGAATAGGGCATTGATAACTGAAACCCGGTCCTAGAATGCTTGACGAGGTCTTTGTAGGCGTGATTATATACGGGCGACGGGGCATCTGGACGTGGAGATTTCTGGTTCCATGGGGAGGTCAAGGTTAGGTCTCCATGCTACCGTGTTGGCTCTCGTGCTAGACATTGCCGCCAGATATACTCAAGTAGGCATCGCAAAGCCGAAGGCGATAGCTGTGGTGTCCTTACCACGCGATCGAGGTATGGAGGGTCCTCCAGGTTTGTGGCTTGATGTCAAGAAGGCTAACCCGAAAAAGAAGGGCTGATGGGGTTCATTCCCGAAGTCATTCGGCAACCATCGCCTCCCTGGGAAGCTTATCCCGAGTCTCGGCAAAGGTGGGAATTTGTGAACCGGGGAGGGGGACACAGGTATAAGACCAGGGCTGAAGTGGCTGCAGCGAGATCTTTCAGGAGAAGTTGATACTGATGCTGATAGTGAATGAGTATGTTGAGATCGTCCATCCGTCAATCTGTGGTGGCCAAGGTTATGCTTAGATCAATGACTACCGCAAAGCTCGAAGTCACAAACAGAGTTCCGGTGGTTGTTTCACCAAGCAAAGCTGAGGTAGAAGCCGGCCGACTTAGCGAGCGAAACCTAGAACTTGCTGTAAGAAGTGTCCTCCAGGACGGTCTGGTCGTGATCAAGGATGCCATCAATCACGATGTGCTCGACAAATTGAACGCCAAGATGAAAGAAGATGCCGTCACACTTCGCAACGCAGGAGACAGCAGTCCGTTCAACTACACCAAGGGCAACCTTCAACAAGACGCACCTCCTGTTAGAGCCCACTTCGAGCCGACCATATTTCTCAGTAAGTCGATGCTTTCATGGGGTTATACGCCCGTTAACGATGGACAGATTCCCTTGCGACCCAGGTTACCTCTTCGGTTTTGGGTCCACGGCCGAAATTGACCTTTATGTCGGGAAACACCGCGATGCCGGCAACCGAAGACGACGTACCCCAAAGGCAGCCGGTTCATGCAGACTCGGACTTCAGACATCCTTCACATCCTTTTGCGTTGGTTGTCAATGTCGGACTTGTGGACATGAATCCGAACAACGGGTCAACAGAGCTATGGTTGGGAACACACAACACGACCAGCGTTGACGACCAGGAAGGCGCTCATGGGGAACGTGCAAGTGGCAGGATTAAAGAGGCTTTGCTGGAGAGGCGACGTGCAGTTTTGGCTCCCATGCAACCCACGATTTCAAAGGGATCACTCATAATCCGTGATCTCAGGCTGTGGCACGCTGGAATGCCGAACTTGACCCCGGAATTCCGCATCATGTTGGCAATGAGTAAGCTCGCGTCCTGACCAGTGCGACATTGTGCTGACGAGTCAAGTTCATTTTGCGCCGTGGTATCGAAATCAAATGCGCCTGGAGCTCGGCGAAGGCGTTCGATCTTTGGTAGAGGCCGAGAAAGACCTCGACATCCGAGCGGATTTCATTCCAGAGGAGGAAGCAGTGAAGCGGTACCTGCATCGGGGTTTTGGGAACAGCTATGACTTTAGTCAGAGCCCTTGAAGTCTTCCTCCCAATTTTAAACACGTAGGACACTTGCCAAGAAGACAGGTAGTATGATCCAGGATATTGTTAGATACACTGCGTCCATACAAGAGTAAATAGCTAGTTGTCGACAGTCAAAAGTAAACCAAGGCTCAAAGGAAAGTAAGGCAACTTCTGTCTCATTGAGGATGCCGAGAATTGCAGTCGGGCTCGAGTGCGCACACTAAGCCCTCTCTGAAGAATTCGCAGGCTCTCAGGACCATCATATTGATGGAATCTGGAGGTGGAGGGCAAGATGAAGCTTTGGATTCGCTGCTCGAAGTCTTTGCCTGTTGAAGAATTATGCGGCGAGTCCATCTATGCTTCGCCGTAGCTAGCTGTCTCTCATAACGGCAATTAAAGCGAGGCCCAGCAAATCGGGGGGGCTGCTACATCTCTTTCTAGACATCGATAAATATTCACCTAATACAATACCGACACAAGACCTGACTTGAATCAGGCCATATCAACCATGTGCTAGCTGGTGACGAAGCCCAGCAAGTACCCAGCTGTTCTTCATGCCGAGAGCGGCTCCACCAAACTGTGAGTTCATGCTCGGCTCGTCTACCGACCTGCTGACATGTCTATCTACCAGCTTGGTTCGTAACCTGAACATATGGCAAGTATCTGTGATTGACGCGGGCCATTCGTAGTTCAACATGTCTCAAACGTAAGATCAAGTGTACGGCTGTGCTTGCCCTCCCTCTCTACCACCCTTCTCTGTTGCTGATGTCAATGGAAGGCGACGGCGAACGTCCAATCTGTGGAAGATGCCGCGTCGGCGGTCGAGAATGCCATCGACCGGACAAAGCAATCCGCTTCATATTCGGTAATACGACCTTGTCAGCGGGTCGCGATACACCAAGCTCTACGACAGTGGATAACCACCTGAGAGCTATGGACTCGCCGTCACTTGAAATCGAGACGCAGACTTCGACTCTGACTACGGGCCGGCTCCAAATTCTGGCCTCGTCTGACCCTGGAAAAGCTCTCACGGATCCCGAGGTTGCCGAGGCCTTTGCCCATTACATCTCCGTTCTTGCTCCGTGGTATGACTTGAATGATGCCGAAAGGACCTTTGGCACCCTGGTGGTCGAAACAGCGCTGCAAGTGCCGATCCTGTTCAAAGCTATTGTAGCCTTTTCTGCTTGTCATTGGAGTAAGGTAAATGGGTCGATCGCCGAGATCGCGAGCGCTTTCCACGACGCCTGTGTGGAGGACTTTTTGTCTTCAATGGAGTCTCCAGACACAACGCTCAAGGGCAGTAAATTAGCTGCAACTTGCTTGCTCCGGTCATATGAGATCATCAATGGTACATTGTTGCCTTGCAGGAGGGTCCAAATCTCGCTGACTTATTTGCAGGAGGCTCTCGGATAGAAAGCCATCTTCTGGGGGCCTATTCATATGCAGTGAGCGAGCCGATCAATTTCTCCGAGAGAGGCATATCGCAAGCTGGTGCCTGGAACTATCTTCGAGAAGAGATCACCGTTGGTCTTATGCGGCGTCGTAGAGTCCGCATGGGTCAGATTTTCCACAGTCATCTGGAAACCGACCCTTATGATGTTTCACTTCCCAACCGTATAACTTACCTCCTGGCCAAAGTCATCAATTTCTGTTTCATCGAGCCTCATCTCCAGGGTCTTCCAGCAAGCCGGCAAGCCACATGGCGTACCCTCAACTCAGAATTTGTGGCCTGGAAGGCAGAACTCACACCGAGTTTTGCATCGTATAGTTCTGCAGCCAAATCTGGTAATCCATTTCTGTCCCTTTGGATGCTCAGACCGTGGCACGGTAAGTTGGGGTAGCAGCGGATCCCACAAGTCAAGTTTCTGATGCTGACCGACACCTCTGATTCTAGTGGCTGCACAGCAATATCGATCTGTGGTTGAAATCCTGCTGAGTTTACACGACCCTCTTCCACTTGGTGGGCATATCAGCCGCCGGAGCTTCGCCTTCGCTGAGGAACAAGCTCTTGTCATATGTGGGTTGGCATGGACCAACGATGACGACTCGGCGCGTGTCAATGCATATGGACCTTTGGCCTTCTGTGGGTCCTTCCACTGAGTTACTGTACTTCCAAGGCTAATCTACTGGGCCAGGTGGGAGGTATCTGAGCCAAAGACGCCATCAGGAAGCACTGGTGGCATTTCTCCTCAAATCCAGCAACGACACAGGTTGGCCCGTCGTTGATATTGTCAACGATCTTCAGGATCATTGGGCTTCTGAGTATCAAGCATCATAGAGCACCGGCCGATCGATCGGGACTTGTGTGGTTACAGGTAGTGCGCGACTTGCTCGACCAGAAGCCTCGAGTGGTATGATTGTACTACGAATGAGGCCGCCCACGACGCAGCTGGTGAGATACCGAGGCTGCGCAGTTCGAGACACGGCCACTTGGCTCTCAATTGCACCTCGATGAGGTACAAAGCGATGAGTCCTTTGTCGAAATGGAGCAACATGGAGACTATGAGTGCCTTTCATCTCTTGTATCACACCGATTCATGCGGAGTGTATCAAGCTCATGGACTCGAGTTCATCGGTTATCCTGATTGTTCACCGGCGAGGCGCCCCCCCTCCCCCCGGCAATCAAAATCCCCAATCACGGCAAGTGAAAGTCGACAACCATTCGTCTGCAGTCGTCAGACGACAGATGTGGTCACAGCAGTGACTTACCCGGCGACCTGGCCAGTCTTGAGCTTCTGTACAGCTTCGTTCCACTGGCTCAGTGCTACGACCGTGGCTTCGAGATGGAGTTTACCTCGTTGGAAAACATTGGCCACGCACATTCACAACATTGTCCCTTGATGGAGGAGGATCTCTCACCGAGTCTGGCAAAGTCCAACGTCTCGTCGGATGTCGGCCAAGGGATCTGGCCAACGTACCTTCCACGGACTGTCCTCTGCAGATCATTTGGCCCGGGGTTCAAGTCGATATGGTATTTGCCGTCAGGAGGTAGAACCGATACTGTCGTTTCGAGGCATCCAGCGTCATCTAGTCGCCCGCCTCGTAAACCGAGTGAAGGATCCTGGGACATGTCGCCCACTCACCGCATAACTTCGACCAGGATCTGCTGACCGATATGGTTGAGAGCGATCGGGAATTAACGGTACAGCCGAGTATCTCGTCAGTGTCACGACAACCACATTCTAAATCGCGAACGATTCATGCATACTATTTTAGAAACGACCACAGTCGACTCACCGGTCACAAAAACACGCTGTGGACCGCCGTCATGAGGGTGATCTCGAGAACTTGCCTTGACCGGATCACTTCCTCGATGTCGAAAAAGTGCCTCACACCCAGGCTCAGGGCAAAGTTTGCGACGTTCATCATCGATATCTACCACAATGGGCCAAAGACCCCATGGTAGCAATAAGCTGAATACCTTGGCCTACACCGACATGATCGTCGCCCTCGCGAAAGAAAGTGCTAGTGACGAGACTTGGCAACAGGATTTGACGCGCACAACCTTCACAAATAGAGAGCGCAGCCGAGACGAAACTCGAAAGCCTTAAAAGACACGTCGAGTCTTGAATGTGATTTCTGTTACAAGTGACAACTCTACAAGTGTTCACGCCACGCTTCGTAGCCCAAATAAGGCGCATAATAGAACAATTTGATCTACGTCAACGCGTGACATGAGTACCGATACCTACGGTAGGTACTCCGTACTTGCAGTATTTCCCCGCAGTCGTTATTTGGCAGCCACAGATGCTCACAAGGCTGAGATTTAGCCTCTCATTCATTCTTGGCAGCCTCGTGTGGCTGGAGCAAAAGCTGGGGATAGAAAGATCGACCAATGCGCATCATAAAAGTGGAAACAGACCATCATCATCAGATTCCCCGAGCGCAATGGGCGATCATCCAAGTGTCTCAATGTACATCTTTGAGTTCTCTATTTGGTACTGACTTCTCAAAAAAGGGGGTTTCAATCACAATCAGATTATTACCTCTTCTCTGTCTACTAAGTGCCCCCTCCAATGGTCATGTTCACCTGTCTCTGTGCCAATGCATACCTAGACATAAACACACACGCTCGCTAAAGGATTGGAAATTGCTTTTGCCCCGGGAAGCAATCGCAGAACGCTCACAAAACCACATAAATCATATCGCTTTGTTCAATGCCCTGCCCCAAGTCTCTCATGTCACCATTGAACCCCTAATGATTCGTTCCCCTAATCATGCCAGTCATTCGCATGTCGTCGTTCACCCACCAGTAATTAGTCAACTTGTTTTTGTGTCTGTGTTTTTGGCTGTTACACCTCCCTAACTTTTGTACCTCTGCCATTACCCGAGAATAAGAGTCTGTCCAACGTGATCTTCGAGCTAAAGGATGGAGGTTGCTATTACACCGCCGAGGATCGAACGTCTAGACGAGAAGCTTGAAGGCAGCCATGAGGACGGCAGCGAATGCGCCAGTAGTGACACGAGACATGCCAGCAGCTGCGTTGTGGGACTCGGTAGCTGAGGCAGAAGCACTGGCGGCTGTGGCAGATCCTGATTTGGAGGCAGAAGCGGTGGAGGAAGGTGCTGCTGAAGAGGTGGAAGCAGCTGCGGAAGAAGCAGCAGCGGAGGAGGCTGAAAGAACTTCGGCAGTCGCATTACGAGTACCACACTGCTCGTTCTGCTTGCAGACACTCTGGGCCTGGGCATCATTGGGGTTGTTGTTGATACATTGGATGTAGCTCTCTTGACAGATGAAGTAGGGCAGAGTCTGCGTGAAAGCAGTGCAATCGGGGACGGTTCCATTGGCACAGACACAGCTGTAGGTGAAGGTTGTCTGATGGCAGGTTAGATCAGACCGTCAGAAGTATACCAATTGTTGAGTCACTCACATCGTCGCATTGATTCAGAGAAGCACTTCCGCCGCAAATCAACGGGCAAGTGTTTAGCTGCGCATGACACCAGTTGACTGCTCCCGGTTAGTGTCTTGCCATTACGAATCGTTCAGCGGCCTCCTCTTACATGCATCGGTTGAGCTGATTCCAGCGGGGTTGAAAGACGCCGTGGCAGCTGGTGGCATTACTTGAGATGCAGTCGACGTGGCCGCGACCGAAGAAGCGCTAGAGGTCTCGAGGTCCTGCGCATAAACGACAGCGGCGACGGCCGAGGCTGCGAGGAGAAACTTGGACATCATGATGATGGTGGTGGATGTTGGTATGGAGAAAAGACTTGTTGTCTGTCTGCTCTGAGATGCCAAATGTCAATTGATGCTGGGTAAAAGAAGATGATGAGGGACGAGATGGAGGAGTGAAGCTCGTTGGCGGGGAGTGAGATGGAAGGGAGAAAAAAAAAGAAGTTGAGAGCAGTCGCTGGGAGGGAAAGAGCAGGCTGGCTGGGTGTGAAGCGGGCCGGTTGGGATGGAGCAAACGGAAAGACTGAGGAGTGATCAATCCACCGCGATAAGGTGCGATACAGCTGGGGAAAATAGCCACCGTCCGTACGTACCTTTGCTCGGAGGCTGGAATATTTGTGAGGCTGTTGCTAGGGAAGCTACACTGTCTCTCCTCTTATGTATGTGTAGACGACAGTAAACGATGAAGAAGATGAAACCACCGTCAATGGCCGGGCGACGGCGTGGCCTTTGTATTATTCTTGTTTTTTTTTTCCGCAGCGGAAGAGAAGAGGCGGCGGGATTGATGTAAAAAAGCGAGTAGAGCTATCTCGAACTGGGCGGCGACTCACTAGGCCCGGGACCAGGGTTAAGACGCACCTAAAACGCAAGCTAAACGTAGCTAAACGGGGTGCCCAAAGTCCCTATTCGCAGGCGCTCCAGGCGCAACCCACACCTCTAAAACACATTAAGAGCCGCCTCCAATGGCAACCAGTCCAGGTGGCAGAAATGTCACCCACCACCCATTCAGAGCCGCGAATGTTCGACGAGTGTCCACGTAACCCCATGCCTAGCGCAGGGAACCAGAAGCCCCCAACCCAGGCCTGTCGTGACCTCTACAGCTACGAGCTTGCAGCACGAGGGGAGGGGGGGGGTGCATTTCGAGCTACTTCGGTACGAGGACGGAGTAACGATACCAATAGCTCCGGCCGCAAAAATCCCACCACTGAACGGAGGCGAGGCTGGTGTGACGGCCAGCACATTCCGTGCCGAGGTTCCTTGGCTACTGTACAACCTTCCCGCTCATACCGATTCCCAGCACTTTGGATGAATTCGATAAACACAAGAGTACCGACACGTTCTCGTACATTTCGGCACACCTCATTCCTGTGACTTGCCTTCTTGCTTCGTGTCATTTTTGTGAGACTGGGAGATGCACGGTAGGTGACACGGCGGTGCAACTTCAGAAACCTCTCCTTCATCATGGGTCAACAACAAATGGATTTCATGGACAAATTCATTGCCGCCCATGCCGTCCCAAAAGAAGCCCTGGCGCATTTCGCGGCCAACGACTTCACCAACAAACACCTCTCGAACCCTCTCTATCGGCCGATCCCAACCTACTCCCGCGTCCTCAAAGACGACGGCGAAGACTTTTTCTTCTCGCGGACGGTCGCCACGCCGACCACCATCCCGTACCTAGTCACCCTGCAGTTGAAAGATTTCCCTTTTGCCGAGGATAGTCCCAAGGGCACGTTGAAGACAGGCCAAGGGCACAAGGCGGTGGTGAAGGTGCCCGAGAACCCAGACTGTGTCATGCTCCTACACCTCGCCCGCCCGGGGGTCGACGGGCACCCCGCCACCATCCACGGAGGGGTGGCCTGCGCCATCCTCGACGAGATGATGGGCCTGTGCGTCATGCTACACCACCAACATCTCGAGGGGGCCCGAGAATCCCTCTACACCGCCGGGCTGAACGTGACCTACCGTGCCCCCGTACCGACGCCGAGCGACGTCATTGTCAAATGCTGGCTCGAGGGAAGGGAAGGTCGAAAGTGGAAGTCAAGAGGTCAGATCATCAACAAAGACGGCCTGGTCATGACTGAAGCAGAGGGTCTGTGGGTTTTGGCTAGAAACGAAGTCAAGTTATAAAAGGATCGTAGTCCCGTACAGTATGAGCTCGTCGGCGATACGGTGGTCTGACATGTCCCGATCATGGTTTCGAGTTGAATTTCTACGTCAATCGGTGGAACTCATAGACTTGACAGCAGCAGAGTGGACCTCTACGCCACATGTTTTTGGACCTCTTTTTTTTTCCAACACCAAACCACCAAAAGGAACAAACCTTCCGGAGAGCTACTCTGGTTCTCGTATCCGTCGCCCCGTTCATTTTTTCTTACTGATAATGGATCTCTGCTTCCGCTGTCACCCGGCGACAGGTAGATCCATCTCAAGAGTTCGGTATACAGTACATATGGACTGAGTCAAACAAACCTACGCGTATCAGATGGGCCTCGGTGATGATTTTCAACACCTACGGAGTACGCGAACAATGACACTCAACATGGATCAACAAGACCAACGACTATACCACAGATTGACTTATATTATCTAGAGATATAATAGAGGAGACATACAGACCTGTTTCTTTTTGCGTATCTCTGTTTTGTTTTTCCCGCGAGCCATCTCATGGTCAATCATTGTCAACTCCTGTTTAGTAGAGGAGAAAAAGCACCCCGAGGGAGTATATACACGGTGATATGTAGAAGCAAGTGACAAGTGGAGCTACCCACAGAGTCTCCGTATTTACTTTCCTTTGCTACATAAATCCTTCCATTCAACGTGAAAAACACCAGAAAAAAAGACATCATCATCATTAGGTATCATTCGAGTACGACTGTGTGTACACGGGTGCCCAAAAAAACCAACCAAAGGCAAATGCTCAGCTTGTACGGAATACATGATCCTCAATCACTCCCCTTCATACCCTTCACCGACGCTCTTATCCCTCATGACCATGATCTCCTGCATGGCCCTCTCCCCGTCGAGCTCACCCTCGAGGACCAGGCCCTTTTCGTTGGCCAGGTGCAACAGACAGATGAAACAATAACTCGTGCTGATGTCCTTCATCTGCTGCTCCGGGTAGACGCCACGAAGGTCCTGGATGAGTTCTGTGAATTTCAGACCGTCCTCTTGTCCAGCCTGGCCCTGAACACTTCGGTCCGGATCTGCATCACCATCGACTTGCTGCTGCAATTCGCCTTGAAGTTGGTCCTGATCCTGTGACGTTTCATGAGCGTCCACGTCCACGTCCATCATGTCAACATCCTCATCAGCAGCCGACACTTGTTGCTGTTGTTGCTCCTGCTGCTCCTCCTCCTGCTTACTCGTCGGCTTTTCAAACACATTAATAGTCAACAATGCCAATTTCTCACTCATCCCTTTCCACATATTCTCCTTCAACCTCCTCACATCCACCTTCTTCGCCGTTCGCGCATAATTGACATACTCTGGCCTCAAGCGACGCCCGGCCTGCGTCACGAGTTGACTGCCGAAACTGCCCGGAAGTAGATCCAAGACGTTTTGCTGCGCTTGAGGATCCTGGCTAGCTGCACCACCCTCTTGCGAATCCTGGTTCGGCACGCCACCATCTTCCATCATGCCCATGAATCCGTCATTCTGCTGCTGATGCTGCCCGTCCGGTGGAGGTGGTGACAACATTTCTCTCGCGTCCATGAAGGCCTGACCCTCGTCCCCAACGTCCATACCACCGACACCGAGCCCGTCGTCATCGTCGTCAATGGGTAGCGGGCCATCAAAGAACGGCATCTGATCATCGTCGGCGAAGAAGTCGGCATCGTAATCGCCCTTGCGCCCCTCATCTTCCTCGTCTTCGTCAACATCGCCTTGCTGGCCGTTGATAATGGCGAGCCTATTTCTAGCCCCGAAGCCCTCATCAATGACGCCCATCTTGCCCTTACGTCGACCAACGCGACACTTGGGCTTTGTCCATAGTCTCATCAACTTTCTCGGATCAACCACTTCGTCGTCCTTGTCCAGCAGGTTGCGTCCCTTGGTTTTCCATTGCGCCTTGGGTAGACTGATTTGGCTGTTCAGTACCGCCGGCGCCTCAAGCAGCTCTTTCAGATTCTCTGACATGGGACCCAGGAAGTCAATCTCGAAAGGCTCCTTCTCCTTGCGCTGTCGTGACGCTGGCGCATTCTCAGCTTGCGCAGCTTTCTGAATCTTCTGCATGCGCCAGTTCTCCAGTGTCATGAACGCCATCTTGCCTTTTGCTCTAGAGTTGAACGCTTTGTCGAAATACGCCATTATGCTCTCGTGCTCGGCGTCTTCTTGGTACTTGTGCTGCAGAGACAGTGCATAAGCATTGTTGTCACCCTCGAGAAGATTATCGTCCATCTCCCCGGCCTGCACGACCCGCGTCTGCGCCTCGATCGCTGCATCCTTTGCCCACGCCTCACCGCCCTCGCCGAAGCCAACGTTATCGGCCACGTCAAAGCCGCCGAGCAGACCGCCATCGTCGTCATCGTCATCGAAGCCCATGGCATTTGTACCGTCCAGGAATATACCAGTTTGATCTGACAAGTTGATATTCCCATCAAGTGTAGGTGGCGCAGGCGTAGTGGACCCTTTCTTCTGCTCACGCCAGTCGTCTGGCGCCTTCAAGAATGGAATATTCAGGTCACCCGATGGGTCGCCGAGTGTGAACGCCTTCATCGAAGGGCACACGTCCTGGTTGTCGAGAACGCCGAGGTCAGGGAAGAACTTTGCTGCAAGGGCTCCCAAGTCGATTTCTTCGTCTTGCTCTTCGGCATCTGGTGTACGAGTTGGCTCCTCAATCTCTGCCTCATCCGTTTCCGCAGCGGCTTTCGTAGCTTCTGCAACAGCTGCGTCCGCCTCGTCTTCTTGATCATCCTCATCCTGATGCTGGCTTTTGTCTTTGTCCGCCGCTAGCGTCGCATCACCTGCGTCGTCACTGCTATCGAACACAATCCGCCCATCCGAGTCAATGGACAGATGATTCAGCAAGAGACCCTTAGCCCCTCCCTCATCGAAATCTGCCGACGCCTTCTTGAACAGGGGGTCGACTGCGAATTCGAGCTCGAGTTTTTTCCCTTGGAAACTCGCAAATCCCGGTGCAAGTGTCGCTTCATGACTCCGCGCGCTCTTCTTTTTGCTCTTCTTCTTTCCTTCCCCGTCTTCGCCCACACCATCCTCGCCCTCGTCACCTTCTTCGTCATCGTCTTCCTCGCCGTCGTCCTTGTTTCGCTTCTTTCCCTCTGCGCCATCCGCAAGACCACTGAGCAACCGACCAGTCTCGGTGGCCACGCTGTCAACGCGACTTGTGTAGATCTTGACGCACCCATCAAGCGTGCAGCTGGCTTTTTGGAAGTTCACCCCGTCCCCTTCCTTCAGCAAACTCATGTCGTGGAAATAGTCGATCAAGGCGAAATTCCAGGAATTCGCGGCATTGATCTTGTTGTCCGTAGCCATCTTCATCCACTCTTCAAAGTTTGCGAGGATAGGCACGCGCTTCATGGGTGTCAGCGTATCGCCCCGCGGGCTGTTTGCATTTTGGCCTCCGCCGTGATTCTGCTGCTGACTCTGCCTCCTATGCAGCGCGACCTTTTTACGCAGGTGCGCATCGCTCGTGCGCGGTGTGCGGGGGGAGGACTCGGACATGGCTCGACTCCCAGAAGTGTCTCGCCGATCGCGATTGCGATGCTGGTTGATCTTCCGGACGGGACTCGCTGCGGCGCGTATCTCGTTCATGTGGATTTCTTGGAGGGCTTGTCGAGACTGTAGGCGGGCGGCTTTTTCGCCACGATCATCGTTCAACGCCAACCTAGAATTCAGAAGACCGTCAGTAAGAGGAAGGATAACGCGCTTGGAGAATATCCTGTAAACTTGTCTGAGGGCTGAATGCGCGGGGTGCATTTTATTCAATGAGGCATCCATGCATCCAAAGCAACGCAGCTCTTCCAGAACTTCACTCGCGCCCGCCTCGCTTGAATGTATAGGTATTGCAGTGACAATATCAGAGATGTTGTTTCTTACTTTATCGGCGACCCCTTGCTCCTTTCACGAGCCATGTTCATCACCACCGCTTGCCTGCTCGGGCGGCCTCCGCCTTGTGTCGAAACGCGAGGCATGTTGTGTGGTCGTCTTGATTTCGAAGTCACGCTCGAGAGGAGTACTCAGTCAGTCCAATTCACCTCGCGAGGGACGTTCCTCGTGCCACTGGGTCCTAAAGGGGACGACTATTGCAGCATTAAAGGGTCGTCTATGACTCCTTGCACCGGATCTGCCAGTCGTTTGTTGAGGTTCTGTCGTTGTCGTTTACCGCAGGCTGGTGTTTCTCAGACCCAATCACCAGTTATTTGTTGTTACTGTCGAAAATGGTCTAGCTCCTCGTGGCGCCATATCACGTGACTCGGCGCTTTTCTAACTTCCAGATTCGATTACTTTAAGCAAGAAGCTTGGGCTTGCAGCCTGTCTGCCAAAACCACAAATGTCTAATACAGGTGATTATTGTACACTGATGTCTTTGACAACAATGCGATATTGTTAAGGACAAAGGAAAATTGTTTACCAAATCCTATCAAACATTTCTACATCACCACTCCACGCACCATGCTTGCTCATAATCCTGTCTTCCCATGCCTAACCCAGTACCCTTCCAGCCACAGAACTGGCACTTCGGTCCTTGGTTTCGGTATGCTTCAGTCCTTTTCCCTTTTGAATCTCGCCTAGAAGAGCTCCGATATCTCCAGTTCCGGCGCGGGACGGCGCAGGCATTGGTGGCGGTGGAGGTGCACTGTCAGGTGCGCCAGCGCTGGGGATCGGAGGAGGCGGAGGAGGAGCACTTGGTGCCCCAGAGCTAGGCATTGGTGGTGGTGGAGGAGGTGCTGACGGTGCACCACTATCTGGCATTGGTGGAGGAGGAGGAGGGGGAGGAGCATCAAAGGCACCTGGAACAGGTGGAGGCTCCTGGACAGGTGTATCAGGTTTGCTGTCTTTGCTGTCCATAGCTGAAAGTGGCCGTGGTGGTGCCATCGTGCCAAACAAAATGGATGCAAGATGTTTGGCTGACCCAGCGGCTGGTGGATCATCTTCGTTGTCGCTGTCATCATCCTTGTCAGATCCAGCGGCTGACCATTCGTCCTCTTCTGGACGACGCCTTGATTGAGCACCAGTAAATGTAGGCGTCAATGGCTTGACAGCCTCTTGTTGAGCAATCCGGTGGAAGGGATTGGTAGATGGAAGGTCTGTGGCGGGAGCTGGAGGCGGCGCGGCAGACGGGGGCGAGAACTGCTGGCTCTGGGGGACAGCTGGTGGTGAGAAGGCAGGTCTTGCATCTTCTGATCGCTGGGAGAGTTTCCTGAAATAAGGATTTCTAGACTCTTCCGCTGGAGGGCTGGAAAGAGGAGTGGCATCATAGCCACTGCTCGTCGACGGCGCCGGTGGAGGAGCTGCCACAGGCGGAGGTGATGAGATCGAGCTTGTAAGTACTTGACTCGTCGCCGGGGTGCTCTCCTGTGGCGTGATCTGCTCCGGCTCGTCGTCGTCATCGGAAGAAGAGTCACCCAGATTCTCGAGCTGCAATTGAAGCTGTCGTTCCCTCTCTCTAGCGGCTTCAAGTTCAGCTCGCTGCGCAGCAAGCTTCACCTCTTTCTCTTTGGCTTCTTTCTCGGCTGCCTTTTTACGTGCTTTCTCTTCTTGCTTCTTGATCTTGCCGGCTTTGACTTGCTCCTCCAAGGCACGCAAACGGTCTTGAGCAGCTTGACGTTCCTTTTCCAAGTCGTTTTCCTGTTCTTTGGCTTGCGCCCTATACACTTGTCAGTACGAACGCGATTGAGCCAGCGTGGACTTACTCTAATTTCTTGCGCTCTCGCCCCTGTGCCTCTTGTTCTGCCCTGATCTGGGCGGCTGCTTCTTCCTCGGCCCTAGCTTTCGCTGCTGCCTCTTGGGCTTTTCGGTCCGAGAGATCGTAGCTCTCCTGGCGCTGCTTTCGAGTCGGTGGTGGAGGAGGCTTCTTCGCAGATTTAGGACTGGGAGGTGGTACGACACCCTCGTTTGCCAGTCTTTGCTGCCTCTCTTGTTCACGTTTAGCATCTTCTGCTTCTGCTTTGCGTATACGCTCTGCTCGTTCCTGTTTCTCGCGCTCTTGGCGTTGTTGTAGTGTCTCTCCAGACTCCCCAGCGGGCTTGATACCTGCTGCAGCCATGCGTTCCTGAATACGCTTCAAAGCTTTCTCTTTGGCTGCAGCCACACGGTCTTGAGGTGACGTGCCAGCAGTCAAAGACGAAGATGAAGTGGTGGTTGAAGGAGCGGGACGACTTGGCAGATCACCATTGGTGTGTCTCGGTTCGTCACGTCCATACTCCGTAGAAGCTCGAGGAGCAGGGCGTGTTTGCCTATTGTGATCAGCACGAAATGACACCAGTACACAGACATGGACTTACTCTTCCTTGCGGACTTTGGCTGTCCTGCTACTCCTTTGCAAGTCATAGATGAGTTCTTTGACTTCGTCCTCCACACCCAAAGCTTCTTCCCATCGTCTCCGTTCATGTTCCTGGGTAGTATTCTCACCCTCAACGCGAAGACCATCCTCTAGGCTGGAAACAAAGTCTTTGACGCTGTCTTCAACATCACGGGTCATAGTTTCATGTCGTTCTTGCTCGGATTTGACTTTTGAGGTTTCTTGTTCCAAGCGTCTCTGGGCGCCGCTTTCATCATCTGTAGCTGGAGCAGGTCGTCCTGCTAGCTCTGCTGCTCGAGCCTGCATACGGGCTCTTGCTCTGGCTTTGATACGATCAGCCTCAGTGACTGTACCACCAGGGCCTGTGCCGACGATTGTGGAGGTGCTATTTGGGTGAGCCTTGGCATCCTTCAGACGGAACAACTGTAACCTCGCCTCTGCGATACTCTTCTCGATCTTTCGAACATCTGAAGCAAGTGCTGGGAGGCGATCCTGATATCTCTGTAGTTCTCTCCGCATAGATCTTCTTTCAGCACCAGTGTCTGAACCACCAAATCCAGAATTCGGGTGGGTATCGATATCATCCTGAATACGGCGAATCTGCTTGAAAAGCTCCTCGGCCTCTCTTCTATCCCGGCGGTCCAGGACATCATCATCATCGGCCTGACGTTCATCTTGAAAGTCTGTCGCGTCTAAAAGAATCTTCTTCTCTCGAATCTTCTTCCTGATCTGATCTGGTGTCAGATCGTCGTAGGCGCTCTCAGAGACATCAGAGGACTGAGCAGGTGAGGGAGTCCTGCCACCCGCGCCAAGGCGGCGTCTCGCACTGGAACGATATCCGATATCATCATCATTGTTGCGGAACACAGTTGCATCTTTCCGTCCGAAACTTGGAGATGCTGATCCCGCACGGAAAGAGTGATTTTTTAGATAACTGACCCCTGTCTTCTGCGGCTGCAAGAATGCACCTGTTTGTTTCCTGGTTTCAGCATCCTGCGAGAGCAGAGACTTGACGGTGTCGATGGAATTATTGAAGTTCCTCGTTGAAGGCGGAACCAATTCTGGTGGGAGCCGGTTGGGGACAGGATATCCATTCAACTTGCGGTATATCAAGTGCATTGCCACTGCAAATTCGTCCATATTAAGCCTGCCTTTGTTGTTGGGGTCAGACAAGGTCCAAATGCTTTCCAAGTCCCCTCTTTCGAGACCGCTTTGGCCCATGATTTCAATAGCAACATCTCCTGAAATGTAGCCTCTACCCAAACCGTCCCAAGCACGGAAAAGATCATCATATATGCGCTTCTCGTCCTTCGTGACAGCCCAAGGAATTTTAGCCGAGCCTGCCAACCCTTGCGTGGTAAACCCACCCTCACGGCCAGTTTGAGGCATCAACTGTTGGCGCAAAGCTTCAATGTTCGGAAGTCCCGTAGCTGGCGCATTCACAAAGCCCCATTGGCCTGGCAAGCCAGTGGGTTGAGCTTGCAAAGGACCTGTTTGCTGAGGCGACATATTGTTTGCAAACCCCGTCGGCATGGGTGGCATGGGTGGTCGTGGGCCAGTGTATCCAGTTGCTCCTGGGAATCCGGAGGCCTGGGGTTGAAGACCTGGCTGCTGGCCTGGGAAACCAGTGGGTTGCGCTTGAAGCCCAGGTTGAAAGCCTGTCGCCTGATTGTAGAAACCAGTTGGCTGAGAAGTAAGCTGCGACAACAGTTGCTGGTTAGACGCCTGTTGTGGTCGTGGAGCTTGAGGAGCAGGTGGAGACATTGCATTCTGCCTGATGGGAGCATCGAAGTCTGGTACATTCTGACGAGGCGGAGGCAGGGGCTTATCATCAGGAACGCCAAAGGAGATGATATCCACCATGCTGGACACCTCGTTCATCATCTTCTCGGGCAGCGCAGAAGGCAAGTCTTTGCCTGTCAATTTGAGATTGCACAAATACATCGCCAGGGCAAATTCTGGGAACAACAGCTGCCCTGATTTTGTCGTATCCGACAATATCCATATCTGTGACAGTGCACTTCCTGGCAGTTTAGATCTCAGAAGTAAATCCCTGGCCTTTTCTCCGCTCAATGCCTGATCGTCGCCAACAGCTGATTTAAATAGCTGCTCAAATTTCGCCTGATCCGTAGCAGTGATGAACGACAGCCTTATGTTTGGAATCCTGCTCGAACTCTTGCTCGCACCCCTGTTTGATGGAGCTGCACTCGAAGGTCCCGGGTTGAAGGACTGTGCAATCTGGGTAGAAGTCTGCTGGGGACGGATCGGAGCTGGCGGATGAGGTTGTTGTTGCTGCTGCTGTTGAGGTACAGGAGCATTTTGGAACGAGGGCTGCTGCTGGAAAGGAGGAGGCTGCGGCGGCGCTTGCGGGAATTGAGGTTGCTGGCCTTGGTTCTGTCCAGGATAACCTGTGTACTGCGGTTGCTGTGTCGGAGCTTGAAAGCTCTGCTGCTGCCCTAGCCCTGGAAAGCCGGTCTGCTGTGACTGCAGTTGGCCAGGGTAGCCGGTGGGCTGGGGAGCGAAAGGCGACGGCTGTTGAGGAGCTTGATTGAAGGAGCCAAACGACTGTTGCTGTCCAAAGCCAGCGCCAGGGCGGGCACTATTTGAACCGCCCAGGAACGAGTTGGAGGATGAATACATGATGCTTAAGAACAAAACAAACTGGCAGATGAAAGACGAACAAAACGAAGAAGAAACGAGTGAGATGATGGTAATCGGGGTTTGGCGACGACGACTGCGCCAGCAGGTTGACTTGCTTCGAATGACGCGGATTTTGGGGCGGGCTAAATACTCCGTAGGAGATACCTAACCATCAACATGACTAAGCATCTTGGCATCAACAATGCTCGATGTACTCAGAGCGACAATCAAGACAGAATCAGGGAGTTACGCTGCTACTACACAGAAAAGCCAAGTGCGCAGTGTCATGGTCAAAGCCACAATTCAATTACTTGTGTGACAGATATTGGCTCTGTCTGCTTACTGGCTTGCCTCGCCAGTATAACCATGCATTCATAGTCTACACCATGAAGAGTCCTTTGTCTGACTCCAAAACGCCGTCATCTGCTTTCCAATAATCGTACAGGGTATCGTTCGAGCCTTGGTCATAGTTCGCGTTTGCTCCGTCCCCAGCATCGGATGGTTGCTCAGCATAGGGTGTGATGTAGCTGGTTCAAGCTCCGTTTTGACCCACGTTGCCAACCATCTTGCGAAGATCGTACTCTTTCTTGAACCTATGCTTCAGCACATCGAGCTCCTTAATGACCTCCTTAGAGCTAGCGATCAGAGCCTCCTTGGGAGTGATGTCACCATCGGTTTGGATTCGGAGTTCGAAGCTTGCGAAGAGAGGATGCGGGACCTATGACAATCAGGTTACTGTAGTTCTAGCAATGGCGCATGATCTGATAACGAACCTTATAGGCTGCAAACATGACGTGGCTATTCTCCAAAAGTTTCTCACGGAGCATGTTGGCGAGGGTATGGTCTTCCTTGTTGAAGGTGAAGATGACAGTGTTGGGAGTTCCTTGGAAGGGAGTTAGCCACAAAATGGACAAGCTTGTCAATACACTCACGAGTATCGATTTTCTGTTCGATCTTCTTCTCGCCGTCACCAAGTATGAACGCCTCAGTACTATGTCATCGCGTTAGCAAAGTATCTCACTACTTACAGAAATACAAGAGCCCAGCAGCGAAGAACGTGACACAGTTTAATGAAGGATGAGCTCATTTCAGATGTTGTGGTCTCCTTTGCGCACCTGTCCTGATTGTTGATCGCGTTGTGATTGATTCCGGCATTATGATATCTCTTGTTTGAAAGGTGATCTCTCCAAGCTACGCCATCTTGTGGAATGCCGCGCTTTCCTGATCCGGGGTACGTGTCGCCAGGTTTGGGTGAAGATGGGCCGGGGGTCAGTGGTCCTGAATTGATAGTGTCGATGTTGACAGTGAGGGTGTTTCTGACAGTGGTGCCCTTCTCTCTGGTTCCGTCGTTGTTGTCATCGCTGGAGTTTGTGTAAGTAGGGTGGCTTCAACTGGATCTAGAGACACCTTCTAAGGTGACTTGACCATAGAGGAGCAGAGGTAGGCTTACAGCTTAAGATTGTGGAGAGCATTGTTCATACTGCCACGGCGACTGCGTCCTGAGGGACTTGCGGACTTGGTTCTTGCCGGGCTGGTGCCGGGCTGAGCGCGGTTGGGACTTGCAGACTTGTTTCTTGCTGGATTCATGTTGGGTTGAGCAGGGTTAGGGCTCGCAGCTGAAGTGTCATCCATTACACCAGATATTTCAACCCCTCGTGTTTTCAAACAATGTAAATCCGGCTTGGAAAATAGTAACGATCGGTGTTTGAAAATGAGATATGGCGAATGTAGACAATGTTGTGTCGTGGATGATGGTGCAGTCCATGTTACGCCAAGGCGGTGGGCGGTGAAATGAATCAGTAGTCCAGGTGAGGCGAATGGGTTTATTTACCAAACATAGGAGATTACCAGATAAAAACTTCTCAGGTCCTTCCTGGCTTTTGTTTGAGGGTCGTCCAACATCCGGCAATGATTGTAATTAAGGTCCAGTATCGATCCTTCTTCATTATGGGCCACGTCCTTCCATCACAAAAACACAGTCGCAATCACCATTCCAAAGCAATGCATCAAAAACAAAGAACTGTACATGAACATACCGATCTGGGGCATTGATGCCAGACATTTTGAAGGCTTTCTGTCTGAATCAAAGGACTGGAAGAAAAGGTCGTGATATAGGAAATTCCACAAACTGGCGCCTTGTCAAAATGGTAAGAGATATCCAAGAGATGGTCGCGCAAGTCTGTTATCTAGATGGAAGGGGCGATTTGGGTTCGAGAAACGACAGAAATAACAGGACAATCACAGAGATGCCACTTCAATCGTACGCGGTTTCACAACCTATTCAGCATGTTGATGGTGGTGATAGACTCAAACTGACACCGGGAAAATGTTGTCGTTGCCAAGAATCACGTGAGGAGTGCTGGGAGAGAAAATCCACCATAAATGTCACTGCCTGCAAACCTAAGGCACAAGTGAGAGACCAGATCCGAGGCATTAAGTAATAACACTATATGTCAATAACAAGTGGTTCGTTGCTCCAACCGCCCCAAGACTCCAGATCCATCCTCAGCTTGGTACCTGGCCTTGACACGCAGTAATTGGCTGTACGTGTCATCAACATCGTATCCGCTCAAAGAGTCATCACATATTCTCAAAGAAATCCGACAGCGTCCGCGGAGATTCAGAAACATATTCACAAGGTCGGAACTATCGGCTTATAAATATAGCTAGGTGCTCGTGCTGGTGCTGGCCCATGTTGACTCTCCTTGCAGAGTGCTACTTCGCATCTGCACCCGTTGTGAAACCTGCCTACACAATACCTACTTTTATCATTTCACCATGACTCCCAACCTCTTTCATACCGACTACCCATGGACGAGTCCAGATGTTCCACTCGTGGTCTCGGCGCCCATGATGAAGATCACGTTGGGCCGCCACGCCGTCTCAGTATCTGCGAATGGTGGCTTTGGGTTCCTTGCAGGTGGATTTGACTTGACTCCCCTGGCTAAGGATCTGGCGGAAGCAGCAGAACTTGCCAAAGCTCAAGGCCTTTCATTGCATAATGGGGCCCTCCCTATCGGCGTCGGGGTTCAGAACTGGGGAAGCGATTTGCGCCTAGCCCTCGATGCTATCAAGAAGCATCCTGTCGCAGCGGTGTGGTTCTTTGCGCCGAAGCAATTAAGTGATTTGCTAGAATGGGCGAGGGAAATCCGTGCGGCCACAGAAAACAAGACAAAGATATGGGTCCAGATCGGCACCGTCGCTGAAGCTCTAGAAGTTGCCAAAACGACGAAGCCGGATGTGCTGGTTGTACAGGGTGCTGATTCAGGTGGCCATGGGCTAGCACATCGAGCAAGTCTTCTGACTTTGTTGCCAGAAATTGTAGACGCTTTGGCTGAAGAGGGTATCAAAATTCCGATCGTCGCGGCCGGAGGTATTATGGATGGGAGAGGCTCTGCAGCCGCTCTAGCACTGGGTGCTGATGGTGTGGCTTTGGGCACAAGGTTTCTTGCTGCAAAAGAAGCTGTCATTGCGAAAGGCTATCAAGATGAGGTGCTACGAGTTAGCGATGGCGGAGTCAGTACAACTGCGACCACAATATACGATGTGGTAAGAAATATTCACGGATGGCCCGAAACATACAATGGTAGGGGAGTTATCAACAGGACGTATCAAGACGCCAAGCATGGAATGAGCAATGATGAAAACGTGCAGCTCTACAAAGAAGCAATGCAGCAAGGAGATTCGGGATGGGGACCTGATGGTCGGATGACAACCTATGCTGGCACAGGTATTGGACTGGTGAGAGAAGTATTGCCTGCAGGTGATATCGTGAGGCAGGTTCAGCAGGAGACTGTGCAACTCCTGCACAAGTCTGCCAAACGCTTCGCGTCGTAGATACTAATAATTTGTGATACCACAATTTCTAAGTCGCTTTCCATTGCCATTGCCTCTGTCCTCGACACCGGGACTGGGCCGTATGACTGTAGTCCCTCTTCACCACTCTATGTCTGGCAGTGCTGCACTTGTGCAAGATAAGGTTGCTTGTTCCCGTATTTCTGCGTAGAAAAAGATCGTGGTTCTCGGTGGTCGCTTGGGCGTGAGCCATCATTCCATGGCGATAGGCACGGATTCTTGCCCGGAGATGGTGTGAATTTACGGAGACGATTGTCATGATGCCGCCGCAACAGGGCCTTCCCCGCCAGGGATCAACTGTAAGGGGCGTTCAATCAGTAACACATCTCAGGAGGATCAAGCAACGTTGATCCAGCGCATGAGAATCTCCCTGACGGCGTGTCGCTGGTTTTTCACCACTCACCATGCAGATGTTGTTTCCATTCAATAAGATCTTTTCCAGCTTGGTCTGACCTCCGCTGTAATCACTGAATGGAACAAAAGATGTCAGCAAGATCTGTATCATTGGTCGTGTCTCCATGGAGAATTTCTCCGGCGGCCTTACAATTCTGTAACATCCTCTAGGACCATGTCTTTTAATATCGTAGTTGCCTCAGGTCAGGATAGTTCTTTCTAAAGGGCTTGGACTTTGATCTGCCTCGGAAAGAATAGGAATCACCACATACTGACATAATCATCAAACCCGAGTAATGTGCCGGCAAATTCTGAACAAATATATCTGTCAGTTTCGAGGTTCTGTAGCCACCCAATACCCGTTGGGGAGAGGGCGCCCGGATGGAAAAGTCGAGACTCACCTTTGTCGCCCTTCATGATTATCCAAATCCTTGAGCCGACACACTTGTCAATAAGTTCTATTTCCTGGAATCAGTATCGAGATTCGTCTTCTTTTTATCATGGCGAAGTCGTACCAAGTGGCAGAAGTTGTGATGCCATGATGTTCGAAATGAAGATTCGTGGCACTGGCTCTCGATGATTCCGGACGGTCGAAGAAGAGAACTGAACTAATGCTGAAGGTTTAAAGTCAAGAAGAATGGTACCAATACTGATTAAATGAGGTCGCGCTTCGCCAGTTCTATCTCGGCCGGTTTTATGTTTGTCTTTCACTTTGTCTGAGGATGAGATTGAACTTTTGCCGAGCAACACGTGACCTTCCCGGCAGCACAACGATCGGATGACTAAGCGGCCTAGAGGGTATTGTCGGTACTCTGTGGATGATCCTTACATACGAGGGAGAGATAGGCAGTATACGTCTAGTGGTAGAGCTTTTTTTTTGATTTGATTATTCTGATTCTATCAATGCATGCTGAGAGAAGATATCTTTTCTTCGTATATTCTAAAACATGTAACCCATTATCGCCATTCGCCAGTCGCCTTTGCTCCGAAAAATGCTGGGATGGACTCGTGAGAGCCAAGCAGCGTATCATTCATCTGAAGGCCTCGATGCTTGAGCTTGTTGCATTGCTGCTCTCATCCACTCAGCCATAGCTGTGGCGCCGTCTTCGCCGCCGAGCATGAGCTTGGCGTTGTTGGAAGCCTCCTCTGCCTTCTCTTTCGCCCGCGCCGCCATGTTCACCTCGAATTCCTTGATCAAGGGGTCCAAAGTCGTTTGAAACGTGGTAAAAGTCGTGGGTGAATTCTCATATGCCTTGATTATGGCGCGCGACACGTCGAGGGCATCCCACATAGCGACATTCACTCCTTCTCCTGCAAATGGTAACATCACGTGGGAAGCGTCTCCCACCAGTGTCACTCCTGTCTTGTGCTCCCATGAATGTCCCGGTGGCAACGTGTACAGCGACCTCAGCAATAACTTTGCATCTGGCATCGTCTTCGTCTCCTCTTCACACGCAGTCTGCAACAGCTCCTTCAATTTCGGCCCAAATTGTCCGAAAAGTTCGTCGTCATTCAACAATCTCTCCTTCGCTTCTGCGGGTGTTCCCTTTACGAGGCCAGAGTCCTCACCGAAATTCTCATTGTCGGTGGAGAGGAAGGCATACATCAGAGCGGAATCTTGCAAGGCACGTTGGCACATGATGCCGCGTCTGTTACCAAGAGATGTGAAGCCTCCAGTGCCGACGTAGTCCGAAAGGGCTGGATATCTCTCTGTCGCCTGCCGGATAGCCAGCATCATGTACTGGAACCCTGCATATGCGGGCTTTGCACTTGTCAATAGCGTACGGACACGAGACCAGGTGCCGTCGGCGCCGACCACGAAATCGAAAGTTCGTTTTCCGAGATGGCCAAAGTTGAGCTCGATTTCCACATTGTGCGATCCTTCAGCGAGATAGCTGGCGGAAGAGAGTTTGTGCTCCCACTGGACGCTATCGACCGGTAACTGATCAAGGAGTAATTTTGTCAAGGAGTTGCGCGAAATCTCTGGGCGATGCTCTGGTCCACCATCGTCCGTGTATATGATGTTCCCTTCTTTGTTGGCGATAATCTGAGCCTCGCTGCACACAGTCGTGTGCGACTTGAACTCTTCCAGGAGATCACACTCCTTCAACGCAGCCAAGCCAGACTCTTCATGCAGGTCAAGCATTCCGACCGGGCTTGCGAGTTCATCATCTGTAGGTTTGGCCCGATACTCAAAAATGGTAAAGGGAATTTGGTGCTTGTGAAGGAGAATTCCAACCGTCAGCCCGGCAGGCCCGCCTCCAATGATAGCAATTCTTGGTTGATGTGTTGACATTTTGAAAAGCACTCCAGCGTCTGGGCCGTGTGACTGACTTGCTGGTACGTTGATCTCGGGGAGAATTGCTCGTGATGGACAGTCTCTCTGCGTCAGTAGATTTGCTTCCAGCACTACTGTATTGGGTTGAACAGAAAGGCAGTGGCTGTGTCTATGGTGATTGATGGATGCACCAACAGGTGTTCGTCTCAGGATGGTCGTGTTGCTGTTCGGATTGGAGGGCTTGAAATTGTGAAAAGGGAAAGAAAGAAAGACCTACTTTGAACTTCTCTGCCTTACTTATAGGTAACATTGAACCAATGTCTCCTTGATCCACGTATCCAATCGATGAAACGGGCTGATGGTCCCTACGTAGGGTCCGTGGTAACATGGGAGGGACATATTGGGTTTCGGGGATTAGAAAATCCCGAGGTCTCCGTCTCCATCGGGCCTTTGAAAACTCCGTCACCACGCAGTTGGGGAGCTGGAACGAATAAATCAAGACCATGAGATGATGCTCAGCTAAGATTATGATCAAAATAAGAAAGAAAAATACCATCGAAAGTTCATGATGTTTGGATCCGATTACTTGGAGATCTTTGAGGTGATCATATAGGCTCTTGGGTCCGCCCACGCAAATCCCATGGTTGATTTTCCAGTCGCGTCGAACTTCACTTGAAACACTCTCAAGGGAAAGATGCCAAATCTCTGCGATGAGTTTTGGGACTAAAATAAAGTGATGAAACTCTTTCGCTTGCGGTGCGGATTACATGTATGACACTTGAATTCACATTGCTAACACAGCATGCAGATGTTGATGAATGTCTATGAAATCGCAACAGCCAGACTCTCGCCGATGTCAAGTGTCCCAGCTCCTCCGTTTTGTCCTTCATTACTGCTACCGTCCAAACTCCCAACGCCTTGCTCATCACACGCTAGACTCAATTCAATCATTGCTTCGTACGACTCATTGTCGGACCCAACGAAGGTTCCGAAGTGAATGCCGACGGTATTTCTCGACTTTACATCACAGTGTATGGCGATTGCATCCGCAGGCGATCCGTGAGAGGCAGAAGGGACATCATGATGCGACAAGCGCAAGCCAATATAGGAGATGAACCCCAGAGTGCCGCCCCTCCATATCGGCACAAACGACAGGTCAAACGGCCCAAACTTGCCTCCAATTTCCTTGAATGCAGGGCATACGGTTTCTGACTTTGTTATTCGCCTGTAACCCGTATCTCCAGCGTGATAGATTGCCCCTCTTCTGGCCTCTTTCGAGGTGGAGGATACTGGCTCGTCTTTGGACGCAATGAATCGCTCAACTACCCAGCCACACCACAACGTACAACCCTGGTCGGTCACGGAGCGGCCAGAATTGTGCTGTGCGGGGACACACGACACTCTGAGGACAAACTCCTCGTCACGCTGCGCATTAAAGTCGGATGTTCCGAATTCACATTCCTGCCACCAGTCCAGCTCGTAAATTTGCTTGTCCGGTATTCCTCCAGACAACATCCATTGCTTGTTACCCAAGGGGACGAAGTACTTCGCTCCTGGAAATTTCTGTGTGATGGCTTGTATAGTAGGCCAATCGAGATGGTCGTAGTGGTTGTGGGAGATGAACACGGCGTCGCAACCAGGCAGATCCTCTACTTGGCATGGACTCTTTTTCATCCTCGCTACGCCCCTGTAGGGTGTCGGACCAGCCCTCGTCGAGAAAATTGGATCAAACAGGAGCCATGTGCTTTTGGCTTCTGGTGATGGTGCCAGGGATGGGATCTCGACCATTACACCCGCATGGCCTAACCATGTGCCGATGATGGCATTCTCTTTGGACAAGTCTTGCTTCGTCAGGCTGGCCTTGCCCCAATCTGGCTTCACGACCCTCATGTCCCGTGCTTTGTGGTGTTTGCGTAGGTCGACACCATACGTGCTAAGTGGGAAAGAGGCTTGCAAAAGCTCTCCCCATGTCGGTGCACCTGCAGATGGCCACGGGTTGATGAATTTAGTGCGGTAGTCGTTGGCGTGATGCGCAGGTCTGCGTGGCGGATCTTTGGTCGTCGACATTGTAGACTGATATCATCTACCTTAGCCTGCCTCCATACCGTCGACAAATCGTTTTATATGTCTAAGATGGGTTCGCTACCTCGTTGGCGCTGCAGCTGTCGTACTTGTAAATGATGACATCGAGCAGGTTGATCGAGACCTCAAGATGCCGGGTTTGATGCCCTAAGGCCAATTTGGGAAGAAAGTGATGCCGCCCTTAGTCGCCCCCGGATCACCCAATAAGGATGCTGGATCGCCATAATTAGGGAACTGATCAATCAATCAAACCTGGTGTGACTCTCGTTCGAAGCTTCAGTCTCGGTTGAAGCGCCATTACCTGGGAATCCTATAACAATTTGCGAATCTCGCAGAATCTCGAGCAGGGCTGGAATCCTGTCTACGCGAGCTATGTCCTTCTATATGCGATACTGTGCAGCAGTGACCATAAAGCATGCTGCTCGTGCACGCCATATCGCTGTCCCAGGATAGAACGAAGTAGAACGGGAGCGACTCAGCTGGATCAGTCTCCTCGAGATGACAGACCACCCACACGTCCGAATTCAAGTCCTCAAGTTTAGGATGCCCGAAGGCTTGGTAAGTTTCCCCCTAGTTTTGCCGCTGTAGACGGTGAGTCTGCCTTTAGTATCAGGATCGGCCTGGTGCCGAAACGCCGAAAAGCTTTGGTAAAATCTTGCTTTGGACTTGGATCAAATGCATAGCGGGCATTATACCACGTCGGCTAGAGAGTTATTGAGCTCTGGCACAGAGGCGTGAATCTCGTGTGCTCAAATAGTAACCTGGTCCTTATTTTTATCCCTTTATGTCACCAACCTTGTGCTGAACAGGAGCCGAGATTTAATGATACCTACCCATGGCTGATCAGCAAACGAGCGAAAACCACCACCTTCTTGGCCTTTCCCTGGACCGAACACCCACATATACCTATGGTTCGATACCCAAACCCCATCGAAAGAACCCCTTTGCGGCGTCGTCTGAGTCGGTATTGCGACGATGGATAGCAAGGGTTGGGTCGCAATCCAGAACATTTCTCCCTTGCACTCAGTGGGTACCTCATTACAGATGGGAATACCTCTCAGGCGACTTTATGGGAGCGGCAACGGTGGCAGCCATCTACGCACCACTGTCTGTTTCATTTGCTTTCATGAGCCATGCCCATCCGACCAGTGGTATGCTGTCATTTGTAATATGCAGCCTCGTCTATGCACTACTAGGTCATTGTCCACAGATGATTATTGGTCCAGAAGCCCCAGGCTCCCTGCTCGTTGGCATAGCAGTGCGTTTGGCAGGCACAGGCAGCACGGGGAACGATCCGGTACGGGACGCTCAATTTGCAGGAGCCGTCACCTCCGCCGCAGGGACGGTACTTCTGGTTGCGGGGCTAGGCCGCCTCGGCTTTCTGAGCTGTATCCTCCACCGTCCATTCATGAGAGGGTTTGTTCTCTCCTTGGGCTTAGGGGTTGTCGTCGAACAGACCACACCGGCGTTGAGGCTGCCAAACTCGACATCAACGCTGGGGCCGCAGGCCAGTATTGCGAAGAAGGTCGGGCTGATAACCGACCAGCTCAAGCATCTTCACTCGCTCTCAGCCATGTTATCAATAACAAGTCTGATAGGGGTCCTGATATGCAGGTACATGCGCCAAAAGTGCCCAAATATTGGTGCGTACCGCTACTAATAGAATCTTTGTAGATGGGCCAAGGTATCCTTGAAACGCCGATGGCCTTCAGTGGTCCTCATCCCGGACAGATTACTGATAGTCCTCTTAGCCGCCTTACTGACATCGGCCTGCAAATGGTCGGACCAGGGCCTCGAGGTCTTGGGGGAGCTCCAGCCCATCCACTTGGATAGCCAATCCTTTCAATGGCCATTCCAGGTGCAGAACATCGAGCCCTTGACAAAAACCATCGGGGCCTGGTTCACACTCGCCATGACTGGACTTTTCGAATCCATGTTGATCATCGAGACTCTCAGAAAAACCGCAAAGAAATCCCACGCCAAAGGCTTTCGTTCTGACATGAACCAGGAGCTGGTCGCCCTAGGTACGGCCAATGCATTGGCCGGCTGTTTCCAAGCCATTCCGGCATTTGGAGGGTATGGTCGAAGCAAGCTCAATGTCGCTGCCGGCGGGAAAACTCCAATGAGCAGTGTTTTCCTCGGTCTCATGATCTCATGCTGCATGGGGTTTCTTCTTCCCGCCTTCTACTATGTGCCCCGGTGTGTGCTCGCCGCACTTTTGTTTGAGGTAGGCCTTTCAATGATGGAGGAATGTCCGGCAGATGTCGCCTTTTCCCTCAAGATGCGTGGCTGGTCGGAGCTGCTCATCATGATACTCGTCGTTTGCGCATCGGTCTTCATTTCAATCTCATCTGGGATGATGTTGGGCTTGACACTTTCCCTGCTGAGCTTGGTTCGGTCCTCAACCAAAGTCAAGATCTCCGAAGGGACGTTAGATCAATTTTTCTCTCATTCATCATCGATCGGCGCACCACCACCAACTTCCGATGATATGATTATGATCATCTAGATGTCTGAAAGACTGACGTTTGCGAATCTGAGACGCCTGGAACGTGAAATTATCACCAAACTCGAGCAGCAAGGCTTCGAAAACGAGCATCGAAAACGGGCCCAAGGAAACATCCTCTTGTTAAAATTCACTCAGACAGTGACCATGGACAATTGCGCCGCGCAAACGCTTCTGGAAATCGTCGAGGATCGCGTGGAACAAGGGGTCAGAGTTTTGTTCTTCTGCAGCGCGGCTTCGGAGAATTGCAGCCTGATTCTGGAGAAGTTGAGTTTGAGCGGGATCTTGAAGCAATGTGGGGGACCTGGTTCGTTCTTGAGTAGCGAGGAGGATGTGATGACCGCGATTGAGCAGGTCGAAAGGGGAGAGATGCTTGGAGATCAGGGAAGTATGATAGATGTGTAGACGTGTATCTTTACATGATATTGGACGTATCTGGTTTACATTCGTGTGTTGCTTTATATATACCAATACAGTAGATTCTTGCAAAATGTCTTGGTAGTTGTGGTAAGGGTTCTTCATGGTTGACACCGTGGTCCCTTTGGAAATCGAATCTCCATCTACCCATTTCTTTTCTTTGTTACTCCAGTAAGCCTGGATAAGACAAGTTGCAACAAGATAATCCGTTCTAATATGCTTTCTACATCGGATCATGGCTTCCAGGTACATCCAAACGTTGGCAGTGTGAAACCACGGGACGTTATATCTCCTGACATCCTCGACAACATGCTACAAAGGTCTCTCACGAAGAGTCAGGGTGGCTACGAGGGCGAGAGACACGAATAGAATGTTTAGGCCTTTTTTGGATAGATGACAGAATTAGCTTATTGCTCTGCACCTTGATGTTGTGCGAGGGTTAGGGTAAAGGGGCAAGGCTCAGGCTCACCATCAGAGTATGTCAAGCTGTTGATGTAAGCGTCGGCGACAATCTTTTGAACGTTTTCAGGGAGTTTGCGGATGGCCTCGACACTGGAGCTGGCTCGTCGTATAATCTGTCATTAGGATAGCAATTAGAATATTGGCTCTTGGACGACCGAAATGCCATGGGCGGCGGCGGTGGTGCTGGGGAAAACCTTACCACAGCCTTGTTCGGAAAGCCATCGAGCTTATCTCTCAGAGTCAATTGCAGCACCTTATGCATCAGTGAGGTTGCAAAGCTCGCACCGATCAATGAACCGAAGCTCTGGGCCAGAAACCATGTTGTCCCCGCAATGGCGATCTCGGAGTGATCGAGGCTTGCGGCAATGTGAACGAACGTGGTTGACTGAGTCGAGCCCATGCCAAATCCTGCGAGATAGACATACAGTGACTCGGTCCAGGCAGTGTTCCCGTGCCAACGAAGACACATCAGAGTGAAACAGGTGATGGAGCAGCAGATGCCAAAAACCGTCAGATATATATATCTCTTTGTCCGAGTGATGAGGGTGCCTCCCAGGATAGTGCCAGTTGCGTTACCAATCACCACCGGCACGATCCGGCTGCCAGCTTTGGACACTGACTCCCCGCCAGCCACCTGGAAATAAATTGGGATCCCATACAAAAGCTGTAAAACATTGGTCAGTGGTTGATTCTTTCCAGGATCGAATGGTCATTGGCTCATTGCTTGGGTGCGAAGACGACCTACCCCGAATTGGCCCGCTGCTTGACAACCGACAATGAGGTACGGGGTGAAAACATCCCGTTTCGAGATCAAATCCAGCGGCAAAATGGGTTCTTTGGCAATTCGACTCTCCGCTACAGTGAATAATGTGACAGAAGCCACAAAGCCCGCAGCCAGAGGCCCCAATACCCTCCAAGACGCACTTTTGGTGCCTTGGTCGAGTAACAGGAGGCAAGTCAAGATCGTGCCGACCAACGCAAAAGCCCCAAGGAAATCGACGCGACCGAGCTTAGAGGCTGGTCTGTTCTCACTTCCTGCCATTGTGACTGGCTCAGGCCGTTCGTGCTCTGGGAGCTTCCACAAGACGAGGGCAAGGCCGACGAGGGCGATGGGGCACTGCGCAATAAAACACCTGGGAAAAGGCACATGGATAGTCAGCAACTGACCCAGAGTACCAAAATATGAGCCTTTTCTCAATATCAGTAGCCTTTATTCTCGCCGGATAACTCACCATCTCCAGCCAATTGAGTCGGCCAACCAGCCCCCAGTTGGGCCGCCGATAGATCTTGCCGTGGTGGCTGTGAAGTTGATATACGCGCGGTACTGAGCGACATACCTCAAAGGCAGCAGATCTTGAAGCGGGGAATGGGATGTCAGTTTCTTACACACAACGCAGTGACCGGCACATCCAAAACGTACCAGCGATCACAATCGATGTCAGGGCAATCATGCCAGCAGCACCAATGCCACTGACCGCTCGGCCAACAAGGACCTGCCAGTAAGTCCTGCTTCCTCCGCTGGACAAGGGTCAGCTGGATCTCGTTCAGCAAGTGAACGGATGGACTTGGACGAACATGAGGAGACATCCAAAGGCAAAACACGTCCAGCAAAATGCAAGGTTGTGCCTTCTGCCAAAGATGTCGCTGATTTTGCCATACTAGGAATATATATGTCTTAGATAGGAGCGTTTGTGTATATACGAGAAACCTGTGTCTCTCATCGATCAGAACTCACCAGGGACTGAGACGCGCACTGCGCCAGGGTGTAGATCGTCAGCAGCCAGACTGCAGATGACAATGCGTCAAATTCGGAGGCGATGTGCTGATTTGTGGCCAGGACGACTGAACTATCGCCGTTGGCAAGAAATACTCCTGGGAGACTTTGGTCAGTGAGTTCTAGTAGCACCTAGCATTGCTGCGGGTTCGTACCCATAAGTAAAATAGGAAACACCGTTCGCATCAATGTCGTAGGAAATGGCTTTTCCGTCTTGTCGTTCTCTTCCGTTACGTCCTCGACGGCCTCGACGTTCCCAATGATGCGTGAATCAAAACTTTTATAGCCATCGTGACTTTGCAATCCGGCTGATTGCTGAAGAAGGGATGTCCTTTCGTAAACCTCCTCGATGATTCCGTGTCGTTCTTGTCCTTGCAATGTCATGGTAATGGATGCTAAATTGATTGGTCTGTACTCTATGGGAAGCTCCTTAGTTCAGCGTGTCAAGTCTTCCAGTATTACATTTATTCGAGAACTTCTCAACCATCGAACCAGGAGACCCATCTTTGGCCATTCTACAGCCAACTGGACAAGCTGTGACAGCCCGGGAAATCATTTTCAGCATTCCCAATGCGAACACGGCACGCAGCATACAACACATGCACACTATCGTGGACAACATGAATCGGGAAAGCGTGAGAAAACAAAAATCCCCACATCGGCGTATCGGCAGAATCCACATCGGTGCCGAAAGACGCAGCGCCGATGAATGAATTCCGAAAACGGTGACAGCGATGACGGGACTCAATCCCGTCAGTTCGACAAAGCCCGAGAGGATGCGGTTGATGAGATGACCATGACCAGGGCTGACACCTCGCACAAGGTACTCTGTATATGAAGGCAAGCGGGAAAGTCGGTGATGGGGATTCCATGGGGCCCCTGCTCCACATGTGGTCAAATGTTGCGAACAATTCTTTCCATCCTCAGCTCATACCCAGATCGATAAAACGGTAGGTACAACCTCTCAAGGCCAACATCACACCGTCTATATCTGCACTCTGTAACGTACCACCGTTGAGCTTGTTGCGCTCCTCCTCAGTGGAAGGGCTCCTGGGGAAGATCAACCATTACGCGACAACGCCAAAGCACGATGCTACGCACCTTCTTCGTGGCCACCGTACTCGTGGCTCTGGCATGGCAAGGGCTGGCCAAGAAGCCAAACATTCTCTTCATCCTGACAGATGATCAGGACTTGCATATGGAATCTGTGGACCACATGCCGTATCTCAAAGTACGTTGCCCCAATCTGCACTTCAACAAGGCACGGTGGTTGTTATATGCGCGACGGAACTGATTTTCCTTTTTCTTTCCCAACCAATCTAGAACCTGATCGTCGACAAAGGGACAACGTACGCTCAGCATTATTGCACGGTAGCTCTGTGTTGCCCGTCACGCGCGACACTCTGGACGGGTTTGGCTGCTCACAACCACAACATCACCAACGTCTCGCCGCCCCACGGCGGATATCCCAAGGTGGTCTCGCAAGGGTTCAACGACGAGAATTTGTTTGTGTGGATGCAGGAGGCCGGCTACAACACGTACTACACCGGCAAGTTGTACAACTTCCACTCGGTCGACAACTACGACAGACCCTACGCCAAAGGTTTCAATGGATCCGATTTCCTGCTCGACCCGTACACCTACCAGTATTGGAATGCGAGGATGTCGCGCAATGGGGGAGAGCCCACCAGCTACGCGGGCCAGTACTCGACCGACGTGGTCGCGCACAAAGCGCTTGGACTGCTCGACGAGGCCCTCAGTCACCCAGATCTCCCTTTCTTTCTGACCGTGGCACCTATTGCCCCCCATTCGAACTGGATACTGGAGCCCGAGAAGAACCTGTCGTATCTGCTCGAACCGGTCGCGGCCCCTCGCCACATGCACCTCTTCACCGACTACAAGATCCCGCGCGACAAGTCGTACAACGCGAAGATCGAGGGCGGCGTCGGCTGGATCGGCGACTTGCCCAAGTTGAACGACACGGTGCTGGCTTACAATGACCACTATCAGCGACAGAGACTCCGAGCCCTCCAAGCGGTGGACGAGATGATCCCTCAGCTGATTGGCAGATTAGAAGAGGCCGGAGAGTTGGATAATACTTACATCTTCTACTCGACAGACAATGGCTACCATATCAGTCAGCATCGAATGAACCCAGGCAAGGAGTGCGGCTTCGGTAAGTCTTGCTTCCCACTCAATCACCCACATCCACAAATGAACGTCCATGTGGTTCCGCCCCGAGACTTTGATTGACCAAGATCTGACCCTTCAGACACCGACATTCATATCCCTCTCTTCGCCAGCGGACCTGGCCTCGAACAAGGCCGTATTGTCGACGTGATCACCTCGCACACCGATTTGAGCTCGACCTTCCTCCAGATCGCCGGCGTCGAACGGCGCCATTTGGACGGATCGCCCATTCCGCTGGGCGACGAGCAGACGGCAGAGGAGGCTGATCCGGCTCGACGTGAGCATGCGGCCATTGAATACTGGGGATATGTGAGATAAAGAAGCCAGCAACCTTTGTTCTGGGTCAAGGCACAAGCTGACCAGTGGGTTGTGCGAATAATACAGGGTATTCCCGAGGGCCAATACGGCGCCCGAACTGACAACAACCGTGAAGCCGGCCAGTGGCAGAACTTCTACCTCAACAACACCTACAAGGGACTGAGGCTTGTGGGGAAGGACTATAGCATATATTATTCTGTATGGTGCACCAACGAGACCGAATTCTATGACCTCGAGGTAAGTTCCATCCGTCGCCTCTTTGCTTGCTCCACCACGACCTACGAGAACCAAAAAAAGCCTTCTTTCCTCCTCTACTGCGCGGCCCCCACGTTAAGCTAGGATGGATCTCTAAGCTAAGGTCCGGTGTGACAACCGCTTAGACCGACCAGTATCAAACAATCAACATGGCGGCAGACATGGCAACGTACGCAGCATCGTACAACATCGCAGGACGGTCACTCGACCAGATCATTCCACGTCTGGACGCCCTCATGATGGTCCTGAAGACGTGTAAAGGCAAAGTCTGCACGCACCCTTGGCGGACTCTGCATCCTGACAAGACGGTAAATGACCTCAAGGACGCACTGGACCGTGGGTACGACGCCTTCTACGCCACTCAGCCCAAGATGACCTTTTATTCTTGTCCAGCCACGTACATGTTTGAGGAGGAAAATCAGCGGTCCATCTCACCCTGGCTGCTGGAGGATGGAGGAGCATTGCCCGGAAAAAACAGTGAATTGAGTCGCCAACCCGAGTTTGATTATACTCTGCACTGGGGCTTGTTAATTTAGGTTAGCTCTACACAGTGCTACTCAGCCTCTCTGTCCACATGCCATGATAGTGTACAATAGCAGTTAATTTTTTGTCATCGAGGTGCTGCCAAGAAGGTCTCTAGGTATCGTTCTCGAAACTCTTTGTTTCCCTTTCGGGCCGACGAGGCTCAGGGTGAATCATAGTTGTACCGTATAATCACCGGCACGGGATGGGAAATCCTTTGCCTCGCTGCGGCGCCGTTTTTCATTTTCACGTCAAGGGATAGAGTCTCTCCGTCTGTGCATTGGCCCCCAGAAACGCACCTTGCGTTTGTGTGTGTTTATAAAAAATCTTCGCCAGTGTCAAAGGCCATTGGTGTTGTGTTGTTCATGAAAGAAAAATCCCATAGATCAGGGAGGAGGAAATTATCAATGTCCTGCCCATACCCAGGCACACGCGAGTACGAGACAGGCGCGGCGGCGTGTTGTTGCACGTAAGAAGACGGCTGATGGCCTTGGGAATTAGTCCAGTGCGACAAATGATGACCGAAAGGCCTAGTAGTGTTGTTGTTGTTGTTGTTGTTGTTGTTGTTGTTGTTGTTGTCAATGAGCTCCCCCTCCTTCTGGTGCGACATGGTCGTCGCTGCCTCGGATGGTGCTGCCTCATGAGGTCGATTGTTGGCGCCCCCGGTTGAGATTGATGAATCAACCGTATATTCCGGATATGAATGTGAAGGGAACTCAAAGTTCAAACGTGTAAAAGTGCCACTGAGTTGATTGAAAGTCGACGAGCAGTTGTTCTCTTCTTCGCCGACTTCTCTAGAAGAAGAATCGCCGGGATTGCAATTGACACACTGACATATGGCGCCGGATACCAGGTTCGAGGCCTGTTCGACATGATCCATGGTGCTGTTGATGATGTTATCCAGCACGTCGCGATACTTTCTCAAGGTCGAATTGGTCTCGGCCAGGATGGCCAGGGCAGCAAAGCAAGAGCGAAGGTCGTTCGCAACTGTCGGGCTCCAGAGGCGAGGGGATTTGAAGAGAATATAACTGCTCAGGCGGACGTAAGATCAGTGTCAGGTTTCATCGTGAGGGGTGGGGACCCTAAGAGAGTGAGAGTGAGCTCTTACCACATGTTCATTCCAGCAATGAAGAGCGCATTGATCATCAGGAACGAGTGGATACAGAGAGTCTTCATGCGCATTCGTTTGAACATCTGACACATGCGACCTGAAGCTTGCAGGCAGAGTTGCATCAGTTCATCTTGTGGCTCGAGAATCCTCAACACAGGCTCGATGGTTTTTCGTATTGAGTCATGGTAGTGTATCAGAACCCAGTCTCGATCAACGTCGGGAACTGCAGACAGAAGAGGTTCAAGTTGTTTGAACTGTTCCAGCAGGGAAGGTACTTCATTTCTGAGGTCGGATCTCGCCTTGCCAACGCTATAGATGTCGACGTAAACCCGAGAGGTGATTCGGGTCAATGCGAAGACGGCGTACGATGCAGGGATAATATCGGTTTGTGATGATGATGAATGCCCATGGCTTGAAGTATGCTTGTCAAGTCGGACGGCTGAGAGGGTGTCGGGAACGGTGTAATCTGTGGGTTGCGTTTCAAGTGTATCGATGTCGTGATCCGCGATGCTGTAAGGACGTCTCAGAGACCACGCTATCCTCCTCTCCATCGAATATACGCTCCAAAACAGCCGACGCCTCGAATGCGCCGTCTCAGGATCTAAATTCCGGTAGTAATGTTCACGGTGCATCCCGATATCGATGGCTGTCCTGACGGCATGTCCAATGAGGTACCAAACCCGAGAATCCAACGATGTTCGGAGTTTGTAGAAGACCAGGAGCAATGTTGACTCAACCTCCCGTACCGGCTGCTCGCCTTTCCACATGCTTTTGAAATCTAGCGCCCTAGCCAGATACTTCTCGGGAGAAGCAGTCGAGTTGTAGCAGGGCCGTGTGAGTTGCAAGACAGTTGCACCAATGGCATAGACCATGTAGAGTAGAAATCCATGGTATTCTGAGCGAGCATCGGCAAGAAAGCCCTGGTGCCTTCTGTCATGCGCGTCGAGGATCTCGGCGAGATTTACAAATGGTGTCCGTCGATGCAGGTTCTTCAAATACATGACCAGTAGTTGCTCCCCAAGCTCGTCGTTTGGAGGGGAATCCCTCACGAACAGGCCGTTGTCGCCCGGGCGATCAGTCATGTGAGACGACTCTCTGACCCAGATGTTATCACCCGAGGCGGCGTCGACACGATGATGTGTATCTGAGGCTGCATGCATAGAACACTCTCCCTCCGATGTGGTGTGTACGGGAAACTGTACCTCTGAAGCCGTCAATGTGTGGTCTTCGCCCAAAACTTGGTCGTCCCGACTGTTGTCAAGCATGCTTTCGTCGTGGTGAGGAGTTTGCGCCAAGGGGCTCAACATTGACGGTGATGCGACAGGCGAAGCTTCGGCGGCGTTCCTGTTGGCCATGATCAGGTCCAGCTTGTCAAGAAGCTCCTGCTTGGAAAGTCTAGCAAATCGTCGCGAAGATGGCGCCGTCCGTTGACAAGTCAGGTTTGCTGCCTCACAGCTTGTACAAGAGGGATATCCAACACATCTTTGCTTGCGACGGTGACATCGCATGCATGCTTTGCGGCTACTTCTGCGAGCTTGTACAGGCATCATGTCTTCCATAATGAGAGTCTCTTCTCACCCCGGGGAAATTGATCTGGTGAGACCAAGAAGGAATTTGGAAACCAGCCTGCGAGCAAAGTCTCCGAGACACCTATTCTTGTGAAGGTTGGTAGGAGAATGTGGGGGTCTCGGGCGGGGTAGTTAGAGTCTACGGGGGACAACGGGGGAAACATCGAGGCACTTGTTCATCCACCTGGGGGCTGCAGCTTCTTATAAGTCGTTGGATATTTTCTATGTCGACAAGTGATTTTCCTTATAGCCTGTCGGTATGAAAAACATTCAAAGACTTGTTCAATTCGCACGGCAGTGAGTGGCAAAATGGAGTAGAGTGGTAGAATGTTGCAGTTATTAAGAGCAAGACGTGTCGTTCAGCTCATTAGACATAATCAAAGACCATCAAGCTCCTCCTGTAAAGTATCTTCCGTGATCTCATCAGTCCAAGCTGGGCTTATAGAAGCATTTATCTTTAGTCTCTAACCCATCCCATTCTTATATTGCTCATGCTTCCAAGGATGACAACAAGTAGTTGAAGTCGTCAGGCACGAAAGGAGTCGGATTTCACCAGGCATATCTGTATCCTTCCAGGCCTTCAAGGACTCGTTTGCCTTCATCAGCTTCTTTGTTGAGTTTTCGAACCCTCCAGGAGAGGATTGGCGCGATAACCACTGTGAGGGAGACGACGCACATGTTGGTAGCCATTCCTGGCAAATAACCAGGGGCATCCTATTCTTCCCAAAATCCGTCAGGAAAATGCTCGCGTCTTTTTCGTCTTTTTCTGGATATGAATCACACTTACCTGTTGACGATAGATTAAACTGGCAATTAAACCTCCTGTGGCACCAAACATGATCTGCAGCCCACTCGCAACAGCACGTTTTCTGCCTTCTCTGCAGTTGTTGGCCTGCCATGCGAGAGTGGACGGGACCAAGCTGTTCACTCCTGCATAACCGAGAAAGATGCCCACTAGCCTTTAATGCTTTGTTAGAAGGCGATCGAATCATTCGAGACTGTATCAGCGCTTACCTTGCAGGAGCAGATTTGAGGTACCCAGTCATTGCGAGGCCGGTCACCGCGATAACACCCTGGAAGACGATGAAGGGCCCGCGCATCTGCAGCTTATCTGAGAGCTTCGCCGTGATCAAAGAGAAGATGACGGCAAATAATGCAGGAGGAGTAGATAAGCACAAGGCCAACACCTGAGAATACCCCAGACTCTTCTTCAAGATCAAGGGCAGGAAGAAACTAAAAGCATAGGCACCCATGGCTGCGCTCATGTACATGTAGGTGCAAGCCCATAGTTTCCAGTCCGATAGAGCCATGAAGGTCGATTTAAAGGTGACTTTGTAGCTCTCGTGGATGCCACGCTCTGCTGACAGCCGATCCGCAACCATTGTCTTTTCATCCTCAGTCAGAAACTTGTTTTTAGGAGAGTCGGGAAAGTCAACAAGGAATATATAAGCGATGATTCCGAGGACAGCCGTGAGGAGGCCTTCAACGATGAACAGCCATCGCCAGCCTACCCAGAAAGGGCTCGTGTGTATTTTTACGATTCCGTACGCAAGGATGTTAGAAAATGAGGACAATCCCATAGAGAAGAGATAGTAGTATCCCAGTCGAGTCTGCACTTCGAATTTACGGTACCATGCCGACACAAGGAAAATCGAGCCTGGGGTATTTCTGGGTCAGGGTTAGCTGGGACTGGGATGGGCAACCTTTCCTCCGACCACAACGGACTTACCCTGCTTCAAAAACACCTAGTAAGACTCGCAGAAGTGCGAGAGGGATCCAGCTCCGCACACAGCCGATCCCAATTGTAACGACGCCCCAGGCGAAGGTGATGAAACCCAAAAATCTCGCACTGCCAATTTTTCGTAGTAAAATGTTGGAAGGTATGTCGAACGCGATGTAGCCAATAAAAAAGGTCAGCATGACGACTGAAGCCCGATACCCGATATCCAGGTTGAGATCCTCATCAAGACCAGCCACTCTTGCTGCCGAAATGTTAGTTCGGTCAATCAGAGAGACTGTGTGCAGGAGCACCACGATCGGAATCAGTCGAAGATCAATCTTGCGTAGGAGTCGTTTTTCCGCTTGCGCATCATAAATGCGATCAGCGTCCGCGACAGCTTTTTCTTTCTCATCGACTGTATGATCATTGACTGTAGGATCGAGGGGATCCTCAACGTGGTAGATCGCCTTCTCTGCCATGGTGAACTTGAATACTCCCTGGACAAGTGGAGTTGAGAGTGTCTAAGGTCACTGGTCCAAGATAGAGTTGCGGGACTGCAGTTGTCTGAAGTCGAGGAATTCTTCGCTTATATACAGCAGGATATATCATCGGGGATTGCCACACCAGCTCCGCTCACCATCAGCGACGAGAACAGGCCCACTTCTCCGCAATGTGCGTCGACATGTCGGGGAAAGGATACGAGCAAACACAGACATGGTCTGAACGGGGTCGAAGCCTGCTTGTCTGGGGAGTCGTGAAGCAGAAGCCCCTAAGTTTGCTGAAGAATAGACAAGACAGACGGCGTGGATTATCGTCGGCGTAAAATGCAAAACCCCGACATGGCGCCCTAACAATACGTGGGTCCCGCTTGAGTCCGTTGCAGGAAGTCGGCCGTCTTTACCCGTCATTACGCACAATGAGACTGTTTAGCAGAGAAGGCTCAAGGCACGTCAACAAAATTTTGTCAAAAGTGGCTTCGGCATAGCTGATCGGGGCCGATGTCTTCAATCACGCCTTCTATATTTGTGGGTCGGCCTTTATCGACCGCCCACTGGGGATCGATGGAACCGACAAAGGACCTTTCAAAACGCACAAGGCTGAAGTCACGTGCATCTTCTCAAATAGGCAATTCTTCGATGTTCACTGCAAATTGCACAAGGCTGTAAGTCATATGACATCGACAGATTAAAGCCAAATCTTCCATGATGAGAAGAATTTTCATGACTGTGGGCTCTCATGCCTATTAAAATAGAACTAATGCTATAAGCATGCCTAATGCCACCTAGACGTAGCGATTGATTTACCTAGGTAGGTAGTCTCCTGGCTGTATGTGTGACACAGACATAGTAATGCAAATCGAGCAGGTGACACTTCCAAGATCAATAGGGACTCATGCTCAACAAGTACCAACATATATTGATGCTAGGAATGCGTGACGCGATCCGGTATGGCATGCCTCATCTGTGCTGACGAATTAATGATCCCCCCTTCAGCCGAATCTGGAGCTTGCAGTCGCGCGTCCAACCTTGGTTGGATTTGAATAACAAAGTCTTACAAACACCGATGCCTGTTGTGCAGAAGATTTACAACATGAATACTCCCCATGCCTTATTCTGAGATGAAGGCACAATTCTCTTCAATATGCAGACAGCCGTCTATCCTGCTCGCCGACGATTTATCAGATCCCCTGAGTTTGGCGGACGAATCGGCACATATTCGTCCGTACTCCGTTGCCTGGCGATCATGGTCTCCTCTGAGCACACCTCACCTTTTGAGACGACGCAGCGGCAGTTTATAAAGCGAGAATGCTGTGATGGTCAAAACGTTCCCTTTGCCACATTATAGCTCTCTCTCTATACGAGAGAACACCTCAAGCCGCCCAACCCAGGCCATCTGGCCCCCCTTGAGATCCCGTCTTCGTCACGCTACAGGCCACACAAAGGCACGAGACTGCTAAGACGACAAAATGCTGATCCTCATCGCCGGGGTATCAGGTCTTCTAGGCAAAATCCTCGCGCGCACCGGTCTCGACAAGGGCCACCAGATCCGCGGCTTCGGACGCTCCCCGTCCAAGATCCCCGTGGACCTTCTGGATCAGTTCGAATCGTTCGTCGAGTGCGAATACTACGAGGAGCGCACCGCGCTCGACAAGGCCGTCTCGGGAGTCGACGCCGTCATCTGCTCCTACACCGCGCACGCCGAGGCCATCTTGGACTCGCAACTCGCACTGTTGCGTGCCGTCGAGCGGGCCGGCGTCAAGATCTACCACGCCCACTCGTGGAACCCGGACTGGTCCAAGACCAGCCTGGGCGACTGGGAGCACTACGACGCATACATTTCCTTCCGCCGGCACGTCGAGCTCACCTCGACCCTCCAACCTGTGTACACCTTCACGGGAATCATTGGAGAATTCGCGGCCAGCAAGGTGGTGGGGATCGCGCACGTCGAGGAGGAGCACGAGAACGACGGTAAGACCGCCGTAATGTCGTACTACGGCGACGGCACCGCCAAGTGGGATTTCACGTACCTGGACGACGCGGCCCGGTTCAGCATCGACTTGGTCACGACGAACCCGAGCGTCCTGGCCGGCCAAGGTGGAATGTTCCGCGTCCACTCGGCTGCGGCAAGTGCCCTGGACGTGGCGAGGGCGTACGAGGAGAACACCGGCCAGAAGGTCACCCTCAGATCCCTGGGGACGGCGGAAGAGTTGCTCCAGAAGTACAGGGAAGCCCGGGCTGCCGCGGCCGCGACCGACACAAGAAAGTACTTCGCCTACGGACCTTACTACGTCCACGCTGCCAACATAATGGGCCTCTGGAAGTTGGACAACCCCGTCAAAGTTGGTTCCGTTGACGCGGTGAATCGTTTGTTTGATCGCCAAATCGAGATACCGGGAGATTTGCTCGAGTGAGACTCGCGGCTATTCGTCCTACGGACGATAGCGAGTACAAGCTCAAGATAGAAGAGATGCTTTTCTGATATAGGTTTGGCAATGGAGAATCGAAGAACACTCAGTATGAGCACTTGATTTACTTCGTACTAAAGGTAGTAATGTAAAATTAACGTCTCGTATTTTAGGAACAAACAGCAAAACTAGAAACAACTTAACCTGTACCAACGCCATGCTTTTGAGACAAAGTGACCGCCCTCATGGTGACCAAAATCATAGCTCGTCATTCATCACGCTCACATTATATTTGCCTCTTGACCAATCCCAAGGATCCCCTCCTGGAACACAGAGACCTAGTCTCCAGAAATAATCCCGATGCGCAAAGAACAATTCCCAGAGTCTATAACGGCGGCCGATGCCCCACATGGTCTTGATCTTTGACTCGTTCGGCGTATCCTCCCCATCAGCACCGTCGAGATCTATCTCGTCCGATGTCGTGCCTCCATCGGCAATGCAAGATGGGTCTTCATCACCCTGGCAACGGTGCAGATCGGCTCGACCGGGAGGTAACGACGACTTTGAAATGTATATCTCGCCAGCGTGCATTCGATAGCCCCATTCTTCCAACGGTAGCAGAGGCACAGGGTCATTTGCGTGCGTGACTCTGCGATATAAGGCTTGCTCGGGACCTGTGGCGTTCAGATTGAAGCGTTTGTCAATGAACTGGTTGAGAGCGAGATTTCCGATGCGTGGTTCACCAAAAGTGGTGACATGAGGGGTCCAGCCGCGAGATTGGAATTCTAATGCGGCGAGCGCGGCTACGGCGCCGCCGAGTGAATGACCGACCAAGACCAACTCATAATCTGGATTCTCATCGAGAGCCTTCTCGACATGAGGGACAATTGTGCACCGAGTATTTCTCCAAGAGGTCATGAACCCAGCGTGAACAGTGCAGTTTACACATTCTGATTCCAATAGAGATCTTTTCTCGGACTGTTTCAACAGTTGCGGAAGAAGAGGTTCTTGTCCATCGTGGGGTTCAGCCGACGCGCAAACAGAGTCGTTGTCGCTCTGGGACGGGAACGGAGCGTATTCGGCAGGGTTGGTGGACAAATCGGCAATGGTATTGGCGATCGAGTACGTGCCGCGGAATGCGACGATGACTCGTCTCCGGAAGGGAGCATGCGACACAGCAATGTAGCCGCAGGAATCGGAGAGGAGGGGTCCGGTGTTCCAGGTGGTAATCAATTCGAAGCCTTCGAAATCGCTACATCGACTAAGACACCTGAAAGGCTTTTGAATTCCACTGGTACCGACGCAGTAGGAGATGTCGACAATGCGAGCGAGTTCTTCGAGTGTTTCGAAGGTTTCCTGGGAAATCTCTTTGTTGCTCGTTCGGATCTCGGTGGGAAAAGCGCCCGCCAAGATTGACCAAATCCACAACAAAAGGCTGATATGTAGGTGCAGCATGGCTGTACAGTCAATCACTGTTCCAGGAAGAGTATCGGCATATTGCGACACCTTTGGGAGGAGCGGAGGAGTGTCGGTGTACGGAATAACAATGATGTTGAAATCACAAAGCGGGAGACTGCGGTATGAGCAGGAAGCGGGATCGGGATGGGGCACTAAGCGTCACGTGAGATTACATCATGCCAACAGGTGATCTGGCTTCGGTGACTACGCACGTGATTTGCGGTTAAAGGGGCAGTTTCAACATGGTTGCTGCTGTGAGATCTTAAGATAATGTTGCGAAGAAAAAGTACGCGTTGAGGTCGTCTCGATATATGCAATAGGATGAGGTGTGTATTAAACATTCAAGTGCTAAAGCTGGGTGACGATACCCTCAACTAAGCATCACATTGAAAAGCCTCGATCAAATCCATCTACTCGTACGGAGAAGAGCTCGCTTAAAAATGACTGTCCAATTCACTGTAATACGTTGTATGAGTTGCCTTTCCTGGATGATACTCGAGTCTCCGTAGGGTCCCAAAGACCATAGTCAATAGTGAATCAATAGATGTTCCGTCCTGCCGATTGACGAATGCCAACAGCCAATGTTGAGCTCCCGCTTAGACGGAGCAAGGCTGAGACTTGGCCTTATCTTGGCACCAAGACTTTCCGACCTTTTCCGCTATGAAGCAACTCTAGTAACAATCTATCCTCCATCCTGACATGATGCAATTCATCACTTGGCTGGCGGGATGATTTCTCCCTAAGATCTGCCAGTGCAGTGCAAGAGTCCTGCTTATGCCATGACTGTAGCGCAACTGCAATTCCAAGCATCTGGACACTACTGAGCCGTCCTTTCCGAGTGTGTTTCAAGGGTCAAGCCGGGTAGGTCAATGCTGTACTCTATGTTCTGCTCGCACGGTATGCGCAAATGCAGATCAGAGACGTTTAAGAGATGCTGAGCTAGGTTTGCGGAATGTACATCTCCTTTATAGTCGATATCAACCTCTTAGCGTGCTTTCGAAACATTCTGCATGCAAAGGCTCCTTCTTTCTCGTTGACTTGAGGATGGTAGGTGCATATACCCCATCAGTTATCGAGGTGGGCCATTAAGATGTACGAGTACGAGCACACCAAAGCTCTCCTCGGGAAGACGGTACAGAGGTGGTCGAAACTGGTCAAAGAAGACATACCATGACCCAGTCTGCCAAGTCTACGGTTTGACACCCTGTGGTGGTCTTGGCCTCGTCGGGAAATCCGACTGTTACACCACATGCATGAGCGGGGGATGTGTGAGGGTCAACGGCCAGATATTGGTAGGTATATTTACCGCATTGCCAATGTGAGATTCGCAGACCTTTTCTTCGGTCACCTGTGATCTCCCATTCCCCCAGAGCTCATCAAGTGAGACACGATGTCGGACCACGTTTCTGGCCAGAGCAACAAGCCTATAAGCAAGCCTGCACATGCTCTCGGGGTTGAAGAGATCGCCCGGGAACTAGACACTGATATCTCAAATGGCCTTCGAGCCCAGGAAGCTCGCCAAAGACTAGAGCAATATGGCCGTAACGAACTCGATGACGGTCCAGGCGTGCAACCGTTGAAGATTTTGTTGCGACAAGTCGCCAACGCCATGATGTTGGTCCTGCTCATGGCAATGATTGTCTCATTTGCGATCAAATCGTGGATCGAAGGGGGTGTTGTCGCAGCTGTGATCTCATTGAATATTGTTGTTGGTTTTCTTCAAGAATTCAAGGCAGAGAAGACAATGGACTCCCTGCGCTCTTTGTCTTCACCGACTGCGAATACTGTACGAGATGGCAGCACCACAAACATTCCGACCGCAGAGCTCACCGTAGGGGACATTGTCGAGCTCAAAGTCGGAGATACTGTCCCTGCAGATGTCAGGTCAGTTGTCTACCACGCCAATTTGAATCTTCCAAACGCTAATTCTCCTCCAGGTTGATCGAATCCATAAATCTCGAGACCGACGAGGCGTTGCTGACAGGAGAATCTCTGCCTGTGAATAAAGATGAAGGATTAATACTTGATGAAGACACGGGACCTGGTGATCGCCTCAATGTTGCATACAGCTCCTCGACTGTGACGAAAGGTCGAGCAACTGGTGTGGTGTTCGCCACGGGCATGCACACGGTAAGTAAAGTCTGATGCTCGGGGTACATAAATCGTCAGCGCAACTGCACCGGGTGATAGAATCTAATCTGGTTGTAGGAAATCGGTTCGATCGCCGCAGCCCTTCGACAAGGCGAATCTAAGAGACGTCCAGTGAAAAGACGGCCTGACGGTACTGCTTCTCCTTTGCGCCAAGTTGAATCATGGACTCTCACATTCAGCGATGCTGTTGGCCGGTTTCTAGGCTTCAACATCGGGACACCTCTACAAAAGAAGTTGTCACGGCTTGCAATCCTGCTCTTCGGGATAGCCGTGGTATGTGCAATTATCGTCCTTGCTGCCAACGATTTCTCCGACAAGTCTGAGGTCATCATCTACGCGGTTGCAACGGGCCTCTCTATGATTCCTGCTTCACTTGTGGTAGTACTCACAATCACCATGGCCGTCGCAACTAAGAGAATGGTAGAGCGCCATGTCATTGTCCGCAACCTCAAGTCCCTGGAGGCATTGGGTGCCGTCACCGACATTTGCTCGGACAAGACGGGAACTCTTACGCAAGGAAAGATGGTCGCCAAAAAGTGCTGGCTCCCCTCTCGTGGCACCTATTCAGTGGGACCGTCGAATGAGCCGTTCAACCCCACCGAAGGAGATCTCATGTATAGTGAAGTGTCCCCAGCAAAGGAAGAGTTGGAAAAAGCCCCCGAACCACAGGCTGGTAGCCATGACGAGTTGGTCAAGGATAATTCTGAGCTGACAGATTTTCTGTTCGTCGCATCGCTCGCCAATATAGCCCGGGTCCACCAGAACAAGGAAGGAGAATGGGTTGCACTAGGAGATCCAACCGAGATAGCAATCCAGGTATTTGCATCACGGTTCGACTTCAACAGAACCAAGTTCCTCGGCGGCGATGCGGCAAAGTACAAAGAAGTTAGCGAGTACCCATTCGACTCAGACGTCAAAAAGATGTCCGTCATCATGGAAGAGGGAGCAAGCAAGCAGCAAAAGGTTTTCACCAAAGGTGCCGTCGAACGTGTTCTTGACTCGTGCACGAAGACCCGGTGGGGGTCTTCCGATGTTGTTGAATTAACCCATGACATGAAGAGCACCATCTTGGATAACATGGAAGCCCTTGCTGCCCAAGGACTCAGAGTGCTAGCATTGGCCAGTCGGCCATACAATGCTCCAAACGGCCAGAAGGCGAGCCGCGAAGACCCGCCGCCTCGAGAAGAGGTCGAGTGCAGCCTCGTTTTCCATGGGCTGATTGGTCTCTACGATCCTCCTCGACCAGAATCGGAGGGAGCTGTGAAGCGATGCCATCGTGCCGGTGTAAAGGTTCACATGCTCACTGGCGACCATCCTGGCACAGCCCGAGCGATCGCAGCACAGGTTGGTATCTTACCCCGAAAGATGGACAACCTATCTGCCAACGCTGCCCGAAGCATGGTCATGACTGCAAAGGAGTTTGATCATTTGAGCGACGGCCAGATCGACGACCTCCCAGCACTGCCGCTCGTTATTGCTCGATGCGCACCGAACACAAAGGTTCGAATGATTGAAGCTCTTCGTCGTCGAAGCGCTTTCATGGCAATGGTAAATATTCCTTTCCACTCGGCAAGTATCAAGACCCGTAGCACTCTTGCTGACACAGCGCAGACCGGTGACGGCGTCAACGACTCTCCCTCACTCAAGATCGCCGACGTCGGTATCGCCATGGGTCAAGGTGGGTCCGACGTGGCCAAAGACGCATCCGACATTGTCCTCACCGACGACAATTTTGCCTCCATCCTCTCCGCCATCGAAGAGGGCCGCCGCACTTTCGACAACATCCAGAAATTCGTTCTGCATTTGTTGGCGGAGAACATCGCACAGGCCTGCACGCTTCTGATCGGTCTCGCCTTCAAAGACAGCTCGGGACTCTCCGTCTTCCCTCTGGCGCCGGTGCAGATTCTGTGGGTCATCATGATAACCAGCGGCATGCCCGACATGGGCCTTGGTCTGGAAATCGCCGCCCCCGACATCCTGGAAAGACCGCCCATCTCCCTCAAGGCCGGGGTCTTCACGTGGGAAGTGTGCTTCGACATGCTCGCGTATGGCTTGTGGATGTCCGCCCTCTGCCTCTCGTCGTTCCTGCTGGTCGTGTACGGGTTCGGCGACGGTAACCTCGGGGAAAACTGCAACGGGTCCTACTCCCGGTCGTGTGACACCGTCTTCCGAGCCCGAGCCACCACTTTCGTCAGCCTGACGTGGTTCGCCCTCTTCCTCGCCTGGGAGATGGTCGACACCAGACGTAGCTTCTTCCGCATGCAACCCAAGAGCAAGCGATACTTTACACAGTGGATGTACGACGTCTGGCGTAACAAGTTTTTGTTCTGGGCCGTCATTGCTGGCTTTGTCACGATCTTCCCGACCATATACATCCCGGTAAGTTCTTGTCCAAGACTCCAAAACAGTTATCCAGCCCTGAGGGAGGGGAAAAATTCAAACCGATCACCACTAACGCGCTCCGTCCAGGTCATCAACCATCGTGTCTTCAAACACACTGGAATTTCCTGGGAATGGGGCATCGTCTTCGTCGAAGCGTTACTGTTCTTCCTTGGGTGTGAGACATGGAAATGGGCCAAGCGCATCTATTTCCGTCGGCGGGCGAAGAAATTGACCATCACACCTGACGACCTGGAACACTTGGCTTTCTCTGACTTTGAAAGACTGGAAAAGGTCCATTGATGCACACACACCGTACTCGGTACTAATTTTTATGAGACATAATTAGCTTCTTGTGCCAAACCATGGAGCCGCCTATGATCTGGCTCAGAACTCGACTAAATGAGATGGATACCAAGATATACAAGAATAGAGTGGGCATGGAGTATATATCAGATATAGATTTACCAAGGTCGTACGAGGTTGTACCCCTTTTCCAGTGTCAGTCTGAAGATCCCTTGGAAACTAAGAACGAGGACATAGCTATAATAAAATATCCACTCTTGTATATGGTTAAGAATGATGTGTACGGTTTGAGGACAGTATACAGGTGGCAAGTTCCTCTATGTACAGTATAACCCATAATGTTGCCCCCTTGAGCGATTTCAAGTTTGGGGGACCGATGCCTCTCCAAGGGACCGACATGCCGAAGATATATATCCATATCTATTGTACCACAGATTCTGACAAATTCCCTGATGGACGAGTGAATCATGATGAAAGAACCAACAATACATATAGTACAAAGTCACCTAGCTCATAAGGCAGAGATTGGACACTTTTGTAAAAGCATGAACCACATCATACGTTTGCAACTCTTTTCATTGAAAATTGACCTGCGGGATCCTCCTCGAGGTTTTGGTGTCGGTGCGGGAGCAAATCGGCTGATTTAGACCGCGAAAGAACCGGCGGCGTTCGCGTTGTGTCCCTCGCCCAAGTTATGGCAGGTGTCACTGACCTGGAAATCGCCGTCGCTGCCGTCCGCGTACCAGTTGCCCACCAGGATCGGACCGCCGCAGTTGTTGGCGGTGTGGAAGCGGACGATCTGGCCGCCGCTGCCGTACGCAACGACCTTGAAGGAGCCAAAGGCGGGGAACCAGGTGGCGCAGGTGTTGTCCCAGACGTTGATCTCGGTGCCGTCACCACCACAGTCGTTGTTGCTGTACCCGTGGATGACGTACGCCGAAGAAGCGGACGAATGACCGAGGCCCAACAGGGCGAGGGTCCGGACTGTGGAAAAACGCATTTTGTTCCTTCTTTTTTCGGCCACGGGTCGAGAAGGTGCTTGGATATTTAGATAATGATTGAGGTTTGAAAAAAAGATGTGCTTCGAAAGTGATGTTTTAGTCGTGTTGTGGTTGTCTTTGATGTTGTGGTTGAGGTTGACCTTGTTGAACGGGGAGTCCTTCTCCCTTTATATACCTTTTGAGGCCGCATGGTTTGTTCGCTCGTTCTTTCTTTCTTCTTTCGTTCGTTCGTGCGTTCTTCGTGCATCGAGTCACTCGGGTCTCACTGGGTGCTCGCCACCACTGGATACGCCGACAATAGTTCCCTCATCTGGCGACTGCGGCGGCGATCTCGCCCCAGACGTATTCCGGCTCTCATCATGCCTGCGAATACGTCTTCTCGGTATCATGGGCGAGCACGAACAGTCAATCACTAATCTCTGAAAAGGTCCACGTTCCCAAGGGGCTGTGGACCATTGGGTATCGATACTTTGTGGCAGTGATGCACACAACACCAAGACCGGAACTGATTGAGGCCAGTAAGACACCCGCTCTCCGATGACGGTAATCCTGTCGATCAGAAAGAAAGTGAGACACACATCTCCATTGCTAAATACGGGTAATGTATCGAAGAACAATATGTAGTGCCAAGACCGGTGCTGACCGCGCTCCACCGTTCATTCCGCCCGCGGTACGGAGTAAAGGGAGGCCTGATCCGCCCGCCTGCTTCCGGGTCTTGGCCATACTTGAGATTCGTGGTGTGGGAACGACGTAGCCTTGGACTTCCGCCTTTGATACGGCCGATACTCGTTACAGTAGATGGGTGATGAAGTGTATTGAAGGTTAACGGTCCTTGACATGTGAATGCAAGTCGTTCGTGATTTAACATGTGCGAAGAACAATAGAATAATGAGAAAATGAATAGAAAAGGAGTCTAACTCGATCATAGACCTCCTCCTAAGCCTAACTCGAAGACAACGCTCGAAGCCTGTCCTGGTCCTGCGTCGTAACCTCGCTCCTTCGAGCGTTGTGCCTGCGGAGCCTTGCCAAGGTTTTTACTGTTTGAACAGTCATTGTCCGCCTTAACATTAAAGAGGGTATATAGACAAGTCAGCAAGATCGCCTGTCGTGCTCGTAGATGTGGTCGGAAAAGGACGATCGTTCGATCACTGGCGACAAGCAAGGTTACGTACGTGGTGTAAGATCTAAGGCCGTGCTGCTCAGCACCAGGTGGAAATTGCAGCTTGCATCGAGGTGGACCAAGATGCTGTGCATAACTACTCGGTATACACGAGATAGGCATACATAGCCCCCCTTAATGATCCATCGAGATGTCAGTCGTCCTTTGCAAGAGGTCTTAAACTGTGGGGTCTTACGTATATCCACTTTCCTACTTCGCCATCCTCTCTTGGTCACAGGACGTTGTAATAATGCTGCCTGCTTTGTATATTCTCTTGTACATCCATTGTCGATGACGGGCTGAAGTTAATCGATTTGTTTGCCAGGATTAGAAGCGGGACGACGTCAATCCCTGATGCTCAAAACATTACTCCACTGTCAGCTTTGGGTCGCCGCAATTTCTTCTGAGGTGGAAAGACTGAACTGGGAAACATTGTGACGGTGCCAGATTCCGAGACCACATTCGCCATTCGGGGAGGACGAGCTGCTTGCCTTGAGACTGGTAGTAAAGTGAATATAAAGCAAGAAGGCCTTTCTCTTCCTCGAAACAATATAAGCAGCGAATCTTTTTGCAGGCTCTCGGGACTTGTTAAAACAAAATACCAAAATTCTGCAAAAGGCAAATTTACATCAAATCACCCTCACAGAACCATAACCACTCAACCTTTGAAACATTCGACGTCATGCATTTCACCTCGCTCCAGAACCTCGCACTCCTGAGCCTCGGCCTCACGAGCACTCTCGGTTCGGCGTACGTCGTGCAGGTCTACGACGACCATGACTGTACACAAAACGGGAGGGAGGTCAACGTCTGGGACAACACGTGTGCCACCTGGATGGGCGGTTTCGGATCGTTCGAGGTCAAGGCCTATGGCTCGTCTGGCCAAAAGGCACGGTTCCACGTCGCGAACAACTGCGGAGGCTCGACCATCGGTGGCGCTTATTTCGCCGACGGGACTGGCTCAGGAAATGCAAACTTTTTGATTGGGACAGGATGTCATGACTTGGGCACCGGGTACACCGCCAATGCTGCTGGGTCTTTTGCTATCTGAGGACGGGCTTGCTGGTATTTGGACCTGCTTGATCCGCTAGGACTCGGGGAAGTGCTCGTATACTTTTGGGACGTCCAACAGATCTAGAATGTCTTTTTTGCCCAAATGTACTGTAACTTGCCAACAATGAAAATACCTGTCTCTTACTAGGTATGATGTCTTAATGTCCCAAGAGTCGTGCTTGTTCCAGCTATTCGTGCGTAGGAAAGTGGAGCAAACGGAACTCGGAGAAACCTTTTATCCCTTTACCCAAAGTCGACGACCTCGGCATTGGATGGTCGAACACAAATACAACGTCTTGTATCTAATCGGAGGACGGACAACATACACTTAGAAAATCTTGTCCTCTTCCACTACTTACAACTCCAAGCAAACAAAAAAAACCATCCATAAAAGAATAGCCATGTCCCGCATCGCCCTCGCAACGTCCATCGCGCACGTTGGAGTCGCCATCGGGCACACCGTACGTGCATACTCTTTTCTTTTCTCGCTACAGAGGCGACCGGTGCTGATTTTCCACGGGGAGGCTAGGCTTTTGGTTTGGACATTTTCTCTCGGGCTCAATGGTCTACCCTCCCCAGACTTCTCTTCGCCTACGCCCGGGTCGGTTGGTACCAAGGTTCCATATTGTTCACTATTGCAGGTATGTGAGCAGGAGGCGAAGACGGGATAATCATTTTCATAATATTGACGCGATAATCAAGGACTACACACGTATCAAATGTCGCAACGTGACCCCTCAACCTGGACTACAGTTGAGCGGGCCATCGCTGGCATCTTGATTGCGCTGTACTGGGCGAGCAGTGCATGGTATTTCAAACACGGGGACAAACCGACTGGCTTGCTTACAGCTGTCGTCGGCGCAATGCAAGCCCTGACATTGGCACAGTAAATACAGGTTTTCAAAGCTAGTTCGTTTTCCCAAATTGCAAGGTCAAGTCTCGCACTAGATATTCATTGTAACTGCGATATAGTCGTTTCAAAAATGGAACCTATTTGTGTATTTGATTCAATACATTGCCCCCGGGAACTGATCATGCCCTATTGACTGTCCCAAATGCAGCTTCAAGCTCTCCAAGAGAATATGTCGATCTCTTTCAAGTCCCCAGACTGATACGTCGTTGCAATCTTGCCCTTCTTGCCGGTCAGCGTTGCTTGGGATAAAGAGGAATATTGCCGCTCAAATATTTTGAACGGTGTATTAGAATCGACCCACCATCTTTTGGCCTTTTGCGCAGGTGTCATTTGCAGAGTCGATACTATGGAAGAAGCAGGGTGCGACGGCTTCACAAAAGGACTTGCGGAAGGCTTGGAGTATTTGATCCGCTTAGGCGTAATAGACGCTTCCGTCTCCAGCGGGATTGGAACTGTAGTTCTGAACGTGGGCTGCCTCTTTCTCTTTTTCGACATTTCAATGTCTTTCGGGTGTTGCAAGGACATGGTAGAAAAGGGCTGTTGCGCTGGGCGGTCGGTCTCTGTAGCCAGAGGCAGACAGCATCCAATCTCGCTATTTGTTATCTCCGGCGATGAGATCTCCGTTTGATTTCGATTGACATGAGGAGTGCCCAGCTCGGGAGAGGGTAATCTAGAAACCTCCCGACGCCATTGTGCAACGGCGCTACCTGATTGCGATACGTAGTGCCGGTCGTGTGCGTCTAGTATAGGTGCTTCAGGGAGGATGATAGGTTGCGGCAGGACCGACACGGTCTCTGTTGCATTGGGGAATGGGGATGTTGCAGCATCAGAGGTGCGTCGTGGCGATTTCCCTTGACCATAGGCGTCCAGTCGTCGAGGTCTGATCAATGTCTCAATCATTGCCTTGGTCACGATACGTTTGGTATGAGTGGGCTCGTCAACCCGTTGGAGATAATACTCATCAAACGTCATGATCCGGGTCTCTTCCTCGGCCGCTTCGTCCAGAAGATACCGCCGAAATCCATGGTGGTGATGATATATCGCATCATCGTAGAGGTAGGAATGCAATCCTTTTCCCATCACCCAGAACTTACTGAGCAAACGGCATGCGTTCTCAAATGCCGTGAAGTCCCCACGGTAATCCGTATAAGCATTTTGATATCTCCTAAAGACAAGGTGAAGATGGATGACCAGAGTAGTCGGCACCTGAGATGGAGAATCGTTCGACTGCAACTTGAAAGGATCCTCAACGTTACCATATGCTGATGAATGAGTAACTGGAGTAGACAATTGTCGTGGAGATGGAGCCGATGTACGTAAGCTCGGGCTCCCATCCCCTGTTGGAGCACTAGGAAGCTTTCCGACGCTGCTTGTGGCGTCCTTCGCGGACGAAGTAGACTTCCTCGATAGCGAAGGCTGCTTGCTTATAGATTTCAGTGCCGTTCGGCAATGATGTCCAAGCTCAGCCACATATGCAGGATCAGAACTGTTTGCTGCAACCGGTGCGGTATACTTCGTTGGGCCTGTCCTGGTATTATCCGCATCGCCGATAACCTCAATTGACTGGTCGTGTGAGGTCAACGCATCCAAAATCACCTGTACTGCTGGGTCACCTTGAGCAGTCTCGGAACCAGACCCCGCGGTTTGACTTTTTGCTTCGACCCTATGGTCATTTCGAGATGGGCTAGAGTCTGCGCGTCGAGACCGGTCCGAAGTGCTGTCTAGTCGTGCTGAGTCAACACTCCGAGACAATATGCCTATTTCGTCTTCAGCCGCATTCACACGCGGACCTTTGTCATCCTTGTTCTCGTTGGTCTGTGGCGCACTCTTCAATTGCTGAACATTCTCATTAGGGATCAAATGTCTATGCCCACTTGCAGGATCACCAGAGCTAGCGTGATTGGGCTGTAACGTGTCGGTTTGAGGAACTGTGCAACTTTCAATGGAAGGTACATCTGAGCTAGCTTGCACTGCAGGCAGTAATGCACAATTGCGTTCATCGTACGAGCAAGGAACACAGCCAGATGATGCTAGGCCAGATTCATCGGTAATATCCGTACCGTTGAAGGCAGTCTTCACAAGGTGAGGTAGAGGACGCTTCAAAATGTAGGGAGTCCTCTCGACCTGGATATTTCTCTTCGATGGACTTGTTGCTTTTTTCGGGCCTGCGAAAGATCCACTGATGGCAGCCGGACTTATACCCTCTAATGTATCTGGAGCTATAGGTTTGGAAGTAGTTGGTTCACCTAGAGATTGGATAGGCACGCGGCGTACTCCTTGGTCCACCTCTGAAACAGCACGATTGGTGACTAGGTCGCTGTGTGGGATAACCGGAAGCCGGCTGATCTGAGATGTTGACTGGGAAAGGAGCGGCTGATTGTCGTTACCGTGGGTCGATGAAACGGACCGTGTCCGTGGAGGCGCCTCGATGTCTATATCTGCCGACTTCACATTGAAATTTCTCCTTTTTCGTGCACTCGGCAAAGGACTGTCTGCAGGTAGTACTTGGCGACGGCGATCTTGTGTTGGTGGGCTCGGTGACCATGATGCAGCAGACACATCTGATTCCTCAGAATCACTTGCAGCATTGACGAGCCTACGCTCTTGGAGTGTCTTTTTGTGGTGGTTGTCTGGGGTTATGGACTTCTGACAAGCCGAAATAGGCTCATTGATAGGTAATTGCTTTTCAACTTGTGAATCCTTTTGGTCTGTGAGAATCATGAGTTGTTCATTAAGATGTATAGGAATTTGGCCTGGAATGACGGTACGTCCCACAAGAGGTGGTTGCCAGCTGTCATCAGACTCGAGTAAGGCTTCTTGGTCCTTGGGGATTTTCTGCAGATATCTAGGGATGTAGCGACCCGACCGGGCCTCTTCTCTCCACCGTCTGAAATGACGCACTAGTGACGTTGGCAGTTGCGAGGGCCTCTCTTTTGACTCGGGCGCGAGCATAGGGTCTGGCTGCTGGGCCGCACCAATTATCTGTTCTCGTTCTTTTGCGGCTTCAAGGTAACTCGGTCCAAGTTCATCCTGCGCACTCTCTCGACCATGTACGCCTTGCTTCCCATCCAAGGCTTTGGTGCTAAGGTCGCCATCGGCTGGAGCGATGTGGTTTTCCGCCGGCTGCGAATTGATGGTGAGACCATGGACGACAGGCTGTGTTACAAAGTTTGTCGTGAGATCTTCCTCGTCCTGGCCAGTGGCTGCATCGCCTTGGTGGAGCCTAGTATCTTTGATGGTAGTCTGCGTTGCACCATTTGTGCGTTCATTGTGCATCAACCCCGTAGTGACAGTCTCTTTATGAATCGCTGAGGGGGACAACCTCTGAGGCTGCTGATCCCAAGTGACATCGTTAATCTGAGTTAAGAATGGCAACTGGGAGACATCGTCATCAGCGTCGGAAGCATTACCTGGACTGAGAGGAGCCTGCGATCGGATCGATCCACTAGGACTGCCTTTGGGTGGATTATTTTTGCGATTCCGTGCGCACCATTGTGTCAATTCCAGCATCTTCTGTTGTACGTCCGGCAATGTTTCCAGTGGCAGGCTGTCGAATTGATCAATTGCTTTGGCGCATTCATTTTCCACGGCTTCGCACGTTGAAATGCTCAAGCGCAGTTGTGGGGTGTCATAGTTACAATCAATGATCAGGGTCGGGTCGGTGACTTGAAGGTTGACCTTCGAGCGGGTGAGGTGGGCTGGCTTGACTCCAGAACGCTCAAGGCCTTCTTGGGTAGCCTTCCTGAACACTGCTGGCAGACAGTGTTTCCCGTCAGTCACTTGGACTGGGGTCGTCTGGGGAGTCTGCATTCCAATTAGCAACCCTGTCCACCAGTCCCCGAGGAAACTACCTCTATCGTGCAAAGTGAGCGGACATATGAGCCATGCCTTTGACAGTATATAGCGTATCTGTCGCTCCCTTGATGCATAAAATACTCAACCATAGGCTGACCAGTCTGAAGGAAGCGCAGGTACTCGGCTAGGCCATCGGCAACGAAAGGACCCAGCCACGCTTCGTGGCTAGCCATCTGGTGCCGCTCCTCATGAGTGTTAGCCGTGACACTTCTGCAGATTTACACAGGAGCCAAGGCCGAACGAAAAGGTCTGAGAGTATCGTAAGATTCGTTTGAGTATGTCCGTGAGAGTTATGAACGTGAGTTTGGGGTATCTCTGAAGGCAGGTGGGCTGCGCAAAGTCGCGTCTGGAGAAATTATTATTCCGGAGACGCGACGGGCTGCCAAGGATGACGTTGAGCATTCTAGCCGAGATCTCCAATACGTGCCATCCATCATTGTCGCCGCCCAAGTGTCTGTGCCAACAATGTGTCTTGAAGCCTGTCAAATCACAGTCTCTTTGTCCCCCGTGAGACATCAACCTTTGGTCGTCCTCGATGCTATCACTATGCGACATCGAGCATGAAGCCTATCCGACGTTATCACAGACACTCTGTGGCCGAGAGGCCGCCAGATTGATGCATCATGCCCTCCTCTACTCAAGACAATCCTAGTCCCTCGGCCTCCTCCATGTTTCTTCCCCTTGGAAGAAGAGGCCGGAGGGACTCCAGATCTTCCTTGTCTAATGAGTTAGATCAAGACGCCCTCAACCATGCCCTCAATACCATCCATACCGCAGCCTCCCAGTCGATCAATCTGACGGTCTTCAACGAGTATACAGATCCTCCTGCGGCCGCCTCGTACCAAGAAAACAAGTCGTTGGCCGGCGAGATACAAGGCGGGATATCAGGGCTCTACAACAAACTCAAGGCTAGTGTGGGCGTCGCGAAAGAGATCGAAGAGCGCCATGAAGAGCATGGTGCATTGGTCCTACCGGACGATATGGCCGCCTCTAAACCCAGCTCGGGGCTGACATCCAAGGCGCAGTCGCCCAGGCTCCATGCCTTCGACTCTCCCTTTCCCGTTGAGCAGGCTCCCTATGCGTTCAAGATGTCCTCTAAGGCGACAAGTGTATCCAAGGTGTCTCTACCATCGACTCCTTCGATCAGATCACCCACTGGCCATCCCCAGCCTTCGGCCCACCTGGCCGATCCTTCTGTCACGAGTGTCAATATCCATGCTGTCGGTGCAGGAGGTCACTCAAGAAATGGTTCAGGTTTCGAGCTCGAGTCGCCCAAAGCGGATCGAAACCTGACAGCTCCTATCGATAGTGACAGTCTCCGGAGAGTTTTTTCCAAGCCTAATACTGAGAATACCGCAACGGATCGGAGTAATCGCCACGTTACCTCGCCTCGACTATCAGCATCACAAAGACCTAACTCTAAATTGACTGTGTCGCATGAGCGTGGGCTGTCGTCGGCGTCCACGCAGAGCCATACGAGCCATCCAGACGCATTGGCCAATTCTCAACAGTCCACACCCATTGTAGATGGGTCTGTTGCCAGAGTACCATCGAGACAGGAGACTGCATCATCCCAGAAACACCACAGCAATCCGTTAGACCTGCTTGCTGAAAATGCCGTTCATCCTGGCAAGAGCCACCCAGGGCCACAGGGGAAACAAGCTGAGACTCCGGTCCTTAAATCGCCTCTTTCAATCACTTCAGACTCCAGGCCCTCTGAAAGACTTGCGCCCCGAATCAGCCAATCCAAATTACCAGGGTTCCGCGCTTCCCGGACGTCATCGTCAGATTCCACAGTTCTAACAGGGATGTCACGTTCAAATCGCGATGACTCTCTAGGTACCGAGCTGGACGATGGCCCACGCGCTTCTCAGGCACGGCCTGTCAACCGGTTGAGGAGTAAGCTTCTAAGCAAGGAGTTCTGGATGCGAGATGAGAACGCCAAGGATTGCTTCCATTGTGGTGAACCATTCACGACGTTCCGTCGCAAACATCATTGCCGAACCTGCGGTCAAATCTTCGATAATAAGTGCACCGTCGTTATTAGCGGAAGCCACTTTGGCGCCAACAGTGCGGTTCGTGTTTGCAAACCCTGCGAATCTATTATCACTTCTCACGACGACGATTCTTCCGACTATTCAGTCGAAGACCTATCCCTCATAGATGCTGGTGTTCGTCCTCGTACGCCGGAACCTGATTTTCTGAATCGGCATCTTGCACGCTCCGACGACGATAATGCCTCTCTGGCCTCCCAATCCTTGGAGCAGATGTCAAAAACTCCTACTATGAGTTTCCCTTTGCGGCGGGCGTTTGAAGGTGCAAATCGGAGTTCGGCTGTCCTTGAGTTCGACACCACGGATCGTCCGTTGCCTCGCCCAAGCTCTTCCAGGTCGTTGAAACCAAGTCACTCTATTGGTCATGGCCACAAGCGACATCATTCTAAGCACCAGCATATCCGAAATTTCAAAGCTTATCACGAAGATCGTGCTCCATTTCAACGGCGCGCTGCCGAGGAAGTTTTGAAAGAGGGCAAGTCGTCTGCTTTCCACCGTGACAGCATCATCGATCCCGATCTTGCACAATATCTCTCTGATGACCCATCCAGTGAGGATGAGCCCTCTATCAATGAGGCCATAGGCGCAGATAAGCTCTCAAGCAGCGGGCCCGGCAACGACAGAACTGCGATCGGTGGTCTCCTCGCTGCTGTGCGAAAGGGCCGATCCCGTATTGGCGATCGCAGCATCGCGGGGTTGTTGAGTCTGGGAAAAGATAATGATGATGTTAGTGTGATTAGCTCTCGCAATGTCGAATCTTTGAGAGGCTCTCGGAAACGAAATCTAAGTGTCTCCAGTAGCATTCACCAACGCACGCCTCGGACCACAAGAGAACGTTTGCAGATAATCATTCCGACTCAGGATGAAGTACAGGATTCTGCGGCCGAGGGCTCCAGCATCTACCGCGGACGGTCAAGGATGATCCGCAGTGCCTCTATGCGTGGAGTGGCAGCTCCAGCAATGGAACTCAACCGTGCCAGTATACAACATGTACACAAGCTCCTGCAGCAGCTTCTCAAAGATGCTGATGTCCCCAAGGTGTCGAGTTGGGAAGATGCTCTTATTCCAATTCTACTCAAAGCTACCGATGACGTTGATCCCGATGTACAAGGTGGTGATGACATAGACATTCGCAACTATGTGAAGCTCAAGAAAATACCAGGTGGTAAACCAGGAGATACAGCCTACATTTCTGGCCTGGTCTTCACCAAGAATGTGGCTCTGAAGAGCATGGCTCGGTCCCATTCAAACCCAAAAATATTGATCATCACTTTTGCTCTAGAATATGCTCGACACGAGCAGCATTTCCTGAGTCTCGACCCTGTCATCAGGCAGGAAAGAGAGTACCTGAATAACCTCGTCGGCCGTATTGCTGCACTAAAGCCTGATGTTCTGTTGGCTCAGCGCAATATCTCCGGACTGGCACTAGAGCTTTTAGAGAAGGCTAAGATTACAACGATATTCAACGTCAAATCGTCTGTTCTCGAAGCTGTTTCGAGATGCACGCGCGCTCGTGTCATGCATTCAATGGATAAGCTCACATCGCAGGTGGATCCCTTCGGCCGCTGCGATTCTTTCGAGGTAAAGACGTTTGTGGCCGAAGGCCGGAAGAAAACATACGTCTATCTATCCGGCTGCCCTCCAGCCCTTGGCTGCACGATCGCGCTGAGGGGTGCAGATCGACAAACACTTACCAAGATTAAGCACGTCACGGAATTCATGGTGTATGTCGTATATAATTTGAAGCTAGAGACCTGCTTGATGAGAGATGAGTGGGCTCTAATCCCGAGTGCGCCGACAGTGCAAGGAGCAGATCCTGGACTTGGATCGGCAAATATGACTTGTAAAGCACCTTCTGTGAGCAATGAAGCTACTCAACCCACAAAGATCAGAGATGGAGGAACAGCCAATGTTGATGGTCTACCAAAGCCAGAAGCGGAAATCTCCAGCACGGATGTTATCTCATCTGAAAAAGACACCACTCCAGTAACGGCCACCAGAATGGACACAGCGGACTCAGTCCACATTCCGGATGACATTCCTGTGCCTACGTTTTATGAAGACCTTGTACTGAAACATGAAACCCGGATCCTCTCAGCATCCCCCTTCGTCAAGTTCTCTCAGCCTTATCTGTTGATGCGTGCCCGCGAATTGGAGAGACGGGTGGTATATCTCAAGAGACTTCGAGACCAGGACTTATCTGCTGAGCAAGCGATGGAAGATAAGGGCAAGTCTGCTAAGTTCACCTTACTTCAACCCGAGATGGTCCATAGACCCTTGGCAGGAGCGAGCAAGAAGGTTAGGGAAATCATTCATGCTGTTCACGACGCTGAGTACGACAAAGCTCTCTACAATTATGAAACTCAGAAGAAGCAGTGGGAAACTTATCTCTCGGGAAACCGCAATCTCTTCGATCCTTTCGCTCACCAGAACATCGTGGTGCTGTTCAGCCTTGTCTCGACTGAAACCTCTGTGCCATGCTCAGGGCCGGATCTCTTGGCCTTCAGCTTCTACAACGAACACGAGACAGAAGCCGAGTTTGAAGCCGATTGCACGCTTGGCCAATATGTTGAGGATCTCTGTTATCGTGCAAATGAAGCCTGCCAATCAGAGGCTTGCGAAAAGAAGATGCACGAGCATCACCGACAGTATGTGCATGGGGAGGCTCAAGTCACGGTTTTTGTACAACAATATCCCTCAAAAATGCGTGGTTTCCAAGATGTCATACTCATGTGGAGTCAGTGCAAGGTTTGTGGCGTCGAAACAACTGTCACTCCCATGTCACCAAGTACCTGGAAATACTCTTTTGGCAAATACCTCGAGCTCTCCTTCTGGAGTGCAGACCTTCATGCCCGAGCTGGGATCTGTCCTCATGACCTTCACCGAGACCACCTGAGGTACTTTGGCTACAAAGATTTTGCCTTGCGCGTTCACTATGATCCTATCGATCTCCTGGAGATTATCGTTCCAAGGATGAGAATCACGTGGAAAGTTGACAACGATCTGATATTTCGCAACGAAGTATATACTCGTTTGGAACAGCGAATCACACGATTCATGGTATCCGTGAAACTGCGCTTGAAGAACATTAATGTCGATGCTGTGTTACCTGAAGCTGCAGAAGCTTGTCGAGCTGAAATTGAGAAACTTACCAAGAGAGCCACCGAAGAGCATGCCAGTTTGATCAAGAAGCTTCAGGAAAGTTATACCAATTCAAGGTACTGGGAGACCATTCCTTTGAATAGCATCGTGCGAGAGAGCCAAGAGAAGGTATCAGAATGGGACACTGTCTTTTCTGATTTCGAGCGTGATTTCTTCCCTTCAGAAAAAGATATTCGCAGACTCGCTACATTGCAGCTCAAGAAAATCTTCCTAGATCGTGATATTTCGGTGACCTCACTTACGACCCAGGACGAGGGAGTGACGACGCCGCCCATGGAAGAGAGAATCGATGAAAAGGAAGAATTGGAAGAGCAACGGCCCAATATGCTCGAATTACGCAGAGGTTCAAAACTATCCCCCGAGAAGACGCAGAATGTTCTCCAGTCTGTTCTCGATGAGCATTCTAACCACGCATCGACGGAAGACGAGTCGTTGTTATCGCCAGCAACCACGCAGACGGATGTCCAGAATCTTCCTTCCGTACTGGATGGACCAAGAAACATTGAAGATGTCAAACACTTGGATCTTGCAATAGATTTGCCAGGCCACCGAGAAACTATGTCTGCCGCTGCTGCGGAGGATTCTATGACCAACGGGCAACCAGAAGTCTTTGTCTCCGAAATCTCTCCTACCCCTTCTCGAAGCACTGACGCGCCTGGGACGCTGCTCACAAGTCCGAAAACACAAGCGGTTGATATGCCAGTGTTGACTGAAGACGGCACTCCATCATCGTCGGTACGGCGAACGGCTGATGGTAAAGCCGCCTCGCCAAAGCTTTCTCGCGCACATTCTCAGCCAGCCGGCGTCATAACTCTACGTCAAACCGCGGGTCAGCCCCCTACGAGCACCCTGTCTGCGATTAACGCTATGAATGGCTTTGGATCTACTAAGAATAGTCCTTCCTTGTCAGCAATCAGCCCTGATTCTAGTCTCTTAATCCCCGACAAAAAGCTTTCTGAACGGTTAGGTCTCTCACAACTTAAGAAGAATACTTTCTCCAAAGGACATTCGCTTATACCACGAGCTATCAAGGAACGGAAAGAGTCACGCGTGTCAAACCTAGCCAAGCACTTCGAACAGCTCAGTCGTGAATTCGAACGCGAGAGAATTAGAGAGAGGAAGTTGAGGGCCGCCAGGAACAGACAGTCTAGGATCTATCCGTTGGCTGTTTCAAAGCCCATCGTTGAGGTCTACAAAGATGTTGACGAGGCAGTTGAAGAAAGGGGTGACTCTGACGACGTCTTTGGCATGGATGAGGCTCCGGACCAAGACCAAAAGTCTGCAAATACTGCGCAGGGTATGGCGCAAATCGACGTTGCTCAACGGGAAGCGCGTCCCTTTTTACCAACAGCGCCTCCCGATAGCATGGAAAATGAAGTCGATGCACAAGTTTCGAGTCACGCGCCTTCTGAGAACGAAGATCGAAGTGATGCTGAAGAGGTTTCGGAAGAGATATACCTCCCAGATTCACCTGAAGATCTGTTACGCATGTCCCAGGAAGACATGGATCTCAAAGAACTTCCCAAGCATGAACGTACCTCACTCATGAAGATGCTGACCAATTTCTGGGCTGAACGATCTGCAAGTGGATGGACTCCGCTTGAGTATCCTCTTGGAGCGTCTGATCATATCTTTGCCGATTGCGATATCATCGTTCGTGAAGACGAGCCAAGCTCCATTATTGCGTTCGCCCTTGACTCCCAAGACTACAAGACCATGCTGCAGGATCTTCAGAATCGCCCTGTCCGCGACAGTGTTCATTATATGGGTGGACATGATCATTCAGACGCTCTACAAGCCGATGTCATGCACTCTTTGCTGCGGAAGACTGGTACTCACCTAAAGTACCAATTTCAAGAAGGCCCGGCCAAGATGCTCTGCAAGATATTCTTTGCCGAGCAATTTGACGCTGTTCGCCGGAAATGCGGCGTTGCCGATAGAATCATCGAGTCACTCTCCAGATGTGCCAAGTGGGATTCGAAAGGTGGAAAGACCAAATCACTTTTCCTCAAGACTTTAGACGATCGATTCGTGCTCAAGTCACTTTCACCTATCGAGACGCAGTCCTTTCTCAAGTTCGCCCCAAACTATTTCCAGATCATGTCCGAAGCGTTCTTCCACGAGTTGCCCTCTGTAATCGCCAAAATGCTCGGCTTCTACCAGATCATCATCAAGAACCCGGTGACAGGTCTCGAATACAATTGGTTTTTGTTGGTGATGGAGAATTTGTTCTACGACCGTATCCCAACACGCATCTTTGATCTAAAGGGCAGCATGAGGAACCGCAAAATCAATGCAACTGGCGAGAAGAACGAGGTGCTCTTAGACGAGAACATGGTTGAGTTCATCTACGAATCTCCTTTGTTCACACGTGAACATAGCAAGAAGCTGCTCCGAAGCAGCGTGCACAACGACACGCTCTTCCTCGCCAGGCAAAATGTCATGGACTATTCGTTGATGGTTGCCATTGACGAAGTGAGGAAAGAACTTGTGGTGGGGATCATCGATTGCATTCGCACATACACCTGGGACAAGAAACTTGAGAGTTGGATCAAGGACCGTGGTTTTGCACGTGGAGGGAAGAACAGGCCCACGGTAACAAGTCCCAAAGAGTACAAAAGAAGGTTTCGCGAGGCAATGAACCGATACGTGCTCGAGGCGCCGAATTGTTGGCACCAGTTCAAACCAGTCAGGGTGGAGAGGAGGATGCTACGCATCGAGGGTGGTGCCGGTGACAAGGACGGAGACGTTGGTGAGAATGAGATTCAAATTCTGTCATAACCCAAAAAGGACGGCAGCAGCATTTGTATTGATTTGTTAGATCAAATCATGTGGGATACGGCAATGAGAGAGCGAATAGTGGCAAGCTGAGATATAGCACGCTTTGTGTATTTTCTTGTATTATGTTGCCTCCTCGCCGGAGCCAGCAGGTGGTGTTAGATATGAGGGAGCTCATCATGAGGTGTGTTTTTGGCATAGCATAGCGACATGGCGTCGATTTGGGTTCACCTATCAGTACATAGTTCCGAGGACATGAGACATAAAACGCATAGCGTGATTCGATTTGATCTATTACTGAGTACTGTGTTACAACATCTAAGGTATCTTTGTACAAAACCCTCCCCCACATAATTCGACGTGAAACAAGATCATCGTGCCCTTCTTCACCTTCGTAGCCACGAGAGGTTGATGTGCTTCGTAAGCCTCGAGCGCATAGCATACATGTAGATAGCAGCAGCAGGCCCCGAAGCCGCGAGTGCGGCAAAAACCAAAAAGACGGCGCTGAGGATCCGTTTCTGGTTCCTCGAATGCTGCACCACTTGACTGTACCTCATGTTGCTGAAACTGACGCGGGAATATTGGGTCGCCCAGCCCAGCCCGGGCAGGTACTTGTCCAGGGTCTCTTCGACGGACTTGCGCAACTTGTACAAGGGCGACGTGACCGAATGCCGCATCTCTTGGTAGTTGCCGAGGGCGAGGTCGGCGACGGTGTGGGCGTCCTCCGTGCGTTCGGCGGTGTACTTGGCGAGCGCCCCGGCGGCGTCGTCCGGGGACTGGTCCAGCTTCGAGAACAGCACCCGGACCGACTCCATGCCCGCGTTCATGCCCTGGCCGTAGAACGGGACCATGGCGTGGGCCGCGTCGCCGACGATGACCACGCTGTCGCCGAAATGGTGGGGGGAGCACTTGATGTTGATCAGAGGCAGGTGCGGGTTTCTCTTGAACTGCGACGTCAGGTCGTCGGGCCGAATGTGGTCGGTGACACCGGGGAAGTATCTGTCAAACACCTCGAGAAGCGCCGAGTCCGGTCCCTTCTCGAGCCTGGAAAAGAGGTCGACGGGCCCGAAAAAGGTGCACACGAATGACCTGTCGAGGTTGGGGAGTGCGATGAACATGAAATCCCCCGCCGGCCAGATGTGTAGGTGGTGCGGCGAGATGGCAAAGTCGCCGCCAGGCTCGGTCGGCGGCATGGTGAACTCGCACCACAGGCAGTCGATGTACTCCTGGAGGTAGTCCGTCCGCGCGAACTTCATCATGTGATATCGAGTGGCCGAATGCGCACCGTCCGCGCCGATCATGAGATCGAAATCCACTTCGACTTCTTTCGGTCGGGCATCCGAAGGGCTGCTGCTGCTGCTGCCGCCGCCGCTGTTGCTTCGGTCGGAGGAGGAGGAGACTTCGAACCAGGCTTTCTTCCTACGAAAGTCGGCCCCCGTCATCTTGTGCCGGAAGAAGAGTTTGACGTTGGGCAGGGACTCGAGTTCATCGAGAAGGACTCGATTGAGAGCGCCGCGGTCGACGGAACGCTGAAAACGACCGTGGACGTCGTACGGCTGAGACTGCTCCGACAGGGCCCCTGTAGGAGAACGAGTATGGATCATCCGACCGTGCATCGGGATGGTCTGTGACAGGACGGTCTCCAGGAGTCCGGGGTTGCCAGCTGATCGAAGTCCATTGATGCCTCGTTCTGAAAGGGCGAGGTTGATGGACCTTGTGAAATTGAGTGGAGTGGTGTCCGTATTCCGTAGATCTTCGAGACGTTGGGGTATTCGTGTCAGCCAGAGAGACGAGCCGTAGGAAATTCAAGAAACTCACCATCTCTGAGTTCATAAATCTCAACGTCGGCACCTCGTCTGGAAGCATACAGTGCAGCGAGAGATCCTACAGGTCCCGCACCAACCACGAGAATCTTCTTCCCCTCCATCGATTTTTATCTTTTATAACAAACACCACGGACACAACAAAGCAACCCCACAAGAACAAAGTCAAAAATCAATGAGAACAGTCTCTCGAAAATAAAAAAGGACTCGGGTATCGACGATATCTAAAGCAAAAAGTTTCATAGAGACGAGGACGGAATAGTCATCACTCCGGGGGATTTCGGCGGATCTATTTTTCCGAGATGCGTCGCATGACTATGAGAAACGTGTGCTTAGCACTCCGTATAACGCAATTGCCTGGTTATATACGAGGTTTGGGATTAGTACTCAGAGTTCAGAATTGGAATTTGCACTTTTGCATTACGAGGAGAGGACATCGATCCGTTGCCATCTTCCCACAGTGTACGAGGAGACACAGCTGACACTGTGACAGCCTTGCCTTGTTGCCTTTTTCATCTTATCTAATCTTCATTCTCCCGGACGAGGCTCGCGGCCGATCTGTTTGCCTTGATCTGCGCCCCCAACACTCCTCTACTCTGCTCCCCGACAAACCGCCTACATTCATCAACAATGGCTATCACGATGTAGCCCCGACATTCTGGATAATCTGGATATGTCCCAGCCCCGTCAAGTCCCAACGCACTCATCGTCGCCCTCGAAATCCTCCTTGCGGCGTACCAGCGGCGGCCCCCAGGCACCACGCAGCCTCCTTCCCTCTCCGCGTTTCGACGACCCCATTGTGGCTTCACACCAGTCCCCCCGCCAGCCTCAGCCCATCGAGTACTCCGAGCACGCTCTCGTCGGAGGCGACGACGATGAGCCAGGGCGGTATGGCACCGTCCATCAGGAAGAAGAACCCGAGGAGACGAACGTTGCCGCAGTCCCTTCCTTTCAGCCCTTCTTCACCCTGATCGAGGACAGCGTGACCAACGAGCACCACCATCCCACGGTCCACTACATCTTCGCCGACGATGACTCGGACATCATCACCGAAGCGGCCTGTCGGAGCCTACAGATTCTCGATCCGGCCCAGCGTACCGCGGGCGGCGGCCCCCAACACCAAGAACACGAAGATCCGAGGCTCCCACCGCCGATCGCAGGGGTCCGCGAGCAATACTTGGTGCTCGACGTGCACCCTCGCTTCCAGTCACAGGGGCAAGACAACTCGGGCTCCGCGGGCGCGGCGGCTCCCTCGTACGAAGTCACCGCGGCCCAAAGCTTCAGTGCGGATTGGCAGGTCCTGCGATCGTGCATCACCACGGCTCCGACCATTGGAGGAGAAGGAGACGATGACGCGCTGATGTTACGCATAGAAGGGCGAGGAAATACACCTGGCGATCGCAATAACCCTGCGACCGCCGCCGAAAACAAGGAGAGCATGGAAGAGATGATCGAGCGGTTCCAGCGTCGCCTGGATGATATCAAGCAGGTCATGGAAGCGACATCCCCGGGAGAAGGTCAAGTGGAAGGAACAGCACCAGGTAGTGGCGTGGACGAATAGGGTTCGTTCATGTCAAGACGAGTTATCATGCCCTTTGACGAACCGCATATGCAATCATATATATACCCCCCGATATTTGTTATGGAGGAGAGGACGGTTGGTGGAGGTGGTCATCCCAGGAAACCACGGCGAATAACTCTCTAGCAACACCTAACAAACTTACGAGACGCAGTCATAATAATGTCAAGAACTTTTTCGCATCACCATTTCCCTCCTCGGATTGGTCCAGATTATGCCTGTTTCTCTTCAACCTGACCCATCTTCCCGACGTCTTTGTTGCCGTCAACAGCCTTTTTCACTGGAGGTGGCGGTGCGTGGAACAACCTCTTGCCACCAGTCACTAGATCTCTCAAGGTCGCAGCGCCGACCAGCATCCACAAGAGGCACACGCAAACCGACGTGATCTGTGTTCCGTGTCAGCCTGTCCCTCCCCAAGATTGAAACCTGGTAATGAATGGCCCCTTACCGCGCCAATGACCCTGAAGAATCTCGACGGCACTTCCACGGCCAGTGCATCACTCGACAGAGCAAACGTGCCGATGGGGAAAGTGAATCTTTGTCTCAATTGTCAGCCCCTCGTCCGTTCCTGATATAGACTTGCTCGCGGCCTCTCTTCTCGGCCCCCTTCCGATCCACCACTCACAAAGAAGCAGAAGAAGAAAAAAAGCCAACGGATGAATATAGCACGTCTGACTTACCCCCACCAGCCCATGTTGAACGGAAACCGACCACAATTCCAAATGCTCGCGACCGCGAGGAACAGCCAAAGCAAGGTGAACCCCCAGAAGATCAAGCAGACAAACACCCCCAAGTTGTACGCCAGGTCGCCGGCGAGGGGATGGATGGTGTCGGTCCGCGGGAATATGATTCGGGCGACCGCGCCCAACTTCGTGATTGAGAGCCCTCCCATGCCGAGTGGGCCGATGGGCATGAAGCACGAGACGATGACCTCTCTGGGTGGAAGTTTGTGGATGGTCAACCGCTGGAAATAAATCACCATGACGAAGAGGGCCGTCGGCACACCCAGACCCCAGAGGACGTACCCCGCGAGGACCGTGACGAGGGCCTGGTGCGGGTGGGGGATGACGCTGGCCACGACGGCCGCCGACGCCGATGCAACGACGCACGCGATGATCGGGAACAGCTGGAGGGCCGTGTATGAACTGAGGGGTGTCTCGTTGTGGCGAGAAGCGACCACCACGAAAGGCAGGTACAACGCCAAAAGGAGGGATATAGTGGCGTCGGCGATCCATAGTCTTTTGTTTTAGGGTGTGGAAGTGTTAGTAACTGTTGGTTTTTTTGGTTTGTTTTTTTTTTCTTTTACATTTTGCATTTTGTAAAAATCACTGAGGCGGGGGCTATCCTGACAATGAACGACCAGGACTGGAAATGAAGACTCAAAGAAAGGATACACATCTTACCCCCAAGCAAAGTATACCGCCCACTCTCCCCAAGCGGGCACACAGACAAAAACCCACATGTTGACGATGGTCGACATGGTGGTGGGGATGGCGCCCAGGAAGAGTCTGGTCTTGGGCCGGTCGATGGCCAGCGTCCAAGTGGCGGGGAATACGAAGAGACGAACCGTCGAGACGAAGAGAAAAAAGAGGAACAAGGCGACGTTGAGCGCAAACACCGCGATCGAGAGCCAATAGAGCCATCTGGCCCGGTAAGGGAACTGGTTGAGAAGGATCGAGACGATTCCAGTACCCATTGTCACCGTGTACCATCTTTCGTGTTTTCGGGTTTGGATACGTCAGTAGGTACTGACAAGGAAAAAACGAAACAAGTTGAAAAGGGGAAAAAGGAGAGGGAAGTAGAACTTACGACGGCGTAAAATACTTGACAAATCTTCTCCATCCACGCTCCTCTTCTTCTACGTTTTGTCGTTCTTGTCGGCTTGGTTGTCGTCCTCCTCCTCCTCCTCCTCGCTCGACGTCGCTCATGATCTCGTCCGTCTTCTCCGGCCCTTTCTTCCCTCGGTGCCGCGGGATGTCCGAGTGGTGCGCCTGTCGTTGTTGTACAGCAGACAGGAGCGCATCACTCGTCACAGTCGTGGCCGTCGTCGACGAGGACGACCTATCGTCACCGTCACCGTCACCACAGACTCCGAGGTCAGGACACCAAGTCTTGAGATCCCCATCGTCCCCGGTACCCTGAGTGAGGGTCTTTGCGAGAGCATCGGCACAAGAGGTGATGAGTCTAGTCAGACCCGGTCTCCGTGCTTCCATTAGTGCCGGTGTTTGTGGTTGTGGCGGTGATGATTGCTGCTGCTGCTGCTGTTGTCGTGCCGAATCCATGACCATCTCATACATGGACTTTCTTTGACCCTCACTCTACCAGACGTAGTTCGATAACACCTTTTTCTGCAGAGCCCACACCAGGTCAGTCAGTCATTACACAAACAGTAACGACAAAGAATAAAAACATCTCCTCGACACTGGACCTTTGTCATTCTTATCACATGCGGTAGAAACAGAGTCCCGTGGGTCATCGTGCGGACGGTGGTCTAGAACAAGCCACCTGGTAACGAACCAAGTAGTGACCCTGCGTCAAGACCAGGGTTGAATATCTAGGTAACCATTCAAGGAAGGTATCACAATACTAAAGAAGACGAGATGTCGACTTAGTCAGCCTCGTGTCCAGCCGAATACGAGGCGCAATCCAAATCTAATTAGGTGGGAGCTTGAGATATCGAGCATGGATGATAAAACGTATCCAATAACCTGTCATTGCAAAACGTTACAATACTTGTAATGAATGGCTGGCGAAGGCAAGTCTGGCCTCTGATATCCCAGTCAGAGTGAGTAACCCACAAGGCTGTGCTCCTTGCAATACTCGAACTGACCTGAGCATAAGATCAAAACGGAGCCCACGCCCTACCACCTGAATGGTTCAGTGTGGCATCACAAAAACCCAATGATGTTGCTAAACGAGTGAAATCTTGCCCAAGACAAGAAAGGTGACCAGTGATAACTCAGCTGAGTGAATATCGACACGGCTTGCACCTGAATGAATCCAATTTATCAATCCCCTTGTCCTTCCTCAATCATCGCAAGTCGTCCTCGAGTCTCCTCGAATGTCAACCTCAAGCTTTATTTCAAGCTGTCCATTCATCATGCGATCTGTGCGAAATAGTTGCCGAACGAAGATGCATTAGTACGCAACAATAGGTAATCGACGCCTGCAGAACTCTATGGCAAGGATGTAGCCTTTTCGCCTGTTGTGGTCCATCCCAGGACATTGAATGTCAATGAGTTACGCGATTCGCCACCCATTTTTGAGACTATCATGTCTTGACGCATTGATGCTGTAGGAATGGCAATTTGCCTCCGAAGTAAGTCGTTTTTGCTATGCTGTCGCATGGCCAATACCAGCGACAGATACCGACAATGCTCAAGGGACGAACAGTCGACCTCTTCCGCGGGCCGAACCTCGCTCAACGCCGCGGCCATAACCACGACTGAAGTTTGCTCCCCGACCTGCAGTCAGGCCATGGTTCCCACGATATCCGGGTGCACGCCCGCCGTTGAAGTTGAGGTTGGGCTGAGCGCCACCGACATTGGCGAGTGGTATGCTGCCCCTACCAAAACTGCCCCGGTCGAAAGAATCAGGATCGATTTCCTCGACGGGAATCTGAGGCTTGTTTTGAGATGGCTGGACCTGAGTGCTGAAAGAAGCTCGTGGAGAACGACCATGCGCACCCTTTCCTCTCCCGTTCACGATGGCTGCAGCACGGGTAGGCTGTCCTCCTCGACTGGAGCCTCGACCCCGAGGTTTGAAGACAACTTCTTCGTCGTCACTCTCGACATCGTGGTAACTGAACAAGGTTTTTGGCTCTCCTGGCGACGCTTTCTTGGTCGGCTCTTTTTTGTTATTGTCCTGTAGTTTCTCTTCCGTATCTTCAATGCCAAGAGCACGGCGCAGTTGATGGATGTTTTTGGTCGGAACACCAAAGTCGCGGGCTAAGTGCATGGTGTCTGCTGAGTTGGTGAGGAAAACCAGGTGGTCCTCCAAGGGAGTGTTTCTCTCGTGCAGGTACCATACCACAGAGTTGAGCAGCGGTTTGAGTGAGGGAGGAACCGGTGTTTGGTCATGTTTGATCATAGTGGCTGATTTAATCTCAGGGCTAGTCTTTGAGCTTTGCAGTCCTGACGAGGCAGGAGACAGAGGTGGTGTGGACGCAGGCGAGGTCGCTGTAGGGTCTTTCGAAAAGTTGAGCTTGTCTAACAGGACCTGCGAAAGGGCATTTGCAGCACCCGCAGTGCCCTTCGCGGTCAGATCAAGCGCGCTCCCTCCCTTCTTGTACTCCAGAGGAACCGTAAGCGCCTCCTCATTTTCGCCCGCTTTCTTCAAGTCATCGTTCAAGTAGTGTGCCTCCACCTCAGCCCAGGTTGAATACTCCTCGTCGGGGCCTTGCAAAGTGACTGGATCGTAGGCGAGATCGTCTCGAGATGAAGTACTGCGATCTAGAAATTTAACAGCCTTGCGCGCGTTCACGCCGATCTGAGAAGGATCCTTCTTGAGGACATGGAGACGGCCAATCGCTGGTCAGGTTAGCATCGTCGCAAATGCAACCCAAATGTAGCCATACTGTAAAGAGGCACAACGAGACAAATCTTGCCTTGTGCCACCCAACTCTCGATCTCTGCAATGTTTCTAGTCAAGGCTGTATCGTCCACCAGACAACGAATAGCGTTTTGTTTGGCCATTTTGTCCGTCGCACGGCCAGGGAAATTCGAGTCAGCGTAGTAGTGTGTGTGGTGTTTTGTATGTAATCAATCTTTTACTTTTCATCCGCGCAAGATGCGGAAGGTACGGTAGCTAGGCGCTACGACTGGGTTTCCTCATATGTGTCAGCGGGAGCGACTCAAGTTCATATGCAGTGAAGAAGCAAGCGACAGAGGAGGAGCAGTGAGGGTGAGGCGCAATACCGAAAGCGAAGACAGTGGCGTTGACAGGTCTTGTAAGAATAGGTACGCATTTTCGCTAGAAATAGACACCGGTCGTTTGCTCTGAGCAGGCGACCTCAAACATATGCGACTGCATCTACGCGATGTGGATTGTTTGACGAGAAGAGTAAACGATGTTCTGCGTCGGCGGAAATGTAAGAAGCAGGATTGTGTGCCGCAGTGGGATGAGATTGCGGGTTGAGGAGGTTGGAATTATTACTTACGGCTACTTTACAGTACATACGCAGTCATTCAGCACTGCCGACGGGCGGCCCATTAAAATATTATGGAGTCTTGCCTATCCATCGCCCGTTTTCCAGTGGCTGCAGGCGTCCGCTTGGGTACAACAGCCTATTACGCAGCAGCCTAAGTCACCCAAAGCACTGCGCCCATATAACCCCGGGAAACCCTAAGAAGCCCCTTGTCTCCCATACCTGCGCCTAGAACCGCGCGCCGTCTTTCGCTTCGGTGTAGACCACCAAATAAGATCTCGTCGTCACCACCACCAGCACCACCTCCTCTACCTCTTCGCAGCCAGTCCCGCCTTGTGTCCCTTGGTGGCTTACATTTCGGACCAGGGTGCGGACCTGACATAAATCAGAGAACAAGTCAGGCATACATCGCCATGCCCATAGACGGTACGATAGATGATTGCTGTCGTTTAGAATACTGTCAAACAACTAATGGCATCATTCTTTAAGACCTCAAACAGCATCCCAGGAAATCCAAACAACTCCGTGTTGCTCATCCCATTCCCAATCACTTCTGCAGAACCACTCCCAAGGCCCTGTCCCCGGGTTGGGCTTTCCTCTAGGTCTCCGAGCAATTCGATCGAGCTTTCAGGACTTTGTTCCCAGCCTCTGTTCAATACCATTCCTCTCTGCATTTGCTTTTCTTCGTCTTCATTCCTGTAAGTGCCGTGCCAGATTTGCTTCAGGGTAGATGAGACGTCTGAGAATCGCATTTCTGATGTCAGAACTTGCTCTTGACCCTCGTCACTGGTATGTATCGTCCAACGGCACCTTCGATGACGATTGAATGAAAAAGACCCAGGAATGTTTCCATGTAAGAATATCTTGGTGGCCACAAGTTGAGTGCTGAATGATTTCGAAGTTTCGGTGTTGGAGGTTCCAGGGAAAGGCAGCGACCGCGGAGCTGGAGAAGATATGAGAATATCAAACCCATGATTGAAGTAGTTGTAGAAGCATTCGTCGCTACTTCCGTTATTACGCTCCTCGTCAAGTTCCGGTTCAACATCAGAGTCTTCTGTGTAGCTTTGCATCGACGACTGGTCTGTGTCAAGCGCCTGAGGATCAAGTGCTGGCGACATACTCGGGAGTCGTCGATTGGAAGGCTTACCCGTGGCGTGTATAGAGATTCGGCGATCACTCTTACGGTAAACAGCATCTGGAGGCCCTAGCTCGGCTACCACATCCTGAGGAGTGGCCTCGCTCAGAGTGAGTGTAAACGAGGGCGTATTCCTGCGTACAAATTCGATTTTACTACCACCTAGCACTTTTACTTCTTCAATCTCATCAGCAATCGTTTCTGCGGACTTGCCGATGAGTAGTGAGAGCCTGGGATACGTCGGGGATTTTGTGTATAGAGTAGATCGTGCCTCTGTCCAGGAAGACCCGGAAAAGATGGCCATGGAAACTGCTGGGCCGGTGGCATTTGATGAAAGTATAGAGACGAAATCTACCTTTTCCGACCAGGATTGATGCTTGATGGGGAAATTAAAGGCCAACCCCGGATACGATAGGATGTATGTTCCAGCTGATCGTCCCTGTTCAGGAGGCAGGTACTCTCCAGCATATGTAGGTCCAAATAGTCGACTGTAAATATGACGAAACGTTGGGCCGAGGGTGGTAGGCCCTTCCTCTGGGTTGGTTCCATCCGTACTCTTAGCACGGCGAACGAGATCGGTGTTCTTATACACAAGGGTTACCGCGGAAAAGTCCAGAACTTCAATCAAGCGTAATCGCTGGTCCGGACCGTCAAATCGAAGCCTTAAGCCGTTGTAAGGGAGATTCAGAATGATGGGCGACGTGATTGGCTGTGCTGCAGAGTATGACAGATCAATGCTGCAGTATGTCTGTGGAGAGGCTTTCAATCTTGTCAAGACACTATGAAGAGATGAGCCGAGTGCTTAAGAAGTCAGCGTGATACATGACTGAGTGCAGGTCCATGTCATACTGATCCAGCCAATACCCCTCTCTGGCTGTATCTGCAAAGCGAGCTTTGCAGAAGGCTCCATGATGTATATGTTGGCATCGATGCAGGATATCCGGGGGGGTATTCGACGACAGACGACGAAATACTGTCTATCTAAGGTTGATCGCGTTTGCTCAAAGATGACACTCAGTGAGAGGCAGTTTGGTCACCGGGAGTGAAGTTGGCATGTGACGAATCACAAGGTCATTCCGTGGCTGACAAGGCTGTCTTATGTAAGCAATGCATTTGTTTATTTCTGTTCCCGTTTAGGCCATCACTCACCGACCGGGGTATTCCCTGCCATCTATTCTCCGACCAAAGCCTTGCATTCTGTACGGATCTTCGACAATACATGCGCTTTCCTTTACTTTACAGAGTTTTTCCTGATCTCGTCGCGCATCGCGGTATACGGCCAATATGGTAGGCTACCAGCGACCGGCGCCTTCAGCACGAAGATCAATGCGTCCTCCTCCTCGCCCACATCCCACTCAGCATGCCTCAATGACGGGTCGCGCCCCGTCTCCAGCAGAGTCGGTCGTCTCGACGGCCGGAACAAAGAGAAAAGAAAGAGATTTTGATCAAGATCATGGTGAGGAGACGAACATTCATGTTGTGGTACGGTGTCGAGGCCGCAGCGATCGAGAAGTCCGAGAGAACAGCGGGGTGGTGGTGTCAACAACTGGCGTCAAGGGCAAAAATGTCGAGTTGTCGATGGGACCAAATGCTATCAGCAATAAGACCTATCACTTCGACAAGGTCTTCTCGCCGGCTGCGGATCAGGCGATTATCTTTGAAGATGTCGTGGCGCCAATATTGAACGAGATGATGACGGGTTTTAATTGCACAATATTCGCATACGGCCAGACGGGAACAGGGAAGACATACACCATGTCCGGCGACATGACTGACACACTTGGGCTCCTTTCTGATGCCGCAGGTATCATACCTAGGGTTCTCTATTCGTTATTCCAGAAACTTGAAGCCGAAGAGGTGGAATGCTCGGTCAAGTGCTCATTCATCGAGTTGTATAACGAAGAGCTGCGAGACTTGCTATCAACAGATGATGCTATCAAGCTCAAAATCTATGACGATTCCAACAACAAGAAGAGCCATTCCGCAACAGTGGTGCAAGGAATGGAAGAGTCACACATCAACAACGCCGCAGCAGGCATTAAATTGTTACAGCAAGGCAGCTACAGACGACAAGTCGCCGCCACAAAATGCAACGACTTGAGTTCGCGAAGCCATACGGTCTTCACCATCACCACCTACGTCAAGAAGCCAAGTGAGAGCGGAGAGGATTACATCTGTTCTGGGAAACTCAACCTTGTCGATCTTGCAGGTAGTGAAAACATTCAGAGAAGCGGCGCCGAGAACAAGCGAGCTGCCGAAGCCGGTCTGATCAACAAAAGCTTACTAACACTTGGGCGTGTGATTAATGCACTTGTGGACAAAAGTGCTCACATTCCCTATCGTGAATCAAAGCTCACGAGACTACTTCAAGACTCCCTAGGTGGCAGGACGAAGACTTGTATCATCGCGACAGTATCTCCCGCAAAGAGTAACCTCGAGGAGACGATTTCCACACTCGACTACGCCTTCCGAGCGAAGAACATTCGGAACAAGCCTCAAGTCAATTCTATGATCTCGAAGAAAACATTGCTTAAGGAGTTTACCAATGAGATTGAGAAGCTCAAGAGTGAATTGATCGCTACTCGGCAACGCAATGGTGTATATTTGACCAACGATCAATACGAAGAGATTACGGTCGAGAGCGAATCTAGGAGGATCCTTAGTGAGGAACAGAAGGCACGCATCGAAACCATGGAGGTCAGCTTGCGCAACAAAGTCCAAGAACTGTTCAATTTAACCAATAATTTTACCACACTCAAACGGGACACTGAGGCAACAAGGTCGACACTAGAGAGTACCAAGAGTGTCCTTTTGAAGACTGAGGCGGTACTGGCCGACACCGCAAGAAATCTCAATGAAGAGACTGTTTTGCGCGAGGCTCACGAAGAAACAGAAGAGAAACTGTTTAGAATCGGCACGGAGCTGGTCTCGACAGTTGGCATGTCAGTAGAAGATGTCCACGAACTTCATGCCAAGTTACGGCGTAGATCTGATCTCCATGCCCAAAACCATGAATCATGGAAGACCTCGGTTGATAGCGTCGCTACTGCCTCTGACCTAGTTGATGCCGAAATTGAACGCTTCCAGGCAGCACACGCACAACTAATACAGGCTAGCAAGGAACGATTGGCAGCCTTTTTGTCGGCCCAGAGAGCTCAACTTGAAAGTTCGGCGAAAGTGGCTTTATCGAAAGCATCAGAGCTCGAAGAAAGTCGCCTTGCTATCAATGGTCAGTCTCTTAAAGCCAAGGATGACATGAATTCTGTGCTAGAAGAGATCAAGGACCTCCGGGAAAGCGTCAAAGAAAAGGTTGGCGAAGGTCTTCAAGGACTGTCAGATGCCGCAGCCAAAATCTCGGCGGAGGTCATGTCCGAGCTTGAACAATTCCATGCTCAGTTGCATACATCCTACAGTGGCCTAGGAAAAGATGTGAAGACAATGTTTGACGAACTTACAAGACAGCTCTCTGCTCAGCGTGAAGAGGCAGACACCTTGAGATTTGCCCTGCAGGAAGCAAACAAAGCGAACATCGAGTCACAGCTGGCAGTCTCGACCCAGCTCCAAACCATCCGAGATGACGAGAGGAGAATCGCGGAAGAGGAGAGGCAGAAACTTAAGGAGCAGATCTTCCAAGTTATTGACGCATCGTCACAGAGACAGCAAGAAAGACTATCTGACAATCTGATTAAGACCCAGACTAATCTTGTCGGTGCGGCCGAGCAATTTGAGAGCTCAGATAAGGACTATCGTGACAAGATGGACAAATGGGCAGAGGACGACACGGGTCTAATGACCATGGTGGTTAAAGCAAGGGAGGACATCAAGACCAGAATGAAAGGGGATTGGACTGTGAGTGCCTGGTGTGTAGTCCGGAACAGTGAACTGACCACTTGCAGGCTATCAATACGCGGAACACCGCCATACAGAAGTCCACCAAAGCCATCCACGAAGAATCTACCAAGATTGTTGATGCCCAGCTAACCCAGATGTCGACTCAAATGGCTGCTTTGGACGACTTTGTGACACGGGCACGTTCGCAGAATGACAACGATCATGCGGAAATACAGCAGAACTTGAACAAGCTCGTCTCGAATGTTGGTGAAGGGTTTACCGGCCTCGAAAACGCCTCTAATGAGCAGAAGATGATCCTGGACAACTTCGAGGAGCAGACCCAATCTCATTCCAATGGAGAAGGGCTCGTCGCATCTTTCCGAGACACCCTTAAGCCGCATTTGCAAGATCTGAAGGCAGAAGTGACGAGGCCAACGTTTAAAGAATACCTACCGACAGGGCAGACACCCCAGAAGCGCGACTGGGAATACCCAACCACCCTTCCGCGTACGGATAATCACGAGTCTATCATTGCAAGACTACGTGGTTTGCCTGATCCAGCACTAGCATCGAGAACGCCAACTTCGCGAACACCTGCCCGCTCCCCGCGCAAGCAAACATCACCCAAGAAAGCGTTTAGCTCTCCAAGCAAGATGACCAGTCCTAGCAAGACGAAAGTCTTTACTGATGTGGATTCGGCCGATACCCAACAACAGCAACAACCCAACTCACAAAATCAAGTCGCCACTACCAGCTTGCCGTTTGATCAAAGCAAGTCCGGTATGGGTTTGAAAGAGATTGACATCAATGTCCTCGGTCGCCCACCCTCTGGCCCCTCTGCTCCGTCGCTAGCAGCGGGAACGGTTGAAGAGAAAGAGCGAGAACGCGAAGGAGGTAGACCTGTTCTGCTGGATTTCAGTAAGAGTCTGGGTCATGGCTCAGGACAGCCGCCGCTTAAGAGACATGCGACTACGAATGCGGTCGTGGAGAGCAAATTGCCGGCCAAGCAGAAATTCGCACGAGCTAAAAGTACAATGACGGGCATGGGAATGAATACAGGGGTTGAGAACTTCAGTCAGTCTGTTGGGCCGACTATGGGAGGAAGAAGATTGAGGAGTATGGTCAATCCCCCAGAGTAATCTTCATGGTTGGAAACAGCAATATGATGGGCGAGCTCGTTGATTGCAAGGTTTTGGCTTGGGTCATTTTTTTGAATCGAAATTGAGTTACGAGATACCCCTATTCCGTTTTTTGGTACGTAGATTACCAGTCGGTCTTATTGATGATGCTGCGAAGAGGCATTGGTTAGGAATATTGTATTGCTTACGGAGTACTCGTACAAGACAGTGGACAGGCCCTTTTTTAAATGAGAAGGAAGTATCCTCTTCTTGAATATAGCAGTGCTTAAGATCTGTGGCTTGGAATATTTCTTCTCATCTCTGCTAGAATCGGTTTTGCTGAATTCTGTGTGTATAGAATAAGAAGAAGTCAATACTGCGTAGAACTACGAGTGCGAGCACGAATACGAATACGATTGTTGGATACAAATCGAGGCTTATCACGATAAGAAAAAAGTCCCCGCATCCAGCGTCATAGGAAAAAGTTGCCCGGGGTTTCAACTCACGACGATAAGAACCAACTTTCCTACGGAGACTTGTAATATACCTGAACGACCTCGACCTCGACCTAGATAACAATAACACACACTCTCCCTCTCTCTCACAAACACACATATACATGTTTCTCCGCATATCTTTCTTGTTCGTAACTACCCAATGACAATGACAATGGAAACGACGCCGAACGTACGCATTCTCGTCATCAACCCCAACACGTCGACACACATGACGGACGCACTGAGGCCGGTCCTTGAAGATTTGCAAATGCCATTTGTATGTATTCTTCTTCTTCCTTGTCAGCCAGCGTCCATGGCCCTTTTTGGCGGGGGGGAGGGGGGGGGTATTGTATTTGTTACTCTCTGGACAAACTGGGCGACCGGTCAAAATATGCTGGACAAGACGAGTGATGGTGGCCCTGGCCCCAGTACTTTTATTGTTGGACTGACCAGACCACGTACGTTGTTCCCAGGTCCAATACACATTCTTCACATCCCCCACACCGGGGATCCCAAGTATAAACTCCCCCGAAGACGCCGCCGAGTCGGCAGAGATCTGCCTCCCTTCGTTGATCCCTCTCCTACCTCACCACGACGCCTTTCTCGTGGCATGTTACAGTCGACACCCTCTCGTCACGCAACTGAAGAGGGAATGCAAAAAGCTCAGTCGAGCGGCGACGGCCGGGTCCGAAGGTCGAGGGGCGAACAAGCACGTCACGGGGATCTTCGAGGCCAGCGTCCTGTCGAGTTTGGCGTTGATCGACGACGCTGAAGGGGAAGGGTTCGGGATAGTGTCGACGGGTAAAGTTTGGGAAAAGGCTTTACAGACTGCGGTCGGAGGGTTTTTGGGTGAGTCCGGAGACGGGGATGGGAACCCCACGGAAAAGTCGAGGTTCTACGGGTGTGAGACGACCGGATTGAACGCGAGCGAATTGCATGATTTGCCGGCTGACCAGGTGAGGGGGAAGATGATGGAGGCTACAAAGAGGGTCTTGAGGAGGGGCCAACAACAGCATGCATCTGAAGAGATTAAGTCGAAATCAAAGGTCAAGGCCATTTGTCTGGGTTGTGCGGGTATGGTAGGGCTGGAGGATGCGGTCAGGCAAGCTTGTGTGGAAGAGTTGGGCCACGAGGAGGCCAAGGACGTGTGTATCGTCGACGGGGTCAAGGCCGGCGTGGCCTTGTTGTGTTCTTTGGCGAGGACTGGGTTTTGAAATAACTAGTGGCTACTTTGGTACTCAAAGAAAAGCATGAGCGAGCGTTACAGGGTACATATACGCATATACATGTACATACAAAGCAAGCAAAAGAGCCAAGCAGAGCCTCGCATGATTTCATGGTTGATGCTGCAGAGGACAGAGTACGACAGACCGAAAGCCTCTCATAGTTGACAGGGGAAAGTAAGTGTACCCAATTAACAACACTGGTGATGTCCATGTCCGTGCATGGTCATGTTCCACGTTCACATATTGTACGGGGTACGTACACGTCATATCCATCAGGCATCTGAACAAAAACAAACACGCTTCGAGGCAATCACCCCAGTCGAGGACGATCACGAGGAAGCTTTGATCATGTCGGCGCCCTTTTCTGCCACGGCGTACGTACTCGCCATGATGTTTCCGGAGACGTGCCCGGGGAAGACGGAGGCGTCCACGACACGAAGGCCCCGGACCCCCTTGACCCTCAACTCGTTGTCGACGACTTCTCCCAAGGCGCACGTCCCGATGAGGTGGTACTGCGTGGCGATGTTGTTCCTGACGTAGTCGATCCGGTCGGATTCGGTGTCCAGGCTGGCTTCCGGGGGTGGCAGTTCACGCCGGTCCAGGGACTTTGCAAGGACCGGCTGTTTGGCGACTCGGTCCATCCAGCTCATGCCGGCGGCCAAGATTTTGGCGTCGACCTCGTTGCGGAAGTAACCCGGGTCGATCTCGGGAGCGGCCAAGGGGTCGGCGGACTTGATGTGGACGGTCCCCCGCGAGAGAGGGTGTTCCAGGCACATGAGCAGAGAAATCTGTTGGCGTCCCGGTGGTGGCGAGGAAAAGAATTGGGTCTGGTCGGACCCCTTGGACACGTCGAGACGGCAGCCTATACAGAAAGTCTGTAGGTTGGCAAAGGTTGGATCTCGGAGTTGATCGACGATGACCTGAGGAGAGGTCAGATACGTAAGCGATCACTCTCTTTGTTTCTTCTATCTTCTTTTTGGGGGGGGGGGGGGGGGGGGGGGGGGGGGGGGGCTGGAGTGGTGGACAACAACGTGTGGCACAACAGTTGGTACTTAACGAGGGGGTGAGTAATTAGATACCTTTTCTTGAGCCTTTTCAAAATCCGTCCTGGCCAGAGATTTGTCTCGAATCTCTTTTATCGTGGCTTCAAGTTCTTCAGGGGAGACGAGCGTGGAGTAAGATACAAACCCCATCATCATCCCGGGGGACGCGTAGGGCCCCTTTGCGCTCTTCTGGTACACGTCCTGTTGCATCTTCATAAACTCTTCGCCGTGGAGAGCGTCGAGCGAGGTGACGCCTGGTTTGAGATCGTACAGTAGTCCGCCGAGGACGTGGTCTTGGAAATTCGCACCGACGCCCTTGTTCTCGACGACGCACTCGACGCCGGCCTTTCGCAGGACGTCCGGGTCGCCGATCCCACTGAGCTCGAGGAGTTGCGGGCTTTGAATGACACCCGCGGACAGAACAACTTCGCGGGTCGCACCGACGGTGTATTTCTGCCCCTTGTGGACAAACTCGACGCCTTTGGCCGTCGTTCCGTCGAGGACGATCCGCGTGGCCTGGGCCTCGGTCAGCACCTTCAGATTTGGTCGATGTAGGTTCGGTCGCAAGTAGCCGGTCGCGGCGTACGACCGCTTCCCCGGGTCGTCCGCGCGATTGACCGCGCCCAGGCTGGAATAGAAGCCCATGTGGTCGCCGGACCAGGCGTCGTGGATGGTCTTCTTGGAGCCCGTCACGGCGTATGCAGCTTCGGCAAAGTCGACTTCAAAGGGAGAATACCAGTCATTGAAACTCGTGTGGATGGGACCGTCTTTGCCGTGGAACTTGTCACCACCTGCGATGGGCATGAATTGGGGATCGTCGTGGACGGGGGTCACGTCTAGGGTCTGATGTTTGCGGAAGTACGGCGCCATACCGTCCCAGCCCCAGCCTGGATTGCCCATGGATTCCCAACCATCGTAGTCTGCTCTGCTTCCACGAACATACTGTTCCGGTGGAGAAACTCAGCTAGGTGTCTCATCATGGCAGAGGGAATTGAAGCGGGACTTGGAAGGCAACAGACAAGAAAGATGACATTCTTGCCAGGGCAAGGAACAGGAAATGAATGGCATGAAGGTCATGAGACGTACCATTAGATAGTTGATACCGGAGGAGCCGCCGAGGATTCGCCCACGAGGCATCGAGTACACCTTGTTCCCGGCGTTGGGCTGAGGTGTCGATGTCATGCACCAATCGTACTCCGGACGACCAATCTAGGATTTTTTGGACTGAGCCTAGAGAAATCTCACACAGCACGTCACTCACCATGGTAGGGTAAAGAGCTGGCGTCGAGACCTTGGGATCGTCCATGCGGTTCTCTCCAGCTTCTAGTACAGCCACTGAGATCTTTGGGTCTTCTGTAAGACGAGCGGCAACACACAACCCTGCTGTGCCGCCCCCGACAACCACAAAGTCATATTGACGTGACACGAGCTCGTCGACCGAGCAGAGGGCATTTGCCCGGCCATTCATACCATAGGTGTTCGCCATGGTGCACGTTGGGCTCTGCACTGCTCGAGAAAGAGACACAAAAATAGAAGGAAGCCACCGACGAGAACAATGTATCTTGTTCGATACCGTCGTGACCTTGTCTACTTGGACGGAAATACCTTTTGGAATTTCGCGAATCCTGTCGAAGTTCGGGACTACGGACTTCAATTCTGTAGCATTTCGGTACTGCCGACTTCAGTTCTGTCGAGTTGGGCACGAGTATTGTCGAGTTCTACCTCCCCCGCAATCACGTAGTATCAGGGTTCAATGAACGCCGATGGTCATGTAGACCGAGGATGATATTTGCGGGGGAGTTGTCAATCACCTGCGAGGGCAGTGCCCGATCCCTATGAGAGGGTAAGCAAGAGAGGAGAGACATTGTCGATGAACACGGTCGAGCATTCGGAATCATGGATGTTCCACGGCCACGATTTATTGGTCGTCACGATTGACTCGCGGAAAACAATATCGCCGGGCCATTGTCTGTGTGTACGCCACGATAGCAGTGAGGAGGCAATGTTGAAACGGCCCAATGTAGCAACCGAACCAGAATTGGCTGGAGCTGAGTTTTTCAACAAGTTTAGAACATGATGAATAATGTCGGTCTGTAGTGTGGTCATCATGCTCCCAATTCTGTGGCTTGCGTCTTGAAGAGAGTCGGCTCGATTTCGTGATTCTCTGCACGTCAGGTTGATGTCCAAAAATAGGGTGGGCCAAAGCACTGAAACTGGCGTAGCTGATGGATTGAGGTTTCAGGGCGTAGTGAATCAATGCGAGTGAGAAGTGAGTAGAGGGTACTCCGTGCTCATGGTCTGGACTGCTGTACAGTATGTACTTGTCAAGGCTCTAGGCGATGGCGAGAGCAAGTTATCTGCACCTTTTACGGAGTACCGCGAGTAGGTTTGGGACGCCGGTATCCATAGGTAGTATCCATATGTAGACGCGGTGGTGGTGTTGTCGTGTTGTCTTGTTGTTGGTGGCTGACGCCGTCAAGGGTCTAAGGGACAAGTAAGTACTGTACCTTTTCTCTCTGGATCTCGGCGTTCCAACATGTGCTTGTTTTTAAGCCGGTGCCACGTACTCCTTTATCCACATATTTACGGTACATCCTTGTACAAGTCTGGCGCCCATCGCCCCTGTCGTTCCTATCCAATCCTACTTCATTTTCTGCTCGTTATGTCGCGTCGAGGCTGTGGCCGTGCATAGATTTTTTTTTCTGGTTCGCTTTGCTAAAATTTCCCACATCCCACCAGATCTCAGATGGCGGCGGCTGTGGCTGTCTCAATCTTCTTACTTGGGAAAATCGGTGGAAGTTTTCTCGGTGCTACATTCCTCCTTGTGGTCCCTGTCTTGAACACCCCTGCATCAGCCTCAGCATCCTGAATCCATATCTCCCAATACGGTGTACACAATCCGTGTGTATTTGCATGTGAACGCCATGTCGTATCTCTATTCAGACCAACGTTCTAGTTCTACTTGGGGCACGTCCCATTCCGAGCCAGTTTTATCAATGCCCATTCTTGTTGAACCCACCTGCGAGCCACCTGAGAATCATCACAGGTACAAGTATATCTCGGGTGGTTTCCCTCTGATGCCGCCAACCACTTCTCGATGCTCTTGATTTGCGCTCCGTCATCACACCGGCCAACATCCTGATTACTGTGTTCGATCGATCCCCATAGACCGTGATACAATCTTTGCCGTCCGTACCCGTACAGCATCTCTTGACACGGGTTTCACCCAATCCCCATTGTCACCTGTTGTGTTGGTTTGTGCAGAATCACCGGAGCTTTCGGCTTCCACCACACGAGCACATTACGAGTACAACTCACATCTACACATTCTCAACGTCAGACCGAATACCTCTCTCCACAAGTCTGTGCGGATACTTCCAGGAACATATCTTGAGACGAGCATCCCCCAAGCTTCAATCTCTCACTCTCTCAACCACACACTTCCGACTCAGCAGCTAGCCTTACGCTATTTGGAAATACATCGGTTCAAATCAACCTCTCTTCACCATGTTCGACTCTCACAACCAGAATCCCTTATCTTCCAAATGTGAACACGGCCTGCGAAAAGCATACCAGAAGGCAAAGGCTTCCAAGTCTTCCAAGCCTTCCACATCAGCGAAATCCACTCCTGCTTCCTCAGCCTCTTCTTCCCGGACATGTTCGGCAGCCTCACTGGCACCAACTGAGCCTGTTGCCGAATGGGCGCACCAAGTTCATTTGATGCAGAATCGAAGATACGACTGGTGTCAAGGTTGTCACCCCAAGGTGTCCACCGCACAGATTCCATCGCAGAAGATCCTGCAGAAACACTTTCAAAATCACGAACCTTATCACGCGTACCAATGAAGTTCGAATCTATTGTGGCATTTTGTTGAATTTAGCATGGAGTTGGTGAATGTCGAGAAAGAATCATATCTTGCATTGGCTTTGGGATGATGTTGATGAATCACGAATGTTGTACATAATGACAGCGGCTACCGTCATCGCTTCGACTATGACTATAATTCAAAGAAACTTGACTCATGACAAAGGCAGTCGTCAATGACCGTTTACTGCCGCAGTCCTGGCCTCTTTGAGCTTTTGGATTTGCTCTCTGAACATGCCCTCGTAGTCTTCTTGTCTGAATACCTTGGCTTCGTCAGTACACATTCAACTTCCAAGGAACACGCTTCATACCCTTGTAGCCTCAAGTGCACTTGGCTCACCCAGTTCTGGATCGGCACCGGCCTTCAACAGGAGCTTGATGATCTCGGCTTCATTCTTGAACACCACTCCTGCCAGTATGGACTGGCCTCGATCATTCAGTCTGTTGGGGTCTGCGCCATGCTGAACAAGTAACGAAGCGAGTGGCTCGTGGCCATGGTAAGATGCCAACATCAGCTGAGTAGCTCTGGGTCAGCCCTGGAGTGAGTACTAGTTCTGGTCCTTACTAGACTATCTCCTTTATCATTGGTCAAATTCGCCGGCAGCCCCTGTGGTAATGCCTGTTCGAAGATGTCCATCTGCCCATGGCGAGCTGCCTCGAAAAACCTTGATGCTAAGGCAATGGCCTCTGGGGGCAATTCATCGGCTGTCTGTGGACCGCCCGTGGCGCCTGTAGGAGGGGCTGAATCCATGGTTATGTTTTTCACTTAGTCCAGAGAGATTGAGCACGCTCTCAACGGGGGATCAAATCTACGAATCTCTTGCCATTGATTACGGAGCAGTCAGCATTGAATATAATTCTAGACAGAAAGCCCCGGTGAATGACGTCGTTGAAGATATCGCTTATTCAATGAGTAAGGTAAGGTGCAACGAACATTTAGCCTAACGTAGAGGCAACAATCTCAGTAACCCGAACATGAATCAATGCACGTCAAGCGTTAGTCCGAGATCCAGCACGATTGATACAGTACGAGAACTCCATCATGGCTTGAGATTCAATCCAAGTATTGAGAAAGCCATCTCCTCGGCCTTTGCTTTTATGGACAGCCTTCCACGTGATCGGTGGACTGGTCTTGCAAGGCTGAAGTGCCGTCTCATCCCGGGCAAGAATCCCGAATGAATATTAGTCATGCTGCGATGGCGTGATTTACGGGCATGATGATTTGTATACAGAAGGAAAATTGACACCACTGTGGAACTGACCACCAAGACCTTTTTCTCACAGCGTGCGGCCTTTGAACCCTTTCCCTACGCTTCTGCGCTCGAGCAGCAGAGAAGCACGCCTTCGCTGCCCCTCCAATTGCTCGCTGATGCAATCATGGGCCCCTCCACATCATTGCGCGGGCCACAGAAATTTGCCCGCCGCCGACAGGTGATCCCCGTCTACAAGACAAAAAGATTTGTCGTTATGCCTGGGCCGTCTTAGAACAACACGAGACTAATCTACAGTACTATATATCAAGCCCCCCGCCGTATTTCTGATCCGTCAATCTTAGCTTAACACAGTCAAAAGAGATACCCTTCGAGCACCGCCTTTTTACCTCTTAACTTCACGCAGTTCCAACACCGCAGTCACTATGGCCGACCGTCCAGAGCCGTACGTACCTAATGAATGATCCTCGAGCAGTTGGCGCAAAGCGACAACCGGCATCCTTCGCATCTTCCGCTAACAACACCGTTGCTACAGTCTCCGTCTGGGTTCAATTGCCCCAAACTTCAAGGCAGAGACCACCAAAGGTCCCATTGACTTCCACGAGTTCATTGGCGACAACTGGGTCGTCCTCTTTTGTAAGAGCTGAGATACCATAACCACTGAGGCGTCGCTGACAATGTCACTTAGCACACCCAGAAGATTTTACGCCAGGTTCGTACCACCGAACAGCCCACTATCCCTACCTCCATCGCACACATTTGGGCTCAAGAGCTTCAAAAGAGATGGGTAAGGCGCAATAAACGAGCAGGCGCTGACAATTCCCAGTGTGCACTACCGAACTAGGTGCTTTTGCAAAGTTGGAGCCCGAATTCGCAAAGAGAGGCTGCAAGTTGATCGGTCTTTCGGCCAACACGATCGACAGCCATGGAGACTGGATCAAGGACATCAACGAGATCAGTGGCAGCAACCTGCAATTCCCCATTATCGGCGACAAGAACCGACAAGTGGCTCTGTTGTATGATATGATCGACCACCAAGACGCCACCAACGTCGACTCCAAGGGCATCGCCTTCACCATTCGATCAGTCTTCATCATCGACCCCAAGAAGACCATCCGAACCATCCTCTCCTACCCCGCCTCAACTGGCCGAAACACTGCTGAGGTGCTCAGAATCGTCGACTCCCTGCAGACCGGCGACAAGCACAAGGTTACTACCCCGATCAACTGGGTGCCTGGTGACGATGTGATCGTCCACCCCAGTGTCAAGACGGAGCAGGCAAAGGAGATCTGGCCTGACATGAAGATTGTCAAGCCATACTTGCGAGTAACTCCTCTGCCCAAGGACAAGACCACCGCAGCTTAAAGGACGGCCTGAAAGAGGAGATGTATCGCGTTAGCAGCGTCAAGAGTTTTAGTACCGTCCACCTTTGCAGATAAAAACAGAAATTTATACATCCTTAAGTCCAATGAAATAGTCCTAGAGTCTCCTCACAAGTGACGACCAACAGTGTTAGGCGCGTAGTTGGCGCTTCGACTGAAGTAGATAGACGGATCCAATCTGTGTATCGATTGCATGTGCTCGTAAACGCGCGGCTTTTGGCAACCCACGATAACAATTCGCATCGCAACCAACGCGGACACAAGAGCAACCTTAGCATGCCAGGGCGCGACATCTCATCCCTTAATCCTGGTCAGGAGGAGGTACTTTGATCTCCTCTGACTCGCCGGTTTGCATCTGCTGGGATCCGGCTTGGCACCGATCTTCGCGGGGCGTGCTGCATGAAGCCTGTCTAGACCTGATGAGGGCAACGAACTCGCTACACAAATCGCAACTTAAATTCTCCTACACCACAGCCTTTGTTGTACAGGCTTGTCAGTCCCTTTCCGGCTTTCGAAGGCCTCTGCAGCGCCAGATAGCACAGACTGTGCTTCTCCCAAGGTCAACAAGTACGCATTTTGGCGTCGGCCCCTATTCTCAGGAAAAGGCCCCTCAAGTGACACCAAGCAAAGGACCTTCTTCAAAGACAGGCGTGATCCCGAGACAGGTTCTTTGTCCTGGCGGTAAGTGTTCCTCCTTTCTCGTCATGCATCGCACTGCCGACTTCCTCCTGTTTCCGATTCTCAATTCGGCTGCCTACTGGCACTTTGGGCGCGCAAGATCCTCGAGGACCTTTCCGAGGTCGCGAGGTCGAGATAGGGTCAAAATTGATATGCCAATAATGCTGGCTCTGTGTCAATGCAGGACTTGAGTTGCTATTTCATACTTCACTTGAGATCTCTCTTTTCCTCTTGCTTTGTCTTCTTTTGCTTTCTACGTTGTTTGACGGCTTAATATTGCTACTTTATACCACCTGATATGCTGTTGGATCGAGCTGATCATGAACAGATTCCGCAGAAAAAGCCCCCGGAAGAACAACAAACCTCTACAGATAGGTGGCTTACGTTTTTGGACATCAAGTTTTGGACTTTCGTCTCCAGAGGAACAATCTTGGCTGCACAACCCCGTCTCTCCCTCAGGCAGCAGTTCAAGATCTTTACTGCGATCATTTGCTCTCTGGTCGAATCAATCATCGAGCTCGGTTGCCGACGAAAAGCTCTGGAGTGGTGGACACCATCACGCCCTCACTGACGATCTTCAGCATCCCAGATTTGGTTCAGCAAACCCTGCTTATCCGGCGAACTCTGCCAGCAAATCCCCCAAGGCCAGTCGGTTGCCACGGTATGTGCCTATTGTAATCCCCGACTTTGCACAACCCTTCGCGAGAGAACTCCGCACGTGCGCATCGGAGTCGGATATTAATAGCCATCGATACTCGACCGCTTCGACTATAAAAGCATTGACGTACGAGGCAGCTCACTCATCAAATTTATCGAATGTAGTTGGCGCACCGAGGACTGCAACGGGCTCAGAGGACAAGAAGGACAACTCGAGCCTGGTTGCACGACAAGAAAATTTCACGATGAACAACAGTCAAGTCAGCCTTACGGCCTCGGATGTCAGTATGGAGGCACCCACCGGCTCTGCCTCGGCCACAAACGGAGCGGGAAACATTGGAACCGCACCAGGAGTCTCTCAACAGGGGACCGCGCCGACAAATCTATCTGGACTGGTGTGTAATGTACACAGAACCACGGGGCAAGAACCACATGCTCTTGTCGGGGCCACGACCACTATTCTGGGCGACAAACTGTACGTTTTCGGAGGCAGGATACATTCTAGAACGAAACCACAATTGACCTCGGACCTCTATGAGCTGGATTTGATTCACCGACACTGGAAAAAGATTGAAGCTGTCGGTGACATCCCTCCACCACGATACTTCCACAGTGTATGCGCACTGGGCGATGCGAAACTGGTCTGCTATGGCGGCATGTCTCCAGCAACTCACAAAAACGCGGCAAACTCGCAGGGTGGGAAGGGCGGAGTTGAACCACAGCCCGAAGTGGTCGTCATGTCGGACATCCATATCTTTGACGTCCCGACACGGAAATGGACGCTGATCTCGACATCAGAAAACCCTCAAGGGCGGTACGCACACTGCGCAGCCGTCTTGCCGTCGTCGGCGGTCTTCACGTCGGCGAACGCGCCATTGTCTGCCATCCAACACAACCCGTCCTCATCGGACCCCCATTCGGGCACTCTGGGCGTACAGCTCGACGGGAGCGGAGGCGCAGAGATGATCGTCGTAGGAGGCCAGGACAGCAGCAACAACTACATCGAGCAGATCAGCGTGTTCAACCTGCGAAGCCTCAAGTGGACCAACACCACCTCGTGGGATCGCAAGTGCGGAGCGTATAAGAGCATGGTGGCGCCCATGACGGGGCTGTCTGCAGAACTAGTGGGAAGAGGAGTTCCCCTCAACGACCCAGAGGCTCTGAAGATGACCAGAAGGCCCGGCACCTCGATGCTGATTTATTCCAATTACAACTTCCTCGATGTGAAGCTGGAACTGCAGATCCGGCTACCGGATGGCTCGCTAGTCGAGAAGCCGATGAGCGGCACCGTGTCGCCGCCCGGACTACGGTTCCCCAACGGCGGCATCATCGACGGTCATTTCGTGGTCAGCGGCACCTACCTGACGTCCTCCAAGCACGAGTACGCACTGTGGGCACTTGACCTCAAGACACTGACGTGGGCGAGAATCGACACCAACGGATCCATCTTCTCGCAAGGGAGCTGGAATCGAGGAATCCTGTGGAACCGACGAAACACGTTCGTCATCCTGGGCCACCGCAAGCGCAGCTTGGTGGACGACTACAACCACCGGCGCATCAACTTCAACCACGTGTGCATGGTCGAGCTCGAGGCGTTTGGTCTGTACGACAACCCGCGAACGGAAACACCCACGTCGTCGTACGTCTCGGTCTCTTCCCCAGTCGTGCCCACCTCGTTGCGGTCCAGCTTGCCCACACATCTGGCCGGTGGACGACCATACAACATCAAGGCCGAACAGTTGGGCCAAGCAGCACTGGGCTTGAGCGAGCTCTCAGACATGGAGATTGTGGCGCTGGGGGGCGAGAAGATTCCCTGTAATTCATTCATCCTTTCCCGACGATGGGGACCGTTCTTCAACCAACTCCTGGCCGAGTCCGCGACCACGAACGAAACCGTGAGCGCGTCGGACGGCGCGACCTTGCGACCCGGCGGTGAACGGTCACAGGCGAGCCGCAACTCGTCACTGACCATCACCCCCAGTGCGGCCAACGGGTTCGCCGGGACGCCGGGTTCTTCTATCGCGGGATCTGCTATCAATACCACGACGACGATGGGAGGGTCTGGGCCGGGGTCCGATCCCATCCTCGACCCTCAGCGCTCACTCAGTCGATCGACGACCCGGACGCTGGTCGAACTGCCCAACCCCACGTCGGTGCCGGCGTCGAACCGGCCACGGTCACTCTACCTGCCGCACATGGCGCAGACGATCCACCTGCTGCTGCACTTCCTGTACACGTCGTCCCTGCCGCCGGTGGGTTACCCCCTCTGCACGCCCCACACGCTCTGCTCGCTCCTCCAGATGGCGCGCCCTTACCAGATCGACGGCCTGCTCGAGGCCACGGTCGAACGGCTCCACGAGGCCCTGGACGGGCGCAACTCGGCCGCCGTCTTCAACGCCGCGGCCATGGCGGCGGGCGGCGGCCGCGGGCTCGTCGGCGCCGTGGGTGGGGGGTCGTTGTCGTCGGGCATGACGGGACGACGGGAGAGCGAAGCCACCGCCGTCGGTGAGCAGACGACCGCCGCGTCGTTGGCCGGCAAGACCGCGGGCCTGAAATTGACGACCAGCTACGAGGAGCCCAGAAGAAGGAAAGGTCACGGCAAGAGCAGTTCAACAGACACGGCGTCCACCTCGACCTCGACCGACGTCTCGCACACGGACCCGGAGATGTCCCCGCTCGACGACCCCGACGTGGGCGGCGGCGACCGAGGGGAGCGAGCCAGTCGGGGCCAGCAGGGTGACAGGGAGATTCGAGAAATGTGGACGGGAGACGTGAGCTCGGTGATTGGGTTGCAGAAACGTGGGTTGAGAGGGTTGATGGAGGGACGTAGGTTGAGGGAACGGGCCAACACGGGAGCGACGGGTGTAGATGGGATGTGATTTTGAATATTGAGGTACACATCCCCTACCATCCAGGACATCTACTTGTAGGTACCTACGGGGGACATACCAACATGCCAGACTTGTGTTGTTTGGTATATTGATCTGGCCACTAAATTTGTAAGTAGTACCAGTTTACTCGGGGCGAGGTTGATACGGCATACATCACCAGGTGTTTATGGAGTATGTTAAATTAACGGAGAGATGAGATAGTAAATAGATACAGTACAGTACTCCTTTTTGCTCGGTTCCTATTCTTTGATTGTGATTTACTCTGTACTCCGTACTCGTGCGGAATATGCAAATAACATGTGCTCTCCTCCGGTGGAAAATGACATGACATCGCGATCAAGATGCCTCGGCTCATTCTTTCAAACTAAATCGATTACTCGTACTCCGTTTTTATCTGTTCGCGACAATCAGATGACCAACTTCAGTAAAATGTCCGCACGAATGAGAACATCGACAAAGGCCGAAGCAGGTCAGCATCGAGCAATACCGCGCCCCCGGTCCTCCATTTTGAACTTACTTTAGGTTGGTAGGGTACGAAGTACGGAGACTCCGTACTGTAAGTAAGGAGAATGGGAAATAATGTGACAGGCCTGTCGTTTGGGTTGCTTGTCATCATCGTCGGTCTGTTGTTGTTTGGCATGTGAAAGGACCACCTCAATCTGCCCTTCTTCACACTGGGCACAAGACCCAACCGAGTCCATGCGCTCGCTCTCTCCCTCTCCTTGTAACTACTACTACTACTGCTACTATTGTACTCATTCCAGACCTTGTAGACTTCTTCTTCTTATTCTTCACATTGTCAAATCAGGCCTTTTGTTTCTCTTGTTGTCCATCGTACAGTTGACCTTGATTTTCCAGACCTAGAAGCGACCATCCCTCTATTCACCATGTCCAAAACATTCTCCCTCGCGGATGTGTCGTCCCATAACAAGGCAGATAATCTCTATATTGTGGTCGACGAGGATGTCTACGACCTCACCAAGTTTCAAGATGAGCATCCAGGCAAGTCACCTTTTCCCGCCGCTGCTGCAAACAATACTAACCGCAATCGCAGGTGGCAAGAAGAGTAAGTCCCGTCCCAGCCGTTCTACAACACACGCGGCGCCCGGTTATTAACCTCGATCGATAGTCCTCCAGCGAGTGGCAGGAAAAGACGCCTCGAAGCAGTTCTGGAAATACCACAATGAGAGCATCCTCAAGAAATACAAGGGCAAACTCCAGGTTGGTTCGTTAGATACCAAGAAGGCTGCGGCACCACCAACGCCCCCGGCTACACCTCCGCCGCAAGAGAAGAAGAAGGTTGTCCCGCAGGCCGAATCTGGAACCGTCGCTCCGGCACCAGGCCCAGGTGCGGCAGAGGAGGCTGAGGCGCTTGATCCCTTCGGCGACCTCATTCCGTTCGGTGACCCCAATTGGTACCAAGGCGTAAGTACACGACCCTGATGGACTCAGAGGATCGTATGCTGACATAGACCACAGTATCACTCGCCCTACTACAACGAAACGCATGCTGCCCTCCGTGCCGAAGTCCGAGAATGGGTCGAATCCGAGATCGAGCCATACGTGACCGAGTGGGATGAGGGCAAGAAAGTCCCAGACACCATCTATAAGCAAATGGGTGAACGAGGCTACCTTGCCGGCTTGCTCGGAGTGAAATATCCCAAGCATCTGGTCAAGAATGGAGTCAAGAGCGTACCTGCGGAGAAGTGGGATTTGTTCCACGAGATGCTCCTGACCGACGAGCTCTCTCGGACTGGCTCAGGTGGTCTTGTTTGGAACTTGATCGGCGGATATGGCATTGGATGTCCACCGCTGGTCAAGTATGGTAAGAAGGAGTTGGTTAATCGCATTCTGCCTGGCATTCTTTCGGGTGACAAGAGAATCTGCCTGGCCATCACCGAGCCCGATGCCGGTTCCGATGTGGCCAACCTCACATGTGAAGCCAAGCTCACTGAGGATGGAAAGCATTTCATCGTCAACGGAGAGTAAGTTCTTGTCGGTTTACTCATGCACGCTACTGGGAAGTGCTGACATTGCCCTCTAGGAAGAAATGGATCACCAATGGTATTTGGTGCGATTACTTCACCACCGCTGTCAGAACAGGCGGTCCTGGCATGAATGGCGTCAGCTTGTTGTTGATTGAGCGCGGAGAAGGTGTCAGCACTCGACGCATGGACTGCCAGGGTGTTTGGAGTTCTGGTACGACGTACATCACATTTGAAGATGTCAAGGTGCCCGTTGAGAACTTGTTGGGCAAGAAGGACCGCGGCTTCCAAGGTGAGCAGGAGCCATCTGACACGGCGTCGGCGTGTTGGGACGAGAACTAACCTCGTCAACAGTGATCATGACCAACTTCAACCACGAACGCATTGGTATCATAATCCAGTGTTTGCGGTTCTCCCGGGTGTGCTTCGAAGAGTCGGTCAAATATGCCTCCAAGAGAAGAACGTTTGGCAAGAAACTCATCGATCATCCTGTGATTCGTTTGAAACTCGCCCATATGGCCCGACAGACTGAGGCCAGCTACGCCTGGTTGGAGAATGTGGTGTACCAGTGCCAGAAAATGGGCGAGACGGAAGCCATGTTGAGACTCGGAGGTGCCATTGCCGGTCTCAAGGCTCAAGCTACGACTACATTCGAGTTCTGCACCAAGGAAGCCGCTCAGATCTTTGGGGGTCTCGCATACTCGCGAGGTGGCCAAGGTGGAAAGGTCGAAAGACTGTACCGAGACACTCTGGCCTACAAGATTCCTGGAGGCAGTGAGGAGATTATGTTGGATTTAAGTATCCGACAGAGCATGAAAGTGCACAAGGCATTGGGTATGAAGCTGTGAAGAGTGATTTTAGTAGAGGGAAAAATGTATTTTGATCTTGTGCATGCGAATATGACTGCAAAGGAGGATTATATGTAACTATTATTCCATGTAGTAGTCTCAATGTGTCGCATCAGTGCCATGGAGGTTTTTTATCTTCTCTTTCTGCGGTGTTCTCATTACACAGTCATACACTCGGTACGTTGAGATGTTGATACTATGGACGATTCGTACAGTACAAGGATCAATTCGTGTGGCTGATGATGCATCGATGTGGAGTTGTGCGTCTCTCGTCGTGAACGGTCAATGGATAAGTTTTAGGTGCGGCAGAGGATGGTGGGTTTGACTGTCCAGCACCTGTTGTTGGTGTGAGGGCTTTGACCACTATACAGTAGTACTGTAGGTAACTCCGGAGCACTAGCATGTGGTAAGAATAGTAACGAGTATTACTGAGTACGAAGGATAGAATGCGTGAGAAGAAAGAAAAGACTTATGCAGGTACGTCACTAGCTGACATGGCCATCAGCATCTCTTTTCTCTTCTACCACCAAGTATTTTTTTTTCTTGCCCACTCGATTCCCGCATTACGACGCCATCCACAATATTCCATCGACTCGTACTCCGTATCGATAGCCGGCTCGTCAATGATGGAATTCTTCCCCAGTTTTCCCTCCCGAATTGTCTCTCCCATCGACTAGCAACCGGTGAATATTGGCTACGAGTACAGCATGCAGCAGCGTTGAGTCTCTCCACCCCATCACCATCTTTTTTGGCTTTTGTCCCTGCGCCTCGATCTGCTCGCCACTTCGGTTCCCTGTAGGTGCCTCTTTTTTTTCCCTTGCCTGCGCAGTTTGTATAACTAGTCGCCTCGTATTCCGTCTGTGTCGGATCTTATTTCTTCTCTCTTGCTCTTCTTTTATATCCCATAATCTGTACCAGACAAACTGTATCTTCATTTTTTCTTTGGACATTCGTTACAAGTCTACATATACAACTACATTCGTCATGCGCCCCGCACAGCTTCTGGCCTTCGTGGCTGCCCTTCCTTCCACCCTTGCTGCCTACAAGGGCTTCAACTACGGCTCGACCGGAAGAGATCAAGCTGCGTTCGAGGCTGACTTCAACTCGGCCAAAAACCTGGCTGGCTCCAGCTACACCTCGGCCCGCCTTTATACCATGATCCAAGATGGCACCACAAACACCCCCATCTCGGCCATCCCAGCTGCCATCAACACCGGCACGTCGTTGCTGCTCGGTCTGTGGGCTTCGGGCGATACATTCGCCAATGAACTTGCCGCCTTGAAGGCCGCGATCGAACAATACGGTAGCTCGCTTGGCCCTCTCGTCGCCGGTATCAGTGTGGGTTCGGAGGATATCTACCGGATCACGCCCATTGGCATTGAGAACCACGAAGGAGTTGGTGCTGGCCCGGCCGTCATTCAAAACTACATATCTCAGGTCCGATCCGCCATCGCCGGTACACCACTTTCAGGTGCACCAGTCGGCCACGTCGACACTTACAATGTCTGGACAAACTCAAGCCAGAATGCTCTGATTGGAGACTGCGACTTTTTGGGTGTCGATGCCTACCCGTACTACGAGGTGAGTTTCTTTTGTAGTTGGAATTTGCATGTTTCACAAAAGAATCATCCTGACTGACACATTATGCACAGACCACAAAGGCCAACAGCATCGGTAACGCCAATGCCACCTTCTGGGATGACTACTCCGTCACCGTCGCAGCGAGCCAGGGCAAGCCAGTCTGGATCACCGAGACCGGATGGCCTGTTTCGGGCCCAAGCAGTGGTCAAGCCGTGGCTTCGGTCGACAACGCAAAGACCTACTACGATGATGTTGCCTGCCACGCATTCGCCAAAGGCGTCAACACCTGGTGGTACATTCTCCAAGACACCGGTGCCAGCCCTAGTTTTGGTCTCGTTGGTGCTGGATCCCCTCCGCCCACGACACCCATCTACAGCTTGAGCTGTTAGACTGGCTTTTGAGGTGGTGAGATGCTCATCATTGTATATGATATCATGAATAAAAGTTGGTAGATGTCGGGGTTGGACAAGGTAATACTCGCCGCGGCACTGCTAGACGATTGGAAATAGATAGACACGATAATGGAATAATGTTTCATGCAACATCAAGTCACTGTAGGGAGCATTTACAGGAGATGAAACTGTCTCGTGCGAGGTCAACTGACAAACAAAACAATGGACAAAACTGTGTACTCGTACTCGTAGATCAATTTGGTGTCGATCCGGGCGCCAATCAGAATCCGACTTCAGATAAAAACAACATGACTAAACCTATTTGGGCATATCAACAACCAGTCTTGTAAACAACCTCGATCGTCACCATTCAAAATCTCATAAACCTTTTCCCTCTATGCTTTGTTTCTCTTGCTCACTAACGCCAGGTCTCCATCGACACCGACTATCCACCCTCGAACAGATAACACCAACGACCCTGCGGACACCGTGATAGAGAGCCCTCCACCAACAACCCAAAGAAACGGTTCCAAATGTGCACCACTTACTCCGTATAGTGACCGTAACCTTTGAAACGAACCAAAATTTCCCATCATCATCGAGCTACCCGTAAATTCCCAACATGGCTCCCAGGAAGCCCGCCAGCCCGGCGAAGCCACGACGCGTCACGCGCGCTCGAGCTGCCGATACAGCCGCGACGCCATCTCTCGAGGAAGCGCCCAAACGAAAGACAGCCACGACCTCCAAAGCGGTCCCGAAAACAACCAAGGCAAAAGCCATAGAGTCAAAGTCTCGAGTCTCGAAGAAAACAGAAACGAAGAGGGCCAAGGCCACGCGACGATCGACTCCAGTCGTCGAAGGCAACGGGAGCGACGACGATGAGGACGAGATCACTGTTGCTGCTGCTCAAACACAGCTGGGAACAACTCGAGCAGCACGATCGACTCGAACCACGACGTCCAATGCCTCGGCCTCCACATCCACATCCACACTCGCGGCTGCGCCTAGACGACGAATAAAAGTCACGCCATTAGATGCCGCCGTTCCAGAGCCCGAACCACAACCTGCCAAGAAGACAGCAGCCAAAGAAAAGAAAGAAAAGTCGACGACGACAGCAGCAACAACCAAGTCAGCTGCTATGCGGGCTAAAAGAAATGTAACGACAGCCAAGGGAGACGAAAAGTCCGAAGAACCCGAGGTCGAGCATGAACCTAAGAGACGAGGTAGATCGACCAAGGCAGCAACAAAGGCAGAGCCTGAAAAAGTTACTTCGGAGCCCATCACGACCGTGCGCAAGACTAGAGGTCGAGCAAAGAAGGAAGACACGGCAGTTGAGCCTGTCGAGCCTGCATCGGCGCCAGTGACGACACGACAGACACGAGCGAGGTCCGGGTCAACAGCATCGGCTACCGCGGCAGGGTCTGCAGTCAACGTTGTCATACCCGCACCAACACGCAAGAGGGTCACTTTCCAAGACCTGCCCGAGGATGATGAGGACGACGAGAAAGAAAACAAGCAGCCTATCACAACCTCCAGAGCGAAAGGCGTGAAGAAAGGCCCTGTTTCTTCTGCTGCGGCGACGAAGAAAGCAGAAACGAATTCAAAGGGAATGCGTGCAAAGCCTATCCGCAAGCCTGCTGCGACCACGAAATCGACTCGTGGCACTACGAGAGCCACAAAGGCCTCGAAAGCTGCCGAATCCGAGACCGAAAAGGTCATGCCGCGAGTGTTGACTCCCAAGAAGATTACGCAAGTCGCCAAAGCAGCGCCCGTCGATAGTGACGATGAAGATGAGCTCGCAGGTGACAAGACTCCCGTACGTGATCTCAGTCTTTCCCCGAAGAGAGGACATGTCTCGCCAATACGACCAATGTCGCCTGTTAAAACACTCGATTTCACACCTGCACTCCAGTCACCGGAGAAACAGAGATCAAACACATCTCCCGGACTCATGAGCCCACCTCGACGAATGCCATCTTCACCGTTCAAAGATATTTTGAAAGAGTCTCCGCGTCGTGCACCAGAAGGCGTGACCATTTTCCGCGCACAAATACAAGATTCGCACAACAACAACAGCTCTTTGGCTTTGAACCCAAAGAATCAACAGCAATTGCTACAGTCTCCAAAACGCGGGTTGGCAGACACCATTGTCTTTCCTCCTTCAGCTATGAAGTCGAAGCAGTCGCCGTTGAAATCAGCACTCATGTCTTCGCCAGCGAGACGTCTGTTCTCTCCATCAAAGCAGAAGACCCCAGCTCGGTTTTCGCCTTCACCTGTCAAGAAGCAAGCTACTCCTGTAGAGCAGACAAAATCACCTGGAGATGTTGACATTGTCATGTCTTCCCACTTTAGACCTTCCATGTCTCCTCAACGTGGCGCTCGGGTTTATAAGATGAGCGATGAAGAGATTGCTCAAGAGACGATGAACGAGATGGACTTTGATCAGTCTGTCTTGAACATTAGGAGCCCACTAAAAGCCGACAAAGTCAAGCCTGTGGCCGAGATGCCAGATGAGGACCTTGAGCTGCGTGACTCCGCTGCACCGAATGAGGACAGATACGACGCAGATGATGCAGTCATTGAACCAGGATCTCTCGTTCCTGCTGATGACCTCGAAACGGATGGAGATTCTGAAGCAGACAACGATGAGACTGTTCTTGATACAGCATTGGTAGAGCAAGGCACCTTCGACGAAGAAATGGAAGACGGGACCGTTCAAGAAGATGCCCTGACAGAAGCCTCAGAGAATGAGAATACTCCTCAGCCCATTCAACAGGTTTCCAGTAAGAAGCTGCGATTACCGAACGCCCTCTTTCACCGTCTGCGAGATATTGATGACGAGTCCGAGGACGAACTCGCTTCGGACCAAACACCAGTCGTGCGAAGCCGTCCTAATGCCAGTGGTGTAACTCTCCACTCACGGCTTTCCACTGGCATCGCACCTCCCAGTGCGTCCAGAGGTCTTGGTTTCACTCCACTTGTAGCACAGGTTCGCGACTGGCGTGCAGCCAGCCCGGAGAAGAGAATGAGCTCGACGAGCAAGACACCTATCTCAGACGTTGTATTCTCGCCGCTCGCACAAGTGCATGTCGCCGGATCTGTCGAGGTGAATAGGCAAGATACTCCAGCAAAGCAGGCACAGAAGAGAAAGTCGGTCGCCGCTCGACTATCCTTTGCATCGTCATCAACAGGAAGTCCAGCACAGCCAGATTTCTTTGGTGAGGGTATGGCTGCCCAAGAGTTCGAGGAACAAACTGAGGAGCTCGCGAAAGATCCTGCCCAGGAGGAAGATCTTCATCAGATCATGCAGCAGCAAGGTGACACTGAAGGAGACGAGAATGCCGATGAGTCGTTGGAAGAAGGACAGGATGACGATTCTGAAGTGTCTAGCCATGAACCTGGCGAGTTGACAACGGATCTGATCAAGTTCACCAATGCCTCCGACACTGCCATGGTCGATTTCAAGGCTCTAGCAAATGAAGCCGAGGGAATGGCTGATGGTGAAGCTGAAGCAACTACTGATGACGAAGAACTTGAACCTACTGTGCTAGCTCATAGGCTTTCGATGGTCGAAGAAGAGCATTCCGTCTTGTCAAATTCTTCAGAGAATTACGGAGACGAAAACTCACCTCCTCGTCCTGCTGCTGCCGCGTTTGAACTCGATGAACCAGTTCCAGAAAGTGAGTCTCACGAATCGGCAGATACAGAAATCATTGGGGGTACAGTCATCGGTGATGCATCAACTAGCGTTGCAATCTCTCCATCAGCAGTTGGACTCACTCCCATGGCTATTGAGAAGAGCATAGAAATGGACTTTGATGTGACTCCCATCCGACCAGATCCAAACGCTACACGAGTTGTGCATACGGTGGCAAAGGTCCCCCTTCGTCCAGAGGGTGAGATTCCCGCAACTTCGTCTCCCATCAAGATGCAACGCAAGCGACCTAGGTCGTTATCCACGTCCAACTCTTTGTCGGCCAAGAGGAGAAGTCTCGCTCTCGGCGGCCCGATTGATACGGCCATCATCAGTGCTATGCGTGCTCCTGTTGACAATGGCAGTGAAACTTTGAGTTCATCACCGCAACGACGCATTCGAAGTGCAGCACCAAGCCCTGCATACACTCTCTCTACTGCCTTTTCGACACCTGGGCAGTATAGTTTTGCAGTTGAAGATTTCGGCGACAGCACACTCGATGGTATCGAACTACCCGAGGAGGAGATGTCGTCGGACCTCGAAATTGAGGATCACCAAGAGGAAACTGAAACCGCACAGCCCACCGCCAACGACGATACGATGATGACAATCGGCTCGTATATCTTCAAGACACCTGCACCTTCGGTGAGAACTGCAAGAACGAGCATGCTTCCTCCTCCGTCTACCGTCATGTCTGTTGCAGCCAACACTACGACACCAAGCTACGCTCGGTCTACCAATTCTAGCAGAAGGAAGAGCATCAGCACACCGTCTCATGCTGCGTCCGATGCGGTTGCAACACCGGCACCGGCTACGACACCCGCTACAGTGTCAAAAAGCAGAAGCAAAACGCCATCAACGAGTTTGAAGAGCAAGACTCCGGCGCGAACACCACTCAAAGCCATCAGCGACGGACCCCTCAACGGTGCCGTTGTCCACTGTGACATTCACACGAGTGAAGGCAGTGATGCTTCGGCAATTTACGTTGATCTTCTCACGGCCATGGGGGCACGCTGCGTCAAGGAGTGGCGATGGAACCCGCGAGCCGCCCAGAACGAGGCAGCCGAGACTCCTGGTCACAATGGCCAGGTCATTGGCATTACCCACGTCATATACAAGGACGGCGGTAAGAGGACGCTCGAAAAGGTTCGAAGTGCAGGAGGCCAAGTCCTTTGTGTCGGTGTTGCATGGGTTCTCGAGTGTCATCGCAAACAGTCGTGGGTGGATGAAGGCCTGTTTTCGGTGGACACTGGTATCATGCCCCGTGGAGGTTCAAGGAGGAGAAAGAGTATGGAACCTCGGATGTTGAAGAATGAAGGTGGCCATTTGAGTTCAAAGAAGAGAAAGAGTCTGCCGGCCAGTCATTTCACCTATCAAGACGCAAATGTGTCTGCTTGTAAGAATGTGGCCGCTGCTCAGCATGACGAGGAGGATGAAATTTCTTTTCGAGGAGCGGCAGCCGAAGAGGCCAGAGACGAAAACAGCATGGACGAGTCCAACGTCGACCTCGACACTAGTGTGATGCACGCGGACGATGAGCAGGATGACGATTCCGTGCTCGCCGGCCACGACGAGTCAGAAGGTGAGATCAGTTCGGCTTACAATTCACCTGCCGCGGCGACGGCGGGCGAGACCATGCAGTTTTACGAACTGCCAGACGCTTTGGCGACGTCGGCGGCACGGGACGAGTCGTTGTCGTCTTCACCTTCAGGGTCGATGACCGGTCCATCACGGTCCAAAACGGCGATAAATACCAGAACGCCACGGTCGGAAAAGGTGGACCTGAATGTCGATTACGACCCGAGGACCGCCGCGACACCATTGACTCCTTACGTGAGGAGTAAGGGTGTGGTGACGGGCGTCGCCGGTACCGGTGTCGGTGTCGGTTCGGGGACGGAAAAGATGATGATGAGCGCACCTCCGAAACAGACCGGCCGGTCTCTTTTCGACGATGGTGACGACGACGACGACAATCTGGGAGAGGAGAAGACGCAGAAACGGACGGCAAACGACCGGGGCAACGGAGACAAGTTTCGACTAAAGCTGCGTGGGACGAGGGGGGGGGGAGTCGACAGAAGGAGAACTCTGGCGGTCGGCGGTGGCGGTGGTGCGAACGGCCTCGGCTTCAGACCCGTCGTCGGGAGCCCACTGAGGAAGGAGTAGTGATTCCTCTTTTTTCTTCTTCTTCTTCTTCTTCTTCTTCTTTTTGCTTCTGGTTCGTGCTTGTGCTTGTGACCGTACTTGTGTGCGAGCACAACACTTTGTATTTTCTGGTGTTTGTCGAGTGGGAAGGGGACGGGGATTTTTAAATAGACAAACCGTCTCATGGCTGGAGCTCCTCCGTCTCTCTCTCTCTCTCCTAGTCAGTGATCGAGTAACAAGACGTATCGAGATTGAAAGATTCAGGAGTTCAAATTCAAAGGGTCCGGGTCCGAATCTGTTGGAAGGGGGAGGTGGTTGTTACGGACCACCCCACCCACTCACAAATGGCATCGACGCGCAAAAAATGACGATCAAAGAACATTGTCTGTCTACAGGGGAGTCGTAATCACAAACCACCGCCATTCCCACCATCACGAAGCAACATCATTAAGCGTATTTTCTACTCCCTTTTCGAGTACTATATATATACTATGTAAATCCCAAGATCCCGTCCTGTCCCATTCCTAGAAGAGAGAAAAAAAATGGGGTTGCCGACTTTCGCTTCGCATCGCTTTAGACATTTCTCGTTCAATGCGCACGAGAGAAACAAGAAAAAATCAGACAGAGGACCAAAGAAATCCAAAAAAAAATCAAAGAGAACTCGATGACAGAACACATAACGGAACTGTCAATTGATCCAGAGAACCCATTTGACCACCCCACCAACTGCTCGAAACGTACCGGTGACCAGACGCACCACGGAGACGACGGCCCAGATCAACCACAACAAACTGACCACGGTCCACTCGATCCCGGCAAACAGCAACAATCGCAAGAGTCTGATTGGACCTCTTCGCCTGTTTCGCATCGCCTTCTCGATGGAATCGTTCAGCTCCTTCACCGCAAGGGTACTCGTCGTGGTCAATTTCATGCTCAGTTCCCCCGCGTGGTCGGCCGCCGTCCTGATCTGCGGCGTCATCCTGTTCTCGATCATGTCTTCCAACGTCTGGAGTTGCATGTGGAGGCGAGGAGCGACCTCTGTACTGAAGAGGTTGAGTTTCTCGTTAAAGGCCGAGGAGTGATTGTCCAGATTACTCATGATATTCTTGGCCGCCATGATGTAATATTCGCGTTTCTTATATCGCTGACGTTGTGACATGTGCAAGTCCCTGTCTGCAGGAGTGAGTGTGTCGAGATAAAACCTGGGAATCTCAGGCCTTTCCTCTTCCGCACGACGACCAATTTCTCGCGCCTTCACTGTCGAGCTGTACAAGAGAGCTTCAGCACGACCAATGTCACGCCAGGATGTACCAGTACCTTCGGCCTCGTCATCACCAGCATCTGACGTGGTGGGAACACGCGTCAGGTCGCCAGCAGATCGACTACCGTGAATACCCGTCAAGCCTGTCGTTGCACCGAGAGCATTGTTCAATAGCTCCGATGCGTCTCGGGATCGACTTAGGTCAATAGCCGCTCCGAAGCCGTAGCTCTGCTTCCGATCCAGGTCGCTCGGTGGCATTGCATTTCCTGTGTCGAGCTTAGGCAGAGCCAGTCGACCAAGACGCGGCGAATGAGACGAAGACCTATGTTGCGCTGCAAGTCGGGAAATACGATCTGTACTATCCATCCTGACGCCATCAGCACCAGGCGACAATGCTTGTTTCCGTTGCTGCTGTTCCCTATCCCTTTGAAAGGGTGACACGAAGCTTGGGAGGTTGGGATTGTTGTATTGAGGTCGGCCACTGGCAGTTGGGCTGAGCCGCGAAACTGTTGGCGAAAGGCGTTCACTTTTGGTGCTTGACACAGTCGATGACCTTGATCGTGGGTGCATAGGTGGGGGTTGTTTTATGACGATGCCATTGACATTCGTCTCCTTTTCCGAATCTGAACCACCACGATATGAGCGAAGACTAGAGTCAGACATTGATGGCCTATGTCTGTCAGATGGAGGGGGATCACGCTTCCAGATGAAATCCCCAACTCTAGAGACTTCATTACCAACAAGCTCGGCGATACGACCACCCTTGAAGATCCCGCGTAACTTGGAATGATCACTTCCAACAGTACCTGCCGAGCGGGTTGTAACCTTACTGATGGAAAGAGACTTATTGTCGCCCGAGAGTAGCGGACCTAAGTCGTCGGTATGCGTAGATTCGGTCCCAGGTCTTGACACTGAACTCATACCTCTCGTCATTGGGCTAGTGCCACGCGAACCGTTACTGTCTGAATGATACTTGATTTCACCTGCAGATTGATTTGGCTGCACTGATGGACCACGCGCAAAATCAGTAGCGCTGATGTGCTCAACCTCCTTCGAATCTTGCTTGCGGTGGAAAGGGTGAAGGATTGAGGACATGTGCTTCCTTGTTGGCGACGAGCTTCGACTTGGAGGAGGTGAAAGATTGATTGCAATGCTTGGCCAATGCGGAACGGCAGGCGAATTCTGAGCAGTGGCAGTATCGTAGTCGCTAGATGCTCGTGGGGCTCGCTCTTGGTCCAGACTTGAACGCATTGGTCCTCTCATGGATGTGGGACGAGACGATTCGTCCCTATTGCGGGATCGGTTGAGAGGTGAAGCTTTCTTCAGATTTTCAACCTTGAGGATTTTGGTCAAGGCCGAGTGGTCTACAGAGGATCTTTTCGAATTCACAGCCGACGATGGCTGGCTGGAATCATTGATGTGAGGAGACTGTTTGGAGGGTGAGCTGCTGCGAGGTGCGTCCTGATCTTTACCAAGAGGAGAATGTAGCCGTTTGCGCCTGAGCCGCCTACGACCACGTTCAGTACTATTTTGTTCCGAAGACGACAACTCCGATCCATCAGAGTCGCTATCGTGGAACAGCTTGTGCCGTATGCGTGAGCGTTCCCTCGAACTGTCTGATTCTTTGACCTGTAAAGACCCTCTGAATTTGCTTCTGCGTGGATGCTTGTCCACATAATGGGCGGACTTGAATGTGGGAAGCTCTGGTAAAGCAGAAGGAGGAATGTCATCCGTCGCCACCGGTTCCGACTCCTGTTGAGGGGGGGAGTGCCGTTGCTGTAGCGTAGACGGAATGTCTATGGGAGTGTCATGCCGCCAACCAGAAAATTTAAAGTGAGTGTTTGGAGGATATATCAGGTTATTGTCACGATCTTGGATCTTCATTTTGTTCAAGCCTTGCTCCAGCCAATATGCGTCTGCGAGGAGATCAGCAGGATGAGTGACCCAGTCAGAACGCGGCCGAGTCGGTTTGGACAGATAAGGGTCCTGTATTCTGGGGGAGGTGGCACTTTTTGGCTCAACCGGGGAGTCTTCTTGTTCTTGATCATCCGGAGCTGCTCCTTTCTGATCAAGTGGAGGTAGACGAACGCATTCTAGAGGATCATGCTGAGTCTCTGTATGGCTCGAGATTACAGCATCTACCCAGGCCCGAACCTTCTCGACATCGTGCCAGCCATCCGCCTCGCTGTCAAATGACGTCTTTTCCCAAATGCGCAGTTTGCGATTGCGGACGTACTGGAGAGGGTTGTATGCTTTCTGCAATGCTTCGGCTTCGGACGATAGTGGCGGGACACCAGGTCTGCGGATCGGTGGTAGGTGTGAGAGGAGTCGTCGATGCTCGTGTGCAAGTTCGAAGTACAGCTTTGCTTTCTCCACACGCGTCATCGTAGCTGGCGATATTTGATCGGGCATCTCAGTGTCAAAGTCGATAAGATCCTCGTCCAATGCGGGATCCTTCGACTCGGGTCGGCGACTGGCCTGTCTCGCTTTTGGCGACCCAGTTCTCGAATTCTGTCTGTTCGTCGCCAGGAAGGGAGCAATACTTTTCCTTTTCACTGTATTCCTGGGATCGATCGTTGACGCAGTGGAAATCACACGACGTTCACCTTGATCCAACGAGACATATCTTCGACCTGAAGCCAGCCTCCGTCGACCTTCGCTCAAGCTAAGTGCCATCTGTACAATCTGCGCCGGGTCCTGGTCATAGCCCAAGCTCGCACCACGAGATGATTGAACCTCGCCATCGCGGGAGTGTGATGTCGTACTTCCATTCGTTCGAGGCTCATGTTGAGATGAAGACAACGACCTCCGGATGTCCGTACCCGGAATCAAAGAATCGGAGGTTGACTGGTTGTGTACGACGGGTTCTTCTTTGAACTCGCTAGCCAAAGGCGAGCTTCTGAAAGAGGGGTTCAGATTGACATTGTTCCTATATCTTCGTTTGGAGACAGACAGCTCCGAGTCTGTGCTGTCTCTCTTCCTCCTAGATTCGCTGTGAGAAGGTGTCACTAAAGCCCGCGATCCTCGTTTCGCATTCGCGACAGGCTCGAGCAGAAAGCCCCCAGAATTGCGTGGTATCTGGTATGAGGCGGACACATTCTCTTTTCCCCTTTCTCTTTCTTTTTCCTTCCCTTTCGATCCATCACTCCCTATGCTGCTACCAACGGAGAATCGTTCTGATACGTGGCTGCGATCATGGTCGGCGTGATGATTGTCGTCTATGTAGTTGTGAGAGCCCGATGTCAAGGAGTCTGGCCTTGCTGTCTCTCTGGCAGGATCGTGGACAGAACGGAAGGTTGGAAGTGGCGATGGCTTGCGCTGGTCAACATGATCTTCTGAGACCCTGGTGGCAGCTGGGCCATCGGGAGGTCTCGAAGTAGAAGTCGACATTCAGGCACCTGCCCATGGGTGCAGGTGATTTTGTCGTGCTATCGCAGCTTGCTGCGCTCTGGCGACAATTCGATCATTGCGGAGCGAAGACGGGGAAAACGTTCGTTAGGCCCAGGCGTTCCAACCTTTGTAGCCAGGCGCGAGATGGTGACCAGGTTCTAGAAGAAATCGACAGAGTCAAGCGAACAACAATGAATGGCCAGTAGTAAACGAGGGTGCGTCTTGCTGTGCTCCTATGGAGTAATGGTCATTAACTTGGACTGTCAGTCAGTAATGATGATCAAGCGGAGAGGTTGACGTGACGGGCGATGTTTAGCGCCACTGCTGAATACGGAGTATGGATCCAAGCGCCCAAGGTAAGGTACCCTTAGGTAGGGATAGAGGCACGGGTGTGAGTGATCGTACCTACAACTAGTACTGTACGGGTAATAATAGGCTCTACTTCCAAGCGAAGGGCGCCAACGGGTCGTGCCTAGAATTCGCTAGTGAGGGCCGTACCCCATTGCGAGGTACTCACTTCTATATCGTGTATTTTCAGTCTTATTGCTACCAGGTGCGGCGAGTATAAGGAGACGATGAAGAAACTATAGTCACATTAAATCTAGTACTCGCCGTCTATCAGTCTCATCAGAATGAGTTTGGCGTGTTCACTGGTAGGGATTTTATTGTGCCCTCCGTGTCGAAGGCGCTCCCATTGAAACTGCTTCTTACCATCCGCGCTCTTCCACTCTTCGTGGTCGAGATTCCTGGAGAAGTCAATATCCCCCTTAGACGCGACTTGCAGCACTCTGTCCCAGCTCGCACGTCCTTGGCGCCATGGGATTTCCCAATCGTCGCGAGCATGCAGCATTGTTAAGCGTAGCTGAACGTCGGGATTGGCGCCGAGTTCTGCCAATTTATCTGTTGTTTCCCACTTGTCCACGATCTTGCCGAGAATCCACTGCTGAAGGCGAGGGTAAGGAAGTAATGGAGACAGTAAGGGGGGTGTAAGTCCCTTGATGGAATAACTTTCGAGAAGCTCTCTCAACGACGTGAAGCTGGCAATGAGTACCAGGGCCTTGAACGGCGCCCGTCCCAGCTTCAGTACCCATTCATGATAGGTAGCAGTGGCTATGAAAGTTCCCATCGACTGGCCAAAAAGAATAATCCGAGATGGGTCTACCCCTTTCTCTGCGTTGTTGCTATCACAATCAAGTCCTGTGAGGGCAGACAGTATTGCGATCGAGTCTTCGACTACCCCATCTTCGGTCGGGCTGCCCGTGCTCAGACCAAACCCTCGATAGTCGAAAGTAATGACATGGACAGGCTTATCTGCCGTCGAGCTGCTCAAGATTTGTTGATAGGTAGGAGGACGATACGCCGAGGCAAGGTGAGCCGCATTCCCGTGGAAGCTTAGCACAATCGTTGCATCAGGATCCTCTCGGAGGAGTCTGATGCCTTCGGTCTTTCTGGCTTCATTCCAGGGTTTGAGCCCAAAGTTTTCTTGGGTCTTCAACGATTGCTCGTGTCGCCGATAAAGATGAAGGGGAAGAATGTGCCAGGCAAAAAGGGTGACGTTGTCCCGAGTCGTAATTGTAAAGGGCTGAATCTGATGACGCAAAAAGCCAAATTGCTCAGTATTGTTCAGATCCTGGAAATATGTCGGATTGATATTATGAGCATAAGTTGCGTTCCTTTGGACTGTAGGATGTGTCAAGGCCCCGATCATCAAGGCATATATCAGGCCGCATCCCGCAAGAGTCCAGTATACCTTACGGAAGAAGCTGTTGAAGGCCATCCGGGACACATCGGGATGTATGTACTTCGTATGCAAAAGGGAAGAGCAAGTTCACGACCAAAGACTGTGGAATTCGAGTATCTCACAGCACACCATGGTGATTGTGATCTAGATCAGCGAGAAATCGCAGCATGTGTCAGTGACCCCTGCAATAGGCCCTCGCTAAACTTTCCTTTTCCCTCGCCGCAACATTTACCGTGTTTCAATGTCGCTTTCATCTATTCTACACATGCACATTTTCAGGATGCATGGAAGCAGTCCAAGTCTGGCTCTCTCCTAGGTACAATGACGGATCCAGGTCCCCCAAGAAGAACATTGCCGGCGCGAGATCGGGGTGAGTCTCGAGCCAAACGACGAGCTTCGTCCCCGGCTCAGCCTGCTGCCACCTCGACGCCTCGCAAACCTCCAACACCTACACCGTCCGTCGAGCCTCCTCGCCAAAAGCGTAAATATACGAAACGCGCCAGTCTAGTTGAAAAACAAGACGCGACGGAAGAGGGCTTCTCAGCTCGATTTGGGGCTCAAAAGTCTTTGCCAACTTCAAGAGAGAAGCCGCCAACAGTCCTGTCTCCGAATGAATATCAATCCGTCGCCGAAAGTGCAGTCCTTGCCGCCTCACTTCATCGTTCCCGCATGCAGTGGCTATGTGAGGGTGTTTTCAAGAAGTACTGGGTCAAGCCTGTCAAGAGAAAAGGCGTGATTGAGGCACCCCCAAACAATCCCGATGTTAAGTCTATGCAGAAGTTGGGCGCTGCGACAATTACCATTGAGCCACATATATTCGACGTCTATTTCTACATAGTCAGAGATCCATCTGCCCCCCAGCCATACCAGCGTCATGCCAATCAGCACACTGGAAAGCATATGATACCTCCAGCACCACCTTATGGTATATACCAATCACCTGGGCCGCATACAATTCCCCGACCTCCTGCGCCGGCACCTCCGCCTTCGCAGCGATCAACGGGAACTCCTTCGGTCCAAAATACGGCCTCGCAGACTCAGCCAACGCCTCCAGTTGGTCATCCCGCAAGAGTTTCCACGCCAACAGGCCCTCCTGTAAACGCAACGCGACAAGAAGGCGTGCAAAGGCAAGATCAGAACACCCCCATCCCTCCCAACAAAATCCCTGTTGCACCTTCAACGAAAGCACCCACTCCGACACCACAACCGCCTCAAAGGCAACCTAACCCACCTCCCGGGCCCAGCGGGCGACATACCACGACAGACCCTGTCATTCAGATGTTAGCCGCAAGGGCAGCCTCGGACCCGAAACTCAAAGAATTAATGAAAGTTGTGGCAACATCCAAGGCCTCCCCAGAGCAGCTCAAAGAGTTCCAGGCTCACATTGACGAATTTAACGAGGTGGTGCGGCGACAAGAGTCCGAACGACGGGCCAAAAGTGCAGAGCAAGCATCAAACAAGACACCATCGACCCCAGTACCCGTCGGCGGTCCAAGACCTGTTCAGCCCGAATCCAAACCACCCACACCACAACCAGCAACCAATTCACGAATTCCTACTCCTTCTCCTGCGCCGGTGGCCGCTCACCCGTCCACCTATGGTACACCGCAGCATCAAGCACGCCCGACGCCGTCGCCTTCTCCGAACACGACACCTGGAAGTGTCCAGACATTTCCCCAGACTCAGGCTCCGGGTCCAGCGGGATATGGGGGTTATCGACCAATTCCGCCTCCGCCTCCTCCCCGGACGGAACCAATCATTAAACACATCGTCCTTGAGATACAATCATCTGGTGGTCAGCAAGCCTCGAGCGATCGCTGGCTCTTCCCCGAGTATGCGGTGTTGGAATTACGACAGGGAGGACTGGAAATGCTGTGCTCATTTCTCGTCGAACGTCGAGGTTCTGAGATCCTGGCTAGCACGGGGGATGAGTGTCATGCCGAGGGCAGTACATGGAAGGCTGATCAGGAATACTACGAGCCTGTGACCATGACTGTAAGAGCAACTCACCATCGCACAATAGAAACGATTGCGCGTGCAGCCAAAATGCTGCCGCAGGTACAAGAACACATGAAAAATGTGTTGGAAAAGGCGGAACGCGCGCCCCGGGAGTACCTGGTGCATCAACTGCCACGCGAGGATGTGGGAGCGGATACAACGGAAGGGTTCATTGACAGCGGCGTGGAACTTGGCAACGAGTCGCCCTCTGAAGACGACGAATTGAAGGATGTGTATGGTATATGAGTCGTGGTGGGGTTGGTGATCGCCGGTGTTGGTTACAGTCGGCAGGAAGAAGTCGGTACGATGGTACCTGGAGACTCCATGTACAGTTGCCCGCCTAGAGAGGTAACCAGGCCACGTTGATGAAGTTAGCCCGCCCCATTGTGCTCGTAAAGGTTTCGAAAAAGGCACCGAGGATGAAATAGTACGAGTATGAGAAAGGAAGTCAAGCGTCGTGTCTCGGTAGACGAAGTGTTCGATCCTGGCACCGGCTTCAATCAAGGAGGAATTTATTCCTTGTAGTACGGATATGAGTACGGAGTATGCTCCATCCTCGTCTCCCTTGCCTTTCTTTTGCCGTGTCTTCCATCAAGGCCTTGTTGGGGCTATGAATAGAAATCTGACACGTGATCTGCCTCGTAGTTGTACGGAGTAGTCCGCGTCGTAGCATTGGGTGAAGCAAGGAATGTTCGTAGTAATCAATCGTAATAACTTATTGGGGATTGACCTTGTCGTCACAAAGGCGGTCATTATCCGTAATCTTTGCGTCCCTCGTTCCAACCACCACTGGTCGCTTATATCGCTTCAATGCTACTTGAGTATCTAGACCACCCACGACGCCGTGAACTGTACCTGACTTCCAGTAACCGAACACCCTGACGGATAGTATTCTTGGGATTCTATACCAACCACTCTATTTCTCCTCGGTCTCGCATCAAGAGGTAAAAGGAGCCGCGGATCGTCAACCAGTGCAAGGCCCATCAGCCACCCGCCACCTGCCGGCCGGAATCCACAGCCGGTGGTGGACAAGATGATGATGGAAGAGTGTAAAACTATCGAAAGCTTGTAGTCATGCCTTTGCATTTTTGTCTTTTTTTCCATGGCGTGTTGTTTTTGGGGTGTTGAACAGGTTGAATCCACTTCATGCACCCATTTCCCATCCATGTACGGATAGGAGATTCTCGAAGATGCTTCACCAGGCCCAAGTGCACGCCTATCGATGTGCCCATTCATATGTACAGGTATCTAACATGCCTGGAGCCAGCCCCCCAACATAAAGTACAGTAGTAACCATAGGGGTCCCCTGTTTGAGTTACTCTAGCCCATCCCAACTCTTCAGTCCTGCCTGGCTTCTCTGCTTTTGGGCGCCCACTGTTTTCCTCATTCAGCCTAGAGCCTCACAACGTCTTCCTGGTATCCATACAAACGAAGTATCCGTACGAGTAGGAGTTGCTGTATCAGTAGTTGACCCAGATTTATTAACATACTGTACTGCAAGGTCTCTACGGTACTACGGAGTGCTAAGTAGCCTCCCCTGGACTCACTCAACCCAGTCGTTCATCCCACCATCACCATTTACTGCTGTCCCATCCACATCTTATCACTAACCCGCACCCTTATCCATCATCATCATCATCATCATCATCATCATCATCACAATCGTCAATCACCACTCCATTTCCCCCATGAATTAGTTGATGTTCTAAACAACACATCTTTTCCGTATTTGACTGCGGCGTACAACTCTCTTCTTGACACCCTCGGACGCCCTCATCAAAGATTCCATGCAGATGGTGGTCGCATGTCGTTCATTACCCACAATCCCTCTCCTTTCCCACCACCTTCTTTTTCTTCTCCTCTCTCCGATCCTTCGACAAAACCTAGCCAGATAAAATTCTTTCGACCTGCCCAGATGGCCTTGTTTGCCCAACTGGCTGTCTACCCTCCTTTGGCACAAGTCACTGTGGTATCTCCCACCCGAGGCAAAGTACGTATTTTGCTCTTATCTCTGTTCCTTTCGAATTTTTCGTTGTTGAGGATATCCCCGTCCGTCCCCCAGATATCATCGCAGCCTTTTCAAACGCCACTTGCGCATAATGACGTTTTTTTCCTTATGTGTGTCCATCTTACTAACTCAGATCATAGTTCAATTTCACGGTTGTCTTAGAATCTTCAACATCTTTACCAGAGAGGCCGTGGGAGGTATCGATATGGTACGACTACGGCGCTTATTCTGGCACCAGAGCTCCTTGGCGAGCCCTGGATCTCGAATTGGTCGACCATACGCCCGCCGTACTTCATGACGACTCATCAAACTCCAATTATCGATACACTTTTTCTGGTGACCTCGACAGTCCATATGTCTCGCCGGATAAGACCTACAAGGGCCGAAGGGTCCCCTTCACCATTCGCTATCGGATCGATCCTGGCAGTGAGTGGTCGTGGGTCTACCACAATTTCGGCATCAAGGACGGAGAGCTCATTTTACAACCTCCTATCGACCCGAACTTTTTGGGTGCTTATCCAGTCGAGATTGGGGAAGGCTGGATCATAAGAAAGACCCCCAGCGAGACCCCCAACGCTCGACTTTACACAATCGAGTCCTCTCAACCCATTCCCACTCCTAATAAAGGAAATGCTAAACCAGAATCACTTGTTCTCGGTCGGGTGACGCAGGTCTGTAGATGGTTTGGTCTTGTACGGATATGGGAGCCGTGGATGGCACCTCGACATGGGAATACTCTATTTCGCCTGAGTGAACCTGCAGTTCTACTCTCTTTCCTGCGGTCGGACGGTTTACATGTGGTACTGCTGGCGATCAATGGCATCGACGATGTACTCACTCATTTTGGGTCATCCTCGAATGGCGAGATCGTGGTGGAAGCTAGGAATGACTCTGGCAAGGACCGAAAATTCAAGGTGTTGGCTGCTTCAGCTTGGAAATTTGAGCTTGCCAACGCCGCCGTCATGTACGAGGCACGCAGATTGGTTCGGCAGTCGATGGCGTATCATCGATTGCTTGAACAACTCGATCAACTGCCCGGAAACGTTCGAGCAGAATCCATCGATTCAGATACCGTACTCGTCAACAGCAACAGGAACAACACGGACGATCCTACTGTGACACCCCAATGGTTGGAGTCATGGTATGACAGTCTGGCTTACTGTACCTGGAACTCTCTGGGTCAGGATCTCAACGCCGAGAAGATCATGACAGGCTTGGATTCTCTCGCCAAAAACAAGATTCACATATCAACTCTAATCATTGATGACAATTGGCAGTCGTTGGATGGTACACAAGGAGATACAAACCAGTTCAACAGGGGCTGGACAAGTTTCGAGGCGGATCCACTGGGTTTCCCTGAGGGTTTGAGGGCAGCTGTATCCAAAATCCGCAACGCACACCCTGCCATCCGCGATGTCGCCGTCTGGCATGCGCTCATGGGATACTGGGGCTGTGTATCACCAGAGGGCGAGATAGCACAAAACTACAAGACCCTCGAGGTCAACTTTCGCGAAGGAACCCCGATGGCCGGCCAGAAACTCGTGATCCACCCAGACGACATTCACAGAATGTATGATGACTTTTACCGTTTTCTTGCCAGTGCTGGCGTGACTGGAGTGAAGACCGATGTACAGTTTTCGTTGGATCTTCTGGCAGACACTGCCGACCGCCAATCCATGACCAATACCTACCAGTCGGCGTGGACTCAAGCTCATCTGCGTCACTTGACGGGCAAAGCCATTTCTTGCATGTCGATGGTCCCTCAGATACTCTATCACAGCTTTCTACCCACCACTACCCCTCGAATCATGCTTCGAAACAGCGACGACTTCTTCCCCGACGTCCCCACTTCCCACGCCTGGCATGTCTTTGTCAATGCGCACAATGCCCTCTTCGTCCAACACCTCAACGTCCTTCCTGACTGGGACATGTTTCAATCCAGCCACCCGTACAGTGGATTCCACGCTGCCGCCCGCTGTCTTTCCGGGGGTCCCATCTACATCACCGACACCCCGGGTGAACACGATGTTGGCTTGATCCACCAGATGACCGCCCTCAACCCGAGAGGCCAGACGGTGATCCTCCGACCCAGCACGGTAGGCAAGACGATGGGGGTATACGACAAGTACGACGAAAGGGGTGTTCTCAAAATCGGCGCCTACGACGGTAGAACGGCCGTCGGGACTGGTCTGTTGGGCGTGTTCAACATTGCCGAGTCGGAACTGAGCTTCATTCTGCCCGTTACAAAGTTCCCCGGTGTCAATGCCCCCGATTCAGGCGTTTCGGAGCAGAAGTGGATAGTGAGGTCTCACGTCTCTCGACGCATCACGTCTCCGATTCATCCGTCGGACCCCATCAGGCCGGACGGTTTGTTGCAGTGCACGTTGCCCATCCGTGGGTATGACGTGTGGACTGCTCTCCCTGTGCACTCCTTCACATTGCCATCGTCTGGTTCCGAAGTTGACGTTGCACTTTTGGGTTTGCTGGGCAAGTTCACCGGCTCGTGCGCCATAATCGAGTCCTCATTCGATTTGACTGCCGTGGCGGATGATGAGTCTGACCCTCCAGAAACACAATCGGGCTCGCGGTTGAAGATCCACGTCCAACTGAAAGCTCTCGGGGTGTTGGGGATTTGGTTGTCCGATGTCCAATCGAGCTCCCGCAAGGTCGAGGACCTGATGGTCATGATCCAAGGCAAGCCTGTCCCTGAAGATACCGTGCGTCTCGACACGAAGAATGTACCCAAAGAAAGTGGGGTCCTCGAAGTTGATGTTGAAAGGGCATGGAACGAAATGGAACTTGACTCTGGTTGGAGTAACGAGGTTGGCGTGGATATGTTTTTGAAATGATCATTTTTCCCCCTTTCTACCTCATTACGACTTGGGGTTGGGTCCGTTTCTTGGACATTGGATATTGATTGGCAATTTTTTTTTTCACGTTGAGACCAAGACTTGCCCAGCAGAATGCAAACTGTAAAAATGCAAACTGCAAGCACACCTACAAAATAAAAAAGGGGGATCCCGAAATCGGACGAAACTTGGATTCGTCAATCTAGACACTTTCTTTTTGCCGAGTTTGGACCAGGGACCTTGGGACTTTCTGTAGTTGAAAAAGAAAAGGATGAGTTTCTCTGGCCGTGACTAACAGAGTATCGAAGAGTGTCGTTCAAGAGAGACTCACAGCGAGGCGAAGGGATACTTCGAACCGGGTCTCTTTTTTTTATTTTTCGGAATGACCTTTATCCCAGGTACAGAGTTTCCTCTGTCAGAGGGAAGTGAACTGGTTCGAGGGACGTCGACTCCCGACGAGCGAAAAGGGGGCCGGTCGGTATAAACGCCCACGGTGCGGTGGAGAGGTCAGTGACACCACCACCCAAGGTAACACAATAAATATAAATTTTGTATTTCTTTTTTCTCTCTCTTCACTTTGGATCATCACAAAAGAAAGCACTCATCATCATCACGTTTTTCTCTCTTGCTCGATATGTGTGCAAAGGGGAGAAAACCGGGAAATAGATGCGATGGATCAATAAGTACGTACTGAGGTACGATAACAAGGGGGAAGGGAGGGATTTTGGAATCGAGGTGATGTACCTTTTGGTATACGGTGTATATGGCGACCCCGAGTACTTCGTACGTAGAGGTAAGCAACTCACCCGCTCACCCTGAACCCCTGACCACCCATGACCACCCGGGACCCGTCGCTTTGAGACCATGGCCACCATTCATTCGGTCAAGTCTTTGATCAATCAACCAGTCAATCAGTCAATGATGAGGCAAAACACATGACGCAAAAACAAGCAAGTCCAACAACACAAGACACCTGTATACCGACCAGATCTGGTTGCCGGACGACCATCTGTTTTTGTTTCGTAGGATTCAATCTTTGAATTCTTCTTTTTTTTCGGGGTTGGGTTTCTTTTGTTGTCAAAAAAAAAACAAAGAAAACAAGACGCAAAATAAGAGAAGGGAAAAAAGTGCACGAGTACAAACGTGGGTGTCACAACGGCAACAATGCCATTATTACCTTGTGCAAACCCATACATACATCTTTTTCTATTTCTTGCACAGTGTGATGATAGCAATGGTAAATCAGTTCAATTCGCCAGCCCAGCCTCAGCCACCTAATGTCCTCTCGCTCTTCTCTTGAGCCATCATACAAAGTAAGAAATCTCGCGGGGTTCATCAGGGCCAATCCATGGCCAAAGATCTTCTTTGGTCAGGTCATACCCAAGGTAGGTATTTGTGCGCGCGCGTGTGTGTGTGCCTGTGTGAGAACTTCTCTTATTTTGACTCGTCATAAAACCCTTCCTTTTCTAATCTTCGTCGGGCTTCCTCTAGGGCCCAAGTTTGTATCCTATCAAGTTACGAAAACAGTTAGCTTTGTTCTTGTTCCTGTTCGTTGCAGCAAAGTGATGGATGATACGAAAGGGGAAAGAAAAGAAGAAGGAAAAAACGTACGAAGTATCTTCCTTCATGGTATAAGCCGCAATGGCAACGACCCAACAGCCGACAAAGGCCCAGGCTAGTCCCTCCCAACCTTCCTTTTCATACTTTTCACCAGGTCTTTGGCCCCAGAGCCATCCGCCGGGAGGGTCGAAGTGATCGTCATGACCACCACCGTGTCCGTGGTCTCCTCCTCCTCCTGCCGCAGCTGCGTGTCCGTGTGCGCCGTGGTCGTCGTGCCCGGCCGAGTGGGTGCTCGCCAGACGCAATGGCGTCGTCCGCGTCGTGAAAGGCACCAGCGGTGTCGATCGAGATGTGTTGGAAAGGATGGTTTGCGAGCTGCGCGCCGCGAGGCGTGGAAGTCGCGTAAACATGGTGCTCGTCGTCGGGAGTACAACCGAGGAATCAATCGAGGACCGTCTCTTGATAACTCGATGGCGTCTCCTCCGGTATATGATTCAGTAGAAATGATAAAAGCCACCCTCTTCTTTCGGTGGTAGATGCGGGTAATCGGAACGCTGAGGGAAGAGAGTTGGTGGCGGACGGGAGGAAGTGGTGGGTTGCTTGGTTGGTTGGTGGAAACGGGGGCAAAAGGGTTCCTCGATTGCGCAAACCACCCAGACCAAGAATCTTGAGTCAAGGGGAAGCTTGTACAACCCCAGAGGTACGTCTTCCGGTCGATAAAAACCTTGGTCGAGGGGATCTTGGTGATTGTGGAAGCAGTTTGAAGGTATCGACCAATACAACCGTCGGGACTGCGGTGAAGTTCAACTTGAAATGCCAAGCTGATGGTCGAACTGCTTCTCGGTTCATCCCAAATTAGGAAACAGAGTGATGCCGCCCTTACTAACCCTCCACTCGCGCGAAGCTACAAGTACTTGAAGCGATTAATACCCTTGTCTCAACCGATTGTATTGAGGATTGATATATAAGAATTGGTCAATCCGGCGCATAGTCACCCAATGAATGAATCAACATTTTGAGCCGCAGTGATCCTTGGCAGCACAAGCAATGGTTTCAACGAGGCTCCCCAGTACGGGGCCAGGACAGGGCCTCTTTCAAAGCCACATGCTCGCGACTCGCCCTAATGTAAAGATGCTAGACAAAGAAGAACAGCAAAAGCATCCATCAGGCACCAAAGGGTCGACCCATGGTCCGGGCACTGTCGCTGGTAACTGTCATGAACCAGCAGTTTTAAGGCTGCTCTGGTGAAAGGACTGAGCATCTACTTTATCAACGAGTGCTTCTTGTGGCTGACACCTTCCACTGGTGGGGGGCCCTTATGGATTTTTTCTTGCAGCAGCTGCTGCCAGCTCAGACTCCAACTGCATCAGCGGTTCAATATCTTCAAACATGTTCTTGGTTGCCGCTTCTCCTGGGCCAGGCAGCCTCAAGGGCCGACGAGGAGCTCCTCCGTACCCAAAGGTTTCCTGCAGCACGGCTTTGGTCCCTCCCACCCCCATGCGCGTATGGGCCCAATCTCCGGTCGACAAGATACATTGTGCTTCGTAAGCATCTGAGACTTGCCCTCGGGCCCAGAGATCACAGACGCGCACGCAAGACCTCGGTGCAACGTTGGCGCCACCCACGATCATACCCGACGCGCCGGCGACAAGGCCAGGTAAGATGAAGTCTGCGAGACCTCCCAATGTAACATAGCTGGGTTTGCAACCTTTCATGGCGGTCGACACCCTGTTGAGTTTGCCAGTGTCGGCACACGTGAATTTGGTGCCGACCACGTTCTTGTGTTCTGAGGCTGCAATCAGCACGTCTGACGAGAGTTCGATGCCTGCCACAACACTGGGAAAACTGTAGAGGATGATGGGCAGTGGGGCTTTCTCAGCCACGTCGTGGTAGAAACCCACGATCACATCCGCAGATATGGCCGGCCGGAAGTAGCTTGGTGGGAGAACCAGGGCGTAATCGGCACCCGCCAATGCAGCATCGCGACAGAGTTGGACGGCTCCTTTCACCGACTGGTCAGAGCAGCCTGCTATGATGGGCATACTTTTGTATCCGTTTTCGTTCAAGATTGCCCGAGTGGTGTGGATGACCGTCTTTCGCTCTTCACAACTGATGTGCGGCGCCTCGCCGTTGGATCCCATCAAGACAATTCCCTTGACTCCGGCCTCCACCATATGTAGAATATGTCGCCGGTGAGTTGCCAGGTCTAGGACTTCGTCTTGGCCAGTGAAGAAAGTCAGACTGGCGACGTAGATACCTGTGGTCAATGGTCGTGGAGCAGCCATCGTCGAGCGTGTCGCAGAAATCTTCGCTGGCAACAATTTGGCAAGGTCAACTTCTGTTTCTTAAGAGTGACCAGAATCGCAATGTGCCATCCCAAGTGGCTTTTGACACATTGTCAATCAGGTCTTCGGGTGATTCGGATTGTAAGCCCTTGACCGGCCATATACGGCCCAAACTTTTGACATTGTGCCCGTCCGGAGAGGACAAACAAAACAGATACCACCCGTGGTCTTGCAAACCAATCCTTGTCACCGTATGACCTTTACGATGCGGCCGGGGGTCACCACAAGCCCTTGATCAGCTCAGGATGGTGGCTGAGCTAGTGCCGGTTGGTGAACGGTTCGCCCCTGATTGGTCACACGGCCCGAATCGGTGTACAGATGCCAACATCTGCGGGCTAGAGCAGCCGGAAAAGTATCCATACATGTTAGATATCCACCCGTGTTGGTTGACTCAACTATTAGAGCAGCAGAAACCGAGATACTTGAGCAGACTAAGTCATGCCTTTATCGTCACATATGCATTCGAACAAAGACAACGACGGGACAAGAAACTTGTGTTCAGCCATGGCAACTCACTATGCCTACAGTGGGCCGATCGATTGTACCCAGGAGCCCAATGTCAATAATGTCAAGGGCAAGATGGTGATTGTTACAGGTGGTACGATGCTTCAGTACGTCTCTGAAGTATTTCATGGCTGGGCTGAGCATGATTGATAGGTTCACATGGCATCGGCGCGGTCTATACAAGAACGCTCGTCCAAGCAGGGTATGTTACCATGAGGAGAAGGACTATCGTTGGGTAGTACTGATCCTCTAACACTCAGAGCCTACGTGATGATTGGTGATCTCGATACAAAGAGCGGCGAAGCCCTCGCAGGAACATTACAGGAAGGGTACGTTATGCCTTGCCGCAGCTCACATATTCAGTGATTATAAAGTAGCAGAGACCTGACAGGGTGTTTTCAGCCGTGTTTTTGTGTCTCGATGTGATGTGAACAGTTGGGACGAGCAGGTAAAGCTATTCGATAAAGCCATCAGCAGATCCCCTACCGGCCGGGTGGATGCGGTGGTGGTCAACGCAGGTATTGCTACTACGGACGGCATATTTGCGGATGATTGTAAGACAAGCCTACATCAGGAATTGAGAGCCTGAAGGAAGGAATTGACAATTTTTATTTGGCCAGCTGAACAGGATTACCCAACCAAACCGAGCGTCAGGATTCTGGATGTCAACCTAATTGGTGGGATGTACACCATCAAGCTAGCCTTGTATCATTTCCGCCGACAGTATCGACGAGACCTCGCCGCGGGCAAAGAGGCGAGTGATACCTCGCTGATCATCCAATCCTCAATGGCGGGATATCTCGACATGCCGGGATCCCTTCTCTACGCGGCGTCCAAGTTTGGTTTACGAGCGGCGATGGCCTCCCTTCGACACACTACTCCACAGCATCGAACTCGAGTGAATTTGATCGCGCCGTGGTGAGTGAAACCCTCCGGCAGACCTTGTCAGGACATGGGACCTGATGCCTTGGAACACACAGGTTCATCAACACGGGCATGATCCCGGAGCACTTCATGGACCTAATTGCTTCCAAGGGCATTGCTTGGGCCTCGGTCCAAGATGCGGCTGGAGCTCTCATCGCCATCATCGCCAATCCCCTAGTGAATGGTACAGTGTCTTCCAATCTCATTGTTCATACGTCGGGTTTGCGAATCAACAGCATCCTAACCACTATCGACATTTCATAGGTCGTTCGTTCGCCGTCGTGCCGCGCAAATGGGCCCCTCGTGGCTATCTGGACATCGATCAAGATGACTTGAAGGAAGGAGACCGCCTGGGAGAGTGGCAGGGTCTTCTGCTGTCTCTGGGGGATGAACTGGCGAATCTGAATTGAATATTAAATCGACCACGTTGCTGAAGCGGGCTGATATTTGTAAGAGTTGCATACACGGTCCCCGTAGAGAATAACGTAAAACTGTTGAAGGCATGACTAGGAACCTTGATGACTGGTCCAGACTTACTCCGTATGTGCTCAATCAAACACAAAAGACCGAAAGACGTAGATCGAAAGTTTACAGAAGGCGGTGGATCGCCCACCTCTTTTCTTTCTGCACAGTGGATTCAAGGCCAAATGCTACGCATTACCTCTCAAAGCCGCTGATGAGTTTCGCAGTTCTTTCAGGAGCCATGACCTGAGTACCCAGTGTTATATGTATATCTTAAGTTCTACGATCCATTCCTTCCATGTCACCTTTTGCCCGCCATTCGCGCAACAACTTCATAAAGGCCGGTGCTCCACCACCGTAACCCGACTCGCGTGCGGCGGCAAGATCAGCGGCGCCTTCGTTGTTGTAGTATCCCGGCGTACACTCGGCCAGAAACTTGAGGCGCGGCTCTGCCAGCTGCAAGATAGTTTGGACCCAATTCTCCTCGGCCTGGGCGGTGGGCTCGACGCTCTTGATTCCCTGCTCGAGGCAAGTCTCGATCACGTACGCCAGTTGCCAAGCCGTCTCGCTGGCCGCGTACAGGAAGTTCGGAGTCAAGGTGGCCTGAATGTTGTGGATGAAGAAACAATTTGGGAAGTGACGGGTCGTGTAGCCGTGCATCGTACGTGGGCCGTGGCGCCACGCCTCGGTCAACGTCAAACCACCTCGCCCGTAGAGCTCCATGTTCGAACGGTGGGCGAAGGAGGTGCTGTGTTCGAAGCCGGTCGCGTAGATGATCAGGTCGACCGGGTAGTGTCTACCGTTGGCCAGCACTCCGGTCTCATCGACGCCCTCGAGACTCTTCCCCCCGGTGTCGACCAGGTGAACGTTGGGCCGATTGAAGGTCTGGAGATACTCGTCGTGGAAGCAAGGCCGTTTGCACATGACGTTGTACCACGGTTTCAGGGACTCGGCGGTGGCCTTGTCTCGGACAACCTCGTCGCATCTCGCGCGGACGGCTTCCATCTTTTCGTAGTCGACGAGCTGTCGCAACGCGGCGGCTTCGGCGGGTGACAGTTTCGGGTCCATCTGGCCAAAAACGTCGGGTAGAATGTCTGTCCACCCATCGCTGACCATGTCTTCGGACTCCCGAATGCCGTTGCAGAGATTGTTGAAGTTGACGTTCCGCCGTCCTTGCCACCCTGGCGTGAGCGAGGCCGCCCACGCCGAGTCGGTGGGCTTGTTGCCACGCACGCCGATTGACGAAGGCGTTCGCTGGAACACGTACAGCTCTTTAGCCCACCGTCCCAGATGAGGTACGATCTGGACAGCCGTCGCGCCGGTGCCAATGATCCCGACGCGCTTGTCGACGAGCTTGTGTAAATTGCCTGCTGAATCGCCGCCGGTGTAACCATAGTCCCACCGTGACGAGTGAAAGGCTCTGCCTTTGAACCGCTCCATTCCCGGGATCCCCGGGAGTTTCGGACGATGTAGAGGTCCTGCACAAGGGATGACGAATTTTGCTCGAATCTTGTCGCCCAGGTTGGTCTTGACTGTCCACGACGACGTCGCGTCGTCCCAGTGCATGCTTTCCACCTCGGTTTGGAACAGGGTCTTTTCGTACAGCCCGTAATGGTGGCCAATTCGTTCCGAGTGTGCGAGGAGTTCTTTCGCCCCGGCGTACTTTTCCGTCGGCATGTAGTTTGTCTCCTCGAGCAACGGCATGTAGATGTATGATTCAACGTCACACTGTGCCCCGGGGAAACGATTCCAGTACCTACGGGTGACGGTCAGCATCGTCTCAATTAACGACAACTCCACTGGACGGACCATGTACCCCCAAAACCACCGGCCTTGTCGACCAGTCTCAGGTTGGTGACGCCTTTGTCGAGCAGACGAGCGGCCACGATCTGAGCACTATAACCACCACCCAAAATGAAGACATCAACTTCGTCGCTCAAAGCGTCTCGCGTGAATCCAGGTTCTACCCAAGGGTCTCGAAGGTACTTGGCGAATGGCCCATCGGTCTCAATCAACTGGAACTGGTTCAGGCCACCACGGGCCTTTACCTCATGGCTACGCTTGTCACGTTCCTCAATGTATCGACACTTCAAGGCTTCCGGATCGAAAGGCAGTTTGGAGGGTTGGACTACCTTGGGGATTTTTGAGTCAAGGTAGGCTTCGACAGGTTTCGGACCCATCAAATCCGTGGTTGAGGGAACAGTAGTGTCGGCAGCCATATCGTGCATATGCCTGGGAAAAGAATCTGTCACGTTGTTCTTGTGGCAATCGGTTCTCATTACATGTCTGCTCGTCAAACATAGGTATTAATTTTATATTAAGACTATACTCAATCAACATGTCATTGAGTCAGCATAACGAGCCACAAAGCTAAGCGTTCGAACATCCTCACGAACTGAGCTCAGGTCTCGTTGTTTTGGCCGGGAACTACATCCAATCAGAATAGTAGCGCTTCATGGACATCGGCAACAGCTCACGGGCCGAGCGAGCAGGTCAATCTTCGCAGGATTGCCGCGCCCCTGGCCGTCCACGAACATCCGGAATGAATTCAGGACATGCACATTGATCAAGTGGGCCGGGGCGGCCTTGTCATGGACTTGATTGCACCGTTGCCTCCTAGGACCACGCAGATAGCTATGTTGTTTCCCTCCGATCCCAAGTCCGACGCGGCTAATTGGTCCTTGCAAGGATATCAATACTGAATGAGGCGGAAACAATGCTGATCTTAGAGATATAGATATAGCTTTGTCTTTCTGCAATGGGGCTGGAGAAGTTGATCATCACGGGCCGGTCTATATGCGAGCTTTCACGATACATTGACCTCCGGCTGACATTGGTTGTGTCACAATCTGTGGGCAAAAAGGAACGTCCGAGTATCTTTCAGATTCGTTCAGATTCGTTCAGAATGGGTTCGATTCAGGAAGTTGTCGATTGTGATGTCTTGGTGGTGGGAGCCGGGCTCAGTGGGATCTCCATGCTGTACAAATTACGAAAGCAGGGGCTGGTAGCGAAGATATTCGAGGCAGGGGACGATTTCGGCGGGACATGGCATTGGGCAAAGTATCCCGGTGCTCGAGTTGACTCCGAGTTTCCGTTCTACCAGTTGAACATCCCAGAGGTCTGGAAGACATGGGGGTTCACACAGAGATTTCCGCACCAACAGGAACTGCGAGATTACTTTCGACACGTCGACAAGCAGTGCGACCTACGAAAAGACACATACTTCAACACTCGAGTGGTTGAGGCTGTCTGGAACGAGGAGATGGGAAGATGGACTATATACACTGACTCTGGAAGATGGGCACGGGTAAAGTATCTAGTCGTGGCTAGCGGGTCACTGGACAAACAGTATACCCCAGAGATTCCAGGACTGGCCGACTTCAAAGGGGAGATGTACCACTCTCGTTCCTGGCCACAAGGCACCAGCCTGGAAGGAAAAAAGGTTGCAGTCGTCGGTGCTGGCGCTACAGGTATCCAAGTGGTGCAAGAGACGGCGAAACAAGCGAGCGAGCTGACGGTGTTCATCCGTCGACCCAGTACGTGCCTACCGATGGGTCAGCGGGACATCACAGACGAAGAAAGAGCGTCTCAGATCGGCAAATACCCAGATTTGTTCCGTGACTGTCGCTCGTCGTGGTCAGGGTTCCCCTTCAAGCCTGGTCCTAAAGCTGTAGAGGCCACGCCGGAGGAACGAGAAGCTGTGTTCAACGAGACCTGGAGCCGAGGGGGTTTCGCCTTTCTGACTGCGTATTCTGACCCCCGGACCGACCCTGTGGCCAACAGGATGGTCTACGACTTCTGGGCGAAGAAAGTCCGCCAGAGGATCTCGGACCCTGTCAAACGCGAGATCCTCGCACCCGAGATTCCCCTGTACTACTTTGGAACAAAACGTAGTCCACTCGAACAAGACTACTACGAGATGCTGGACAGGGACAATGTCAAGGTAGTCAGCTTGAGGAGCAATCCTTTTCAGAAACTACACACGAAAGGTGCTGTGATGCAAGATGGGAGCTCCCATGAATTTGATGTACTCATCATGGCCACCGGTTTTGAGAGCTTCACGGGATCGTAAGTGCCCTTCAATGCTGAACAAAGAAATTACTCTTCTTTGAAGTTACTGATAAATAATCTTGCAGCCTTTATGGCCTCGGCCTCAAGAATCGCCACGGGATTGATATAAAGGACGTGTGGGCCGAGGAGATCCACACCTTCCTAGGTCTCCTCGTACGCGATCTTCCCAATTGTTTCGTGGTCTTCGGCCCTCAAGGTATGTCAATGATGAAAGATTGATTTGGGAAACCCAGCTGACGCATATTACCAATTAGCACCAACCACGCTGTACAATGCCCCCACGACCATCGAGTGCCAGACTGACATAGTCACCGATCTTATTGTCAAGACGGAGCAACGAGGAGCAAAGTCAATTGAAACGACAAAGATCGCCGAACAGGAGTGGGCGCAATTGTTGGATTCGCAGTTTAGACAGTCGTTGGTGAAACATACACCGTCTTGGTGGACTCGAGCCAATGTTCCCGGGGCAAAGACCCAACCTTTGACATACCTTGGAGGACTCATGGAATACGAGAAGTTATGCCTCACAGCCATTGAGAGTGATACAGGGTTGGTGTACAAAGGGGTTGTCGGGCATTAATGCTACGCTGATGGTCCTTTTTCGTTCGAGTTCAGAAGCAATTCGTGAGATAGCAATAGTCAGGAAATCATAGATCTATACAGTGACAGGCATAAATGATGAGCGGTAACCAAGGAACGAAACCGACATTATCAACATCACATGGTAGAATGAGGTGGTGGCAATTGTGCTACTTATTGCACATCGAGCGGGAAATCTTCACGTTTCTGACCCACTTTCTGATCAACACATTGCACCTCCATCCACGGTGTAGACCGATCCCGTCGTCCAACTCGAGTCGTCACTCAAAAGGAAGACGAAAGTTTTGGCGAGTTCCTCCGGGGTGCCTAACCTGGGGATGGCTAGCGATCTGTGCATTTCCATTGCTGGAATGTCCTTCTTTCCTGCTTCCTGAAGGATACGATCCATCAGAGGTGTCTGTACAGGCCCGCTGGGAGACACTCTTTTAGCATTATAACCACTTTAATCACGGGCCACTCGGTACTTACGGCGCCACTGCATTCACGCGAATACCTCGACTGCCGCTCTCTCTGGCCGCACACCTAGTCAATCCCAAAACACCGTGCTTGCTGACGGAGTAGGCCATGACTCCCGCACGACCTGAGAGGGCCGCGGTACTGGCTGCGTTGACGATGGCAGCGCCTTGCTTCATGACCCGGAGCTGGGCTCGCAAACAATAAAACATGCCCGTCAGATTGACCTGGATGATCTTGTCCCACGTCGAGTTTTCTGTGTCAGTGAAGTTGCGAAAAATCTTGTCGTCGCCCTCGATGCCTGCCATGTTGACTGCTCCGTCGAGTCGGCCGTAGGTATCGACCGTGGATCGAATCCAGTCATCCACACAATCGGAGTCGACCACGTCTACCACTGTGGCGGTTACTTGCGCACCTTGGGAGCGGAGATCCTGGGCAACCTGCTTGAGTGCGGGTCCTTGTATATCGGCAAGTGCCAAACTGGCTCCATGCCGGGCACTTTCATGGGCAACAGCACGTCCAATGCCGCTGGCAGCGCCAGTGATGGCGACGACCTTGTCCTTGAGGGTTGACATGTTATGACAGAAAAGGGGTTCGCGCTCCTTTGACAGTGCCCCCAAAGTTGTGCAAGCCTGACAATGGCCAAGTTGGATTCAGTTAATTTCGACGAACAGATTCCACGCAGATATATAGGTCCGAGTCTGTAGAACAATGCCGGTCTTGAAGCTGCTTACTAGTAACAGTTTATGAGCATAGCTTAGTCGAGCATTTGGATGGAGGTTGTTTCTCTTCCCGAGCATAGTACAACAGCAAACCTAGAAAAAGGAGGTTGCAACCCTAGTCCGGTACCACGAGGGGTGACTGATCTCATGGACTGACTCAAGACACAGGCGCATGACACAAGTGAAAGATGTCTTTAGAGCCGGCGGCCCGGCTCTACCTCCGAATAGATTGCCTGGACGTGGCACCTTTCTCTAGGTTGCCGTTTCGGGCAGGCTAGATGTTTCACCTCAAGGCATTGGAAAGCCATATTCTCGGGCTGAAAATATGCGGGACCGAGTGCTAGCCGTCTAACTGACTTCAGAAACAAGAGGCTTTACTCGAGGAGCACCTTCTCCCTCATCTGTTACCATCTCGGAACAATGGCTTCCCCATGGACTAGCAACATCTCATTCAACGCTTTTTTCAATGTTGTCAATGGAGAATTGCGCTCCTCCAAGGCCAAGTACCACGGCATCGACCCTGCAACAAAGCAGCCTAACTGGGATGTGCCAGTTGCCTCCCTACAAGATGTGGAAGATGCTGTAGCTGCTGCCAATAGCGCACATATGACGTGGAGAACAACCACCTGGCAACATCGTATCGAGAAGATTACTCAATTTAAGGAGAGTATCGAGGCTCATCGTGAGTTCTTCTACTTCCACTTGCACGGGCTCATATGCAGTAAATCACCTGAACTGACATGATCTCAACAAAAAGAGGAAGACTTCATCGATCTCTTGTGCAAGGAAACCGGCAAGCCTCGTGGGACAGGGACTGGAGAGGTTGGTCGGATGTCAGCTTTTTTTGACTGGCACATCAAACTCAAGCAGCCTCGAGGTGAGGAACTTGACTTGGTCAACAAGCATGTGAGGCACGAATTCGTACCTCTGGGCGTTGCAGTGGCTATTTGTCCATGGAATTTCCCATTCATGCTGAGCCTGGCCAAAATTCTCCCGGCGGTGCAGATGGGAAATGCTGTGATTGTCAAGCCGAGTCCATTCACACCGTAGGCGCTACCACTGATATACCAAAGGCGCTAGCTAATACGTTGATGTCAGATACACAGCACTTAAGGTGGTCGAGATTGCCAACCGGATCTTTCCACCTGGTCTGGTACAAGCTCTTGGGGGCGATGACTCACTGGGACCAGCACTTGTTGAGCACGCAAACGTACACAAGATCAGTTTCACGGGATCCATCGCCACTGGGAAGAGGATTATGGCTGCAGCTGCAAAGACCCTGAAGAGGGTCACGCTGGAGCTGGGCGGCAACGATCCCGCAATTGTCCTTCCGGATGCTGACATCGCGAAGGTGGCACCTATGGTTGCGCTGGTGAGGTCTCAATCTCAAGCTTGGGGAGCTGGAACTTCGCTAATCACATGCTTAGGGTGCCTTCAATAACACCGGTCAAGTCTGTGTTGCCTCAAAGCGAATTTACATCCATTCATCGCAGTATGAACCCTTCGTTGAAGCTCTGGTTCAAGCGACCAAGGCTCTGAGAGTCGGTGGATCCCACGACGAAGATGTCAAGCTCGGTCCGGTGCAAAACGAGTCGCAGTTCAATCGAGTCAAGGCATTTTTTGAAGAGAGCAAGGACAAAGGCTACAAGTTCGCGCTCGGAGCCGGTGACGTGGAAGAGTCTCCAGGCTTTTACATTGCTCCAGCGATTGTCGACAATCCACCCGAAGATAGTATGATTGTGCAAGAGGAACCGTTTGGCCCGATTGTGCCAGTGTTGAAGTACGACGGCCTGGACGAGGTGATCCATCGGGCCAACAACACTAAAGCTGGACTGGGCGCAACGGTATTTGGGACGGATGACCGACTCTTGCAGAGAGTGGCCAACGAATTAGAATGTGGGAATGTCTGGATCAACAGCAACCCATCCATCAGTCCAGAGGTGCAATTCGGAGGGATCAAAGAGAGTGGCATCGGCACAGAGTTCGGGACGCTAGGAATTCTGGCGTTTGCCAACATCAAGGCAATCTCCACCGCTAAAAACACAAGGCCAAGTACTACATAGAATGCCAACCTGAGGGTTTCAAATCGTTTAACCTGGGGTCCGAAGTCTCATCCTCTCCGGAAAGGTCATACTCGTACTCGTATTGTCCCTCATCGTTGCATCAACTTTTCGTCCCAGAGCTTTCTCCACGGATGCCTCTTCCCATCGACATCGTGCCCAAAGCCGAATCTGCGGGGTCTAAACTAAATGCAGACCTAATGGATCCTGAGCAGGGGTCCATTACAATACGAGCCGCCCGCAAGCCGTGATTGGCCGATCGGCCCGGCAAGGCTGCGAATCTGTTCGTGGCATTCCGGTCACCGCATCCGAACAGGCCTCAGGTTTCGCTGCTCCAGGTTGTGCGGGACGACTAGTTCTCCGCGATTCGTCTCCACGGGGGCTTCGTGATGGTCAAGGTCCGCCAGTACGTCTCCCAACGGATTGTTGAAACCCGAGAAGGCCCCCCGCCCTCCCCCTTCCCCCCTTGAACAGACCAAGTATATCTGTTCGACCATGGAATCTAGATTCCACCGTGACACTCACTACACTCGACGACCAAACACGACAGCTGGATCTCTCCCATCTTTCGAAACCTCTTTGCGCCAGGATGCAGCTCGACCAGCAGGCCACGACTGGCTTCGAACATGTAAAGCAACGTCAATTCCGTTTCTACAACGTGCTCGTCACGGCACTCATGGCTACGGGGTCCTTCGGCGCTGGCTACGCTGCTTCCATCATCGGGACGACCTTGGCCCAGCCCTCCTTTCTCTCCTACTTTGAGCTGACCACGCGCCCCGACGGCACCCAGCTCACCGCGACCACGAACGGCCTCTTCTTCACCGGCGGCGTGCTGGGCGTCGGGACCATCTCGTGGATGGCCGACCGGTGGGGCCGCCTCTGGGCACTCCGCGTGTCCAGCGCAGTCTGCCTCGTGGCCAGCGCCTGCCTGGCGGGCAGCGTGGGCATCGGCATGTTCATCGCCTTCCGCACCTTGTCCGGCGCGGGGGTCTTCATGTTGGTCGGGGCCATCCCCATGTGGATCAGCGAGACGGCGCCCCCGTCGGTGCGCGGCTTCCTGGGCGACTTCCACAGCGTCGGCATCCTGTTTGGCTACGCGTTGGCCTCGTACGTGGGGTACGGGTTCTATCAGCTCCCCCCGACGGACGACATGGCCTGGCGGGGTCCCTTCGTCGTGGGCTGCGGGCCACTGGCGTTCCACCTGGTCGCGCTGTTCTTCCTCCCCGAATCCCCACGATGGCTGATGATGCAGGGCAGGGCCGAGCTCGCGGAGCGGACACTCCGCCGCCTCCACACCGCCGACGAGGCCGCGGTGGAGATGCGCCAGATATCGGCGGCGATCGAGGTGGATAGGCACCTCGACAGCTCCTGGGCGTCCATGTTCCTGAGACCGGCCTACCGCAAGAGGATCCTGATCAGCTCGAGCGTCGTCGTCATGGTCGAGTCCGCCGGAGTGTTGGTCATCAACAACTACGGCCCTTCCATCTACGGCAGCCTGGGTTTCGACACTGATCGACAGCTGGTCTACAACATGGGGTACAACACCATGTCCGTCACCGGTGGCCTCATCTCGCTCCTCATCATCGACCGCATCAAGCGACCCAGGATGTTGGCCACGGGCCTCACCGGCGCCTGTGCTACGCTCATCGTCCTGGCCGCCATCCTGGCCAACAACGACCCCACCGCCCCCGGGGTCGACAAGGACGCGCTGCGTGCCGGGGTCGCCGTGATTTACATCTACACCCTCACCTTCGAATTGTTCCTCAACGGCACCATGTTCACGTACATGGCCGAGCTGTTCCCGACCCACATCCGCTCCAAAGGCCTGGTCGTCACCACCGCGTCACTGACCGCCATCAACATTCTCTGGACCCAGGTGGCCCCTACCGCCTTCGACGCCATCGGCTGGAAATTCTATCTGTGTTTCATCATCCCGCCCATGCTCTTCGCCATCCTCGTCTGGTTCACCTTCCCCAACACGCTCGGCGTCCCGCTCGAGGACATCGCTCGCATCTTTGGGGACCACGAGGAGAGCTATATGTGTGAACTTACAGAGTCCTCGGCCGGAGAAAGGCAGCCCAACAAGGAAAAGCCTGCAAACGAAACGGAGGCTGCCGTCGAGGTCTGCCACTCGGCCTAGACGATGGTCTTGTGGGTTGAGCATGCAGCGCAGGTCAAGTTGAGAAGCGCAGACGAGGGGTCTCGACGGCCGTGAAGCGGTATCAACGTGCCGCCTGGCCAATGAATGACAAGGCAATTAGGAATGTATGACAATATAGCCGGTTGATTTTGATTTGTTACAAGATCGAAAATCATAGGAATTGAACCATGAACCTCAAGGTACGGTCGGTAGTCACATAAAATGATCACATTTCAGCATAGGCCAATAATCTCCGTACCTGGTACCAATAATAGATGTCTGCGGGAGATCCAATCCTCTGAACGACGGAGGTGTGCTGATGAACCCCTACCTCGATCTGTATCTTGAACGTGTGCGCTTCGCCGCTGAGCAATATTAGAAATCGTCCATGGGCCAGCTCGATCCGGCCATGGTCTCAGGGAGGTGTGTAAAGTCCAACCAAGGATCCTCGACGGCTCCCATGGCGCAAAATTCGAGGTCAAAGGTTGGCACCGCCGACGACGGGAATTGGAAATCGAGCCAGCCCTCGGCAACATTAAAAAAAGACGAGGTGTAGTCCGGCTGTTGGCATGCGTTCATGTTGGACAGGATGGCCGCGGCGGTGGGCTGCTCAGACTCACCGTTCGCTGGCGCCTCAGCCGACGGAGAGTCGACGCTTCGCAGAGACGACCCGGGTGATGAAGGTCGAGGGTGAGGGCTTCGTGGGTGTGCCATCTCACTGCCACGACGATCCCGGAATCGCCCTTCTTGGCTTGTCAGAGGGAGATGGCCACGCTTCTCCTCGTCTTCGGGACGGGCTGCGTGCTGGTGATGCCTCGAAGAATCCCGTGAGGCCTCATGCTGCTTGGCTCGAGACAAGATGTACTCGACGGTCTGCAGGACCCAGGCCGGCGCGTGTTGTCGTTCGGCGAGGATGTACAGCATCGCCCTGCACTGGTCCAGCTGCGCTGCGGCCTTTGTGCGCACCGTCTCGTCGTCGTGACAGAAGAGGTCCAGGGTGTGGGATATGCTGACAGGCATGAGCGAGCTGACCACAGTGGCGGGCAAAAAGACGAGCTGGTCGGCATTGAAGAAGTGCATGGCCGTGCGTGTGATTTCCTGGGCCGAATGTCTCATGCGGGTTCGCGACTCTTGTTTCCGGCGTTGCTCAGCTGCACCTGGGGTGCCTGTAGTCGTAGACCTGGAAGGTAGCACCTGAGGGCGATGGAGCGTCATCAGAGCGGTGTGGTAAGTTATGCACAGCATTGCCCGGTGACTCAGCTCTGCTCTACGCCACTCCGTAATGTCAGAAGGCAAGGGTCCTGCGTGCCACAGATCCCCCGGAACCTGTTGTCGCCAATGGCTGAGCTCTTCATCGCACGCAATGAGATCAGCCACATTCACGAGACCTCTCCTCGGAACCACGTGGTTCCATTTGTCTTCCATTTGCTCAGCCGAGCGGAGCCCCGTTGTCCTGATTGCAGTCTTATTCCGACACACGGTTTCAAGGATCTTATTGAAGATTCGGTTCAGTTTTACAAACTCGACAGATATGCGTGCTAAAATGAGATGCTGACCTTCTGTGGGGCAGGCCATACCGCAAAATGGACCCGAAGTGATCCCATCGTAGTGGAAATCGTCTAAATTGAGGACGGGGACGGTCTGCTCGTCGTCCCTAACTCTCGGCGCTCGACCCATGTCACAAGATGCGATAACTTCTCTGTTGCACAAAGCCCACCAGAGCTGCTTTCGTCGGTGTCGTAATGCTCTGTTGGAGCCGTCCTGGTCTGTCCCAGCACAATCCAGATCGATGGACCGCGCTACTGAAAAGGCCACGCCAACCCAGTGCCAGCCATCTTTTTGTTCGTTGGCCTCCTTCCACCAGAAGGATCGAAGTAGTAGAGACTGGACCACAGTCATTCGGTCCTCTTCGTAGTCGGCATCGTAGAGCACTCGAATTCTCTCATGGAGGCTCTGACGGAGGGCTTTGCGGCTGAGGAACCCAGCACCTCGGACAAGTTTTACATCTGCCCACATGGCTCCAGCAAAGAGGATAGCTTGCATCAACAATAGACTCAGTTTTCCCCTGTTGGCAGATGAAGGCGCGTGAGTGACAGACCATATCTGAACAAAATCCACCACTGGATACAGCGGTTGGACATACAGGGCGAAACACCGTAAACACTCGTCTCTGAGGGCAACTTCTGGCAAGGTGAATGCTCCCTTTTTCTGGAGATATTCGATATCGTCAGCCCCCAGACTTTGTGGTACCGGCTTAATGTAGTCAGGCAGGTCCAATCTCGATGCTCTGAGGCGTGGCGGGGGATGCATAGGTGACAGGCTGCGTGCCGTTTGAGCATAGATCTGCCGATGTTCAAGAGTGCCCGGCGTCCAAGGCAGCTCGAAGGGCACTGTAAGCAACAGCCGCGTCAGTGCGTTCTGCTCGAGGGGGACAGGCCACATTGATGGTCATCTACCTGATTCGTCTCGTGAAAAGTCACCCTCAGCGACCTCCAGTGGGGTGCGAGTATGAGGTTCGCCATTTTCTTCACGCAGTGGTGGGTTTGCCGTGTTCGGTAGTCGTTCTCGACCAGGGGCCACGGCGCCAGATGGTGGTGCTTGACCTGTTGGCGGCGCTGGAAATATGCGCCTGGCTCTTACGGTTCTCCTGGCCGACACCAGCAACTTCAACTAGGGAAATGACACGACGCATGGTGTTGGATCGTACCTTCGGGGTTGTTTGGGTACCAGCAGACATTGAGCGTTCTCAAGGACGCAATTTGAACACGGCTCATCATTTCTGGTATCGCAGCGGATCTTTTTGCCACGGCAAGCTAGACAAGCGATGCGGGCACGACGAGAGCCCGGCCGGGCAGCGGAAGACAACTCAACTTGGGGAGGACTTGTTATGTCAGTGGCCTGCATGATTCAAATCGACCTGATTACATGGTACTCGGGCATTGGCAATGGAACATGACGGAGACATAAAGATGGGCCAGTGTCGCTGGGAGGCAGAGAAGGACAAGAGGTAGACAGCATAGGTATGGAGTTGCCGAGGGAATTACACTGGGCCCCAGTCCGGGGTTTAAGATTGGGCAGCTCGGGCCGGTCGCAAGGCTGAAGGGGGCTGTCCACATCTCATCCTCATCATATGGACCAAGAATTCGGAGTACTTTGCCACGACTAAAGCGCAACGGATTGAGCTGCGTGAAATCATCTACCACGGATGTCAACAGGACCAATCAGAGTAAACACTTGGAGTTTGGAGCTTTCTCTCAACTGCCCTCGATACGGTACTAGGAATTACGGAGGATACGGATACGAGGTCAGGTACTCCGTACCTTATTCAGTACCCCATAACCTATGGACTCCCAACTTACTAGTCACAGTCGGCACTGGTCGGACACAAACACTCATCAAACGTGACTATCATTACCCAACCAACAACAACTTCTATCGAAATCCTAGGTCAGCTTCATATAGGTAGGTACCTTATCATGCTGTTCGTGTAATGAAATGATACCCGCTATCTACCTAGGAGAGCAGTCGGTATCCACCACTACCTACTGCATGTGTATCATCTCAAAGCACAGAGGAGAAAAAAGCAATAATCGATCAATTCCAATGCAGTGCATGCCAATCAACTCGATAGACCTGAAATCACTGACAGGCCCAATGCTAAAAACGTTTTGTTTTGTGCTTGTTGTTCGGCCTTCTGTTTGCGTGTCGTGGCCCGTATCTTTGAATCACGTATGTGTAGGGAGGAGGGTAGAAAGACAACTCATTCTTCCCGACAATTGATCGCAAACTGGATCAATGTCCAGTCGTTGGATTCTTTCCAGTTTCGAAACTTCCCCATGAGAATCGTAAATAAACCCATCAGCAAATGCCATGCATACCACAGCCCCCCTCATTGCCATCATCCCATGTATTACGAGGCCCGTTTTCTCTTCCCTTTTTTGATTCTTTTCCAACGTCCGCCCAAACCGCAAGAAAAGGGAAAAAAATGCTAAATTCGAGAGACGCCTTCCAATGCATCGCTCTCAATCGATCCTCCTCCAAGGAGGTTTTTTTGGGTTCATCAACGCCGTTCCATCGTACTGTACAGTCCTGCGCAAGAAAAAGAAAAAAAAGCCCATGTAATGAAGCTCTCAATTTGCCTCGACAACCTTTGAGAAGCTTAGAGGCGATGAAAGCTCACAGTCCGCCGAGCTTCCAGCTCCATCAAGATAGCTATTTGCACTCCGACTTTTCGGAAGCCCGGGCTTCTTGAAACCCGGACTGGGCGACGAGTCGGGTGGATTGAAGATCTGGCGGAATACAGGATCTTGGAATTTGGCCGACTGTTTCTCAGGGCTGAGGGATACTCCTTCTGCCTTTCGAATAATCTCCTTGAGTGCCCGTGTAATGACTCCAGCTCTTACCACGAGATCTTTCAGATCTTGAGTATCGAATGGCAGCTTTTCCCGACTCACTGGTACCGGGGATGACTCGATGCCGTTCCGACTTTGGTAAATGGTTTGTAAAAAGTTCTTTGTTTGGAGGCTTTCGCCACGAGGTCGTCCATACGGGGGCGTGGCAGGACTTGAAATCGAACGGCGATTAGCGGCGCGCCCGAGCTCAAACCTTCCGGCTTCGTCCTCTGGCATACGCTTTTGAGGTGGCGTTTCATCACCAAACGTGTCTGAAGATCCGGGTGAGGAGGGTCGTGGTACATCGTCTTCATCCTCGTTGACCGTTGCGAGATCGATGATGCTGACGGCGTCTTCCCACAATTGTCGAGAATGGCTGTCGACGAGACCCAACATTGTGCCCCTAACACGTAGCCTCTTCAATTCTTCCACCAGGAGCATAAAATCCCTGACCTGGCCGAATTGAATGTGCACGCTCTGTTGACGATCCATGATTGACTGAGGAACGCGGACGCTGCTACGCAAAGATTCTCGCTTCTTTGCTTGTTCGTCAATGGGATCCTCCACGACTTCCTCGTTTTCCTCTACATCGTCAAATTCGAAGTCGTCACTCCATTCCTCGCTGACAGGTTTGGTGCCGAGAGCCCATGTACCGAATTTGGAAGCAGAAGATGGCAGATCTGCCTCTGTCAAGTTGTCGCGATTGACTGGCACACTTTGGCTTCGTAGGTGCATGGCTGCATTGCTCTTACGTCCAGATGCTCGACTACGGCCTATGTTGTTACCATTCTTGCCATGGACGGTTTTCGGTCTTGGACTAACCCCATCAGATTGGTCGCTTCCAATCTTTTGGTGCTCCGACCAGTCGAAAATCGACGATCGTTTCGTTGATTGTTGCTCATCACAGTCATTTTCAAGCACTTGGTCAAAGCCTAACTGAAACTGATTCGGAGCAACGACATCACCAGCCTCAAGCTTGTCAGTGTCGGATTTGGGTGACCAATCGATGTCCTCTTCATCAAGGTCCATCATTTGAGGAAGTCTAGGCTCGGCATTGTGAGCACGGCCAAAAGAGCTGATTGAGGGAGGAGACGAGTCCAAGCTGGGGCCAATCCGGTTCAGCTTCCTAGGTACTGGTGTTGAAACGAAGTCGTCCGTGTCAGCCAAGGGATCCTTGACCGGGGTGGATGCCTGATTGGGGCTGCCGTTTCTAGCTGTCTCAGGGCCCTCGAGACCCTGGATGCCTATGCCCAGGTTCGCACCTGGAGACACACGTGCAGAGCCTAATTGTGCAGCAAAGTCATCCAGCGTAACTTTCTGCATCAAATCTTCGATGCCAGAAACCTTGCTTGACTGTTGATCCACCGCCATCTCGTCAAATATCGTCTCAATCTTAGGCTGGCGGAAACCAGAATGACTACTCGCTGTAGCTCGTGTAGCTAACGAATCGTAAGCAGTGTCGCTGTGGAAGTCCATCGAGTCATCGTCCGTAAATACTCGGGTGTCATTGTCAGAGCTTGCTGTGGTTGGATCCGAGGGAGCCACCGACATCCTCTTCTGCACGGCAAAGCGGTGTTGCGGAGGACCATATGAAGGGGGACTCGAGGTGAACTGTGGCGTGCCAATAGGTAACTCTACGTCAAAATCAGATATATTCGACATGGGAGAAAGGCCTGGGAAGTCTGATGGTGGCACAATGCTACCGTAGGCTTCATCTTTGCTGACTCGGACTATCGGGTCAGTGAAATGTCGTTGAGGGAGGCCCCGCCTGATTGAACCCATAGGGCGACGCATTCTGTGCCGTCGGGTCCCTGTTGGCACGACAGGGTCCGAAAAGGGTTCTGGACGATTTTCATGGATGTCATGCATTTCTCGAGGAGTCACAGATGTACCCATCAAGAGGGTAGGTGGGTATTGAGGTTTGGATACAGTGCGAACGTAAGTTTCCCGCTGTGCAGCCGAGGAATGCCTCTTCCTTGCGTATCCCGAATCGAAAAATGGTCTCCAGGATGGTGCTTGGGATACATACTGCGCGGCCTCCGTCTCCAGAACAGATTCCGTCGTCAATGGTCGAGTATATGGTGGCCCGGACAAAGTGGCAGACCTCTGGTGGCTTGTGGCCGGTCTTCGGAGTAAGGCAGGCGTTTCACGTTCAGAATGAAGGATACGTCGAGAAGAGTTACGTTTGACCAGCTTGTTAGGTCGGTCAAGATCATTGAAGGAAGGTCGTGAAGCATGGGGAGATTCGTCCAATCGTGAAGAAGATGACGCGGGACTGCTGTTTCTGCCGCGGGAGAGGCTTGAGATTCGTCTCAACCACGATGAACCGGGTGTCCCTTCTCTTCGTTCCGTGGACGAGTCGCGATCAGACGTCCAGGGCCTTAATATGGAATGCCTGCTTACAGAGCTCTCACGAGACTCGACTCTTATACCTTCGGAAGCGGTAGCAGATGGCGTACTTGAGTAGAGCGTCCTTCTTCGGAGGAGCGAGGTTGAAAGCCGGCGTTCGATTTTCCCCGAAAGTGCAGATGGTGTTTGTGAAGGTTGAGATGTCTTCGGACGCGTGTTGAGTGGGAGCTCGGGGGAGACGGGAGATCTCGTTGCAGCACTCGAGCCAGGAGCCTTCCTCTTGCCAGGTTTGATGAGGTAGGACTCTCCATCGCTCGTGCCCAATGCCAGGCCTGCCGCTGCAATGCCGACCGTGCCAACGGCACACAGCTGAGGGACAAGGTCAGCACAACCCGACATTTCTGTGTATAAGCCTAAAGGGTGCACTTACCGTAGCAACGTGCTCTTGACTGTGTTCCATCATGCTTGGTTGGCCGTGGGCCTCGAAGGCGATGCAGCCCAACCGTTCTGGTGGCAGATGGAACGGAACTTCCTCATGGCGGGTTGACCATCAGTGGCAGTGATCGTCAGGATGTGAGGAGCGTCTTTCTCGAAAACGTGATAATTCCAGAAGGCCGGTGGATGCAAGGGGTGTTGTGTCCCAAGTTTCGACGCGGGCGAGGGAAAGGGAGACGTGACAGAGCCGCAGGCGAAGAAAACACGGCAGAGGACGACTAGGTGCCAGTGAAGTACCTGGGGCAGAGAGCACCGGCAAGGCACGTACACAAGAAAACAGGAGACACAAGGGAAGGGATAGAGTCGAGGAAGGATGAGTGTATCTGGAGACAGAAAGAGTTTCAGCGAGGAGAGATCTCTCAGCTCGACTTTGAGAGCGCAGTCAGTACCGGAAGTAGTCAATGGAGAGGAAGCGCAAACCAGAGTTGGGTATTGGGTATGCGATCTTGGGTGACGGGCAGCACTAGTAGCACCGGCGGTAATAACTTTAGGTACTGCGCAGAGGCTAGCGAGGGCTAAGTTAAGCACCTAACCTCAGGCCGGGACGGATGTTTACGAGTAGTATTACTAGGGATGTACTATACCCATACCCGCAGGTACACTGATCAGATTGTTATTATGATCATCACCTTTGACCTCTTCCAGTACACTACATGACCACCACAGGCCTGCCACAAAACTCATCTACCCACTCGTCTCCTCCACTCACCTGCTCGTCAGTCCGGTTTTAGTTCTGCTGTACAAGGACGGTGGTGCTGTCAGAATATCAACCGGCATACCAACCCCCAGCCTGTCACCTCACGCACAGAGCAGGGCAAGATTGTGACATGGACAACAAACTCTAAGGAAATAATGGCGTCAACGGGTGACCGTGTTGTTGGCCTCGCTGGCCAGATCCAGCAGCTATCTAAACACTCATGGTAGCACTAGAACTCTGCTACTCACCTGCACGTTGCCGCTTCACAAATCATTGACGGCGAGACACAGGTACGGTGGGCATATCACTGCTTTTATCAGGCACATTGTCTCCTTGAAGTCGACCAGATGTGGTGCTACAGTGCTTGCTATTGTATCCAGGTACCCATCATGTCTAGCTTTTCACATTGGGATTGTCGATCAAATCAGTCTGTATTGCATCATCCTCACCCATCGACCTTTAGCATCTTCAGGTCGTAAAAAGGACATTATCACTCTCTTCACACGGACTGAAACACTTAGGATGGCCATAAGCTTGGATCCTTCTCGCGCAGAAGCCGCATGGAAACCTATTCCCTCAGCGTGAGACATCATTCCACGAATCTGCGGATTGTTCGTGCAACAGGAGCATGCGACCGGGTTGTCCCTCGTAATGGGGAGAACGCCTTAGAGGTGGGTAAACAAGGGTTTTTGCAGGGCTTGTTGCGGGTTTCTAGAATCGAGACAATTCATTTGATAGAACATAACAAGCTTGATCCTGGTCCATTTGTTCCTTCAGGCATAGTCTGTAATGTACATGTTCAGAAGGTCAAGAGCTGCCGATTTCTTAGCTATCAATGATTGACCAGAGGACTACCAGATCGATGCTCCCATGACTCAATGCATGCATTAGAGCCGTTCACCATGTACTGCTGAGAACCCCAGGGTTGGAGATAGATCCGAGGCAAGGCAACGAAGCGACATGAAGGTGCAGTAGCGAGGAACACAGTACATGAAACACGGCAGCACGCTGGACTGGACGCGACGGGCATGTACGTAAAGGGCCGGTCAATCGGATAACAAGGTTAGGTGGTGGATGCAACAGCTTCTGCTGATATGGAATCCGCCAAACCCACACATGCCCACCGGTGCTGTTGTCTCACGATCCTCCTACGCCCGTTTCTGGGACAGGGCACAACAACAAAAACATGCAGTCCGGCTGTCTTGTTTGGTTTGTTGTCGATAGTTGCCCAATGCTGAAAGCCGAGAGAGCCCAGGCGGGGACGCGAAGAGTTCGTCTGAAAGAATAGTGCAAGCCGAATGGCTGTCAGATCTGAAGCTGGCCGCTCGTCTAAACGACAAGCTAGTGATGTTGTGGAGGGGGCATGTCCTGTAAACAGGGCACTGCGGCCGCCACGATGCGCTGAGGCTTGGAATGACGGAATCATCGACCAAAATGGTCAGATGTGATACGCCCAGGGTCAGATCTCGCGTCAACGTCGCGTGTTGCATGCGTGGATCTAGCCCGAACAGGTGGTCCAGCCTAATGCGAGGTATCGGTCTTCTACCGCTTGGAAATCGTTCTTTTCTATCTGATCATCGTGGCCCGCATGACAGGTAAGAACGAATCGACTAAACTGCTCAGAGTACGAAGACGGTTGTACATCGATCACACACGTCAGCTTCCTGTAGGGTAACACTGGTCAGAACTAACGCTGAATGGTCTGGACAAGAAGAAACCAGATCAAACACTGCTTCTGTAATTTTGGTGCGGCGGCATGGATACGCGCTCAACGTTCGGACTTATGTGGGATGTCATTCGGACTCGAGCGGCCTGCCAGTAGCCAGACTGACGGTGCTCAGTGGATGTCCAATCACTAGTCATAGTAACTCACTCAACCGTTGGGCAAATTGGATACTCACCTTTGGGTGTGCCAAGGGATTCGTATTTGGAACTCAGCCCATGCTCGTGGACGCGACTGCATATTAACGTTCCAGGAAGTCTAGTGATGAGGTGTCAGTCAAGGGCCGCAGCGTATCTTTCCCGACTGAACCAGGTGAATGCGGGGTTGCCTTTGGGTTGTCGGATGCCACCCACAACATCCGCAGTGGCTGGGATGCTGGTAAACACGTTGAGTAGTAAGACAAACAGCTGCGGTTGATGCCGCCCTCAAAAACATGTCATCTCCCCGACAGAATCAAACTGCGTACGTCTGAGGCATATCCGTACAATCAACACTAATAGTAAGTGCAGCTAGCCAGAAGCCGTTCATGGCCTGCATGGCATGTATATATAACAGTAGATAGATTTGGAGGAGACAGAGGCACGATCCGATAAAGGTCCAGGCCGGTACGCCAGTCCGGGGCTTTTGCAAGGTTCAAATCTGACATGTCACCGACGCAAGCCTTGGAATTTTCAATTGTCAGTCTCAGTCAATCCACGTAAGACAGTGGCCGAGAAGATCAACATCAAGTGTGTACTGGCATAAAGCCGTAGCAAAGTGAAGCAAAGGCTGCATTGCAGCATGGCGAACACAGCAGCTCCCAACCGTTGCCAGATTGAAAAGCTATCCTTCCACATTCCCAGTCGACAGTCCAAGAACCCAAGGTCGACTGCATACCAACGTGGTATGCAGCCTGGACAGAATTTCCGGATCGCCCGCACTTTTTCTAGTGCATGGTTAGGCGAGGCATATTCCCTGAATTCTGTGCATCCTGGCCCTGGTAGTAACGTGGAGAGGTGCTGCGAAGGGAGTGGCCAGCTGCGTCGATGTCTCGCTTGGCCTCCCTGTAAAGGGCCTCTGACCGTAGTGAAGCAAGTCATGCTGCATGAGCCTGCATACGAGAAGCACGACGCGTAGGCCTATGACTGCATGTCGACACGCTAAAGGAAGCTTGAAGCTGATGGTCAACAAAAGGCTCCAGACTTTTTGAGAGGAGAAAAGACCGACGGCAGTGCTGATTCCCCTAGTCCAACTACAGTTAGGCCGCCAAGACTCACTGGACGTGAAATTTCACAGCCGGGAGGTTCAATATCGATTCAGCCGCTTGAACGGCACAAGATTATCTCAAGCCACAGGATTACATTCACAAGAAGAGGGGCGCTGCAGTCCCCCCAGTCCCAGCAACCCGCCGGTCGCCATTGAGATATGCTATACCGTAATTCCAGACGGTTCCGGTAGGGCTCAGAACCAGGTTTTCGTGGCTAGCCTCGCCACACCGAATCCCACATACCTTGCAATTTCACCTGGCTCCTGATACAGTCTCTTGTTGCCCACTCCGCTCTCCCGACCTTGTCGAATCAAGGGTTCTACACGGGAAGTCCGCGAGGTTGCGCAATTGTGTTTCCGTGAACGATACGCTCGACCAACACCTGACCTCACAAGATCGGCTCGACCTATGACCTTGCAGAATGGAGTCCGAAATCCAAGCTCAGATTCCCAATATTGACCAAGTCCTCTCGGAATACTCCGTGGTAAGTACCTAACCTATCATGTGCTCGTAGCACAACATTGGTCCAGTACTGTTTATCAGAGTCACAGCTTGGGTCTATCATAAACGTGCTAACTGACGTCTTCTTAGGGTTATCTCAACCATGCATCAAAGCTTTATTTTTCCGACGAGGATCCATCAGCTCAGTCTCCCCTGGCCGAAGCTTTGGAGACAATTACTGCCCTGCTGGTCTCCGCTTCGGGCAACTTCTCTGAACAGAATGAAACTGCCATTCGGAACTTGATTGAGAAGTTCATCTCCAGATTGGGAGATGCGAATGGTGTCGATCCAGAGCGGCGGCAGATGCCATTTGCCGCCAAGAAGCTCGAGCAGACCATTCAAGTTAGCTCACAGCGGAATATCTCGTCCACCCTGGGCCTGACCAGTGGCGCCATTGACCTCGAGGCTGCGAATGCTCGCAAGGTGGAATCGAAGGTAGATAAAAAGAAACTTGAAAAGGCTGAACGCAAGATCCGAGCAAAGCAAGACAAGAAGACTATGAAGAATGTGGAATATGAAGCCTCACGACTGCTCGACCAACCTGACAGCACCCAGTCCTACGAAGAGTTCTTCATGGCGGTCAATCCTCTCCAGCTTGGCGCCGATGCACAATCGAAGAGCAAAGACATCAAGGTCGATGGAATTGACGTTTCTATCTCCGGCAAGCGAATCCTCACCGATACCTCTCTAACGCTTGCATATGGCCGGCGGTACGGTCTTGTCGGTCAAAATGGTATTGGTAAATCTACATTACTTCGTGCCCTGAGTCGACGTGAAGTTGCCATTCCCACCCACATCTCAATTCTTCACGTCGAACAGGAGATTATGGGGGATGACACACCAGCTCTCCAGGCTGTGCTTGATGCCGATGTATGGCGGAAACACCTTCTAGCAGAACAGGATAAGATCACCAAACAACTGGCAGCCCTCGAAAGTGAGAGATCGACAATGGCTGACACATCCAAAGATGCAGCTCGGCTGGACAAGGAAAAAGATGGCCTTGACACCACCTTGGGCGACATCCAAGCGAAACTCAGTGAGATGGAATCGGATAAAGCAGAGCCCAGAGCCGCCAGTATTCTGGCTGGCTTGGGATTTTCTCCAGAGCGTCAACAATTTGCCACCAAGACTTTCTCCGGTGGCTGGCGGATGAGATTAGCACTAGCCCGAGCACTATTCTGTGAACCTGACCTGCTGTTGCTGGATGAGCCTTCCAACATGTTGGACGTGCCATCAATCACCTTCTTGTCGAATTACCTCCAAACCTACCCCAGTACTGTTTTGGTTGTTTCTCACGATCGAGCATTTTTGAATGAGGTTGCTACCGATATCATTCACCAACACTCTGAAAGACTAGACTATTACAAAGGTGCCAATTTCGACTCCTTCTACGCTACCAAGGAGGAACGGCGAAAGAATGCCAAGCGCGAATATGAAAACCAGATGGCACAGAGAGCTCATTTGCAAGCATTTATCGACAAGTTCCGGTACAATGCTGCGAAAAGCTCTGAAGCACAATCACGAATCAAAAAGCTGGAACGCATGCCAGTGCTCGAGGCTCCAGAGGCCGAGTATTCAGTCCACTTCAAATTCCCAGACGTGGAAAAGCTGTCACCTCCCATCATCCAAATGACCAACGTTGCTTTTGGTTACACCAAGGAAAGCCCTCTTTTACGCGGTGTTGATCTGGATGTTCAACTGGATTCCCGGATTGGCATCGTCGGACCCAACGGTGCAGGTAAGACAACGGTGCTGAAACTCCTGACCGGACAACTGCAGCCTACCACTGGGCTCATCTCGCAAAATCCACGTCTTCGCATTGGCTATTTCGCTCAGCACCATGTGGACGCACTGGACATGAACACTTCTGCCGTGGGCTTCATGCAAAAGACGTACCCGGGGAAAACCGATGAAGAATACCGCCGTCATCTTGGTGCTTTTGGTATCACTGGAATGACAGGCCTGCAGAAGTTAGAGCTTCTGTCTGGTGGTCAAAAATCAAGGGTGGCATTTGCATGCTTATCGCTGACAAATCCACACATTCTGGTGCTTGACGAACCGTCCAATCACTTGGATATTGAAGCTATGGATGCTCTCTCGACTGCTTTGCAGCAATTCCAGGGGGGTGTTTTGATGGTCAGCCACGACGTTACGATGCTGCAGAACGTATGCACCAGCCTATGGGTATGTGACAAAGGTATAGTTGAGAAGTTCCCTGGTGATGTCAATGCATACAAGAAGAAGATATCCGCGCAAGCAAACGAGGCTGGGGTTGTTCAAGCCCATTGATGCTCCGTTGCCAACTTGTAGATAGGTGGAATGATATGTTGTCCTACCGCACTCCTTTTATTGCTTGCGACGCGGCTTGTCTGCTATGTGGACTTTTTGATTTCTTGTGGTGCAATCCCACCTAGGTAGTAACAGTTCACTGCTGCGATCGGTCGATCAATTCTGCAACACAAGCCTGCAGCCTTGGCCAACTGCTAGTTTAATGGCCTATTGTATGTGCACTTGATACAATTCTGTGAGGCTATGACGCACTATCGGAAAAACACCGGGTCCCGGCCGACATTCCTGTTTCAGACCAGGTAGTAATTGGGTCCGTTCCTGCGAAGAACCACCATGAAGTCATCACTGTTGTGTGTGTTCCTTGCAAAGACCTTGCCGTGAATACAAGTATGATGCTGTCGCCTCTCGCTTCTCTCATGTGCAGTCATATCCATTGTGCCTCCTTTCACAGGAGATTCCTCAACGACTGTACCTTGTGGCCTCCTTGAACTTGCCAGACAATCGTACCCTCCCAGCCGATCTGATAATGACCAGAGGATTCAACTTCCTCACGGCCCTGATCGCCTTCCTGCCCTTGTCATCACTCGCACAATCCTCATCAAGCTGTGGACCCGTTCCCTCAGGGGCCATCAAACCCTCTGTCGCGTCCGGCTTTGCTGTGCAAGTCGTCGCAACTGGCTTGTCCAAACCACGTGGTCTTCATTTTGACAATGCCGGGAATCTATTGGTGGTGGAACAAGGAAGAGGCGTGGTCTCTGCCCACACATTGAATGAGAACGAAGGCTGCATTTCCGTTGAATCTTCGGTTGATGTGACCTCCAGACTGAATGTATGGGTGCCAGACGTGAGACATGCAGTGTAACTGCTAACATATCTTAGCTCAATCACGGCATTGAAATGTCCAACGATGGTAAAACACTATATGCGTCGTCGGCTGAAGCAGTTTACTCTTGGAGCTACGATGAGTCGGCTCGAACCGTGTCAAATCAGGCCCGTATTGTGGCCAACATGACCACTAATGACCATACCACCAGAACCCTTCTCCTTTCACAAAAGGCTCCTGGGCTGCTTGTGGTCACAAGGGGAAGCACTTCCAATATTGATATTGATGCTGCAAGTTTGGCCTCTGGCCATTCGCAGGTCAAAGCCTTCAACTTGACTAACCGTACTGGGGTGTACGACTTCGACATCGATGGCCTCCGTCTTGGCTGGGGTTTGAGGAACGACGTTGGAGTTGCAGAGCATCCTGCAAGCGGCGGCATCTACACCGTTGAAAACTCGGCCGATCAGTTGACACGAATGGGAGTCGATATCCACGAGGACAATCCAGCGGAAGAACTGAACTTCTTGGGGTATCTTAACGGCCGGGAATATGCCGCTCAAGGAGGTAATTTTGGTTACCCATGGTGTTTCTCTGCATGGGGAGTCGGCGACCTCCCTGACAATGGCAACTTGACTGTCGGAAGTCAGTATGCGGTCGATGCATCCCCGGATTCGAACAACCAGAACAAAACAGATGCTTACTGTGCGCAACAAGAGCCCGCCCGCCTGGTCTTCCAAGCGCATATGGCACCTCTCGATATCAAGTTCAATCACAGCGGCACTGAGGCATGGGTAACATTCCATGGCAGCTGGGACCGAACGCAGCCCGTAGGTTATAAGGTATCAGTGGTGGCATTTGACAAGGATGGAGAACCTGTGGATTCCCTTGATAGTAAGGATGCTGCACGAGATGTCTTGACAAACCAGGATAATTCGAAGTGTCCGGACGATTGTTTTCGGCCTGCCGCAATGGCCCTCGATTTGCATGGACGATTGTACGTCTCGTCGGATGCTTCAGGCGAAATATATCTGATTACAAGAGCCTCGGGTACGAAACTTCCTGGTCCGACACCAACATCATCCTCGACAAGCACATCCACGGCGACAAATATAGCAGGCAGTATCGGATATGCATGGTCGTCAGGAGCCGGCCAGTTGTCGTTCATATCGATGTTGCTGGCCTTGCTGTTGTAATGGCGACATTATGATATGTCCAGCCAGATGAATATCATACATTCACCTCAAAAGTCACATGGCATTTCAGTTGACCACCCTCATTCGAAAAGCATATGCCGGACGTGCTCATTGGTCCGCGGGACCGCGATGAGGCTGACTTCACCACATCTTGTCCACGGCCCAATTGCCCAAGGCTAAGGGATGTGCAGTCTCAAAATCGAATTTCGTTCTATCGCACTTTCAGCGCGTTCCACGTCTATCCTTACTTTCCTTCATCATCTTTACAGGCTTACTCTGTTATGCCTCAACTGTGTTTTATGTATTGATTTCTTTCTGTTTTCGAATCGGAACATCGAGCCTCTCTGTGAACCATCATGGCGTCAAGCTCAGATACTGTCTGGGATCTCGACTCAGACCTTTCTGAGCCGACCTCAGATTTCGATGATGTGACGGCATCTTCCATCAATGAGGACTTGATGCACACACCTCTCAATGCGTCTGCTAGGTCAAAGCGTGATGCCGACTCACTACAAGCTAGTCACGATGACAATGAGCGCTCCGCGAAGCGGCTTCGCACCCCACAAGGCAGCCTCAGCAGACTTGAAGATTTGCCCACTGAAGTCAGTTGACTTTACAAGAGTTGTTAAATTTGTACTAATCCGATCAGATCCTCAATCGGATTGCTTCCGAGCTTCCCAACGATGTAGATTTATTCAGACTCATTCGAGCTTCCCCAGCCTTCTGCGAGGCCCTTAACCCCAATACATCTGCCATCTGGCGAGCGAGATTCTTGGTAAAATGGGACCATCCGTTTGTTCGAAACAACAAGTATTTTGCAATTGTGTATCGAGAAAGAGGTTGTATCCTGAATCAATTCGTCGAATTCACCAATGAGAATGAGACGCGATTGATCTACCAGTTGGAACACCTGACATGTATGATCTTGGGTAAGGAGCTACGATGAGACATTCTGTGGTGATCAAGGCTAACATTTTCGCCAGAAGCGTACCATCAGCCAGACAAGCACCTTCCCCCACCTCTGAAGTCTCTCAATCTCGAGGCATTTGACTTGCCAAAAGATTCCCCTTGGATGAAAAGCTTCTTGACAAACACCTTCTATCCCAAAACCTTGAGTAGGGGTCAAAACAAATATGGTCAATCACATGCTCTCTTCGACGCGATCCAAGTCGCATTGTCCCACTTGGTGTTGTCCCCAGCTTCGGAGATGGCACAGGCTGTGCAATCCTCGAGGCATAGGTATGACATGGCTCTGGTTTATAACTGGAGCGGTCCGCTGGCAATGATTTGCCATCGAGTTCCTAGTGTCGAAGCTCCACCTACGCCTGCGCATGGTCCATCGGGTTTTTCAAATCTGACGCGAAGAGATCAAGGGCCAAAGTACGAAGTCGACACTTATGCGTTGCTCCATGTACGAAATTTCTTCCATCGCCATCTCATCGAGAGCGACTATGGTTCCCTGGAAGCCCACAGCAGCATGAACGAACGCACGTATGCCAGTATGGCAAATCTCTTGTGCGACGCTGGGATCGCTCCTCGACCATGGGACCAGATGCTAGTCCGAGGTCTACCTCTGATTGCGAACGAGTGGTACGGTCATTACAGCTGTATTCACCCGTGGCCGAAAAGAAGACAAGACCTGGAGATAGTTCAAACTGATGCCGAAGATTGGAGCTCGGCTCACCCGCTTGTGAGTTTCTATCCACTACATCTGGTCTCGCAGTCGCTCCGTACTAACCACATCTAATAGAAACTCGACATTGTAATTGCCAAGAAGAACGATCTGGGATTCTGGCCTCCCATCTTTCGCGACATTCCGATCTTCAACGAAACCATTCCGGAGGCACTAGAGTCCAGCATCTCTTTCCGCGGGGTTGCACCCTTTGTCGACTTGCATGTCATGGACTCTGTGAGGAATTCCACATCAAAAGCGACTTTGACACTTCCGGGACTACCCAAGTACCACCCGTATACTTCTCTCCGAGTGCGTGGTGTCGTGCACCCAATTGGCAACTTGCCTCGACAAGATCAGGTCGAAAACCCTCGTACGACTATTCCTGGATGGAGCAGGGTCGTCATGATCATGTACAAACCCACCACGGACATGCAAATCGCGGTCCTTGAACGTGCCGAGCAGAACTTGAGCGGCTTCTTCGGCTCAGCCCTCAACAGCCTGATGAATCAAAATGGACAGCCTCTACTTGGACTCCAGCAGCTAGCAGCGGCAAATCTCGACCCCGAGGAATTGGAGTTGGCGAGGAAGAGAATTGTCGAGGAAAAATTGTCGAGAAATCCAGCATGGCGCCATCCCGAAAACATGGACAAGCACGTCATCGCGGAGATGGAAGAACGCTTCAAGAGAAGTGAACACATGGAGTGGACCGACATGGACTACGCTTATGCGTACGAAGGCATCGTCCTGCCCGGTGGGAAGATCATGATGGGTCGATGGTGGAGATGCGGCATCAACGGGGCATCTTCTCCCGGCTACGAAGTCGACGAACAAGGCGCTGGACCGGACAATCCAGATCAATCAGACGAAGAGTCGGATTCGGAAGCGGAGATTGACCATGGTGATGACGATGATGATCCCATGGACGTGGATGGCGGTGGTGCTAAGAGTCATGATGGTTTAGGATCGTCTTCGGCAACCACTAGCGCTCGTGCCAAACCTGCCAGAAAGCGTTTTCCGAAGTTGGAGAGGGGACCATTCGTCTTCTGGTGCTGAGTCAACACACGCAGTGCGTGACCTTTCTCGGTCGACGCATGACCATCTGAGTGGGCGGAATGTCCCCCAGTCAAGGCAGCAAAAATCAGAAGACAAGAGAAAAGAGAGGTGTCAAACCCTACGTACCCATCGCGATCCCAACATCATCGCTGATGAAACAGCCAAAAACCAAAGAAAAAAAGAAGGCTCCCGCGGACTGTCTCGGGGTGTTATGGAAATGGAGTTTGCCGTGGATGCCCCTAGGTACAGCAAGTGTTTTTGTGTGAGATGAAGAAGAGAAGAAAAAAAAGAAGGCTCATTCGACAAGTGAGCAGACAGTTTCGGGTCACAGATTAGCATTAGCCATTATCGTTTTCGGTCCATTTTTCCCCTTCTTCTTCTTCTTCTTCTTCTTCTTATCGGGCTCGTGAGCAGGAAAGGAACCCCGTGAGAGGGGGTCGACTTGATCCTCATGGCATTGGCGATGGATTATTGATACAAAAAACCAACGAAAATATCCCCCCCGCCCCCAAGAGAAAAACAAAGGGCGGGACAAGGAATTTTAGGAAGGCACAGGAATGAAGAAGATTACAACTACTACCGATAGGATCGTCCCTGCTGTACTGTATGTGACGTGTGTTTGATTCCGTGTCGTTCTTGGTACACTCGGGCTCGATGGTCGACTTTGGATCTCGACGATAAAAATGTCATGATCTACACGTAGTACTAAGACGTGCATGTTGTTTGATACATGTACACGATAGTGAATGGACCATGTACTCGGAGGAAATCAAGTAAACAAGAGGGCATCATTAAAAAAAAAGGTACACTACCTCTGGGTGGGAGGGATATCCAGAGTTCGGAGTACATGGGCATATATATATATACACCCAACGTTTTGCCATGTACAAGTTCCAAGTGATGTTACATGTACAGTATGAATATTCGCCAATGAAAACCACGGAGATATGTACATGTATAAAGATATATATATATTATACTTTGTCCATCTGGTTATCAGATCATCATCGTCATGGTCATCAGCCGTCGTCGTCGTCGTCATCATCATCATCCAGTATCACCCGAAAGTACTCGCCTCCTTTTTTTGTCTCAGGTTTGACGAGATGCGAGAGGAACGGTCCTCATCTGTGGACTCTGGTCGGGGTACCATTTCCCCCCCGGGTGGACGTCGTCGACCTGTCGACGTGGCTGCATCGCGACGGCCGGGATGGACCCGTCGTCGTCGAACCCATAATTCGTGTACGGGGAATGACGACCTATCTCGGCCGGCGCATAAACCGCGTCCATGTCCGGGAACTCGAAATGAGATTGCGTCTCTTGTTGTGGCTGTCGCTGCTCCTGTTGCTGTTGCCGTTGCTGGTTCTCGTGCAGGTTCTCGTGCAGGTTCAATGCCTCCATCTCTTTCTGGGCTTCGTACTGCAACTCGGGTTGGAGGATCGGGTCGAAAGAAACCGGAGTCGAAGTGGCCGCTTGTCCGGTCGACACATCTTGTAGATCATTGTTTTGGACCTCGACTTGTCTGTCACGGATGCGACGCATGAGGTCCAAAAACTGCGAATTTTGGAATTTGTCGCTGGTGTCGTGCTGCACGCTCGTCAGCAGCTGGCCGGCCGTACGGGCCAGTTCATCGGCGTCGCGAGAATCTTGGTCTTCTGTACGTTCGGTCCGTTCGCGGTACTGGATTGCGTCAGACCCGATTTTGTTCACGCTCTCCGTCTGTCCCATCACGACCGACTCTTCGACGACGCTTTCCGAGACCTCGGCCGTCTCCCGCAGCTGGTCCATCTCTTGGGCGTGGGCGATCGCCTCTTGGAACGCCGCGTCAAAGTCGACGTCGGACATGGGGAAGTGCTGTTGGTCCACGGAAGACATTCCTGGCATTTCCTGCTGTTGTTCGAACCCTGCCCCGTCTCGGTACATTCCGTTGCCGCCGTACGACTGGTACGCCATGGACGAGTAGCCCATGAACGACGTGTTCGTGTTTGTCGCGGTCATATCCATCTGCGGCGGTTCTCTCGCGGCTTGCTTGCCCTGCGCCACGGGCGACGCCGCGCCTGGACGTTGGCGCATGAACTCATTCTGCCACCCACCACCGATTGTAGATTTGACGAGGGGCGCTTCGGTGCGGAATTGACCTGCGGGCAAGGGTTGTCGATCGTGCAAGTTCATCCGCTGGAAATCGGCGGCCCATCCTGCCGGTCCGAAGGAGGGCTGCTGCTGTAGCGGGGAGAAGGTGGTGGGAAGGGCATTGGCAAATTCTGGCTGTCGGTGTTGAAATGGACCCGGAGAGGCATTCTCAAAGGCATAAAAGTCGGCATCGAGAGATCCGGCTCTGGGGTCGGCGGTACGGAAGCCCTGGCGGAGAACGTCAATGTCATGCACGAGCAAGCACATAAGAAGACCCAGGGAATTTTTACCTGTCCAGGTGATTGTCTGGGGCCGACGAGTCGATCCTGTTGGAGCGTCCTATCGACTTGGGTATGTTTCTGCAGGTTCTGAAGAGGGTTGGAAGGCCCACAGAGAGCGTCGGCCATGGTTGGGAGTCGTGAAGGCGATTGCGGCGTGCGATGATTGATAAGTCGAGGGTCGAGGAGAGCGCAGGTGAGGACTTCGTATTCTTTTGTGTACTGTGCCGCCCGGACTTTGATCGGGAATGATGTACAAGGGATATCGACTTGTTGATGACTGTACCGGCAATTTTGGGCGAAATGTGATCAAGCATGCGAACATACGGCGTACAAAGATTCCAAGTAAGAAGCCTGGAAAGTGACTGTGCCGAGGTCTGGCGAGGATCCTGGATTTTACCGACAGCCTTGTGTCCTTTTTGGGAAATGTCGTCACGAGGCTGCAGCTTTGTCAGCACAAACTCCCTTTACTAGCTACTGCCTCACACTACTCCCAGCACATTGCATGTCAGTATTGAAAATATTGCCAATGACATCTCGAGGATGGCTGGCACTGATAAGCGCTGGGTGTGCAGAATATCGACACAGTTTAAGCTATAGCTCTGTAGACACCCTCGGTCTCCGCCTATTGCGGAAGATTGCACGGGTTGATCACTCACTCAGCGACCACCTTGCTTTGGTAGAAAGTTGGCAGAACCGCCACGGGTCCTGGTACACGTCACTGGGCTGTGTTTGCCTCCTTTCTCTGGTATATTCCCTCCGACCCAGAACAAAAGACATGAACTCGATCCCCAACGACCACAGTCATGCCACGGTTTGCGTATTGGCCACCACTTTTGAAACCCATCTCCTCCGCAGACATTGATCAAATCGTGAGTCTGAACAGTCTGTCCGCATCGGTAATGGAAGGACGGGCAATGAATGGATGCTCAATTTGAGCCGCTGTATGAGTTGGATGTCTCGTAGAGCCGAATGGTTGGTTCCCTAATAGGCCTCATTATCCCAGCGTCACGTCTTTGAAGCTGTCGGAATTATGACCAATCGCTCAAAGGTTCGTTCGCATACTTTCATCATGAGTTCCGTCCAGAGGAATCTCTTCAGAATGTCTTTGTATTCCTCGAGGCACAAGTGTTTGGTGTATCCTCGTCGAAACCTCGTGATGTAAAATTCTGCGTCCTCACCATGCTCGCCCGTCGTAAGGACAGCCGCCCATAGCCCGACGGATTGCGCCCAGATCATACAATCTTCTTGTCCTAGTTTGATTTGGCATTGCTCAATGACGGTACGGAGAGCATCCTGCGCCGTTTTGAAGATAGGGCCATGAACCATGCATCCAAATTCACAGTTGCAGAGAAGCAACAAGGCAAGGCAAACGACGTGCTCGATAATAAAGCCCCCCGGTTGTGCCAATGCAAAGCCCGCTGGGGTCTCTTGGATCGAGATGCGACGGAAGCAATCGATACAATTGTGGAACTCGTGCTCAGCTCTGTATGCCACCACGTATGTGGCCTCGAAACTTGTGAGGGGTTCATCTCGACGTCGTCCTTTGTGGAGAATCGTCGTCAATTGGCTCACTCGTACCATGATGTCCAGCAGTTCCATACTAAAGACGCCATTCAATGTCAGGCTTCGGATGCCGGAGGGGAGACTCGGCAGGACAGTGGCAAGCTCAGCCGCACTCGGGTAACGGAGTGGTTCGCGTTGATCCGAAGAATACGACGATAGCATGTCCTTGATTGGATCAATGTGCCATGCTGGTTCTTCCCTATTTGACTAGTCAGTTAAACAGACAGGTCAGAGTATGAAGAGACCATACTCGGACAGAAAGCTCTTGGTGAACGAAGACAAATTCTCGTGTGTCAACCAAGCGCCACGCGCAGGCCTATGACCGGAATTTTAGCCAGCCTCACACAGCAAGAACGGAAGATAGTCCTACATGCCAGGAATTTGTGGGAGTGCTACTAATTTTCGTAGAGCGCGTCGGTGTATCATTACCGGCTGAACATCCTGAAAGGAAATCTGGGTGGTTTGAGTACTCAGTGTCCATGAAACAGGAGGTTGGTACGTACGTCCAATCCCATTAGCATAATAATGGCCAAAATGGCAGCCATGTCTACGTCCTGAAAGTGGTTTTGCAATTTGAACGAGAGTGTCTGGAGAGCCAGCCCCTTGAAGAGCAGCACACGTTGTGATGGATTTTCTGGGATCATGAGTGTCGTTCTCACTATACAATTTGTTAGCAGTGAGAAGCACATCGACGGAGATGCAGATTCTGGAATGTTGACGATCGCCGGCAGTCATTACGTGTGAGTCTTACTTTCGTAGTCGGCACATCCCATTGCCATTATCGCGTAGAACAGTTCGGGACTCATCAATGCCATTGCGAAGTTCTTCTCCGCCGCTTTCTTTGCGGAGCCGATGGCTCGCTGAAGTGGCTGTATTCTGTAGGCATAGGATCGAAGGACTGGAAGGAATCCCATCAGTTCGTACGCCGCACACGTATGACGCCAACACCTACCATAGTCGGCTATCTTCCGATGCTCCGGAATGTCCATATACGCAAGCTTTCCATAAGGATCGAACTGGATACCATTGAAGATCATGGCTCTATCCGCGAGCAGCCCATTGGCATCTGACATGGCATTGTACGTTGCAGGCCGGTACTTTCGAGATGCTGAAAAGAGGACGACCTGGTCGCTGGCAACTTGAGTATCAGTAAGACACTTCTTGCTGCCGACCACCTTCTTCTTCGACTGCTTCGTTTTCGACGCATTGATTGAGATGCGTCGTTGCTGTTCGTTGTCATTCCGATGGTGACCATCTGCGTAATTGATGAAAACAATTTGTCGCATGATGCCGCGCTCACTGGGTGTGCCAATGTAGCATTGTGGTTCGGTTCAGAGATATGGGCTGAGGGGCCACATCCCACGTTGGAGACGCGTCTTTAACAGGAACTTGCGAGCCTATCAACAGATAGCGAGATTGTATGGACTGGCCAAGCAAAGAAACTTCGTCAACAGACAAAGTCAACCGTGGCCTTGGGTTAGAGGTCTGGATGCTGAGTAAGAAAACAGTCGATTGCAAAACCGCCTTCCCACTGGATCAGTGACTTGCAAGGGGCAATCGATGAAGTCCATATTGAATCTTCAGTAAATCCGCGACGAATTGTAATGACATTTTCACTCTCCTATGGGCTGTGTCAGAAGTTATAGCGGCGGCTGGATCTTTTGTCGGTTGGACTGACTAGTCACGACTCAATTTGCTGTGTAGGCGCCCCGTGGCTACAAAGTCTAGCCAAAGTTCTACGCCACAATGCGTCCAGACTTTTGGTTCACAAGCATTTGACACTTTGGATGGAATTCCACGAATGGGCTCTATGAGCCACCAAAACGCTGAGAAGTTCAGAATGCAAGAGTATATGCGCTCAAAAGTCCTGCGCCCGATGGCCTTCGCAACCTCGAAGAAACGTGGGTTTAGAACTCCTTCGCCTGCCAATTCACCGCTTGAAATGATGATTTTGTCGCTGCCAGTCAGAACTTGAAAGACCCTCTCGTAATTATGGACGATACAAAGTGTCATGTACGTTCCGGACAAGATGGTACTGGGGCGAACGGGAACTCACCTCTGCGAGAATCATCCTCTGTAAATCTCGGAAAACCTTCATTTTCGTCGCTCTCGCGAGCAAGTGTGCAACTGATTCTTGACGAGCAACAACCCCTAACATTCTTTCTTGCTTCCACCGACCAAGAGGATAGATGTTCCCGAACACCTTGTGGCAGCAGCCGAGAGGTATCGGGCACCGTGTGGAGACATGGCATTTCATCTGTCAAAGTACTACTCATGACCCTATGTATTCTGTTTGCCGGGAGTCCAAACGATGACGTTGAAGTGCAGCCGAAATATCAGTTTGTAAGTGCTTGTTGTATATACCAAAGATCTGCTTGATATGATTATTTAGTCACGATCATCAAATTCTGAAATTGGTAATTAGTTACTATACGAAAATACACCTGCTCCGGGCGTTTACATTTGGACGCTAGACAATGCGAAGCATTTCCGAGTGCTTCCCTCTTACACCAAAGGTTTTGGTCTCTTCATCGAAATCGATCATCTCGCCGTCCATGATACCGTGAACATAGGCCTGCCCAATTAACCTGTACCTTCGCCCATCTGCATCATTTCCCACTGGGCGCAATACCAAGGGCATCTGTGCCCCATAAACGATCGCGATCTCGTCGTTTTCCATCGCCGTACCGGGAAGTGTTGCCATGTATCGGCCTCTGGTCACTGATCCACGCCTTCCATGTTGGATGAATAGCGCTTCGAGGTGGTACGCCTCTGCAATTTTAGATGCTGTGCTTTCATCAATATTTGGTATGGGTTGTCTCCCTCCTTGCTGAGGTGCGCGATATAGACTTCCAAAGGCATCATATCCCAGTCTTCCCTGGCTTCTTTCTGCCCGACCGTCAAGTTTCGAACTGTAGTCTGCGGTTAGAGACCTCCAAATCACATCTTTCAAATTTTCCCCTGTGGGGTAGGCTTCTTTCTCGTAGAAACTGGTTACTTTGTCTGTAAACATCATATCCAATAAGAGGGTCGCGACGAACGAATCGCATCCCAATGGGTTGTCGTCCGATAGAAAATCAAACTGTTTGATATCGTCACCGAATGAGAAGTTGAGTTTTGGAAGCGTGTCTTGGACTTGATCGATGATGGCGCCATGAACAGATATGACATCTTGCGTCTGGAATTCAACCTTTCCCGGAGACTTCCCACTGGCCGCATATGCTCTTGGAAATGGGGAGAATTGAAACGATGACCAATCCGGTGCCCACGATGGAAGACCTTCACGCGAATAGCCTGCCTGACCAAGTAATGACATGCCATGCTCAGTACTCAGGAGGTATTTGGCAGCCTTTTTGTACACCGCTTCCACCGTATTGGCAGCAGAATAATCAGGCGCCATGAATTTGGAAAAATCATCATCGACAAGACCCATGATCGAGTATACCTTATCTCTAGGATCACTTGCATCGGCATTCCGACCCAGCATCAAGGCGCGCACGGGCGGAACACTACCCTTCTTCAAGTACGCAGACATGCGCATCATCGAATCGACTTGAAGAAAATTACGTCTGAGTCTGCCTTCATCCCGGGTTGTTGGCGATGATCCAGATGCCCTAGCTGTGTCATCAGCTATCACACCAGACTTGCCATCGTCAGATTGCCAGGAGTTCAAATTCCAAGTGGCACTCTCTCTCTGTACCAGCAAGACGAAGTCCTGCAGATGAAGCAGTGAAAAGCTGGCATTCCCGTACCAGATGTTGAAATTCTTGTTGAGGACTGCTTCTTGCATGATCCATGCTCGAGAAAACCAGGGGCTCGAAAGAAGGTCCGTGAAAGCACGGTTGAACTGGTTCCGATTTTTGCGTATTTCTGTTTCATCGACGAGCCGTCCGCCGTTGACCTCATTCAAAAAGTGAATCGCTTCATCCAATGCTAGTGTCGTCAAAACGCCCTCGTATCTAGCTGGCTGCCCTACATGTGCGACCACTTCAGACGCGGAGGAATAGATTTCTTTCATAAGCTGCACCTGACTATTTCGTTCTGGGATATTCTCCTGGTCAATACATATAGCATCGGCCCAGAACCATCCAGGTCGAAAAGTGAGAATTTGCAGAGCGTCTTTGAGATTCTTCGTGACCCTGAGAGATTGACCCGAGCATGATATTGTATGTTCTCTCTCAGGAGAGCCCCACACATAAGATATCGCTGTGAAGGGAGGCATTTGAAGCAGAGAGAATGTCTCCATGCTTATAGGCAAAGAGCCTTGTGCCCACGGAGTCGGCGTGTACTTCATCTTTGTAGAACCAGCCAGTGTCTCGATATCCAGAATCTTACTTTCCATGTTGAGAGGCTCTGTGGACCGAAAGAGCCTGATCTGTTTAAGATTCTCATCAAGAGGCAGGTATCGGTACATGGTGAAGCCGTTGATTGTGATCAATTGTATTCATATGAATTAATGGCTAGCTATTCTCATTTCTTGCTTTTATATACAGAGTATGAATGATATTGATCATTGAGTTGCCTTTCAGCTAGCTAACCTAAGTTGCCCTGTTCAGGCGGGGCCGTTGGGAAGAGACAAAATGCCAAAAGACCCCAATGCTGCTTTTATACGCCAGCTATAATATCGGCGCATACAACTACATGTCATTAGAAACCTCACTCGTCAAGCACTAAATAATAGTTGATATCTATTGGAACGCGAGCAACTCGTGATTAGTCCACGGCCGGCTAGAAATATCTGACATGGAAGGCGGTTTACTAGGCCACACGTGAATCTGGAGAGACCCCCACCTTGCCAAGATCCTGGTCAATGCCCGGATTGTGGAAGGGCAAAAAGAGAATCTCAAATTACAGATTGAAAAAGGATAATAAAAAAGGAAGCGTGTTGAATTCGTTTAAAGACGGAAGAGAAAGAAAAAAGGTGGAAAACAGGAACAAAAAATAATGATCCGGTTGAGGCTCGAACTCAAGACCTTCTGCGTGTTAAGCAGATGTGATAACCAACTACACCACCAGACCGACGCTGATTTCATGGTGGAATTGGAGGAGTAAATATCATGATGGTGGTTTTTTGCTAGCGCCTGGGTTGCTCACTTGCAGCCCCAGCGTTCTCATCGATTCAGTAGGCTGGACAATGAGGATTGTGTATGCATGCTTGATGATGAACATTGCTGGCCGAAGTGCGAAATGTGTCCGCGTTGATAAGTTGTCCCTAGATTGCTCCTGCAGTCCTGCAGCCACAACATGTGCATGACTCGCAGTATTGATTCGGCTGAGCGCGACGTGCCTTTTTGAACTGATGTATGAAGCTGGGGCGAAGTGGTCTTCGATTTGTGCCGATGCGGCTTCGTGATGCGTTCGTTTGCTTTGAAGCCCTTGGATGTTTGAGATTTGGTGGGTTCTTTTTCCCTTTTGGAGGCAGACCATTTGCAATTCAAGCGGGACCTGTCGCGAAACGTCCTGCCCGGAGTTCAGTCTCAGTTCTCCTTCGCCAGGAGTCTGAGACCCTGCTCCAATCAATATCGCCCAGTCTCCCCAGAGCTCGGCAACCGTCACAGTCGACGTAATCACTCAAGGTACAATTGACATGGCAAGCAGGACAGATGTCGTGGACTTGCTTGTGCCAGCTCGCATCATGAAAATTCCAGCCGGTCTTTTGGATCCAAAAGTTGCTAATCTCACACCCGACGATTCCGTTCCAATACTGCTCGTCACACGGACGGTTGGTCAAGCAGTGGTTGCAAAGGCGCAAGTCGGCAGGCATCCAGGATTTTAACTGGGCCATTAGTTCAGGAACGTCAAATACCGTCTTTGGGAGAAACCCGGCATATTTTGCAGACGTGGATGAAAGATGTAGATGAACGTCCCGGGCAACTGTGGCCATACGTTTGCAGGTCAACGCCAGCGCGATCTGAGATGGGGAGTGGTCTAAACTGTCGTAAATGTTCCAAAGAATCTCGTATGGCATCTTCAGCAGAAGCGGGTCTTCATCAGAGCCCTCGGGGGCGTCGGCCAGCATCTATATCTCGTCAGAAACAAAGCATGCTTCAAATCAAACTCGGGTCCTTACTTCATCTGACACGGAGAAACGACTTAACAACTTCCTCTCGAAATCTTCACTCTTTGCACGACATTTCAGAGGTCTTCGAATAGCTGGCGCCAGATTTGACCGCGGCGGTAGCCCAACACCAGCGGGAAATCCTGCCCATAGAGCCATGGTGGTTGTAGATGGAACGTTTTTGGTGAAGGCGAAGAGACGTCACTCTGGGCCGGTTGACCGCGATGCTCGCGACGGTATTTATACAAAGAGATTCGTAGCCTGTCCAGAGAGGTCTCTATTGTCGGAACCACCCTCACGACGAAGTACCCACTGCATTAAACTGTGAAGAGCATGGCCAGAGGAGTCGAAGAGTCGTAAGGCTATCCTCTTGATAAGGGGGAGTGACGGCAGTCCGGGTCATAGATTAGATAGCGCCGGCCATTAGTCCTGATGCGGTCTAGCCCCGTGAGCTTATCGGTATCTGCACGTGCGTGGCCGATTCTTTTCCGGATACACAGCATCAAACCACAATGTCTCATGATGTGAGTCAGCTTTTTTTTCCTACTTCGTGTCTCGGTGGCCAATCCATCGACACGGGAAATATATACGGTCAACGTGAAAATCGCTCATCGTTGAACTATTTACGGACGGACCAGGTTTAGCTTCGGCCACATTTCGCGACTTCATGTCCGTCTCATTTCATCCTCACCGACACCTTTGTGGATTGTCTCACGGATGACATTTCCATCACTTCGAAACAAGGTGTGGACCTTTTCGCGTCTCAGTTTACTCCTTCAGCCTTGTATCCGTGTCATCTCGTCTTCTGAGTCGTGGTCAGATCGTTACGATTACCTTACCGTCAGTCCTGCCTTCCCAGATATCCTTCAATCCCTCCTCCGTTTTCTCCAAAGGTAAGACTTTTCCAATACGAGGTTTTATCTTCTTGGAGGCAACATAATTTAGGAGGTCAACGAACTCCTCTCTTGTCCCAGTGTAGACGCCGGTGAGAACTATCTGGTTGGTGAACAGGTGCACGAGATCGATGTTGACTTTGTTCGACCCGCCATCCGAATGGATGCCACATGACACAACGGTACCTCCAGGCTTGACGGATGCGAGAGAATGAGAGATGGTGGCAGCGCCGGACGTGTCGAATGCAGCATCGACAAGATATGGTAGCTTCTGGAGAGGCTCGAATGTACGCTCGGCTCCCAGCTTCAACCCCAACGCTCGCTTGGCCTCCGTTCGACCTGTGGCCCAAACTCGAAGACCAGCGGCGGAACCAAGCTGTATCAGAGCTGTGGTGACGCCTATCTGGGTGTCAGTAGGAGTATATCCGGGAATGCTTCGTTGAACTCACCGCCTGAGCAACCTTGGATCAGGACTGTCTGACCTGGCCGCAGCTTCGCTTGTTTGAACATCATACGGTACGCAGTCAACCAAGCTATGCCCATGATCGATGCATCCTTGGCGTCCAACCCTTGTGGCCGTGGGACAGCATTCCTCTTTGGCACAACGACGTACTCTGCCAAGGTTCCCTGCACCAGCTCGCCCAGGACGTGCCTTTTCGGATCCAGGGTTTCGTCTCCCTTGAAATCTGGATCCCCGAGGTTGGGATAAAGTGCGACTTCTGTTCCATCTTCCAAAATGCCTGCGCCCTCGTTGCCTAGGATCATTGGAAATCGGATCTCGTGCATTCCTATCCCACGGAGGGTGAAGATGTCGTGGAAGTTCAGGCCGACTGCTTGCATTTTGACTGTGACCCAACCCTCTTTGGGCTCGGGAGGATTTCTGCGGTTGATGCGCACTGAAGACAGGGGATTTGTGGGATTGCCACAGGCGGCATAGACCGTCCGAATCGTCGGCTTTCTGGGGTCGACATCTCCCATCTCCAAGTGCTGGATCTTGTCGTTCTTGATGGTCGCAAGGAGAAACAGGTCGAAGGGCTCGTGGATGTTAAAGCCTTCAACATAGTCACCGTCCATCATTATGTGCTGAAAGACCTTGCCATCATCGCGGACCTCCCTCTCGAGGATTTCGACGCGAGACCGATATCCAACAATGCCATGTTCACACAGTGCCTTGATGGCTTCGTCCTTGAAGCTCTTTCCATCGTCGCATATCTCGGCATCCGAGGCGAAGGCACCTAGCATTTGTTCCAGATTCGCGGCATTGATCCCATTGAGGAATTGATCCAGGGGTCTTTCTCGTGAAGCCATGGCTCGTCAATTTGTTTCTTTTTTTTCGCCTGGTGTCCTGCTCGGATTGAAGTGAATGACCGTGCTATTTATACTTCGATCATGAGCGTACAAGGGGCGTGACTTCGCCGTGTCTGAGACGTTACACGCGTGAGACCCACCATACTGTACTGCACCTGGGAAGATCCCAGAGTGTTTGGACCATTTTTTGGCTGATATCACGTGCGAAAGCAGTGAATTGCTTCGTCCGCGGTGGATGATTCAGCCACTCTTCGGACGGAGGAGGTACCATTTTCGAATGGTGAACGTGTAAGCCATTGCTGATTCAACAACATGGCCAGCACTGGGATATTTTGTCCAAAGTCTTACCTCTATGAAATATTCATCGGACCTTCGAGATGCATTCTGTTTCAAAACCAAAATCATATCCCGGACGTTGTTAGCGTAAGATCTCACGACGGAGCGACCAAGTTCTATGGCTATTATCAAGTTGGAATTGTAGACTCGAAGATAAGCACATCTTTTTGGCACACGGAGTTAGGGACTCTGATATTAGACAGATGTTGTTTGTCTAGTGAAGGCCCTCAACATCGAATTTGCCTGTATGTAGAGGCTTTTGTGTTCGAGTCAGGCCTGGCGTGAGGGGCCTGCGAACTCTTCCATAACATGGGGAAACGTACCTCGGCACCTGGCAATAGGACTGGGTACTTAGTACCTAATGCATGTAGTTATGTCCCCAAGCTACAATGTTTTTGGACGAGGCAACACTTGAGGATAAAGTAGACCCAAGCATTTCGTGCCTTCATCAGAATTGTCTTTTGGTCGCTCGGTCTATTTACAGCGCGCGGGAGAGCTCACACTCGAATCATGGCCGGCGAAGCAATACCAGAGACTATGCTGGCGTGGCAGAAAGATTTTGGCAGCACGCAGCCGGTAAGTTGAATGTATTGGTGACGTAGCAGTTTAATCTTACGAGTTCATGTTTCCATGATGGCCAGGATCTTTGTGGTGTTGATCTGACTTTTAGCTAGAATCGAGTCCGTGTTGATGTCCCGTCAGCGCCTGACGACGGACTTTTGGTGAAGATATATGCGGCTGGAGGTGCGTACTTACACTCCCCGTCTTCATCGTCTATGGCGATCGGGGTAGACATGAGAAGGATACGATTCCTAAACCTTCCATAGTTTGTCACAGCGATGTCCATCTACTGCACATGGAAGAGAAGCCGCCCGAATACTTGGACAAGTATACTTTGGTGCGCCGCGACCAGAATTAATGATGGAGCGTCTCATCGTGTGCTGACAATATTCTCACGAAAAAGGGCCATGAAGGATGCGGCGAGGTGGTCTCGGTCGGATCTGCCGTCACCAAATTCAAGCCGGGCGACATGGTATCAGTCCTGGCAGTGCCTGGATGTGGAAGTCAGTCATGCCCAGACTGTGCGAAGGGGGTCCCTCAGATTTGTCCGCTGGGAGAACACTACGGCATCGGGCACAACGGGTCCTTCGCACCCTACGTTGCCATCCGTGAGAGAGCCGCGGTCAAGCTACCCTCGGGCGTAAGCTATGCGGCTGGCGCGGTGGCCACGGATGCAGTCTTGACCGCGTACCAAGCAGTCGTGGGACGAGGGAAGGTCAAAAAGGGTGATACAGTCCTGTTGTTCGGACTGGGCGGGCTGGGATTCAACGCGTTACAGATCATGCTCAGCATCGGGGCGAACGTGATTGTCGTGGACCAACGACAGGAAGTGCTCGAGGAGGCCCTCAAGTTTGGCGTCAAGTCAGAGAACGTCGTGCCCGTGGGGACAGGAAACGTGGCGGAATGGGTCAACAACAAAGGGTTGCTTGTCGATACGGCGATCGATTTCGTGGGAGTATCGGAGACATTCAAAGCAGCACTTGATGCAGGTGAGTTTTTGACAACCCACCAGGAGTGGGCATGCGCTGATGGACACGTCTGTCTTGGGATAGTGCGACGAGCAGGTACAGTTGTCCTTGTGGGCTTGATCAATCCCAGCATATCGTTCAGTTCGCTGGTACCCATCACAAAGCAACTGGACGTGCTAGGAAGTTATGGGGGCACTTCTTCGGACCTGGAGGCCAGTCTGGATCTCATCGCCAAAGGTGTCATCACGCCACAGGTCGAGACGGGGCATATGAAGGATTTCCCTCAGATCCTGGATGACTTGCACAATGGGAAGATCAAGAGTAGGATTGTCCTTGTGCCGGAAGGAGTGGAAGAGGCCAAGGTCGCGAAGTGATGATATACGCACAAGGAGGTTGGTTACAAGATCGAGTTGATATCGACATGTCGGTACTCGTAGTCCTTTTGGGAACAAAAGTTGCTATTGTACTCCGTAACAGCGTCGACAGATGGTGTCATCGCAATGAGCCGCGACCTCCTTCTCCTGAAATGATTCTAGTCTGTACTTACCGCGCTTTGCATCTCAAGACCGATGAGAATCTCTGCAAAGGTCGACTATGCCCTCTCAAAAGTCGCAGGCGGACCAATGTATGTGTGCCAGTACCATGACTGATTATGACTCGACGCCCGATGCAAATACAGCCTTAAGATGACCGGTACAACCCATATAACAACTTTTGCGACCCTTTGAGGCTGAGATGTCCAAAAGGAGGACAGTATAGGAGAAGTACGACCACAATCCCTGCAGGTCACAACTTCGAAATAACCAATCATCTTTTGATCGGAGAAACTTTTGTTTGCTCTGATCAGTGATGTCCAACCCTCCTCGATAACATGCCTCGACAAGGGGTGAAAGTTGCTCAACTATATAGCAACCCTTAGTTCCCGTACCAGCCATGAATGTATCTACACAGTCACAGTAACCCATCTTGTTCGAACATGACTCGATCTCGAAACCATCCACACACTCGGCAGGAATAGGATGCTATTCGGCCCCTGTTCACCAGGTTGTACAAGACAGAGGGGGAAAAGCTTTCAGATATTATCAGTGACTGTCTCTAGACTCACTTGATTCCTTCCAATACCGGGCAATAAGTGTCATCTCATTTCTCAGCTCTACCATCACACAAAACTAGATAGTAAAGTCCAGTCTACTGGGTCGACCTCTGATGTCAATCATGTCACTTGGCGAATTTCCTACTCGACGCTGTACTTCAGCCACAACACCTTAACAAAGGCCCAACTTCGTGATTGTATTTCCGCTACATCCAAGCCACAATCATGCCAGGGGCCGTATGTTAGTCATGCCGTCCTCGCATCCGAAGTTTGTCATGTTGGCATCCGAAAACATCCCTGAGTAGAACACACCGTGTGGGGTGTCACGACATATACGAGACCAGGGTGAAAGTTTTGTTTCCTTTGTGATTGAAGTACGGCAATCATCGAATTTTGACTGCAAGGACTCTGGAAGAGTTCTGAGACAAGCGAGGGCACTTGCCCTCATCGGCCTTGGAAGGAATATCTTGTCGTGGATAACTGTTTTTTCCGACTCCAGCCTTCCTCTGATATACCTTCAGCGATGAAGCATTCCTTGAGAGGTAGTCGAGACACGTTCAGAGTTGTCAGGAGGGAAGGTACGCAGGTGATCGGATCACTCACGATGTGCATACCAAAGGCACAAATCTCCTAGGCAGTTGACTCATTGACTCGTTGACACCAGTTAACCACCTGGCCAAATCAACCCAAACATTCACTTCACCTCATTTCACATTACGAGCTCGATACTTAGCAATTCTCAACTCATACATACCAAATACTCCATGGCCACAGAAAGACAGTATCTTCAAGAAGCCCCTTCATCACTCGTTCGTCCACCATGTCTCTCCCATGTCTTGTATCCCCCGACTACTCGAGCGACAAGTCAATCACCCGCCTTGGGCCTCAGTCCGAACCGCGGTCCGGAACTCGAGGTAAACCTTCATATGCCAAGGCGATGCAAGAGACTGCGGCAGCATCGGGAGCTTTGATGAACACACCAGCGACAACATAGGATGATGTCAAGGTCCAACAACCGCACCATGACCCAGGTCCAGGTCCAGGTCCAGGTCCATCGACACTGACGGCCGCACAGAAAGAGAACAAGGACAAAAAGGACACCGTTGCCATGGTTCCTCTCATGTCCCCACCACGGATCGCTCACCGATCACGTCCGAGTTTCAGTCGTTCTCCAATGAAGTCGCAATGTGAAAACCACGACACCTCAGAAGTACCATTGAGCGAGGTGCCTTCGATCGGTATGATTCCGTGGTAAGTCACCAAGTCACCAAAGCCCCTTTTCTCTTTCCAGCTTTGCACCATCTACGAAGATACGTCCTCGATAGTACCGTTTCCATCCACGTATAACACTTCATCTCGACCAGCGGTAGAACTTTCCCCAAGGTCCTAGCAGACAGTGGTTGGGAATGCGCGGTCTGGCGGGACCTGGCATACAACGGGAAAGGAACAATCCAAGACAGACTCATTTCGAAAAGCCACGAATATATCAACAACATCGACAACTCACCGGATTTACAAGAGAGGCGAGTACGAATGCTGGAGGCGGAAATGTGTCTCATGACAAGACACTACATGGTCGACGACAGCTTAAAATTCTGGAGGGTCCGACCATGGGCGACAAATCCAGAGTTCCTGGAATGGGAAATTGGGCGGTTTGATCAGCAATGTGAGTACACGCTTCCGCATTACCACACAAGACCACCACTCACCATGACATGTTGGCGAAGACACTGCGTACGTGCATGCGTGCGCGTCGAGACACCATCTGTATATGAGTCCGGCAAGTCAGGTGGTTTTGGATTTGGAGACAAAGGGTAAATTGAGAGTATTATAGCCGCCATAGACGAGGGCTCTGATTCGGAAACATGACTTCTGAATCAAACAAAATTCGACTCGACGCTTGCTAAGTGCTAAGGAGTAGTAAGTAGCCTGATGTATACCTAGGAAAGATTCCAACCACATTTCAGTCTGCAATGACTAAAAGCCAATCGTGCCGGACACATCAAATCGTTAATTTCGTCACGTTCGTCGTTCATTTCATCATGAATATCTCTCCCACATTCACATGTCAGTGTTGTATCGTTTCCGCGGCTGGACGGGGTCCGTAGTTGAATCTCATCCAATCTTTCCCCAGACAAAACCTCCCCAACTCTCTTGCTTTCTCACTCTGTCGACCTGGTCGATCGGCTCCGGTTCAATCTCGCCCGCACTCAACCAATCTTCTTCTCAATCCTCTTGAAAAACTTGCCGACCCCCTTTTCCAACCTGTCCACGGTGGACGGTTGGTTGTGTTGTGAGCCGGACGCGCGTGACGGTTTTCGCTGATGGTGATGGTGGGTGTGGTACTCGTCCTCGGTGGGTCGGTAGAGTTGACCGTGGACGTCGTATGGGTTCCCCGTCGTCCCGACACCTTGCTGTGTGAGGCCACCGGGTTGTCCACCGCCGGTCTGTGCGTAACTGTAGTTTGCGTATCCACCCACAGGGGTGGCAGCGGCAGCAGCATGCGACGGGGGTGGTGGTGGCGGAGATGATCCCGCCGACAGGTAGTCTGGGTACTGCGGTTGAATGTGCTGGAGGGGTTTGTGAGGTTGGGCGTTGACGGATTGGTAGAATTGAGCGCCGGGGCTCTGCACGGCCTGTTGCTGTTGTTGTTGACCGCCAAAGATGTGGGCGTTGGGGTCCTGCTGGTGGGGCACGTAGTGTTGTGCGGCGACGCTGGGGTGGCGGCTCGGGTCCGGGCTGGTGGCGCTCGACGGGCCGGTTGTTCCCCCTCCGAATCCGGTCGAGCCGGATGTCCTCGGTGAGGTCTGAAGAGCCGAAGAGATGGATTGTGGTGGTAGTGCTCCGACTCCTCCTGCGAACGATGGGTGCTGGTGTTGTGGTGGCGTCGTCGTCGTCATCGTCGTGGTCGTCGCGTGTGGACCAAAGGACGGTTGGCCGGGAACAACACAAGCACCAGGAGGCGGTGGTGGTGGTGAGCCGTAATGACCGTAAGGTTGCTGTCCTGCTCCTGGCACGACACCGACACTGACACCTCCGGGAACAGTATGAGGCTGTTGTTGTTGTTGTTGATGATGGGCCGGGGCATAGGCGCGGTCGTGCATTGCGGCTGTCGCCAGACCAGTTCCGTTTGCCGCGTCGACCGGAGGGGGAGTGTCTTCGCGGTGCGCAATGGGTTCGGGAGCCGCGGGCGCCGCTGGGTTGTACGCGAGAGGAGTGAAATTCGTGCCCGAGGCTGGGGTTAGTGAGTGTGCCGAATGGTTTCTTTCGATGTTTGTCGACGCGGAACCAGGTGATGGCGATGTCGCTGCCACTGCCGCAGCCGCCGCATGGGCTGTGCTGGGAACTTGACCAAGTGCTGCTGCTGCCGCCGTCGCTGGTTGAGTAGGTGGTGGCATCTGCATGGCTCGCGCCTTGGTGGGATCGTGGCTCTTGTCCTTGCCGTACGCGGGATCAGAGATGGCGACATGTTCGAGATTCTGCACCACCGAACTGACCATGTCATGAGGGTATGGTTCGGGTTCGGGTTCGGGCTCCAGCTCCGACTCGACCTCGTGCGCCTGTACGTGCGCGTGCGCGTGCGATTCCTCGAGCTCGTCATGATCATCGTCAACGTCCAGTTGGTGCGGTTGTAACAGTCTCTTGCATATGTCCACGATCAATTTCGCGTCCTCTTGATTCCAAAAATAAAAGTCGATCGTGTGTATCCTGTACCTTGTCGTTCCCGGGTCTCGTGGATCCGCGCTGGCCAGGCGCCATTCATCTGGCTCTCGTGATGACGACCGGGCAGATGCGGGCGACGCGGTCGTCGTCGGGCCCGTCGTCGCGTCCACGACGAGAGTCACCCGGGTAGGGAACTGGTGGGCGTTTGTGACGTGGACATTGTCGAGATAGCCACTGAAGGCGGCCTGGTCGGCCGAACCAGGATGAAGCGCGACCTCGATGCGGCTGGTCTGTCTCGTAGAGTTGTAGTAGATGTAAAAGTACGAGGTCTTGTCGAAACGATGGAGGAACGGTCGAGGGGTTGGAGCGTCAAAGTACGTGTGCACGTCGGCGTACCTGTAGGGATCTCAGTAAGATATACAAACCGCTTCGAAGAGGTCGGGCTTACACCGTAGTCAGCGTTTCTTCGCCAGGAAATGGTGGCATGTTGTTGTTGCTGTTGTACAACACAATATGATGGCTTCGGCTTGGACGGCTTGTAATCGAGCGCAGACACGGAAAACTCACAGCATGACGGCAACTTGTCTTTGCTGTGGTCGAGCAATGCGCAGATTGTTCATTGTGCCTCAGTCGTTTGAGTTGGGCGGTTACGGAGAATCCAAGGTCGAGGCTTGACGAGGCTGATGACGCGCGACGGGAGAATTGTGGCTGTGCCCCTCCATGGAGTTCAGACCAAAGACATCTACGGAGCACAAGCTGTCATCTCAGTATATCACACTATGGTTGGAAAGGGTATTATCATGCACTTCCATAGAATATCTGTTTGCATTCATCATTATTGTAGCCTCTTCTGATCTCATCTATCCGCGCATGGCCAGTACAACGGACAGCCAGCCATCTGCATAACAGCCCCAACGAAGCAGTTCGTCTAGATTGGCGGTCATAGGTATAGGTGCGCCATGTAAGAGAGGCGTAGCGAGGATAGGAGTCCTCCGCGAGGGAAATAGGCTTGGTATCAGTTCATGTAGAGCCGTGCCTAATGTCTGAGGTTGTCCTGTACTGCTGCTACCACCTCGGAGTGCTGCTGGTGAGGTCTGACCAACACCCGTCATGGTAGGAGAGATGTGTGACTGTAGAACCTTTATCTGAGCCTTACTCGGGTCTTGATCAGGCGGAGACGGCAGGTAGACACGCAGAGGGACGTTGCGTAACTGTCCGGGGGCTGGCACCAGGCTGCTGTAGATTTTTGAAAAAGTCATCAAGTCACCTTCCTGGGTCGAAGTCCACAAAGCCTTACTCTCCTGGGCCGACAAGGTCATGATCGGTTTCGCCGTTCCTGACCGAAGAAAGTCTGCCTCTTTGACTGAATTGATGAACGAGTCATGCAACACCACAGGGGTCGCGTCCAGCATCGACGGCCTTGTCTCGTCTGGAGTGAAGTGTAACGTCAACCGAAACGGCAAAGAGTCCGAGGCTGCATGGTCAGGACCAGCATCTTGCGTGGACAAGACGTATATATCGTATAGAAGCCCCAATGGTAAATGCCACTTCAGGGGGACGTTGTCGTACGTAAAATAGCCAGCATACGGCGACACGGTCTCGGGGTCGGCTATCAGTGAGCTTTGGAAAAAGGCGTGTAGACGCGGGAGCAACAAAGGCAAGTAGGAAAGTCGAGGGAAAGCGATCTGTAAGAGGAACCGTGATCAGATTGCGCCATTCCAGCCTATTGGCATCTTGAGACGATACCACGACAAGAGGGTGGCTCGAAGGGGACACACTTACCAGGTAGGGATCGGCTTGGTCAAAACTTCGACATTCTGAGGCGGCTAGTCGGATTTCTAGAGGCAACCTGGCTTTCCATACAGAGCGCTGGATGGCATGCAACTGACCGTTTTGAGCCATGAATTGGTGTTGAGAGTGGGTGGAGGATGGAGATAGAATCTGACTTGACCGCGCTGGGTGAAGCGTAGGGGAAAAAAGAGGGATTTTGATGGCGCGGAAATTGCCGTGGCCGAGAGGTTATTCCATCGTAACGAGCACGAACCGAGACTATTGCATCTCCGTGATAGCAATGTTGGCTCAAGAAGCGAAGGGAAACAAAAGGCGCCTCAAGGAGAAACAGGAGACGAGATCGGTCGATGGTGTGCAGAGTGAAACCGCGTGGCTCCTGCAACTCAGGTGTTATCCAAGGCACCGCCAATAGGTCAGCCAGCCAGCCTCACCGGCCATGGGTGACCTAGCCGTGGAAGGAGTGAGTAAAGCAGGATACGAAGTACGAAGAACTCCCTAGAGGACAGAGTGATTGTCGTTATTCATCGTAAAAACCTATCTAAAATGGCACTGGATATACGGCGTATGGAGTAGAACAACATGCTCTTTGGGATGCCACACATACGATGGGCATAACTATTTGCAGTCCGTCTTCCCAACCTGGAATTGCGCAGCGGTGTGATGTGACGACCAGGTGCACCAGGAAGCGAGATGGAAGGGCAGGACAGAGTCTCTCCTCGTCCTGCTGCAGGCTCACTACTCCCTAAGGAGGTGGAAGGTGTCATCGCGCTGTGAAAAACGACGAGCATCAGTCACCGGCCCAGCTGATCAACTCGACGCCACAAAACACCAGGGTCTCAGAAGCGTCGATGCACATCGCTAAGATCACCCTGCTGTACCCAACGCAGTGGTTGAGCACACGCTCTACACATTCCCGCGCGCCGGTTGATAGGACTTTGACTGCATGTGAGTCAATAATGACATGCAACAACTGCACGACCGGGATTACCGCTTTCGATAGTTCTAGGCCTGGGATGCAGGTCGTTCAATTGAGACGGAAAGATTGACCAGGATACGGACAACGAGGACCAGACTTCGACGCTGTTGGTGTCACCATCCCCGTGAAATGTGCTCACCGACGGTCTTTCCTCTTGAGACTTCTTGGACGCTTCAAACTCTCCTCCCCGGTCATGATCGACGCCTCGACGGAGTAGGTCAAGGTCAGGAAATACAACCCCGACGCAAGGGTACGATACGAACTTCTAAACACGGTGAATACGGAGAAGGCAATAACATGAGAAATGGGTGCGCCTCTCGCATGCCTGTCTACCCACCTCTCTCGCCAATGTCAAGTGACCTTTTCTCAAAGTGAAGCCAGCACCGCCAGCCTCTCTACCCACCAGCAGGGTTCTAGCTAGCCTATCTCATGCAAGCAGTGGCCAAGGCCCATGCATGGACTGCGGTGTAACCAAGAGGCTGCAAATCAGCAATCGTACGTGTCATCTCTTTCACCCTAAATTTCGTTTCTGGACGCGAGCGCGTTAACACGAGGGAGGGACTTGAGATGGACCAGTCGGAGCCTGGTCCATGACCAAAATGCCTTGGATGAGCACGCTCTACTTGGAGTTTACTTAGCTGTGGCTTGCGTATCTGTGGGGAATTGATTGGTTATTCCAGGTTGACACTCCCTCGGCTCCCTAGGCTAGCAAATCCCCCTGCTTCGGGGTCTCAACATATTTCGAGCACTTTGCTTTTTCTGTCGGCACCAGATGCACAAGCGGTGATCAGGCTGGGTATCGGTCAACCCGTTCGAATACGAATCAAACACGAACTTCTGTTCAGCCACCGAATGGGCCCTTCGTGAATTCCTACACCCGGGGAAAGTTGCTCCGACAGGGAATGGCAGCGGCAGACACGGCTCATCCAGGCTTACTGCTTAGGTGTTGCTTTTGATTGCTGCAGGTATGACCCAATAGCTTCTAGGGAGCGAGCCCTCCAAGGAAGATGCCGTGCCCAGTGTGTTCCCAACCCCAGTCTCCTGTTCTCCGCTCCTGTCTATCCCCTGCTTCGAATAGTTCCCCGTGCCAATGATCTTGGTACAGAGGGTCTTAACTAAAACAAGGCTCGTGCCTCTGGCGCTCCGCGGTGCAATAGCGCTAGACTCGAGGAGGATCGGCCGACCCTAGGCTGAGCGAGCACCTTGACGAACTTATCCCTTCCCTGGGTAGGATGGCTCCCTTGGTTGTCTGACTCGCACGCTGGGAGGAGTCGTATGTCGGGCTAGTTCTTTTGCTGCCAGTGCCCCGAGTGCCCGTACAACTATGAATCATGATGGTTTGGATCGTCCGCTAGAGGACGACGACATTCCTGACTTGCATTTTGCTGGGTCTGTTTGCACCATACTAACCACTTCACGTCCCGTCTCATTGAGAACCCGTCTCTCAGGCTAAGGAGTGGCAATCTTTCCCTGCGAAATCAGCTGGTTGAAAAAGTGTCGCGCCATGTGTAGTGGCATCTTGATCGCTGGAGACAACGGGGCTCATCCATGGATCGCCAACGTCAGAAGCTTGCTGACCTTGAAGGAAAAAAGTCAGCCCTCCACCGCAGCGACTACATCACATTGCATTGCAGCGAGAAGTCCCGGGGCCCAGGGTCGCCTCTGCGAGCTTCTCACAGGCCACTAAAAAGACTCCCTCCAAGACGAGTGGCCTGACGAGGCCTCGAGCTAGAAGGGGATCACGCTAAGAGCGCCATGCATGATGCGGGCAAGCGTGCTGCGGCCAGATACCGTGAATCCTCGCCAGCGTACGGGCCTCCTTCCAGCTAAAGTATGCTCCAGCCGCCAATGCTTGCAGTTCCTGCTATACTGGTTGTCGTCTAGGCAGCGTCCTGATATCCGCTATCCGCTATCCTACCCAGTGCAAAGACTTTCCCCTCCGCGTGGTTGTTGGCCGCTATCGTCTGTCGTCACTTCCTTGACGGTCCCAGCTAAGCTCCCTTGTCTGGTCCAGAACCGTGTGCTATGGCCAGGGAGCTCGATCCATCAACTCAAATTTCATCCGAAATAGCAGGCTAAGGTGCCACTTTTGATGCAGCTTGCCTTTTGGAGGGAAGAAAGACTGCCTGACTGTCAAATGTCAATCCCTAGACCCCATGCCGGCCAGAGTCAACCTCGTTCCAGGTCGAGGGTCGTCGTGTATCGCAGCGTGGTCAAATCAGCGGCCAGATCCATCCCCAACTCCGCCTACGCGCTGTCAGGAGCTCTCTTCCCTTGTCCCCTTCCACTACCCTGCGGCTCCAGGATATGCTAGTTAGCAGCTCACCCGCCTGCCCTTGCTAGTTCCCTAATCATTCGCTTGTCATGCTCCTCTTGCCAAGTGGCTTTCCAATCGTCCTCCAGGCGCTCTCAGCCCATTGATAAGTTCTAGCTTTTCTCGGGACAACAACATAACTTTGCGTTGATCCTCCCTTTTCGCTCCCTTTGTTTTCACGTCAATTGGAAAATCAACTCACCACGGACAGCTGTCAGCGTCTCGGGCCTCCCCCTAAACGGAATTGCTTGCCACGCGCAGATGTCAGCCACTGTTCCGTCTTGACTTGGGTTCCACCAAAGACGTCCCGGAATCTCTTCCACCCGACTCTTCCGTCTTCCTGTCACTTCACTCCACGGTCCACCTTCTACCGAAACCCATCTCGATACTTTTGTGAACGACGAGGAAGACAGAACTGTCCTTCGATAAACATCCAGTCCTGCGAAACATCCCGTGAGCCCCGTCGTCACCAAGCTGCCGTGTTCCCTCTTACTCCGTCGCTGTCAATCCTCAAGTCAACACTAGTCGAACGACGAAGCTCCAGTAGGGCTGACAGGCATATCACCGCTTCGCAATACATCCCCTGTTCGACTTTTGAATTCGCGACGACTTCTCCTGGGCCTCATGAAACAATTTCTCTTGCCATTCTACAACATGTCAGCTTGATGTACCAAATATCAGTCGGCGCCTTTCACCACTCTAGCCGACTCGTCGAGGCACCAATGCAGAGCAATAAAGCAAGACTAAAGGTTCATTTGCTCTCTCGTAACAATGATTCCATGGAATCAATTCACATCCAGGTATGCCTCCAGGTTCAGGTTTGGATGACTGACGCGCTGATGACACTGTACAGCCAGCAGGATCCTGACTGGCGCATCGAACTCAACGAGCATAACTTGTTCTTTTATGTGACCAAGGGCCCGACACAACTCCGGCGCGTGCTGGACTCGCCAATGCTTGAGTCTGCACAGGAGCGGCAGTTCGCGATTTCTCAGCTAGGTCTGCGAAGTGCAAACTTTGAGAACGAACATACCAGCAGAATCGATTACGCACTTCAGATATTCTGCCAGCACTTTATCGACCACGAGAGCAACGAGAGCTTCCGTCCCACATCACCGTACTATGAGGATTTGACGGACTTCCGAAGTGCGTTAAGCTATACCGAACCGACACCATCTTTACCACTGTCTGACCTTTTAGAAGGCCTACCATCATCACCTACCCCAACCGTCAAATCCCTAAGATCGGTCAAATCACCAATGAGTGTTGAATCATTAATGAACCCTGAGATCATTCCACCACCACCTCCTGAACGCAAACGGAAGCACTCCGACTCTCTCTTTGCACCCATTGCAACCGACGACAGCTTTGAAGATTTTGGGTTCTTCGACAGTCCTGCACACCTGAAACAGAACTTGGAGCACGCACGAGCCGCCACGGTCGTGTCTGGACATGCTGTTCGACTGCGGAGGCGTACTCGAATGCGTCGTTCATTCCTCGATCGAGGTCACAGCAAACCTAAGGACACGGACATTGATCGATGCGAGGACGACTGAAGAGTTGTGTCATTCTTGCTCTACCAGTGCCGGTCTCAAGGATAAATATCACGATTGCCACCACACTAAAGGAGCACACCACCCCTTTGACTCTGACACCCGTCACATGGATGATCATCATCCTCGACTCCACCCTGTTCTTTCCTCTTTCACGACCATCATCTCCACACCACCATACCAGAAATCGAGGACTCATCAGACAGGTGTTTTGTGACGACGACGATATCAGATGCAATGTTATGTCATTCAGATATATGTGATGATCAAAAGGACAACTTTTGATGACTTGGACGGCTACGAACACGCACACACCTTCTATTTCTTTGGGCCCGTAATTTTTTCTGCATTATTTTTTTCCGACACCGAATTTGCTATGCCTGGACGCAAACAACAAAAAGTCTCAACATTTGATTGATTTGACGCGACGCGATGGGTCAACAGCACCACCACTACACCACTACATCCTTGATGGGGGAGGGTTTCTTTTTGTGAGCCTTTTTTCGAGTTTTCCAACATGACCTTGGCGACGGCGTTTTGGGGATTTCATACGGTAAAGGGAAAGGGTAAGAGGAGGGATCTATGGGTTTGTTTTTCGAGAGAATCGGATCGCTTCTTGCAGCACATATTCTGTCAAAATGTTTATTACTTTTTGACCGGTTTTTATGTTTTGAGCCATGAGCGTTGGCGCTGGACGGAGTTTCAGTGGCTCTCCCACATTCCATCAATCCAGTCCTTTGTTTTTGATGTCTTGTGAAGCGTGACAGATTTTTTAGCGAGGGTTGGAATCATTGGAGGGGAAAGGAGTGAGTGGTTTATTGGGTTGTGTCGTTGGGAAGAGAGGGAGCTCAAACGAAACCGTTGTCTTTGTGGGTATGAATGTGTAGATGTCGAGGGGAACAACAGATCAAGTTCTCAAACAAGAGGCAGAGAGCCCTCGGGGTCTTTTCTTTCAGCATTCAGCAGGGTTCATAGCATGTCACATGAGAATACATATGAAAGAGGAGAGAGAGTGTGTGTGGACATTTTGAACGATCCAAGCAGGTGCCCAGCATGTCTGGTTGTCATGGTAGTAAGTTCATTCTCTCACAGCTTGTGCTCGTACTGTACAGCACGGAGTACACAAATGTGCCTGGGTACGGAGTAGGTACTTGAACCACGTGTGGTGGAGTCGGGTTCTCGTTGAGGGCCCCCCTACAATAGCAAGTGTCCCCGGGAAATCATCAAAGTACCACTTTTGGGTCCTCTCTCGTTACTTCCCGTGGATGTCCTTTTGTTTTTCCTTCCCGCCGCTGTTCTTGATTCGTACATACTTTGCAAGAGTGTGAGAGTCTTTCGAGCGAAGTCTTGAGAATGGACTATACATGGATTTGTTTTAAAACAGGCACAATACTCGTACTACGGAGTCCAAGTTGGCTCTCCATCTTCTGTCTCTTACGGAGATACTTCCATGGTAGTTAGTATTCCGTACCGTGTCGGATGATATCACCGTCACTGTGATAAACCGGTCGTTTAAGTACGGAGTACCACTCGTATTGTGTTACTGGGGACGACTGATGATAGTTTACTGTATCGTGAATCAAGAAAAGGCGTGATGACCCGGCACGAAGCGCGTTACTGGAGTCTTGAGTTTTTGACGGGAAACGGGATGAGGCGCGCGGTGGTGGCCATCCCGTAGCAGCGTACATAACCGGGAGGGAATATGGGTACGGGATATGGATACGCCTTTCGGAAAAGTAGGTACAGTACCCGTACATACTACAACGGGTAACAATGGAGACCGACTCATCAGATGAGACATCATCCTTATGATTTGAATTCAAGCAAAATGACAAGCTATTAGACCTTGTCATAAAGAGGGGGTTCAAGGATGAGGCAAGGCAAAAAGGCACCCCCGACTCCTGAATAACTTACAGAACCTAACAGCCGAGCACCTTGACCAGGGGGTTTAAAAAAAAGGTGTCGTGATGGACGAACGGGCTACTAACCACCATTACAGCCTCACTTCTTTCCCGTCGGTAAAAACGCCCATGATTCATCAGTAATCCCAGCTGGGATAGTGATTCTCACTTTTGTACATACTCTGTACGGAGTGGCTTGACTCGTACTATTAGTAATTACCAGTAGTTGTGGTCGACGGAGTCCGTATACGTATCAGTAATAAGTTTCGATGTCTTGATTCTCCTTGCAACAAAACCCTCCCCTATACTCCGTAGTACTCGCAGCAAGGGAGTTGAAACAACTCCACTAGCCAGCCATGCATGAGCCTTGAGAAAGAGGGAAAACAATTCCGCAGCGCCCGATGACCAAACGACAACCTTCTTGCCAGGGTAGGGGTAGTGAGTCTGAGGTGTCATTCGCTTTATGATTTTTTTGCCCTCCCCCCTTGTCTGCCTTTGCCTCGCAGGGATCGCACGTCGCTTGCGGAACAACAAATCCCATCCGTGGGGGTTGTTTGGTTGTCAGTAGTACGTAGTTACCGTAGCCAGGACTTTCAATTCTAGCTTGTCCGAGGCAAACCAGGGGTTTCTCCCTTCTCTCACCCTTTGTTGTTTGTAAACTCACGGCTTCCGACTGGCCCCAATGACTTACTGTACAACTAGCCGTTTACAGCCGTTTACATTTTCAACAGTCTCTCTCCCCTGTCCTTGTAATCTCTCTCCCTAGTCCTTGTCCTTGTGTCTGCGTGTCCCGGATCGCTGATACAAATGTACATGTCCGGCATTGAATGGGGAAGGCCTCTGCGGAGTCACCCAAGGGTTGCCTTCTTGTCTAGGAATTCTTCATGTCTCCCATCCTGGTTTCTTTTTGCAACACCAGTGTCAGTTCCTTGCAAGGGTATTGTTGTCTTGAATCTAGGATAACGGACATCCGACTCCGTAGCTTGCATGGGTTTGTATTGTTGAGACTAATGAGACAGGCATATCGGCTGACCTGGAGCCACTGGGTATGTCCCTGGTTCACATCCACATACAAGGCCATCACCTTGGTCAGTAACTCATGCCCGGAACCAAGCCACGATGCAGAGTACGGGATTTCGGAGTCCCTTGCTTGAGATTGGACACAGGGGGGGGAGATGGCGTAACGGATGTACGGTGTAGGATTCTTGAACTGGAAAGGTCGGACTACCACGTCCATCTGGGCATGGGACATGAGGAATTAACGATAACAGGGAATAGTGGATGGCAAACAAGCGGCGTACAAGTAGCACTCGATCCAAGGTCAAGGCAGTTGACCAAGTCTAGTGTTTAGGGTGTGGTCACGAATATTCGCTATGGATGATGGCGTGAAGACCCTCTGGAAGGAGAAGGTGGTGGTGTGGGTGGTGGTGTTGGTGGTGGTGTTGGTGGTGGCACTTTCGTAACGACATGGAGACCCTCTCTTCACAAAGTAGAAATGTAGTTAGACCGTCCGTGTTTACTTTGTCCCAGGTGACAATGTCCTACGGAGTCAATGTCGATCTTTCCTTTGATCCACGATAACATTCCCACAGAACAATGCCTTTTTTGGGTCATTGAGAGCGACAATCCAGACCCCATGAACACACGGCAGTTATTCTTCATTAAATATGCGGAACAGAATGCCACTGCAGAAACCCATGCCGTCCTCATTCTCCGCATAAGGAATGGTTGCACTCCGTAGAGTATGTTCGTGGAAATCGTCTCCGGTTCAACCAACCATGTCAAGTTTACAGTACAGAGGACATCAGTTGGTGCGAATGTGCAAAACCTACCTAGGTACTCATACGATTACCTCCTTTGCCTAACTTTTCCCACCAAGGAGGACTCGGTAGGTAGTGCATCTATCGTAGGGTACTGTAGCTCTATGGGGACATCGATAAGGCCGGGCGGTGGTACGGTGTAGCTCACCCTTCAATGACTGCCGATTAGCAAATACATAGGTACTCCGTACAGGGGCGATACTCTCGTCCCCTACGGAGTACAATCACTTCATTTTCAGACGCTCAGCCGCGGCCCCCAATCCTCCTCCAGGGGGGAACGGGGGATCACCATTTTAGGGACAAGACCGCCGAAACGAGACCCCCACAAGAGTAATGCCGAGGACCCCTAGATTAGTATCTCAGGGCTTTCGGTGTTCCCCTAATGTACCTCCGTAGTACTCGTCTATGTTAAGCAACTTCAACTGCCGTACTCCGTATGGATACACTAAATATTTTGCCAGTAAACTTGGCCCACGAGGATCATTCCCCCTTAGGTACGGAGTACCTCAAGTATGTATGGTATAGTTATGCACCGTAAGGTGCCGTGAGCGATGACACCAAACAGGTAAAAGTACGGAGTACGGGACAAAGCTACTGATGATGAACAACTAGGGCCGTAGTCCGTACCTGGGCAGATGACAACACCGATACCTAACCCTAGACCCGTACCGACAGATGGGGCCCAAATCATTGTTATCAACACGAAAGCACCGCGTACTCCTCGAGGACCACTCAATGAACATACATTCCTGTCGGAGAGTTCTCTTCTACTTCTCACCCGATGCACGCACATACGAGTATCCGCGCACGCATGTCCTACCACTAGAAGACATCATCTTCATCATGTCAACCCTGTTGGCGATAACCTACTCCGTACGGGAGTATCATCCTCTTGACTTTCCTGCCACCATACTGTATTTGGACAATGGATTGCCATGAGACTTCACTCGTATGGATCCTGATGCGGATCACGTGGAGCGTGTTACAGTAGAGACTCCCACCAAGAAAGACAGGCGGGGAGCTAGCTGTCCCGGGTGGTTCGAGTAGGAGACCAACATATCCCAGATCCATGTTGAACGCATAGTCGGTCTCATGTATCCGTCTCCGTTCACGTGTCAGGCACCCTTTAATCCCCACGCGTAGAAAGGCGCGCAAGGGGATGGAGGTGTATGCGAGACGTACAGAATTAAACTCGGTTGACACTTGAACACCGACCATCGACACTTGCTTGTGAATAAACCCTGATGGCAGATTCCAATTGGGTCGACGACATTGGCCCGAGAACCCACAGTTCTTCGCCTCTCGCTCTCACGAGTATGCAAAGCATGCACTCTCATAATGTCCGTGACGAGAAACTTGATGGTCGGGGGCACATATTCCGTGGATACTTTAGTATTCTCGAGACCAAAAATGAAGGTCTCAACCTGTGGTGTGCACCGCAAAACATCTCAGAGTGAGTAACAGTCATTCCAACGGATATGTATGTAAAAGCAACATGATGTGTCGAGCAAAGGTAGTGAATGAATGTGGAGACGACAAACGGTGAAGCAATGCATAGTCTCTGAGAACGATTTTCCCCCGTGGTCGTATGTGGCCTAACGAGCATGGCCATCGAGTTCTAGTATCGCCTCCTTCGACGTAATCACATTGCCCACGAGATTCATCACATTGAAGAAATCTCGTAGCCCTCAGAAAGAGCACGAGGAAAGCATCTATGTGCTTAAAGTCTTGTGAGTTTCCTCCAAAGACGATGTCGGACGAAATCAAGCAGTTCAGACGCCTCAAAAAAGGCCCCCGACCACTCAGTGACCATCCCCATCTTCCTAAACGCACCATACGGGCGTCCAGACACGCGGCCAGTTGAACAAGCGCACTCTTATCAAAAGCTTGGTAGATCTTATTCGCTCTTAGCATATGAGCTTATCTTTCGCAGCGGGGCATGGCCAATCGCCATCCGCTCGTCTCAAGCCACACGCTTGGAGAACCTGAATCCGGGGTACTCGGGGTGCAAAGCAAACTTCGCTCAAAGGTCTCATGACAGGTCGGACCGCTCTCAAACTCATAGCTTGACATTTCGTCGAGTCGAGTTTATACAACTTTTGTTGGCAAAGGTTCCTGTCGTCAAAGTCGATCAAAAGAGGGCGGTACACTGTGGTGATTAGAGCGACCTCATTTCCGTATCCTTCATTGTTCGAAAACGTGGACTGTGCATTCGCGATTGACCTCGATGGCAAATTTGTCCCCTGCAGGGCAATCACCATGGTGTGCCAGAAGCCACCACCTATTGGTCAAATTTGTGTTTCTTCTTCCATGCTTATCTCTGACCACTCCGAGCCAGTTTTAAACAAAGCATTCTAGACTGTTCAAGGAACGGTCGTAGTGGGTGATGTCGTCAGCTCAACGGCAGCATTAATGCTAATGTGCGTCGCGCTTGAGTTGGTCACAGCGCACTTAGATGACCTCTTCTGCGACGGGTCGCTGCGTTTCAGGATACTAGCCATGTACCACTTCTCACTCACATCTTGAGCAAACAAGCGTATTCTGCAGTAGCGTTGTGAGCACAATACTACTCGTGACTTGAGAGTTCATACTCAATTCCGAAAGAACAGCAATGGTTGCAGCTAATGGCGACAAAGTTTTCGTACATGTTGGGATTGGTGGTGCAGGTACGTCTTGTCTCCTTGATCTCTAGCCACACGAGCCATAACGAGTCAAACTAGGAAATGTCGTAGATTCCTCAAAAAGAGACATCCGGTGTCCAAGTCATACCACCGACCCTCAATCTTTCCGGCAAGAATTTGGCTCGCGCAGATTCAGCACAGGCATCGGAGGATCTGGCAACATCAATATGGCTAACCAGCTTGAGAGGCAAAATGACGTCGAGGAGACCGCTCGCTTGTTGTATGATATGCAAGCGCCAGGTATAGTGCTATCTGGCGATAGTTATTACACTGGTATAGGTTGGCACTTTTTCCTTCGGTAGTCGGTGCATGCTTGTCTATCACCATGCTGATTTATCCCAGGTGGCTTTGCCAACAAACACCATCCGACAGAAGCTGAGATCGAAGAAGCTCGTCAAAACAACGATAATATACGTCGACAAAGCATCGCCAACATCAATAAACGTCGAGACAGCCTTGCATTGAGCATTAACGACACCCCCTCAAGTAGCTGGAGTAGCCGACGAATGAGCGTCACTGACTCCATGAAAGATTTCTTCAAGGCCCGAAGGTCGACGAAGACCTGACCTGGTGAGAGGCTCTGGAGGTGGATGAAGCATGGCCTTGTGCCGTGAAGAACCAGCGAAAGCCTACTTGGCGAGGCTTGTCGCCAATAGTCTAGTGTGGTTCAGAGCAACATAATGTATGCCGCAATAGTTCTTGCACATACATGCAGCAGCTAGCAAACGCTTCTCTGCATAAAGTGTCAACATTCCAGCTGGCATCCTCAACCGGGTCCATTTGCATGTCCATTAGGGATCGGGTTTTGTGATGGTAGAGTATCAACATGCTCAAGTCTGGCAATCTCGAGATCGATGTCATAGTCTTCCCCATTACGACGAAGAGAGGTGCTTCGATTTCGTGGATGAGAAGCCCGCGTGACGTCGGTCTTGATTTTGGTTAGATCCACAAAATCAGAAATGTCGTTTTCATCCACTCGACTCAATGCAGATGAATTGCGTTTTTCGGCGCTTCCAGGAATCGTTATCGATGGACGTCGATTACTGCCCTGTCTAGGGCCTCCAACAAACTTGACAAGTCTTCCAAGGATGGCGAATTCGAGCTTAAGCTTGATCGAGTAGAAGACCGGTTTGATTGTCGTCTCGAGGATGTACAGTGACGCACATTCAAGACCCAACAGGCCAACGTCCATAATGATGATGAGGACGTTGATCGCCATAAGCTGGTACATCAGTCGTCGAGTATTTTCTTGTACTGAAGTCTGCAGGATTCGCACCGTCTCGATGATGTAGATGGTCGAAAGAATAACTTCTTGAAGAAAGAAACCACACATCTGCACCTTCTCCATAACATTGTACCCGCGCACAAAGGTCTGGGTGTCGGTATCGCTGTTTGAGCCAAAGGTGAGAACGGTTGTTGGTATGTGCAAACAGATTGCATTGATAATGATCATCCATTTTGTCCATCTGAGAATTTTATCGCCCTTTTCTCCGGTGACAATAAGATGTAATCTTGACCACAAAACAATGGCTTGGCCAGTCACCATAGGATACCAGCCGATGGACAGGAGGAAGACAGAAAACCATTTCCCTCCGCCCTTGAGTATCGAGAAATACTTGAATAGAAAACCCAAGGCGTATGGTATTATGCCGAGTCCTGAAATAACCAAACTCCAGAAATAAAGGCCTTTGAACTTGTTGAAGGTGCCAAACACCATTATCTGGAGCTCGATGACATTGTACATGGCCAGTGAGAGGAAGAAGGCGATGATGACCTTGACGGCCAGGCTATCGCCTTCATAGCCACCTGTGATGCCCAGTCCAGGTGACGAAGGAGAGCTGGCTGCAGAGTTGTTCCCGGACATTGTTATTGGCTATTGAACGAAAAATTGGCGCAACGTCTGGAAAGGGACATGGCTTTCACAATCCTCGTGCTCCGTCGGACTGTGCTTCTTCTGGCGACTGAGCGCATGAGCTATGCTGGGAACTCTAGAGCAGGAATCCAGTCGTACGCGATTATGGCGACAGTGGCAATTCGCACTGATGATTTTGCAAAGTCAATTCGGCCAGAACAAAAGGACCACACCAGAACAGCCTAAAGAAAAACCCAGGCCAAGGAAAGCTCCTCCCTTCTCCCTCTCTGCGCCCTCAGCGACGCAAAATTTGACTATGGCGATCATGGTTGACCCCGCGAAATTGCTGGCCTTGGTTGAGCTTCGGTGGCCAATGTGCGGGCCAGTGAAGCCTAGTGGCCGAAATTTCGAGGCCCGACCGTCACCAGCTTTACCTGACACAGCAATTCTTTCACATAACAACAATGTAACCGAGATGTGGAAGCCCCGGAAAGCCGGACACTCGGCGGTGGTTTACGTCATTTGCCATCAACTCGAACAGCCTTGATCCAGTGATAAAACAGGCTGATTGCAGATCTGTATACGGGAAAAGCAATTCCAAGGTCATCTGACCTTTCGATGAGAAATGTATATGTACTTGGAAAAATCCGCCCAATTGACCAGGCTGCGAAGAGGATATCAGCGAAGAAGGTCACTGATTGGGGCCTGATCAATGTCATTCCTGGGTATGGCTGACATGATCACCCTCAAGAGCGAGTTTCCCCGGCTATAGAGAAGTACGCGATTGGTGTAGGTCACCCAAGTCTACACGCTTGATGCTTTATCTGAAGGATGAAGTCAGCTCAGATGTGCTATCTGACTGTCCGAATGTCATCGCGCAATAGGAAAGGCTGGTCTCAGGCATTCAGAGCCGGAGGCTTGCGATGGCAATGTCTGTTACTGCGTGCCTTTAGCTGTGACCCTTCCACGATACATCCGGATTATCTCTGTGACCGACCAAAGCTCGTTCACGGCTGCTCTGAGCGTCGGCAGGATATTGTAATGTCCACGCAGATTGAGGGGGTCTTTCTGCCCGCATAGCCCCCTTATCTCGTTCAGTATTTTTGACAACATTCAGCGGGGAGCAGCAATGCTGAATAACCAGATGCGCAGTGCCGTAAAGAAAATACTGCGATGGAAGCCTTCCTTGTCCGGGAAGGCTCGCTGGGTAGGGCGCCCATGGCTTTACATCATACATCGGTGCATTGGTGCCATTCTTGCCCCCGCTCCTCTTTTTCTCTTATTTCGCCGTCAGGATCTGAGCCAGAGTTCATGGAATCCTGGTGTAAGCATTTTGCGGCCGCCGGTTGAGATGTGGCCTTGTGTTATAGGTGTCCGTTCAGACTGCGCCAGTAGCCGAGTTATCAGCATCTCTGGCGGCATCAGACTGTAACCTTGCCTCTCTCTGGGCCTCTTGCCGCAACACTTCCAACCAATCTCTCCTCATGACAGGATGTTGCAGAATACTATCTCTACCGCTTCCCTCGGTAGCCGCTGGACTTGGACTCCTCCTCGCACTGGCATGATATGAAGGAGGCCGCGTTCGTCCGGTAGACGAAGTCTCAAGACTCGTCCTCGCAACAAAGGTTGTTCTTGTGGTGTCGCCAGTATTCATCGTGGTAAGATTTGTGTATCGAGTAGAGGGAATCGAGACAATCGAGGATACAGGTGAGAGCGGTGGGTAAGACGCGCCATCATCCTCTATAGTCTCGGGCTGGACAAAGACCTCAAACTGCGCAGCTTTCTTCTCGTCGATCGTGAGCAATGGCTGTTGTGCAACATCACTGTATCGAGGGGGATTCTCGCTGTGCCTGGGCGAGTAAGGACGAATAGTAGTAGATGTAACCGAGACCATGCGAGCACGACGGGTTTCGGCTTCAACTTGGCTTGCGCCGCGGGCTTCGGAGGAGCAACAGGAAAACAAGGCGAGACCCATGGTCTACGTCAACTATGTCCCACGTTTTGACCTGGCTTGAGAACATGCATCACTCACAAACTATGTTGCAAAAGTTTTCGGGAAACACGAGTTCCCTTTAGCAAGCTGACGCACTGGATTGCGGCAGTGCAGTCAGAAGAGGATCGAGGCAGCCCGCCAAGGGGAACTCCCCCAACCGGGAAATAGGGTGACGCCGCCTGTGCTCAGCCCCCACCTGTGGGTCTCAAATGCTCTAAATAGCGAGAGAGCACTCCGTACATATTGAGCATGCACTTAAGTGAACGACTGTGAATCTTCTGCGAGGTGATCTAACATAGTGTACTTTTTGGCTGCAATTCGCGCTATCAAAATGTACTGATGAAGGTGTGAAGAATAAAACAATTCAAAGAACAATGAGTCCTAACCCCGCTCACTATAATCCCAGGGTTGCGAGCTACAGACTTGAATCTATTCATTGAGTCGAGGGGTTGGTGAGCAGACCACAATTTTCCAGGAGCCAGTACTCCTTCGTAGGTACAAGTACCCTGCTGAACCTGACACGTTGGGCTACCCCTACTAACCCAAAGACTCACTCTGAGCCGTGAGTTACAAGACGTACTTGTAATCTGGATGATGATCTCCCAGTTTGTCAAGCTGGTCTGCGAAGCTGAGCGAACTGATGTCGGCGAGGAGTTTCTGTCTGTACTCGGGATCGTCCTTCTTCTTGTTCTCGCGGCTGCACACCCACATGACTATGGCGGTGAGCACCAAAAAGATGACGTTCATTGAGAGCATGAATCTGGCGGCGAAGAGGTAGTAGGGAGCGTCTTTACTGGGGAAGATCCACGTGCTCACGATGCCGCCGATGTTGTTGCACACGCAGTTCATGGCGATGGCGGTGGCCCGACGAGTGTGACCGGCAGTATTGTTCGGGATCCAGGCAATGAGGCAAGGTCCATTAGAATAGATGCCTCCCAAGAGGAAAAAGAGACCCGTGTAGCGCACCGCGACCGTTCTGCCGACGTAAAACATGATGACCCCGATCAAGGAGAGGAGAAGGGTGCAGATCATCGGGATGCCGCGCATTTGGTATCGGTCCGAGAAATAGGCGACGAAGATGCTGAGGAGAAACGCCACCGCGTAAGGGGGGACGGTCATCAATTGTGTCCGGATGGAGCTGTAGCCCATGCTTCTCACGATCGAGGGCGTAAATAGAGCCAAGCCGAAGATGACACAGCCGGAACAGATGGCGCAGAGCCACACCAGGACAATATGGGGATCCTTAAAGGTCGAGAGCACCTTCTTCGTCGTCACCTTTTCGTTTTCGAGGATATCAACATCGAGCCTAAGTCGCGTGGCGCAGCGGGTGGCCTCCTCGGGGGTGAATATCTTTATCTGTTGGGGCGTATTTGGAAGGAACAAAAAGACGACGACGGCCCAAACGACGGTAAATAAACCTTCGAGGCAGAAAATCCACTGCCATCCTCGCATGTTTCCGATTCCGTCCATTTTTTCTATCGCGGCTGCAAGGAGACCGGAAAAGGCCCCGGAGAGAGATGCCGCGGACCAGAAGAGGGCGATTCTCAATGACAGATCACTGCGTCGATAGAACGAGCTGAGGTAGAGAATGATACCAGGGAATATACCGCCTTCCATCAAGCCTAGAAAGAATCGTACGGCCAAGAAACCACTGTAGCTTTTCACCTGGCTTTGGAGCGTGGTGATTACACCCCAAGAGAAACAAAGGAAGGGAATATAGTACTTCGGACCGACTTTCTTGATAACCAGGTTCGAGGGGATTTCGCTCGCAATATAAGGAATATACGTGACAGTGATCGCTGTGGAGAGATCGTCAGCTCAGGGTTTTCCGTAGCGAGGATAAGTACAGTAACTTACCAGTCTGGTATTGGTAATCGCTTATGCCCAGGTCTTTTTGGAGGCCAGCCTTATCACAAACATCGATGTCAGCTAATCTGTATATTCTGTGGGTGATAATTGCTATTACGTACCACACGCGCATTTCCAACATTGGCTCGGTCAAGGAAGGCCAGCAAGTAGACAGTGGTCAACAAAGGGATCAACAACAGGTCCAGTTTCAAGATGAGCTTGCGGTCGAACGCTTTCCACTGCTCGTCGGATTGCTCATGGACTGTTGTTCCGACCTCCTGTTCCTGAACATTCGAGTCCAGGACATCTTTTTCAGACATGTTGTCGTTAAGGGTCATTCTTTGTCCGACGGTCAAGGGGGAAAAATCGAATTGAGTCGACTCGTACGCGGAATCTCAGTGCTCACACACAGGCAGTTCTGATGGTTGTGTTTTCTCAGTACATCGTTCTTTCTTGAGGATCAATATATAAAACTTCAAGGATGGTCGTGCGCGAAAGAGATCGAACTAGCGGGGTATAGAATCTGGGGAGCGCGGGCTCCACAATTTTCCGCGCAATACTCAGTAATCCCTATTCCGTATTCCAGATTCCTTAAAAGAATCGAGACTTCAAGACCCAAAGCACATGGGAACCCGGAATCAAGCTGATGTCGTACGCAAAATAAGGCAAGAGACTAGTATGGTCTGGCTTGATGCACGTGAGCGGACCAGGATTGTGGGTCCACATAGACCACTTATTGAATGGTCTCAAGAGTTTTTACCTCCACATTGACATTTAACATTGGTCATGAGACGGTCGAGGGATGTGCTGATTTCCCACGATTTTGTGAAAGAAAGACTCATTACTCGACAGGCTCGGGCTCAAGCCGCATGAGTAGACCAACAGAGCAAATTTCCGGGCCCGTATTAAAAAGGCTGGGCTCATCTCTTGCCACAGTTATGGCCCATCAGCTCATCGACGTCTCGCGTTTTGGTATCGCATCGGGGAGGTGTCGAGGTCTGGCCCTTGATTAGTGCGCAGAACTGAGGAAATTTCTTGCAAAATTATGTCTTAATCACGTCGAATCTTCAGAAGGCCTGGTGGCGAAGGGAAAACAGAGACCTCCGAAATGGACTCGCTGGTCTCTCGCGCCGTATGACCAACACAATTAATCATGGTGGCGAAGTGGAACTCTTCCCAACGTTTTTATTTTCATAGAAGGACAAACGCGGTCAAATGGGTACTCATGACCTTTCTATACCTGCTTGCATACTTTCACTCAGTGAAGAACACATCTGCGGAGGAATATGGGTGACCGAATCCACCGACCATCAGCGGGTTCAGGGACCGCAATTGTCTCTCGCTGAAGCTGCCCAGGCACGGTCGAACACTCTCACTGTCAATTAGCCACGAACAGGGAACTCCTCTAGTTAACACTCGCTTGCTTTTGTATCTTTTCCTCCCAGGCTCACCGCCATCTTACAGCCGTGCTTTGGCCGCCTCATCGAGATGGTACTTTTCAGCAATCTTTTTATACGCTATTTGTCCAACCAAATATGCCGTTGACTGCGTATGATTGCTGCGATCAGTAAAGTTAGTGGTGCAAAACGTGCATTCCGCAATGACCTGAGATCTTCTTACCTGGTGATCAGCGGACACACGCTGAGGTCGGCAACTCGCAGGCCCTCGACACCACGGACGTTCATGTCAGTGTCTACACAGGCTTTTGGATCGCTGTCACTGCCCATTTTCACAGTGCCTACTCCGTGTAGAATAGACAAGAGATTCTCCTTTATCCACTGAAGAATCCCCTCATCATTCTCCGTGCTGGGAACATTAACATCGCACACGATGTATTTGGAGAGATGCTTGGACTTGATGAATTGAATAACCTCCCGGAGAGCGTCAACATACGTTCTTCGGTCGTAAGGATGAGCAAGAAAATTGGTATCGATCACAGGCGGTGCGGTAGGATCTCTGGAGCGGATCGTTACCGATCCACGAGATTGTGGATTCATCAGCATCACAGCGACTCCAAGTGCTTCGGGTCCATTGCTCGTGTCCCACGTCGAAGGGATTGCACCGGCCAAGAAGACCTCGAATTGAGGAGCGTCATCTTGGCCGAGCCAGTTTTGTATCTGTGGGCCCAATTTTCGCAACTCCGCTGTCGAGTACTTTTTTGGATCGAGTTTGAGGAATCCGATGAGATTTGAGAGATGACGAGACGCGTCTGGGCCCGAGAAATCTTTGTTCCACCGCTCTCGCGCAGCGGCAACCTTTTCAGGGTCGAATTCAAATGCTGTTCGATCTGATAACTCAGACGTAGCACCCCATCGAAGGACGAGGTAGGGATGATCGATGAGCTCTTTGCCAATATTGGGAATGTCACGGCGGCAGGGGATGCCCAATGACTGTAACTCTTGCTTGGGGCCGATTCCACTCAACAACAGGAGCTTAGGGGTATCTATCGATCCCAAAGACAGGATTGTTTCTTTTCTGGCACGAATCTCACGTCCATCGGCGAGGACAACTCCTATCGCCCGAGGGGGTGATCCGGCCCGGGCATCGTCAAACAGAACCCGGTGAACTGCCGTTTTCGTCCATATTTGCAGGTTTGATGGCCGTTTGCTGAGGAATGCCGTCGAGCTGGTGGTTCTTCGGCCCTTATAGGTTGTCGTGGTGACGGCACCCACGCCAACGAGATGGCCACTATTCTGATCGCGGTTCACTGGCCATCCAAATTCGCGCAGGGCCTTCATCAAAATGTCGGTACCTTTGGGCCATTTGTTTCTGGCGAACAGTTCGAGGTCCAGAGGGCCATCAAAACCATGGACGCCAGGCTGGAGTCTAACCCACTGCTCAGCATCGCCATCGTCCTCGAAGTGCAGGGCTTCGATTTCTTTGTAGCGTTCGACGACGTTCTCCCATTTGTAGGTGTCATCACCGACCATCTCAGCCCAGGTATTGTAATCGGATGCAGCACCTCGGATGTAGCCCAGAAAATTCGCCACGCTACATCCTCCAAGGCCTATACCTCGGAGGTAGCTTAGCACTCGGCCATTGAGATGACGGTTGGGAACAGTCTCATAGTCGACGGCAATTTCTGGGTGGAGATAAGGGTTCCGGAATCTATCACAGGGTCGATAAAGATCATCGTCGTTATTGTCACCTCCAGCCTCTATGAGAAGCACGCTTGGACGACTGTTCGAATTGGCGAGCCGCCCTGCCACTACTGCGCCGGAATTT